TGAAGAGAATATTTACTTTATAAATATCCATAGAACTATCTATCTATTAATTAAAATTTGATTAAAAAATTATTGTAAAAACCCTAACTTTATTACTGACTCGTTGGGTTAGTTTTTGTTGATGGTTAAATTTTCCTATAAACAAATTTTTTAAATTGACCTTTAAAATATTCAATTTATAAATGGAAGAAGATTTTATAGTAAGTAAATTTAAATACAAAAAACTAGCATAAATTTGAATTTGATATATATAAAAATGTTAATTTTAATATTTTTTTCACTTTTAAATAATATTTTAGAAATAAATTTATAACAATTTCAATTATCAATTTGATTTGATTTATTTTCTCCTATTTAATTTAGATGATTAATTGTAAAAACATTAAATTGCCTATTCAAATGATTTTCGTTTATTTTGTTTATTTTATTTTTTAAGCTTTAAGGACTGCTTTCGTTTTAGCACTCTGATTCATCCTTTTTTTCATTTGAAATCTTTTGCGAGCTTTCCAAATTTTAGATTTAGTTTAAAGACTGGGAAATTGAAGAGGATTACTGAAATGACTGAGCAATTGAAATCTTGCTATCGCTATTTAAAATCTCTCTAGTCAATTTAGTAGGAGAAAAATGAATTAGAGAATTTGAAAAAAAAATGCTCTTTTACTGGTTGTATGAATTATTTTAATTAATTCTATTCTAACTATCGTTGTTGTACATATTAAAACTATTTTTATAATTGAAAGATTTTTATTTAGTGTTAATAGATATTTCTTTGAATTTTGATTGATTTTTTTTGCTTTAATTTGTTTAATAAGATTAAATATTTATATTTTTCTCAGATTAATTCTGAGTAAGTTGTTCTCCTGTTTATTTGTTTTATCGAGATATTTTGAGATAAACTAAATACTTTAAGTTTATTTTAATCAGTTTCCACTTTTTAAACACATGAATTTTGCTTTTTCCTAAGTTTTTCTCTAGAATTGCATAGAATGGTTTGAGAAATTTAAAAATTTTTGATAGTTTGTATACAATAAAGACTATTTGAGGAAGGATGACTATTCTAAATGACTCTGATAAGATTAAGTAACCAGCAGTCAAGATGTAAGACAAAAAGATAGACATCCAGATTACACTTAAAGCTGTGTTTTATTCTGACTCTCCAAGGAAATAATTATGCTAAATGTTCAGTAAAATCATTAATATGAGTATGATATGAGTTTGCAAATCCAAGTTGACTAAGTGTTTAAATTTATAAGGCTTAATACTTAACAAAGCTACAATGTAACTAAATATTAACATAATATTGAAAGTTTGAACTTCTTAAAAGTATTCAGAAAATAAATTTGTGCTAATCGTAACAATCATTCTTAAAAGAATTTTTATAAATTCCCAAAAATATAATTTTGTTTTGTATTCACTATAGAGATAACCATATTTATACAACATACTAAAGTTTTCCCTATTTTATTCAGAAGCAGATGATATTTACTTGAAAAAAGCTAAAGGGACAATAAGCCAAAAGATAATTGCAGGAATGAAAAAAAAGTAAACAAACTTAGAATGATAATAATCAAAGCACTCATATTAAATGTCTGCTTGCACATAAAATTTATTTCCTATTTTTCTGCAGCCCAGAGCTGTGACTATTAAAGCAATAACGTTAGGTTGAAGGAAAAAACAAATTAAAACAAAAGTCGTTATTAAAAAGTTTTTTTTCCTCCTAACAACATTCATACTAGTTAAAAGATAGTGAATAGAGGAAATGCCTAAGAAATATAAGAACGGAGACAAGAATACAATGATCATCTATGAGTACAAAAGAGGAATAGTGATTTCATAATTATTAGGCTTTTTCAGTAAGATGCATTGTGTTTGCAAACTGAGAGAAGTGGAAGGAGAACCAAAAGTGAGAGTAAAATAGTTTAAAATAGATGGAATATAAAGCTCAATTCTATTAATAGAATTTACTATTTGCAAATAATATAAAACTATTTTTACTTTATAACGAATACCATCCCTAAAGCATGATGTATAAATACTAGCGAATCCTATCATCCTTATATAGTAACCTTTCTATTGCTAAAGTACTTAGTCCATATGGTTTCTTACTTACATATACATGTAAATAGTAAATCCTAGAAAGACCGCTCCTACATAGGCATACAACTTTAATTTATTATTTTAGTCACATTCTGTACATTTGAATCCAAAGTTACTCACATACCTTTTAATATATATTATAAAATAATTATAACCAATATATTACAAGACTTTTTTTTATCAATTGTGAATTTAAAAAAACAAAAATATTCATTAAATTTATAAAATTTTAATTTTTTTTTTTATAAAAACCAATTCTTTTTAATTTATTTGATTGACTTCTTTCTATTTATTTGTTAATTTTTTTATTCTTCTTTATTTTTTTGCAAAAAGTATTTCTAAAATAAATAATTTTATTTCCATTAAATTAAATAATAAATTTTTGGTATTTTATAATTAAAAAATAAAGTAAATTTTGTCTAAAATAATTTACTATTAATGCCAAACATATCCATAATTATCGCAGGATTCACAAAGAGGTCCAATATGACCAACTTTGCATATTAAACTTTGATTTCTATTTGATTAAGCTAAGCAGTTCGATGGTTCATTATTACACTAAATGATTATTTCACTAGTTGGTGATTCTCTCCAATATCCATTTTTCAAATAAACTTAATCTTTGAAACAAAGATATGCAGATTAAGGACACTCTTTACATTGAAAATTTGTTGCTTAACTATTTTCCAAATATTTCATTGGATCATCAAAAGAATAGGTTCCTTTTGAGCATAAATCACAGATAACACCTCCATCATTAGATTTTTCTTTCTGATATATCTCACCTTTATAACACTATCTAAAATCAATATTAAATTTAAAATCTCCGATTGTTTAAGTAAGGTTTCCATAAAAAGACTTTAGTAGAATATAAAAAGTTAGATTTTAATTCTACTCTTAGATTTTATTTTCAATTTTTTAAAATTCCTTAATTTTGAATCTCACATTTTCAAACACAAATCCTTTTTCTTCTTCAGAATATCTCGTCAAACTCATTAAAACATCATTTTGTACTATAAGGTTTTAAGAATAAGTCTATATTGAGATACTCATTTAGTTCAGCTCGCTGTTTTATATGATATTTAACAAATTAGAATTTGGATTATCAAAATATTTTCCATCCTAATCTATTAATTAAACTACAATAGTTAAAGATCCACCACTTCTCATACCTCTTATAACTCCTTCAGATTAATTATCTTATATTTTGTATTCATCGAAGCATATATCTATGTTAGGATTTTCATCATCATCATTAATTAATTTATTATAGTCATTATCACTTCTATAGCTTATTCCATTTTATTCGTAGCAAATAATTTTTTTAATCTTTAATTTTAAAAGAGAAGCTTCACTCCAATTATTTCCCCAAATTTAACCTTAATTGTTCTTGAATTAAGCTTAAGTTTATATATCGTACTTAAGTTTTGATTAGAGTCTTGTCCTTATTGCACCACCATATTACGAAAGGTTAGAGATGAACACAGAATTAATTATTTCTAGGCTGCTTTAGCTTTCTACCAAAATAGCTCCTCCAGAAAATAAAGCAATGTTTTCAATAAAAATGGAATTTGAAATTTTAATTTAGCATTAATTAGAAAAATAAAATGTTCCTCCTTCTCCTGCTTAGTTTTTATAAAAATTAGAATCGATTATTTATATTTTTTGTGAGTACATAATCCATGCAACGCCATTTGTTACAGGAGACACATTACTATTGAAGGTAGAATTTTAAATCTGAATGTTAGAAGATTCCATTTAAATAAAACTAAAACCACTAACTGCCTAAACATGTTAAGAAGCATTAAAATTTTAAACGAGTACAGGATTTAATAAATCATTTGTTGGGTCATTACTTTCATTTTATTTACCTTTAGTTTTTTTTATTTAGTCTTCTTATAAATACAACTTGTTGCTGAGAACATTAACTTAATTGAAATAAACTTGATTTTAGTAGAGAACTGTTGTTTGATTTTTGCTTTCAGAAGATGACGATATACGTATCAATTAAATATCTGTATTATTGTAAAGTTAAGCTTGAGAAATGTTCATGTATTGAATGGAATAAAATTAGATTAAATATACTATTCTATAATAAAAAATAGAAAAAGTCTCTTAAGATTTCTATGAATCTAAATTGGATTTATAAATATTAAGGAGATTTATGTTGTTTTCTACATTTAATAATCTAATATTTGTTGAGGTAGTATTCACTATTTCCAAAAATGTGCTATCTAAATTTTTTAAAATATTATCTTTGAATGTAATATTTTAAATATTTATGTTTTGAGCTTCTTTAATAGTAAGCATGACAGAATTTTCTAAAGTGCAATTCATTATAAACATATTTTATATTTCAATTTTTTAAGTGTACCAAGCCATTATTAACTAACTTCTTAAAAATGAGCAATTCCTAATTATTAAATTATTTATATAAAGCTATTTCAAATTATTAAAGATAAAACTTGCATCAGAAATCATTTCATTTTCTATCAAAATATTTTCAAAATTTACTATTTTTGTTTCCTATCCAAACATTAGATAGTTAATCTATTTATAAATCATTTATTTGTCTTGAAGATAATACCTGAAATTTATATTTTTAATAGTGTATTCATCTACTCCAAAAATTTAACTATTTTATAAATTAATAATATTCAAAATAAAAATCACTTACTTATCTCCTCATTAAACAAATATAAATAAATTTGCAGAGTTAATAAAATTCAAATAGAAAATTTTATAAATAAAATTATTTTCATAATTTTAAACACCATAAATTATCATAATTGTGTTATTTAAATAAATTAGTAATTTTTTAAAATTAAAAGATTGTTTAGTATTTTGTGGAGGGAGGGAGTGGGTTAAGAAAGAGATATATCAATAATAAATATGGTATTTAAAAATTAATATAAAATTTTTAATATTTATTTATTTATTTACCTTGTATCAAAAATATAAATTTTTTCTTGCTAATATTCCTAAATTTATCTATAATTTATGATATTTGTATCTGAAAATCGAATAATTAAATTCTAAACTGAAGTAAAGTTAAAAGTGCTTATTGAGAATTGATTATTAAGCTTAATATTAAGTGCTAGGGTACGTATTGAAAAACTCAATTAACTTAGAGAATAATTAAAGTTATCAATTAGTTGCTAGTATGAATATTGATCTTATGGTATCAAATTTTTAAAACAAGCATCAAAATATCCTAATTAGCCTATTACAAATTCAAAATCGTAAATGAAAGTGTCAGTTGCAAAAATTATTTTAAAAAGTAGAAGCTCTTCATCGAATTGGTAATAAACAACTTTTTGTCTCAATTTATTTAATTATAAATATGTGATTAGCTCTCCTTAATCTTCATGTAGTTTATACTTATTCATTTACTAGTTATTTTATAATTTTGCCAGGAGGTTTTCCTCACTAAAGTTAATTAAAAATATATCAAATGATATCTAGTAGATATAGTTAATCTAGCTATTATACGATTTATACATGCAAAAATACTTAAGGTCAGATCTTTAGTAAACATTTATTTGGTAATTAGTATATATTAAAATGTAATCATATACTATTTTTATTTTTGAATCTACTCCAGGCATATCTATTACTGAAAGAAAATTTATCTGCATTGATTTAGTTTCGAACGAAAAAGCTTCTATATGTTTGAGTTAATTAAATGATATAAAAATTTATTTATTTAATTTGTCAAAAAAAGTATAAGGAATCATTTTTTTGTTTAAATTTTCAGTCAAATTAGACAATTTAAGTTAAATTTAAGATTTTTAATTAAGTTGATAAGAGTTTTATTCAAATTTATAACATAATATTTCCAAATTTTGATTCACAATTATTAAGTAATTGTTTTTACTCTCAATTAACTCTAAGATATCTAATACTCTGCTATTTTAACTAAGGTTTGATACTATTTAATTATTGAGTTAATCTATCACTATAATTTCATTTTAATTATCAACAGCCAAAATGAAATTTGGTTTTATTTTTTATAATATTCTTATTGAATACTTAAATTAGTATATTTATGTAATATTGCAATTCTAGTACTAAAAATAGTAAAGGATATTTTACTTAGTAGAAATGTAGATGTCAAGGGTTTGTTAATTTTTAATAATGAGATATTTTTGATATAAAGAATTCAAATTGCTTGTACAATCCTGCCTGTTATCTAAAATTTTTATTATTTGAGTATCAGATCTAGCAAGAGCAAAGCTTTCTTGTGTATTAACATATAACAGTTCAATCTAACTTTCATAATTTTCAAACTAAAATAAATATTATAATTAGCTATCCAACTTCATTAAAAATAGTATTTTATTTGTATCAATTATGAACAAAGAATTGGTGATTTAATCCCAATAAAAAGTTCCTTTCTATAATCTCTCCAAAACAACAGTAATATCATTGTTCAGAATGCTCAATTCTAATGTCATTATTGTATAAGGACTCCAAACAATTAACAAATTTCCTATTTTTATTCATTTAAAATGTAAATATTAGTTCAACTTAAATTATTTTTAGCTTTTTAAAAAAATCTTTTACTCAAATCAAATATATTTTTGGTTAAAAAGTTGTTATTTTAATTGAAAAAATGTAGATAGTTAAAATTTAATAATTATTTTATATATTACATTATTTAAATATTTTGTTATGTTTGTTAAGTAAAGTTTATTGACTGTAGTAATTAGTGTTTTTTATGAATTGTTTTATTAGAATATAGTAAAAATTAGCATGAATTTTAAATATTGAAAAAATAATTCTAATAAGATTTTAAGCTTTTTATTAATTTTATTACAATATTATCCCTATTTATTTTTATTCATTTAAAATGTAAATATTGGTTCAACTTAAATTATTTTTAGCTATTTTAAAAAATCTTTTACTCAAATCAAATATTTTTTTGGTTAAAAAGTCGTTATTTTAATTGAAAAAATGTAGATAGTTAAAATTTAATAATTATTTTATATCATACATTATTTAAATATGTTTGATTGAGTAAATATGTTGTTTTGTTTGTTAAGTAAAGCTTATTGACTATGATAATTAGTGTTTTTTATGAATTGTTTTATTAGATATTAGTAAAAATTAGCATGAATTTTAAATTTTGAAAAAATAATTCTAATATGATTTTAAGCTTTTAATGAATTTTATTACAAATATTTTTTTTATTTAAAAATAGTAAAAGAATAAATTTACTTTTATTGTCTAAGATTATTTTATAATTCGTGACAACTACCTGCTAGCTGTTTAGTATATCATTAAAATAAAATTTTTAAATTGGATCATAACCAATTTTGGTATTGATTATACATATTATTCCTAAATTATCAATAGTAAACAAATAGCCTGAATAACTGTCGTAAACAATATCTTAAATAAAGCTGAGGGAATACTAAGAATCTTGTGAAATAACTGCTAAAGGATTCCAAGCTGATATCGAAAAGACATATAGTTTTATTGATGCGATAATATCTGTCGAAACTGATAATTTATCTTCAAAAATACAAACAGTTAAGATTCTTCCACTAGTAAAGTACTAAAACGGTTTAATTTATTATTAGCTATTAACTGTTATTAATTCCTTAATATTGTATGAATATAGTACTGTTTCACTTTGTAAAATTAAAAACTTAGAGGTAAGATAGATTTTTACCCCGTTTTTGTTTTCAACATTCATTATTTTCATATAATACGCCTTATTTAAGTCTAAATAGTACAAAAAATTACTACCTAAAACAGCCAATTAAAAAAAATCTTCAGAAAATTCAAATGACAATATTTTTTTAATATTCAACTTGTAAGCCTTAATCTGATTCTCATCATTTAACCCATATAAACCTAACTAAATTTATAGCTAACTATATGAGGCATAAATAAAAAACTAGCGAATAGCAATGTACTTTACAATTTATAAATCTCCTTAAAATTTTTTGTAAATGAAATTTTATTTTAATGTAATGAAGCTAACCTCTTGCGTTATTTGATATTCAAACTAAATTATTTAATTATCTGAATAAAATATTATTATATTTTAAATATCATGTAAGCTAAGGTATTTTGAGATGCTAGGTCTATTATTTAAAAAGCTTTCTTAAATTTAAGCCATTTAAAACTACATTATCTGTTATGCAGCTACTGCATAAAGGGTTGAGTCACAAATAAAAAACATGATAACATCTTTTATTAATTGTATATCTTTTATTTTATAATTGCAAAAGAAATTAATTGTATTTTTGGTTGAAAAAACTAGCTTTTTCGCCAATAGGGAGTAAATTTAAATATGATTGTATTGATTTTCAACTAAGACTCCTTTGCTTTACCATAAAATGACGTTTTCTGTCAAATTATATTTTTCTTATCCTTTAATTACACTTGAAAGTGAAGTTTCATAATTCAGATCTACTTTGAATTTATATATCTCCCCTGAGGTATCGTTCAAATATCCATTCAACCTTTTTTTAATTAATAAAATTGATATTTAATAAAAAATTTAGAAATTTGAAATACTTGTTGCCAGCCTAATTTAAGCTTTTTATGTTATCTACCTCTAAATTTGGAAATTATTTATAAAATTTGTCGAATAAATTGCCACTTGATAGTTTTTAGTACACCAAAGCATATTAATCATCTTTAAAGCACAAATATGACACCATTTATGACAAGCGATCAAATTATATGTATTTAGGAGTCTATATTTTACCCATACAATTATAATTTTTTGTAATAGAATTAACTATGCTAATGCAAGATAAAGATTCTCCATATACGGGTTAAAGTAAACAGAATACATTCTGTTGATCTATAAAAGTAGGAATTTTACATAAATAAATTGTGGATTAAAATGCAAAAAATAACTATATTTCTAATTTTTCGTCAAGAGTCAAAATAAAATTATCATTCGAAGCTGCTGTTATGTATTCTAAATTTTTAAATTATAGTTAAAAATGAAGAAAAAATGCAATAAATTTTATTTACTTAATTGATAATCGACAGTATATTACGATATTCCGTTTTTTTCATTAAATATTTAGCTTGATAAGGAAGATTGCTACATATTTTTTTGGTCTATAGCAATTATTTGAAATTGATCTTCTCTTAATAAATAAATATACTTGTCTGAATCATTAAAAAAAACCAGATCAAAAATGACAATGTTTTCAAAATTTATTTTATCAAATTTTGAAACATTTCCGTTAGGAGAAATGTAAAATTTATATATATTGTTAGGATTATAAGCAATCATTTCTCCATCTATGTTATAACTTTGAAGTATCTAAACATTAATTGGATCACTTCCATCATACTCTTGCCAAAATACTTGGCTAAAAGTTTAATATTCATAAATATGCAGTTTTAAGTTAGGATTTATAGCAACTAAAAATTTATTTCCTTAGCTTTTTATAACTTTAAAGCAAATAACTTCAGCATCAAATACTTATGTTTAAATTTAAACTATTAATTTACTGTTTTCTAAATCAATGACACTTATCAATTCATTTGTTAAATCGTAGTATAATATGTAGTGGTCTTCTTAATCTTCGTAGAATTAAGTTATCTTTTTGCTTTAGGTAAACTGTTTATTAGATTCATTTTCCTTTATTTTTAATTAGATAATAACTAGTAAATAAAATAAATTAAACTTAATTGATTAAAAATAATAACTAAATTAAATCTAAAGAAATTGTTTTTGAACTAAGAAAAAATAAATAAAAATCTGATTTAAATACTTGATTGTAATTTTATATAAGATTGAGTGTTGAAAATCCATTGGAGCTGTTAAATTAGAGCAAAGCAATTGTATATTCCCCATAATATATGTAAAGTTATTGTGATGTTTGATACACAAAATCTAAGCTGTATGCAAGATTGCTAACAAAAGTTGCTGATGAGTAAGTTTTATTATCAATATTAACCTTATAAATTAGATGTTAACGACTAGAAAAAGTAACTATACATTCTAGTATATTATCTAAAAGTGAGTTAGATGTAATTTAGAATTTATAAAAGCCTTCTTCTTATTTTAGAACTATAATTAAATCAAATTAAGAAGTATTTAAATTTAATTCATAAATTTATATTTCTACTTAAAAGCCAGAAGTTTTATCAGTTTTCACTAGAGCGAGTATGTATCTCTCTTTCTAATTACTGTCTTTTAAAATTTTAAATTCGTAGCTTTAATAAAACAAATTTAGAGGTAAAAAACATCTGCTTTTGCTTACTAACTAAACTTCTTGATTTTACTTGCTAAAAACCAAATAAAGAGGTTCATAAATGGTACTATTACTAATTTATTAAATTGATGCATAATACAAATTTTAAAACTCAAACATTTAATCTGATTAACATGTTTAAATTTCATTTGATATCAAATTTAAGAATATTAAACTAAATTAATATAAATAATCGTCTTAGTTATCGGCGCTGTTGACGATTATGACTTCATTAAATTATTTGTTATAGCTAGCATATATTACATATTATACTTATAATATCTAGATAAATACAACTTTTTTATCTATGAAATTCCTTATTACAAAATTTTGTTAATCATTCTCTAAAAGATAAATGTATTAAAATTCCTATTCGAATTGTGAAAACAAAATTTATTCTTTATCAAAACAAATTTTATCTATCATTTTACCAGTAAACGCTTCATAAACCTTCAAACAATTCCAGTATTGTATTATTATGATCCCTAAAGTAGAATTATACAATTATTAAGGATAATAATCAGGTATGATAATATCATATATTTCAATAGATGTTTAGATTTTATTTATTTCTTCTTGAACGCTGTCTATTTTCCCTCTAAGTTATCCTTTATCCAAACTCAAAATGGTTATATAAAAATTTTCAGTGTATTGTATTGCGATTAGATTATACTTTTCTGAAATAATTACTATTTAGTGAAAATGATGATGATTTAAAAAATAGTAAAAATTAAAAATGATTTACAATTTTTAATCTTAGATGGAATTTATTAGCCTATTTTTCTCATAGAAGGGCATTAAAGAATTTAGTCACAAGATTTTGTTATAGGGTTAGATAATTAATCATCTTATGAGCAACTATTTGAACAACTTTGCATTTCATTGTCATAATATTATCCAACATCACAGTTACTGATGCATAAAGTATTTTTTTCGTTTAATTAGAAACCTTCATTGCATTAATTACAATAAGTTTATGTATCAAAAGGTTTGAAGTCATCATAGCAAGATTAGCAATTAGCTGGGCATTTCAAAGATAGAATAAGTTGAGTATTAAAATGCAAAATAAATAAAATAAAATAACAATATTTAGTCATTAAAGTTAAGATTTACAATTACTTTTAGATAATTTATTATTCTTCTTCTATTACAGATATATCTAATTACTCATTCCAAAAATTTGTTTAAGTATAATACAAAAGTAATTTGATTGTAATTATTAATGAATAAAAGCAAGCAGTTTAATCAACTGTTAAATTTTGCATGCATTTGGTTAAAAAATATATTTTTATTTATCTTTGAAAGCAAATTTATAATTAAAATTATATATTGTAAGTAAAATTTGTTTTAATCAGTATTAAAATACTTGAGTAATATTATAAAAAATGTGGAAAATCTTTATTTTATTAAAGAAAAATAAAATATATTTTAAATTAAGTATTCGGTAAATTAAATGGAGCTGTTTGCAGAAGAGGTAACATAGAATTTAATTTATTGATTAAATTTTAAATAAATATTCATTAGTAGAGCTTATAAAGTAATATGTATATTCCATAAGTCTTTAATAAAAATATGGTACTAAATGTTGGGGATTTATGTATGATAGATAGATTATGTACCATATCATAAATATATTTAATTGAAATTGCTTATTTTTGAAAAGACACTTTTATAAAATAATAGTAAAATTAAGAATTTATACAATGTTTTCATTTAACATTTATTTATTTATTTAATGTTTTATGAATAAACTCTATTTTCAAAATTAATAATATTTTAATTAAATAAATATTATTTTTTTTTAAATGAGTTAATTTTGGAAAATTTAAGTTAAAGAACTATCATTCATTATTTATTGAGTATTTTCTCTACGCTATAAAAAAAATAATTCTAAACACATAAAAATATTAATTTATTTATTCATTTTTGTTTTAAATCTTTTTTGGTGATATTCCATCTAAAGAGTAGGACGAAATTAATGAGCTAGTAAAAATTTTTTATTAAATTTAGTTTAAATCTAACACCTTTTTAGGCTCAAAAGTTCTTTAGAGAATATCTGTTCTTGATTAATTATCTTATTCTTCACTTTATTCTTTTTCATTAAACATTTATTTATTTATTTATTTATTTATTTATTTATTTAATGTTTTACAAATAAACTCTATTTTCAATTTAATTAAATATTATTTTTTTTAAATGAGTTAATTTTGGAAAATTTAAGTTAAAGAACTATCTATCATTCATTATTTATTGAGTATTTTCTATAAGCTATAAAAAATTAATTCTAAACATATAAAAATATTAATTTATTTATTCATTTTTGTTTTAAATCTTTTTTTGGTGATATTCCTTCTAAAGAGTAGGACGAAATTGATGAGTTAGTAAAAATTTTTTATTAAATTTAGTTTAAATCTAACACCTTCTTAGGCTCAAAAGTTCTTTAGAGAATATCTGTTCTTGATTAATTATCTTATTCTTCACTTTATTCTTTGTAATTTTATTTGTTAGGGCTTTATATTGAATTCGAATTTGAAACAAAATCAGAATACAAAAATACTTCTTATTATGAGCCTTTGTTTTAGATTTTAGACTCCGAAATAAGCTATGGAACATTCTTTTTATTAATGTCTATATGCAAAGGAGAGTCCTCTTATTTGGCTATTGAGATATTTACTTTGCTAAAATTAATTGATTTAGGTCTGTTTTCTTCTGTTACCAAGAACCTCCTTGATTGAAATGAGCATATTTTTTAAATTGACTTTTTTATAAACATCCATTTTTTAAATATGGGCATTTTATTTTATTCTTAATACTTATCTGCCTTAAGTATTATTTTAAGAATGCTAAATCTACTTTTAAGCTTAAATAATAGCGGCATTATTTTGTCTTTCAAAGATAGCACATACCAAGTTCTCAAGAATATTTAAAACATATAAAGTAGGTATCCGAAATAGAGTATAAAAATGAATGTCTAAATAATCTATTTAATAACTTTACTTTTTTCATCATCATAGTCTTATTAAATCTCTATGAATTCTAAATTTAATATAATAATTAAAATTAAAACAACATTAGCGATGATATCTAATTTCCAAACTCGATGTTCTCTATAAGGTGATCTTTTGTAAATCCATATGAGATACAAAATAAGCAAAAGCATGCTAAAATGGTTGATAGTGAAATAAATTGTTTGTCCTATTGTTAAGGCGATAGTAATACATATTCGGAAACTCATTCTAACAAATTCCCAGTAGAAGCTCTTTTCATTGAACTCTTGATAAAACACTCCATATTAAAAGAGTTGTTTAAATTAATTCAAATCTTTTTTTTATAATTTAATCTGGAATAAATAATAGAGAGGTATTCCAAACCAGACAATTAAACTTGGAAGTATTATGAAATATATTTACTATAAATGATCACTAGTAAAACATACTTGCTTCATATCAGTTAAAATGTACCAATTATTTCCAATATTGCGGCAGGATAATGAAATAAATAGATTAAGTATTATATTTGGTTACATCAGCAGAGATATTATCTAAAATAAGTTATACAAAAAATTTCTTATACGTTTTATCAGCTTTAAACTCAGCAACAAATAGTAAATAATGCTTAAAATAAATTGATAGACAAAAGGAGTCAAAACAACCATTAAGATCCTATAGTTATTAAAGCTATAGTCATATTAATCTTTTTCTTTAAAGAAAACATTTAAATACATACATTATAATCTTTCCATAACAAATTAAGGCTGTTTTCCAATAACCATCTCAAAAGGCATGAATTTCAAAGGAAATTAATAAATTTAATTAACAACTGAAAATATCTAAATAAAATAAGCCATTATCTTAACCAATTCAAAATTAACTTTTATTTCACAGCTCTTTGAAATGCTAAGAATTTCCATTCTTCTCATATAATATCCTATCTGCACATATTTAAATTACTTGTTTAAAACATAAGTTTACAAAACAAGAAAGATCAATGTTAAAAAAAATGTAATCCCTAGATTTATTTTGAATTCTAATTATTTTTCTCTATCACATTCCTAACATTTATACATCCCCAATTTAACATACCTTTTTATATTATTAAAATATTTATCAATATCTTTAAGTTAAAAAGTAGAAAATGTTACCAGTTATTTTGAAGATTTTTTTCTCCTTCGCAAGACTCACACAAAGGACCAGTATAGCCTTCATTGCAAATTTTTGTTTAGTTAAAATTTTAGGCTAAGCAATTATTATTTTTACATTAATATATGGCATCATCATTTATATCCTATCTCCAAAAACCATTTTTTAAATAAATCTAATTCCTAAAGCAACTCAAAGCCTATAAAGGACAAGGGAGGCATTTAGCATCTTTTTACTGTCCGTTTTCCGCTGTTCCAGTGCGAATTTGAGGATTTTGTAGTGAATAGGAACCTTATTCACATGGAATGCATTGATAATGTTTTAACTGATTTTAGCTGAGAATCTCTCCTTTTTAACAAAAACGGAAGTATATTGCAAATTAAATTTCGCTAATAGGTTCTTATTATTCTAAAGACAGATCATAAATATTTATTTAAAAATTAATTTGATCATCTTTTGGCATATTTTATTAATAATAATTCATTTAATCTTAACTGAGAAGCTGTTTCATGTTAAATTAAATATTTTCTAGGAAGAAACCATTTTGAATAGACGAATAAGAAAGTAAATTTTTCATAAAATTGGAATTCACATCTAAAATTTTCTCATCCTTTTTTGTTTAAATTTGAATTGTGAGTTTTTATAATTCTTCTTGTATAATTTAGGGGTATTAAGAAATTTAGCTATTTAGTTAAAACAAATTCTATTCTTCATCTTATAAGACTAATAAAAAAGATAAAAGAGCTCCAGGTCTTAGAAATTATATTACATGTATTTATTCATTCTAAATTTAATAGTCATAATCAACTCCTCTCTCTTCTTATTAATAATCAAAAAAATTATCCTTAAGTTTTAGCTTAAACTTTTAAAAATTAGCTATTGTATTACCAGCTATTTCTGCTTTATTATCTAAAAATAATGTATTTTATTAGTCATTTTATATATTAGAAGCTGCCGTTAATCTAATAGCTCCTCCTATTAGCGCCTAATTAGATTTAAATAATACTTTAATATTAAGAGTAACAATAGAATCCTTCAAATATAGAGCTCCTCCACATGCTAAAGCCCTATTAAAAGTGAAATTAGAATGAGATATTTATACATCTGATGAATCTTATATGTACAAGCATCCTCCTTCTAAAGATGTGTTGTTATAAAAATTAGTATCAAAAATATATGATGTTAGTGCCTCAGCAATATTGATAATACCTTTACCAAAAGGAGATATATTAGACTAAACATCTAAAGACATTATATAAGGTTGAATAGATTTTAAAAAAACCAAAGAGTTAATATCTATTAAATTACTTTAATCTTCAATTTCAAAAATATTATTAAATAAAGTTAAGTTTTATAAAATAATTTAATCCTATTTAAGTTCTATTTGTTATTATTCAGTTTGATATTGATTTGAGTAGAATAATAACTAGACTTATCTATTATTTGTGAAATTCAAAGATTATATCTAACAATCAGAAACCTTTTAAATTATTATTAGACATGGAAGTTTAAATCTTCCACTGTTTAAAAGGTCATTTTCTTTTTGTGAATTTTTATTATCGTATAAAGTCAAATTCACTATTTTAATATTTTGCTATGTATTAGCAAGATAAAATAAAGAAGAGGAATACCCAATTTCGTTTTAAAATATTTTAGCATTTTTAATTTACAAATTTACAGAGTTCTCAACAAAAAATAAATAAGAATCATCCAAAATGCACTCTTTTATAACTAGATTTTCTATTATAACTGTTTCAACCTAATTTATTTTAAAATAATTGATTTTATTAATATTTGATTTATAAAGATAAAGATAAATTTATTAGGTCATTTAAATTTTTTCTGAATATTTTAATTTATTTAAATCAGCAATAAATTATCATAAAAATTCCTTTTTAAATTATTATTTATTGTGATATTTATTTTTTAAATTAAATTAATAATTTTTTGTTTTTTAAAAACTTTAACAAAAATTTTAAAAAATTTAATTTGGAATTCAATAAAAAAATGAAAGGAATTTTAAATAATATATCAAACAAATAAAATAAGATATGAATATTTATTAATTAATCAATTTACGTTTAAGATGTAGAATAATATTGAGCTTTTTAAATTAATATTATTCAAGACTAAACTTTTAATGATAGCTTTTTATGAACCTTTAATTTAATAAATTGTTTTTAATAAGGTTTGATTTCTTAAAAGAATATTTTATAAAACAATAGATTCTAAGCTTTAATTTATGAAGCTGGTTATATATTCTTATTAAAAAATAAGCTAATTCTACTTTTAGAATTAATTTGGAGTATAGGAATAGCTTGGTTTTAATGGTAGTTGTAAGGCTTAATCGATTCTAGTTAAATTAAGATAAATATTTATCAAGCTTAGTTGCTTTAAATTCTCAATATTCTGAAGTTCAAATAGTTATAGGCTCTTAAAATTGAAGTTTTCAATTAGTGTTGGGTCAAACCCATTTTGTATGGATCCTAGTTCATCTTGAATGGTTATTTCCTTTTAATGTAATCTAATTCCTAGAAGAAAATCCTATAAACCTAGATTAGAGAAGAAAAATTAGTAATTAAAAAAGCAATTTATATAAACAAATTTAGGTATTGGCTTGATAAGAGATAGAGATGCTTCTATATTATCCATTTGATATTTTAATTGATATTAGTCGTCTAAAACAATATCTTAATAACAGCGATAGTGATCATTCTAAACTTTTGAGCTGAAACGCCTAGAATATATTTAAGTATCATCACGACTTATTAGCTATATTTAAAAATTTTTTGACATTAAATTATAATATAAAATCTCTTCATCATGTGTCTAGAAACTTTAAAGGAGCCCAACCTAAATTGTCTGATCTTTTCCATAAATAAATGTATAAACGCTTATTTAATAATTAGAGTTAAATATTATAAATTAAGGAGATATTTCAATAACTGACTATATTGTTTCACCGATACTTTCATTGGTATAAATTGACATCAAGTATTTCATGTCATATTTAAAGTGAAGATTAAATTAGTATAAACATGTCAAAAATATAAAAGATTTAGTAATCTTAAAATTAAAATTTGGGCATGGAGGAATCAACAGGCTATTTATACTTACTTTTAATTTATAGTCATAACAAAAGATTTATCTTTTATTTGTTTGTATGAAAAATACTCTACTCTGATCGTTCTCAAAGTATAACTATAGTTTTCCTTTTGCAAAAGGAAAAGGATAAGGAAATACGTAAGTCAAGATGACATTATAAGACTGTTGAGAAACATAAAATACTTGCATACTATATTAAGAATTGACAGTAAAGAAAATATCTTAAATTGATTAGCAGTAAATTTCTATTAATTAACTTTATTCTTCAATCTGAATTTCAGAAATTATTTTTAAACTTTTTTTATCAAAAATAATAATTGTGCTCTAATAGTCAGAAGCAACTACATAGTTTGGTAGAACACATTAAATTTTGTTCTAGTCTTACTTAAATTAGTAGATTTCTTCAGCTTAAAAAGATGAATTCAAAAAAAAAATCTTTCTGTCTAAAGTGAATATAAGCAATCCTTAAAATTATTATTATTATTAATTATTATTAGCTAAAATTAACACGTTTTTATAAACTTTTTGAGCTAATATTTCATATTTATATGCAATTGATCCTTCTTTTACAACAAATATGTTTCCTCCTTATTATATTATCATCGTTTAACTAATATCAACATATATTATATTTGCTTATTCCTATAAATAACCAAAAGAATAAACATATTTCAAATTATCTGAAATAAAAGAAAGCTTCCAAAGTATATTTGCTTCATCAAAAAGGTAAATATAATTGGTTTAGTTTGATAAATATACTGACGTTTTTATTCTTCCAACAATGTTCATCGGAATTTCTATAAAATTAGTAATAGAAACCAATCCAATGTAATATTTATTCCATATTATAAACTAGTTTGCTATATTTAATAAATATTCAAACAAAAATAAATTAATTAATTTATCTATCTAATTCTCTATTTTAAATGAAATTAAAAAAATATTTTTATTTCTATTCTCTTTCTTCAACATCCTTTCAATTAATGGATTTATTCAAGCCAATATTATTGTTTTTTTAAGTAAGATTAATTGCTCTGAAGAGTAAATATTAAAAAATAAATAAGCTTTTCTTACTGCTTTAGATAAAAAATTTTATGAATTTTCAAGTTTAATTATTAATTTTGAAAAGTAAATTTAAATTTATTTTTGTAAAAAGCATTTAAAAAACAAAATTTACATTCAACGAAAAAGTATAGTTAGGTTTTTACAGACTAATCTTGATATTAAAGCTGTAAAGAATACTTTGTGCTAATCTGATACGATTATAGAAAGCCAAAGGTTGCCTCGATTCCTAATATAAAACCCTTTTGGGTACAAATATATAATATCTTAGACTTGACATCATATTAAAGTTAAGATGCAAAATCATTACTTGTTTAGAGCGGTATTGATTAAATAATTTATCCTGTTTAATCATAAATATAAATTTAAGTTTGTTAATTTAATTTAACAGCAACTACTATCAACCATTTGCTGATATCCTAAAAGTCAGGAATAGTTAAGAATGTTTAAATTAAATTATTTTTGATCGTTACTTGAGGGCTGATTATATTAGACTGATAATTCAAAAAAGATTGGATAATATCAGCTATTGTAAAAATTAATATCTTTTTCGAGTTTCTTAATATAAGAACTTAAGATAAAATTTGGTATTACTCTACACCTTACATCATAATTTGTTAATAGTTAAATTCATTTTGATTGTCAAGGTTAATTACATAAATTATTTTATTCATAATTATTATTAAAAATTTTGTTTCGCTATTTAAGATAAAAAGATTTGATTATTAATCTAATTTCTGAACATCTCCAATTAAACTGTTTTAATTTATAGGAGTTTCTTGTAAAAGCATAAATCTGTAAATGTAATAGCTTATTTTACTTTAAACTACACAAAAGATAGTTTAGAGATTTGGTTCATACATAAAGCTTATAATATTGGTCTCTTAAATAGTATACTAAAAATATTCTTCGAAAGTGTATTAATCAATGGGTGCTTCTTCTAAATAAAAAATGTAGAGGTAGAGAGATTGATCCTATGATTAAATTATCATCTTTTATTCTTTTTATATATATAAGTAGCTCGCTATACCTTCTAAATTACTTTTAAGTTAATATATTTTGTATTATTTCACACTTATTAGCCTAAGTTAATATAACTAAAAATCGCATATAAAAAGAAGGAAATCATCATCTACCCAATAGCTTAAAGTATTTGTTAGTAAGTTTTGGCACTATTCTAATTCATCTTAAGAATTATAAATTATTTCGTTTGTACTCAATGTGTATATGATAAAACCATTGCTTTTTACTTCTATTAATTAATTTCTTTCATTTAAAATAATAACATTTTAAATTGTTTTATTATCATTAACCTCTATTTATTTTATTACATACTCAAATTATTAATCAAAGTGCAATGCTTCCACATCAAATCCTCTATTCTGAGCAAAAAACATTCTTTTTATGTTTCAAAAGTGAAATAATTAAAATCTTATTAAGCTAATTGAAAGATAACTTAAATAAATGAAAGAGAGAGGAGAGGAAAGGGAGGGAGTGTTAAGTTATTTAAATATTTTATTTTTTTTAAGTTTAGTTTATTTATCAAAAAAGGTTTTAATTTCTGTAATCTCCTATAAAACCTCCATCCACTCTTAAACATTATTGAAATGAGAAAAATTTAAAAGTAATAAATTAAATTATGAATTTTTAATATTAAAAATAAATACCTGTCGGATCCTTAACTGTAATAGTGTTGATAAATATCTTGGGTTAGAATGTATGTGTTAGAGTATTAATAAATATTTTAGTTTGCATAAATTTTTATAGAAAGCAAATTTACATTGTCTAAATTGGTATAATACAAAAGCTATTTACTTTTATCGTCAAAAAAATATTTACTATCTTCAAAATATGATCCAAATAAATTAATTTATGCGTTATTTTTAATTAAACCGATGAAATTATTCTATTTATTTGACTAGTTAACATTTGTTATTTAAATATTGCAAATGATAGAAATTTCATCAATTTATCTAGGATTAAAGCACCTTATATTTTTATCTGCTAAATTCAAGACAAAAACTTTAACTAGATCAGTATTGAAAATAATTATTTCGTTTGTAAAACAACTAATTCCTATTTACTCTAAAAAATTAAATTAATATTTTACTTTAAAAATTAATTTTTACATTTTTGATAATCAATATTGTAGCTCATAATAGTGGTTTTTTATGTGTGCTTGTATTATGTTCTATTAGCATATAATTCGAGAGTGTCAGAGTTTATTTGAAGTATTGAAAGTTCTTAAAAAGTTAATACATACAAAATTTTAGGATAATTCTAATTATCAGCAAAATAAATAATATCTTTAATAATAATTTAATTGAAATTTTCATTCACTATTTAGTTTATGATTTTTCCATTGTTTGAAATATTCAACCTTATAATTATCCTGCTTGAAAAGACAATCAAAGCTCCATTATCTATAAAATTTTATAGAAAAGCAAAATCTAACAAACCATTTTCATCAGCATTGTAAAAAGTATAGTTACTTACAAGTTAAAATGATATATAATCATAAATATAAATTTGTTAATTATCACACAAGATATTAATAAATTGGAGATTTTAGATTTAGCTAATCACGAAATCAATCGGAAAACAGTTGCTACTTTCTTAAAAAATTATTTTACCAACAATTTCTTGTTTTTTGAGGTCTACTATTCTGATCTCTTTGAGAATGTTGTTCAAATAGACAAATTAATTGTTACTAGTATCTTCATACATTTTATTTATTTTATGAATTTTTAACTATTCATAGTTGATTAAGTGAACCTAATTGTAGTTTCTTATTTCAAATTTAATATTAAGTGAAAGCTCCAATTAAGAAATACTTTTAATCTATAAAAAAATTAACAACTAAGAATTATAAAACACTAGTTCTTTTTCCTCCCAAGAGCCTGTGAAAAATAATGTTGAGTTTATTATTGGAAATTATTGATTGATTGGATATGTATTTAGAAGAGATCTCCCAATCAAATCAATTTCATAAATTATGATTTTCGTTTGGAAATCGTTTATACAAAATAGCCTCACAATGTTTTAATCTTCGATATGGCTATTGAGCACTCTAACACTATAAATATTAATTTCAGGAATTATTTCTATAACTCTTAAAAAAGTGTTATTCTAAAATAAATTCAAAGTTAAGCTGGTTTACAGTGAATCTGACTTTTATTGTACTAATGCCAGATTTAAATTTATTTAATTATCTCTCTTCAATTTTATTATATCTAACTTTACATTATTTATTGCTTGTTCAAATGGAAATTAAACATTTATTACTTTTGAGAATAAGGGTATTTCTATTAACTAGATTGAATTGTTCAATGAATTAACCAAATAGGGAATATGGTTAGATAAAATTAAATATAGATTTTAGTCCACAACAATTAGTTAGCTTATGAATTCAATTATTCCTATATCTATTTACTTATTCACAACTCCAATAAAAAAACTCTAATCTAAAAAAAAGACTTATAATTGTAATTTATTAGTTTAATCACTATAACCAAAGCATGCAAGCTCATTCGAATATTAATTATAAATTTACTAAACAGCTGAAGAAGATACTGCAAATCCTAAAAATGAGGTCTACTAATTATTTAATTTCTATAAAAATATTTCAAAAGTTGAAGGATTTAATAAGAAGATATATTGCTTATCTTAGTAAAAGTAGTGAGTAAATACATTAGCATCAAAGCTATTATATTATTAAATTAAGCTACCAACTCTAGTATCCCAAAAATAAATATTTTTTTGTGAAATTCCAATTAAAATGTCTTTATCTTTGATTGATCCCTCAAGCAAAAGCTTATCTCCAAAGAAAAATTTAGTTAATTTACCATTCTAAGAGGCAGTGGAATCTGAAGGATCAATGCTTATCTATATTTCTCCTATGTATTCCCCGTTATCTAACTTCCAAAGCTTAAAATAGTTATTGCTTTCGAAGTATGCTGCTAATAAGTTCTACTTTTTCGAAAATTTAACTATTTAAGTAAAATTTTGGTCAAAATTATTTTAATAAAATGAGTTATTTTAATTAAATTAAATTTTTAGTCATAAATTTTATTATTTACTACTGTAAGCTTCTAAGTCACCTTAAAAATTGAAACCATATTGATTAACATTTGGGCAGATGTTCATCATAATGCAACTCTTTGTTTTTTGGTCGGTGTAATAAGATTTAAAATCACAGGATGGTACACAATCATAAGTTTTTATCTATGGAAGTTAAGGGATAGTAAAATCGTTTAAAAAAATGTAATCAAGCAAATCTAAATAATATCTATCATCCTCGCAATTGCTGTAACAATAAGTTTAATCTTTGCTCAACTTATAATTTTAGTTGCATTCTAAGCATATTAACATTTTGTTATCCAAATTTCCTGAGTACTAGCATTTTTTACATTAAAATGGGCACTCTAAGGAAGAAGCTATTTTTTCAAAAAACATCAATATGACTACATATTGTAAAAAAACTCTAAAAGTCATTTATTTTATTTAAATGTCCTACCTATTCTGTAATAGTTTACAACAATATTTAATTGATTATGTTTTCAACTCAAATTATCAAATATAAAAGAAAATTAATTCTTATCTAATTTAGACTATGTTATGTATGATTATCAAATAGAAAATACTTTTTGAATCTACTATTACTGAATAATTTTCTTTTTATAAATTTTATGGTTTAATGAGACAAACTGCTTTGAGCAAAAAATAGTAAAAGCACAAGCTAAATTAATTTCAATTACTTAACAAGCTTTAAAAAAATAAAGTTTTTTAATTAAAATAACTAAAAGTTGAACAATAATAATTTTATTTAAACTTTTAACTATTCTCATTTTATATTTTCTTTTATCTAAGTTTTATTTTAAAATATGACAGATATGTGCCAATAATATCAATACAAATAAGTATCATTTAACTAACATAATGCTGTTTATAAGATATTATGTTAGTTGTTAGTTATAAGATTTAAATTAAAAGAAAATTTTAAATTCTAAATATAATTACTTAATTTTCCTTAATTTTTAGCACAGTAAAAAATAAAAATAAAAATACAAATTTTAATTAATTTATTTATTTACTTATTTATTAATTTAATTCATAGTTAATTTATTGAATAAGCATAGCTTGAGTCTATTTTAATTTTTAAAGCAGTATTTCTAATCATTTTATGTTTACTTAACTAAGAAAAATCTCTGTAGTTACTTGATTCTGAAATTGAGGTTTAATCTTCTTATTTATTAGAACTTGTCTCACCAAAAACCTTAGATGCCAAGTGCTTTGCCTTAGACTCATAAAAAGGATTGATGCAATCTTCTTCTGTAACGAAATTATCAATTTATTATACTATTTACTTTTCTGTTTGTGGTTCTGGATTTACTTAATATGAATTTTTCTAGGCAATTTAGTTAAATTAAAAGGGTTTAAATTAAATGCTTTTATTAAAAGGCTAATCAAAATTTTATTTAAAATATGATAATAAATTTATATCTATCATAGAAATTAACTTTTTATCAATATCTGAATTAATATTTGAAGATTAGTTTATTATTTTGTTAAAAGCTTCATGAGCTTCCTTAGCTTTTTCTTCAGACGTCTTTTGAGGCATAAAAAGTAGACTGGATTAATTATTAACTTAGGTACTTTGATTACTCAATTAATCTAGTTTAATTTCTTACTAATCATTTTCTTAAGATACTTATAAAGTTACTTTATTTAATGAAGCAAGTTTATTATTTTTTAACATGCTTTGATCTTCTGCTTTCGGCAATTTTAGTGTTGGTTTAGGAAGATAATCAAATAATTTAATTTAATCCTCGTTAAGCAGCAAATGCTTTAGCTTTTCTAACTCTATGAGTTTATTGACTATATTAAAAATATCTATGTGACTGTATAAAATGTCTGTCCCATATTTAATCATGAGAGATTTGTTGGATTTTTTGCTGCAAAAAAAGTTAAAATAAGTCATTATATAATCTCTTAATTTGAGCTTTACTTAGGAAAATGATTAAGAAAAAATTTTGAAAATTCGATCTTAACTTTGATATGCTGTTTCTGATTATAATTTTTGGGAGTTTTTAGCATGTTCAGGATCAATATGCGTATCTTATTTGTTGCTGTAATTTTGATTACTTTATTATATTTAATTATTCTTTATTTAAAAATCAGATTTGTCTTTACTTTTTTTTTTTGAATCCTTTTTTGTTTCTATCAGATCAATTACGGATTAATCTATATTAAAAGCTGAATTTATAATTTTCCTATTCAACTCTAATTAAGAAATTGGCCAACACAATAGACATCCTATTCCAACTAAAACATTAAAAGTACCTCCTAACTAAGAAAAAAGCATGACTAATTTAGGATATTACCTATAATAAACTATTTCTTTATTCTTTTCATAATCAATATAAAAGTTAAAGAGAAGTGGCGAGCTTCTATCTAGAATCTACTCCGTATCATCGTAGTAAGAAACTATTCGGTCTATTCTATTATTTTGTGCAATTAAACCGTCATCTGTGTGAACATAATTATTTACCAAATTATAACGTATTTCCTTTTAAAAGCTCAATCCAGACACCCAAAATAAGTTTTTTCCTACAGAAACATAAGGTTTACCATTATTTGTAATTTAAATAATATTATCAATTGTGTAAATCCCAAGTCTTGGACTGAATAAAATTTTTTATCTTTACATAGTATCAAGACATTAATTGCCTGTACATTCAGATATTTATATATTAAATTATGTAAAATTCAAAGCTGAAAACTCACCTTCAATATATATTTATGTTTCATTTAATGCAAAGCAATAGAGCTAATCAATAGGAAGTTTTATAAAGTAATCTTAAGTCCCATCAACTTAAAAGTGTTCTAGAGTACACCTAACTAATGAAACATCTCTTTAACTTATAACAAGATCATATTTCCCAGTTAGATTATTCAACACTCTTCTATTTATTTACAAAGTAGACTTTACTTTATAGACCCTTTCGTCTATGAAATTGTTGCCAAAAGAGTCTTAAAGTCCAAATGCAAAAGAAAAAAGCTTTGGAGTAAAATAAAAAGGCTCTGGTTGAAATACATAGTTTTACTGTTATATAACTGAACTAGGCTAATTCTAAAAAAAAATAACCTGAAAGAATTATACTATTTAGTACATGATTACAAAAACAATCAACAGTGTAACAAACCCTCCAAAATGAGTTTTATGATTTTTCTGTGAAAATATTCTAAACGTAACTGCTAAACCAAATATGTCAATGCCCTAAAGTAAATTTTTAACACAATTAAAGCTCAGATATTTGCACATTGTCTTTCTCGAACTTAAGTATACTTTTTTTATAATTTAGATTCTAATTGTTTTCTTGAAATACAAATTTTAAATTAAAAAATTTTGTTTTGCTTACTTATTTATTTATTTTGCAGTTTTTATTTGACTGTTTCTAATTAAATTTTTGACGGATTTAATAGTAAGTAACAAACGTCGTATTTGATTAGCATATTTTTGTAAAATTAATATAACTTTGTAAATATGCACCTTAAATTCATCAACCACAAAAGTTTTTTCCTTAAATCTTTCTTCTACATTTGTTTCAATCTATGATATAAATTTTAAAATTGAGTTAAATTTCTTGTTTATTTTTTATTAAATTTTATAAAATTCACTATTATAATAAACATATAATAAGATTATACTTCTTTGGCGATTATGACCTAAATAAAAAAATTATTTTATTTAAGGATTAGTTTTGCTTTTTTTTTAAAGTTTCTAAGAAAGCTTCAATTAAACTTCTGAACACAATAAATAAATTTTGTTTAACCATTAAAAAAAAACTTAATTAAATTTCATTTAGTAAATTTATTTCTGTATTTGTAAATATCTTAATAAATTCTTTGTGAGCTTGAATTTATAATCATCAATAAAAATAAATAAATTAAAATATTATTTTAAAAGTTATTACCACTTTAAGGTTATATTTTTTTTGGAAAACTGTTTACAATTTTATCAAAAAAATATGATTTTAAATTTTTTGTTATCAAAAATAATTAATCAAATTTCAATATTTTAAAAATTTGAATTTTTAGTGAAAGGAGAATTCAGAATAGGCTCAATTCATAAATTTATAATTACTAAATTAAAGTTTAATAATCTTAATTTTATGCTACCACTTTTATTTAATGATCGTTAAATTAATTATATAATAAAATTAAAAGTATAATTTTTAAAAATATTTATATCTTCATCATTTTTTAAATCAAATACTAATTAATTGTGAAGATTGTTTGGTTTATCAACAATGAAAGCTTTTAAAGATATCTATCTATTAGAGTTATAAAACTATGAAATATCTTTGAATATAAAGATATTTATTTATTAAGTGTGCAAGAAAAATAAAAGTATTTTATTAGTATTTGTAATGAAAGTATTGTGAAGTTTATTAAAATACCAAAAAAAACTACTAAAAACAAACAGTATTTATTAAATAAGAATTGAAGAAAAAAAGAAATTAATATTTTAATTAAATTGAAAAGTTGAATATCCTTTAAAAACAAAATTAAAGAAAAAGATAACACATAATAAAACTAAAGATCAAAGAAGGCGAGTAAAACCGCATAAAAACAAACAAACATTTGAATTATTCAATTTATATTTGAATGAATAAGTTTTCAAACAATAATATTCATAGTTAACATATAAATGTGGAATTAAATTTAGATCAAACATTTGATAATAACATCAATCAAAGGATTCTTTATGAAACAGACTATGAGCAGTAAAGCTATAGAAGTAATTTAGAAGTTATAAACAATATCATCAATGGTTAAAACAATCAATAATTATTGGTAACATTTAAAATTTATTAATTTATTTGAATAAGTGATTTATTTTAGCTTAAAAAATACCTCAAATTGTATTTAATAAAATTAATTTTCCACTCCATTTTTATTTAACTCAATTCAAATAATTATATTATAAATTATTTAGTAGAACAAATCAGGTTAAAATATAAATATTGAAATGCAAAAGCATCCATAGAGTGTAATACTGTAATAAGATGGTACAGTGCAAACAATTAATCTAAAAAATGGTGTAAAAGCTACATTAAAGAAAAATAATAATAAAGGAAGAAAATCTAAAGATACAGCAAATTAGCAAAGTTAAATTACAACAATTAGTGGTGCTGATTAAAAAGAAGAAAAAAATATTAAATTTAATGCTTATGAGTAGTAGAAGGCATTAAAAAAAAAATTCAGATTAAAGTAGTTAGAAATGCTGAGCTATGAAGACTCATAAAATTAGTAAAAAAATTCTACATCTTTTATTAAGAATCTGCTTAAAAATAATCTGTATCTAAGAAAATCATGGAGAATATTTTTGCTCATACTTTTTGTAATAATAATGTTAATATTTGCTTTAATATGTTATTATTCTTTTGCATTTATAAGAGATTCTCTTAGATTAGGAAATGGCGAATAAGTGGTTTTGAATTTAGAAAGCTGCTCTTTAATGATTTATGATTACTCTTTGAACGGCTAGTATACTTTAGACGTTAATTATCTATCTGCAGGTCATTCTATACCTTCTTCATTAGATTCGGATGAGAATATCTATTTGCAATATATATACCCTGATGCCTCTCTCTACGGCGAGCGTAGCACTTATTCTTATGTAAATTAAGTTTTTGAAAAAATATAAATAACTTTTAAATTTTGTTTTAGTTGGTTTCATTAAAACAAACAAACAAACAAACAAAAAACAAAGAATTAATAAACAAATACAAATTAATAAATTACTTTTATTTTGTTATTAATTTCAAGTTAATTTTATATAAATTTTTATTTCTATTATAAATATAGAGTGAAAATAATGGAGTTAAGACATTCAATTTTAATAATAAATTAAATAGTTATGAATGTGAAATTGTTCTACTTGTTTATAAGCCTACTTAATTTTAATCATTGAATATTAATTGTGGAGATTCTAATTAATGTAATATTGTCATTTATTCTACATAACTAAGTACAAATACTATGAACATTAAAGGCGTAAATGTTTAAATGAATGCTCCGTATCTAACAGTAAATGTAAAAAAAACATAAACTAAAATAAAATAACATGACTCATAATTATTTTTATTGATTACTTCATTAGGTTTTTAATTACTTCAGTATGAAAGGATCTATTGAAATACCCTTTTTTGTTTTTTAAACTGCTAATATAAATACAAGAGAGGGAGATATTTCTATATAATCTACTAGTGATATCAATCTTACATACACTCAAAAAGATCCCTACAACTGTTTATCATCTAAATAAATAACTGATACTACAAATAATATTTTAAATTTAAAATCATATCAGAGTAGCATTAAATTTTAATCTGATGTAGCATAATGCCAAGCAGGTAAATACTTTTTTAAAAAATAAAAATAATTATTTTTCTCTAGATTCACATTTAATAATTCAAATTTAATAAAGTTTATCCGTGGGGTCTACCTCAAGATTAATAAAACGCAGATAATGTAATTGAATATAGATGTTATAGCAATCAAGTTTTTTTGAAGAACGCAGGTTTGGGAACTTCTACATTAACGGCTTCAAATTCTTATGGAAATATATTTGTAAATGTTATTTCTGCCTAAGGGAAGTATGTATAGGCTTCTTCTCAAAATTACTAAGTTCTATTTAACAAAGCTAGCAAAACTGATAATTAAGATAACAATAAAAACATTGACTATATTAACATTTCTAATCTGGGTTAAGCTAATTTACTAAATTAGACCAAAGAGGCATCAAATCCTAAAATTTATGATCCAATATTTGTTTTTGAAATAGGTCCTAAATTCACAAGATCAGCTACATTCTAATAAATTTAAGTAAAATAAAATGATTTTTTAAATATTGCTTAATTTTATTTCATTTTTTTATTACGATTTGAAAAAGCTTTTAATTAAAATATTTTTATTTAAAAAATGAATAGTTTACTTATAATTCAGCATATACTTACATGAAACCATACTGGCTAGGAGAACTAACTTTGACTTTGATGACAACACAAAAATATACTGGTTAGTATACTTTATCTCCTGGTTTCTGTCCATATGTTCCAGCGCTTTCATTAGACAAAATTTATAAAACACAAAATTTGTTAAGCAATTTTATGCAATCAAATTCAGCACCTCAATATTCCCTAATAACAAATGCTTGGTAGCCATATGTTCATTATCCACCTTAAAGATTTGAATAGAATGATATTTATAATGGATTCAGGGATATTAATTTAAACAGGAATCTTGATGAGAAATGGATAGGGGTCGATGTTGATTAATCTAAAATTTACAATGTTAAAAACTACGATTTTTCTTATAACAGTAAAATAAGCATTCAAATATTTTATTTAATTTTTTTCACAAAATTTAGGTTAATTGTGTGCTGCTATTATTGTAAGCTGCGTTCTTTCAGGTATTTTAGGTATTATCTTGCTAGTTTTTCTAATGTTCGTTATCAATAAAAATTATATCTGGGTTCTTAATCACATAGAGAGCACACATAAATATGCACAATTAGAAAAAGGAGGAGCAGGAGAAATAGATGAATCCACTTTAGATATTCATAAGAGGCGTTTTTATCTTGAATACAAGGTTAACTAATTTTTTATTATAAATGGACAATTTTATTTGAAAATACTCTAAAATTTAGGAAGAATAGTAAAAAATAATTGAAGAATAAAATAAAAAAGTATCAGGTGAACATCCAGAAAGTATGGAATAAGGTTATGTACCTAAATATAACATTAGTAGCATTTTTAGTTAGTTTAATTAACTTATCCATATGTCTCCTCCTTTAAGTGCTTTGATCGACTATATAGTGCTTCTGCTACAAAAGGCTAAATAAAATTCGATTAAAGAATTTTACAAGCTACTTTTTAGGGCTAAAAAGCTGGAAGAGTTAAAAGAAAATGACAATGAAGAAATTCATAGCTTGGAAAAAGATTAATTATTGGGGAATGAAATGAAATAGCTTTATGAAAAATTCTGCTATCTTAATCTGTATTTAGAGAGGAAATTTGATGATGAAAAAAATTTGAAGTTTTTAACAGAGATGGGTTTCAAAATTGTTGCCAGGCTTGATGCATAGACTTAATATTTTACATACATTAAATACAATGGTACTATACCTTCGATACCTGAGTAGCCAAATAAAACTTCTTTAGATTAATTTATTTCCAGTTGCTGTAGCCTCACAAAATTCGATACTGATCGTATAGAATCTTAGGAATTAGATAAATATTACTAAGTATTTATTTAATTAAAATATTTTTTCTTATTTTTTTTCAATTAATATTTTAAAAATTCAAGGAGTTCTGCACTTTGAATCATATGCAAAAACTATAATTAAATGAAGGAGCTCTCATGAGAGATTATGGAATATCTACTGTTTATTTACCTCAGCAATGGATTGAGAGAGACGAAAAATATGATGTGTAAAAATTATAAAAGAAATACTTTATAGATAAAAAAAGAGTAGAAAACAATTTTAAGATTTTGCTGGCTAAAGATAGCTTTTTATTCAGCATGCTTTATGATACAGAAGATTTTAAATAAGCTCAAAAGGACATCTAAGTAGCTACAGGTTGGTAGTTTTTTGATCTTATAACTGTCTTAGCTCATGTTTTGGTAATGGGCTTCATAGGTAGTCCTTTATTTATTCTAGCTATTTTTATAAGAGCTTAATAATCAACTTATTCTCTAATTTCTCCAATGAGATTAATTTATCTGGAAACTATAGTGTACTACCCAAGTTCTATTCTTGCTAAGCTAATGGGAGATAATTGGATTGTTTTGAGTATTACAATCATGACTTTGATGTTTTGGATTTTGTCATTTTTAGATTTGATTTATTACTATGCAAGCATGGATTTTCCTTAAGAAAAGTATTTTATCAAATATAAATATGGGAGAGGAAAAATTAGAAATTTTTTTACAGGTATGATGTGGATTATAGTCCTTTTATCATTTTATACATTTGCTGTCTATTTTTCATTAGTTGCTATTTGGCTAATGCTCAGTGCTATAATCAATCCTAACGCTTTCTTACCATATGCCACTTCAGCAGCAACTTTTGTTACTCTTGTTGCAAAAAAATACAAGTAATTTATTTCATCTCAAATTGAAAATTTTATGTAAATAATTAATTAAAAATATTTAGGGATTTCGAAGAGATCTCGTAGAATGGTTTTAAAATTATTTCTGAATATTTACTGTAAATGGCATAAGGATAATTCTAAGAACTATTAAAAAAAATGGATATTCAAGATAATATAGCCAATTTAGTACCTGTTGATGCATTAAAAGATATTACAGCTGAAGCATCTAAACTAGGAATTATTGATCCATCAACTTCCGAAAATATCTAAAATAATCTTGAGATCATGATAAGAGATCCTTCTACAGTAACTAAACTAGGATAGGAGCTTGTTAAAATATCATAAGATCCCCATGCTTTTGCTTAGGAAATTTCATAAAAGCTTGAAGAGAAAGCAAAAGCTTTAATCTAGCAATAAGTATAAAAAAGCATAATTTTTTCAATTTTAATTAAAATATTATTCTATCAAAGGTAAGTACAATAGACAAAGAGCTCAGTAATGAATTAGTCAATCTTTTATGGTGTCTCTTGAAAAATTAAAAGGGTGAACTAAAAAATACAATTAGTTCATTTGTTAATGCTTTAATCAATACCTTCTAAAAGAAGCAGGGCAAATAGTCATTAAAAAGTATTGGCTTTATCAATCTGAAAGGACCTATTTTTGATTTTGTTTGGGAGTTTGCTTTCCCTGTAGAAAATTTCAAAGGAAATTACTAAGATCACTTAATTGATATCTTTTGTGTAGCGTTGTCGAATGTAATTACTGTCTGGAATAAAGATCTCAAAAAAATAATTGTCAAAAAATAAAATGATAATAAATAAAAAGCTGATAAAAAAAACTAGAATCCAGAGTAGAAAAAAGATGAAGAAGAGTTGTTAAAAGAAAAGCTTATGAAGGATTTAGAAAAGGCTGAATCTGTAATATAGGCTGATGATGGACAAGATGAGGAATAAGAGATAGAACTCACTTCTGAAGAAGCGATTACTTATGCATATAAAAATATTATTTTCTCTGTGATACAAATATGTCGTTCAATCTAATCTAGCAGTGGTGAAGTAAATAGATCAATTTTAAAATAATTCAATTTAAATATTCATTTTTTTTATATCAAACTAGGTTATTTTAAATTAGATACTGAATCTTGTCTAAAATGGCAGTAAACTTCCAGGATTCGAAGGACTAAATTAATTAAAGCAATGCTAGGACATTTTTAAGATAGGTTATGCTATTTTTAAAAATGATAAAGAGGTAGACTTTGAGGATGTAAATAATGCTTTTAAATGCTTTTTGAAAAACACCGGGTTAGAAGAGAAAATAAAGGAGATTGCAGGTGTGGGTATTTTAGATATTTTGAAAATAGTTGAAGTTATAATTCAAAGCTTTAAAGGCTCAAGCAAACTTACAGCAAGCAATTCTATTAAAAAAATAATTTAAAGCCTGATAGGCTCGATTGAATTTGCAAAGAATAAAATTATGATCAGAAAATAAGAATTTACGAAAGTTAGTGAGATTGAAGCAATGGATGAATGTTTAAAAGTGAAATATGATATCAATTAAAGCTTAAATGAAACTAAAGCTACTTTGAGTGAATTAGAACAACAAAGAATAAAGGCTAAGCAAAATGAAGAATACTATGAAGAAAAATTATAAGATAGCTTTAATTATCTAAGGTATTACCTAAATGAGCTTTAATAATAAAAGTAAAATGAAGATGAATCATATATAAGCATAGAATATTCAAAAAAAGAATAAATACTCCCCCTTCTTTAAAATATTATAAAAGATATTCAAGTTATTAATGGGGAAAAAAATGAAAACTTAATTAGATAAAAAAATGAATATATTTTAGAGTTTACTAAGCTGAAACAATAAAAAGAAACTGAGTAAAATAAATTATAGGAATTAGAAAATAAGATATTACCTCTTTAAAAAAAAGTAATAAAATAATTTAAATTCTCTAACAATATTTAAAAATATTAATTCTAAAAAAGATTATTGAGAGCTTGAAAAATTCAATTCAAGATAAATATTCACAAATACAGGATACGAAATATAAAATTAACTAGCTCTACACAGAGCTGAATAAGAAAAAGCAATAAATAATAAAATATTATCAAATAATTGAAGAATTAATCTTGGAAAATTAAAGAAATGAGGTTGAAGAAAAAAAAGAAATTAGTGATGATGATGATGATTTTTATGATGATAGTGATGATGATGATGATGATGATGATGATCATAATCATGGTTTTGATTGCGTTCTTAGTGAAGGAGGTATTCAAGAACTTAATGCTACTAAGATTCGTCATAACAATCAAAAATTACTAGATAATAATGAAGAGAGTTTAGATTAGTTTTAGGGTAATTATATTTTCTTCAAAATTATAAAGATTTTTAAATCATTTTATTATTTTTAATTAAAAAATATAGACCAATAAATTAAGTAATTAGAAATCACAATATAAGAGTTAAGTAGTGATATAAGCGATAAAGAAGAAAATATTGCATTAATTGAAAATGAAATCAATTAAATTAAGTAAACTATTTATAAAATTGAAAATGGAAATATAGAAAGCAGATATGAATATGGATATGGGTATGACTCTGAACAAAGTATCTAATATTCTGATAAAACGTAAGATGAGATTGAACTTTAGGCTCTCTAAGAAAAATATCTAGATTAATAATAAATTTATGATGAGATAGTAAATAAAATTTCTCAAAATATGATGAAAATGGAAAAAATAGAAAAAGAAATATATTAAATTAAAGAGATTACAAAAGATTATATAAGTGATGCTCAAGTGTATATAGAAGAATTTAAAGTATGCTAAAAGGCACTTAATAAAGTCTAGTAAGATAAAATTGACTTACATGAATAAATTGATGAATTCTAAAGTAAATCAAATTATTAATTAATTTTATGGCATATACATTTTTTATTTTAAAGCTAAAATAAGCAAATATGAAAAATATATTGAAGATTTGGATCAATAATATTAAAAATTATATGAAAAACAACGAGAAAGAAATTAAAAAAAACAAGGAGATTACAATTCAACAAGAGAAAAAGAGAAGAAATCGGGTGATGATGCTCAAAAAAAAGAGGATCATGACAACTTTTTATCCTCAGGGCTTACAGTTATGCTTAACCTATTTAGTGGGTCGATATCAAATTTATAATCTGATTTAATTAAGGAGCTAGGGTAATTCTTTAAAATAGTTTCATAAAGCTAATATGTTTAGGATAGCACGATATAAGAAATGTTTATATTTTTGTATAGCCAAATTCTGGATGGATCGCAAGAACAGTCTGGAAAATAAAACAGCAAGGCAAAAGAAAAGATTAATAATTTTTAGAGTATTTTAGGTTTATTTGATTTATTTTTGAATGATTCAATAAATGCAGCTGGTAAAATTATTAAAAATGGTAAGGAGAACCTTTTGGAAAGTGAAGTTGCTAAATCGTTACAAATAGTCTTTTTTAGTAGATTTGAGGGATTTATTAAATAAAAAGCTATTGATAAATATTTAAAAGGATCAGATTTGCTTGAACTAATTTCTAAAGTTATGAAGATGAAAGAGGATGTAATTTTGGGTTTCATGGAAATTTTGTTAGGGTTCAAGGCTAGCAAAGATGTCCATTCCTTTATCAGTTTTGCTGCATCATTAAATAAGGTAATTAATTAATTTGATAAATATTTTTTTGTTTGCATTAATAATAAATATAATAAAATATTATTTAAATTATTTAATAAATTTTAAAAATGAAGAAAAAAATATTTTTTTTTTAAAAGATAAAAGATAATAAGATTAATGCATTTATACATCTCTTCAACCTTTATTCATCTAAAAGTCCAAGTGAATTATATGATGCTCTAACTTTCTTTAAGGTAATAAATAATGTTTCGGAATAATTTGAATAAGTTACTGTAAAAGAGCTTGTTTAGGTGATGTTATTCATGAGAGAATCATTAGATTTTAGCTATGTTAAAACAATTATTAAAGATAAGTTAAAGTTGTTGTTACCCACAAATGATTAATAGCAAAATCCTAAAATGTAAATGGAAATTAGAGACAGAATAAAAATTTCTGGATTACCTAGCCATTTCAAGAAGCTTTTTGAAATAGAAACAAAAGGATATATACAAGCAAATACAATTCAAGCAGACTTCAAAGATATTAATAGAAACTTTGAAATTTTGCTTGAATAAAGTGACTTTAATTTTTTTAAGAAATTATTGTCAATTAGAAGTATACCCAGAATTGAAGATCCTACTTAAAATACTCTTGTGAAGAGCTGTATTACTGATATATCAGATATGCTAAATATTGATTGTCAATCTGTTGAATTATTCATTAATTTGCTTACTTCTTCTAAATAAAATAAATTAAAATAAGCTTTAGATAATTTATAAATATTAAAGATAAACCCTAAGAGTGATTAAAGTTATATTAACAATTTTATTGAATTTACTTCTTCCATCTTAGAAAAAATTGAACAAAAAGGTTAAAATATCACGAATGTCTCTAAAATTATTTTTTCAGATAATCTTCCTAGCTGTTTGCTAAAAAAAATCCTCTATCATGAAGGGGTTTCATTAGCATACTCTGATTATTTAGAGCTTTTTGATATTTACAGGAATAACGTAAATCCAGAATCAATAAAATCAATATATAATTTAATAGATTTTAGATATGGCATGACTGGAAATAGGAAAAGAGATATCTATAAATTTTTAAATCCTTTAAAAAAATAAGAAGATATTGAGAAAGATTACTAAAAATTCAAAGTAAATAAAATTAATTTAATTTTAAAATATTTCATCATTTTTATTATTTAAAGAAATCTAAGTAAGATCAATATGGTTTAATTAAAGCTGTGTAAATTCTATCTATCAATGAAGAATCTTTGAGAGTTTAAACTTTCTTGTAATTTTTAATTAAAACTAAGTAAGAAGCTCTGTTAATGACTAGTTGTTTGTTAGTATATTTTAGTGGACGCTCAAGTAACATTCTTCTAAATATTTAAGATGGAGATGAGAAAAAATTAAAGAAAGTGAATGTAGAATAACTATTATGTTAACTGTTGTAAGTAAAACAAGAATTTTTCGAAGCTGTGCATACTTATTTCTAAGAAGATACCAATTATTGTACCTAAACTATGATCAAGTTCTACCGTTAGTTAGATTATTTGTAGCAATAAGCTTATGGAGATGAAAACACAATCCTTGAAAATAACATAACTGTTTCAGATAAATCTGTAGAGCAATATGTAAGATTGGTCAATCATATGCAGTTTAACACATCTTTCATATCTAAAGATACAAAGATCTCTATTGAAGCAGTTGAGTTGGTATCTAATTTGATGTATATCAAAAATTCAAAAACTGAATAAGAGCGTAATACAATTTTAGAATAAATGAGAAACAACACCTATATTTCTAAGCTTTTCTCTTAATTAGGAGTAAATCATTAGGAGTTTGTTACCTTAGTTAAGATAATGTACCAAGATTATGAGCCAACGAATGTAAAGTGGATATGTAAATCTCTTAAGCTGCCTCCTTAATTTAAAATTGATGGGCTATAATAATTAATCATGCTTGACTAAATTCTTCCAGTTTATGGTGAATCATCTTAAAATAAAAAATTTTTAATAAATTTAATAAAAACTAACAAATTTGTTAAAAGTTTTAAAATTGATACAACTTGGGCAGAAGTAGCTTACATTCTATGTAAAGGTGATTTTTGTCTTCTTTCTAAATATTAAGATAAGCTATTGCCACTCAAGTATCCTTGTAATATTAGATTCGATAGTATTACAAATTTTAAAAATAGTGAATAGGAGTTTAAGCAAATTCTAACTTTAACATAAGCTGTGAATGCAAAGGAGATAAAATATATGTCTTTAGTCTAAGGCTTAGCAGGGTAAGCTAAATAAAAAAATAAACAAACAATATTTTTGATTTCTTTTAAATTACTTAATTATATTTTTTAATTATTTATTTTTTTGCAATATAAAATATTTAAAATTAAAAGACTACTTTCTTGTAGAAGTTCTACGTTCTAAACAACTGAATTCCTTTATTAGCTTTATACTATTATTAGCTAAAAGTATGTAAAAGAAGAGCATCTAACTATAGAAGCTGGACTTAAGAAGGGTAATACTTTATAATATGCTATTTATAAATTTACTAAAAGTACACTAATCAGTCCTGTTTGGACCTTATTGATGATGGGAGATTTAAACACATGGGAATTTTTATGTTAAAACCATTATCTAGTGAATAACAGTAAAAGCCCATATCTCAATCCAATATTAGCTCTAGTTTATGTTCTTAACTTTAGATCAAATCCTTTGATTGTTAAACAATTGCTTGTTGATTACGAATATGCACAAAGATCTTATTAAATTTATATTGCAAAATTAAAGAGAGGTTTTTAGAAAAAGGCAGAAAAAGGGAAGTAGTCTAACGAATATGAAAATGAATAAAATAGTGACGAAGAGATTGAAGATGAGATACTAAATGATATGAAGAAGAAGAAAAGTGTAAAATAAACAGATAAAGATTAAATATAACTTACAGAATAATAATAAAAAAAAATTTAATAATTAGAAGAAAAAATTTTAAATTTTAAAATAAAAATTAATGATTTATTAAAAAACTGCTTGGAAAATGATGGTGAAAAGTAAATTAAATTTATTTAATATCATTTTTTTTTTAAAAATTGATTAAAAAAAAAAGTTTATCCCGTATTGCTGAAGAGTTCAACTTCCCATAAAAAGTAATTAAAATGGTTTTAGTATTTGAATATGATTACCAACAAAAGAAGAAAAATGAAAACAATAAAAAGTAAAATGATCTAGAAGAGGATGAAGATGAAGATATTGACAGATTGACAAGTGATCTAATTATTAAGGCTTTTGAACCATTAAAAAAAGATATGTAAATTATTTATTTATTTATTTAATCATTTTTAAAAATTTGATTTTTTTATTTTAAAATTAGGGAAAAGAATGGGAATTAATGTGAAAATTTTTTTGAATTTGAAATTCTTAACCAAGTTTTCGAAAGAATAGCTAGGTGTTTCTATACAGATCCAAGAAAAGAAAGAATGAATTTAAGTGAAGAAGAGAAGAACTTTACTAGTAGCTATTGCTTGCATACACATAGTTCTAGCCCTTTGATGCAAATGATAGTTCTAAGTACAATAGCATAACTCAAGCTTTCCTATTATGATTTTTATGGATTTGATGGACGAGATGAAGATCATTACAAGTAAGTGACTTTTGCTGTTGATCTAATCTTGGGAACTTTAGAAAAATATTACTATTTCGATGATATGATGGATTTTTTCCCTCGTCATAGGCTTATTCCTTTAATAGTAAAATTTTATTTGAATTTTAAATCAAATTTATTAACTAATAAAATAATATTCTTAAAAATATAATAAATTACTAGGGTCTTTCTGTTGGTTTTATAATTGAAACAGATGATATACTTTATTCAAATACTTCTGAAAATATCTTTGATGAATAATATCATAGTGAAGTTATTAGGAGATTATGTGAAAAATTATACAATAGATTATTAAATGAAAAAAAGGATAAATATGGAGATGATTAAAAACTATTTAAAGAAAGTTTATAAAAATTCATTTAATTATAGAAATTTAATTTGAAATATAAATACTTTCGTTCAAGAATTGTAGATTCTAATTTAGAAAATTAAGTTGAATAAAATAAATAGGGGAGACCAGGAATTTTTAAAGGAATCGATTAATAGGATGTTTAAAGCTTACTAGAAGATAAAAATATTGATAGATTAGTAGATAATTATGATGAAATAATGTGGAATACGTAAGTTCAATACATTTTAATTGTAAATATTTTAAATAAATAAATTATTTTAATAGTTATAACACTGAGGAAATGATCTATCATATGGCTGATCCTAAAACTTATTATACATATTACAAACGAAGTTATTGTATCAGTAAAGACTCCTATAATAAAATCGATATATATTCAGGTGAAAAAAATAAAAAGCTGTTTGATTATTTAGATGAATATGCTAATGCTGCCTAATCTGAAAACTTAAAATTCCTGATAGATATTTTTAAAGAAAACTACAAATAATTGAATAACAATGATCACTTCACTTAAAACTATTCATAAGTAATTTTGGATTGATTTTAATCATTTAATAAAAAAAAAATAAACTCATTTTAGTATTTTTTAAGTTAGTATTTGAGCTATTTAATGACATAATAAAATCATTAAATTACTACGATTTTATTTGATATTGATTTTCTTTTAATGAATTTATTTTTTAAATTGTTTAATAGGATAGCAATATGTATTTTGGAACTTTACTTCTAAATGGAGTAATCTACTAAATTAAAGATATTAAAATGGAAGATTTTTAGCAAAACATAACATCAAGTTCTATTTATATGACAAGCAATAAGAAAGCTCTTGCAGAAATACTAAGTTTGCTAATACCTTCTCTCAAAACTAATTTTTCTTCATTAAATGAATTACTAAATGACTCAGAAGAAAATATACAAAGCTTTGTTAATCTTGCTATGGGTAAAAGTATTAACCAATCAAAAGATTTAGAAATCCTTTTAAGCCAATCAGCTCTGACAAATTCAAACAAAGAGTAAAAAAAAGTTTTCCTAAACTTTTAATTTATATTATTTTATAATTTTATTACTATAAAAAAGTAAATAAATATCTTAGATAAAAATTTAAAAAAATATTTTTTATGGTTGTTAGATTTACTATAAATCAAATAATCTTTTACTATCATTGGAAATATCTATTAATTTTATTTGTAACTATTCATTTTTTTGAAATTTAAATGAATTTTAAAAATAAATTAAATTAGAGTACTTAAAGATTGTGTATGTGCTTATTAAGGAGAAATGACAGAATATTTAAAATTAATTTAATATTCTCCTCTTTACTAATAATCTTAAGAGGCTATTGCATTGTTTACAGAATTTCTCTATTCGTTTGAAAAGGTAAAATTAATTATCTATTTTTAATTTATTTTTCTTTTAGTAATTCAAATTTAAATCAATCAATCAGAGCTAAATGCACAAAAATATAAATAATGCTTACGAAATAAATTACTTTGACTTTTGTAATTTATCTCCTAATAGAGCAAAAGCCTTGGAAAAAGCTTAGTAGTATCTTTGGAAAATGAGTTAAAGTCTTTGCTACTAAAAATAATTGCAAGAGGATCAAAAAAATGATCCTAATTTCACTAAATATGCAATTGATATCTATAAACGTAAATACATCTACAGAAATAATATGAAAGTTGAAGATAATCATATGTCTCAAATTCTTCAAAAAATTCTTTATAATGATTGGAACTTCTTAATTACAAATGGCAAAAATATTTTACAGTAATTTTAAATTGGAGCTTATTTATTATTTTTAATTTTTTTTTTTTTAAAGAGATTCCTTTAATGTGATATTTGATATTTAGAAAGAGGTAGATTGCCTAGATAAACTATAGATTCTCGCTCTTATAAAACCATAAAAATTAGGTTTAAAAATTTAATCTGAGAATTTAAGTGATTTAATAAGTTTCACAAAAGTAAATTTTTACTAATTAATTTATTTATTTAATTTATAAAACATAAAAATTTGTTTAGGTAAGTAACATGATCAGTGCAGGAGGTAGCTTATTCTCAAAATCAAATAAGGAATAAGAGGATTAGGCTGAAAATTAAAAATTAAATTATCAATCCATTTCTTAAATATAAAAAGATTAGCATTTTTTGGAAAAATAAAATGAATAAAATTTTATTGAAGCAAAGTATCTTCACTTACTATTAAGCTTATCTAATAACTCTATAGTCCACATTTTAAATTGTTTAAATAAAACTGAGGAAGAGTGGAGCTCTGATTTGAAGGAAGAATAAGAAGAAGAAAAATTGACAAATAAAATAGATGAATTCATTAAATAGAATTAATTAGATACAAAATTAAAAGACTAAGAATAGCAAAATCAAAATATAATTTTTAATGAATACAACTCACTTAAGAAAGAAGCATAGAGGGCATTAAGAGTAAATATTCTTTAATATAGTAAAAATAAATTATTCAATAATTAAAAAAAATATTTTGAATAGTAAAAAAATTATGAGGACAAAAACTGTTTAATGTATAAAAGCAAGCAGATACCATATATCCTCTAATCGATTTACTTATGGAAGAATATTTCTCATATTAAATGGGACTTTGTATAAAAGAATCTTGATATGTTTATAGACTAACCTTTCAAATTCAAAGAACTTTAAAATTAAATTGATTTTCTATATAATTATATTGAATATTTAGCAATACTACCAGCTGTAATTTTAGATAAAACAGGTAGAGAACTTGCAAAGAAAAAAGAAAAAAAACTAACAAATATTTAAGTACAGTAATAACCAGATAAAAGTTTTTTTAATGACACTAATTACAAAGATAGCTATCTCTATTAAATTTTAAATGGGTAAATTTTTAAATTATTTTTCAAAAATAATAAATTTTATTGATTATTTGTAAATAAAAATAGCATAAAATTAAGAAATTTAGACACTGAAATATTTACGAGGCAAATATCTTATGAAAGCAACTCGATTTATATGATCTATTAGTCTTATGAAAATTTAATAATAACTTTAGGAAAGTAAGCTTCTAAAATTCAATCTATTTTCTAGGGAAAAGAATAAAAAACTTTAGATGATGAACATACTTTTAAAAAGAAACAACTTATGAAATTTGGTATTTTTTTTGTTTTGAACTTATTGGTAAATTTAAAAAATTATTTTTTTAATAGAAAATTGTAAAGATGTCTATTTCCTACTTAATTTCTTAAATGGAAACTTTTTAAAGGAAATAGAAAAGGTTCATCCACTAATCGAATATCTCTCTAACCTTTACTTTAAAGGACTATAAGCAATTCATAGTTAAAATGCTGAACCTATTACAAGCTATCTCAATAGTTGTATTAAAAATTAAAACTCTTTCATAAATGTTATCTTAAAAGAAAATGAAAAATATGCTAATATTTTCAACAAAGTTCTTGATATAATATTCACCATTTCATTTTTTACAATGAAGGGTTCTAAAATAAGTATGGAATAAAAAAAAGATATCTTAAATAAAGTAGATGAATTGCTTGTTGCTGTTGCTAAAGATTTGCTTCAAGTAAGTGAAGAAATTGTGAACATAATTTATGCTGTTTTTTACCTTATTACTAACTAGAGTATAAAGGATAACGCTAAATTTAAAGATAAATAAAACTGTTTAGTTGTAAAGTTTTTATTTTTTACAATTTTAAATTATTTCAATTGATTCATTTATTTATTTTTAATTTTTTTAACTTAAAATTTTATTCATTTGATTGATTTATTTTAACAAAACAGATGCTCCTTAAAATAGCCTTTGAAAATCCTGATTTATCGGAGTTCTTCTTTGGGTCTCCTAAGACTGGAGAAAGCTTAGAGTAAATTGATAAGATGATAAATACAATAACATCCATACTGTAGTCAATTTTAGATAGACCTTCTTAATCAATTAATGACAGTGATTTGGTAAAGGAAGTCCTTAAGTTAATTAAATATTCCAGTAAAGGAAATATAGATGTTAGTATAATTGAAGATGTTATAGCCGTTCTTACTGGAGACCATTAACGAGTGTTTAGTATATTAAAGAAGTTTGAAATTGTAGATGAGAATAAAATTGCCTTGATTCAAAGAGCTTACAATTAAGTCGTAGATATGCCTATTTTTAATTAAAAAGATAAATCTATTGCTGGAAGTGGAGCATAGGGTTAGCCTGATAAAATTAAAGAAATTGTGAAGAAACTTTAAGATGGGAAAGTAAATAAATTGATTGATTATTCAAAATATATTTTGATGTAAAAATAAAAAATAGGCAAATATAAGGGATGTATTTATTGCAGTTGATGCAGAGGGAGATAACAATGGAACTATTTCTATTGATGAGTTCCAATCATTTGTAAGAAGATTAGGTAACTTAAAAAAAGTTTTTAATTTTTTTCTAAAATATTATTTTATCTAATAAAAGGTATGGAATTAAGTAGACATAGAGTAAATGAAATTTTTGCAAGTATAAAAAACAAAAAATAAAAACTAGGTAATGTAGAAAAAACAGATGATTTGACATTAAATGTAGAAGAATTTGAAAAAGCATTTAAGTATGTCAATGATAAGAAGACTTCGATGTCTCTTGAAAAACTAGGCATATCTCCTGCTTTATTAGTTTTAGCTCTTGGTACGCTCATCGTAATTCTTATCCTTCTATTTGTTTTCATTTTCCTAGGTATAAAGGCTTTTGCAGTAGGAGGAACATTTGGTTCCATTATTAACTCAATCATTCCAATGGTAGCAGCGGGTGGTGCTGCTGGATCTTAAGAAGATAAAAAAGATAAACTTTAAGAAGAAGAGGTTTCTAATGCAGTTACTGAAACTCAATCTATTATTCATTCAGAAAATATTTGAACTCTAACTATAAATCTGATATTTTTAACATATTAAATTTAAAATAGTTTAATATTTCTTTATAATTAAATGATTAAAGTATAAATTATATTTTATTTAATATTTAAAATTCTTTAATTTGATTTATTTATTGTAAATTAAGTTAGCACATCTTTAGTTTCTTTTTGTTAATTCCGAGCATTTTAAATCTATCAAAAATGAGAAATATTCTTAAATTATTTTCCTGCATTTGTTTCAATCAAAATATTTTTGTAAAATAATACTAAAGAAGAAATTATTAACTTTTTAGATAATTATTATTTTATTTTATTATATAGTAATGTATTTATTTTTTAATTAAAATTATATGATTTGTTGGTGGTTTATTTAAGATCCATTTTTGAAAATTTAAAACGCAAATTTTGATATAAAAATTATAGGATGGATTTTATGATTGCAAAAAAAATTTATCCATACTTAAAATAAATATTATAAAATAAATTTAATTAGGAATATTTTTTAATATTTAAAATATTTAATAGATTCATTTTAACAATTACTAATTTTTTTAAAATAAAAATTATTTAAATAAGTTAAATATTCTTATTAGTAAATTAGTATAAGAAATTTTTAAATAATTTCTTGTTCAAGTAATTAGTAAGTTAGATTATATTTAATAAATTTAAAATAAATTTTTTTAATATAAAACATTTTTCAAATTTGAAATGAGGAAAGTTTTATGAAATGAAATTATTTCATTTGCTTTAGTGAGCTGGGTTACAAATGAACTATCAGTTTAATAAGAAAATTTACAAAAAATATATTTTTATTTATTTATTTCAGTGAATAGAAGGTTTATAAATAAATTAGTAAAAAAAATAAATTTGAATATAAATTTGGTTTTGGAAATAAGAATATAATAATAAAATAAATAGAGTAGTTACTTATCGGTTAATAAAATGCTAAGCAATCATCAATTTTACTAAATAACAAATTTAATTTTAAAAAATAAAAATTATTGGTCGATTAAACTAATATTTTTTAATTTGACAAAAATTCGCGTAATATTATAGATTTATTCCACAAATTGAGAGATATTGATTGAAATAATATTTAATCATATAAACAGCATACAAAATAAAATACTAATTAATTTTTAATAGGAAGAGAGTAATTATGAGCAGTAGGTCTCCTGTTCCGACTTAAAGAAGGGTTATTTACACTAATTTAGAAACTCCTAATAAAGACCCTTCAACAATATTTCATTCGCCATACACAAATGGAAAGAAATCAAAAGAATATACTAATCCAACTTTAATTTCTTCCAGCGTATTTTATGATTATAAGCTAAATAATGTTGATATAAAGAGTGGTTAGTTAGACCATAGCGGAAGGCCTAAAAGCCCTATAAATTAGCAAAATGAGCATATTAGCAATTAAGATAGGTCTAATACGCCAGTTTAGAAAGCTACTCCCGAAAGATCCAAAACACCTAGAAGAAAGAGGTAATTTGATAATACAAGAGAACATATTAGAGATCATTTCCAAGCTGGAATGATGATTTAAGCTGAAACAAAACGTCCTCTTAAAAAATATAATTTTTCCAACACTGTTACAGATTTTTCTTAAAGTTGCTTGAATAATAATCAAGAGACTATGAAGTTCTATTTAGATAAAATTCAAGACAGATCCATGCATAAAAGTGCGAGCAATATAAATTTAGATCAAAATTTCAAAGTTGGTACTAATGAATAATCTAATAACGTATCTGCGTTTGTGGATTAAGTCTCAACTCCTTTGAAAAAAAACAGTAGCTTTATAAATATAAACAAAAGAGATGATGATGAAAACTACAACTCGTAACTTTAAAATTTCTCAACTAGGAATGGAAGATAACAAGAGTATTCATAGCCTCAAACTCCAAATAGAGTGAGGGATTCTTCGAATAATAGATAAGTGAATGGTGGAGGAGGCTATGAAAGAAGCATGACTCCAAATACTATGTAAAGATATCTTAACGACTAGCTATAGCATTAAACAGCTACTCCTAAAAGATATGAAAACCACAACAGCACAGGAGATGTGCGCCAAAATAGGAGTTTGACTCCAACAGCCTATGCTAAATATAGATAAAGCTTTACTCCTCTTAAAGAGTGTTGTGATCAGTGCATTAATTTAAAAATGATGGATTAGAAATAGTAAAGGAAAAAAGAAGAAAAAGAAAAAGATTATTTGGATTAAAAGTCTATAAACTAGAAATACAATGATGAATAAATAAGATTTAAGGAGTTAACGAAATAAAAATAGGAATAAGTAAGAAGGTAATATGGTGAATATGTAAAGATAAAAAACGAAGAAGATAAATAGAAAAAGTAAGATAAAATATAAGAAAATATTATATATAATCAGAAAATGAATAAATAATTCGAATAAGAAAAGTAAATGGAATTGGAGAGAATAAAGAATTAGAAAATCTAAAAAATTAAAATGTATTCATAGTAATTAAAAGAACAAATAGAATAAAAGGAAATATAGAGAAAGAATTAAATTGAAAAGCAAAGATAGGAAAGTGAGAGGAACTAACAACTCCAAGCAAAAGTACAATATGAAAGAACTCGCATGTAAAATAAATTTGTTCCAACTGTTGTAGAATATAGAGAACAACTGCTCAATTAGCAGATCGAGCAAGACATGCAAAAATATAAACAAAAAGATTAAGAATAGCTTTTCTATAAAAAAATATAAGAGCAAGTTTCAAAGTATTCTGAGCAGGTAAAAATTTTAATTCTTATTTTTTTAGGTTATTCAGCTCAAATAAAATTGTATTGAAAATAAAGAATAAATGCTAAAAAAAACCTAAGCTTGATTATAGGTTTTTTTGATTCATAAAAATCCAAATTTTTGTCTATTTTATTATAAATTTCAATAAAATTATTTCTAGACATTTTTTTATTTGCAGAAAAATCCTCAATAAACAAACAAACAATCATAATAAATTTAATTTATAATAAAGAATTTAGTAAATTTTGTAATTAGAATGATTACTTTATTTTGAATATTTAATGGTTTTGATGAATTAGCTTTTATTGAAAGGTATAATATTACTTTTTTGAATATATTAGGAGAAGGAACTATTAAGACAAATCAAGCAAAAGAAGAAATAAGATTACGAAAGCTTCATTAAACAAAAAGAACAAATATTAATCTAAGCAAAAGTAAATTTAATAAATAAAATTTATTGCATAAAATTATTTATATAAATTGAAAATAGGAAGAAAAAAAGAAGGAGGAAAAAGAAGTTCGCCAAAAATTCTAAAACATCGAAAATGAAGATCATCTGCAAAAACTTAATTCGAGAAGAATAGAAAATATAAAAAAACAAAATTTCTGTAATGTGCTTAAAGATTAAATTTAATAGAAAGAAATCTTGTAATAATAATTAAAGCAAGAAGATATCAAAAAATCGCAATCAACAACCCTTTTAATTAACAACTCTTCTTACTAAAATTTACCAATTAACTCTCTATCACCTTGCACTTAATGCCATAAAAAAGTGCCTAAGTTCTAATTGGCTTTATATAATTGAATAAAAGAAATTTAATAATTAAAGAAGTAAAAATAACAATCATTAAAAATGTACATTAATTAGTCTAATAATTATAATAACTCTCGTTTATAATAATAAATAAATTTATTTTAAAGTATTGTAAATATTTCTTTTGTATAATCAAAAATTAGCATATTATCCATATATCTATCTATCTATCTTCTTATCAATTTACTAATAAAAATTAAACATTCAGATTAATTTAATTTTTTATTTTAAAATTCATAAAAGAAAAAGATTTAAGTGTTTGAGTTTTCTCTATGTTATCTGTTATATAATCATGCAAGCAAATATTAACTTTAAATTCTAACCTACCATAAAATATTTGGTATAAATTATATATTTTTTTCATATTCATAACTATTTACAACAAACAATTATATTTTTAATGGAAAGTATTTGTTTATTTTTAAGAATGATTATTTCAAAACATTCTTTTTTATCAATTAATTTCAACCCTACTCCAAAAATAGTAAAAATTATCTTTTTTTAAATTATTTCATTTTAAAGCAGGATTATTTTGAGAGAGTTACTTTGCCAATACTTATTTAATATAATCATATTAATTTTAATTCTAATTTCTCTAAAAATAATAAAATTTTAAAATAATTCAAAGATTTTTGATTCAATAAAAATGCTTTTAATATAACTCAGTTTATTTAATAACAGTTTTATTGTTTTTAATATTTTTTAAAGAAAAAAAGCTTGCTATATATACTTCAAGTTTTACAAATATCTAAATAGACAAAATATAAATAATTTTTACAATTTAATTGCATTATTTATTATTTTTACATTGATTAAATGTGACCTTAATAGAAAGAAGACTCAATAATATTACATTTTTAAAAGGACTATTAGAAAAAAATTAGATTAGCAATAAGTATTACTGAGATATAAACATATAAATTTTATTTAACTAAAGGAATTATTTTCTACCTTGATTTATTTATTTATTTAATTAAATGTCTTTGGCAGAGGACAAATTATATATTTGTTAATAATTGCATTCTTTGTTGATTTAGATTTAATGTAAAAATAATTAAATTACTGAACAAATGTTTTTCAAATTGATATTACCTTTATTGATAAATAAAATTGAAGGTATTTATTTGTTTGTTTGCATTTGTGATACTGTTGATTGAAAATAAATTTTAATCAATTGCAACAAGCGGAGAATATTTAAAATCTATTTAATATATAATTATGACTAACATTTAATCTAAATAGAAATATCAAGTGTAATTTAATTTTTAATGTGTTTTTATCTTTAATTATTTAATGATACTAAAGGAGTTTCCTATTAAATTAATTAAAGAGTTACCACAAAAATAGCTTATTTATTTATTTTCTTTTGTATTAATTAAAAGATGATCGATGAGGCTTGCTTATTATTTTTATTTTTTTATTAGGGCTTAGTAAAAATTATTAAAGAATAACATTTTAGCACTCTTATATTTCAAAAGGAATTAAAGTAAAGTAGAAAACAAAAAATAAGAAATAAGATAGATAGTCAAAAATGTAAAACATTTAAATTATAAATCAAGAGAATTAGCATTAGCAACCAAGTAATATAATCATTTATTTGTTGTATCTATTAGCTAAAGCTTTAATTTATTGTTTGTGATGGTATTTTAAAGCAATTATTGTTAAAATAGTTTATTTAGCTCAAAATTACAGATAATCAGAATCTTCAAAGTATAGAGGGAGTAATAGTATTCACGACTTCCATTTTTCGTAAGCAATTACATTAAAAAGACTAGCAAGTTAATTAATTATAAAATTGAATATTAGAAAATAAGAAATTAGGGGTGATGATCATGAAATAGAATCGATTATATGTTAGGCATACTAACGCAAACAAGAATCTATGTAGAATCAACCAATACAATAGTAGCACTTTTATTAAAGTAGTCCTGGAACTTATGCAAATAAGCAAGCTTAGAATTCAAATTATATGTTTTCAGCAAGAGTTAATGACATCAATTCGAATCATAAAATTAACCCTTGGGAATCATAGGGCAGTTTAGACGGCGGTTAACAAATCAATTTAGACGATTTCGTTGATCCTGAAGAAGTTCCATAATATGATTAAGGGCACATTCAAAATATAGCTTTGAAATAAAAAACTTAAAAAACATTCAATGACTTTTCATCAGTAGGAGCTCATTCAGGAAACAAACTATATCACGAGCCAGTAGTCAAAAAAATAGTTTACAGTAAACATAATTTTTTAATTTCATTTTAATGAATGTGTTTGAAATGCCAAAAATACAAAAATTTGTGTTTGAAGATTAATTTCAAAAATGGTTTGGAGTTAAAAAAGAAAATATTTTAGCATATATTAAATTGAGATGAGTAAAAATTATGAATTTTAGATGAAATTTAAGCTAAGACTATTGATATAATTACTTATTACTCGCTATTTCATTCATATTTTAGTCAATATTTTGATAGAAAAAAATTGAAATTAATGAAAGAAAATTTACTTGAAAGATATATTAATCTATATCAATCATTTAATGAATAATATTATTTATAAAAAAGCTGGAAATACTGCTTCTCTTAAAAGAGTGGACAAAATTTAAGAAAAAGTACAAAGTATCTTAAATCACAAAAGAGAGAGAAGTGATCATTTAGAGATCAAATTATTACAAAACAAACAGAAAATTGTCAATTCATATTGCACTACAATATCCTCAAGCAGCCAAATCGAACAGACACCAGTAAATTATCATTAAAATACAAATTATTTAGTTAGTCATACAAAAATAATATATTTTATTAATTGATTATTTATTTATTGATGAATTTATTGATTTTTATTTACAAATCTTAACTAAATAAATAAATAATTATCTTTAAAAATAAATATTTAGCATAGAAGAAATGATTCTAAACATAAAACTTATTAAATTAATGAAAACATAATTACTATCACTAGTTAGAATAATAAATCCTCTTCTGAAAAGAAAAATACTCTCCTTGGTAAGAAGTAGCACGAATATATCGCTTCTATTAAATATGCTTAAGAGCCTAAAGAAGTAACTGTTGATTTGTCATCTGACAAAAATGGAAAGCTGAAACCTTTTACAAATTAAAACAAAATCAAGAATATAAATGCTAACCTGTATCCAAAAAGAAGCAACAGTGCTAGTAATAGAGATAATAATATTTAATTTAACAACAATGCATATGACTCAAACTAAAATAATTTCGGGAACGTAAATAATTACACTACGAATCCCAGATAGTTTCAAACTCCTGTTAAAAAACTGATAAACATACAGAGTAAAAATTAAAATGAGGAATTAAGCACAGAAAAAAAAGTTCGTGAGAAAAGTGTTAACAATTAAGAAACACCTTAAATTAACCTAAAGACTCCTGTTAAAACAGAAGACACTGTGCTTAAATAAAAAAATATTAACATGCAATAACAGTAGCAATAGAACAAAATTCAGAGTTTGATTAACAGTCCATTCTAAAATAACAAGTTAAGCACAAAATAAGAGGATAATCAAAATAATTTCATCAATAGCATGAAAAATAATTTTAAGAAAGCTCAAAATGAGCAACAAACTTATGAATATGAAAAGGCATAACCACAATATAGACCTTACACAGCAAATACTCCTGCTAAGAAAAATTTGATAAATTAAAATGCTACAGCATAAAACTTTAACATTCAATTACCTTAAGCACGCCATATGGCTCCTGATAGCGCTGGAATTCAGTCACCTCATGGAAATAATAACAATCATAACACTTTCAGCTAGTAGAATAGCTGCTAATAAAACGACCTCTTTGATACCAACGTAAATATTCAGCAATTCAGATTAGAAGGCGAGCTTGGAAAAGGTAAAAATTAAATTTTGAGCTTTAATATAAAAATTGACTAGTGGCTGTTTTTAAAAAGTTTTTAAATTAAAAATGAGCTGATGAAAGAAATTGCTGCTAATCAGAATTTAATTAAATTTTAATTAAATTTCTATTATTATAATTCATATATTTATTTTTTAAAAGGTGCTTATGCAACTGTAAAGCTTGCTGTAGATAAGAACAGCGGAGAAACGTATGCTCTTAAGATATATCAAAAATTTACTTTAACTGACCCAAATAAGATGAGAAATGTAAAGAGAGAAATTTCTATCTTGAAAAGATTATCTCATCCTAATATTATCAAAATGCCTTATGCCTTCTAAGACAAGAATACCGTATAAATTAATTAATTTATTAATCAATATTTTATAATTAGTGAAAATTAATAAATTAAATTTATTTTTTAATAGATTGTTTTAGTCATGGAGTGTCTGTCTAAGCTATCACTGCATAGGTATTATAATCATTTATTTTTTTATTCAATTAATTTATATTTTATTTTAAATAATTTAAAAAATGAAATATTATTTTCATAAAAATCTTTTGAATTGTATAAAAAATTATCAATTTCTTTCCCGTATTTTTTATTTATATATATTTTATTCATTTCAAAATTAGATTTTTATTAAATTACCTTAATGATTTTCTATATGAATAAATTATAATTTTATTTAAATAGTTACCTCAAAAAGAGAGTAGATAGACGAGTATCGGAGTCAGAAGCAAAGATAATGTTTCATTAGTTGGTCAGTGGTATAGATTATTGCCACATGAGAAACATTGAACATAGAGATATCAAGCTCGAAAACATTCTCGTAGATGAGTAAAACAAAAACATAAAGATCATTGATTTTGGCTTCAGTATTTGCTCTGCTGTTAAGCTAAAGATATTCTGTGGAACTCCAACTTATATGGCACCAGAAATAGTTTCTAAGGTAGACTATTGTGGTAAAAAAGCAGATATATGGGCTCTTGGCATTGTTTTATATGTATTACTATGTGGCAAATTCCCTTTTAGAGGTATGTCAGACAATGAATTATTTAAAAAGATCAGAAACTGCGTTTATGATCCACCTAATCACGTGAGCGAAAAGTGTCTTAACCTCTTAAAGAAACTCCTAAAATTCAATCCATCTGATAGACCTGACTGCTATGAAGTAATTAATCATTTTATAAATATTTATTTTTCATTTCATGAATATTTAATATTGAATTAAATTTAAAATGCTTAATAACCAAAATATATAATAACTCAAATTTATTTATAAATTAGATATTACAAGACTCCTGGTTTTATTCTGGTTGAAAACAAAAAAATAAGTAAGACTGCTTAAAAACGGTCTCTATAACCCAATTTAAACTACTAAAAAAATTACTAACTCTTCCAAACAAAAACAAACATCACTCAATCAATGATTAATTGACTCACTATTTCAATATAATAAAAAACATTAAACAAAATAAATAAAAAACTAAATCACTAACTAACTCCTTCCTTCACTCCTACATTAGTTTGAATACAAAAAGTATTTAAAATATAATAAAATATTATTTTATTTTAAAAAAATATCAAATTTATTGTGTTAATTATTATTCGTATACAAATTTATAAAATCATACATATAAATACATATAAAAGCATTTATTCACAAATTTATTCTTTAAAATTCAAGAAATAATCTAAACAAAAAACAAAATTATTTAACACAAACAGCAATTAAAAATTAAGAATGAATGATTAGTTTTTATTTTTGATAACTTTTTTCCAGTAATAACTATAAATTTTCTTTTGATGGTAGGAATTTCATATATATATTTATTCTCATATTAGTGAGTTTTATTCAGCTCTCTAGCTAACATAAAATTTGTGCTAGTAATTTACTCACTGAAAAATCAGTAGCAGTAAATTAATTATTAATCAATTAATTTAATAAAGAAATAAATAATTTTTAAGTTTTTATTATTTATAAATAATTAAATTAGAAATGATTGATTGATTGATAGATCATTGTAAAAAAATAACTTATATGTTTAGATTATAAAACATCAATCAATATCTTTTTGTATATGCATTCATTAATAAAATCAAATAGTTTTCAAAGCTTATTTTTAATAAATATAAAGTATTGCAATCAAAAAAAGATTGGCTAATTATTTCTTTTAATTCACATTAAACCAAAGAAAATACCTATTTATTAAAAGAAAAGACAATATTTAGTTTATAAGAGATAGTAAATTCTTAGCGTTAGTTTTAAGATGGACGATATTTAGGATAATTTTGCTAATGATTTAAAGAGCGTCAACTTTTAAGTTGCTCTTGATGTTTTTAAGAAAGAAGAAATCATTTTATAAGGAAAAAAAGAAAATTTTGATTTGTATTTAATTGAGAGATTATTTCCTGTGTTGTTAGAAGGTTTAGAGAGATTAAGTAGAGAAGTAGAAGCTCATAAGGAAAAGCCTGAAGAAGTCAGAGAGCGTTTCAATCCCTGTATCTTTTTAGGGTAATATCTGATGAGAAACAACCCTAAACACAATGAAAATAAAAAAGATTAATTACAATATAAATAAATATATGAATATGTTAGGTATGAGAGATTTAAGAGACATTTTGAAACTAAAAAGTAGTAATTCCTCAAACTTTTTATGAATAGCATTAAAAAGGAGTAAGCTCACTGCGATTAAAATTAAATGAAATCCTTCTATAAAGATATCGATGATAAATTAAAGCTTAATGGTAGTCTTAACGAGTTTGTCAATTCAAATAAAACTCTAAGATAACTAAAATAAAATGTTTCGTTTGACAATGTACTAAACGAATTAACAAAATATTGTTCCCACCACCAAAATCTTACGTTAGAAAGTTTCAATATCTTATTTTGAAATAAATAAATCATTCATAATAATGATGGCATTCTTATAACTAAAATTCTCTTCTACTTTAAATATATTTAGTATTATATTATAATAAGTTTTACAAACACAAACACATACATAAATACATACTTACATAGATTCGTGTTTTATTTTAATGATTTCAAATAAATGACTCAAATTAAATTTCATTAAATAGAATCAATACACCAAACATACAAACAAAAAATAAAGAAATAACAACTATTTTTTGAATTAGAAATCCATCTCTTACAAAATTTAGATTAATAAAATTCTAAAATAATTTTTTTTAAGGATGAAAAAGCAGATTACATAAAGAATTACTGTATTTCCTCATTTATTTTAAAATAATATTGTATCTTAAATTAAAGAAGGTAGTAAAATATAATGTCTCTTAAATTAGAACGGTCTCTTAAATTAGAAGTCACTTAAATTAGAGGAAATACTGTATATGCTTTTAATATTTATTATCTCAAAATTTACTTTAATAGTTAAAGTCCAACAGAAAAATTAAAATAAAACCATATATTGTTTAGTTTTTATTCAAGCAATGAAGCAATTAATGATTTTGTTTGATATCAAAGTATTATTTTTTTCTGTCATTTATAAATCAGGTAAAATTTTATTCATGATCTATTAAACATGTAATTTTACTCATATTATTATTATTTGTAAGTAACATAAAATTTTCTTAATTTAGATGATAAGGTTTTAAGTGAATATGAAATTAAATTCAGTGTTTTATTCTTAGTACTACCTAATAATAATTAATCAGTTTTATCTAAAAAAACAATTATTTTAGAAATATGAAGCAATTTTAATTTGTTATAGAATTAATGAAGTATTATTAGCTGTAAAGCTTTTTTCATTATTTGATAAAAGCTATCATGTTTACTTATAATTAAATTATTACTTTCGAGGGTATTGGATTCATAGTATTGTGAAAATTTTATTAAGATTTAATTATAAGGGTTTTAACATAAATAAATTAATTGAATTTACTTTAATTATGATAATACATATAATAAATTTGCATGTGAATTTAAATGTAATAAAAGTTCTTACAATTAAAAGCCATACTGCTTTACAGAAAATGGTAACAAAAATATCATTTTAATATTTAAAAAAATATACAGTGTCAAGTTTACTTGAAGAAATAAGCTTTTTTTATTATTATTTTTTTTATTCATTTTTCTATATTAAATAAATAATTGTCATTAGTTTTTAACTTTTTGTATAAATCAATAAAGTTATTAAAGTTTTTTAATTGTTATTTAGAAAATGATTACATTTTTTATGAATTTTAAGTGAAATAAAAATTAATATAAAATATAATAGAGGTTTATTATATACAATTTATTTATTTAATTTATATAATTTCAAATTTTGTTTAAGTTTACTTTTTATAGAACAAAATAAATAAGTAGAGATTGTTAAAATTTATCATTTTGCATTTAATTTTTCTATAAAGATGCAGCTTTATAATTGAGAATTTTATAAAAAAGTTAAATTTATTATCATTTTTAAACAATTTGTAATATTTTAGCAAAAACTTTTGCAGTTTAAAATAATTTTCTGTACTAATTTTAATTATTGGATTTTTACTTAGAAATTTTTAAATAAAATATAGCTATCTTATTAGGCAAAATGAAATCCACGAATGTATTTTATAAAATAAAAGAAAACACTAATTTAAAAACATATTTTGATAATATTTCTAAGAAAGTCAAGTTACGTTATCCTTTTTTAAAGCAATTTATTTTAAAAAAAGCTTTCTAATCAGTGCCAAATATATTATGGTGGAATGCCTATTATTCTATAAATAAATTACGAATCCTCTTTTTGTGGTTAATAATCAATAATTTTTTTTTCGATCTAAGAGCTCTTTTTGTTAATTTATTAAATTACACAATAAAATTAATTAATTAGATTTTGTTTGTCAAACAAAATTCCACATGTTTGCCAATTAAAAAACTGTTTGAAGAAAAGAAAGAGTTTATATGGCTACAAAATATTAGATAAAAGTTTAATACTTATATATTTATTAATTAATAGAGTTAATAAAGAACATTTAAAATTTGTAGTAATTATAAAACAATTATCAGCAATTATTCAATTAAAAATACTAATAATTGAATTTTTGAGTATGATAATTATCATTTCATCTAAGAAAGTAAAGCGGCCAATATTTTTAATTACATTAACCACTTAACTTAACTAGCTCAAATTTCATTTTTATGAATTCTGTAAAAGCATGTAAATTGAGTTTATTTCTTCTATTTCATCTATGTAGTTGCATTTCAAAATACCTAAATTAAACAAAAGTCAATCGATAATTATTTAAAAATGAAACTGTTAGCTTTTTTAAGTTTAAGTTACATAATAGGTTTTTGTTTAAATTTATTTTAATTCGCATAATTAACAAATAGATCAATAGATCGACTTTCTTTGAAATCAGACAAAACAAAAAAAGAAAATTATCTTTTTTAAGGGGTTATTATTTGTTAATAGATATTATTTATTTTAGGCTTTTTATATAATACAAATATACACTTAAGAACAATCATAAATTTATTGAGCATATTAATTAATTATAAAAAAATAAGAATCTATGAAGTTTGTATTCTAGAAATAATTTTATTGGTATTTAGAAGGCTACATTATGAAGTAAAAGACATAAAAAATAATATATATAACATAGAATGAATGAAAATAGAAATAATGAAAGTATGCTTAATTTAGTATATTAGCTAATGAACTAAGGTATTATAAATAGAGAATGTATGAGTGATTATTTTACTTTTGAATCTATAGAGAAAAATTAATTGGTTATTAGATTATGTTTAATATTCTTTATTTTTTTTATTACATTAATTATAAATTAGGCTTTTAGTTAATTAATTGTTTAGTTACTATGTAAGTAAATTAATTGATCAATTAATTAATTTATTTATTTATTTATAAATTAATAATTAGAGATATATTAGATGAGATGAATTATATTAGTGAGAAGATTTGCTGCTTAGCTGAAAAATATTATTATGATACGATAAGATTTTAGTGATATTACTTTTAGAAAATTAAATAATTGGTTGAATATTTTAGTTTTAATTGTTTGGTCTTAACTTTTTATTCCAAGTTTCATTATTGTTTCGAAGTAAAAGATCCATTTAAAGAGTTTGTTTGGGTAGTTGAAGTGAGTTGGGTTTTTCTTCTTTGGAATAACTTTGAGCTTTTGAAGCTGCTAAGTAGTCCTTTTTGGTGGCGTTAGATGATTTTTTTATCTTGGATTTGTGTAAGAGGATCTTAGCCCTCTTTTTGAGGAGGCATAACAGGCATATTTTACAAGCCTTCTCTCATAAATTGTAGTTATTTTAATGTCATTGTGTAGTCAACAACAGAGTTAAAACCATCTGCTTTTTAAGATTATTTGTAAGCATTTTTACTAGCTCTCTTAACCTCCATAGTGACAATAGAAAGCCTACTTGTTTTTTTAGTTAAATCTCTTGAGGAACTAGAAGGTTTAGCATTATGGCAACCCATAATCGATAGATAGATATATAGTAAATAAATCAAGTTAAAGTTATTAAATAAAAGCTGAATAAGTAAAAGTTTTTTTAATTAATTTATTATATCAGCGATTTATGTATTTGATCTATTCATTTGAAAATTTTTTGTGTTCTTTAATCAATCGCTTAGCTTTTGAAATTTTATCTGTAAACCCAGCCAGTCTTTTTATATAAATAAAATAATCTGTATTAATTGAAGGGATTAATAATTATCTTAATTCTGGTATAAAAATAGATTTGATATAATTTATTAAAAAAAGCTAAGCAGCGGTGCATAAATTAATTAATTAATTCTAAAGAGTTTTAAATTTAAATGATTTTTTTTTTTCTTACTTACAGTTAATTACCAAATTATATATATTCTATTAAATATAAGTTAACAATTTATGTATTTGATAAAACAAACTCTCTGAAGTCTAAAAGTAAATGCTCAGTTAATTTTTTACCCTTTAAAATCCAGCCTTTTTGATTTGCACATAATGAAATGATATTTTTTACGTAGTATTCTTGTAAAGGGCTTTAGGTAATTATTAAGAACTGTATGAATTTTACTAAAAAAATCTCGAATTTTGACTATTTTTAAAATTTATATTTTTAGCAATTACAACCAGTAAATATTTATATTAAAAAATTAATTTAAGAATTTATGTTATTTCATTATAAAATGATCTAGAAATATTTTATTTTATAATTATTTTGTTATTTCACATATATTTGAGCTAGCTCGAATGATAAAAAGAATATTAATTTCAACTTGATTTTATCAATTTCTAAAGTTAAAACAAAATAAAAATGTTGCATTAATATTATATATTTATTTATTCAGTAAAAAGAAAGTAAAAAGAGTTTTTTATCAATAAAACCTTACTCTAAACAGTATTGTAAAAAATTGAAAAATACGTTATTAATCAATAACAAATATTGTATACTATTCGATATCAAATATTAATCTATTTGTCTATCCTCAACTTCATAACTGATTTTTAATAGTAACGCTTTATGAATATTTTTTGAAAGTAAAATAATACATTTAAAGCTAACTTACATTTTTAAGTTCTTCAAGCACCCAGTTTTATAAATATTTTAAATTTATTTTAAAATATAAAAAAAATAATTATTGATTAATACTTTGTTTTTATGCATCATATGTTCATTTAAAATCACCAAAGCAATTAAATATGAGTTTTCTGAAAAAAGATTACTAATCTTAAATAATAAAATAAGTACATAGAAAAAATTACCTTTGTATAACCTTTAAAAATTTCTCTTAAAACTAATTTGATTTTTTCATTTTTTCACAATACAAATTTCTTGCTTTAGAAATTCTATAAATTATACATATAAAACTTAGTAATGATAAAAGAATAAAATCTACTACCAAAATATGAATTAAATTGATTTTAAAAACAATAAAGATTAATAAATGTATTTATTTTTTAGATAACTTGGCCTCTCTTAAGAAATTTATATTATAAAAACAAACATATTTAATAGCTTTAATTTGCTTGACTGGCTGCTTTAAAAAAATATATTTAAATTATAGCTTTTTTATAATATTTGAAAGAATATTAAACTAACCAGGATATTGTTTAGCTGATCGACAGGTTGAGAGATTATAATTTTGTAAAAAAAATTTGAAAGAATATTGAATTAGACAGATGTTGATTGATAGACTGACTGACTGACAAAAATAAGAATGGTAAGAATTTGAAGATTTATGCACATATAATTTAGTTAGCAAATACAAAATATTAATTTTATATATTCTATGTTTAGTTTATAAATATTTTTAATATATTTTTAAAATTTCAACTTCACTAAATTATTCTCTTTTTATTTTTTATTTTTGATAGATGGAATTATAGATAAATGAATGAATGGATGGATGGATAGATGATGAATACATAGATTGGTAAATAGATAGTAGATAATTTAATTGATTAAATATTTTCTTCTAATCAAATCCTAAATTCTAATAATCATTGCTATTTTTATTAGTTTTAGATATTGTATCAATTTATTACTATTAATAAATAAGTTTCAAAGGCAAGTTTCTGCAATTTTGAATTTGTTTTATTTTTTTAAACTTAAAATTTTTTTGTTATTCTACTTTTATTGTCTTCTCCTATCTATCAACTTATTACCAATTAATCAATGATAATTTATCAAATTCTCATGATTATTTTTTCGTGTTGACAATTCTGGTATTAAATTTTAGGCTTTATGCAATCTTAAAAGTATATTTTCAACTAATACTCATTTAGATTGTTTTTTTAATTCTAGGGCAGAAGCAAAAATTAGTCAAAGTTTAAAAAAAAACTTTTAAATATAAAATTATTTTATTTATCAATATTGTTATTATTTAGCATTGATTGTTATTATTATTATTATTATTATTATTACGCCTTTATTTAATGCTTATAATTCAATCAATTAAGCTGTTATATATTGATTGATTATATCGTAGTTTTGATAAAAGAATTATTGGGAATAAATTTAAGAAGATAATTAACTTTATTTTCTTAAAATTTAATAATTATTGGTAATTTATTTTTAAGTCAAAATTAGTATTAAGATAGATAGATAAATTGAAGGAAGGAAAAAGGTTTTAAATTCTTCTATAGATTTATTGATAAATAAAAGGGTATGTTAAAGGTTCAAGAGTAGATTAGATGGTATCAATGCTAAATTTTGTTCCATTTAATTGATAAACCTTAGAATTATTAATTCAGCTAGCAGGCTGAATGCATGTATATTGCATTCTGTCTAAGATTATGTTTAACTAATGTAGGATTTGATTAGAAGAAAAAATAAATAGAAAAGTGGTAAAAATTAAAAGAGTTAGAGATAGAATTTAAATTGTATGCCTTTATAGATTGATTGATTTATTAATAAAGCGATTTTTGTTTATAAAACTAATTGCGCATTCAAATCATTAATTTTATGGAACAAAAAGAGTATTTGTTTTTGTGTAGTCTTGTTAGAGATTCTTGTTGGATTACTTCCTAGTAAATTGTTTGAAATAGTCAGGCATAAAGTAGTCTCTAGATGGCTAGATATCTAAAGCATGGATAATAGCCTTTTTTTCAAGCTTTTTCTTGAGTGTTGTTGATTTTTTTAATGTAGCAGCTTTATGGAGCGTCATTTTTCTATCCACCAACCCATCGTTTATCATGCCATCGCCTATATCAGCCAATGAGATATCTTTTTTATCATAAATTCTTTCATACTGCAAATAATCTTCTTCTTCTGAAAGCTGAGGTGTGTGACCTTCTCTTATTTCTGTAGAGAGAAGTACGTCACTGTAATTATCTTCTTCTTCTTCATCTTGCATTTTTTAATCTTCAATCTATTTCATTGATTTTCCGTTGATGGTAAATGTGTATTTTAATGGAGGATTATCTGCTGCGTTATTTTGTTAATTTTCATCATTCTGATCATCTTTTGTCTTTGAAGGAGAAACTCCTTTAGCTTTTCCAATTACTTCTTCATCTATATTTTAATCATTTTTAGGAATTATCTTTTAATCATCATTATTAATACCATTTTGGTTTCTACTATCAAATAATCCTGATTGATTGGCTTCTTCTACATTTTACTGATTCTTAGCATTATTTTTTATGGTATTTGTTCTGTTGAAGCCTCCTTTATTCTAAGATTCTTTACCGTTATTGATCATTTTTCCTTATTAACAGCCCATAAAGTGATGATGATTTATTTGCGCTTGACTCTGCTCGATGATTATAATCAATAAATAAAAGTAATAATGTTTTTTTTGCAAACAATCAGTGTTTAAATGTAAGAGCTAAAATTTTTTAAAGAATATGCAAAGCAAAGGGACTACCTACTTGCTGTTTTTTTAAATTTTATCTAATTCTAAATAATTAAATATTTTATGATTAAAAATTAGTGCTCTTCTACTATATTAGTTATCTATAATTTTATTTCTTAATTAATCTTAATTCGAATTAAGTTTTTATTATTTGAAGTTTGTTTTATTAACTCATTCTAGCACGCAAATGGATGATGATTAAAACCTCTCATTATATTATTATTTCATTATAACCACTTCTTTAAAAGAGCCAAATTAAATTAATAAAAATAGAAAATGAGAGAAGATCAATATGTATCAATTTTTATCAAAAAATTTTACTGAATTATTCTCAAATTAGGCCTATTTTTCAATAATTTAAATAGAAACTAACTAGCACACACATAGACACAAATATAAACATATTTGCAATTTTAAATTTTAGCAAAAAAATAATTCTTAAATGTCTTTAATCTTTTTTATATAAAAAAATTACCACACTTAAAATATATTACTTTCTAAATAAATTAATTGTTTGTAAGCTATAAAAATTGTTATTTAATGTATTTAAAAAAGAGTAAATAATTTGCTTAACTAACCAAATTAAATCAAACAAATTATCATTTTGTCATCAAATAAAATCCATAAAAATAAATTTATTAATTAAAGTCAAAAATATAGGAATAATTTACACTTATTTGAATCTTAAAGTAATTTTAATCAGATTTTTGAGTGAAAAATTATCATCTAATTTCATAATATTTAAAATAAAAAATACTTTTTGCAGTTATTTAGGCTTCATTAAAATATTTCTTTTATATTTTTTATTTAATTTTTATTACAATTTACATCTAAATAAAAAAATCTTTTAATTTTAAAAAATTTTAAACTAGTAATTTAGTATTTTTTTAGTGTGTTTTAGAAAGTTATTATTAAATGATAAATAAGAATAAATTATGTTTTTATTAAATATAAAATTTGAAAGTAATTCTTGATAAACTATTTTTATACAAAAAATTTACTAATTCTTTCAATATATAGTGTTTATTGAAAAGATCAATGTTTTTTTCACTCACCCTATTTCAGTTTATGCTATTTGCTATTTATAAAAAAAGTAAATTTATTATGAAATTCATTTAAAATTATAGTCTTTTTTTAGAGTAATTTCTAAACTTTAAAATTATTTTAAAAGATAGATAAATAACAAAATAATTAATCAATTTATCTTGATTCAGTAGGTATTTGAAGAAATATAAATTTATTTTAAATAAATATATACTTTTAAAAGCAACCTATATTTATTTATTTATAATTTAATTTTAAAATATTCTTTAAAACATATTTTTATAAATCGTTTGAAATTTAAATGCAATAAAATATTCACAACCTACAATAATCATTCAGTCTATCAGTCAGTCAGTCTTAGCAACAAAAAATCAATAATAAATTTATTTATTTAGGTGATTAGAATAATGTATTTAATATTTTTATTACAACTAACAGAGAATAATTATAAATAATTTAATATGATAGTTCGTATGATAGTGATAATGAATTATTATTTATTATTTGGCTGGTTTTTTATTAAAAGATTTATTTTAAATTCAATATTTTTTAAATAGCAATTAATTAATTAATTTCTTAAGTTATCAAACTATCTATAAATAAATGTAGGAGGAAATAATTTAAATAGGAAAAAATAATGGAAGAAGGATAAGCTTTGGTAACAACCCTATTCAAAGCGAGAGATAGGAGAAAGCAGACATAGTTTTGACTCATTAGACCAATATGATAAATATAACTTACAATGAAGAATTTCCTATTTAAGAAAAGGAGTTTTGGCTTTAAGGTGAAGAGGATGAAGATGATGAAGCAGATTACAATTAAGTATAAAATTAGGCTGAAATTTAAAAAAAGGGAGAAAAGAACTAGCTTATTTTACATTCAGATCAAAATTTAGCAGAGATTCAACAAATAGGAAAAAAAGAGTTCTAATCTAACAATCAAAACAATAAATGCGAAAAAAATGAAGATGATGAGTTATCCGAAAAAATATAAGTGCCATTGATAATTTTAAAAAACCATTCAAAGAATAGTTAAGCAAAGAATTAAAAACCTATTTTATCGACTCAAGCAAACATATCGTAGTATGCTACAAACAATTTATTGAGCAGTCCATCACTGAAACCTTAGTTTGAGTATTAGTTTGCTACTTCAATAGATGACACAAAAACTCCTTAAAATAATAAAAGCAATCGCAAGAAATATTAAAATTAAAGTGGATTTGCGTTGAGAGAATTAGCTGAAGATGAAATTGATCTTTCTCCAATAGGAGGATAAAATAATATGAAATCTCCTATGAATGATTTACAAAGCCCTAACATGAGTAGAGATTTGACACAAGATTTTAATTTGCTAAAGATGCAAAAAAAATAAATGAAAATTGATGATAGATATTCTTAGTAGCAATTTGAATGGTAATAACCTTAGGATTAAGGAGAATAGTAAATGAACTCAGCTAAAAACCCAGAAAATAATGTTCAAAGCAATAATAACAATAACGAGTGAAATAGTGACAACTAGTCTAATATAGAACCCAAACAAACTGGAAAAATTATTTCAAATAATCAGCTCAATCAGTACCCAAGCTTTAACTACTGTAGCGAAGCTGACAATTAAGATTAATAGTCAATATAACTAAACAATTAAGTTACAGCTCAAAATTTTGATTAAGAGTATGAAGAACCTTACAGTTACCACTAGCACAACATAACATCAAATCCAAATATTTTATAGCCAGACTCAAGGGTTCCAACTGACTTTGATGATAATGAAGATGATTAAAAGAAAAATACAATAACGGCTATGACCAATAAATACTTGAATCCAAATAATGCCAAAGAAACATTAGAAAAAGGAATAGGCAGGCTGCTCTTTTAGCAGTAATAATAAAAGAACAATAATAGTAGAAACAACACTCCAAATAAATCTGTAATAAAAGCTAAACAGAGCAGTAATAAATTAGCTCCACAAGTTTTATAGATAAATACTCAGGATAAACAATAAATACTTAGTTCGCCAAGCTTAAATTAAGAAATAGTAAGAACTTAAATAGAAAACGAAGAAAACGGAAGGACAATAACCTTAGAAGTTGATCAATAATCTATTGAGTAGTTCAATAATTTTGAAAACTAAGAAAAAAATAGTTAGCATGAATCCAATTTAAAAGTAAATATTAAAGCAAATAACGATAAAAATATTATAACAACAACAGAAGTTTTAAGTGACAACTAGCAATAAAGAGTAAATATTAATTTTTAAAATTAATTAAAAGAGAACTAAAAATAAATAAATAATATTATTTTAAATCAACAAATAAATAAATAAAAAATAGTCAAGTGATGATATTAAAGTCAGTCCAAGAAGAAAAGATAGTAAAGACTTATATCAATAATCTCCAAATAAAAAAATAATATAAAATGATAAAGCTATATAAAAAGCAAATCAATAATAATAAACTCCACACTCAGAAGATAATCTATTCGAGGATGAAGATTTTGGAGAGTTTCAAGAAGAAAAATTTCAAGATTAGGAATAAATACAACTTAAAGACAATTAAATAAGCGTATCATTAAATTTAAATAAAATTTATTAATTAATTTTTATTTCTTTTATTTACTTTAGCAAAAAGAAGAAAATTAATATGAAGATGATGAATTTGATGACTTTGAGGATTCCAGTCCTACAAAATCTTCTGAAAATTATAAAAATAAAGATATAGATATAGTTGTAAAAGAATAGCCAACAGCATTTAAAAATCATGAAAGTTAAAACTAAGCTAATTTAATAAATTAATAAAAATAAGCAGATGATTTAAACTCAAATGTTTTTGTAATTCATTTTTTAAATTTCATCAAAATAAAAACTTATTAATCATATTAGAATATTTTAGATTGCCATCCTAGCTATATCAATAATTAGTTTAAAAGTATAGCATCAGCGGTTGTAGATAAAATCTAAACAAATTTTGACTACTACTAAAATTTCTAAATTAAAGATGTTAACAAATCTAAAACTTAAAATGAAAAACAATTCCTTGAGTAAATTAAACTTAACTTATAATTTATTAAAATTAAAATTTTTTTAAGATATGAAAAAAGATTTAATTCATACTTAAGTTAAGTTTTTAGAGAGCCAGGGCTTTAAGCATTTTGTTTACAACATGAAAATGTAGTTGGCAGCAATAAAAGAATTCACAAAATTGATGATATAAGTAATATTTATTTATTTATTTATTTTTATAAACAATTTTAAATATAAAAATAAATAAAAAAAAGATGGACTTAATGATGAAATTAGACTCGAATACATAGGAATTAGTGAAGAACTTACTAAATTTTGGGAAAAAAGCAAATAAAAATCCAAGTAAATTTAATTTTTAAAACTTTTATTTTATAATTAATTTATTTAAATCAAAAGTTAAAAAAATTTTATATTTATTGAATGATGCTTATATAAATTAAATTAATTTGATAAATGAAAATTAAAAAATAAATATTAAATTTAATTGTTTAAATTTGTTAATAAATTTTATTAAATGATAGCCTTTTAGAACTATGTGGAGTTGATGATGAAGAGTCAGCAATTTAATAAGACTAAGTCTATTATCAAATCCAAGAAAAGAAGCTTAATCACATAATAAATAACCAAACAGTAATAAAATCTAAAAAATAATGAAATAAAAACAAAACTAAAAATAATTTTTTCAACAACTATAAAAAATAAAATAAAAAAAACATAATAAATAAAATTTATACATTTTAATAATCAAACAAAATACTTTCTTTAGATATAAATAGACTTTAAAATTTTCTATATTCAATAAATTATTTAAAAAATAACCAAAATATAAATAAATATTTATATACATACATAATGACTCACTTAATTGTATTATTTATTAATTTAAAGAAAGCAAAATTAAAAAAAGAATAGTTTTATATTTTAATTAATAAGTAAATATCTCTTTATTGATTTATTTAATAGTATAAAGTATATATATATATATATATATATATACCACAGTAATTTGTAAATAAGATCTCATGGTTTTTAAAATATTTCTTACAGTTAAGCAATCATATCATACCAATTAAAATATTTTTCCTTCTTTTTTTGATAGTATGCGAACTAATTTATTCATATCAAAAGTTACCTTAATTGTATCAGTCGAGAAAGTTATGCTAATATTTTTTTAAATTATTAAATTTATTATTTATTTTTAATTAGTATTAAAAAATAATTTTTATGAATCTTGAAAATTTTTAAAAATTTATTTTTTTTGAAAGGGAAAAATGATAATATTTATCTAAAGCAGAAATTTAATTATTAATTTTATTCTTCTTTTTAAATAACAAATAATTGCATGATCATACTTTTAATTTGTAATATTTTTTTATGAAGTGCATTTTACGCTTAAATAAAAACCATCTTGAAAAAAAATTCATTCTTAATTTTGTAGCAGATAAAAATTAAAAAGGTAATTTGATAAGTTTATTTGCCTTTAATAATATATCAATCATATTAATTAAAATGATAAAGGTTTTACTTAGTTTTAGTGTATTCTAATCTTTTCATTTCTCTATATTAAGCAACTGATATATATATTTTATGCAGCAGCATTCTATTTGGATACAAGTGCCTGTTATAAGAAGTAAAATTATCTAAAAACTCTTCTTTAGCATAAACAATTAATATCTCAAAGCTTCCTTCATTATTGCAGAATATATAAAATTTGATTGATTTTTCTCTATTTAAAATTTATATAAATAAAAAATTTATTAATCATTTTGAATTAATTTATATTTATTTATTACATTTCAATAATTTATTGATTTTATTAACTAAAGCATATAGAAATCAAGGCTTTCTTTTTAAATAACTTTTATGTAGTGTAATATGCAAACGAATCAGGTTTTTTAAAATCAGTATCGCTCTATTTATTTCCTTTCTCTTACTTTTAATCCTTGCCTTTAGGTCCCTCTTCAAGCTCCTAAAGTTTTTATTGATACTTCAAATTCTACTTGACAGATTCTGGAATCAAAGAGTTTATTAAAATAGCAAGTGTTTTTTACTTCTTAATCACACTTTAAAAAAAACAAAGGAAAAATATAACTAAAAATATTTTAAAATCAAATTATTTATTACATATCCTAAAGTTTAGCTATATTCTCCAGAAGCAAAGCATCTGCGTGAGTTAAAGCTTTTTTTACTAATCTTTATTTTTAACTATGAACTCTCCTGTTATCAATTACCTATATAATTTTTTTATTTTAGTAACAGTAGAATATAAATTTTATAAATAATTTTTTAAGCAATAACAACAAAAAGATTTTAAGTAAAAAAATTCATTTTTATTACATTTTGTATTATTTAAGTAAATATTTTTTTTAAGAATAAAATATTAGTTTATTATTAGGTGATAACGTTTAATAATTATTATTTATTTAATTTTAGGATAAAAAAAAATCCAAATAATAAAAATAATGTTTGGATTAAAATTATTTTGATGAAAATAAAATGTTTTCTAAAATGATTTAAAATATTTTGTTTTTTGTATTAGTAAAAGAAATAGAATATAATTATGTATGTACCTTTCCTAGCATATCTTTATAATATTTAAACTTTTCGTTCCACATAATTTATTTTTTATTTTCTTTTTCTCTATCGTCGTCTGTGCCTTATGATTCTAATTCATCTTAATCTTAATTATTTCTCATTTTATCAAAATTGTGATCACTTTAATTTTAATAATCAATTTCCTCATCATCATAGATTTACAATCCTTTCTTTAACTCTTCCAATAATTAAATTACAGAGTTTTTAAGATCTGGATTTTCTCTCAATCTAGGCTTCTTAGAAAATTTTTCAAAAAATTAATATTCATTCTCTCCTTCTTTAAGTGGATCACAGTTCTTAAGGATCTTATATATTAACGTCAATATTTCTTTCTTTGTAAGTTCGTCATCTTCATAGTCCATTCCATCAGGCTGATTTAGTTTGTTTTATTCTTTATTTTTATAGAAGCTAGCATTATACTCTTTTGATACATTATAATATTTTATGACTCTGAAGTTTTTAATTGCATCTTCTTCAATAAACTCATCACAAGTGAATTCTGTACACATATAGTTCTTTAAACTATTCAAATGTCCCTAAATTTTTTTAATATGTTATTTCAATTCCTTTTTCTTATAATTTATATCAAATGAATTTATAAATACCTTAGAACATTTCCATTATTCTCTCATGTCAGTTTTTATTTTCTTAATGATAAGTTATTGATTTGAAGGTAGATAATGAATAGGTAAAATAGCTTTACAATCTTAACACCTTAATATTTAATAAAATATTATTGTAACTAAGTAAGTAAGTGGACATAAAATCATTAAATTTACTTATAGAAATCTGTTATTTTAAGTATCTAATATGAAAAGTAATTTAAATCACTAGAAAGTTTTAAATTCACTTTTCTTTCTAAAATTTCTGTCTGAAAATCCTCTACATTAATCGATTCGAATTATAAATAAGAAAAAATTATATAAATAGGGTCAAACTTTTTGAATTCTTCATTGATTTAAGCTTTTTCTACCTCTATTTTGTTATTTTATTTTTAAATATAAATTAATTGATTTAAATATTAAATTGTATTATACTAAAATAATTATAATTAAATTAAATATTATTAATTTTGTTGATATTTTTTTGTTTTTTTTCTAAATTTTTTACTGTCTTTTGTTATAACGAAAAGATCACTGTTGCTATGATTTTATGAATAAATGTTATGCATTTAGAAAAGTGTGCCCAACGAAACTTGCAAAAAATGAGTTTTCAAACTTGAGCTTTATTCAACTTGTGATTGTATTTAACTAACTGATAGTTCATAATCTGATTCATGATATAGTGATTTTTAGAGCTTGTCAATAATAGCATCTAGATTTAGATCATCGTCTTATGACTCATCTTAAGTTTCTTAAAAAAAATTTCCATTATCTTCAGGACTGTTGATGCTGTCTTCATCGTTAGATGATTATTCAGTATCTGAACCTCCTTTTAATTTTTAATTTGTTGTTTGTTTGGCCAAATTTATTCTTTTAGTATCAAAGTTTTCATTAGTTTTCTTTTTTGTTTGTTTTTTTATCTCTTTTCTTTCAAGCAAATACTAATTTATATCATCAAAGCTCTTGTTATTGATCTTAATGGAAGCTATTTAAATAAGAAAAGAAAAAAAATGGGATTAAAAAAGGAAGCAAAATAAATTCAATTAATTAATTACATTTTGTAATGAATCTCTCCAATAGCTCAGCTATCACTTTTATGTTGTTTGGAGATTTTAAAATAGGTAAGTAATTAGCTTCTATTTCGATGCCAAATTATTCTAGGTTTTCAATCATGTAGATCATAAATCCGTAGGAAATTAAAAATATAAAATTGTTGAGTTTATTATCTAGAGATAATTCCAAGTATTACAATTTCTTTTAAATTTATCTGTCTATAAAAAATTGGTTTTCATCTTTTTTTTAAATATCATTCTCCTTTTCTTAAAATTTTTCTTTTCTAATGATCTATGCATGTTTTTTAAGAGAATATTTTTTAGCAAAGTTTACTATTTTATTGTGGACGAAAATAAGCTCTTCTGTGAAAATTTATTAATTAGCGTTACTGAAATCCTAAAAATCGTTTGCAATTTAAGACATTAGAGCTTTTATATTTTGTTTGAAAAAAAATCAAAATATTTAGATTTTTCATGAGAAGAAAATTAATATACGTTGAATTGTTCTTAAAAGAAGTTGAGATTTTAGTTAAATTTCTTTTTGAGTGCCTTATAGGTAGTCTAGTAAGTTTGTTAGCTGTTTTGGATTCTCTTTATTAAGTTATAAGCGTGCTGCCATATAAATTTATACACATATATCTTGACCAATAGTGTTTTAAACTAACTTTTTGAAGTATTCAACAGTGGTTTTTTATCTCTCAAAAAGCAAGGTATAGAGATGCCAAAAAAGACTGCTTTGTTGGATGTTTTTAATATCATTAATCTATTATAAATAATAATTAAGATTTTATTAAATTTTGTTATATTTTATTTACATGAATGGAACCAAGCTTGTACTCATGCTTAAATGTCTCTATCGTTAATGTGATGAGTGTAAAATTAGAAGGCCCAACATCTATTGGATTCTTGAATAGCACATTAATTAAAGATTTTAAGTGGAATATAGTCAAAGAGTTTGTTTTCAACAAATTCAATATATAGCAAGGATGATAATAAAGTAAGCTGAAAATAGTTTCATATAACTAGATATTTTTGATCACAAAAGCAGGGATGTTGAAATAAAGTTTATCGAGTAACTCTAACTGCTTCTAATTTGCTTAATTTTTAATTTAAGTTTAAATTATACTCTCTATTTTACTTTCAGCTTATAAAATGTTTTTTTCATTTTCATAAATTAATTTCAAGGATTTAAAAATAATTTATTTAGCCAAATCTTCTAGGTCTTTGTCTTATTTGATCAAATTTTCTTCAAGGCAAGAGTCTTCTTCTTTCCAAATTTTTTTTTGTATCTTTCAAAAAAGCAAAATTTAAATTTATACAAATAATTTTAAATGAATTGAAATTTTTTTTACTTCATCTTATCTTTTGTGATTCTAAGGTAGCTTAGAATATAAGTTGATCTGATCAATAGTTTAATTTACTTCATCATCTTCATCTTTTTTTTATAATTAAGATGTTATTTAATTTATCATCAAATTTTTTATATTTAAAAATCCACTTAAAACAAAAAAAGAGAAAATTAAAATTTAATTTTTTACTAAAATCTGGCATTTAGCTCAAATCTTAATCTATGCTATTTTGCATATCACTATTCATTGAATTATTTTGGCTATCTTCATCAGCTTTGATGTTTGTATCTGAAGAAAAAACATCTTTACTTGAATCAGATCCGAATGATGATTACTCAAGGATATCAATTTCTGCATCATTAAATTCTTAATAATCATCATCATTTTCATCTTCTTCTTCTTCACCTTGCTATTATTGCTATTAACCATGGCTTTATGCAATTCCTGAATTTTTTGCCATTGTTTTCTACTTAGACATAGTATAACTAGCTGCTTATGATTTCATTTTACTTTAGGTACTCTTTTTTTATGAAGGCTCATAATTACTATTTGCATGAAAATCCATTTCATTTTCGTCTTTCGTTTCATCAAATAAAACCTAAATTGATTTTATTAATTAACTATTAATTAGCAAATTCTTATAAAAACTATTTATTTTTAAATTACAGAAACGATTTATGGCTCAGTTGTGAAAAATTAATCAGGAGGTAAATTCAAATTTGTTGTTGAAATACCAAGTCTCCCATTTTAAAAGGAACCCCAAGAGAAAACTTTACCATTTTTATTCATAGCTAAATTATGCATTAAACCTGCTGAAATATACACAATATTATCACAGTCTTTAAACTTGTTGATCTAAGTGAGGTTAATAGGAAGTGTAAACATTTCCTTTAATGGTTCATTCAAGTCAAAATCTTTCATTTAATATTTCATATCTTTCATAGCTTGTTGAATTTCTTTTTGGTCTTTCAAACACAAATTGCCCAAATTACATAATCCCCACCCAAACACAACCTAATTAATTGTTTATAAAAAATATTTTGCAATTATAAAAAGTCTCAAATAAATTTAGAAAGAAAGAAGTACATTATTAAATTCCCCTGTTTAGTCTTATGTCAATGCTAAAGTATGGTATTCAGATACAGAAACTTGCTAAAATTAATGATTTAACATATGGTCTTTTTTTAAATAAATAAAGGTGTCATCAAATCCAGAAAGTCCTTCTTTACTTAGAGATTCAGCTAAACCAGAGAATTTTCTTAAACCACAAGAATATAAATGTCCTAAGTCATCAATAGCTACACTATGAAACATACCCATACCAATTTATCTTATTTATATCTAGATCAAAATCACTTAAAACATATTTCAAAAAATTAAAAATAAATACTTTTCTATCATTTTCAATTTTGACTTTCTAAGGCTTATAGATGATTTAATTTTTAGTTATTTTTTTATTCTATTCATCTAAATCTATTTTCTTTTCTTTTTACTTGATCTCATCTTAAGAATCATCAATGTCAATGTCTGGCCCAAATTAGTTCATATTCATATTATTATTTGTAATTTAAATTCCTTTTTTAAAAATTAAATTGTTAATTCTAAATTTCTAAAATTAATAAAAAATAAATAAAATGATGGATATATTTTAAATCAATTCGATCCCTAATACTATAAATCAATAAAAGGAGCAAAATAGTTAATTTATTTAAAATATAATAATTTTTCTTTACATATAACTTTATGATGAAGAGATATAATAATAATTTTAGAATGAAGATATTTAGTAAAAATTTGGTTTAATTATATCATAATTAATAACTATCTATCTTATTTTTTTAAAATTTAACTAAAAATAACGAATGAATTAATAATTACTTTAACTCATTTAAAATAATTAAACTCCATTTAAAATAATAATTTTATACATCAATTTATCTCAGCTTAAAACACTGTTCAAATGATTTTAATTAGTTTCATTTAAAAATGAATAAAATATTTTTACCCAATTAACCATACAGATTATTTCCCCATGCATATATTTATCTTTTTTATTCTGTAATTGCCATCATTCCTTAAGGACCTGAAGCCAAAAATATCATGGGTGGAATATCGTTAATCATTTTAGGTTCACTCACTACATAATAATTTTTTTCATCATGTCCTAAAACACCACTGTCACTTGTTCCAAATGTCCAAATTTCTCCTTTGTCAGTCAGTAAAGCAGAAAATCTGTCACTGCAAGTGCTCATAATAATTCTTTTTGTTTCTAAAGCTCCTTATATTTTTTAAGGAATATGATTATATTTACACATGTAACCTAAACCGAGCTAGTAATACTTGTTGCTGCCCCAACTATAAGCCACACCTCTTTTTTTTAATTTGGATTAATCATTTGAACTATTCAAATAAAATTTACTTATGAGAGATAGCTATAGCATGAGTGTATGAACAAGACATGAAAATAATTTTATTTTTGAAGTAAGGTATTAAAAAAGGAAAATCAAAAATTAAACTATAATTTTATTCAGGCTATTATTTATTTTTTTTCTAATTTTTTTGCTAAACAGATCCTAATGTGTTTGATTTTATACTACTCTATTTTCTTTAACTTATGCTTGGAGCTCTTGGCATATTTGATCTTGAATACCCAACCGAGCTATTATCACCCCCTATAGACTATACTCCTACTTATGTACCCTCAAAATCTTTCTGTGCCAAAACTAGTTTTTTCTTTCTTATTATCAGTTTTTCATTTTTAGGATCCATAATTAAAAGCCCTTTTTTCGGACTGCCACAAGCATGAATTTGACCAATATCAGAAATAAAAAATGAATTATTTGCAGAGGCAACTATAAAAATGATTTTTTTATGGGTATCTTTTTCATTGTTGTCTTATATAAGCTTATTTATTTTTATAATATTTTAAAGAATGAATGATTAGTAATTAAATAAAATATTTACAGCTTTTGAAAGATTATCAAAAATTAATTTTAATGGATAAACTTCTTCTATAAAATTTATTTCATAATCGGCTTAATCAACAGCTCCTTAACCCATAAATGACAAACTTTCATCGCCTTTTTACATAGCAGCATCATTATCATCATCATTTTCTTATTAAATATCTTTAATTTTTTATTATTCTAAGATTCTTTGCTCCTTTAAAAATTTTTTTATTGAGAAAAATTAAATTTATTTAGGATTTTTCGATTAAATTTTGGCGACTGTCCTTATTTTTTATGGAAGAGAATAGCAATCTTTGTTATCTCTTTGAAATCCTATACCTAGCACACCTCCTTTGCTAGATCCCCAAGAATATAAAATACCTTAATCAGTTAGAGCCATAGAATGTAGCCCACCTGCACTAACCTATATTTTTTTAAATAAATAAAGAAAATTATTTTTTTAAACAAGTATATAATATTAAATAGCTTTTTTTACTTGATAATAAACCTTTTTCCTGAATTTTACTTCGTTCATTCCTACCCTTGTGGGTAAATGAAGACTTTTGTTGTTTTCTTAAACGCCCAGTTTACCAGACATGCCATCGCCCCAAGCATAAACAAACCTTTAGATATTTTTTTTGTGAAATAAAAAATTTATAAAATTAAATAAGCTACCCTTCGTTCGTAATTGCAAGAGTATGAGTCATGCCACAACTTACATGAGTAACATAAACATCTTCTAATACTACAACCTTTTTCGGGTATAGTTCATCAGTTGTAACACCATGTCCAAGACGAAAGTATTAACCATTTCCCCAAGCTTTAAAGCAAACATAAAGCAATTAAAAAATCATAAGATTATAAAAAAAGTATTTACTGTATAATTCTTTTTCATCTGAAATGAAAGCTGAATGTTAGTCTCCAGAACAAATGCTTGTAGCCATAACTTCAATAATAATCATAGTTGGTTTTAATTAATCGTTACGGTGGCCTTGACCAAGCTAACCTCTTGTATTCTTGCCCCAAGTAAAAATTTAACCATTGTCAGTTAATGCCATAGAATGAGACGAACCACAGGCTACCTAAATAAATTTTCTTTTAGGCCATACTAAAAGCTCTGTTGGCTCATATACATTAACAAAATTTTCATTACCAAGTTACCCTTTTTATATTTTAGATTTATTTTGTAATAATAACTGACATTCACGAAGTAAAAATAACTTACCTTGAGTTCCCATACCAAAATAAAATATAGTGCCTTAATCAGTAATTACTAAGGTATGATGGTGACCACACGATACATGCTTGATACCATCTTTTATTTCTTCGTTTATTTCAGTTTTATTAACATAGCTCCTCTTTTTTATAATTAATAATTTATAAATAATTTTATTTTATTTATTATTATGAGAAAGGCTTTCAAATAATATAATTTTAAAAATAATTACAACAAAAGACTATGCATTTTCATTTTTTTAAAATTGATCGTCGTCTTCTTACTCACTTTCACTTGTGTTTTCCTATTACTTTTAACCTCTTCTTCTGACTTTGTTTTTTTATTTAACTTTTATTATAATATTATTAATAATTCATATTTCTGTATAAATAAAGGGAAGATGAATTTTTTTTTTAATTATAATTTGTAGAAATAAATTTATATTGATAAATATTATTTTACATATCTATTTATTAAAAAATTTAAAGTATTTATTATGATAATGAACAGACTAAACTATTGAAAATTATTATTTTTAGAAATATTAAACAAAATAAGAATCTATAAATCAGTAAATGTATAATTGAATCATTCATTCATTGAATTAGTTTCTTTCTTCTTTTTATTTTAGTGTTGTTGGTTAAAATGATGATTCAAATAAATATTTTTTCAATTATTTAAAATAATTTTTTGATATTAGTTAATTATTAAATAATTAATTTTACTTTCTAATGTCTCTTTTCTTAATCCTAATCTTCCAGAGTCAGATATACCCCAAACTATAAGTTTTTAACCTTTTATCTTAGTTTTGTTTGTTTGGTAAAAATACTCTACTAAGTTAAATAAGGTAGGATCTTTCATACAAAAGAAATCATAGAATTCCTAGACTTGTGATACTGAAAAACCTACAGAAGATAATTATTAATTTTAATCCTTCTCCAAAGGAAATTTTTTTTATCTAAAAAAGTCTTCCATTTATTTTCTTTCAATAAATCTTTGCTATTTTAGCTGTGACTAAAAATACTTAAGGACATCTAAATCTAATTAAGCCATTTATTTTGAGTGTGCATCTAAAATACTCTAATATTTTTAAAGATGTAAATAAATAAATAATCAAATCATTTATTTTAAATTCCATAAGAAAACAAATATAATATGTTAAAACAAAATGCTCTTAACTTAGCTTGATTTAGAAAAATAAATATATAGTTTTTACTTAAATTGACGAGGGTGGAATATTATTGAAATCAATTAAATCTAAGATCGCATAGTTTACAATTACTGCTATATGATTTAGACCCATTGATATATGTACAGCCTTATATTATGAATTAAGACCTTTGATATTCATGCAAGTCGGTTGATACTTTTTTATTAACAAAATAATATTGCATTTAAGAAACCTTTTAAAAGCTAAATATTTTAAATTTGATAAAATTCATAATCCATTCTCCAATAATTTAGACAAATATAAGTGATGATTTATATAAAAACAGTCCATATACTTGATTTGTAGTAATATTATCGCCTAATATACCCGTCTTCGCTAAACCCCAAACATATACTTCACCATTTTTATCGATTGCAGCTGAGTTATTCAAGCTGGCTGCAATTTTATCATATTGAGTTTTTCTACTATTCATTAATATTTATGCTTAAAATTGATTTAAAAAAAACTAATTTCTATCAATAATTAATAAATTAATTAATTATGTAAGGATCTAAAATTTAAATATTATCAAGAAAGTATTCGTTTTCTAAAGATAATAAGCTTGCACTATGTTGTGTATATATAGAACGATATTCCTAAATTCATTTTATTATAAATTAAAATGCCAAAAATAATTTGGATTTTCTGATTATTGACTAACTAACTGACTGATTAAATTATTGATGTTTTTTTTTTTTACTATTTCATTTTATTTAAAAAAAAACCTAATTTTATAAATATTAATGAGAGTACCTATGCACATATTTAACAAACTGATAATTTATGTTTAAAATTATAATTGATTTCAAACTAAGATTTTTCAATAAATTCTTTTCAAATTATTAATTCTTAATTTATTTAATAAATAAATACTTTTCATTATCAAATTCAGTCATATTTTCAAATTTTTTATTATTTTTGATATCAAAAATAACAATCAATCTATGTATCTTTTTTTTTCACTAATTTTTTTAATTAAATTTTTTTAATTTTCTAAAACGTAAAACTCTGAATAAAGATAAAACAAAAGTAAATGAAAGATAAGAAATATTTATTAAGATTATTATTATTACTGCTTATAATAATTGCAACATCTTAGTGCTAGTCTGAAGGAATTGAACATAAAGAAAATAAAATGGTCTAAAATGACTTTAGTAATTTAGATTAGTAGCTTAAGTTTAATAGTAGAAATTTAAGACATAAAGATGAATAAATTATAGATTAAAACAATAAGGAAGATATCTTAAGTTAAGGAAATAGTTTAACTTAATAATAGAAAATTCCAGTAAATAATAAACAGGATAAAGCTTTACTAGATATCGCTTCAATTATATTTTTCATTTTGAGTGTAATTTATGCGAATAGGATTACTGACAGATATAATTATATGTAGAGATAATACGAGAGAGAGCTATTGTCTCAATCTCAACAATATTCATAATAAGTAGAAAATATACTTGAGCTTATATCAAAGTCTAGAAGCAAATCAGAGTAAGCTAATTACTCAAATTTATACTTTGTTTTCAGTAAATAAATAAAATTTTATTTGAAAAATTATGAGGATTAAGAGTTTAACATCTCTTAACGTGTCATTAGGTATAAAGATAATGCTGATTAAGATATCAAAATTAATAAAGTTTAATTTTATATTAATAGTAAACTTTAAAAAATCAAGAGCTATTTCAAATTTTTTTCATAAAAATAATTCAATTAAGCAAATCAAAACGTACAAATCAATGATGAAGAAAATTAGAAATTATTAGATCAATCTAAATTGTAAATACCTAAGTAAATTCCTAAAACATATAATGGAATAATATAACAAATATAAGATATATTTAATTGCTTGCTAAGCAATAATTCTAAACTGAAATTTTGTAAAATAAAGTATTTTGGTACAAATAAATACTACAATAACGAAGAGGTCAATGTAGCTATTTATATTTGCTCTGAAAAGATACAAAATAGAAAATAAGCAACAAAATGCAATCACACACAATTTTTAAGTTAAATTGAATAAATAATAACACAATTCATTCATGCAGGATTAAAAATATAAAAACTAAAATTAGATGAAGATATCATTATTTATAATAATAAATTAATTATAAATCCTAACATTATTCTTAGACACGATCCTGAAATATCTACTGCTTATTACTAATATATATACAAAGACTTATGTAAATAAATGTAAATTTCAATAAATGAGGATTATTTAATTAATATATCCAAACTGACGAGTAAATTGTAATGAATAAAAAAAAATCTAAAAAATGTTTTATTAATTTATCGTTTTATTTTATTCTTGTATAAATCAAATTTATAAATGAGAATTAAACTTATTTTATGTTGCTAAGAAAGTCTTTAAAAATACTTGGTCATTCAGTGATCAAGTAGATTTTTTTTTTACAAAAATTAATTTGTCTATGATTTTATAAATAGTAATAATATTAATTAACTATTATTTTTTTCAATTTTAAGTAGTGTTAAAATTCAAAAAAACTAATAAAGTCAAATTATAAAATTATGAACTATTATTTTAAATAAGATAAGTGGAATGCATAAGCCATGGGATATCAATACATCGCAACAAGAATTATACAATATATATATATATATTGATGAATTAAAACACAATTAAATTTATGTAAAATAGAAAATAACTACTTATGAATTTGTTTAAGTGAGTTAAAAATACATATTTTAATAAATTAAATTATAAAAATCTCATTTATTCATAAAAAATATAATACATCTAACTAGACATATCATTTTAAAATATATCATCAAAAGAATAATTTTGACTCATAATTTTTATTACTGATATTAATAAAATTTTGCTGATCAAATATTTGCCCAATCAGTGTAATTTCAAAATAATGATAGTTCTATAATAATTTTAAATTACTAAAAAGTGATTGAGAGCTTTGCGCAGTCAAGCATTATTTCATATGTTTACAATTACTAATCTAGAGTAAAAAAATAAATATCAATTTAAAAAATATAAAGTAGTAAAAATGTAAATGATAGTAATAATTCTTTAAAATAGCTTATTAGTAATAAGATTCTTTAAAAATGTTTTTTTTATTTAAATAATAAATAAATTTAACAGTTTTATTGCGTTTTTTAATTTCATTTTTTAAGCTATCACATTTTTTAAATGTTTTTCAGCATCTATAGAGTTACTTCTTCCAAAAGTTTTTCTTCTGGTATAAATATTAAGAAGAAATTTGTGAGTTAAATCTATCTATAAAGATTTTTTATAGAATATGTAAACAAAGTCACAATCAATAAAGCAACTAGACAGCCACAGTAAATTAAGAAATTTTATAAAAATTATTATATACTATTCGAGACATCTGTTATGCTTAAATTTGCAGTTGAACTAAATATATCAAATACCTCATCTTAAGCTTTAAAAAAATTTGTAAAAGCAATCACTCTTTCTTGTGCATTTAGGTAAGATTTAAGTTAGTCATCTGGGGTTTCATTTGGATCAAAAACATTGAGGAATGAGTTATGAATTTTAAAAAATTGAGAAACTGCAGTTTTAATACCAAAAGAGGTAAGCTATTATAAATCACCCGTGCAATTATTAGTTGTCATATAAGGACAAACATATCCTTCAATTAAATTTTTCATTTTTTATTCTGTTTCAGGTGTATATGGGCTATCCCCATATATAGTTTCTGTTAAATTATTTGATATTTCTTATATATTATTCAAGTTAGATTTTGAAATGTCATAAAAGCTTTGTAAATCGTTTATCTAATAAGTACTCCATACTTTTTTAAGCTTTAAATCAAAAGCTAGAAATTCACTTGAAATTAGATAATTTATTGTATTTACATGCAGCAGATTAGTTTTTCTATTAATTTCTACAGGTTGCTAAAGGTATGATGATTTTAAATTTAAGTATATGATTATAACCAAAAAATAAACTATTGCAACTGTCATAAAAATCAATAAAGATTAAATTCTTTTGACTATGCTTAGTTTTTAGTCTTGGATTCTCGATTATAAAATATAATCTTTTCTTTTATTTTATATTGAATCAGAATTATAGTTGCTTTATAATCTTTATTGTACCTAATTTTATCCATTTAATTTACCCTCCAAAGCATTTCTAACTACTTTATTAGTTGAATTCTTGTAATTTTTTTATAAATTTTGTTTAGGTTCAGATTAATTATTACCACTTCGTATTTTACTACTTTGGAGTTTAGAAGGTGTAGATAGTTTCTGGTTCTTTAAATTGATGTTTAAATATTCTTTATTTTGGAATGTCTCAACCCTTTTAGATGCTTAGTGAGTCTAAATTTATTGCATATTATTGATGATTGAATGATCAAACATTTTATACCTCAAGCTAAAAACTTCGTTGTAGTTATATTTGAGATATTCATTGTCATCTAATTAAATTAGTTATTAACATATATGAAGTTTCTATCTTTCTATTTAAGATTGAGAATAATAAATTCTACTCACTATCATCAAAATTTTCTCTACATAAGTGTTAATATTCTTAGCAAAAGGCATAGCACAAAGAGGTATTACTACAACACTTATGATGGCTGCAACAGAAATGTAGGTAAATTTAAGAATTAGGTTAATAGCTGTTGTCTCAATAACATCCACAACAAATTAAACAAAGTTAACTAATTGTGTGCTATAAGTAAAAAAGTTTGCTCTAAGAGTAGTAAAGCAATTGTTTTATACATTCTAAGTATAATTCAATTAGTTGCAAATCAAATCATAATTTATACTTTCAAAAAATAAAGAAATTTCTAAATTAGCCTAGCTTGAAATGTAGGTATTGTACAATTAGAAAGGGTATGTTGAAGAATTCTATTATTTCTAATATTTTTATAAATATTGTATCAAAGATGTTGATTGCTATTGTAAAATTCCAACATAATCAGTAGCTCCTTTCTCTAAATATTAGTTAGCTAAATTTTAAAAATAGTTGTCGCTCGTATCTTTAAGATAGTTAGTTTATAATTAAAGCAAGATATATTTTCCATAAAGAGATTTGGCGTAATTCCTTAATAACTTTCTAGGAGATCTAATAATAATGGAGCTCTCAGAGAAAGTCTTTATAGTTTATATTTTAATTAAAATAGTAATTTGATTTAAAAAATAATTTTTACCTGCATATCATTTTAAATGATAAAAAGATTAGTCAAATTTAATCCTATAAAAATTAATGTAAAGATTATCAGAAGAATCGAATAGCTTTTTGCACCACTAGGAACTTTTCCTTTTTAGATTATTTCTTCAAAAATATTTCAAATTTAATTGTAAAATTTATTAAAGTAAGAAAAGATTTAAATTTTATTTAAAGGAATTTGCAAGATTTATAAAATATTATTTTGTTGAAAAAACATAATGATAACTAAAAATCTTTTATTATCTTAACTACCATAAATTAATCTCAAAAAGCTAACTAATTTTCTTTAATTATGAATAATCAAGTATTTGTTAAAAAAAGATGATGTCAAATTATTTGAATAAAATTATTAGTAATATTTAAAGTTAAATAAAATTTTACCTTTTAAAAAGAGTCCTACTTAAGAACTTGAAGACCTAGATGAAGAGTGAATACTGACTCTTTCTCCTTATCCTTCAATCAAACATACATTATTTAATAAATTATTCATGACATCCTCATGAGTCTCTTTGCTTATGTTGGTTTTTTTGATTGCTCCTAATTTAGAGCTATCAGATATATTTAATTAATTCTAAAATTCATTTGAGTTTATTTATTATGTACTATGTAAATTTGTAAAGCTTTTATGTTAAAGATCTTACTCTAATTAAGAATTTTGTACAAATTTTATTTTTAAATCATTTTAGAGTTCAGAATTACAAGCTAGTACTGTTGAATTCTAAATAAAGCTCTATTTTTTTGAAGTGGAATTTCTTAAATTTTGATTTTCTGATATCTTTTATACTATAGACGATATTTACTCTATTAAATTTAAAAGAAAAGAACTCAAATAAAAATTTATTAAATGGATTAAATTGTTAAAATTTGATAATCTCAATCAACTGATCAGTTTATCATAATAATTAAAAGAAAGATAAATATTTTCATTTATTTATTTATAAAGAAGGGAAAAATTACTTAGAAAGCTTCTTTATTTTTTTGGTGATTTGTTCACATCAAAAGAGGTGTGACTTGCCTGATCTAAAATATTACTACTGATTTCCTTGCTATAAGAAACAAGTGGACGAGAAGAAATGTTTATATGATTGTTTTAATATGTTTGGTTAAGATTATGCGTTGTTAAGTTTTCTTGAGATACATTAAAACGGTGAGAAATATTTACATAACTACTTTATTGAGGGCGTAAGATAATATTGCTGTATTCGATATTTTCTTACTAGGGATCAATATCTTAGTGTGAAATTTGTTCTATTTTATCTTAGATTAGCTAAAGAGAATTACTTAGTTGTTATTTTGATTTTTAGAGACTCAGTCCAGAAATATCAGAGTTCAGTTTCTTAAAATGATTTCTTTGATTTATAGAACTGTTTTATTCTTTATTATTATTAATATTTGATTACATGTTTCTAAATGTGATTTATCCTTCATTTTGATTTATGCTATTTTGAAAGTCGATAGACACATCTGAAGAATTTTATTTAGCTTTATAAAGGTTCTTTATTATTTGCTTTTCTTTTTTTAATTCAAATAGCTCCTCAGCTATAGCTGCCTCAAGTGCAGAAATAAGATTACCTGCATTTGAATTCTAAAGTATTACTCTTTTAGCTTTGTAATAGGAATCTATTGCTAACATGTCAGTAACAGAAATTTCGTTTTCATCTAATAAATCATCTAATTTTGTTTGGATATTTTAAAATTTCTCTGAAATTCTTTTCTGCATGATTACATTTTTGCCTTCTTAGGTTTTATAATTATAAATGTCTTCACCAAAACTTTGATCTTCTGAGCTACTTTCTGATTCGCTATTTGATGTTGATCCAAAAATACTACCAGTTTAGTTTTCACTGTCTTTAATTTCATTTTTTTATTATTTTTCTCTCTTAGAGTTTTCCGACTATGTTTCTAAATTTTTTTATATTTTTTTATCACTTTTTGCATTCGAGTCAAGGAATTTTAAAAAAGATTTGGGAATTTTCCTATCAATGTTAGAGGATTATTCTTTAATTAAAACATCCTCATCCTCGCTTTATTGCAAGATAGACTTATTGAGCTAATCCAAAGTTGGGATGCAAGAAAGCTTCATGATGTAATTTGCTAAATTCTCCTAAAATGAATTCTCATGTTAATTTTAGATTTATTTCTAATTTTCTTTTAATTGAGAATCATCTAACTATAATGAAAAATAAATTTCTCTTTAATTTGTCTAAATGTTGAAAAAGCTGTTGTTTTCAGAAGTATTTTGGTCAAATTTGCTAATGAGAGGTAGCGTGTGATAAGAAAGCGTATATTTAAAAGAAAATTTAAAAAACCTTTATAAATTTTATTTCTATATTTTAAAAATTGACTTCAAGAATTAAGTATTAAAACTTTGAGAATTATTAGTTGTTATATTAATAGTACCTCTATTTTTTGAATAACTACTTTGATTCTTTACACTTTGAGCTAATGTATATCTTGATGAGCTTTATAAACTCTATTCTCTAGCTTGAGATTTTATGAATTTATGATATTTCCTGATAGAATCTCTTGAAAGCACATCAAGTATGTGGATTTCTTTTAATTTATTACTTTTTTCTAAATTTCTGCTCTAGCTTTTGTTTAAGTGACTGCTCTTTTTTTCTAAGTAATTTGAAAATTATTAATATTAAGATATCAATTAAGTATCGAAGTAGAAATATCCTTTATCACTCTGCAGGACAATATCAGTATGCTGTTGTTCATAATTTTATAAGATGTACTTCTTCTTTTTCTGCAGCTTAGTGATTATTTGAGGAAACAAAAGAAATGCATTTAGATATTTAATCACCTATTCAGCTGGGGGAAGAATTTTCATAATATCTGAGTCGATGAATAATCTTTAAGCTAGCTTTTCTGTAATTCCAACAATCTTACCAGATCTGTCAAAAACGATGTACTGTGATCCTTTATTAGCTTTTAGAATGATTCCCCTAATATAAAAATCATCTAGAGAAAGAAAAGAAAAATCAGTATATACCTTTACAGGCATTACATAGCCTTTACTATTAACACAAAAAGAGTAAAGAAACGACTTTATGTACTAGCTAGTACCCCTAGACATAAACTGTTTGATCATATTATCATGGTTTTTTTCAATAAAATGAGGCATCAATTCATTTATCTTATTAATTTTTTGAAATTCTTACTCACTAAATCCAAAAAACTAAGCTGTTTTGAGATCTTTTTTGCTTTTGATCATTCCTAAGTTTTATGAAATACTTATTGTTAGGCTTACAATATTTTTTTTAATTAAATTTTCATTTGTTAGAGTATCTTTTTCAGAAAATGCATCTCTTTTTCTCAGCTCAATAATTTCTTCGTCTAAATGAAATGCAGTTACGCCATCATTTAAAATAAATAAGTAAAAGAGCTGCTTTAGCTTTTTAATAGCTAAACAGCAGCTAAAATCAATTTTTCTATCATATTTTCTCATTTATCTAAGGAAATCATTTTTGGTTTATTCAATTTTTCTCATTAATATGAGAACTTCTCTTTAGTATTAATCCATTCTTAGAAATCCTTTCTACATTTTACCCCACATTTCTGATTTATCATGAATTATGTCCTTAATAATGGGAATATAAAAATTGCACATTTCTTCAGATAAATTTATATGCTTGATATTAAGCTCTTCTTTCCTTTTTTATTAAATAAATTTTTCATTCATCTTCCCTATTTCATTTTCTAGCTTCTCAGTGATAATATTAGAAATTAACTAGAAATAAATTGATTAATTACCAAAGCGGTATTTAATATTTTGAATCATTTATTTCAATAAATAGTTAGCTTTCGCGAAATTTTTATAGCATTTGATGATAAATGTGATATATTATAATGACAAATATTCGTATTCAACTTAATTATCTAAAATTCCTTTTTAATATAGAGAGTATGTGAAAAGAAAGTCAGCTACTAAATAAATTATTTCTTAATCTATTGTTTTGTTGTCATCACTCAAAAAAAGTTACTAAAATTTTATTAAGGTCTGATTTTCTCTACCTTCAATTTATAAGTAATTTTGCTTCTTTTTAAGAATTAAATTACAGTAACATTTCTGCTAATTGCAATTCTACATGTGAATTTAAAATATTTTCAACAATCTAAATTTTGATTTTTCACTTTACAAACTATTTTAAGCTAAACTAACCAATTCACTTATATATAAATCAAAGCGAAAAGTCATTATATTTTTTTAAAGATTCTATTGTAAATAGATATCTACTTACATTCTTTATTCATATCTATAAATATAAATTTACTATAAAAATACCTCTAAAACTATAGAAAAAACTAATATCTCATAAAATAACTCATAATCTTTAATCCAGTTTGTGTAAACCCAAGCATTAAACAATAATATCATACAATACAATCCACTAGATGTTTTGATGTAAAATTTACTAAGTTCTTCATTTAGGTAAGGCTAGTTAAAAGTAGAATCAAATAGATTTAATAATCCATATAATTACAGTAAGCAATGCTTTAAAACTAACATCTAATTTTCTGAGATACTTGAAAATTGTACAATCGTAATCAAAAATTTTAAAATTGTGATAAACATAAAAGTATAGCTGTACTTTCTTTTAAGCAAATTCTCATCTTAAAAGGAATGATTTCTAAAGAAATACAAGCATATCAAAGCATTTATTCCACACATTACTAATCCTGATATACCCAAACCTTGCTACCAAGTGTCAATACTGCAGTTTTTATAATTAATAGGGTTATTTTTTGTTATTCTATCTTTAGAAAATAATGAATTTCCGCTACAGGTTAAAATACTGATAGATATTTCAATCTGATAATTAAATAAGATATATATAAAGAGGAATAAGTAAGTACCCATCATTTAATTTATTTTTTTAAAGTATGCTTGGTAATGCTCAAATTTTAAGATAAATTTATTTTTAAAAATGGAGAATATGCCAATGTATATAAAATAGAAGTAAACAAATGATTAAAGAACGCACACAATCAACGTTGAAAGTAAATAAGAATCTTAAAGCACAAGTATGCGGTTCAATGAAAGTAACTAAGCAATCTAAGCTACAGATCTAATTTTAAGATCAAGCAAAACTCTATCACTAGAATTTTCAAGAATATAAATAGCTACTTAAAATTAGAATATGAATAAAATAGCTTTATATATCATTAACTGCTTATTAGAGAATAAAGAATCATCTTCTATAATTTGTACAATCGACTCAACATACTTTCTTAAAAAAGTATATCTTGATTAATTTTTTATCATAATTTAATCTGCTAATTGATTTTCCTTGTTATTATTTTTGTTTGTTGTTTTGTATTTATTATTTTGAGAAAGGATTTTATTCGTAATTTCAAAATTAAATTCAAAGTGAATGAATGAATACAGACAAAAAAATAAACAAGTTAAAAGTGTAAAGTGATAAAAATATAAAATAAATGAATGTAAATTACACTGCTTACCTAAATTATCTGAATTAATTTTAATAAGAAATAAATAGTATTCAATAAAATGCTACAGCCAAATACAATTTTCTTGATTGTGTTAAATATGAATGTATTTAATTACTAGAGAATTTAAGTGTAAATTACTATTAGCAAAAAAAAAAATAAACAAACAGAAGATATTTAAAATAACTAAATATCAATCAATAATTTTCTGCTAATAAATTTTTAAAGCATTTGCTTTAATTAATTTAATTAGTAGTATGGCTATTATTTTCATTTTTACTAAAACTTTAATTTTGTTTTTAATTTTAATGAGATATTTTTTTTTTTTGAGCTATCAATTATTCTTCAAATTTAAAAGTAGAAAAACATCAAATAAAATAAAATGTTTTGCTTAATTTATAATATAATTTGGCTAAGAAATGTCTTTCAATAATTATATTAATGATTTTCATGCTTTGCTAAAGCGGTTAATTTTACTACAAATGATAAAAGTGAAAAAATATCTTTAACATTTACTTTTTATTTATCAACTAATAATTACTAAAGATAATTAATTTCACATCCTTATGAGAGATTTGAGCATTTACAAAGTTACTTCTTCCATTAATTTTTCTTCTGGGATAAAGGTAAGTAATAGGTTCATCGACTGAATCCTTTAATAGAGATTCATCCATGATAAATAGCAGACAATTATAATGCATACTCCAAATATATTTCCGAATATTTATAGATACTGTTCTAAGAATGTTTATACTTAACTTGAAATAGTTCCTATACTTGTGTTAGCATAAGAACTATACAAATCAAGCACTTCATCATATATCAAAAAAGACTAAATAAAAGTTTCAAAGTGATCGTTAGAATTAGAGTACGCCAACAATAATTCAATTGGAGCATCTTTTTCAGTAATAACATCTGGATAACTATAAATAACTTTAAGCTGATTTTGTAAAATAAAATTAGAAGCATATTTATTTCCGACTTAGCTTTAAGTACAATTAAATTTTACTAAGTAAGAGCAAATATTACCTTGCTCAAAATCTTTAAACTAATTCAATATGCTTGCTGGAAATGGGTTACTACCATATACAAGTGCAGTGTTGTTAGTAATAGCTGATGAAGAAAGATCAATCATATTATTTAATTTTAATTGATATTAATGTAAATCATTAGATTCCTTCCCTGAAATCATTTTTTGTACTAAGAAATCAAAAGTTAAGAGTTCTTAGGATACTTTCATAGTAGATTGAGAAATGTGATTTCTAATCGTTCTTTAATTCATTTAGACTGGAATTTTCAGTTAATCCTTGCTACTTTGGAGGTAAATAATAATTACTAAAAAATATACAGTATTGCAAATTGTCAACCCTAATAATGGGAGGAATCTTTAGAAAACACTAAGCTTTTAGTTTATTATTTTGGATTGCAACACATAGTTTTTGTTGATATTATTTCTTAAGCTCATTTAATAGTCTTTGTAGCTACTACTTCCATCATTATAAACTTTAGCTTGTTTTTTTTTTTTTACTTTTGATTATTCTTGAGCTATTATTTGATTTACTTAGTCATTTTATTTATATTCAGGTCTATTTATTTCTTATTACATTTTCAAGAGATTAGATATTGCTGCCTTATCACTCTCTTTTTTGCTGTTAGTAGTTTTTGTGAGGTCATGTTGTGAATTCACTACATTGGCATCAAACTAATCAAATTTTAGGCTAATAATGTCACTGAAGTTATATTTTAGCCAATCATATTAATCTATATCTATAAGTTATTAGCAAACGTTTAACTTGAGCTTTTCTATTTGGGAATTATCATAATTTATGCGTGATACTATCATCATAATTTTCTCTTCATATAAATTTATTAAACGAAGAATGGGGAGTGATATAAAAGCAACAAATATTACACCTACAATGGCGCAAACTGCTATTATAGTAAATTTCAAAATTAAGTTATCAACTGTTGTTAGGGCGTTATTTACCAAGTAATCACCAAAATTAAGTATGTCTGTGCTAAACTAAAAATAGTTTTATCTCAAGAATAGGTAGCAATCTTTTATTCTCAAATCAGTGCTGTTTAGCTATGCACCGTACAAAAAGTTTAGGTTATATGCCATTGAAAGAGAGAAATCTATATCCTAGTCTTGACCAATAAGGTCTTAGTAAATTGATACTGTTCTTGTAGAATTATCTAATGTTGCTTACATTTCCTGCATATATTGCATCATTGTAGGGTTATATTATGATATTAGTGAGTAGTATTCTTAAAGGCCATCTTTAATGTAAAAGTTCGTTGTATTCATAATTTAGCCTGTAGGGTCATTTAGGATTTTTGCTTACATTTCATATTAAACTAGTCTACCATACAAAACTTTTGAATAGCTTCTTAAGAATTTTCTAGGCTATCTCAAAACAACAACATTATTTGTAAAAGACTTTGATTTAATAAATAATTTAAATTAATTATTTTTTTTAAATAAAAAATTAAATATTAAAAAATTTTTTGATGTTAAAAATGAAATAATTTTATTTTCATTTATCCATTGATTCATCATAGGAATTATTTTGAATTATATAATATTTACTTGAATATCATTTTCTATAATCATTAAGTTTGTGATGTTCAAAGTAAAAAAGACTACAATAAAGAATATCAACAACGAGGAATAATGGTATGAGTTTTTAGGGATCTTACACATTTGAATAATTTCTTTTTTTATATAAATAAAATATTTTTAGATTGTTTATTTGTTTGTTGATTATAAAAATTACATTGAATATATAAATAAATTTATCAATATAGATATAGAAACAAATAAATAATATATGCTTTACCTTTTAAGAAATTTCCACCATAACTTTAAGAAGATTTAGAAGAAGAATGAATACTTCCTTTGTTAATTGAGTCTACTCCTACTAATCCTTTTTAATTTAGTAACTTAATTACAACTTTTTAGTGGGCTTTGCCACTTTCATCGTCTACTGCTTCACCATTTTCTTTTGTTTAATCTGATCTTAATTGGCTAGGATCTAATTATTTCTAATCGCTTTTACTTAAGTTTGACTGCTAATTTTATTAATTTTAAAAACTTTCCTTCACAATTAAATTAGCATTATGCTATTAACTTTTCACTATATTAACTTAGCTTTATTCCCTATATTTTGGTCCTAATGTAGAGTTCATTTAATTTGTTGTAGATGCTTCTAATGAACTTTTTTTATTCATTTCTTTTTTCTCTTGGGCTTTCTAGAAAGTTTCTATTTGTTTAAATTTAGAAAAAATATGAATCATTTAATGAAAAGATAAATTTCTATTTTTATTTTTATGATAATAATATTTAATTACCTGCATTTGATTCTTCAATATATCTATGATGATCCTCTACAGATGGGGTCATAAGTATTTCATTATCGTTCACATTTAGCTCTTCTTGCTGCTTAAAAAATGGCCTGGATGATTAGTTGAAGTATTTGGCATTTTTATTTTATTATAAATTAAATGAAGAAAGGTCAATTTGTTCATTTTAATTATTTATTTGATTGTTAAACGAAGGTAGATTGCTTAAATCATTAGCACTATTATCATAAATACTAATATCAACTTATTTTTAAATAATGCTTATATTTTTATCTTAAAGCTTGATTTGGACTGAAAGGGGAGATTAATCATACAAAATATTACTTTATTAAGTTAACTTATTAACTATGTTGTTATTTTTTGATTTATCCATTAAAAAAATTTGTTGAGGTTTAAGAACTGCATCGTTTGCATTATTATATCCTCTGAATGTAGCTTCTTCATTTTATTAGTTATCATCTACTTGACTTTCCAAAAATAGACTTTTTTCTTATTCTTATTCCAGTAGAGCTTCAACTAGCGCTGTTTCAAAAGCTCTTCCAAAAGCAGAAGAAAAAGATTTAAATTGAATTACTTTTTTTACTTTAAAATTAGGATCCAATTTTAAGACCTCTTTTTCGATTACATTATGATCAGTAAATACTTTATTTAGTTCTTCATTTTTTGCTTTTTCTTCATAAAAATCTAATATTTTTTTCTTGTATTTCAGAAGGTTAATGTTATATGCATCATCTTCATCTTCTTAGTCTGTGTAATCGTTGTTGTCATCCTCCTCATCACTGCTTTCAGAATTGATTTTTTTTTGTTATTTTTCTTAATCATCCAAATCTTAGCTTTTGTTTACCTCTTTATTTTATTTTTGCTTCCCCTAATTTAATGCTTAAATTTAACTTTCAGTTAGCACTGCCAATTTGACAAGTTTTGTCGGTATATCATCATCTGTAAATGTCCATTCATTTAAAGTTTAAGAAACACTATGAAGAGGATTGTTTTCTGTTTAATTTTATCCTTAAATTAACTGTTTCCTTTAGCAAATTTTATTAGCAATGCAAGTAGATAGAAAATAAGTGCAAAGATTGACTCTAAAGTAGCTTCTCTACTTTTATTTGACTTTAGTGGCAATGACATCATTCATTTTTAGAGAGAAAAATAAATCACTCTCTGTATTTAGTTAAGTTGATATGCAACTAAAATTTAATGTATAGCTAAATCTTATTCTATATTGTTAGTTCTTGTTACCTAATGTAGATTGCTTAGAAACAAAGGACTTATTGGAATTTTTACCTGATTAGCGACCTGAGGATAATCCTCCTGCAGAAGAGGCATCAACTTCTTATCTCAAAAAACTATTAACCAGATCAAAAGAGTTTTCGTTAAATAAATCCAACTTTTCAAATTCAGTATTTTTAACATTAATTCTAGACCTTTTCTCTTATGTTGTTGAATTCATTTTCATGGAATACGTTTGAAGTTTTTTCATTTATAATAAAGGATTACTTGAAACAATTATTTAGCCTTTTTTATCTTATATCATCACATCTCCATCTGATCTTAAATTTTGAAGAATCCAATCTTTTTGCCTAAATATTCTCTTAGAAATTTTAGGTAGGAGCAGATGAGCATTCAAATTTTGGCAAATGAAATCACCTGAAGGAAGCTTTTAGCCTCCTTAAGTACTCTAGCTCATTATTAATTAAGCTATTTTATTGGTCAAGCCTATTATCTTTCCAGATCTATGAAAGATTATGTAATCATTGACTTAATTCACTTTTAACAATGTTCCATTGACTTGAAAATCATTAGAAACTGTAAATGAAAAATCAAGATAGAGCTTAACAGGAAAAACAAAGCCTCTTTAATCTCTAGCAAAAACAAATTTACTTGATTTTACATACTAACTTTCGCCTCTCTTAACAAATTGTTTCAAAATTTTGTCGTGACAGCGAGAGAAAAATGAAGGCATTAGCTCATTTACTTTTTGTATTTTTAAGAAATTTTACTTGGAGTAACTAAAAAATTAAGCAGTCTTTTCATCTTTTTTGCTAACTATTTTACCTAAACTTTAAGATAAACTCATAGTCAAATTAATTATATTTTATCTCAAGTAGTTCTCATTGCTTAAAGTATCAATTTCTTTAAGGCTATCACGTTTTCTTAGATCCTAAACTTGTGCTTCTAATTCATAAGCTCGAACACCATCATTCATCACAAAAAGGTAAAAAACTAGATAAAGCTTTTAGTAATGCAAGCATTAATTGAGTTTGTGCTATTTATCTAAGTTGCGCATATCCTTGAAAAATTAATTTCTTGTATTTTTGACTGTTCTCATTAGTTTGACTGCTTCATCTTAAAACTAATTTATATTTCGATAACCTTTTTGAAGAGAGGTCCATAGTTTTTATTTTTCTGACATAATCTTATATATTTAAGGAATGTATAATTCTATCACTCCATTTACTTTCATCAATTAGTTAACAGTTATTTCATCTTTTCTTCTAAGCTCTAATTAAATGTTCATTTGTGAAATGACAGCTTCAATTTTATTTGAAATTATCTAAGAAATCATTTTGAAATAAGAAGAAAAGTCATCACGCTAGAACTAAAGCAGCTTCAATTCAAAGTTAGATCTTGTATAATTCTTTAAGTATTTTATCATAAACGTAATATACTTAAGGGAGAGATGTTCATATTCAACTTAATTTTTTTTGATAACTTGCTATGATAGAAAATATTTAAAAATTGAGTCTATTATTTATAAAATTTAATCAAAATTTAAATCAAATTATGCCTATTCATCTTCGTTGCTTTGCTAGTCTTTACTAGTTTTTAATTTTTAGCTTTGTTGCAAATTGTTAGTTTCATTTATTGCTCTAAAGCTATCATTACTAGCTAAATTTTAAGATTCTTTTGCTTCTTTTGTTTTAGCTTATTTATTTGTTTATATTTTTTGATTTTATCCTGACAAAGATTAATTCAAAAAGTTGCAACTGCAATCGCTATTTTGACATGATTGCTGATGACTCTTGATAGCTTTAAAGAGTTTCGCTTTTGATAGCTCATCTTTTATACTTTCTTAAGCAAGTCTAACTATTTCTTCCAAAAAAAAATCTAATTTACTAGGAATATAATTTGGTCTGACTTCTGTAACTAAAATTTTATTATATCTGTAATCATTTAGTGATTGCAAGAAATATTCTGCTAAAACTCCAAGAAGTAAGGAGTAATAGAATAGCTCATAGCTACTAATCTAGTTAGTATAAATCCAAACATGAGTCATTATTGTTAGTGAATAGTACCAAGATATAACTTTCAAGTAAAATTTTCCTACTCTAGTGTCTGAATAAGGATAGTTTAAGAAAAAGTCTACTATACTAACAATTCCTATAACGTGAGATAAAACATGCTTAGCAAATTGTTCTTAGGATGTATTGGAATAATAAATTATAGATAAAACAAATTTTAATGCTATGATGATTTAGAACAAATTGCTCATTTTTCTTTTGATTAAATTAAACTCTAAAAACTCATAATTTCTAAAAAAATAAGTTGTAATCCATGCAGTAAAGAGAGTTAACACAAGCCCTATTGAACCAATAAAAGGTTAATAAGAGGCTATATTGCAGGATGAATTTGTAGAAGTAACGCGATTTGTATTAAAGAGACTTCTCGAACTGCAAAACAGAATACTAGTATTCATTTCCACATATTAAGTGAAAAAAATTTAAATAAAAAGTGCAAAGTACATGTTCAGAATCTAATTGATTTATACAAATACTTTTTTGTAATTTTCATAAAAACTTTTTATATGATGAGAGATAAAAGCCAGCACTCCTACATAAATAAAATAGGAATACATAAATACCTGTATTAGAATGTAAACTATTAATGAAAATGTGTCGCTATCCTTAGCAGCTAAGATGTTACGAAGAGAAATCATTTAGCCGATTTAAGCAACTGCAATCATTTTTAAATCATCTATAACTTTAGATTCATGTGGAGATATTAAATAAATTAATATCTGAAGATATGAAATAAATATTAATGTCTTGTAAAAATTAACTGGTATCTCATACTTCGGTCTGTCCTCTATAATAAGTAATATTGTCTAATAGTACTGCTTTATAAAATCTAATTTCATGGTGCTTTTTCTTTGTTTCTTTCTTAATACTTAGTCTATGCTTAATAAATCTTTAATTTGTTTTTTGTTGTTTTTTTAAATGTACAAATTTGTTAACTGTAATTTAAATTATTAAACAAAAAATAATTTATGATTAAGTAGTTAGTTATTGATAATCGAGTATTAGCAAACTCTTTATTTATTTAAAAAACTAAAATTCATATCTCTCTTGTTTAAACACTTTTATGCAAAAACTTTTATAATGAAGATTAAATAAAATATATCTGTATATATGTATGACATTTAAGTTAAACTTGTTTTAAAAACAAAACATAAATAAGTTCAAATAAAGACTTTGTTGTCAAATTATTTCTTTTCTATAGCTGTTATCCTTCAATTTAAATAAATATGAGTTAGCTAGTTCTCTATTCAATTAATTTTTACTTTACATATTTGCTTTCAAAAATTTTCAAATGAACACATTATTTATTTGTTTCATTTGAAAACTGATAAAATATAAAACTTAAAATCCATTAATTTATTTCAACATATTTAAATTAAAAAAAATGAATTAATTATCTATCTATCTAAATTTTTAGTAACAATAGTTAATTCTGGTTTTTGTTACAACAGCTCAAAAAGTTGATATAAATTTAGATAATAGAATCTCATTCATTCATTGATTAAATAAATAAAAATTTCTTTTTTAGATAGTAAAAATTAATTTTTTGAAAACCTCAAATATTTTCTGTACTACTAACTCTAAATACAAATATTTTAAGGTAATTAATTAATTATCTAATAATTAGCTTGATCAATTATAGAAAATCTTCTGTAAACTGGTTGGTATTTATAAAAATTAAATATTCAAAAATATTTGGATGTTTATAAATTAAATAAATATTACAAGTTAAATTAAAAATTAAAATAAATTTATTTCAATTTAAATAACTAAGTAAAGAAATAGAATTTAATAAATAAGTAATATAAACAGTTTTTTTAAATCTTCAAATAATTTTTCTGAAAATATGTTTGCCTCTACAAAAATAGCTATAATATTTCTTTTAAAATTTTGAAGCATTCGATATTAAAATCATTATTAAAATGTATTTTAAAACAACGAATAGCTTTTTACATATAAATAAGAAGATAATCTAATTTTTTATAAAATTTTGATTTAAATTTTAATATATTAAGATAATTTTATCTCTTTCTAACAAAAAAATAAATATATATTTATGTATCAAATATTATTGTAAATATGTCTAAAACCTGTTTTCACATATTTATTATATATTCTTTTGAGCAACTTGTTGATTCTAAGTATTTTAAATTAATATGCTTTTATTGAATGAATGGATGGATAGTAAATCTTTTTTCTTAATTTTTTATATAATGAATAATTTAATAGTAGAAGAAGAAGAAGAATAGTTCCATATATATATTTATTAGACAAATCAAATTACAAAATACTTTAAACTAAAAATATAAATTTAGTATTGTTTTAACAAAATCATATCATAATTATCTACAAAACTATATAAAAAGGTTATTAAAAACAATATTATAAATGGAAATAGAATAAGAAGAACTTAATTAAGAACAAAATATCCCTTTATTATGTGAGATAGATAGAAAAGCATAGGCGATTCCTAAAAATTTAGGTCCTTGCATAACGTAAATAAATTGAATAAGGCTTATAAAGGTTAATTATTTTTATAAATATTCAGATAAGGATGCATTAAACCAACAAAGTATGCTTGTCCCAAATGCAAATGCAACTACTGCAGCTTGGATTGTTACAAAAATCATAATGAAGCATGTGTAAATAAGTTTTATGAAGAAAACGTTATAGAAGAATTAAAAAACAGAAAAGCAGATGAGTAGACATAAAAAAAAATGAATAAATTGCTTAAAGAATATAAAGAATAGCTAGATCAAGATAGAGAAGAATTCGAGATTCCAGAAAAAGAGTTAGAAAGGCTAGAGGAATTAGAAGATCTAATGATGTAGAATGAGTTGGATTTAGATTGTTTGACAATTGAAGAACAAAGATAATTTGCCGACTTCGTTAAAAACAACGAATAATTATAAAAATATATTAAGCCATGGAAACCTTGGTGGCTTTTAGAAAATGGACTCTTTTCCCTCTATGTAGAAGAAATAGAAACAGAAAAAGCAGAATAAAAGAAAAACAAAGATAGTTAGATTCAAGAAGTTATTGATTTCAGAAGCTAAATGTAGCAACGACTAAAAAAGCAAATATCATTCAAAATTCTTTGTAAAGTACCTCCTCATATTGACATTCCATACTAATTATCAAATATTATGTAAATTTTCTTTCTTGAAGCAGTTTTTCTTATTTTTTACAAAATAATTTTAGATGCGGAGCAGCCCTAACATTCAGAATGTTTAATGGAGATATATGGGAAAATCCTCTAGAATCCCTCAATTTTCTAGTTTCTATTTCAATGGTAAAATTTAAAAAAAAACATAAATAATCCTTTGTTTTAATACAAAGTATTTAAATATATAAAAGTTGATTAAAATGTTTTTTACTTATTTTATAGAGTTTTAACCCATAGAACAGAGTTGAAATAGGATCTATTCAAAATGCTATGAACAATGTAATTACAAATGCTCTGAGAATTGAATAATAGAATATTAAAAATTTTATTCCTCTGCTATAAGAAGATATGCAAACTATTTTTAAGAATAAGGTTTTTATACTAGAAATTCTGTATAGATTGTTTGATCTACTCCATGAAGGTACATAAATAAATTTTTAGATTTTATTAAATTTAATTTAACTGAAAAATTAAAATTTATAGGCTAAATAGAATTAAGAGATATGATAGAAGAGTCTGATGAAGGGCCAGTAAAGAATCAGCAGAAAGAGAACCAAAAAGCATTAGGAAATATTAAATAGAAAATAATATTTTTTATAAGCTATACGAAGGATATAGTTACTTAAGAATAACTTTAAACTATGTTAAGAGGAATCATAGAATATAAATAAGAAAAGGAATAAAATATTTAAATTGATGATAAAATTGGATAAATAAAAAAATTAAGTTTACTTCTATGACAATCCTAAATTTTGTAAAATAAATGAAATTATGAGTTTCTATCTTTCAAGATGGATAAATTACTTTAAATATTAATTTAATAATCACACACATTCTTTAATATCTTTCTTTCAATAATCTAAAATAAAATTAAGTAAATTAAAAAATTATATCTGCTAAATTTTTGTTTATAATATATATTAATCAACAAATTAATAATCAATAATTTTAAAAAACTTTTATAATTAAAAAGTAGTTTTTACTTTATTTTATATCATATTTTTTATGTAAAATATTAATTTTGTATACTATTAGCCATCCTTCCTATTTAAAATTGTAAAATCAATTATATAAAAGCATATTTGAGCTAGGCTTTACTCAAATATTAAGCAAATATTGATATCAAGCTTTTTTCTTACAGAATTTGTACATTTTTGATTTAATTTAATAAATTTATATTTTTTTAATTTTATAATAATAAACTGTTATTTTAAAAAACAAATGATTTTAACTATCAATAAACAAATAAAAAAGTTTTTTGAGATAGTATTTGCTATAACTTACTTACTTATCAAAAAATGTTTACTCATTTTTTTATGTCTGCAAATACAATAAGCAGATTTAGTTTTCTAAATCTAATTAACTATTATTTAAAAATTAAAATACCATGTAATAACTGTTTATTTTAATGTGTTAATATTAGAAACACAAATATGATTTTGTAGAAAAATCTATTTAATATAATTTATTAATTAGTTTTAAGCTAACAGATAAAAGTAAAACTAAGCTTGTAAGGAAATAAGTAGAAGTTTTTCAATTAAAATGATGCTTTCTAAATAGAGTACATACTATCCTGATGGCAGAGGAAGAGATATGTTTATTTACAAAAATAATGGGGGATTTATAAAAGTATAAAAAGTGCTTAATTGTAATATTACAACAGGTAATTATTAGTTTTTTTAATTTTTAACTCATTAAACTTTTTTTTATTTTTATAAATAATTTTTAAAAGGCTCATTTAGAGAAAAGGAAGAAAAAAAATTTGAAGGATCACCTCCATAACTTAAAAGAGTTAACTATAATCTAAATGGCTCTGGAAGAGATTTATTTATGAAGTATATATTTTATTTTTGTTTTAATATAACAAATTATATTTATCTATTTATTTATTTAGAGATGGACAAGTTATGGTTGCTAATTAAAATATGTAGAAGTTTAATTTTTTAAAATAACTACGCGCTTATGATAGCTTTCAACCTTTTAGGACAAATTATAATCAAGTAAACTAAAGAAGTAGATCAGAGTCGCCTTTAAGAAGCAGAAAATTTATTTGTCAAGAAAGATAAATCAGAAATTTTAACCCTTAATATAAAAGTATTGATATTGATGAAAAATAGCCATAGCATTTTAAAGTAAGAATAGAAAAATTTAAATAAATGCAAAACGATTTGCATGAGCGAATTAAATCAACAAATAAGCTTCTAAGTGATGAAGCTAATTAGAAAACTGCTTAAAAAGAAATTTCTACAATCAAAGCTACACATTGTATTTAACAAGTCAAAGCCAATTACTAATCACCTCTTAAAATAAAATAAGAAAGTGAAAAAAATCCAAACATATTTGAAACAATAAAAAAATTGTAGTTTTTATAAAATCATAGAATACTTATTTTATGAATTTTGTTAAATCTTCATTTTAATTTAATTAATTACTAAGCTTATTCCTTATTTATAAAAAGTCTTAATTAGGGGAGGTATTATTCGAATGTACCTTATCTTTAAATTTTACACAGATAAATATTCTTTATTAATATAAAAAATTTTAAATCTTTAATTTCAGAAACATCTTTTTTGTTGGAGTACATGTATATATATATATTTTTTTAATGAAGAAGATTAAATTTAGATATTGAAAGATTTTTATTTTAAATAAAAACAAATATTTCCTTCCAATTTATTCAGATTACTTTATCTTTAATTATCTTTTAGTTTTCTATTCATTCAGTTTCAAAAATTTTTTATACTTATTTATTATATCTATTTTAGGCATAATTACAGAATAATTTTTTTTATTTAGAAATTAATTTAGTTTACTTTTTAATTCAAAAGTTTAGTTATTAATTTCGTTAATTTTATTCAATTTTTAAAATACATAATTATTTTATCCATCCATCCATCTATAAATTAACGAATAAAATATTTTCCTTCAATACCTTTATAAAAAATAAATTTATATTTAGGGTACCATTTTAAATATCTTATACATAGTCATAAAGAGAAACAAGGATATGAATTCTAAAATTAGAAAATAAATAATTTAAAATTATTTTAATCTCAATTATTTTTTATCTACTCGCGTTTTGTTCTTGATATCTTTCTTACTTACCTTATCTCTATCAGAAATATTTTTGTTTTCTATATCAAATTTATTGTCTATTCCCATCACATACATTTATAAATAATATTTGCTCATTATAAAAATAAATTAAATTACTCTTTTCAAAATAATAAATTAAAGACAAAAAAATACAAAAACAATTGAACAACAAACAAACATAAATAAATAATAAGAGATTTAAAAATGGGAAAAGAAATGTTAGAGGAAGGTGTATCAAATAATAAATAAATGAGAGGAATAAGTGATACATTAGATAGTCGTTATTGGAAAGGAGGATATAAATCTAAAAGTGTTACTAGAGCAGCTGTTCATGGAGTATACCATGCAGGAGTTGGTATTTGTAAGCTTTACCATGGTAATGCCAAAGGTTTTCATGCAGAACTGTGTAGAGCTGGAGAGCAATTTGCAAAAATGGGTGTAAATATTCTCAATGATTTAAATAACAAGGAATATATTGAGGAAGTAATAGAGGATTATTTATGACATTATTATATTAATTGATTTCGAATGAATATCAAAGATTATACAATACAGCTTTAAATATGCTTTTATAAAAATTTTTGAGTTAATTAGTTAAAATACATTTTATAAACATTTATTTCAAAATTAAATTAGTCATTTATATTTTTTATATTATGTTGTACTGTTTTAAATAAAATTTTATTTCAGTCAAATAATAAAATTATATTATGAATCAGTGAAAATATTTCTAGCTTTTAACTTTTTAATAGAAAAAAAATTGAATTTTCATACAAAATTTCTGATACATTCTAAAGTAATACAACTTTATTAGTTTATTTTTAATTTATGTAAGTAAAATCGATTAATATAATACTGATAGTTATTATCTGATTTACTTTTGATAAAAAAATAGTTTTTTTATCTTTAGTATAAATATATAATAGATTAACTCTAATATTCATATTTATTCATCTTATAATATAAGGATGCCTCACTACCATTTATTTTACATTGTAAAGTAGTACAACAATTAGGAAAAAATGTATTTACATGTTCTTTGTATTAATCATCTATGCAATAAAAGAATAAAAATAATAAAGAGGTTATTAAAGTTTCTTTTTTGTTTATTTTGAATTTATATATTTAAAATTAACTATTATGAGTAAAAAAAATATTTGAGTTAAGAAGAATTAGCTAGCATATCACCACAAAGAAACACAATAATTTGATTAAAAAGTAAATATTTTATTGATTATTTTAAAAGTAAAGATAAATTTAATAACTTTATTTTATATTATTATTTTATCTTTTGTTAGACTTACTGAAATATTTTCCATTTATTAATTTAATGTCTTTTCCAAATAAATTTTACTTATTGAAATAAAATTTTAATTACATGCAATCAATTAATAAATAATGACTATGCTAATTTAAATTATTAAATGTAAATTAATAATTGATGAATTGTTAATAGAAATCTAATATAAAATATTATTTTTGAGAAAAAATAAGTATTCAAAAATAATAAATATAAAATGATTAAATTTATATAATTAAAACACATCCAATTAGGTACCTTTTGAATGAAATAGAAAATCAACTTATTGATAAATTAATTAATATATTCTTAAATTAAATATGTCAATTAACACATTTTTTATAATATATGCTAATTATACATTTAAAACAAATATGGATAGTAGTATTTTTAATTAAATTAAAATTATTTCCATTTTTATTTATTTATTTAATTAATGAATTCTTAACACAGTTTTTGCTTATTTATTATTTAATTTTTTATTTATTTATTTAATTATATTTGTATAAACTTTTTCTTTTTGTTACTAAATAATCTTATCTTTTATTTATATTTTTTAGAAATATCATGATTCATCTTCATTAACATTATCCTCAGGCTATGAGTCGTATTATATATGTTAATGCATATTTGAGGATGTAAGAAGATCCAAATTTATATGACTTTCCTTTACAGCTTCTTTTAAATTAGGGTCGTTCATGCTGCAAGTTTCTATATGTTTTTTAATATTACCTCTTAATGTTTTTATTTATATTTCTTGCTAAACTAGTTTTTGTGTTGAAAGCTCCATCTCTGCTAAAAGATCCATCATTTTAGCTTTGTCAAAAGTGGCTAAAGTTTTAGAGTCAAAGTTTAAGCCTTTGATTATTTTTCCTCTTTGATTTTGGATTATGCTGGGTAGAGAAGAAATAGGTTTTAGTTTAGGAAGGGATTATGAGTGCTGATGATTAGTTTGAAGACTTGATTTATTGGTTTCCAAATTCAAAGAGTCAAATGGATCTATTTAAAATGAATTATATTTTTAGTTAAAAATACTTTTTAAAAATAATTTTAAAGTTACTTAATGGACTTCTGTCTTAAGCTGTATCTTCGAATTACTAAAGCTCTTTTTATTTTTTAGTAAGAGCAACCTTAATTCTATTTAACTCATTACGGACATTATTATTCTCTTTTTTATTGTTGTCTAATTATGTTCTCAAGTTAGTAATTTCTGAGACATAAAGTTTATTTGTTTTTCTCATTTCGTTTATTTCATGAATTAATTCAGCATTTTCTTTAGTTTTCTTATAAATCTCTTTATCTCTACGGATAATAACTTTTTCAGATGATTTATTTAGCTAATAAATTGATTTTTCTAAGTGTTATATTTAGCGTTGCATTTCTTCAAGACCTTTGTCATCACTTGATGATTACTTGATTTCTTAGCCTTTCACATAAATTTGGTTGAGTTTTTGCATTTCACTAGCCCATTCTTTCATGTCTTTGTTATTAACACAATTATATATATCCATGATCATCTTATTATTCAAGCTATCCTTTATTCTAGTAGCCTCTTATTGAGCTTTTAAGTTTCTTTTCAAATTTTCAATATGATTTTACATTTTTTTCATTTCTTCGTTTGTTTTTTAAGCTTATTGCAGCATACCTTCGAACTCTCCTTCTAATCTAAACAATTCTTCTTTTAATTTCTCTATTTATGCCTTTATGAATAAATTATGTAAATATAAAATATAAAATTTTCAAAGTATTTTTTACTTCTTTAGGCTCTAAGCTTTTTCTCATTTCTGTGGTTCTAAAACTTAAAACATGCTATTTAAATTAAAAGTATAACAAATTGATTAATATGGAATTGTTTATTTTAAATAATTAATAAATTACCTTTGATTTTTAAAGATCACTTATTTTATATTTATAATCCTGCATCTTCTTCTCTTTCTTTTTAAGTATCTCTTCAAGAGATCTGTATTCAGCTTTATGAATTTCAATTTATCCTTGAGCTTCTTTAAGCTTTTACCTGCATTCTTAAAGCATTAAATCTTTTTCTTCTTCTTTCTTCTTTATTTCCTTCTAATCATTTTCAGATTATTAAAGATCATTCTTGAGTTTATTTTTCTTATGCTTTAAATCTTAAACTTTCTGTTTCCATCTTTCCAATTCCTATTTAAATAAAAAAAGTTTAATATTTAAATTTCTTAAAAATATATTTTATCTTTAAATGTAAACTTTAGCTTGATAAAATGTGTCAATTTATATTTAATTATCATTAAAAATTTAATAATTTGTAAATTTTTTTTATTTGATTTTGAATAATAAATATTTTTTCATCAATTTAAATAGCATTATTTAATTTGAGGTTTGTTTTTTATTAAAATTAAATTAATATTTTTGTAGAATTTGAAAGAAAATTTGCTTACTTTTTCGTTTTTCTCAACCATATTTCTAATTTCTGATTCATGCTCTTCTTCTTGTTGAGAGAGTCTCTCTTCATAGACTTTTTTTAGCTCTTCTGCTGTCATTTTAGTGCTTTCATAAACTTTTTAGGCCTTTCCTGAAAATAAGAAAAATACATTGATTTTTTTATTTACAATTTAACTTGTATTTACCGAAATTGAGATTGAACTCTTTTTTTAGAATGTCAATATTGGTGTCTTGTTTTCTTGAAAGCTCTTTTATCTTTTTCTCAAATTTAAGTCTTTCTTCCTTTAATTCCTATTCTTGTTGAAAATATTTTTCGTTTTCAAAAGCTAATTTTCTTTCATAGAGACTTTCAAGTTCTTCGACACCCTTAAGATGCTTTTCTTCTAAATTTATTATAGTCTGTTTGTAATCTGACTCCATCTAGCTCTTAGCACTTTACAAATCCTCGTATTAACGCTTAAAACGAGTCATGTCACTTTCAAAGTTTTCCTTCATTTTGTTCATCTTAAATTCCAAAATTCTTTTTTCTTACTCAATTGTATCATTCATTCTACCCTTAAACTCTTTGTATTCATTTGTTATTTTTTCTTATTCTTAAATATAAGACTCCACATCACTTCGGTAAACCATGACAACATCAGATAAGTGTTCGTCAACTACCATCGCTCTTGGATTCATCTTAATTAAAATATTTTAGTTTCAGAATATTTATTTAATTTTATTTACTTTGCTGACAGCTTCTTCGTCCATCTTCACTTCTCCCATTTTCAAAGACAGTACTTACAAATCCTTTGAAATTTCAGAAACCTAAAAAAATAAATAAATATTATTTAATATAATATTTTATGTTTGAAAGCATTAATTCTACTTAAAAAATGAATATAGACCCATCCTCTCCAGAAGAGAAAACATACCTACCATCTGGACTTGATCTAACTTAAGTGACTTATCCATTATGAGTTTATATTGTTTCGTAAGGAATAGTGCTAAAATGATGGCTGAAAACCTAATTTAAATAGAAATTACGAATTAATATATATCATTTTTTAAAAATATTTACCTTAATTGCACCAGTGTTAGTACCAGCGACTATACCATAATAATTGTAGAAACTTTAAATAAAGCAAAAATGAGTAATTCTGTAATTTTTTAGTTCGAAATCCATATCTTAAACTTAGTGAGTGAAGTGGCTCTGTGGATTTAATCCCTAATTTCCAAATTGTTGCTGCTGTTGAATTCTCATTTCTTATTCATGTTAATCCATATAACCATAAACAATACCCTTGTCTTTTATTGAAATTAATTTTTTATTATATTAAGAAAATAAATAAATAAATCTATCTACTTTCATCTCCTCCTGTTGCCCAAATTAAATTTGTTTGGCTATTGTAAATTAACCCTGTATATTTATACTTCTCCTTTTATCAATAATATAAATAAAATATTATTAAAAATTACATCAAAAAAATTATTAATTTTATGATTTTACTTTTACAGATGAAGGAGCTTTTTCTAATTTTTTTTCTGATCTATTTAGATTTGGACTTGCAGTATTATTTTAATGAAAGCTCTAAAACAATGGTACCCTTTTATTAAAAAAAGAAATTAACTTCTATTCTAAGTTAAGTTAAACTTTTACCATCTATACACTGTCCCATCTAAAGAACAACTTAATAAAAATTCATCAAAAGGACCCCAAACTATTTCTGTAACCTAACTTGGAGGACCATTCAGTGTAATTAATGGTTAAAGGGTGTAAGAATTATAAATGGAAATTGAGTATTAATTTGATTAATTTTTAGTTTTAGGATATGCAATAGCCAAAAACTAACCTCCAGTTGAGAATTTCATGACAGTGCAGTTTTTTACTCCTAACTCTTTATATGTTCTTAATTCATCTTAAAGGACGTGATATATTCTCAGTTTATCTATAAAACCAGCAGCCAAATAATAGCCAGTTGGATGAAAAGACATACTAAGAAGTGGTGATTTATCATTAGTATCAGTAACGAATTTACCTAAATTAATAATTATTTGAAAGAAATAAATTAAAAAAAACCTACTTCTAAGAAAAATTATGAATGAATGAATGAATAATTAGTTAATTACGAGCCAGTTCACATCTATAGTTCATGTAATTCCAAATACGAATGGTTGAATCTCTTTAGCAGCAGGTTGCTATCAAGGGTCTTTATAAGCATATGTCCATCATTGTAATTGGCCCAAAATGAAAACCATTATAAATATAATCAAATTTCAGCTTTTTATCCATGTAAAGTGTATTATTTCTTAAACTCTCTATCTTTAATATTTTAATTTATTAATTCCATTTTTAGTAATAAAAAATAAAAATAAATAAATTAAATTTACTGTTTCTGGGACTTGCGGTATAATTTATTATAGATCAAATGTAGCTATATCATTATTTTTGAATCCAACGACTAATAAATCGTCATTTTTGCTTATTTCTATTGTAACTGCACCACTGCCTCTATCACTTGTCCATGACCTAACATATGCAATTTGGTAATCTTCTTCAGAAGTTCCTACATTATCGGAATCTTCATCTTTCATCCAAACAGAGAATAAACCAGTTTCATTAGCTAATATTAATCCCTTCGTAAATGATGCCATACAAGAAATACCTTAAAGATATTTAAAAATTAATTATAATAATGAAAAATAAATTTGTTAAAATAAATATATTTCTTTATTAATTTTATTTAAAATTGATAAAATAAACTTACCTACACCTTCTTTTTCAAAACCGTTAACAATGTATTACTTAACCTCATTATCTTGAATAATATAAACTTATCCTTAATCATTACACAAGGCTATTTTATTCTCTTCAAACCAAATGTGATCAGTAAAGTTTTAAGTTTAAGGCAATCTTTTAATATTGTCTCCAATGTATACAAATGCACTCTTTTGAACTCTAAGAATTTTGAAGCAATTGAGACCTATTAAAATAAATAAAATATAAAATATTTTATTTATTTATTTATTTTCTTAATTTATGAAATAATTTCAAAATAGAATTTAAACTAGATTAAATATAAATAATATATGCCTTGCTTTAGTATAGAATGTTTGTTTTTAATTATAATTATTATAAGTTTTTGTAATACAAACAAATGCAGTTTCTTTTTCTATATTTTATAAAAATAATTTTTACCAGAAATAGCTACCATGTGATTATCCTTAGGAGATATTGATACTTTTGTAATAGGTATTCTTAGTGTAACTCCCGCAACATCTTTTTTATTAGCTAATATATCAATAAAAACTAGACGATATTCTGGTGCTTCTGTTAGACAAGCGATAAAACGAGAGTCATACGAAAAAGCCATAGCTTGGAAGTTTTCAACTGTGGTATCAGCATAATTGAATTATTTTTTTTCATTAGCCAAATTCGCTCCTACACTGCTTGACTTAATATTATAAATTGCTACTTAAGGACACTTTTTATTTCCATCATCTTCTGATTTTAACTTCTCACAAACAGCTATAAACTTTTTATTCGGAGAGATCGCTAAACTAACAATTTTATCTATATTCTCACTTAATTTTATAAATGCCATTTCATTTTTATCATGCTGCTTGATAGCTATATACTTTCCTACTGGATAAATTAAGCTGTATCCATCTTCTTCCATTATACCCTAATTTTAACAATTTGAACAATTCTATTAATTATCTAAGTCAATTATATTGCCAATAATAAAATCATATCTTATAAAACTTATTTTCTGAACTGAAATGTTTTAATTTTGTTTAATTTAATTAAATTTATTTTTTTTTTACAACTGAATTGCGATATCCATTTGAACATAATGATCCGAAGCAATGAATCAAATCAAGCTTTAAACGCTAATCTTCAATGCTTTTCTTTGTTTCCTTTCTTGCTGTATTCTTTGGTTCTTCAAATTTATTTTTACTCATATTTATTTTGTTAAAGTGTTTTATCGTTGCCTATAAAAAGATAGATAGATGGCTATTTGTAGAGATTTATCCGTATTTAAAATTTGGCTATTTACAATAACTTTAAATATATATATATATATGTTATGTATAAATAAATGCAAATGAATCTTCTTTTAATTAATTATTAAAAAAATTAATAATAATGTAGTTTCGTTTTAATAATTAATTGATTTAACAACTCCATAATCAAAATCAAACAAACAAAGCATCCTACTTTAAATCAATAAATTATTTAAAAATTATAATTTTAATAATAAAATCTACTTTATTTTATTTTCTTTAAATCAATTAAATTTATTTTTGGTGTAAATTTTGAAAGAAAATTAAAAAATTCAATGTAAATTTTGCAGTAGACATATTTTTTATGTATTAAATATATTCGATAAGAATGCTTCTTGTGAATTTAAAAATTATTATTTTACTAAAATAAAATCAATATTTAAACAAAAAATCAGCTAAACATCGATCATTAATAAAGTAATTATTTTTCAATTAATCAGACAAATAGATAGATAGACAGACAGACAGATAGTCCTTAAAATTTCTGAAGATATAATTCTTTATCCGCAAAAAAAAAAAATAAATAAATAAATCAAAAATTAATATTTTAGGAAATAAATTTATATAAATTAGCAGTGTCAAAATAACTAGCAGGAAATTAAGAGAAAGTATTTTATTTTTGAAGGAAAATTTGGTATATGAATTCAAGCAACATAGAAGATTATTTCAGCTTTGTAGAGCAGTAAAAAATAATTATCTAAAATGAATTATAAGATGTATAGATAGCGAATGAAGGAGTTGTAAATTTGATTATTGCTGCACTGTCTAATAATGATAGCTAAGTTCGCCAAAATGCAGAAACAAGTTTGATGCTAATTAGATAAACAGATGTTGTGCTTCATACTGAAGATGTATTGAAAGCTATTGCAATTAGTTTGAATCAAGAAACATTAAAATACATCATACCATATACTTTGTCTCTTATCAAAAGCCTGAAGTAGCTAAAAGTTTTTTAAGAGGATCAAGTTCTACTCAAAATATTATCTTATGTTTTTGTAGCTCTATAAAATAGAAACTTAAATTAAAATTAAACAAAGATACTTGTTTCCTGCTTGCCTTATCTATTAGACTTATCTTGCAGCGCCTAAGAGCCAGGTATTAATTTCATTAAAATAAATTTATTATTTTATTTTCAATTAGAAGTTAAAAATGATTGATTGAATGATTTTATTAATTGGAATTAGGAAGAATATTTTTTAAGGTTTATAGCAAATAAATGTCAAATTTAACATTTTAAAATTAAAAATAGATTGGTTCTTACTTACAATATTAAAAGAATGTGAAAAGCTATTTGAATAAAGTGGAGATAAAAGAGATATTTACATAGGACTTAGTTTAATTTATGAACTAATAATGGATGTATTTACTAATGAAAAAGTAAGAAATGTCTTAGTTTGTATTTTGCAAAAGATGTTTATGATATTAGAAACAATGGCTAATTTAGTTTTCTAAGAAATCATTTCTGCTTAAAGAGATTTATAAAATTTAGAAGGAAATTTACAGATTTTAAAAATGACATGCCAAATACTAACAATATCAATTTAAAGGGTTTAAAATGCAAAAAGTGAACTCATGCAAATATTTCTAAGCAATCTTCATCTCATGAACTTCTTCGAAATGGTTATATAATTTAATTTCAACTAAGCATTAAAGCTTTAAAATTGTGATCCAAATATTAGTTTAATCACATTCGATCAATCCCAAACTGCAAACAACTTGATATCTCTTTTTGAGTTAATAGATGGAATCAAATTTAATTCTCTTAAAAGCTTAGTAGTAATGAATTAATACTATCTCTAAAAAGAGCAATAAACAAAGTAGTAAATGTTTGATACTGTTCAGGTTCAATAAAATTACTCATACTTTCTTCAAAAATTCGAATCTATCCTATTACACATTTGCAAGTAACTACATCTCTGTGTGAACAACCAATCTCCCCAATACTTAAGCCACATATATGTAAGTGAATCTATTTATTTATTTAATTCAAAAATATTATCTTACTTTTTATCCATCCATACTATTTTAAGATAAAATTTTATTTGATAAATTAATACTATCATTGATTCAATATATAAATAATTCATTCATTTTCTTTCAATATGTTTTTTAATAAATATTACTGATTACTTTATCAAATAAAAAAGTGCTAAATGTGATTATATTAAAACTAACTAACTCTCTTTAAACAAAACCTGATGATTTATTGATAAATTATTTTGGAAATTATTAAAATATAAAAAAATGAAATTCCTTAATAATAAATAATTAATTTAATTTTAATCTAAATAGTGCTAAAAATCATGCATGAAAAACATAGATTTTGCTGTAGTTTTTATAATTAATAGTGTCAACGATTCAAAACTATATAAATTCTTTGCTTAGAACTACTAAGAGTAATTGATTAATAAAACAAAATATTAATTTTATTGTAATTTTTCATTTAACAAAAAAAAAAGCATTTTTAATGAAATACTTTTGAGCCTAGTTTGCAACAACGTTAAGGATTATGAAAGTTATTCTGAGGAGAGTGATGAATTTACAAAATTAGAATAAGATTTATACAATAATAGAGAATCGGATATTTTAAAGAGTAATGGCTGCGAGTTAATATTTAGACTGGCAGAATAAATTGATGGCTTTCTAGCCTATGCTATTTCCTACTGCTGCAAAACAATAGAACTAATTTTTAAGGAACATTCAGATAATTAATTTAAAGAATCTTTGATTAAGTACAAATCTTCTCTATTTTTAACTTTAGATAAAGCAAATTAAATAGAAACCATACTTTTGATATTAATCTTATTGTCACGTCAAGCAGGGCAAAGAAGAGATTTAACGTAAAATAATAATTTGACATATTTAAAATAAATATTTGAATAAATATTTTTGATAAAGCAAATAAATAGAGATAATGCTGAATAATTATTTCACTTCTGATTTAATAAAAGTGTCTGGAATCAGCAGACTAAGGTGCTCTGCTTTGATAAGCTATTATAGTATTTATTTGTTTACAGATTTTGACAGACATTCTAACCTATATGTTGCTATTAACACAAAATTATTATCAGATATGATGGTGTTCCTCATAAGTAAATAAATTCCATTTCAGATAAATATTTAAAAATAAATTAATTATTTCAAATTAGAATATTTAAAAAACAAACAAGAAGAAAAAGGAGTAAGTGTAGCTATTGATACACTCTTTAGATTGATTAATACTTGGGAACTAAAAGGATGCATTGAAAGTATCATTACAGATATAATAGAAACATTAGTAGAGCTAATAAAAGATAGTTAAAATGGAATCTTTTTTGAGTTTCTAGAAAAAGTTATTGACAATTACACATTTATTATTAAAAATTATGCTACAGAGATTATTAAAAATCTCTGCAATAGGATCAATAGAATTCAAAACTAAATAAAAGGAAAAAAATATGAATCTAGCATGCTCATCATGTAGTGCATCAGCTGCATTATCTAATTCGTAAAAGATGAAAAGATATTCAATGACTTTTATATTTATTTTGAAGAAAATATCTTAGAATTAATCAAGTACCTTGATGTAGTAGGTATTCATTAATTCATTAATTCATTAATTAATTAATCAGGATCAATTATCAATCAACCACTTCTTTATTCTAACTTTATACTCTAACAAATGAATCCCCCATTTTTTTATAAAAATCATTAAGTTAAAATAAAAATTGATAAATTTTAATTAAAATATAAATAAATCAAAGCACTCTTTTTTAAATAATTTTATTTTTATTTAAATCATTGCTGATTATAAAGATCTATCATTATTAATAAATTAACTAGATTATATATTAAAGATGCTTTTTATTAAAACAAATATTTTTAAAATAAAGAGGAAATTTAGTTTGAAGATAAACTATGTGAACTTTGTGTTTGCATTTTACAGGTAATTATTTATTTATTTATTTGTTTATTTTTTGATAAATATATTTTAATTTATTAATCCTAAAGTAATTAAGAGAATTCGAAGAATTGAATGAAGTTATTGGTAGGAATTTAGAAAAGTTGTACTAAAAAAATTGCTGCAGTATAAGATGCGAGTCTTTCTATGAATTACTTATCGAGGTTTTTAGAAGCGAGTATTTACTCTATGATAAGCAATATATTTTGTGTAGTGTTTTTAGAATAGCTATTGATTCTATTAAACAACTTAACATTAACCAGCTAACTTATCAATATCCTGAATTCATCTAGGCTTGTTTTTTAATTTAATTGGGTATTTAACATAATCATGATATTTTCAATAGCAAATAAAAGCTTTATGAGGATATTATGATTTATTTAATTCAACTCTACCCAAGTCTAACAAGTTAGTAGTTCTATCCTTTAAAATATATTCAAATATTCCTCTTTTTCTTCTATTATTAGCCTGTTCAAACATTAAATGCTATAAAGAATTCAAATATTTTAATCCACTTGCTTTAGTAATTAGAGTAAAAGTATATAGTCGATCATCTTGAACAACCTTATGATAGAAAAGTCCTTTCCTATGGATTGATTGGCTTGATTAATAATTGGCAATAATGCTCACTAAATCATAATGATGTGTCAAAACTATTCAAATTAGCTCTTTATACTCTGAACTATACTTCAACAAGTTCACCTGTTAAATCTGACTAGTTTAAAGTTATAAATGAATATAAACATAAAGGGTCAATTGAGAAAAGTGCTAAAGTAAGCAGACCTTAATTCAATGATGATGACACTTGGCTTTAGTCGAATGAAGAACCACTAGATTTGTATGATATTAATGTTTCTGATATTGAATATGAAAGATTGAACAATTTCTACTACAAACCAGAAGTAAATTGATATTTATTTTTTTTATAATAAATTAAAATTTTTTAAAATTTTTAATTTAAAGAGAGACTTTTACCCTAAAATAGAAAAATGTAATCCCCCAGCTTACAAATGTGACGAGTATAGTATGTATCGTTAAATGCTTAAAACTCTAAAAAAAAGTTAAGTTGAGTTATTTAATTTTATTATTTCATCTCTTAATGAAGAGGAAAGCAAACTATACAATTCAATAGTCAAGGCTTAAATTGTTTAAACATCTAATAATTAGTATTCAGTACGCTAAATAAAGAAAATTAAGAAAAAAAATTAATTTTATGAATAAATAAACCATGTAGTAGAAATGGCTTAAGAAGATATTCATTAAAATAGCAATAGCTCTTAAATTATTCAATAAAATAAATCTAATTTAAATGATAAAATAATTGATGAAGAAATTTGATTTCAAAAAATAAATAATGATTTTGAGAACAATTAATTAATTATTTAACTAATTATTTATTTATTTATTATTTTTTAAATTACATTTATTAAATGTAATGTGTCTATGTTTTAATTATATGTATTATCTTATGATCATTCATTATGTGTTGATTTGGCAATTTAATAAGCTTTTTAAAATTTAATTTATTATAAAATACTATAAGTCTTCCATAATAATTAATTATATAAAACAAGTGAAAAAAATAAAAAAACTTTTATGGTATTTTTAAAAAAAATAAAAATTGGGGCATTTGCTAATTTATTTATGAGATTTATTGGTATTTTATTACTGTGTTGATTGAAATCTATTATTTATTTATTTTATAAAGTTAGTCAAAAATCTATTATCATTCATTCATTGATAAATTTATACAAATTTATATGAATTAAATATAATATGAGTATAGATGCTAATAACTAATTTAATTAAAAATTTAGCAATAAGATGAATCTGATTTGATAGATAGATAGATATTAATTTATTTACTGATATTTAATTTTAATTGAATCAAAAAAAAAAATATTTTAAATAATTATTTTTAACTTCAAATTTAAAATAATTTTTTCCTGCGAAATTAAAAATTTTTAATTTAACTAAAAACTAAGTAAAGTTTTTTTGTTTGTTTGTATGTTTATTTATTTGTTTTTTTGAGATACTTTTTTAATTTTATCTACTTTTAGGAAGTATTTAAATGGTAAATTATAATATTATACACATAAAATATAGTATTTAACTAGATATTAATTAATCATTTTGATTTCTTTTTTTATTGTTTTTCAAATTTTTTCATAGCAGCATCAAATTTGTCATTAAGTACATCACAAAGTCCAGCCAAACTATCTAATCCTTCTTTTAATACTTCATTTGAATTTTTTTCTATTATTTTATGAAAAAAATGTATTATTTTATAAAACTAAGCACAAACTAATAAACCAAATTACTTATTGTTTATAAACGTAAATTCATTTTATTTTCAGAAGGGTGAGGAATTGTATAACCACAGAATTCTACATCTTTTCTCTTTACAAGCATATATCTAACTGTATTTCCAAGGGTGTGGTCTTCATCATAGAAAGTATAAGTAGCGCAAGTTCTATCTTTTTCATTCTAATTTTATAAAAAAATGTTCAGCTTGCTTATTAAAAACATTTATTTTGTAATTATCGTAAATTCTATGCTTTAGTCTTAAAAACTAACTCAATTTTTTATGTTTTCATTTCTATTCCTAATTTAATCAATCAATTAATCTTTGATAATTTATTACTTAGTCAATAACAAGCTTTTCTTCTGCAGATTGCTTTTTAGGCTTATCTTCCATCATATAATCTTCATCTTCTTCTTCCTCTTCAATATCAGGATTGTTGACAGCTTCGTCATCTTCCTATTCAATTTCTTGGAATGAATTTTCTTCGCTATCTGACATTTTTAGAATATCTTGTTTTTTATATTTGTTATATTTTTGTTCTCCTTTAATAAATTAATTAAATTAATTATATATTAGTGAATATGTGATATCATCTATCTATCTATTAATTTATTTATCTATTGATCAACCTATCTTAATATAAATAAGTATGTATATTGATATATGTGCTTGATAGCAGTAATTTCTAGCTGCAGCTTCATTCAATTCTCAATGAAATAAAAAATTTTTATTTATTACTATTATTTTTAATCTGATTTAGATAATTTTATCTGTATTATAAATTAAAATGAGATACTTCATATCAAGACTTTCCAAGGGTCTACTTGCTTCAAGTAGAAACAATAAAAAACATAACTCAGTCTTTCTTTCTTTTAATTTTCTAATTTAAATCTAATTTTTAATTATATCTAAAATATAAATTTATATTTTAAACAATAAACATTAAAAACAAATCCTACATAACTCAACTTATATAAAATGAATAAAATAAATTAAAAAGTAACATTCAACTAAATTAATTTATTTTTAAAAATCATAAATTAAAAAAAATATTTGTTTTTATTATTTCTTAAATAAAAATTAAAAAATTTTTTTAAATCAAATTGCTAATAAAATAAAATTAAAAAATTTTTTAAATTGTTCATTTCATTGCAATTTAGTTTGAAAAGAAGGAATTAATTTAAAATTTAAAATGAATTTTATTATATTAAAATGTATCTAATGAGTTGTTTAATAAATAAATAATTAATTTAAACTTTTTGATATTTAAAATTAAAGAAAATTATATATTTAAACTTAAGATTAAGATGAAATAATTTAAATTTTAATTATAATTTTTAGATTATTTTAATAAAAATTTATATTTCAATGAAGAAGAAATAATTAAATTGATAAGTTTAGATTATAATTAAATTTTTCATATTTTTTTAGATGGTATGTAGACTAAACAAACTTTGTCCGTTTGTCAAAAAAAAATTGATGAATAAATAAAAATAATAACAAGATCTATCTATCTAATTAAAATTTTCAAAATCTTAAAGTGATATAGAGAATAGAAATAAATTGAGATACTATAGGATGTATGTATATAGTGATTATTGAATATATAAATAGATACATTCTTTAATTAGGCAATATTAATTTAGAAAAGAAGATTAAGAATAATTTTAATTTTTTATATTATTTAAATTTTATTGTATTGATTGATTTATTTATTTATTTATTAGTTAAGTTTTATTTATTTATTTATTAATGGTAATTTTCTAGTTACTTTTAATACTTTATTTATTCTATGTTTTTGTCTGTCTTTCATTCCTTGGTAACTATGTAGGTAATTTTTTTAGTTTCTTGGTTAACCATTAAAAGATCAATTTAATTGTAGTAATCTAAAGTTTTTTCAAATTAGGTGTTTGTATAACCTTTAGCTAAAACCTTTTTAAATTAATAAATAAAAATTTTATTTTTTAAGATAAGGATGATAAAGAAATCTTACTTATTTAAGAGCTTCAGATTCTGAAATAATAAAATCTTTTTATTTAAGACACAGTTTAGAGATAATTTAATAGATTTCAGATTTGAAGTCTTTTTAAATTTCTATTTTTATAAGAATAATTTAATTAATTTTAGTTAATCATCAAATAAATAAATGATATTACTTTGTTAAGTACTGCCATCATCTTAGCCTTCTTATACAGATTTTTGAGATTCTTCTATTAATCTCAAGGCTTCATCTACATCTTTTTATGAGACAGTTTCTGAGAATCTCAATTTAGCCAAACTTTAAGCAAGACGCAATATACCAAGTAAAGTTCTTGGAGTAGTATAATTGTAACCATCTTTGCTTTTATCATTTTGTGCTTTTCTTTTTTCTAAATATCTTGAAGTTAAGAAATCATGGAGTTCTTTATTGATAGTAGGTTAAAACTACTTAGCTTAGCTGATGTAAGCTTTAATCACAGCTGCGTCAACTGTTTCTTCAGTTGATTTAGGAGGTTATAATGTTTTATGTACTTATAGAATGTGCTTAGCTAATCTGCTATCGTTTTCTTCAGAAGCAGTATCAAGTAAGATGAAAACCTATTTAGTTTAATCGAAAAATTTTATTAAATTTAAATTTTTTCATTCAATAAATTAAATTAATTATCTTAAAACAAACGCAATTCCTTTAATTTAATTTTGAAAAACAGTTTATTATATGAAAAAATTACCAAATCAAATCTTGAAAGAAGAGCATAAGGTAGGTTGATGTTTTTATGGGGAGAAACCTTTTTGTTATATCTTCCATATAAAGGATTGGCAGCAGCAAGGATGGAAGTTCTGGCGTTGAGAGAAGTAGCCATACCTGCCTTAGCAATAGAGACGGTTTGTTATTCCATAACTTCATGGATGGAAGTTCTATCATTTTCATTCATCTTATCGAATTCATCAATACAACAGACACCCATATCAGCAAGGACGAGGGCACCAGCTTCTAATGACATTTCGTGAGTAATGGGATCTTTAATCAAAGAAGCAGTTAGACCGACACCACTGGAACCTTTACCTGTAGTGTAAATACCTCTAGGAGAGACTCTAGCAATGTGTTTTAACAATTAACTCTTAGCAACACCAGGATCACCAATCATAGCCATGTTAATGTCACCTCTGATTCTCATGCCGTCCTTTGTTTCCAAAGAGGTACCACCAACTTAATTTATTTTTAAAGAAATATTTAATTTTCAATAGCAAAATAAACAAACAAGCAAATTAATTAATTAATAATTTATTGATGTATTAATTACCCATGAGTAAAAGGAGAGCTTTCTTGACATCTTCAAGACCATAGATTTCAGGTGCGATAGATCTAGCAAGTAGTTCATAAATTTACTCATCAGTCATTTCTTCTCTCATTTCTTAAATCTTAATCTAAATATCTTCTTCAATTTGCATGTCTGAATAGCTCTTCTTTTCTTTTTAAATTTTATAGGATTCAATAAAAGTTTCCATGATCAAGTTGCTTCTTGAAAGGTAATCATCATGCTCAGAAGGGAGGAAAACACCCTAAACAGTGACCTAATTTTAAAAAGATAAATTTAATTAAAAGTCTTTGATATATATAATTAATTAATTACTAAATCACCAGGAGAACATTAATTGACATTTGCGCCTTTAGCAAGAATTAAAAATCTTCTAGGGATATTGCCTTAAGGAATTTGATCAGAAGTTTCTTGAACTCTGATTTCTTAATAAGCTTAGAAAACACTGGAAGAAGGACTGATAACTACTTTGCCTTTTGTACGATTGGTCTTACAGGTATTTGAAATACATTCTTGTAAAGGAGTGAAGGTCTTGGATGAGACTGTTTGATATAATTCACAACCACAAGTATCACAAATATAACATGCTACTTGCATCATAGGCTTGACGTCACTGGTTCTAATAACTATTGCTTTTATTGTTACCAATCCACCAATATCCTCTGACTTTAAGTTTCTAATAGGAGTGATCTTTTGTTTGCTATCAGGGCCTCTTATTATAAATAATTAAAACTTTCTGTTTAAAAGAGGATTCAATCTATTTTTGACATTATCATCCTTATTTTAATCACCTTCCATATTACTCATTCTTTAATCGTTTAAAATTTGTTGCATGTTTTCCATTTCCTATTAAAATAATTTAACAAATAATTAGCAAATAAGTAAGTAGATGATATTCATTTATTTATTTATGTTGAAATTTACTTTTTTCATACAAAGCAAACAAATATCTTTTATTTCCCTTCAAAAAAATTCAAAGGGCTCAAAAAAATATGTCTAAAAATTAATTTTTGCTTTTAAAATATTTCTTAGACTATTTCTTCAGTGAAGCTGCTCAATTTTCACTGAAATTTATTTCTATTTTCTTGACAATTTTGATAGTGTTGAGAATTTGGAGCAACTTTATATTGTCAATTATGCTTATGTGCTAAATTTGTATATTATCTTTTAGTAAAAAATTATAATTAATGAATTACTTCATCAGAAGTCATAGGAACATTACGAGCTGGCATAACAGTGTCACAAACCTTAGAAAGGATATCAACGAAACGAGATGTGTTTCTTTAAATTGCATCAATTAAAGGTCTATCCTTTTCAGATTTAAAGTATTCTTCTAAATCTTCCATTAAAATATCTACACGACTATCTTAATTGTTAGCTACTCTTTACTAATATTTATATGAAAAAATGTAAATTGCATTGTATCATATGTTTAAAGCATATTTTAAGTTCATTATTAGTGCTTGCTTGCTTGCATATGCATTTGTTTTTAAATTTAATAAATTAGATGATTTATTACGAGTAAATTCATATATTTAAGATCTCCATGAGTTTGTTAAGAATTGTCCTTAGAAATTTACTTGAAAGAAGTTATAAATTCAGTTAGTAAAGCTGTCTTTTCAAGATATTTAGGATTATAGAATCTATATTCACCTTACATTTGATAATTCGTTGTCTATTAAATACTTAGCTATTGAAATTGATTGAATCTAGCTTTGCTTGTTTAATTGTTTTATTTAATATTAAATCTGCTTTTTTCTAAAATCCAGATTAACAATAATATCTTATTAGTTAAAGAAATTTATTTTTTTTTATTTTTTTAATTACTAAAATTTGCAATTTGGATACAAATAATATCTAATCAACTTTCTAGGCGCCTATTTTTTAATTTACCGCTTTTAAAATCAAGCGCCGTGTCTTGTAGTTAAAAAATTTGAAATTTATCACATTTACCAAATTTCATTGTGTCGTTATTCTATTATGAACTTTTATTTTAAATTGCTCTAATTTTTTGTAAAATTAAAAATTTTGTATTTAATATTTTTGCTTTATTAAATAAATTCTTTGATATTTTAGATATTTTTGATTTTAATTAAATTGTCTTTCAAACAGTCTAAAGGATAAAAGCATTTTTTAATCTCTCTAAGTTGACCTATTATTAAGAAATTAAAATAAAATTAATTTATTATTATTGCAATCTAAATTTTAATTAAATTTAACTAAAAAACTATTTATTATTAAAATCAAATAAAAAATATTAATAAAAAATATAATATAAAATTGTTTCTAAATAAAATAATTAATTAAAATAAATAAATAAATTTAAAAAAATTTGTTATTAAATAAAAAATTTAATTTTAAAACTAAATAATTTAACTTAAAAAATAAAAATAATAAATAAAACAAAGAATTAAATATAATGATTGAATAGAAAAAATCTAATAAAATTATTTAAAATATTTTGATACAATTTAATGAATTTTATGTGAAAAATAATTTATTTTATTTAATCAATTGAATTAACTTAAAACAATTAATTAATAAAAAAAATAAAAATGAGATTTTAAACTTAATAATTAATATTTTAAAAATAAATTAAAATGCTAACTAAATAAATGCAAAAATTTAATAAAAACCTAATAAAATTTAATGAGTTTTATGGAAAGAAACAATTTTGTTTAATTAATTGAATTAACTTAAAATAATTATTATTATATTAAAAAAGTAATTAAAAATTAGATTTTAAAATAAGTAATATTAATATTAATAATTAAAATAATAGTTTAAATAACTAATTAAATGTAAAAATAAAAATTGAATAGAAATCTAATTAATTATTCAATAATTTTGATACAATTTAATGATTGATTTTTATGCGAAGAAACAATTTTTACGTTACATAAAATTATGTATGTATTAATTAAATTAATAAATAAATTACTTCATAGTTTGTTTTTGTGTATGTGTGAGGATTTATTTTTAAAATATTTTTTTAATATTTATTTACAATTTTATTATTGTTTTTTAGTTAGTTAGTTATTGAATTATTTTGATAAAACTTTTTCAATTCGAATTTCTTTCAATATTTGTTAAATTATATTTTGTTTATTAAGTATCAAACCAAATAGCTCTGTAGGATTGATTTACGATGGGTCTTACTTTCAAATTTTTGCTAAAGATAGCTGGGTCTTCTGTTTTAAATATTTGGACTTTTTATGGTCAAATTGTTAGATGATACATTTGATGTGTCGTGCTTGAAAGTACTTTGAAGTAAATCAGGCTATGAAGCTGTTTTTTGATTAATTTAACCAAAATTTATGGTTTTACTTAAGTGATTTATAGAATTTGAATTTTTTAAATTGCTTTTTATTAAATAAGAGTTTTGTATCGACTAATTGTTTATGAGCAGCTAGAATTTTTGCTAAGTTTTTGATTAATTGTTAACTTTTTAATTTTTTTAATCTGGCTTTTTTGCAAAATATGTTTCATATCTTCCGAGCTATTCAAGACTTACTATATTTTGCTGGCTATTTTAGTGGCTGTCTTTATCGTTATTAGATTTTAATCCTAGACTAGATTTACTTGCTTCATTCTAGAGATTATTTTCAGTAGCATTCAATTCTTCTATGCTATTTGATGAATTACTTAATTAAATTTAACCAGATTTCGCACTTTTTGGCATGAGCAAATAATTCTTACTAAAATGATTTTTATTTTAATTTCCTTTACCAAGTTCTGTCATTGTTGATGAGTTAATTTTTTTATGAGAACTACTTCTATTGATTATCTCATTCGATTTTTTATTTTTTTTATCAGTATTTGTAACAAAAGATGATTAGAAAAGCTAGTTTGTTTTGCTCTGAGATTTTTTACTATGATCTTATTTGCTTGGAGATGGCGAAAGAATTACTGGGAAGGGCTACAGATAAGCACCTATTTTACTATCCTTTTTATGGATAATATATTCCGATTTGCTGTCGTAATTGAATGGGCTTACTAAATGTCTTCTACTCAATTTCTAAGGGAAGGCAAAGATGGAAGAATTCGTTGAAGGAAGAAGACAATTTTGACTTTTAGTGCGCATATCAAGAAAAGAGCCTATTGTGGAATTGAATTTTAAGTTGTGTTGCTTTACTATTTAATTTAGCATAAAATTATTTTTATTGATATTGCTTTATTTGACTTTTCTAATTAAAATGTTTTTTTTCTCCTAATTATTGTGATTAAATTCATCATTTTATTCTAAATTTTCAAGCTCAACCTCGTTATTTGCAACTTCTTCAAGTGCCTTGTAATAATCTTACTAGTACAACATAGATTTTTTTCTTTGTTTTTCTTAAAAACCAACTAATTTGGTAGCAATACGAAGCTTTGTGATCCATTTTTTTCTTTTCTCCACTTGTTCTGGATAAATGCTTTCATATTATTATTTTTAGTGTGAGTCGTCCTTTAAGGTTTTTCCTCCTACGCCAAAGTAGTTGAACATGCTACTCTTCTTGCTGCTGCTTACAGGAGTTTAGCGATTAGGAGAAGCAGAAACATGATTATTTTTAGGGGAATTTTTATTGCTAGAAATATTTTTACGATGAACTACTTTATTTAAAGATAACTCCAACTCTTTGCTAGAGATTTATGAGTTTGTTTTTTGAGGTGATTTTTTTTCTTATTTAGATTAAGGAGTAACATTTTACTGTTGACTCTGTTCTTCTTTGATATATTCAATAGTTTCTGCGAATGTAGGCTTGCTGTTAGGATTACGATTTACAGGACTTTGAGCATTTTTTAATGTGTTATCATCTTTCTTACTATGAGTGGCAGTTCCTTAATTAGAATGTTGTTAGCCATTCTTTGGTGATGTCATGTAAGAAAATTAGCTTCTTTAAGCTTAGCTTGAATGGACGTGGTGTTAATTGTTATACCTATTGCTTGCGCTAGGTGTATTCATAACTCTTCCTGACATAGGAGTGTCTAAAAAGTTAAATGTTTGCTGCATATTCATGATATTAGGACTATTTAGCAGACTTCCGCGAGCAGAATTCTTTTCTTGAATGTCGAATGTACGATTTAAATTCTAAATAATCAAATCTTTTTCATTCAAATTCATTTTCATTTCCTACTTTCTTTTCATACGCTAGTAAATTCTATTTTTAATGAAGGTTGTAGGCAATTAGAAGTCTATTTTTTAAGCTTTTTGGCTTTACTTACCAGTTTAGTTGCAATAGCAGCTACGACGACGAAAAGCTGCTTTCTTTTTGTTATTGTTACTACCATTTGAGCAGGAAATAAGATTATATTAATTAGTTTAACTCAGAGGAGTATCTTAAAAATTGGTACTATTAGTCTTAATATATTAGCTAATTTAAGGAACTCTCTCTTCATCGTAAAGATTAGCCTTTAACCTTTCTACTGGACTAGATTATCCTAAAATTGAATAAAATTAAAATTATAAATGTATAATTTAAATTTATAAAAATAATTCAATTTTATTCTCTAATCATATTAAAAATTAATCTATTAATGCAATCTTTTCTTTTGCAAATCCTCATTTTATTTACATTCAATCAATCAACCACTCATTCAAATTTCTATTTAATAATAATATTCTCTTTGTATATTTAATTGCAGAGGAAAATTCATATTGATTTTATCTTTGCTTAACTAAATACAAAATAAATTCAATCTTTATTTAGAAAAGTTCTTTTTTCAACAAAATAATCGCAAATGACTTAGTTGAAATATAAAATAAATAAATATATACTTCCGTTTGTAAATCTATATCATTATTATATCATTATTTCAACTACTGAAATTAGCAACGTATTAACTGAAAAGAATAAATAAAATATGTGAATTAATTAGAGCTGCTTCTGCGTTGTAACTTCTTAAGAATATTAAAAAATATTTATTAATCCAATCCCGAAATGATATTTGCTCATAATAAAAATTGAAATATCTTCATAATTTTTTCGGACCTCTCATTATTTGATATGGAAAAATTATTTTAGTTATTAAGATTTGCTTAATATGTCGATTCAGAAGTAAAGCTTGATCCAGTTTATATTGACGATTAAAAAGAAATATGCTAAACTAGCAAAATATTAATGAATTTATTTTGATGACTCATTCAGTCAGTCAAATTGATTGATTACAATAAATTAAAAAGAGTAAAGGCTGTAAATAGATATTTATATATGAAAATCAAATATTTTTTTAATGACTGAATCAGTAAATAGTGTGAATAGTGAATAGATAAATGAGTGATTGATTGATTGATAAATTAAAAAAATAAGGTAGTTTCTAACTAATTTAAAAGAAATTAAATATTTTTTTATTTAATTTGCATACTAAGAATAAATCATGCTTAATTATTATTCCTATTGAGTGAAAAATATTTAATAAAATGAATAAATAGAATAATTACTTATCAAGTGATTGTTGCTTATCACCGCATTAAGGTTAAGAAAGTATTAATGATTATCAAAAATTAATCCTTTTTAATTCACTTTGAATGTTTTTTTAAATTGTAGCTATTATTCTTATTCATTTTTAAGATCTGCACCTCCGCATTCCTTAACCTTTATAAATCCTAGTAGCTTCAAGTTGTTCAGTCTTCTTAGCTGACTCTTATTTTGTGTTTGTTTGTCTTTTATTAATTATTTTTATTGAGTGTTTTTTTAAAATACTATTTCAATTTTACTTTCAGTTATCAACTTGTATTTATTGGGTGATTTTTCTATCAGATGCACTTTATGATCTATCTAGTTTTTTTATAAAAAGGTTGCTTTACCATCATATTTACAATATCAAACTATATTTATTAATTAATAATGTATTTATTACATCATTTGTGCTCCTAAAGTTGTGAGATTCTGCTGAAGAAGTTGTTGATTAACAAGAATTTTTCCTCCCGCTTAACATCTTAGAGGTGAAGCTTGTCCTTTTATTAATCATTGTATGATTAGTGGGTAGGTTTGTTTTTTTTAAGAGTAAGTTGTGTTCTGCTTATTGATTAGTCTTAATTTTTATACTTAATTTACAAATGCTTATTTTTTTGTATTTAGTTTTTTTTTCAAACAAATTAGCTGATTTGGATTTTTATTTAATTATCAAATTTTACCAAGTTAAAAACACATTAAAAATATTGCTAATCAAAATGAATATATCTATCAGTCTATCTATCAGCCTTTCTTAGTGTAAAATAATAGCATCATGAAAAAAAAAGTATAAAAAATAAACAAGCTAAGTATTATCTTATAGCAAAAGCTTTCTCTTACTTTTTTTAAATATTTTAAATAAATTATTGTAGATTAAATAAAAATTATTTAATGAATAAAAACATTTTATAGCAACAAGCTAATTGAAATATTTATAAGTTTTAGTTAGGTTAAGAAATAAGTTTTATTTATTTTCTAAATTTGGATTTGCTTATAACCATAAAAATAAAATAAATAAATTGTGTTTAGAGATAAATAGAGAAAATAGCTTATACAATTTATCGCTTTTAAATGATACTGAATACATTTAGTTGTATTTATAATTTTACCATAAATTTAATTGCTTTTTCTGGTCTTTTGTGGTTTGTATTCTTTATTTTAATTTAATACTGACTGCGTCGACTTAATTATCAAAATTAATTAAAATTGTAGCATATTATTATATTTCCAAATAGCTCTTTACACTTGTCTGCTTTACTTAAAACTATGTTGCCTCTTCGAAAAGAAAAAGGAGTTTGGTATTTAAAAAAATCACTCATAATCAATATTCATAGTTTATAAACGCATCTCAACGTATAATTTAAAATTAGGCTTTTGATAGAATAAATAAAACTGTCTATAATATGCATACATAATTAATTAATTAAATATATAAGTATATACAAAATGCATAGTGAGTCATCAAAAAAATAGAATATGCGTTATGCATATAAATTTATTAAGAAATAAATTAACATTAGGAAAAATCAAATTTAAAATTAGTCTAGCTAATCATTTTTTTAAGAAATAAGAGAAAATTATTTGCTTATTTATTTATTTTAAATGTATTAAAAGAATTTTGGGATTTTAATTTAATTGATTAACAAATAAGTAAATAAGAGAGCATATTTAATTAAAATACACTTGTAAAACACTCTGTTTTTATTTAAATAATTTATTTATAATCAATTTTTAGGTTGAGATTAGTTTTCATCTTCTTCTAGTTATTTTAATACACTCTCAATTAGTTCGTTATTGACTTTCTCTTCATATTCATCTATGAATTCTTCAAGAAATTCTCCTTTCATCATTTTTTCTATTCCAAAAAGGGTTAAATTAGTTCTGTGATCTGTAATTCTTCCCTAAGGAAAATTATATGTACGAATTTTATCACTTCTATCACCGCCTCCTATTTATTTGAAAATTATACATTCTTTTAAAAAAGAGAAATGAAAAAATAAAAATAATTAAGTACCAATCTAGCTTTTTCTCTAATCGCTCTATTATTAATTAGATTTTTCTACTTCTACTTGGAAAAGTTTCTCAGTTAAAAGCTTTTTTTAAAATAGATTCATATTATTTATTTATTTGATAATCAAAAAATAGTGAAACTTCTTTCTTCAAATAATAATTTTTTATTATATTCAATTATTTCGAGGTTTATACCAACTTATATATCGAACTTTTATATTAGATTTTTAACATCAATTTATATTTATTTATTTATTTATTTATTTGTTTTTCTTTATTTCTCATACAATTTTGGTAAAATGATGTATAAATTTTTTAAAAATCAAGCCTCGATTTTCTATTTTTTTTAATATCAGTTTCGATCTTTTTAAAATATTAAATATCAAGTAACTCTAAAAATTACCTTTAATGCTCTTTATTTGTTTCTTTCTTATTGTCTATCATCCTAACAAAGCACACTTATTCCAGTTGGCAAGTGTGTAACTCTAAAATTTAATTTAAGAGAAAATTAGTTAACAAATATATTACAAGTATATTTATTATTTACCTGCATGCGGATTCTACCTTGTTAACATGCTGTCCACCAGCACCTTGAGATCTCATAAATTCGAATTTCAAATCCTTTTCATCAACTTTGAAATCCTTTTTAATAAATAATAATAAAAATTAATTCAAAACAAATAAAATGTGTAAAATTTAAATTAATTACCATGGGAACAACTGGCATAACGACAACAGATATGGTACTTGAATGCAATCTGCCTTTACTTTCTGTTTCAGGCACTCTAATAACTCTGCATTTAAAATAAAATGACTAATTAATTTTTAAATTTGAATCTTTATTATCAATTTACTTATGGACACCTGATTCATTCATCATTTTTTTATAAATATTAGTACCAGATACTTTTAAAACACCCAATTTACATCCTTTGTTAATGGCCATATCGACTTAAAATGAGTCGATACTAAATTAATATCCTTGCTAAGCAAAAAAAGCTTGGTACATTTTAAAAACTTCTTCAGCAAATAGAGAACTTTCACTACCACCAGCTCCTCCTCTAACTTCTAATGTTATTTCACTGCAATCGTCATGCTTTCCTTTTGGAAGAAGTTGTTCTAAGCATTCATCTTACAGCTCATCTAGTATTTCAAATAAAAATGAAATTAACTTAGAATTTAAAACAAGTTAATTTAATAGATTTAATAAATTAATTGATAGTATAATAAATAATTAAATAAATGCTCAAAGATAAATAAATCCAAAAAGCATGCAAGGTAAGCAAGCATAGATGCATGTTTGCATGTAAAAAATGGATTAGGAACATTAAAATTAATAATTTCTAGAAATATTCTTGATTATCAATATTGTTAAAATTTAATAAATATTGATTTAATATAAAATCTTTACGAATAAACTATATAGTTTTGATATATCTTTAAGTAGACTCAAATTAAACTTTTACCTATTAATTACTTAGAATTTTCCATTTCTTCTTCTATGAGAGCGAGCATTTCAGGATCACTCGCACTTTCTTCCTTTTACTTTTATAACTCTTATAAAGTTTTTATATTCTACTCCAATTTTTCAAAGACGTCATTAAGTGGCTAAAGAACATTTATTTTCTTTCTGAGCTATTCTAAATTAATATCTGCTTATTATTGTTCCTATGATAGTATTTTTTGAATGTCTGTATATTCATTATGGAACTACTTCATTCTTCTATAAATGCAACGAGTTAAATCAGATACTTAAAAGTGAGTTTCTATCTCTAAAGAAGATGTTTTTTTCTTGAATGTTTCTTTTGCACGAAAGCTAAAGAAGCATTTATTATTTGTTTGTATTAAATTAATAACTTTGAATAATTTAGTATTATAAAGAGAACAGATCTATGAAAAGCTGTTTTATTGCTATTTAAGAGGTATAGCTCTAAGCGAAATAGGGAGTAACTTAAATATATTTTTTATCATCTTTTTCAGTAATAATTAACTATCCAACTAATGAATTAATGAATGAACTTACGAACTAACTAACTAATTAACTAATGTTATTTTAATAAACTAGGTTAGAATAATAATCTAATTTTATGCAAACAAATATCTACGAATCAAATCAACGATTGTAATTTTTAATTTATTTATTTATTTCTGTTTGAAATCTTATTAATGAATGAATGAATTAATTAATGAGTAATAATTTTCACCTTAATTTAAAATTTAACTCAAATTATAAATTGAGAAATCAATATTTCAAAATTCTAACATAAATCTAATTCATTGCTATTATTTTGCTTTTGATTAAATTAATATTTATGTATATAAAAACCTAAATTTTAACTTTTAAAATATTTATTTAATTTATTGATTTGTATCACTAAAAATAAATAAATTTCTATTTGTAAAAATATCTTCTTTAATTTCTCAAATAAATTTAAATTAAAGGAAAAAAAGTACGTAAAAATAATTTTGTTAAATATTTAGTGAACTATCTAAGTAAATTACTTATTTGCTAAAACTTTTTTGATTTCATTTTTATATTTTTTATTATTTATTATTCGTATTAAATATTTTATTTATTATTAAATAATTTAAATAGAATTTAAAATCTAAAAAAAGATAAATTATACTTTTACTTGTTTATATGCAAATAAACCTATTTTTTTATTTTAAAATAATAAATATTATTTATTAAATTTAATCAAATAGTAAATTATTCATTTTATATTTAACTACTGTAAAAATTTTTAAAAATAAAAATTAAATTTATTAATTAATTTAATATTACAAATATTTATTGTTTCTTCAGTAATTATTTTTATTTTACTCTCAAGCTTGCTTTAATTTTTCAAAAGAAATAAAGTATTTAAAATTCGAATATAAATTAATTAAAAATTTAGTGAACTCTCTAAATAACTAACAACTAATTTACTTATTTGCTAAAACTTTTTGATTTTATTTTAATATTTTTTATTTTTAATATTTGTATTAAATAGTTTAATTAGTATTAAATTATTTAAATGGGATTTAAAATCTAAAAAGATAAATTATACTTTTACTTATTTATATGCAAATAAATAAACCACTTTTTTGATTTTATAATAATAAATTTTATTTATTAAATTTAATTAAATAATAAATTAATCTTTTTATTTTTAACTACTGTAAAATTTTTTTAAAAATAAAAATTAACTTTGTTAATTTATTTAATATTAAAAATATTTATTTATTTATTATTTTTTCAGTAACTATTTTTATTTTGTTGCTTTAATTTTTAACATATTTTGATATGATGGATGTAGGCTTTTTTTAGAAAATAAATAAAAATGTTGTATTTAAATATGTTTGTGAATATGATTTCACGAATTACTTACTATGTATGTTCTATGTATTAAATTGTTTAAAAAGAAAAATAGTAATTTTAATCAAATAGCTTATTAGTTAATTTAGTAACTAGCATTAGTAATTAAAATATAATTATTCTATTTTATATGTGAAAACTTTTTTAAATAATTGTTTATTTATTAAATTAATTAATTTAATAACTACTTTATTACTTTTTTATAAATAGTCAAACATTTTTATTAAAAAATAAATATCAGGTATATATTTATAGAGCTCAAAGTTGCAAGTTTAAAAAATATTAATTGTACTTTGACATAGAAGGATTGGTTTTAACATGGATCGGTCTTTATCTTAAGAAGAAATAAATAAAACAAAGAGCATTGACATTTAAACTTCAAATTATCATGATGATTCAAATAGTCAATGCTTTGATGACGAAAATAACTAGGATTAGTTTGAAAATGATGCATCTCTTTCAAGAAAAAATTAAAATGAATTAAACTTATAATTAAATTTATAGCTTAATGAATAAAATTTAAATGGAGTTAATGATGAAGGTATCCTAATCACTGCTTAACAAGAAAAAAAAGTTGAATAAATTGAGAATACAAACAAAATTAATAACAATCAAATTACATCATTGAAACTTAATTAACTTTAAAATTAACATAATCAACAGAATCCATCTCCGTATACTATATCTGATCGTAAGATATGGGCAGTTCAAGGAGTTATGCCTGGATCTGTTAGTAAAAAATTCATTAGGTCTTACAAATTGGGTCGATACAATAAGATGAAAAGTCTAAAAATAGATATGGAATATTTTAATTCTCCACACCACGAGCAATTACATCTTGGAAACAATATTCTACCTTTCTAAAATAATAAAAATCGCTTATTTACTACGGGAAGCTTTGATTATACTAAGTATATGCTCCCTGATGGGTAAATGTAACAGACTAAAATGCCCTTTCAGTCTGTGCAATCTTTCAGTTCGAGAGTGAATACTGGAAATATAAATAAATTCTAAAATAATTTGAAGTCACTGAAAACTTTTAGAAATGCTTTTAAATAATAAAGTGAAGATTTTAACCAAGTATTTTCTCCAAGGACAACTTCATAAACAGTAATTCAATAAGTAATTTAGCAGCAGCAAAATTCAAAATAAACACCTCAATAAGTTAATATGGAAATTAGATACATCGATATTATCACTCAGCCAATAGTAAAACAATCTAATTTCATAAACAACAAGAAATGTCCTCATGGTATGACTAACATGAGAGTGAATGAGAAAAAGAATATTTTCTTCTTTAATTAATAAAGTAATAAAAATAACAATCCTCATCATATTTAGCCAATTTAGTACCTTAGGCATCAAGCTTACTCTTCCAACTAACCAATAAATTAGTATAATTAAAATTAATACAAGCTGGACTCAGCATATGTAGAAAATTCAGATAACATGTATGATCTAGTAAATAAAAGATAATATAAAGCAAATAATTTCTTCGGAGAAGAACAATCCTAAGGACAAAGCAGCAGCCACTAATTAGATGGAGGTTTACATAAATAAAATTTAACATTCAAACCAAAAAATAATCTCCTTCACTCAGAATACAAAGATTAGTAAACTGACCATCAAGCATCTTAATTCACATCAACCAGCAATAGAAATTTTTTTGGAAGAAAATCAGAAAAGAGTATGAGTAAAATGTAACCTAACAATTCATTGAGACTTCCTTAGTTTGCCACTAACCCAGAAAACATTTAGTTTTTCTCAAAAGCTAAATAAAATCTTGTTAAATATGTTAATCAAATAGGAACTTAAGACCATCCTTTAAGAAACACTTTTGTTTCATAAAAAAACATGCTCTGATTAATAAATAATAAGTTATATTATAAATTTTATCTTCATCAATCAACTAATTGTACATAAATATTTTTTTATAAAAATTAAATATAAATCAATCTATAAATAAATTTAATAAATTCTATTGCTATTTTTCAGATTAAAAAATACAAATTAATTTAACATTTTGAATTTATTTGTTTTTTTTAAGTAAGTATGAAGTATAAACAATTTCTTAATTGCTTTTAAATTAATATTTTAATTTATTCAGATTATATAATAATTATGAAGAAATCATCTAAATAAACTCTTTTTTTTCTAAAAAAACATATTTGGAATTAATTTTGAACCAATATTTTTATATTCGGAAGAAAAATAATTTGTTAAAAAAAACGTTTTTTATTTTTAATCAAAAATATATCACTAAATTTGTAATTAATTAGCTTGCTAGTTTGATCTCTTAATTAAAAACAATTGATGAATAAATATAAATTCTCTTTTATAAAAGTAAATTTATATTTTTCAGATTTATTTATTTTATTTTTTTGAAGTTTTTTGAGGGATTTCTACTTTTAACAAATAAATAAATATGTCGATTTCCAAAAAATAAATAAATGAAATTTTCAAGCACTTCTTAATTGAAAATGGTAAATTCAAGCATACTACTATTTTTATATTAAGCATGGCGGAAATAGATATGCGTTACTGAAATTTTTAATTAATAAATATGCATAATTAATTAATTATATCCTTTTATGAATTAATCAATCAATCTCATTTAATCAAAGCTATTTATTTATACTAAATTCGTTTTTGATTTTTCAAAAATGAAAAATGCATTAATCATCGTTTGATGACAATTAAAAAAAAAATTTACTGCATATCATTAAAAAAAAATAATGCAAATTCATTCATTTAACACAATAATATTTGTTTGTATTTTTCTTATTAATTTGTTAACAAAATTGATTAATAAAAAACAATCAATATTTTGATTACTACTTAAAGATTAAGATTAAAATAAGAAGAATAATACATACATTTATTAAAAATACATACAAAATTGCTTATTTGGCATGAGAAAGATAAACAAATTATTGCTTATCATATCGCTACTTTTAATTGCAGGTTTTGCTGCTAGACTTAAAAGGTCAAGCAAGTCAAAGCAGCAACAACTTATAGCTGATAGCATATAATCTTAAAACATGAAGATAACTCTCGAAAGAGATAACACTGTAGAAAAGAAGATTCAAATTATTAATTTTATTGAAGAATCTAACTCAATCAGAAAGAATTAGCCTTCATTCAAAAAGAGAGTGTATGACAAGGATTCCTAAAAAATAATGATTGAAGAAAAGGAAATTACTGCTGACAGAAAGCAATAATTTGTCTCTATGATACAAACTAATGGAAAAAGTGTAGGACTTTAGAATCACGGAAATACCTTTTATACTGGTAAAATATAAGTAGGTAATAGAGATCAATATTATAAGATGATATTTGACAGTGGTTCAACCCTTATTTTCTTGAATTCAGTTTAATGCGACAGTATTGGATGTATAAGAGGAAACTAATACGATTCTGAAGCATCTCCTACCTTCAAGGATGTTGACTTAGAAGTAAAAGTTGAATTCGGAAGTGGTAAATAACTATAAAAACTACTAAAAATTCTTTGATTGATTTACAAAACGCATATATATATATATATATATATATATATATTTATGCATAGAAAAAAAACAAGAAAACAAGCAGACAAACAATCAATCAAAAGAAACTTACTTACAAATGAATATTCTACAATATCCTTTTAAACTTAAAATTATTTTTCATTATTTCAGGTATCCTAACTGGTGAAATGGGAATAGATACTTTCTATTTTGGTGATATGGCTGTTGAAAGAGTTGAATTCATGGAAATCTTAGAACAAGATGGTGCTGTTTTTGAAAGTGTAATTAATTATTTACTTTCATTATCTTTTTTTTAATTTTTCTATTACTGAATAACTTTGGAAAGAATATCTACTTATCTATCAATCAATACTTATAATTAATTCATTTGCTCATTAATTTTCATAAATATTGCTTAAAAAATATTTATGGAGACTGTTGATGAGTTAGTTAGTTATAAATTATTATTAGACGAAATCAATTTAAGTTCAAATATAAAATTAAACAAAAAAATTTAAAAAAAATAGGGTGACTTTGATGGTTTGATTGGTTTAGCTTTTCCTTAATTAGGTGATGGCGCTGACACTGTTGTTGATTACATGAAAGACTAGAATTTGATTCCTAAAAAGATGTTCAGTTTCTACATGTCAAGAAAAGATGAGAGTGACAACTCTTTTATATCATTTGGATAAATTGATCAATAAGTTATAGCTGGAGATATTAAATACCATAAAGTAGAAAGTCCTTTATATTGGACTCTTCTAGCTTAAGAAATAAAACTTGGTGGACATAAAACTAGTCTTTGCTCTAGAGAATATCCTTGTCCACTTGCCATAGATTCTGGAACAAGTATCATTGCTGGTCCATCTGATTAAATAGATTTCCTTACTGATCTTATTTTAGACAGAGGTTTTGAATGCAACTAAATCAAAAAAATGCCAGCCATATCGTAAGCATAATAAATTTTAAATAGATTTATCCATTTATTCATTCATTGATTCCATCCAACACTTATTTTTCAGATCTAATTAAATTGATCATAAATAAAAACCTCAAATAAAATGAAATATTTTTAATTAAATAATTTAATTAGAATAAATATTTTTTCATTATTTTTAATTAATCATTTGAAAATTCGAATCTTTTTGTATAGCAAGTTAAACTTTTTTTCATCCATCATATTTCCTATTAGAACTTTTGTAAGCAAGCAAGCAATTAATTTCAAAATTCATTGTAAAAATCAAAAAATAAATAAATAAATTCTAAATTTAAGTTAACTCAGTTTTGAATACAAAAATAATTAATTAATAAATTTGTTTTTTTTTATGTTTATAATTTTTTTTTATAAAATATAAATTTTTTTGTTCATTATTCATAAACTTTTTAAACAAATTAGCTTTGTTATTGACGGAGAAGAATATCCTATATTAGCCGAGGAATACATTATTAGTTCTAATGGAGCTTTTGCTAATATGTATGAACACAGTGTAGATCCTGCTGAGTGCTACCCTGCTTTAGTAGCATTAGATGTCGAAGAACCTTAACGTAATTAATAGATTGATTGCTTAATTAGTGAAATTAATTTATCTTAAATTAAAATATTTAGTTGGTCCTATGTGGATCCTTGGTGATATTTTTATGTCTAAGTATTACACTTTATTCAACCGTGAAGATAAAACTGTAGGTTTTGCAAAGCTTAAAAGTATCGATACAAGGTTATATCAAAAGCCATCTAAAATTGAAGATGAAGAATTTAATTATAACTTTATGAAAAAGATGAACAAAAGAAAAAAATCTAAAAAACACCTTTGAAAGAACTTAATAAACATAATTTTTAGTTAATAATTAATTAATTGTTTACTAATTTTACTATAATTTCTTACTCATTTTTGTAAATTTTAAGAATAAATTTCTCTTTTATAATATTTCAACTTTTTTTCTTCAAATATTAAATAAAATTTTAATTCCTTATTTTATGTTTAACAAATATTAAAATTCTTGAATTTTGTAAAAAATATTTTTATTGAAATCAAAAAAAAAAAATAAATAAATAAATAATATTTAGTTTTTCCAACATAAGTAAGTAACTGAATTGATTATCTTTATCATGATTTTAATTCTATTTTCTATGATAATTTTTAAATTTCTATTCTTTAAATTTTAAAATTTTAAATACTTAATTTTGTTTATATAAATAAAGTTTCTTAAATTTAGTAAAAATATGTTCATAGAAATTGAAATACTGTATATTGTCATTAATTATATTAATTATGGGTAATATATATATTATTATCAATTTTTTAGGAATTATGGAGGAGTTTTTATAAATTGTGGGACAAAATTTTTAATTTTTAAGTTAGTTACAATTAAAATCAAATAAACATCAGTTTAAGAAATATTAATTTTTAAATGAAAACATTCGTTTCAAAAAGAATTGTGAAAAAAATGTTTAATTTTCTACTCCAAAATGATTGTAAACATATTTTTTTTATTTAGATTCATTTTTTTAAAATTATGTTCCAAACATTTTTAAATTGCCAAGAATATTAATTTTGAGTTTCTAAATGAAATGAAAAATTTGTATCATAATTAATAAAGGAAAATCTACAAACAATAGGAGGTAAATAGTTTATTTTATTTCAAATATTTTTCACAAGCAAATAATTCAATTGATTTTCTTATAATAATTTAGTATAATTTTTTGACCTAAAATTTAGAATACAAACTTTTTTATTATTATTTTTTAAACACACTAAAATTTTTTAATTTTGATGAAAATAGTTTTATTGAAATCAAAATAAAAATAAATAAAGTATTTTTCTGAATTAAAATAAATATTTTTTATAAAATTAATTGAATTAATATTTTTAATGATTTTAACTAATATGGTTTTTCTTATGAGATATATAAATAAATTTCCTTTGTCCGAATACAAAAGTTTATTATAATTATTTTATTTATGATTAAAAAGAACCATAATTCTTAAATTTAGTTAAAAATATTTTCATAAAAATCATTATTAATAAATATTTTTTCTTTTTTCAAATATTCTTTATAATCAATTAACTAAATTGAAGATGCTTCGCTTATTATTTATTAGTGTTAATTAATTATTGTCTTTAAAATAAATCAATATTTACTGCTATTAAATAATAAAATTGTTTTAATTTTAAAAGAAGTTTAATTTAATTATTTTTAATGATGGAAGTGATGTGGTAAAAATATGAATGATTTAAAGTAAAAAATAGTTTAAAGTGAAAATTGATGATTCTTTTAAAATTAATGTTTAAAAAGGAGATTAATATGAGCAGTAATATTGATTGATAGTGTTCAAAGTGATGTCAAAAAAAGATGATGTATTAAAATCTCAAAGAAAACGTTGTAATACTTGCTTTATCACTTTATATGTATAAGTGTGAGTATGTATGAATGTATGTATGTATGTATATATGCGTGTTCATAGATATTTAAGTTAATTTTGTAAGATAAGTAGAGTAAAAGTTTTGTAATACAGAAAGACTTAAAAGTAATAAAAAAGAAACAAAAAAAAATAGTAAAAATTTTTATATTTTTGAAATTCAGTGATTAATTATTTATTATTGCATTGTAAAAAAGTTAATTACATAGAAGCAAAAATTAAAAAAGATTGGACATAAAGGACTTACTTCTATCTTTATAGTTAATATTATTAAATTTATAAAGATAATTTCGTTTAAGCTTAAAGACAAATAATTAATTGCATTAAGCGGATAATATTCACATTTTAAATACTAACTGGAAGTATAATAACTTTATAAGCTATCATAAATGAGTGATATTTACATGAAATTCAACGAATAACAAATGACATCTAATAAGTATTTTGACTGCTTCATATGCAAAGATATTCTTCTTAAGCCAGTCACTCTAATTTGTGGCCATTCGTAAATTAAAATATTTATTTTATATATTAATTATTCATTTTTAAGATTGCTAAAAATATCAATAAAATGTTAATTCTGAACTAAATAAAATTAATTGTTTTTTATTATTAGCTTTTGCAGTCACTGCATTAAAAACGAAGTCAGCGAAGTAATAAACTGCAGCTGCCCTATTTGCAAACGCTTCATTTTAGTTTCTCCTCATGTAAAATAATTGATTGTTTTAAAAAAGAGTTAACTTGGATTTGCTTGAAAATTTAGTTAATTTTAACAAAAATTAGGAATTCAGCATAAACTTAATCATGGATAAGATAATCAGAACGCTCCATTAAAATAATTAAGTAAGTTGAATTAAAAACACAAATTCTCTTGCCACGTTATCTTAGATTTAAGAAATTTTATAGAATGCTTTAAGTGTGTTTATTTGGAAGGAAGAATAAATATATTTGAATTAATTTTATAATATTAATTAGTGGTAATGAAGTAAACTTTAAAGATAACCTAACTTTTTTATGCAAATAGAATTACATTGAGAAAGAAAGATACATAAAGCTAGCAGAATATTAGGCACAGAATCAAGACACATTAATGAAAAAAATTAACAAAGGATGGGAAAAACTTTGCTTCTTGATCTCGATAATAAAGAAATACATTCCTCTCATTACATCTAGTACAAAATTTATTTGTCTTTCTTTTACATACAAGTCAATAATTCTTATATTAATTTTGATAAATTTATAGTTTTACTGGCACTTGGATTCTACTTATTTAATAGATACCGTAAACACATGTTTAAAGTAGAGCAAAACTATCAAAAATAAATTACAAAAATCATTTAAATCATGAAGCAGTACGGCTAACAAGGAGAGGAGGACATGTTTTAAAATCCACAAAGTTTCTCTTCTACTTAAGACGGAAAAATAAACATGTATGCTCTCTTCTTTACTAAAATAATTAAATATCTATTCACAAGCTACATCAGACTTACTCTACCTGTTTGAAATAAATTCAATTCTAATTGCATTCAAAAGATAAGTAAGTAGTAAGTAAACAAAGAAAGAAAGAAAGAAACAAACAAACACCAAAACACATACAAAGATATATATTTTATCACCTAATTTAAATCTAGAAATATATAATGAAATAGATTAATTCAAGATTTAATTAAGTTAATTTTTAGATTAAAAACAATCAATTTTCATATAAATAATTAATATAAATATTTTTCCTTTTAAATCAATCAATTCAGTTAATTTATTTTATGTATAGATAAATAATACACTTATTCATGTTTTGTAAGTAATTCTTATGAATCAATATCAAATCACTTAATTAAATAATTTATTTTTTATTTAAAATTAAATGCTTAAAAAAATGTTTTCATATTTCAAAGTTTTACTCTCGATTCTTGTTAATTAGCACTACCCTCTCTCACTCACCTATCAAAAATTTTTAATTTAGCTAAATTTTATGAAGTAAAAATATGCTTTAATACTTTAAAAATTTATTTTATAATATTGAGTTCACATTGTCATTATCCTTTATATCCAACCTCTAGTTTCTACAATATTTTTAAGTACACCTTTTTTAAATAGAAATATTAAAATTTAAAAATGAATGCTAAATTTACTTTTTTATGATATCTCTTTCTAAAAGCTAATTTATAAATTCATATAATTAATTTTTCTTTTTATCTCCTTTTAATTAATTAATGAATTACATTTAGATAAATTGAAATTGTATATTTTTTAAAAATAAATAAATGATATAATAGATTAATAAGTACAACTCATTAGGATAAGTAGTTATTTAATTTTTTTTATGAAATAGCTTTAAATTTATTTTTATTAATATAAAAGTTTTTAAACTCTTCACATTAATCTCATTAGGTTCTCCTTATTTACCTGAAGTATATTTAATTAAAAAATAATAATATTACAAACATTTTCCACATATTTAACTTTAGTTTATTTAAAATATTTTTTAATATTTTTTAATATTTAATTTTCAATTTATTTATAAAATAAATAATTAATTAATTTACTAATAGAAATTCTCATCTAACAATAATCAATCATTGATTTATATTAATACAAATATTTTTTTAGCTAATTTAACTTACTTAATTTTCATTTCATTTCAATTCTTAATTATCCATTATTAGTTTTTTATTATTTGATATCTTTTCTTTATTTTTTGCTATAAACAAACCCTTATATTTGATAAAAAGAGTTTATTTGTTATGGATTGTGATATATTTAATTATTAAATTTATTTAAAACAATTAATCTCTTTTAATTTATTTATTTATTTTATTTTATTTCTTTCTTTCTTTTTTTATGATACTTACTTTTATTCTTCTTTTTATGTTATTTTAAATCATTAATTATTTTATCTTCAACTGTTACTTTTATTATTAATTAATTAATCTTATTATTTCATATTATTCCTTCATATTTTCCTTTTAATTAACTAATTAATTAATTAACTATATATTTTCTCTTCAAAATTAAAAAAGTTACTCATTAATTGGTTATAAAGATGCATTAGACTTAGGTTCTGGATTAGCAAATTGCACTGATCTCTCAAATTTGACACTTAGCCTCTAGTAAAAAGAGTTTTAGATTTTTATATTTTTAATTATAAAAACTAATTTAAAACTATAAAGATTTTTTAATTTATTTGATTTCTTTTTCCTTTTCTTTTTATTGTGCTTGTTTGTTATTTTTTCTTATATATTTACTAGTTTAAATCATTCATTCATTATTTTATTTTAAACTTTTAATTTTATTATTAATTCATTAATCATATTATTTATTCATTTTTTCCTTCTAATCAATTAATTAATGATATATTTTTTCTTCAATACTTAAAAAGTAGCAATGAAATTGGTGATTAAGGTATATCAGGCTTAGGTTCTGCTTTAGCAAATTGCACTAAACTCTCAAACTTGACACTTGACTTTCGGTAAAAAGATTTTATTTGTTTTGGACAGATAATTTTTAATTATTAAAATTAATTTAAAACAATAAAGATCTTTTAATTTATTTGATTTGATTTTTCTTTTTTTTATTGTGCTTGCTTACTTGTTTTTTCTTATATTTTTGCAAATTTAACTCATTTATTATTTTATTTTCTACTTTTACTTTTATTATTTATTAATATTATTATTTCATATTTTCCTTCTAATTAATTTTAAAAATTTTCTTTAAAATTTAAAAAGTTACAATAAAATTGGTCCAATTGGTGCATCAGACTTTGGTTTTGCTTTAGCAAATTGCAATAATCTCTCAAATTTTACACTTAACCTAGCGTAAAGAGAATTGTTTGTTTTGAATAATGATATTTTTAATAATTAAAACTAATTTAAAACAATAAAGATCTTTTTATTTATTAATTTTTCTTTTTCTTTTTATTGTGCTTGCTTGCTATTTTTTCTTATATCTTAGCTAGTTTAACTCATTCATTATTTTATTTTCAACTTTTACTTTTATTATTAATTAATTAATCTTATTATTTCATTCATATTTTTTCTTCATTTTTTCCTTCTAATTAATTAATTAATTATTTTTTTTTTCTTTAATGTTTAAAAAGTTACAATAAAATTGGTGCAATCGGTGCAAAAGGCTTAAGTTCTGCTATAGCAAATTTCACAAATCTCTCAAAGCTAACACTTAATCTATAGTAAAAAAAGTTTATTTGTTTTGGATTGTGATAATTTGTTTGATTTATCTTTCTTTTTATTGTGCTTGCTTCTTTTCTTTTTTCTAATTTAAGTCATTCTTATTTTATTTTCAACTTTTTTTTACTTTTTTATTAATTAATCTTATTATTTCATATTTTTCCTTCTAATCAATTAATTAATTATTTATTTTTTTTTCAATATTTTAAAAAGTGAAAATTAAATTTGTGATTAAGGTATATCAGACTTAAGTTCAGCTTTAACAAATTGCACTAATCTCTCAAATTTGGAACTTAACCTTTCGTAAAAAGATTTATTTGTTTTGGATTAAAATATTTAAACAAAAAAGAACTTTTAATTTATTTGATTTATTTTTCTTTTTCATTTTATTGTTATGGTTTTTTAGTTTTTTCTATGCTAATTTAAGATATTATTTTATTTTCAACTTTTACTTAATTATTTATTATTACATATTTTTTCTTCAATGTTTAAAAGGAAAAATTAAATTGGGTATTAAGGTGTATATGGCTTAGGTTAGGCTTTAAAAAATTGCACTCATCTCTCAAATTTGAAACTTGAAATTTGGTAAAAAGAGTTTATTTGTTATGAATTTTGATATTCGAAATTAAAAACTAATTTAAAACTAAAAAGATCTTTTAATTTATTTGATTCATTTTTCTTTTAATTGTTCTTGTTCTTGTTTTTTTATCTTTTCTTTACTTATTTAACTCTTTAATTATTTTATTTTCTAATTTTACTTTTAATATTAATTAATTCATCTTATTATTTCATATTTTTCTTCATTTATTTTTTCTCTCTAATTAACTAATTAATTATATATTTTTTATTCAAAATTAAAAAAGTTCGAATTAAATTGATGCAATTTGTGCATTAAGCTTATGTTCTTCTTTAGTAAATTGCACTAAACTTTCAAATTTGAGGCTTGACTTTTCGTAAAAAGAGTTTATTTATTTTGGGTTGTTATATTTTTAATTAAAATAACTAATTTAAAACAATAAAGATCTTTTCATTTTATTTTTTTTGATTTATTTTTCTTAATCTTATTTATCCGTTAATACTTATTTATTCATTTTAGAATTAATTTTTAATTTAAAAATTTATTTTATTTAATATTTAAAGTTATAACAATATGAAAAAATCATAAATATTCAAAGTAAAAAGCAAATGTCTTAAATAAAAAAGATTAGTTATCTTTTTCATAGATTTCTGAAGATAATAAAAAAGTGGCCAAAAAGTGATGAATAAATATTTTTATAAAATTAAATATTGAAAAAGTTTTTTTAACCTAAAATATTGATAGATAGATAGATAGATTTTATTATTGCTAATTACATTTTTATTTATCATTCTAATATAAATTAATTAATATAATATTAAATAAATTTAGATAATAGTATTTTATATATTTTTATGTAATTAGTATTAAGTTTATAATAATTTAAATAAATTTTTTAAGAGGGGATTCAGCCATTATTTTATTAGTTTATGTAACTTAAGATTAATTAAATCATACAGTAGTGGCTGTTTAATTTTTTTTATTTTATATTTAAATCATAAATAAATAAACAAATAAATAAATAAATAAATAAAAAATAAATAGTAATTTAGAAAGTATGCTTGAACAAAATTCAATAATTTATTTTCTTCTTTTAATACATTTTATATTTTTTATATTGATTAAGTAAGCTCTTTAAATTTTAAAGGGATTCATTCATACATAGTTTTAATTTGAATTTACAATTTTAAAATAAACATTTAATAGAATATTGTTATCAAATTTAGATATTTAATATAATATAATTTTTAAATTCTTATTTTTCTCTTTTTTAAAATATTAAAATTAATATTAAAAATGAGGTTGTTAATTAAATTGCTTATTTAAATTGTAATTTAAATGTTATGCTTGCTACATAAAATTCAGCTTAATTATTATAAAATAAATATACCTGAATTTCTTTAATCTGCATTCATATCGAATAATAGAAAACTATATTTGCCTTACGTAAGTAAATATTTAGTACTTTCTTAAGAATAAATAACTATAAATAATATTATTGAATAAGTTTACGTATTAAATTGGAATCGTACATTACTTCAACACTTAAACTGAATTTTATTGTATCAAATTATAATAATTTAAATTCATGTATAAGAATAATGGATTGATAAATGAAATATTTATTTATTTGATTGTTTGTTTTTAATATTTACTGCTTATTTATTTACATACTTTTACTTGTTGACGTTGCTAAGGTAATTTCATCAAAATTTGATTGTTTAAATTAAAGCTAAAGATTTCTCAAAAATTATTTACAAAATGACGAACGAGCCACTGTTTAATATAAAAATCTAAAGTGAGGTAATATGCTATTAATTGTTAAAAGAGAGCAAGCAAGCAAGATTTAAAAAGAAAAGAAAAAAAGGAGATTAAAGAAATTAATAATTAATTAACAAATTAATTGATTAAAATAAGGTTCAATCACTAAATAAATAAATTAAGAATAGCATTTTAGAGATTTGAAAAATGGAAAAGAATAGCAATAGCCAGCAAAGTGGCTCTTAAACCGTTCCAATAAGAACTAGAAATATAAGAAAGTATTATAGATTGATAGCAGAAGTTGGGTCAGGAACCTATGGTAGAGTTTATAAGGCAGAATGTCTGCGAACTAAATAGTATGTTGCTCTCAAAAAATTCGAAAGCAAAGATGATAAAATTAAAGAAGACGGATTTCCAATTACAGCAGTGCGTGAAATTCTTTTGCTAAAATAATTAGACCATGTCAATATTATCAAATTAAGGGAAATTATTTTGTCAAAGCCTTCTGAAAAAAACGACTACCGTGGTTCCACATTTTTAGTTTTTGATTACATGGATCACGATTTTGCTGGATTGCATAGAAATAAACATGAATTTTCTCTTTAGGAGCTCAAATGCATCATGAAATAAATTCTATTAGGCGTACAATATCTTCACTATAAGAAAGTCATTCACAGAGACTTGAAAATAGCAAACATATTATATAACAATTAAGGAGAGGTTAAAATAGCTGATTTCGGTTTAGCAAGATTGCTTAATCCAAACAATCCAAAGTATACAAATAAAGTAGTAACTCTCTGGTACAGAGCTCCTGAGCTGCTTCTAGGAGCAAAGGAATATACAGAGCAAGTAATATCAAAATAATTTAAAACTAAATACACTACAAAATAATTTGGCTTATTTATTTACAGTGCAGCATATATTGAAAGAATTAATAAGAAACATTAAAAGCATCTAACTTAGCCTTCTTATTAGCATATATTTAAAGCTAACAGTCTAAAGTAGTATTTTCAAAAAATCAAACAAGCAAGTAAACAAACAAACAAAGTTCCTGGCTAAAATAAAAAATATAATTTAGTTTTCCATTAAAAGTATTTTTCATACAATTTCAAAAGAAAAAAATTAGAAAAATGAAAATATTAAAAAAAAGTTAGCTATTTTTATAAAAAATTCATTAAGATGAGCTTAAAAAAAATTATTACTATAAAGATTTCACTGTAATTTCAAGCACAAAAAATAGAAAATAGCTTCAGAAAAAATAACTTTGTTTCTTAATTGATTTTAATTGATAAATAGAAAAATAAATAACCTAAATATATATTAATTAATTAATTTATAATTATATTAATAAAAGATTGACATGTGGAGTGTTGGATGTATTTTCATTGAACTTGCAGTTGGTGAAAATTTACTTAGAGGTGAGAATGAGCCAAGATAACTAGATAAAATCTATGAATTATGTGGCAGCCCCAACACCTAAAATTGGCCTGAAGTCGACAAACTTCAGCTTTGGAAGGACATGAAACCCAAAAGAAATTTTGAAAGAAAACTTAGAGAATAGGTGATTGAAAGAAAAAAAAATATTGATCCTTAGTTTTTAAATTTATTAGATGGGATTATGGTCTTGAATCCTAAGAAAAGATTTACTGTTCAATAATGTCTTGACCATGAATTCTTTAAAGTAGAACCTCTGCCTTTTGAAATTAGTGAAATGCCAAAAATAAAAGAAGAGTGTCATGAAGCTCTTCTAAAAAATGTAAAAAATAGAAACCAAGTCATATAATCTCATAAAAATAATTTCATGTAAAGAGCAAATATGTCTCCTTCTAGAATCCCTCCAATGAGCACCTAAAATTAATAGGGATAAAAGTCATATTCCAGCTCTTAAAATTAATTGTCGTCAAATAAGTAAAGCACAAGCAGTATATAAAATGCATCATCTTCATAATAAGGAAATTAGATAGTTGGATAGTCTCACTTTGACTCCAGAAACAGTGGGAAAAGCCACTTTTAGTAAAAATAATAAAGTAGCAGCAGCAATAGCAGCTAGTAATACTCAAGAGAACACATCAGCAATAGTAAGGGAGGCTATTATGGAAACTCAAATAATTCGAGTTCTATGAAATACACTAGCGGGGGTGCTTAGTAGAATATTCCGTTAGACAGCGGGCCGAATCTTAAAAAGTAAGGCAGTTCTACAGTAGGATAAAACCAATAACAGTAATACCTAAACCCACCATATAAAAAGAAAACCAGCATTCAGCTTAGTGGGGATAATAATAACGATTATCCATCAATTGAGCATCATTTGGATAACAGCAATAAAAGCGTCACTAACGAATCTCAAGTGGCTTAACCCAATTAAAGTTCTAAATTTAATTCATTTTCAGGGCTTGCATCTCTTGTCTAAAAGTAAGGATCTGTTGATAGACAAGTGCATATCCCTCTGGAAAACAGTGGTCACAAGAAGCAAGTAGAAGATGAAGATGATGACTATGAAAATTAATCAACAGCTTAAGTCCATAAAAAATAAAGCAATCTCTCTATGCTCACAAGTAATGCATCTACCTTTATGTATAACAGCATCAATAATAATAACGATGATCCTATCATCAACCATCTTTCTAAAATTAATCAAAAAAGATCACCTCCCTCAGAAATATACGATATAAATATTAAGAAAAAAATCAAAGAAGACTGATTGATTGATTGAACGAATGACTAATCAATAAAAAGAAGAAAGGTAATTTCAATAAATAAAAAAATAACTGAATAAAACATTAAATATTTGATTGTAATTAATTAATTAATAAATAAATAAAATTAATAAATGAATGAATGAAGAATAACAGAAAGCTATTTATTAATTTCTTTTTTCTATATAAACGAATGAGCAAACAAAATACTACTTTCAAAATAATTAATTCTATTATTCTTCTTCTAACTATCTATCTATCTCCTATCTTGCTAAATTATGTTTAAAAAATATCAAATTGTATTTGTTTTAATTTATATAAAGTGTTTTGGCCTCAAAATGTAAATGTTGTTTGTTTATTATTAAAACAAATTATACCAAAAAAACATACTTTTTTTATATTTACTAACACTTTTTTGTAAAATCTTCAATTATTTTTTATACATTCATATAAGTTGTTAGAGAAATTAATTCAACTTATTTTTAAATTTGGTTATGAAGAAGGCAAAAAGCACTTAATTAAAAATAATCTAATTGACACTCATAAAAAATATTTATAAGCAATTATTTAAATTATAGTATTCTCTATAAATCAAAAAATTAATAAATTTACATTTAGCAAATAATTTCTAACAAATTCATGATAAAAACACATATTTATTTATTGATTTTAAGTATAAAATAAGATAGGCAATATAAAATAAAAGTCTTAATGTATTTATGATTTAAATTATGTTTCTATTCCCACGTTTAAGAAATAATTCTCACATTTTATTTATAAATCTGTGTTTTTTTATTTCCATAATAAAATATTTCTTAATTAAATTATTATTACTCAGCTTTTTCTTTATGATTATAAATAAAATTGAGTCAATTTTATATGTTTTCTCTACTTTGTTAATCATTGTCTTTTTAAAAATCCAAAACTAAAAGAGCATATAAGTGCTAATTTAGAATATTCAGTGCTTCTTCTACTCCTTCCTTTGCATCTTCAGCTTCTAAGATTCTTTTCTCGTAGTTTTAATCTAGTTATCTAGCTAAAATAGCATAATGGACAAGAATGTTCTATTCTAAGTCAATTATTTTGGATACAAACTATTGTTCAACAAAATTTTATTGTAAGCTTAATTATTTAACATCTAATTTGTTGTTCAAACTTGTTACTTATTAAATTAACCTCTATTTCTAAATTTTCCCTATGAAAATAAGTGATGCATATCTTTCAATCGAAATTTACTCTTTCTCTCTGTCATCTTTATATGAAACTTAAATAGAGTTTCTTATTTTTAAAAGAAGATGTATTGTTTAATTAAGTTTTTACTCATTAAACTTTTATGAAATTAAAACAAAAGCATTAAGTGGATTTTTCAATGGTATTTTCTTTAAATTCTATTTAATGTAATCAATATCTTTTTAAGGAAATAAACTACGCTTTGATTAAAGCTATTGCAGCTTTTCAATACATAAATTTAAAGAGTATATAGTAGATTCATCTCTAAACTTTCTGTAAGAATACATTTCCTAGTCTATTTTAAGTATCTCATTCAGCAACTTATCTCTTGTTCCTAAGTTAATTAGCTCTCTCAGTAAAATTTTTATTTTTTAAGACAAAAGATCCATTTATTTTTCTAAGAAATGTTAGTTATTAATTAGCTATTCTAGCTTATTTTAGTTAATGGTTATAATTTTTTTTGCTACAGTCATATCACTTCTTACTTTGGCTTTTTTCTAGCTATATTCTGCCAGTAATTAAAGATATTAGTTATGAATTTCCTGGCTAATTTATTCTAAAAAACTCACTACTTCTTAAACATTATCTTAGTTTTCAAATTCTATCTACAGTTTTTCAATCATTTAATTCTTCAAAAAGCTTTTCAGACTTAATAATTTGATTCTTTGTTTTGTATAAGCTGTCTATAACTCTACTAGACTGCTACCAAGTTCTAATTCTTAAGCTATAGCGAGGCTAATTACTATAAAAAGCATCGCAAATAGCTTTGATTTACTCATAGCTCTTAATTTATATGATATTTTTTAATTTAATTCTAATCTTTATTCTTTAAGAAATTTATCTAAAAAGTCGTTTCCTATAAAGAAAAAAGTCAGTAAATTTCGTTTTTGTATTAAAATTAGCAAATATTCGTAAGCAAATTAGATTTTTTTAAATTATCATTAAAAAAATTACAGATCGCATTTAGATTTATATTAACCAATAAATAATCTATTATTTTTTCATATAAGATATTTAAATTCTAACATTTTGATATCCTATCATACCTAAACTAATTTTTAATTAATTTTCTATCTAAAAATAATTTGATAATTTCTAAAAAAGGCTTGAATAACTTTTTGATTATTTGTTAATATAAATATTCTATCAACTTTAGTTTTCTTGATGTAAATCAAATATAAACTCAAAATATAATTCTTAATAAGTAAAGCTAATTTATTTTTTTAAAAACCTCCCTACTTTCAATCAAAAATGAATCTTATATAAATTAATCAGTCAATCAATATAACTATCTATAAAAGATCTATAATATGTATCTATATATATATCTCTGCTATTTATCTATATATATATTTCTATCTATCTTTCTAAAATTCTTGGATATCCAATTATAAAACTGAAATAGAAACTTTTATCAAATCTATTAAAATAAAATAAAAAATGAAAGTGGTTTGTTTAAGGATGGTAAATTTCAAATTTTTTTGTAAATTAGAAAATTATTTGTAAAATTTATTTAGAATGAATATCAAAATATTTATTTAATTAGATGGTAGCATAAAAATAAAATTGTAATAATTTAAAATTTTATTTTATATTTTAGAATTTATTTATGGAAATTTAAATAAATTTGTTTATAATTTAGATTATCATTTAATAAGAATATTTAATACCCTTTATTTCAAAAAGCCTCCATTTTTATTTATTTATTTGATACCTGACTAAAAATATTATCTTAGGATTAAAAGAAATACTTTTTATATAGTTGTATATTATCTATAATAAGAAAGTAAGAAGTGATTATTAAAAATAATTTGCGCTTAATTTAGGAAGATTTAAACTTAATTAGTAAAAGTATTAGTTATATATACAAAAATTTAGTTAGACACATTAATTAATAATAGTAGAAAATGTATTTATTTAAAATATTTTATAAAGAGTGTTATTGAGTTATCAATTTTCAATCAATAAATCAATCAATCAATACTTTTTGTTTTACAAGTATTGCTTAGCTAGCTGTTGATTGTTAGAAACTGATAAAAATGTCAATATGTAATTAGCTATTTCTTAGAAAGTGAATCCACATAATAATGTTAGATTATAATCCTCACACATTTTATGAAGATAAAACATTTAATCCTTATCGTCATTAACATCGCAAAGAAGAAGCAGAATTCTTTTTTTGTATTTATTGTAGTCTTCGTTTTTCTTAAAGGCTTCTAACTTTTATCCAATATACTTAATATTATTTTATGTGTGATACTTCAGTGATAAAAATATGAATGAGTAAGGACTATCTTCAATAACGAAATCGGCTTCTTAATCTTTATTTTTAGTAATTTCCCATCTTTCTTTTGAAATATTATCGAAAAGCTTATTTTGTGTCTAAAATTAAAGAATTTAGAGTTTTCTTTGTTTTGGCTTGAACATTTATTAGTTTTTTTGATATTATTAAAAGCTGATTATTAAATAATTGCTTATTTCTACTACTTATTATTATTTATGAGATATTTATCTAAAAAAAGTAAGTTAATTTCTAAAATAAGATTAATAATTTTATTTTCAAAAAATGAATGACAGACAGACAAGCACAGACTAATTGTCATTTATGCAATCATTTCTAATATTAATTTTCCAATATAAACTGAATGATGTTAAATTTCATTCTTTTTGAAGCTAGAATTCTTAAATTAATGATTTATAGTGTCATTTATGTGATTTGGTATTGAAAATCTTCATTTAAAATTAGATTATTATTCAATTGATTAAAAAACATAATTTTAGTTTCTTTACTCTTTTTAAAAAAATTAATTTTTTATATGTTTAAAATATGTTTCAAAATAGTAGAATTTGTAAATAAATCATATATCAGAAAATTTTTGATACTTATCATCTTCCCTGATATCAACTATTAGTCCTAATTTAATTAGGTTTATTTTATTTTTGTACTTATCTTCTAAGCAATATAAATTTTGGTATTAAACTATTTTGATTTACAAAACTGTAACATTAAAATTTTGAATGTTCATAAATTGGTGATTTGAGTAAATAAATATATGAAGTGATGAAGGAAATAAATTATTTATGGAATAACCAAAAACATTAATTATTATGTAAATATATGCTTTTCATTACATTTAATTGTATCAATTTTTAAAAAATTTCAATGGTACTTTTAATGAAGCTTAAGAATGAGAAAGTTAAGTAATTTTGTTTGCTTTTTAATTCTTTTATCTATTAATATTTCAATTTTTTTTACATTTTTAATTAAGCGAATCTTTTTCTTAAAATAATTAAAAAGTTAATCAATTCAAGATAGATTTTTAAGAGTAGATAGAAAAATAACAATGAAATCAATACTTAAAAATAATAATTAGATTACATTTAGTGAAGAAAACAGAGAAATTAGAGCTAATCTTCTTTCATATCAAGAAAGGTCTGAAGATCATGAGGAGTCAAAAAATAACTAAACTGTTTAAGGCAATAAGACTATATTGTACAATCCTTACAGAAATACAGTAGATACTACTATGATTAATGTAGAAGAGTTTAATAGTTAGAAGCCTTTAGATGTTTATTTAATGACTTCGTTCGATGAAAAAGGCTAATAAAGAAAACCAGGTCTTCTCATATGCAAGCACCCTCATTTAAAATTAGATAAAAGGACCTTGTCAAATTAGAATAACAATAAAGCTCCTAAATATGACAAACAAAAAAAATATTATCCAACATTCGACGAAGAAACTGGTTACTAGTATTTATTTAATTATTCAAGAATTGTTTATTTAATTTTTTAAATTCATTCACAAGTTCTCATTTTATTTAGAGAAAAGTAATAAATCACTTCAAAGCTTAAATAAATAATCAGAAATGATTTTGTTTATTTTGAAAATTTCAGTTGAGAATCTTAGCATTTATTTATTTATTGATTATTTATTTATTCTAAAGATAATATTTTTTTTACTTTTAAGAATGCTTTCTATTAATAAATTTACTTATTAATTTAAAGAGGTCGCTTATTTCCAATCGACACCGAAACAGGCAAACATGGACTCCTTTCTTATTACTCTAAGTAAGTGAAGGGTTTCGATAAGATTAAAATGTTAGTCTGTGTTACAATGTATGCGGAAGAGAGAGCTTTCTTAGAGAATACTTTAAGACACATTTATAATAACATAGAATTTTTTGAAAAGGAAGCTGGTGTTCATCAAAGTCAAATTGCTGTGGTTGTTTTACAAGATGGTATAATGAAAATGAGGTAGGAAACTGTTGATTTTTACTCCCATATAGATGAAAGCTTGAAAAGACCTTGTCATCTTTAAAACCGTAGGAATATAATAGATTAACAAATAAAATTCTTGAAATACACAAAACAAGAAGCAACTCTTGAGTCTAATCAAAATTTCCCTAATACAATTCCTGCAAAAACTACTCTTCTCTATTAAAACCAAATTTAGTTCAATGACTTAAACGAATTAAAGGTTAATTTGGGTGATTAAAATTTTGACCAAAATCACATGGACACAACAAAAAGTGGCTTAATTGTTTTTTCTGCTTTTAAGCATTTGAACTCTAAAAAGCTCTCCTCGCATTTATGGTTTTTTGAAGGTTTTTGCCAATAATTTAAGCCTAAGTATTGTGCATTAGTTGACGTCGGTACACTTGTAATAAATTTTATTCACTATTATCCCACACTGATAGGAAAATATTTATTTCACCAGAAAAAAAATAAAAATTTTTTTTATTATCAAAATCTGATTAATTTCTCCTATTAAATTTTATCTGATTAATTTAAAATTTTTGCATCAAAAACACGATTAAAAGTTTCTTCTCTAAATTTATTCTTTATTTCTTAATTTATTTATTTATTTATGTAAATAGCCTGCAAAAGATGGACTAGTTAAATTCTACATGGCCTTAGAAGGAAACGATAAAATTGGAGGAGTTTGTGGATTTTTGGGTTTAGAAGAGCCATAGATTGGTGAAGAAAAAAGTGAAAGAGAAATGATGGCTATCTAAAAAGAAGCTGAAAAAAAAATCAAAGAACAAAAGAGACTAATAAGAGATGAGTGGCAAGACCAAAAAAAAGAGAAAAAATAAAACCAAAAAACTCATATTCAACAAAAAGTAAATTAAGAAGATGACTAAAAATAAAAGTCAGAGGAAATAAGAATAGAAAAACTAAAGAGAATTAAGGATACTAAGAACAAAGTTAATTTAAAGATTCAATTAATTCTATTTCCAATTACTCTTTTATACATCATCTTTAAGAAAATCCTATTTGATTTTATCATCTATAACATTTTTTGGTTTATTTTTAAAATCATTCAATATACTTTACTTGGTTTCTTGCGCTTAGGTAGTTTGAAAAATGCATAACTATATGAGTACACAATTGCTCACATGGTTGATAAAAACTTTGAATCTTTGTTAGGATTCTTGCATGTCTTACCTGGTGCTTGGTCTGCTTATAGGTACTTACTTATTTACTTATTCAATCACTCACTCACTTCTCACTTAATTATTTAAAAATCATAAACACCTTATAATCAAACTTAATTTAATAGATATGAGGCACTACAAGTTAAATTTGAAGGTAGAGAAACTATTTTACAGAAGGCTTACTTCAAATAATTATTAAATCCAAGAAGACTTGAGGGTAATATTTATGAAGCTAATATGTTTTTGGCTGAAGATAGAATTCTCTGTCTAGGTTTGTATTGCCAGCCTCAAAAAGATTATATGTAAACTTATTTTGAATTTTAAACACTTTTAGTAAAAAATAACAAACCAGCCATCCTTCCTTCAATCTCTAATTTTTAAATTAAAAAATCATAAAATATCTTATATTTTTTTATTTACAATTGATGAATTCAAAATTATTGATAAAACATTCAAAATTTTTTATTTTTTATCAATTAAAAAAATAAAGTAAATAGAAAAAAAATTTTAATGAGCAAAGTATTTTTGAATTAAAAAAATAATAATTATTGATCAAATAAAAATCCTTAAAAATAAAAATATTTGAATAAGGTTTATAACTAAATTAAACAATTTTTAAATAAATATAGCTTAAAATATATCCCAGATGCTTATGCTTTTACTGATCCTGTAGGAACATTAGAAGAATTCATGAGTTAAAGAAGACGTTGGATAAATAGTACAAACTATGCCTTGGATTATGTTCTGAAACATTATAGAGGTTTTGTTGAGGATAGTGGTCATACTTCTTTATAGAAAAAGATTATACTTCCTTTTAATATGTTTTTTGCAGCTTTGGGTAAGTTTAATACTTACATGCTTCCAGCTTTCTACATTTTTGTAGCAATTATGTGCAGCTACTAGTTTTTAAATCCTGATCTATAGCAAGGCTACTAGCTTTATGTAGATGAAAATAAAACAGAAAAATGTTAATAAATGGATACATAACCAGATGATTAGATGTGCAATCCTTTAGTAGAACTTAAAAAATAAACTCTTTGCTATTAAATTTGTACAATTAAAGATGATCCATCGTAAATAAATTAATTTCTAACTTAATTAATTAATTATATTTAATGTTTTAAAAATAATATTTAGATTTGCATTAATAGCCTTGAATTTGATTCCTGCAATCTTCATAGTTTGCATTCTATGCATTATATTTGCAAGTTTAGTTTTGAAGGTTAAAGGAGGCAATAAACAACTATATAATAAAATTATAGAATAGAGCTTGGAAGATCATGAGCTTAATGAAATTGGTAGACTTAGAAATGAGCTAGAGCAGAAGTTGTAAGATGAAAGATCTAGAAACGCTGCTGTATAAAAAATAAGAAAAATAGAAATACAATATGAAAAAAAGATACATGACATAAAAGAGAGAAAAGGAAATTATACAATTAGAGAGTTATAAGAAATTAAACAAGAGAGCATTCACACTTTAAAGACAAAGAAATTCGAGCTTAAAAAATTGGTTGACTAACTTGTAATTTTTAAATTATTTATATATCAATATATAATTAATTCATCACTTATTTGCTTTTAAAATAAGAAAACTCAAGAATTTGGTATGACTGTGTTCAAGGTTCTTTCTGCTATCATCTCAGTTAGTGTAAAAAAATAATTAATTAATTAATATTTTTGTATTTTTAATTAATTCTTTAAAATAGTCTTTGCTAATTGCTGGTATTGTTTTAGTAAGCGTAGCACTTAATATTTACAACAGAAAGAACAATGTTATAGTTGGCTTTAAAGAGCTTGATAATACCTTGTACTGGTATATCATAGCTCTTTTGGCTACAAATGTTGCCAGTTATGTGATTATTGCCGTTGTTCATATCTGCCCTCAATACAAACTTGTGTGGTTCATGTTTAAGTCATGGTTTAGTTTCACCATTTATTAGCCTATATACAATCATGTCCTTTTAATCTATGCATTTTGTAATGTTGATGATGTTACATGGGGAACAAAAGGTATCGGCAAAGACTCTGAAAAGACAAACTTTTATTTAAATAAAGTTTAGTTTGTTGGTAAATGGTTATTGTTAAATGCAGTTTTCGTAACACTGCTAATATCAGTCAATTTATTCTTTGCTTAGACTCCCTACGTTATGCTAGGAATAGGTACATATGGTACATCCTATCTTGCTATCAAGAGTATATGTAAGATATTTAAAAAATGAATTTAAAGTATTTATTTTTATTTCATTTCAAATTTAAATAAAAAAGTGGCAGCAGTTAATTATCTCAGATACTTTTGCTATGAAAAGAAAAAATATTATAAGAAAGTTACTCTTTATAATACTAATTTTGAAAATCCTTCTGCTAAAGCTGCAGCACTCTAAGAATTTGAAGAATTCAGGTTAAGAGGAGGTAGATAATACAGAGAGTCTAATTTATTACAAGATTTAAAGTGAAATCAATCAGTATTTAAAGTAGCTTAAATTAATCAATATATAATTTATATAATTATAACAATATTTATTTTTAACAGATAAATTTGTGTAAAATATTATTTTCTATTGCTTTTTAACAAATAAATAAATAAATACATAAATAAATAAATAAAAACTAAATTAAAATCTCATTCATCAAAAACTATTTTATAAACAATATCTGTTCGTCCCTCATATGCCTCTTCAAACAATCTGATAAAAAATGTATTTATTATGATCTTTTTAACTAGATTTAAGACAAAAAAATTATATAATTTGTTTTAAAGCATTTCAACTTATTTCCTAAGGCAAATTATAGATTTGTGGAATTATTGAATAAATAAATAATTAATTCATCTAATAAATATTTATTTATCTTTTTATCGAATCATTTAAAATAAAATGACAAATAATTATACTTTTTTAAATGTTGATAAACAAATAAACCTTTTATCTATATCAAATAAATTCAAATACTACAATTCCTTATATAATAAGGCTCTCCCCAATTTTAATAAAAGGTAGGATATACCTTATTAAACAAAATCATATTCTAAATGTTTAAGACAAAAATAAATAATCTATAAGAGATAACTTAGAGTATATTATTTTATACAAAATACTGCTTGCTAATTATTAAATAAAAATAAATAGATAAATAAATAAATATAAATTGCAATTAAAACAATTTGAAATTATTAACTAAAATATAAAATTATTTTGATATGATAATATATAGATAGATAAATAATTAATAGAAAATTTCTTTAAAATACTTGATAATTAATTAATTATAAATAAATTTAAATTTTTATGCAATTTGTCTGTTTGTTTTTTTGCCTCTATATATATATTTTTTTTTTCAACATTGCTTCTATGTTTGTTTTTTGCTAGTTTATTTATATTCATTTTATATCAAAATTTGATTAAAAAATTAACTCATTTTTCTTCTAATTTCAAGTCTTTTTTTGATAAAATATCTAATATTTATTCAGGAGTTATTCTTTCTCTTGGGTTTACTTTTAAACATCCGTCTAGAATTAATTTTATTTATTTATCTAAGTTACCAATTTTTAAAGACTTCATAATTTATAGATATTATTTAAGAAATTTTTTTTGTTTAGTATAGATTTATTCAATTTTCCTTTCTTTAGTTGCAAATAGGCCTCTCATAATAAAGTTTTTTTATTTGACACGGCATCTTTGGGTTACCCATAAAGGAACTGCTAATACTAACTCTAGGATTAAGCAGCCTAAACTCCAAATATCTAAAGAAGAAGGAGCCTCTGGATCTACAGCATATTAAAATACATCGTATTAAACGTCTTACTGAAGTTGCTCATCCTCGAATTTATCTGCTATCAAGTGCTTTAAGAACTCTGGTGGCATATATTCTGGAGTTATATGAGACTACAAACCCTTAAATTTATTTGTACGAAAGCTGCTGCAATAATCAATTACTTTGAAATAATCTAGAAATTCACTACCAGCTATCTGGGTAGAGCTTATCACTATGTTATCTAATCTTAAATCACCGTGACTCCATTTATTTTATTATAAAAAAGATAAATACTCTGCTATGTCTTTTATGAATCTTTTGAAATTGTCAGGCTCTTCAACCAAGTGATTGTACAAAGGTTTTAAATTTATTTAGTACATTTCCTCTCCTGCTATTGTTTCTTTCTTAACATCAAATATGCTTTTCCTCAAAGGTTTTTAGAGAAATTCTGTGATTAAAAAGCCATATTCAACATCAGTCATGTAATTTATTAAAATTTCATTGTAATCCATTTAAGGAATATATTTAAATCCAGGGTATTTTTAAAAGTAATCTTTAACTTGACTATTTCTCATAAAGCATGAATAAAATTCTATTTCATTCAAATACAACTCCTTAGCTTTTTCATCTTTCGAAAAATCGACCTCTTTGCAGATAAATTGTCTATCATCTGATTTTCTTTCACACAAAAATATTTTAGAAAATCCACTTTTACCTAAAATTATTTACATTAAAAAATTATTTTGTGAATTATCAAACAAAAAATATAAAGATATTTTCATGTTAAAATTTATTTGGATATTTTATTTGATTTTATAAAAAATAAATAATTTTACAAAACTTAATCAATTTAACAGCTTTTCATAACTCAATAAAAGTAATCAGACTTAATTATCTCTAAATTATTTATTTCAAATTTAATAAATTGCATTAAAAAAATTCTAAATTTATAAAATTAATTAAAAAATATTTTTCTTAATTTATAAATTTATATCTAGCTATTTCTGTATTAATCTAATCAATCCTCTATAATTCAATAAGATAATTTTTTATTTTAAGCTAGCACTTTTTATTAATTTGTTTTTTTGTTAATTCAAATATGAATTAATAAGGATTTTTTATATGTTTTTTAAGCTTATTTAAATATGCTAACCTACATTTATAATATACTTCCATTATTTAAAGTTCTTTAAAGTGGATTTCATCATATAAATGATAGATTTATTCAATTTAATATCTTTTTTCACTGATTTCTTAATTTTTAAAAGTATTTTCTTTTGAAATTTAGGATATAATTTTGAAATGTTTAATCAAATTTCCAAAATATTTTTGATTTTTCTGCTAAAATTAAATATAAAATATAAAGCGGAATTACCTAAACACTTTCTCTTTATGTAATTAATGGGAAAAGGTGTAAGATTTGTTTGTATGGCAGTTGTTGAACCTTCCATAGATAAAGATTCTAATCCATTTCCTAGCCTAAAATCTTAAGAATTTAGAGTTTTAAATTTTATTTAGTGAGGATCCTATTCAATATTATTATCAGCTTCATCTATAACTGGTAGAGCAGGCTCTTTACAAAAACTGACATATAGTTATGGGTTAATATCAGAAAGAGAGAATTCCATTGACATATTATCTTCTTAGAAAATTTAAATATACTATTATGAAGGTTGGGTATAAACTGTTGTTTGATATTAAAGGCTGCTTTGAGTTGCTTAAGACTGTTAATAACTTAGCAAATTTATCTTATCATTTTAAACAGGCTTTTTAACATTATTAAATTATTGTTTTGTCTAATTTAAGCTATTATTTTGGACTATCTTTTACTATTTTGAAAAATTTTATTGATACACTGTAGATATTGGGCTTACCACCTTAGAGTTTACTAAAGATTTATTATAAACATTGCTATTAGTCTCTTAATTTAATCTTTCTATTTCGTCCGATTCAAATCTAAGCTTTTTTTGCTATTAAACAAATAGAGGAGCTAGCTTAATCTATTAAGTATTCTGAAATATATTACCTAGCTATAATCCACTTTAATTCTTTTTTACTAATTACTACAATTCGTTTTTATTGTAAATCTAATTATCTAAATTTCCAAGCTTCAGCATACTTTTGTTTGATTCTTGAAGAGGCGATGTGTCTCTAATAAAGTTAGTTGATTTATTTATAGACTTTGGCCTTTCGTTATTATCAAAAATACTTAACATGGTTGAACCATAATATGAATTATTATTCTTAAAATAAGATCCAATTATCTATTTTTCTCTTTATTTTTTCCTTTCTTCAAATCCTACATAATAATTTTAAGTATTTTAATCATCCTCTTTTGTTTACGAGCATTATTATTCAGTATGTGATGATTAATTTCTTTTTTATCTGATTAAAGGAGATAGATTTCTGAAATTATTTTTTACTTCTTACTACTATTGCATTAGATCTAATATAGAATCTTAAAATGAGCCTGTATCCTTTTTATAAGGAATATATCTTTGCTTTAATGGAGGTCTTTGTTATTGACTCCTTTTAGGACTGCTTTATAATGAAGAGTGAATAGCCAGTTAATTGAACATTCCAATTATAAATTGATTTAATTTGCTTGTAACTGTGGAAATTATCCTAGTATATTAAATAAACAAACAAACTTCGTTATAAATATTTCAAATTTCTCTTTAAAAATTAAAATATATATAAATATATATGTTTATTTGTTTATTATTTGTTACTTCTATTTTGATGAATAATTAATTAATTAATTATCTTAAAGTTGATATTTATCATAAGAATACTTATCTATCAACCATTCTTTCTTTCACTTATTAATAAAATCTGCAAAATTATATTTTTCACCACAAGCTTTTGAACCAATCATACTATCTATACAAATAAACAAAACATTATATTTAACATGCTTTTTATATATTTAATAAAATAAATAATATAATTTTAAATAGTAGCAAAGATTCATTTCAAAAATTTATTTTTATGTATTTATTAATATTTCATATTGACAACATATATCTAATATAGATATATACATACCCTCAATATCAAATACATATACTCATTACATGATAATAGTTTGAATTAATATTTTTATTTTTTTAATAATATTTTTATTTAGATTTAAAGGCAATAATATTATTCAGATATAAACTACTTAAAAGTTAATGTTTCTTTTTTAAAATTATTTTTAAATAATATAATAAAAAGAGAGAATTCAACTCTAATATTTATTAAATAAAACGAATTTTAGTTATGATAATTTATTAATAAATTTTTTTTTAATTTTAAAAATAGGACAACAATCTTTAAAAAATATCAATTTACTTAGTATATTTTTGATATTATTTTTGTATGATCAAATTCATTTTTAATTTTTAATATTTTTATTATTTATTTTCAATAGTAAAATTGTCAAGTTTGAAGTTTCTTTTATTTTTTTTCTCTCTTTCAACTTTTCAACTGATATCATCGATAAGATTTTTGTTTCAAAATATTACAAATTTTTAAATTTATATGAAAAAATGAATCTAAAATAAACAAATAACCAACTTATCAACCAGTAGTTAGCATTTGAGAGTATTACAGGTTGAAATATGTAGCTGAATTAAATTTATACTTAGTAGTATTTTATATGAAAATATTTATTTTTTTTACTAAAGATCAAATACTAAAATTTATTTGATAACTAAGTAACTAATAAAATAAATACAAGGTTATTTGTTAATCTTATAAACTCCTTATGATTGATTGATTATAAAACAAATATTAATTTGAGAAGTCCTACAAATATTTATTTGATAAATATACAATTTTGAATGATAATTCCTTGAAATTTGTAATATAAAAAGTAATAAATATATCAAACATAACAAGTAAATACTATATAATATATAAATAAATCATGATTTGGATTTTACTATTTTGCCTTTAAATTAGCGTGGCTATATCTTAGGCAACTCCTATTAACCTCAATTAACAATTAACAATCATGCAAACTTAGACATTAAACTAGTTTAGCATGAGCAACGTTTAGCAAGGCTATTATTACAATATAAATGTAAAAAATATAAATCTAAGTTAAAACAATATACAATCGACTCTATATCTTCTTGTCCTTGTAACCTCTTTTCAAATAGATAGTACATTAGTACCATAGAATGTATTGAGTTAATATTAAAGCAAGTATTATATGGATTATGATGGATTTGGTACAAAATCCGACTAATAAATTATCAAATATTACCAACAAGATAATGTGAATCCAATTTATGTAAGTATTTATTTATATGATGCTTTTGGATAATTTGCTTCTCTTGATTAATCATAAATATTTGCTAGTTATACTATATAAATAGAGAAGCATTCAACATCAAACTACTGCCAGTATTCTTGCTATAATGGAGCATGCAATTAACTTTATACAAGCTGTACCTGCTTAAATTCTGTTAACGATTTCTACTTCGATTCGAAATGTCAATTAAATGCTAAAGCTGTATATATAAATGATAATTTGAATGAAAGTTTCTCAACACAAGTGTAATACTACTATGTGAAAATAACTGATTTTAGCTAAAGCTACACTTTGATTCTTAATTCTAAATATTCAGGAAACGCCTTTAATTTTCAACTTTACAATTAAACATTTAATACATATTCAATACCTAATTTTCTTAACAACATTTATAACTTCTAATCAGCGCTTACCAAACAAATAATATTTTCCACAGATATGATAGCAAAAACTGCAGCTGCTAATGGAAACTAACCTATTATTGTCATTCTTGGGTTATATAATTTCGTAAGGTTTTAGATATTATTTATTTATTTTTTATAAATTAGACTTTAATTAAATTCTACATACATGCCATATTTGTATTAATTTTCAAACAATATAAATAATGTTAGCAACCCTCTGGTTAAGCGAATTTTAACATATAATTCTAATACAATCTCAATGTGCAACTTTCTGACAACATGCCTAATTGGGCTATGTATTTGTTTGCCTCTTTAGCTGTTTTGGGACTTCTCTTCATGATTTTTGTTATTTTCTCAATCATCAGAGCTTAGTTTAGAGGTTCCAATGGAAGATTTGTCAGAGTTAGGAATATCTTTGTTACTCCAGAAATTATAGAAAAGTACATGCCAGCTATGTTCTACAAAGAAATAGATTTAAATAAAGTACAAAAATATTTATTTTTTTTTAAATAAAATTTAATTGAAATAATTTTAAAAATAAATTAAATAAAAATTGAATAATTTTAAAAATACCTAAAATTAATTTTTAACAAATAAATATCGAGAATAATTACAAAAATTAATGAAATTAAAAACAAATTAATAATGAAAAAAACAAAATAAAATTTTTTACATTTTTCAAGTTTGGAACAATTTTTAAATGAAATTAAGGATGAACAAGAAGAGTGCACAATATGCTTAGAAGGATATAAAGAAGAAGATAAGGTGAGAATATCTATATGTGGACATTTATATCATTAAGCTTGTATAGACTAATGGCTTGTGGCTCACACCAACTGTCCCTACTGTAGGTAGGAATTAACTGAGAAAGAGTTAGAAGTTTGGCTTTAAAAAAGGATTTAAGATTAAATTCAAAAGTAATAATAAAAAGAAGTCAAAGACATGATAGTTTAATTTCTTTCAAGCATTGATAACAATGAATAGTTAAAGAAAATTTTGAAAAATTGTCATCAAGAACAAAAATAAAAAAGGAGTTTTCTGTCTATTTCGAATAATAATGCTAATCTAAAGAAAGCTGTTCCTGATGCTTCCTCTATTTACAGTAACCAAACTGCTCAAATTAACTAAATCCCTAACAATAATAAAAATAAAAATAGAAAAATTGATAAATCTAAAAAAAATAACAAATTGCACTCTCAATCATTTAATATGGATGCTGATTTAGATGTAGATTTTAAGAATTTAATGAAAGAAAATATTCTTAACTCGCTATCTTCAAACAGAAAAGGTTTTAATTTCTAAAATAACAAGCAAAATATTCAATCAGAAGACGACTACAATTTGTAGAGCAATATTTTGAATAATTAAAATAGCTAGGATAATTTTAATCTACTTTTCAAGATGAAAAATTAGAAAACAAAAGGCCTAAACAATAATAAAACACATATTTAATATACTTAGTAGAATCAAGTGGAGGCAACAGAAAATTATGAGCTAGATAAAATTTAAGAAGACTTGAGAGAATCAAACATGAGGCAATCAATTTTAACACAAACTCAGACTAACTCTAATTAGAATTTGCAAAGAAAGAATTTCAATAAAAAATTCAGAAATGGAAGTTAAGCTTCTTTGAAAAGCATAGAAAATAATTAAATTACAAGCGCTTAGAATATTGAAAATGATTTGGCAAATTATTCAGACCAGGTAGTTGTTTTTTAACCATAAAACAAGTCTATTTAGAAATAAAAAAGTTAGTTAAAGTCTTAGAAGAATTTAGAAAATGGTGGTTGTTCAGATATGAATATTTCATTTGGAGGTATAGATATAAAATAAAAGTAAGGCAGTATGTAAACTATTGAAGATTTTTCAAATGGTAAAGGGAGTTAAAAAACAATCAAAGAAAATAGTAAAAAATAAATTAATATTATGAACGACTAAATAGAATAAAATTCATCTTTAAATAACTACCAAGCTGATTAAACTCACTAATCGCTAAAAGCCTTTGGCAATCATGAAATCCAAAGTAACCAACAAAACCATCCTAAAGGCCAAGCTAGAGAAATAAATGATTTAGATAATCAGTTTTCTTAACAAGTCGATTGAATTAATAAAAATAAATTTAATTAAAGAAGCAAATTATTTTATTTTAAAATTAATAAATATTAATTTAATTTATAATCAAAATTAATTAATCATTCAATCAATCAATAAAAAATGAGTAAATTTATTAATTTTATAGAAGGTATAAAATAAATAATATTATAAATACATTTATTCGCTAAATCAATAAATCAAATTGATTTTTTTTTTTCTTAATATTTTTTGAAGAAAAAAAAATAAAAAAATTAATAAGTTTGTAATTTTTCTTTAAACAGTAATTTTGAACATTGATATTTTTATTTATGGTTGGTTTCAAAAAACATTAAATTCTCGGTCGTATATACCGAAATACGAGAACCTAGTAGCGTGAAAGTATGGTATTTACTTTTAATATATATGGTTAAACAAACATTAGTATTTGTTGTATTATATGATAAAAATCCTAACTAAGAATAATATTTTATTTGAAATAACATATGCAAACTAAACTAAAAAATTAATTTATGAATTTTTATTTATTTTATTTAGCTAGTTTAAAGCAAATCCAAAAATCAAATTCATAATTTTCTATTGAATTTAAAACATACATGAAGTGCTTGTTTTCGTTACATTGAATTAATGCAAGAATAAAATTATTTTTATTTATTGAATAATAAAAAGTTATTTTATATTTAAAAGTTAAGGTTTATTGATTAGATTCGATTTTTATAAGTAATTATATCTCTTTTTACAATTTAAAAATAAATAATATGATTTTATAATTAGAAAATATAAATAAGTATTTATTCAGTGTTTTATTTTTGCTTCAATCAACCAACCAACCAACAATTTAGTTATTCATCTACAATTCCATTATTTTCAGAATAATTTAAACAAAAGATTCTTAATTGTATAAAATGCTAATATGCTTGTTACAGCAACTGAAGCTACATTTTAAACTGTAAAAATATTTTTAGTAACAACTCTATCTTTGATAAATTAAAGTAGTTTAGGTAAAGAATTCTTATTGTGTACAGCGTAGTATGTAAATAATCCAGAAGCTACTATCAATGGTGTATTTTTAATAGTTAATTTTCTTTTAACGAAGTAAAACAATTTAGTTAATCCTCTTCTATTAAGATCTTTTCTATATGTGAGCAGCTGATTAAACTGATGCTCATATAAATTAGAGCTTTTCAGATTTAAATAAAATAAATTGAGATTTTGTATTTTTAATTAAATTCAATTTTACTCTTTTGGTAGCTCAAATTACAAAAGTAATTTATCAAATTTATAGGTTTTTTCGAGATATTTGCACTTTTAGAACCATTTACCGAAATCTATCTCTAGCTAGTTCAAATTATCATTTTGATAAAACTAAAAAATAACTCCTTGCTTTTTATTATTTTACATATTATAAATGTTTATAAAGATAAATGATTTCAAAGATAAAAAAATAATGTAAACCAATTAATTAATTAATTTGTAAATTTTTCCATAAATTGATTTTTTTAAAATTGATTAATATTCTTTTTAAATAAAATAAATGAAAAATTGCTATTAAAATTAATGTCAAAGGTTTTAAAATATTGAAACAAGCAGAATTAATTACCTCAAATCCACCTTCACATTCATTTAAGCCTTCTTGTAGCTGTTCTTTTGTAATGAGGATAAGTGCAGCAGATAAATAAGAAATGGTTTATGGTTAAGAACAAAGAAGGAAATCGAAAATTCTTTATATTTTGTTTAAGTCAGTGAATGAATGTGCGAACCATGTGAGAATCCAACTAATGGAGAACATGGGTCCTTCTATTTCATCAAGCAATTTTCCAATTTAAGGATCATCCTATTTGACCAATTAATGTATTATCTTAAGCTAAATCAAGGCACTCTTCTCTAAAGGGTATATAAGAGGATCTGTGTTTAAAATAAAATTATAATAAGTACAAAATCATATAATTAGAGAAAAAAGAATCTATTTATCTATGTTTCAATTAATTAATTAATTTATTTTGTTGAAATAGAAGATAGATTGATAGATAGATAGATAGATAGATAGATTATCATAATTTGGAAACTTCAAGAAAGTTGTTAAATTGAATGAAATAAATGCTTATCTAAAGAAAGTGTTAGCGGCTTTTTCAGTCATATAATATCCTTAAGTGTTGCCAAATATCAATAAAAATAAGGTTGCCACATCATGATATCCTTGATAGTATTGCAATTCAGGTTACTTTTGCATCAATCCCTCTAGTATTCTAAACAGCTTTTACTATTATTTTTTACTATTAAATTGAATAAAGAAATGAGCAATTGCAAGCTGGCTAAGTCAATTAATTAATTTACATTTTCGAGGATTCTTCATTTTAAAATGCATCAAGGAAAGCAATTGATCTGTCAATATCTTTTTTAAGCTAATCATAAAATTTGCTTTATTAATCTTCATCTTTTATTATTTTAGAATATTCAATTTTCAGATGGCTAAAATTCTTAAAAATAGAATAAAGTGCATACTCATTATCTTTCCGTTTGGCATTTAAGAAAGGTTTAAATCTAGCAAAGCAGGCCATAATTCTTTTCTATTATCTTCATTCAAAAATCCTTAATCTCTACCAATTTCTATAATTTTTTAGTAATCTATCCTTCCCTAATAATGTTAATAAGATTAAATGGACAATTAAAACAATATGTAAGTAAGCAACTAAGTAATAATTAACTCCTTTTAAATGATTTTAAAGATAGATTACTTTTTTAATATTCCTTATTTGCTCATCTATTTTTGCTTGAGTTTCTTCGTCTTCCTAACTTACTTTTGTTCTAATTTTTTTCATTTCTATAATATATTTATATATTTGCTTGTTTGTTTTGTTGCTCTATATCTATCTACTTACAATTTTTTAGATAAAATTAAGATATTTTACTATATTTCTTTATATGGTTGTTACCAAATTAATCTTTGCTGATGCTTCAAAAAATAAACAAATTTCTGATTAGTTTTTTTCTTGATAATAATATGTTAAGACTCTCTGCTTTAACTCGTCTCTGTTTATCCATTTCTGATAGACTACGGTATTTCTTAAAATAAAAAAAAATAATAAAGGCTAAATAAATTATTTATTTGCTAATTTAAAGTTAAATATTAACAAATATGTTAAAAATATAATTAGTTTTTAATTTACCATTAACAAACAAACAATATTATTTTCTAAATTTATTTTTGTAAAAATTAAAAGAATTTAATTAAATTATCTAAATTAATTTTACAAAAAACAAAATTTAATAACATTTATTTGCTTACATTAACCTTAAAATATCTAAATTAATCTTTTATTTATTTATTTCACGAAAAAATAAAATATAATCTAATTTGAATTAATTAATTCTTTTCAAAAATATAGGCGAATGATTTGATTTTGTGCTATTATTACACTGAAAAAAAATATTTTAGAAAATAAAAGTGTGAAAAATGGTAAAATACATTTATTTTTTGTAAATAAAAGTAGGCCTTTCTGGTAAAATTATTCATTTACATAATATTTTAGCATTAAAAATTTATTTATTTACATAAAAATATCTTTTATATAATTAGATAGATAAAGGCTTTTAAGCCAAAATATATTTTTTTATTATTACTGAAATCTAAATTATTTAGGTTCTAACGATTAGTTACTCTTAATTATTTATTGTGAAGATATATTATTTAATATTTTATCTCAGCTCTACTAAAATACATTTTAATTTATAAGTATAAAAATTTAAAAAGTAATATTTTGTAATTTCCATAAAAGCAAGTTGTAGATTTTTTTATATTCGAAAAAATATCTTTTTGTAAAATAAAGATTTTTAAGTTCTAAGTAAAATATAAATTATGCTTTATCATTAAAATCTTAGCAATAAAAGTTTGGGATTTTCTTTTATTTTTAATAATTTACTGTCTGCGAATTTATTTTAATCATTAGAATATCAAATCACTTCGAAATTAATTTAAATTAAATGTTTATTTAAGAGACTTTTCATAATTCATTTCTTAGATACTCTTAAAGACAGAACAATTTATTCTTTCAGTAAGTTAAAAGTTATTTAAAAATAACTTCATTGAGAAAGCTGGTAAATCAAATTATGATAATTTGTTTGCTGATTTGATATTTCATTAATTTAGTGAAATAATCTAGACAAATATAGCTTTTTTACTTTTGAATAAATAAATAGAAAATACGAAAAATGAAAGAGTTTAGAATTTTCTTTTAAAAAGTTAATTTACTAATCAAATAAATTATTAATAAAATAAAATTAGATGAAAGTTACTGAAGGAAAGAGTTTTTTTATCACTGTAAAAATTAAAGAAAATAAATCATGCTTTTGTTCTGAATATTTTTTCGCTTTGTTACTTATAAAAACCATACAAAATTTAAACACTTTTAGCTTTCAGTGCAATTAATATCAAAAAAAAATAAATAAACAATTGAAAATAAGGTAGAAAGATAAGCAAGCAAACAAGAAAACAATTAGATTGATATATTAATTAATTAATATTATGATTAAAGGATATTCATCCACTGAAATTTCGATTCAAAATTTTTTTTCAATTTATAAACTGTAAAATAATAAATAATTAAACTAAAAGATTAAAAATCTATGCTTACTTAAAGAATTAACGATTAAGCTTAAAGTGTTAGCCAAAATAGAGGAGTAGGAAACATGAGAGTAAATTTAAACTCCGTAAATCCTTACTTTCAGTACGAAACCATTTCAAAAGGCGTTAAGTAAAAGCAAGAGAATTTAAAATAATAGTTTATTTGATCATTTTTAAATAAATTCATTAAGGAAATTTGGCCTTATAATTTTTTAAATATTTTAAACTTAGGGATGAAAGATTAGGCAATAATTATAAATACACTTAAAACAGTCTTTAAAATTACAGCATGAATGATATGGATATACACAGAGTCAGTAATGCGAACAAAATTAATCTGCAAAGTAATGATTTACTTCAATACAAAAAGTTATTGCCTCCCAATTAAACTGAAAGAACGTACACCAATACATCTTCTCTCAGTATTCCATTAAATAATATTTCGCAGCAAGCAGACTAGCGTAGAAGTGATTAAATGCTGGCAATTCCTTCTATTGTTTGTTTTAATTGCTCAACAGCTCTTCATTTAAACGAATTAAAGCAACATCATGCAGATAGATGTGTGAGAGAAAATCCACAAATTGATGGATTAGATTTAAATAAAGCACTCAAACAAATAGATAATAAATTAGAAAGAATTAATGCTTACTTTGCATCACTTTTAAAAGAGTAAAAACTACTTGAAATTAAAGAAAGAAGGGCTTTAGTTTTAAAAGAAGTAATTCAGAGAGCATTGCATTGCGACAACTAATCAATCTTTACTTAACTCTAAACTGAGTTAGAATAAGAATTCCCTTCCTCATTTTCATAAATCCTCTCTGATTATCTTTCTTGTCATGCTCATCAAATCAAGAACATTATTAAACTTAAATTGTCAGTACTATCTAATACTTGCAAATCAACCTCTCCATTAAAACTGAATACTTCAAATAATAATTTTTATTTGCTCCAAAACTTCAACTCAGCTCTTCCCAGCTAAAGTCAAAGAGTGCAAAGTGAAGCCACTCCCAGAAATTTAGTTTTAAACAACACTGAAATGAATATTTAAAAACCTACATTTTCAGATCAGGGATTCCTTTCCCCTTAATCGAATTCTAAACAACTGCAGGGAATTTTAAAAAAACCTGAAGTTAATGTGAATGCTGATAGTAAAAATTTAAATCTATTCAACAAATATCTTTCTAATTAGCTATAAACAATAGTCAATGTTTAAAAAAATGAAATCAAAAATGATAATCAAAAAGGAAACACAAAAAGTATCTCTTAACCAAATCAAAGCGCCGTAAATCTGGAAAGTAATTCAAGCGCGTCTTATTATTTATTATCACAATCTAATGCTAATTTAAATTAAGTAAATAATTTTTCTACAACACAGCAAAACATAAAATACATCCCTACATTTCAAATAAATCTAAACTAATAAAATATCAATAACAATTAGTCTATAAGTAACCCTGCTTCAAGCAGTAGAAATAATTTGAATGTCAAAGACACCAGCAATAACTAATCTAAAATTTTATAAGAATACTACCAAAATTAATAAACACCTGCAAATTAAAATGCTTTATCACTGAGTACTCTCAACTAAAATAACAATTCTATCAATAGTAATCAGCTAACTTAAATGAATGGATTGAATTCTCCTTAAAGGTTTACCTTTGCAAATAATTAATCATAAACGTTTTAAAACACCATAGATACTACTAATTCGCCATATCTTTTAATTAATCAACCAAGTTTTAGCACATAGATATCTAATAATGGAAGCTAATCAGCTTCTTTAGCTGAAAAAACTAGCATGGGACAATAACAATTATTCTTTCCTCCTTAACTACATCTCAAATAAAATAGCTACGAATACACCAGCAATAATAGCACTAAATAAAGCCTATCAACAAATACACCTAGCAGTTATCAAAATAAAAATACTGAAAATAATAATAATAGTAATAGTAATATTAATATCTATAGCAGCAGGTTAGTTATGTAAAACCAGTAAAGAAGTGTTTCCCCTTAATTTAATTTGGCATAGCAGTCACTTTAGAACTAACACGATGAAAAAATTAAAAATTATTTATTAACTGATAGGATGGCAGACAAATTATCTTCGCCACAGAATAATCTATTATATCCAAAGCCATACTTTAATTCTCCTTAAGCTTTTAATAATAACCAATAAGAATTAGTATTAAAGAATATAACCTAAAATGACTAGTAGTAGCAATAATAACAGCAAGGTCGCTCGTTTAAAAGTTAAAGAATTCTTAATTTCGACATCAAAGATTTAGGTAAAATAAATGTAGAACCAAAAGCAAATAATTTTGAAGAAAGTGTAAAAAAAAGTTTAAATTCAAATAATTGTTCAACTTATTAAACTTCGATCTCAACAGACTAGGTGAGTTCTCAGTCAATTTCACTTTCAAAAAATGAATTGATAAATAAGCTGATGAAAAAGTAAAAGGATTTGTAGAATTTGTAATTGCTTTCTTAATAGTTAAAATCAACTTATGAGAGCCATCAAGAAGATTTAAACAAGGTCTACAGTATTAATCAATTCAGTAAATCCAAATCCCCAAATCCTTCTCAAAGGTAGCAGGTTTCTCATAACTCAAGTATCGCTAATTATAATAATGAAAACATACAATCCATCTTATTGAAACAGTAGATTTCCAGTAATAGTAACTCTACTGAAATTACTCAAATACTTTCTCCTGGCTATGTTGGCTCAATGAATGAGATTTTAAGTGAAGAAGACAAAAATTTGCAATCTATTTTTTACAATATATGTTTAACAGAAAAAATGAACATTCCTAAAAACCATCTTGCCCATAAATTGCCAATAAGCTTGCTTTTCAAAGAAGCTTTGGAAATGAATATCAAAGGCGAAGAATAAATGAGATATTTCATTCAGTATGCCTTCGAAAACGCCACAACCTACATTGACATAGATAAATTAAAAAAATCTAATAAAAACTAAATTTTTAAAAACAATCTCGCAAACAAGTTACTGACGTAGTTAAATTAGTGATGTAAATCAATCATTAAATCTATTTATCTATCTAATTATCTTAATAATTAAACAACAAAGAAACAAAAAATTAAAAAAACTGATAAGTATCGTTATTTCTCTAATTGAGCGTTATTTAAAATAAATAAATAAATTATATTGCTTTAAATTAATTAATGATTAAAATATTAAACTAAAAGAAATATTGTAATTTAATTCTAATTCTAATTTTAATTAATCTATCTTTCTTTCTATCTATCTATCTTTCTTTCTTTCATTCATTCATTCATTCTCTTTTTCATTTTTCATTTTGCTTTTTTATTTATTTTTTATTAACAAAACAATAAAAATTATTATTTTAGCAATCCAAATTTTGAATTTTTAAAAGCAGTTTACTCTTTTTATCACTATTTTATGCATGTTTTTGATTATCTTATTTTATAAAATCAGTAAATTTAATTAATTTACACATTTTAATCCATAAATGTCCTCCTAGAACATTATTATTTTTAATTTTTAACTAACTGTAAGCTGTGTTTAAGTATTTAAAAATTTATTAATATTGATTAGGTGTTAAAAATAAAATAAAAAATATTTTTGCTTCTTTTTTTAAAAATTCGTCAAAGATAACATAAACTGAATTGATTTATTTTTGGATTACTTTTAATTTATAATTAACTTGCAAAATATTTATTTTTACAAATTGTTAACATTTATTTTTTCAAGATTTTACATTGAATTTTTCACAAACCAATCGTATATATTCACATTAATAAAAAAATTGATTGTTTTAAGAAATAAGCTTAAATTAGTTCTAAGCATACAAAAAAAGTAATCAAAATAGCTGAAAATATTAATTTCAAAGGTAAACGCTCCTTGTAAAATTTCTAATTTTAAGATTATTTATTTATTAATTAAAATTATAAGCTGATGTAAACAATTTTTATAAGCAGAATATGACTAATTATTAATTAACTAATTTGGTTATAATTAGAAACAAAGAAATATAATTACAAATCAATTAAATAATTCTATGAACACAAACAAAGAAACAAATTTAGAATAAATGAATAAAAAGTATGGTAAGAAGAAGGAAGGATAAGGAAATAAATTATGAAATGCAATTTTTATTGATATAATATAAATATCTTTTATTATTGTTGTTATTATTTTTGTTATTAAATATGTTTAAATGGATAACAAGATAATTTTGTTTGATTGTTTGTTTGTTTGTTTATTTATTTATTTTAGTAATATTTTTCAATTAATTGAAGTAAAAGTTTCTTTTTTTTAACTATCTCAATTTTATCTTTGTCTAGTTCTTATTTATGTTGATGAAATATCATTACGATAATCTTTCATTTCAATTACACTGTCTTTTAAGAACCCAGGAGTGTTGGTTATAAAATCGTCATAATACTCCATTTAGTTTGTTTGAGGATTGAGACGAGGAGCTACTACAAAGTCAGTTTTACTATTTTTAAAAGTAGCAAGAGCTGCAATTTTATCTTCTATTGAGTCATTATAATATTTTTTATCTAAAATACGTTTGAAAGTGTCAATACCAACCGCAAATGTAGAGTTGGCTGTGTAGGAACACTTTTCGGTAAAGAGGGATCTCTTACTGATTACGATACCATATTAGAATGGTTTCAGCTAATCAGAGAAATTGCTCTCGACTTTATCGAAGATGGAACGCACTAAATGTAAAAGTGTTTCACGATCTTTGATTGCTTTGTCTGCATTTTTTAAAGGCATTTCAAAATAAATTTTGTCTCTGTTTTTTAATTTTTTAGATTCTAAAGCAATTTAAACGTGAGCCTCATGAATAGGGTTGAATGAACCACTAAAAAGTACACAATTGTCGAGATGCTGATTCACTGCAAATGTGAACTCGCCTTTGCAGTCGCTTTCATCGAAATTTTAACTTGATTATTTACGTTTTTAGAACTACTCAGTGTTACGCTTATAAATTACAATATTGTGGATAAAATCATCGTAATCTAAGTACTCAAACATGTCAAACATACGTTCCTAGAGCAAGTTGACTTTAAGATTTTTGCCGAAAAGTGACTCCCAGTCTTGAGTTTTTTCGGGACTGTAATAACGCTAAATTGAATTGAAAATAAAATCGCTAATGAGAACATCTTGCTCCTTTCTTTGATCCTTTCCATTAAGCTCATCATCAAAAGTAAGATGGAATGTTCTCAAAAAGTTCATGGACTAAATAGTCAAATAGGCTTGATTGACACGATGATGTCCTATCTATCCAGTGATTCCAATGCCAATTGGCTTATCAATCTCCTCGATTTCATTTTATCTCATCAAAATATTTTATCCTTTACAGAATGCTTCCAAAGCCATTAATTCAGCAGTTTGCTATGAAACATATTTCTCAACTAAGTTACGCTTATCGTAAACGTTACGCTTGTCAAAGAGTTCCTTCTCGAGAGAGCCTCTAGCATAGAATTAGCCACCTTCAAGCACAACCTTCGATGAGCCTGGATTGATGCAAAGCTCCTTCAATGCGTAAGAAGCACATCCAGCTGTGTGCAAGACTAACTTATAATTGAAATTTTTTAATAGCTATTTCATTTAGTTTGTGCGATTGTAATTCTCTATATTAATGGGTGAATCTGGTTAGTTCATTCCTTTTTTTATATTTGAATTTATAAATTGAACAGTTGATTATTTGAGCTTTTAAAAGTCAAATTTCTAAAATTCTGAGAAATAATTTGATAAAAATTTTTTTTTTTTTTTTTTAATTTATAATAAAAGTGTGTCATCCTACCCAAATTTAATTAGAATATTATAAATTTCACTAATTAATTATTTTATTTTTACATATTACCCTCATTCACTCACTTATTCATTGATTAATTTTTTTTCACTTCACATATCTACTTCTACAACACTAATCCCGCGTATTTGACTTAGCATACGTAATTAATAGATTTTGTTTTTCTGATATTCTCTGTTCTATTTTATTTGATTATGTGGAGTAATATTTGGCGGATTAATAAATTTACTTTCAAAGCTTAATTTCTTTTTTCTTTATTTATTCTTTATTATTTCCTTGCTTGTTCAATTACATATTTGCTGAAGCAAATTAAACAAATCAATCAAATTAGACCAACTTTATAAATAGGTAAATAAATATAACTCTTTTTAAAGTACTAGTTCATTTATAGCCATTCTAAAAAGATAAATTTTGTAATGCTAAATATTTATTTATCCTAAAAATTATTTTGGTGATAATTTTATCCTTTTTTAATACCCATAATTCGTTAAATTAGAAATTTATCTATTTGAAATCTTGATGTAACGCATAAAGTTATTCCAAAAAAATTATTTACTGAAATAATTCTATCTAAAAAATAAATCTAGCCAAAAACATTTTATTTTTAGCAACTATTAGACCATTCAATCATCAATATAATATCTGCTTAACTTTAAATTACATTTAAAATCATATTTTTATTTTAAACTTATTTATATGAGGAAATATTATTGCTAAATTTCTAAAGAAAAGAGCGAGGAAAAAAAAAGTAAAAATTTAAATAGATTGAATTTCTAAAATTAAAAAGCAAGGTAAAAAAATGAAATGTTATTACGCTAACTAAACAACTCGCAAAATAGTCATTTAAAAGTTATTTTCAAAAAACTAAAATAAATTTTTCAGTCGATTTCTAATTTATTAAAATTATTTTTTTAAATTTTATTCTTATTTTAAAAATAAATTTGATCAAAAATCCTTTTCAATTTCTCAGACTGTAACTTCTTTAACTAATTTGTTTCAAATTTTAATTAGAATTTTCTATTCTGAATTCCAAAAGAAAACAAACAAACAAATAAATCAATAAATTTGTTTTGAATATTCTTTTATAAATCTTATCAATAAATTTAGACAAATAGATAGATTTTATTTTATTTATTAATTTAAATGTTATTTAATAAAATTTTTTTATAAACTCAAAATTCTTTGGCTAAATTGCTTAATATTTTAAATATCATTTTCTATTATAAATTCAACTATAAAAGCAAATAAACAAAAAAACAAATTTTCTTTGAATAAAAACCTTTTTTAGACTTTACAATAAATTATAAATTGACTTTTTTTTACTTATTTATTTATTTGTTGGTTAAATTTTTTCAATAAAATTGTTTTTTTAACTTAAAAAGGAGAATTTAAAATTGTATAAGGTAACTCAAATCTCGATTATATTGTAATCTGCATCATTATCACCATAAATATAATTCATATGATTTATAATATAATAATAATCAGAATCATAATTGGGCTAATTAATAAAGAGATCAAGATTATTAAATAAAACAATTTCAACATATTCAAAATCTGTTTCTATTCCTTCTGTGTAAATTTGATGTTAAATTAATTCATAGGAATACATAACATTTATTTCATAGTTATTAGGGAACTTTTTATTTGCCTTCTAGCAATATAACATAGCTTTATCTGTTTGTTCGAGATTGATGTAGTTTTGAATGAGACCTTCAAAAAAGATAGATTTAGTGTTTTATATTTCTATAAGATTTTTGATAAGCTTATTGCTAATTTCATATTTTTCTAAAAATTAGTAAGTGAATGCTAAATTGAGCATTGCCATTACATAACGAGGATTATATTCAAGTGACTTTTGACAATAGTAAATGCAATCTTTATTGTTATTAAAGGAATCTCTCAAGAGCTAAGCATAATTATTTAAATTTACAAAACTTTTAGGATTAAGTTTTAGAGATTATTTCTGTAATTACTCAGCCAAATTATTTTTATCAACTCTTTAAAAGTAATAAGCAATTCTTCTCAACATCTCAAAGTCTAAATACTCAGAATTTTCAATTAATTCCATATTAACATCTTATAAACTTAATTCATCCTCATCTCCTGCTATTTGCCAGTAGTAAACAGTTATCCATGGATTGTTTGGAAATCTATTTAGCAACAATTTGATTTCTTTCATCATGAAAGAGTTACTTTTTAGAAGAAAATCATAGTACTTAATCTAAATAAAATGTGTCCTCCAATAATTATCATCAATCTTTAAGCACTCATTTAAAATATTTTAACAATCATCTGTATTTCCTACAAAGTACTGTAACATAATGATTATCAATTCTAATCGAGCATCCACATCTTTTTTATTTAATTGAAGAATTTTCTTAATATACTTCAATGCTAAAATGTAATCGTTATCATATTAATGTAGAATTTAAGCGTAAATAGATAACAATTTTATGTCATTTTCGTTTTCTTTAAGTTCACTCTCAATTCTTTTTTTCACTTCATCAATACTCTCATTATATAAAATAACTTACTTCTCAGCATAAAAAACAAGCACTTATTTATCTTTAATTTTCATTTTTGAATTCACTAAAAATTTAATAATCAAATTTTTTTCATAAAAAATCAAAGATTATTTTGATTTTCGATTAATACTTATCAAAATGAATTGTATGTGTGAAATTAATATTACTCATTTAAATATAAAAATAAAAATATTTATGTATTTATTTTATTTTCTTTATTTAATACTTAAAATAAATTTTAATAATATATTAGCAAATAAGAGTTTTATTTATTTATTTAGTCCTTGTTAATATATCAACTTGTTGATTATCATTTAATTTAAGCTATTTCTTTTCATTTATAAATATATATTATTACATATTAAGTAAATGTGTAAAAAATAATTAATAAAAATAATAAATATTTTAAATATATGATTACTAGGGATCAACATATGACCATTTTTTTCAATCTGCTATATAACCATATAATACGGTAACAATTTCTCTGATTTTTTCAGATGCTATTAAGGAGAAATTGAGGGAATAAACATATAATTTGCTATATTATTTTTGATAAAAAAAATACTTATTTATTAATTAAACACATAAATTAATATGAAATAATATTTTATTTTATTTTACATATTTTAAAATACTATTTAAATTTTACTATTAATTAATAAATAACAAATAAAGAATTTCATTTATTTTTTATTTTAAAAACATAAAATTTATTCACCAAAAATCATCAATTAAATTATTTTGAGAATAAATGTAGATTAAATTTTAGCAAATAAAGTCTAAATCGTTTTCTGATACATTTTTCGTTTTATATTTCATTGCTTAAAAAGATACAATTTCAAATTCTTCATAATCGTAAATTTAATATCCTGATGATCGAACAATCAAGTCTAAATATGAGATTAATAAATCGAATTAATTTGGAAAGAGCTCAACACTTTTTTTAGCAAAAAATAAACCAATTTTAAATTCTTAATCTTTAAAACTATTGCCAATCATCATCCGATATGCAAATTCACTTTTCTTATTTTGTCTTAATATTCTCTTGAGGTATTACAAACTGTTTGTATAATCTTTAATATCTTCATAAGTTATTACCAAGTTTTTTAAAGTGGTAAAATAGTTTGGATTTTATTCAAGAGCTTTTTTATAATATTCTATGCTTTTTTATTAATTATCTTTGTATTTAGCTATTGAGTAGGCTAAGTTATTTAGAGAATAAAATGAGTTTGGGTTTAATCTAATAGAGTATTCTTCACATAATATTGAAAAATCTTTTTCTTATTAATTTTTAGTAATATAGGCCAATCTTCTAAGCATTTCGAAATCTAAATATTCTGATTCCTTTAAGTAAGTTAAGTCTTAAATTTTATTCTATTAGCTCATATCAGTATCAATTTGCAAATAATATGTTTTAAGCCAAAAATTATTTGGAAACATCTCCAAGTATTCTATAGCTTTAGAGAGTAAAAATAAATTGCTCAATTTCATCGAGTCATAAACTTTTAATTGTATAAAGTAGATGCGCCAATAATATTTGTCCAATTCTAAACATTCCTCTAATAATGTCTGCTTTCCTGAGCTCTCTCCAACTGAATGGTATTTCATAATATCTACTAAATCTAATCTAGCATCAACATTTTTAGGATCTATTTAAAGCACCTTCTTAATAAGATTTAAAGCCAATTTATAATTATTATAATATAAATGATAGATTTATGCCATTACTAACAGAAGCTTTATATCTTTTGGTTGAGCTTTTAACTAATTTTCAACACGATTCTTTACTAAATCTATTTGATCATTGAAAGTTATAACCTATTTCTATGCATAAAATACATGAATTTCTCTAAATTCTAAAGACATTTTTAAATATTCTACTTATTTATTTTTGAAAATTTAATCTATTTTCAAGTATTATTTTAAATATGTTTGTTGATTTTAGATATTAGATAACAATAATAAAAGTAATTTAATAATAAATCTTTTTTTATTAAAGCAAAAGAATTATTATCAATTAATCAATCAACCAATAAAAATTTTGTTATTGAATATTTTTAACATATTTTATAAAAAATTATTAAAATTCATAAAAAATGAAAGAATAAATTGTTTGTTTTAAGTGTTAGGAAAAATAAATAAATATTTTAAAATGATTAGCATTTTTTACATTATGTAATTAATAATAAACATTGAAAATTTTTTAATAAATAATTTAAAAAGAAAGTATTTTGTCTTTTGAAGTTAATGCTAAAAATTAAGAGAGAGCCACTAACTAACTAACTAACTAACTAACTAACTAACTAACTAACTAACTAATAAATTAAAAATTAAATTATTTCAAACTAGTTTTTAAAATAACTAAAAAATAAATTTATCTGATAAATGAGGGTACAAGCATCCTCCCAATATAAATTTATAATAAACCACTCTCGTATAGCAATTTTATAACACCACCTACCTATTGCAACTTCATAACACCCTTTATATATTAATAAGTAGGAAAATGTTAGTAGGTTTAACATTCTATCTGAAATATTTTATTGCAATATTTAATTAAGCATTATTTTAAAGTTTATTAATCTAAAATTTAAGAATATGATAATCATAGAAAAGTAAAATTAAAATGAATTATTTAGATGAATGAATTTAAAATAATAAAAAATAAAAATATTTATTAATATCTCATCTCATCAATTCAAGAGAGCAGTTAAAGAAATATGCCTTCAATCAATAACTCTAACCTTAAGATAATTTCTAAAGTACGACTTAAAAATCTTAAATTATGATTTGCTAAACATTTATTCTTTACTAAGAATAAAAAGATAAAGTAAGGATTAGATGTGCTATTCTGAGAGTAACTTTTAATTAAATTTAACTTGCTAAATATAGTTTTATGTATATAAAAATATCAATATAAGTTCTCAATAAAATTTAAAATTAGAAAAATTTAATATGTCTCACCAATCTATCTATCACCCATCCCTATTTTCTTTACAACTTTAAATATCTATAGTAATTTAAAAATTATTGTAAAAATTTTATTTTGTTCTTAATAAATCAATAAATGATTTGTCTATTTATATATATCTATTTATCTATTTGTCTTTATATTTATTTAAAAGTAAGTTTTAAATTTTTAACTTGTTAAAATGAATGAAAAATAAATAATTAAATAAATAAATAAATAAAATGAAAATCTCTTTTTATTTTTCTAAATAAATTTAGCAAACAATCAAAATAGAATGAATGAAGACAAATTGATTTAGCATTCTCAAATAAATTATTTGACTATTTCAATTTATTAAATTCTAATCCAGTCACCTTTCTTATAATTAGAGCACATATTTACAAAGAATCTTAAATCTTTGAACTTAGAAATGTCTGTGATTTCTTAATTAATGGAAACTACATTAATATTTTCTACTGAATCTAAGACTTCAAAAATATTCTCTAATATACACAATTTAATTGTGTAAAAATGTATGTTTCTAGATATTTCCTATTGAGTTAAATTTTATCCTTTAACAACTTTGTCAACACCCCATTGCCCATCAGAAAAGTACATCAGCTTTTATTCATATAAGTTATGATTAATTAGAGTGTCTCTACCAAGTCCAAATCCAAATTATAAATTTTGCCTATTAGCACTTTATGATATTTCTATTTTAAAAATATATTTAAGACTTGGATTTATAATAAAATCACAAAACGCTTGCAACTATTAATTTGTGTAGTCTACTTAAGGATATAGTGTGTCCAAGTTGTAAATTTAAAACAATTAGGCACTTTGGTTGTAGTTAGATTTTAATAATTGAATTTTTTATTCATTTATTTCTTAGACTTCTGGAATCAATTCAAAAATAGGATATCTCATCAACAAATTTTACACTGATTATTTTTATGACGCCCTATTCAAGAAATTATTTATTAGATTATGAGTCTTTTTATATGATTAAATTTATTTAGATTTGTTATTAGGCAAATGAGAGATTAATTATGCTAGCTTGAGAATGTCAGTATAATGATGATCTTATAAGCTATCATAGTTAATATTGATATATTCTTTCTTAAATATTGGCTGCTAAAAAATTTCTGAGAAAAGATAAAAGTTAGATGAAATCGCTTATTCTAACGAGTCTATGAAAGAAATAGAAAATTAATTGAATTGATTTCTCAATATTTGCGAAAGACTTGACATATTTATTTGCTATTGCAAATCATAATCCTTATTTTGCTGATTATCCATTTATTTATTAAATAAATCTAAGTTACTGAGAATTTAGCTTTTAACTCTTTCCAGCATGCTTAAATTGAATTGCTAGTTTGATTCTACTTGCTTTGCTATTTTCTAGATCTTTTGGGTATTTTTTGGTTTTTATTCAAGTGCATCATCAACTATTTTCTTCAACTCTTAATTCTTCTAAAAGATAGATTTAGAATCATCATTAATTATTTTCTATATATCTAGTTTTCTTGAAATATTATTGTATTCCTTCACCAAATTGCTTTCTTGTTCCTGCTATTGTTAAATAAATTTTATGCATTTCTATTAAACAGAAGATATTTTCTTTTCTATTTGATCTCTAAGATCCTAGAAAAAACTCATGACATCATTTATCATTTTTTAATTCATATCATCCATTTTGGTAAAGAAATTGCTGAGTTGCTATTTTAGCTGTTAAGATACTTCTTTTTCATAAGGTGGCCAATTATAGAAATAAGTTTATTAAGTCGCTTCAATCATTTTCTAAAAGCTGATTGAAGTTACACCTGCTAAATCATCTTATTCTTCAATACAGCAAGCACATGAAAGAACTTAAGAGATGTCTTTATGAAATCTAATTAAGTTTATGTCGTAGCTAGGGTGAATATTGCACTTAAATTATAGCTTCTCCATGTTATATTTACTCTTAGAAATCTTATTATATAAATCAAAATTTCAAAAATTAATAATTATTGATAAAAAATCAGCAAAAACATAAATGATACTTAAGTCAATTAGATAAATTCTGATGTGACCTGATTTTAATTATGAATAAGAGCTATAACATAAGACTGAATTATTCTAAAATATTAGATTTTAAAAATTAAAAAATTTATTATTAATATCAATATTCACTAAAGTAATTATTTGATACTAATACATACATTAAAAAAAATAACTCTATTTTTTGATTTTATATATTGATTTTTTCTCACTAATTTTAATTATTTTAAATTAAAAATTTGTTAATTTTTATGAATTCTATTACAATTAGATTTAAATATTTACTCTAGTCGTTAATAAAAAATATAAAAGCTTCAATTATTTTAAAAAATAAATTTATTTAAATTATTTATACCAAAATCAATTAGATAAATTCTAATTTGATCTGAATCTACTTTAGAAAAAGTATTATTATAGCATCAAGCCATAGGAAAATATTAGATTTTGAAAATATAAAATTGATTTTAAATCTTAAAATGATTTCTGAATATAATAATTTAATATAATTGCAATAAAATAGAATAACTCAATTTTATAAGAATATTTTGATTTATTCACACAAATCTTAATTTATTTAAATTAAAAGTTTGTTAATTCGCATTAATTTTATTTTATTTAATGAAATTGTTAATAAATAAAAAGCTTTAATTTCTTTAATAAAAATAAATTTATTTTTTTTTAATTTTTTATTTTCCTAAATTAATTTTTAATGATTTTATGAAAAAAATAAAATTCATACAATTAATTAAAAAATAAATTTTAGATATTTTGAATATATTTGCAATATATTTAATCCTCACAATCTAACTAAAGGTTTACCGGCCATAGCAAGACATTCACCTATTGATTTTTGTAATATAATTGATATAACACAACTCAATTAGATATAAATATTATTTATTATAAATTATATATCATTTAATTTTAAAATACCAGTAATGAATGATGCTTCTTCACTAGCAAGGTAAGCAACTGCACTTGATACATCTTCTGGTACTCCAAGACGAGAAACACCTATTATTTTTATTAAATAATTATAAATATTATAGTAAGTTTTTAAAAATCGTATTAAAATAAATAGATTTTTAAATTTTTTTAAGAAGTTTTTAGATTAGATAAAAGATTCTTTTTTTTTCATTATTTTAAATCGTTTTTTTAATGAAGAGTTTGTTTTACCTTCTGAAAGAATTGTTTGTTATTCTCTGTCCTTCCAAAGGGCTTCGGAGAATTTAGTTTTAATGACACCTGGGGCTACACAGTTAACACGGATACCATCTGATTAAAGTTCTCTTGCAAGCAATTTATTCATAACTAAAACCATGGTCTTAGTGATACCATAAAAACCAATTAGGTTTTCTTATTCATAACCACTGAGTGAGCTTACTAAAATTACGTTAGCTCCTTTTCTACCTCTCATGAAGGGAAGAGCATCACGAACAAGGAAGAGAACACCCTTAAAATTAATTTCATACATTTTATCCATAGCCTATTCCGGAGTGTCTGTGAAAGCACCCATGAAGGTGGAGACTGCAGCATTAGGGATCAAGCTATTTAATAAATATTTATAAAAATAATTAGATTATAATTATGAGAAAGAGAAGATTGATTTAGTAGGATTAACATTTTTAAAATGAAAATTTTTATAAAATAATAAAAGATCTATTTACATATCAACACCTCCGAACTTGTCCTTAGCGAATTATAAGAGCTTTTATCTATCTTCAGGCTTTCCTGCATGACAAACTAAACCTTCAGCTTTTCCACCTAATTATCTAATCATCTCTACTGCTTCAGTAACATTCTTTTGGCTACGAGAGTTGATGATAACTGTGGCTCCTTCTAAAGCTAATCTCTTGGATATATCCAAACCTATACCAGTTGAAGAAGCGGTTACAATAGCAACCTTGTTTTCGAATCTTCTAGGATATGTTGTTGTCATTTATTTATATATTCTATCAATAATTATATTAATAAGTAATTTATTTAATAATTTTTAATTCCAAAATAAATAATTACTTGATACTAAAAAGCGAAATTTCTTGTATAAATGATGTTATTAATCCTTATTGAGTACATAAGATATTTCAACTTTTTTAAAAACCTATTTGCTGGAAAATTTCTTTATTAGTAATCTAAAAGTGACGGATGTGTCGTATATTTTTATAATATTTTTACTAGCTCTCATTACTTTACCGAATCAATTATAATTAAATTTAATCAATAATCTAATTTATGACCTAAGTAATGAATAAATCATTTATATTCATTATTCATATTTTTAATATAATCTCTTGTTCTTCAATTTAGCTTAATATAATAAAGGTTAACAAACAAATCTTAATTAAAAAACATTTTTAACACAAATTAAATCGAAATTGCAAAAAAAAAGGAATTAACATAAAGGAAAGGAGGTAGTTAATTAATTAATTAGTTACTCATTAGCAAAAAATTTTAAATCTAAATTTTAATACTTTCATCTGCAATATCATTCAAAAATACTCACTTTGTTTTAAATATTTCACTTAATTGAAAATATTTAAAAAAAAACAAACTTATTAGAAATATTTTTCTTGAATACAATACTTTATACAATGCGATATCATCTGTTTTTAAAGGATATATCATCAATTTTATCATGCTTTTTTTTAATTTTTGAAAATTTCAGAAAAAATGGCTAAAATTTAAAGGGGTGAGAATGTATGAGAATTTAAGGTAATTATTTTTTACAAATTGTATTAATCATTAGTATCTCGATTTTTGAACTTATAATAAATAATAAATTTAATAAATCTAAATGTATTTTATGAAAAAATAAACATAAAATAATTTATTAATTGTTTAGATTTTTTTAGAAAATAAAAAGAAATCAAAAATTCAGAATAAATTTGTATTTTAACAATTCAAAAAAACGAAAATATTTTTTTTAATTAAGATTTAAATTTACTAAAAAATTAAAAGAAATAATTAAATAAGGCTTTCAAATGAGTAGTGAGCGATAGCTATATATTTTAAGTTCCAATTATTGAAGACTGTATAGACTTTAATTTAACACTTTGTGGATAAGCTATCGAATTTTGCTCAAAATGATGGTATCTAAAATCAAAGAACATGCCAAGAGAATAAATATTGGAATTACCATACTGTATTAATATAGGAGGTTAATGTAAATCAAATATGTCTGCTCTGCTTGCTAATTCGTAGGGTATATAAAACATTATGATAATGATAACTGTATGATAAGTATTGCTTAAACTTTAGGATCCTCCCTCGTCTAGTTGTGGATGGATTAGAAACTCTTATAATCCAATAGAAAATTAATGCACACATACATACCTTAAATTCATTGTTTAACTGTTAATAATAAATTTTGTATACATAAATTGATTTATTGTACATAAAAGGAAATCTAAAGAACTCAAAAAGAAATCATACTTTATTTATTATGATATGATATTAAAATTTTGTATTAATATGTAATTTTTGTAATTAATTAAAAATTTAATAATTATTTATTTATTTATTTATTTATTTATTTATTTATTTACTCATTTAAATTAAATTTAAGTTTATCGCTTTGGTAAAAAATAATTTTAAATATATTTTTGATAACAAATTTAAATAAATTCTATCAAAATTATTATGCTTGCTTTTACTACATTTAAGTTTCAAAAAAAATAATCATTTTATCTTATTTGCTTTTTATCTGAATTTTTTGGTATTTATTAAAACTTTAAAAGAAGGACGAACATAAAAAATTTTGTCAGAACAAAAATTTTTGCAATAAATAAATTTATAAAAGTATCAAAAATAAATTATCATTCAAGTGATTCAAAATATTGTAAGAAAGTAATTAATCATAATAAATATAAATTATTTGGTTGTATTTTTATGTTTAATTAAATTAATTTCTCAAATATATGTAGGAATGGGTGTGGTGTGGATAAATAGATTTGGCTTACAAATTTTTATTAAAAAAATTATTAAATAATTTTCAATTACTTTTGAATACACAAAAATGCAAATAATTAATTAATTAATTCATGCCTTTTCATGAAGAATAAAGAAAACTAATTTTTTGAAAAAAATTTAATATTTGTTTTGAATATCTTATAAACAAACAAAAAACATGATAATAAATCCATTACAAATTTTAACTTGTTTATGCTTTGTTTGTTAAAAGTTTAAAACATAAAGTTTACAATTAAATGTTAAATAATACTATTAATTTTTTTTGTTCATTAAATAAAAATAAAAAAAATATTTTATGAAGTAACTTATTTTTTATCTTTCAGATCCTTCGTTTAAAATATAGAAACCAAAGTAAGAAGTAATAAGAAATATAAAACAATTAAACAATTTTTAGTCTTTTGTAAAAACCAAACAAGCTAGTACAAATATAAACAGTAACAACTAGAATAATTTTATTAGATTTTTATTAAATTAAATTAGTACACTCTTTAATTTAAACAGTGTTAGCGCATAATAAAAATATAATTAAAATTTTACCACAAAAAAAAATACAAAAATATCTTTCTATGTGTTTTTTAGATTACAACACAACTAAACAAAGTTAATATAATGAAACCTTTAAAAATTGTTTAGATAAATAAGTAAATAAATAAATAATTTATAAAAAAATTAACAGAAATGATCCCATGTTTACATTAATTAATTTATAAATATAATAAATATTCTTTTATAAAAATTAAAATCCAGATAATAAGGAGCAACTTGGTTGATAATAAAAGCAAAAATTTACAACCCCAAATATAAAACTTGATTAAATCCAAATAAAAAAATTCAAATTTGGATAATTATTACATTGATTAATATTTGCTAATTGAAGATGAATTAGAATAGAAATAATTATCTTTATGTAATTAGGCTTTGTTTGATCAGAAATGTTGAGAAATAAAATTGTTAAAATTAAATGAATTTAAAGTAATATTTCAAATTAATTCAGTGTAATCTCAGATAATGCTCATAATATCTAAAATAATATCAATTATAATAATGAAATCTCTTTACTTCTCTCTCTATTTTATTTTCTCAAACAAATACGTTTATCAGAAATTGAGTGTTTTAAACTTTGTTAAATTAATGTTTAAAATTACACATTTAAAATTTTAATGGATGAGTAAATGATTAAAAATACCTAGGTAATATTTTTGATTTTTTATTGCAGCTATTTGAATATTATTTTAAGGATAAAAGGAGGTAGGTGTTGCTTGTGTTTGCGTCAAGCTATTTTAATTATAATTTTTCATATTAAGATAGTAGGTTTTACTAATTCATGGCTATTTATTATTAATTATTGCAATATTGATTACCACAGAAAATTAAGATATGTCGACAATTAGTACTTACTATGTAGATTCGGTAGAGAGGCTTATGTAATAAAATTTGACCCTTAAATGGAGAATCCTCATAAAAAGAGATTTCCTATTTATATTATATGAATACTTTTTTGGTTTTTGATGTTTTAAATTGTTTTGAGAAAGTTTTTCATTCATTTAGTTTTTAATTGGGATTGGCTATGTTTAGATTTATAAATTAGAACTAAAATTTTGTTTGAAAAAGTTCAAAATCTAATTAATCAATATCTTAAAAAAACAACAAGAAACTAAGTGAAAAAGGAGATATTTTGCGCAATTTTTTTAATAGAAAGAATCTACTTTAGTTTCAACCGTTCTGGGAATTTGAGCAAGGATCTCTTAACAGAGAAGTATAGCACTAAATAATAAAGAAAATAAAGAGATAATCATCAGTTAATAAGCTTTTAACTGGTAGATCATTCATATATAATTATCATAGTTCTTTACATAGATAAATTAATAATGATTAAACAAAAGCATCTAATTTGGATTATTTGCGTTAATGTCTTTTTTAGTTTCCTTAATATTGGCTCTTAATCAAATTTTATAATAGCACTTAGACTCTACTCTGAAAACAGCAACAGTGCTAGTAATCAATATACGTATGCTCCATCTAACTTCCTCTTTGGAGTTTAATAAATAAAATTTCACTTTATTATATTGAGTATTATAGTGGACTCCTTAAGCTTTATATTAAATACTGTACTACTAATCATCGTATATAAATAGCCTTACACTTCTATAATATACAAATTAAATTTTACAAACTATATTTTTCTTCCTCTAAAACTTGTTTTTAGTATAGCTTCTCATGCCTAAAACAGCACTACCTTTGACGCTGATAATATATCCATCCATTGTATATCTACTAGCAACTCTGGCGACTCGAAGAGTGCTTGCAACGTTATATTTAGCTAGAAATTTTTCTTAGTATTTCAATATATAGTGATCTTTTTTTGCGCTTGCAGCATATTTTTATTCAAATATTACTACAATATATTTATTAAATAACAATCATCTGCACAATAGCCTATCACATAAGAATTGCAAGTTCCTTTTTCGAATGAAATTAATTCAATGAAAAAAGGATCTAAAAGCAATTCTATATCATATACAACTCGTTCCACCACAAAAAAAGGAAGTATAAATGACTTAGAAATGTGTAACTAAAATATAAATTAAAAGTCCCCTCCAAACAGCGCTTAACTCTAAGCTATTAAATCTAATAAAATAGGCTAAAATATGATTAACTAAAACGAGTAAAATTATCTCTCCAATTTGGTTTTACCTGTAGATTTTAACAATTCTCAAGTTATTCTCCAAACCTAAAATTTTCTATACAAAACCTATCCCAAAAATAGCACTGAAACTTGTGAATCATAATAAAGTGAAAATAGCAATCAATAAGTATATAAGCCTTTTGCAAACTCTCTTTTCATGTTTGACAAAAAAAATAAATCAAATCCTTTAATGGAGAAGCATCCAGATAATGCCTTAAATGATTAAAGCAACAGGCAGAGAGAATCTATTTCTTCTTAAAGAGCATCGATAGTATCTCAAAATTTATCTTATAATAGCAATTTGAGTCCGTCAATCTCTCATTTCACTCAAAGTGCATATTCAGCAAGCTTATAAAGCTCCTCTCCAAAGAGATTTAGCTTAAATTTATATAAATGCTCAGCAGAAGCATCTTAAAATCCAATTAAAATTTTTTGTAAACTTGAATAACAAATGCAGTCAAGCATTATTCTAAATCCATCTTCGTAAATTTAACACAATAACGCTTAATAAGGCATTCATGGTGAACATTATGAGGCAAGTAGTTCATATGAATGCTACAGTCCGACAAATAACACTTTTGATAAATCACCTCAAAATCTTAACATTAAGAACGAAAATTAAAAGAATATTTTTGGTAATTCTCAACAGCTATAATTAAAAAAATCAGAAAGTGAGCAAATCTATGAAGCTTCAAATGAAAGCGAAGGGTCATATTAAAGTAACTCTGATCAAAGTAGCATAAACACTCCTGACATCTCAGTCAGCAGTAGTGAAAATTAAAGTGATTAAAATCAATCGCCAAACAAATATTTTAGAACAGATAAAACAAAAATCAACCCTCTTGCCTTAGCTCCAAGTACTGCTATTGTTGGTCACAATCTATCAACTACTGCAGCCAATTAAATGATAAACGCTTTTGATTCAATCCTTAAATAAAATTAGAACCACAACTCAATAAATCCACTATCAAATTTTGTCTCACGAATATTTTAGTCAGTAGTTAAATGAAACAATTTATCAATTAAAAATAAACGAACAAATCCATCTTTGCAAATCAAAAATTTAATTTTAATTATTCAACAAATAAGTAAATAAATAAATAAAATTCTACATTAACTAATTAATTAATCAATAAAAAAACATGAAATTTAGGAATTAGTAAAAGTTAAAATGAATGAAAATAATTAATTTATAACAAAACTTAATTAATAAATAAATTTTAATTGTATGTAAACTAGGTGTAGTTAATTAATTAAATTAATATACCTTATATAATATTTATATTCAATTTTAGCAAGCTTAATTAATTCTTTTTAATTTAAGCTAAATTGTTAATTCATATTAGTTTGATAAATAAAATAAATATCTTGTTGATTGCTGAACTAAATACTGTTATTCTTTCTTTAAGACATCTAATTTACAAGATTAAAATAATTATAATTTAGAAATATATTGATTGGCCATTCATTATATATGACTACTTGATAAAATACTGACAAATTATTTTATGTTTAATAAATTTCTTTCTTAAATTTTTCACTTTGAAGCTAAATTAAATTGTCTTTAAAACAATTATATTATTTAGTTAGTACATGATTTATTAAGGAATCCTCCTATCAAAATAGCTATATTAATGTTTTTAAATAGATAATCAAGTTTCATAAGAAGTAATTTTAAAGTTTTTAAAAAAATATTTATAATAATTATATCATTTTGATAATATTTTCATTAAAAAATAGATGAATATTTATTTTAGCAATATATTCTACAAATATAGTATTTTCTTTTTAGCTTGCATTGATTGAGTTATATGAATATAAATTAGTATTTATTATTTTATTGTTTTGTTTATATTAAGTTTTTTAAATTTGTCTCAAAATTTAATAAATGTTATAAAAGATTATTTGTTTATATTTATATCATTTAAAGAATGAAGCAAATTAAGTAAATATATAATTTTACTACTCTATTCTTTTATAAAATTGAAGGAGTATTTTCTTTAATTTATTAATTTAATTTTGGATACAATTTTAATATCAAAAAATAGATTTTTTTTAATTATAGAAGAGTTGTTTTTATTATTTTTTAATGTTTGAATAACTTAATTGGTAGTAAGAAATAATTATTTGAATAACAAGGTATAATTTATATATTTATCTACGAATGCATCGAAAATGTTAAGGTGTAAATGGTTTGGTGAAATTCAAAGTAGTTTAGTAAAACTCAGCTTAACTTTAATTAAGTTATTGGATGATATTTTTACAAAAAGTATTATTAGATGAAATGAAATGAAATTAGTTTATTAAGTTTTTTAAATTTGTCTCAAAATTAAATAAATATTATAAATGATTATTTGTTTTTATATATATGTCATTTAAAGAATGAAACAAAGATCGTAAATATATTATTTTAATGCTCAATTCTTTTATAAAAATGTAGGAGTATTTTCTTTAATTTATTATATTAATTTTGGATACAATTTTGATGAAAAAATAGATTTTTTTTAATTATAGAAGAGTCTTTTTTATTATTTTTTAATGTTTAAATAACTTAATTGGTTGTAAAAATTATGATTTTAATAACATGGTATAATTTATGTAGTCTAGGAATACATCCAAAGTGCTAAGGTGTAAATAGTATGGTGAAATTCAAAATAGTTTATTAAAACTCAGCTTAACTTTTATTAAGCTTCTGGCTGGATATTATTATAATCAAAAAAATATGAGATGAGATGAAATGAAATTAGTTTATTTTTAGGAAATATGATGGAGTTGAAAAAAGTTAATCAGATTACATAATTTGAAAATGTAAAAATCAAATTTAGATTAATATTTTTAAAACAGGCTCATTGAAATATAATAATGTATAAAGAGACATTACTGAGAAAAATTAATTTTATATGCGATGGGGAATCAGTGTTTTTAAAAGAAATTAAATGCTTATAAAGATTTTGTTGTATTTAGCTAAAAGTAATCCTACAATATAATTCAATTATTTACTTAACAATATTTTTGAAAATTAATTAACAATTTCTAAATATAACATAGATAGCTAGCTAGATAAATCTCTCTTTTTTAATGGATAATTATAAATGCGATAGCATACTATAATTTTAATCAATATCTCCCCAATTTCAAATTAACAACAGAGCCCTTTCTGCATTTTTTTCAGATGTTGAAAGAGATCAATTCTACTCACAAAAAAGTAGTTAGCACTACACTAAATTAGATAAAAACTCAGAATAAGCTTGCATTTTAAATGATTCATCATAACAATTGACTGAGCTTTACCAGAGGATTTAAGTACGCAAGCATTTAAGCGCTTGGCCAAAATAATAAGAGAATTCACCTTAAAACATTTCTAAATAAAAATTTGATTCTAAATATCCTAATTAATTAGTAAAATCACAAATTAACTCATTTAGCGACTTAGATTAAAAATTATCTTAGTTAAATGAATAATAAATGAGTTAAAGAATCGGTTCACAACAAGTAAACTCGGGTCTCTCTTAACAAGGGAATAGCCTTATAGGGAAAAAGAAAAGAAGAGGACATCTTTGGAGCGGAATTAAGGTCCTATAAGCACAAATAAAAAGCAATAGAATAAGATCTCTAAGCGAAAGTTATCAAAATTAGAACTTGTCTTCAGATTAAATTTTTTCTAAGCCTGAAAAGCCTAAATTGAAATTGTAAATCAAATCTTTGAGTTTCTAATAAAAATTAGAATCAAATAGATTAAAATAATTGTCATACTCATCACAAAATAAGTCTAAGTTTTTTCTTAATCAAAGTACAGAAGAAATGCAAAATTCTCAAGCATATTTACTAAATAAATAAAAAAATAACATCGCTTTTAATGTTTTTTATGAAAATGAAGATTTTATGAGTTCGAAATACAATTAGCCTTTTAAACGCTAAAGCCTTGTAAAGCAACAAGAAATGCTTTAAAACTTTTCTCCTATTAAATTAAATTAACTTTCCAGCAATAATCTTTCTACTCCTGCAAAAAGATCGAGAGCAACCACTTAAGAGAGCTCAACATAAAATACATCGATCCATATAAATCAAAATACAAATCCAATATAAATTAAACAAGATTTACAATATTAAAATTAAATATCAATTTTCTAAACAAGTCCAGAAATTATATCAATCACTCCCTTAAAAAACCCATCTTTAGCATAAATCGAGCACAATTACAACAGTGACAGTATTGATAATATTAAAAATAAATCTTACACTCTCTTGAATGAGTTTGCAGCCACATAAAACACATATAATCTTAGTCAAAAGCCAGAAGCATTTAATTCTAAAAAGAAAATAATACTAAAGGTGAAAAAGGAATCAAATAAACTAAGTCCAATAATCGATCCATAAATACTAAGCAACAATCACACTAATTAAGAGCTAAATAAACTGTCTTTCTCAAACTCTCCCGTAAAAAGCAAAAATATTTAAATATAAAAGCTATCATAAACTAGAAAAGTTATTTTATTCTCAAAAAAATAATCAGCTAAGGATCTCAACACATCTGAAATTGAATAAGAAAATAATTTAATTGAAAAAGGAAATTTTGTATCAAACGAAATGCTATCTTCTACCACAAAATACCTCGAATGTAGAAAAATGTTCACTTTTTCTAAGGCTTTGATGAGTAGAGATCCTTAAAAATTTGAGAGTGATTGTCTTCAAAGCTAAAACAACAAATGATTTAAATTATCTTTATCCTAATGGATTTAAAATATAATTAATAAATAAATTAATTAATCTATTTATATTACTATTCTATTAATTTTCTTACTTGCTTATCTGTATATATTTCTAACAAATTCATTTTTACCATTCAAATAATTATTCTATTAATAACGAAAAGTTGGTTGATGAACTCAATTAAAAATAATTCTTTGTTATTTTTAAATTCATTTTGAAAAAAAATTTGTAGCTAATTAATATTTTATCAAGCTCCTTACCTTCTTATTTTGAAATTTGGTCTTAAAAATAATAAATATACTATGATTCAAAAATACATTTTATTTATTTCTTTCAAAAAGCTGCTGAAGAAATTTCTAAATAAAATCTACATTAATTTATGTAAGAAGAACATAAATATAATTTTACACTTTAAATTTTTAAATTCTTATTGTGCTTTTTTAAAATATACATCAAAAATAAATAGACATAAAAAAGCTCAATCTCAAGATTGAGATACCTAAAATATAGAATGAATTTATTTATTTGTTTTTTTATAATTTACTAGTTTGCGATCAGTATTTATATTAATTTAAATTATGTAATCAATTTTCTTGTTTCATTATTTCATTTGGGAGTATGTGGAAATTCACTCATTTAAATTTATTAAATTAAATAATCTGTAAATTAATAACTAAATTTTCTGTGGACTTGGATGATTTACAATTTCTATCAATTAAGATAAATATTATAATAAAAATTTGCATATAAAAATATATGATTGTAAGATAAAATTTATGATTTTATTTATTACTTTTTTTAAATTCATGGTTTTATAGTTAAAGTAATAATTACTAGAATCAAAGTTATATATAATCTATCATAAAAAATAAAAACATATTGTAAAATAGGAAGTCTACAGCATTGAAAAAATGAAAATTTTTTACACATCCCAACCCAAATAATTATAGCTTTTATTAAAATTATTTACCTTATTATATTGTTAAGAATATATTAAAATTAAAGTAAATATTTTTAGTTTAGAAAAAAAATAATTTATTTAAGTATTTATAATACATTAAAAAAATTATAATTGATTTTAATTCTTCAAATTATGATTTTTAAAGATATCTAAGTCTCATTTATTTAAAAAATTTTAAATAGAATTTAATATGTTTTACAAAATTGTAAAAATTAGCAAAGAATACTTTTTAGAAGGTATTAAGTTTCTATTTGTACTTCCAAATCTGATAATTAAAAGCTATAAAATTCATTTAATTAGAAAAAAGTCATTGATATTCAAATATTTAATAAAAAGATAGATAAGATAAAGCTATAGATTCAGGAATAATCAGATTGATATAAGGTTAAAACTTCATAGAAACTAAATATTCTTTATATATTTAAAGTTGATACAAAAAAATGTCTTTTATATTTAAAAAATTATTAATAAAACATTATATTATTTATATATATTTTATGAAGTACCTACACTTAACTAACTAATTTAGAATTGTTTAAAATACTTTAAATATTTTTGCTAAGTTAGCTTAATAAACGCAACCAAAAGATGGTTAAGATTATATTAATATTTCAAATATAACTTAGAAATTGCTAATTTAAATAGATAACACTTCAAATTATTTTTATTATAATTATCAATTATAAAATTAAAATATTTAACTTAAATAAAACTCTCATTAAAATTTTTTTCCAATCTTTCTCACTTAAAATGATATCTTAAAAACCGTCTTAAGTTCCCAATATGGCAGAAAATCCAATTGATCACAAAAAGGTAATGAACAGAAATTTGGCAGATGAAAATCCTACAGCTGTTGAAATGACATGCGCTCACTGCAATTAAATTCAAAGAACTGATGTTAAACCTAAAGTAGGGTCAGGTACTTACATAATGTGTTTAATTCTACATATACCTGGATGCTGCTGTCTTCCTTTTTTAATGGACAAATGTAAAGACTAAGTACACTACTGCTCAAATTGTTAATCTTAGCTTGGAAAATATGAATACAAGATGTGTAAATGAAAGTTAAGATTATATTTTTTAACATATTTAAATTGTTATGAAATTATGTCATAGTAAAATATTTATATTAAATCTATTGTAACTTATTTTAGTTTTAAAAGAAATATTATCATTACAATATTTTACAAAAAAAAGTATTGAATTTTATTTTTAAAGTTAATATTATGATTATAATATTTTACTAGAAAAGTATTGAATTTTATTTTTAAAATTAATATTATACTTAAATCCCATACATTTTTTACAAGCCCAGCTATGAATGCTTAAAGAATTAAATGGCTAGGCGGGCTTGTAAAAAATGAGCTGGATTTAAGAATATCGTTACAATCAAAAAGCATTGAAATTTATTTTTAAAGTTAATATTATGATTACAATATTTTACAACAAAAGGTATTCAATTTTATTTCTCATAATTTAATACTGTCTTTAATTTAAACAATCATTAACTATTTGAAAAATTTTCACTAAATTCAGAGATGATTACATTCAAGCTATAATTTATCTATTCAGTAAGCATCTATTGTAAATTTAAATTTTTATTAATTTGAATGTAGATTATTCAGACTTTCTTTTGTTAAAGTTTTTATCTATTCTAATATTAAATCTGATAATTATGGTAAATCTATCTTGAAATTTAAAATTAGTTCTATAAATTAATTCAATTACTAAAAAGGATATTTGGCTATTTTAAAGAAAAATTTTTACTAAGAATATACTAAATTATATTCTTTAAAAAGTGTTCTAGCATTAATCTTGTTTAAAATAGTAAACATTTAAAAAATAAAACAATAAAAATAATTAAAAACAGTAAAATAATAAACCATTAAATTTAAAAATGTATCCTCAAGTTTAGAACGGTAATCCCCAAGCCTAGAATAATGATCCTCATAATCAAAATGCTTTACCTCCAGTTACTTATCCTCCTATGTAAAATCAACCATTGTAGATATAGAGTAAATTGCCATACAAATTTACAAAAAGCGAGTTTTATAACCGTGTTTTTGCATTTTATAAAATTATTTCAAATTTTACATTTTGCGAATTTAAAGCATTCTAAAAACTCAAATATAAAGCTGTTTTAAGCTTATTTAGCTTTATTTATAATGTTATTAAGATATATTACATTTCACTTTTTGTAAATTAAATAGGCATTTCACTCTAGTAAAATCCATAAGTTTAATAAGATATGGCTGATAAGACTCCTTATCCTTTTTAAACAACCTGCCATCACTGCAAAAAAACTTCAACAACTAAAGTTACAAGTAAAGCAGGGTATGGAACATGGACAATGTGCTCCATCTTTTGTGTTTTGACTGGTTGCGGCTGCATTCCTTTTTTTATTAATAACTGCAAAGATAAAATTCATACTTGCCCTAATTGCTAAACTTAACTTGGTGTTTTTAGATACAAAGTTTTCTGAAAAATAAGAAGAAAATTCAAAATAAATAAATCTAGAATAAGTAATAGTTAATTAAATTTAATTAACTAATATCTATTATTATATTATTCCAAATTTTAAACAAAAATCAAAAATTTAAATAAATTTTTCTTTTTATGCTTTTTATAATTTATTTGATGTGTAAATAATCATTTAAAGTTAAAGTAATTTATATCCTATAATTAATTATTCTTAATTAAATATTTGTTAGAAATACAATATACTGTCAGTTCTAAACAAAAGCACTTCCATAAATTTAAATTTTATAATTCGTGCATTTAGAAACAAATAATGAAGAAAAAATATAAAATAATAAGAAATAATTAATAATAAAGCAAAAGTTTAACATGAATAAATGAGTTAAATTAGCAAATAAATAAAGAAGACTAAAAGGATTAAAAATAAATAAAATAAAAAGTTAACAATTTGCTAAAGCAGAACCAAAGCTTGATGCATCAACAACATCAATTTAATTGTTACTTTTTTAATATTGAAGAAAAAATATATAATTAATTAGTTAGAAGGAAAAAATGAAGAAAAATATGAAATTATAAGAAATTAATTAATTAATAAATAGGCAAAATTGAAAATGAAAAAAATAAATTAAATAAACAGATAAAAAAAATTTAAAAACTAACTAAGATTTTCAAAATTTAATTTTCTTTTTTTATACTAAACAGTTGTTTGAATTTTTATCATTAAATATTACTTATTATAGCCTATCAAAAATTAAAAAGGCATTTTACTCTAGTTAGAAGGAAAAAATCAAGAAAAATATGAAATAATCTTAGGAATGAATTAATTACTAATAAAAGTAAAAGTTGAAAATAAAAAATGAGCTAAACTAACTAAAAAATTAAGAAAGAGAAGAACAAAAACAGGATAAAAAAAGAAAAATTAATCAAATAAACAGCTAATAAATAAATAAATTAAAATAATTATTTTGTTTTAAATTCATTTCTATATTAAAAAATATCAAAATCCAAAAAAATAAACTGTTTTTACATAAGAACAATTTTCAAATCTGATAGATTAGTGCAATTTGCTAAAGTAGAACATAAGCCTAATAATTTATCTTAATCACAAATTTTATATTAACTTTTTAAATATTGAAGGAAAAATAAATAATAAATCACTAGTTAGAAGAAAAATATCAAATAATAAAAAGAGAATAGTTAGTTAGTTAGTTAGTTAATAATCAAAATAAAAATTAAAAGTCAAAATTAAGTTAAAATAATTAAAAGATATTTGTAGATACAAAAATGAATAATATAGATGTAATTTCTATTAGAAAAATAATATCAATAAATTGAAAATTATAAAAAAAACAATAATTAATAAAAATATTAATAAAATTATTATACCTCAGATCAATATAAAGAGCCTAATGAGATTAAAGCAAAGAGTTTAAAAACTTTTTTTATTAATAATAAAAAATTTAAACAATATTGATAAAAAAAAAAATTTTTACTTTTTCTAAATTATCAACATATTTTTCCTATTATATCATTTATTTTTTTTATTTCTCAAAAATGTTAAATAAAATAAATTTATTATTAATATATTAAAAAGTTAGTTAGTTTCCATTTATTTCAAATTAATTTGGTTAAAAAGAACAAATAAATTATAATAACTATCAAATATAAATTTATAAAATTGCTTTTAGGAAAAGATATCACACAAAGTTAATTAATTAAATTTTTAATTATTAAATCTTAATATTTCTATTTAAAACCTATTCTTAAAAATATAGTAGGAATTAGTTAGAGACATATGTTGAAAATATTCTAGTAATTAGAGCACTTAAACTTTAATAAAATAATTATTATTTAGTAGATTTTTCAGTTTTACTACAGTGATTTTAGTTATTAATGAGGGGAATATTTATATTTATGAAACATATTTAACATTTATTTAATATATTATTATATATATATATACTGTAAATGCTCATTAATTAAGGCATTCCCTAAGTATCTTTTTTGCCCAAAAAAAAGTGCCATAAAACATTTAGTTGATATGTCTTAAAATTTGGTATCTGTTTATATATTTTACATACATACATTATATAAAATAAATAAAATTCATAAATTGATATAAACAAATATTTCTAAATATATAAATAGTAAATAAATAAATTCAATTAAAATGGAAATGAATATTATTTAGATCTTATTAATATAAATCTGAATTTTTATTGAGCAATTTTATTGTATCCCACATTATCTCTTTTCTGTAGCAATCATAAGTATTAGATTTTAAAGCATGAAATTAATTGAGTGAAATTTCTATTTAAGAATTTCTATACTTAATAATTTTTTCTATTTCTTTCAATACTTATTGATTAATTTAGTCACATCTGATATGTTAATTATTTAAAATAAAATATTAATTTATTATACTTTTTGCTTATACTTCAATATAATTAATTAATTAATTAATTACTTTGGAAAGTTCAAATTTAGTTTAAAATATAAATTCTATGAAACCAGTTGAAGAATATTTTTCATAAATATTTTGCTATCTTCTGATTAATTTATTGAGTAAGTCTTAGAGTTCAAATGTAGACTCAATTTATTAAGATCTCTTAAATTTAGAAAAGCCCTAGAAAGACCCTCAAGTTTTTGAAACTCCCAACTTTTTATTATCCATATTATATATATTAAAAACACATATAAAAATAATTAATTTATTATCTAAAGCAATTAATTAATTAAGTAATAAATTTAATTTTTAGTTGGTTAAATTTTGCAATAAATTTGAATTTAATAATTTAAATAAAATTATTCTGTCTTTCTTTTTTTGAGTTAAGTCAAAAGTAGATTGAAAGAAAAAAAAATTTTTAATTACAAATAAATCCATAAATAAATATTATTATTTAAACAAGAAAAATAAATTACCTGTTCAAACACAGATAGAATTTATTGAGCTTGTTATAGGGAAATATGTTATTGAATGCTTCGGTAAGGGAGTCAACTGCTTGCTATTAGCATCTAAAAACTCTATTAAGATTAATATTACATTTTTTTAAATTACAAAGAAAAAGAATATTTTACAGAGTAAAATTTAAGCTAAGCTCTTTAAGGGTTTATATATCTTTAAAAGCAGAAAGAGCATGAGATAATGCTTATATAGAAAGATCACTAATATTCCATCTTTTTGATATAAATTATTTTAATTAAAGATAATTAATTTCAAAGTAATTTTACCCTGCAAAGTTTAAAGTAAGTTTTTTTATTCTAGTTGAATTAATAATTGTTGATAAGCTTTTACAGATACTTATAAAGCTTTAATCAAACTATTGTTAAACGTTCCAGTGAGATAAACCAAGCTATAGTTCTTCTAGATTTGGACATGTTGAAAGCTGAGATAGGCAACTAGCTAAGTCAACAACACTTTGACATGTAACATTACAAAGACTTAGATTTAAATGATAAATAACATTTAATTAAACTGACATCGAAAATAGATTGTTATTTACTTTGGAATATCAAGACAAAAAGATCTTAAGGTAGTTTTGTTTCTTTAAAAGAAAGTCTTTAAATGTTTGCAAAATAAAAAGAAAGATCTATCGCTTATTTTAGTATTAATCTGCAATTCTTTTAATTTTACTTGACCTTACTTATACTACCCCTCTAAAAACATCTTTGTTTTCAAAAGAATAAATTTGTAATAAGTCTACATGAATTTAAATTATTTATTAATTTATTAATTACATCAAATACTTCAATAGATCCAAAAGAAATCTTCAATAAGTAGACTTTTTATAACTCAGCTATAGCTTCTCCTATAGATTCTAAATGACTTTCTGAGAGTCTGTTAACGCAACTATTTAAATTTCAATTAAATCACCTTTTTATAGAATAAAAAATAAATAAATATCTTACCCATTTAACATTATTTAGACATTCTTTTCAACTTAAGAATATTTGCAAACATCATAAATGAAGTTTTTAAGAGGCACAATAAATATCTTATTCGAAATCCTGTAAATTTGAAAGTAGTTTAAACGGATTCAAATGTGTTTATTTATTTATTTACTTTTCTACGTCAAATATATATTCTTAAATCTAATCTAGATTTATGTTGCTCATTTTTATTTATTTATTTATTGTTTTTTTTCTACTTTTGATAAAAAATTAATTAAATCAAATATTTGTAAATTTTTAGATATTTAATTTTAAGAATCTAATAAAATCCTAATATGAACTTTTCTATATTCTATTTATCTTAGTTGGATAATTTAAAATAATTTAATTTTTTATTTATTTTGTTTTGATTAGTAGAAATTTGTAAACAAAGAATATAAAATGAAAATGAGTTATCATAAATAAACAAATATGAAAATATTAATTTAAACTTATTTATTAAATACTTACTATTTCTATGAAAATTTTAAACTTTAAATTGTTTGTTTTGTATTTAGATAGATTATTAAAAATTCAACTAATAATGTCTATTTTATAGGCTGCAAAGAATTCTATAAGCTTTTCTTTTAAGACAGGTTTTATAAGGAAGTAATCGAATTACGCTAAGGGATTATTGTTTGTGTAGTTTTAATCAATTAAAAAATTTTCATCGATTCCTGAACATCCTATAATTTGACACATATTTGAGAAATTAGGATAAACTTAATTCAAAAAACTTTTTATCTGATACAATCCTTCAAATCCACTAACATCAGGCATATTTATATCTAAGAAAATGAATTTAAAAAATCTATTTTGACTAATTTAAACATTTTGTTAGTCGTCTTCATCCATGTTTAACTAATTTTATTGTTGATATTCTTTATAAATATTTTCTTGCAATTTACTCATTGATTTTTGTTGTTATTAATCTGGCATTTTTATAGAGTCGAAAAGATATTGTTCTGGTTACATTTGTTTTTTAGGTTATTAACAACTCGTAAATCTTTACTTTACTATTTCTATTGCTTTTGTAGCTGAATAACAAATCATGCAGCTAATTCCAAACCTTTTCTCAATTATATTTTTTAAAGCCTCACAACAAAACACATTATCATCTACAATAAGAATTTACTCATTTCGCTGCTAGATTTGCTCAGCTTAAAAAGTGAAAACTTGTTTCCCATATTAAGAAGTTATCCTGTTTTATTAATAAATAAATAAATAAATTACTTTCAAAAATTTAATATTTTGAGTAGAAAATAAATTGTAAAAAATAAATATGCAAAAAGAATGATTTATTTTTTATTAATTACTGTAAATCTATCTATTTTCTCACCCACTTAAATACTCACTAAAAAAGCCATCATTTTATTTTTTTAAGGCAGGTATAATTTAGTGTAGGGTTGTTGGGTGGAAGAAAAAAAATATAAGAGGAATCACAGTAATTCAAAAAAAGAAATAAATAAATTAATTACATTGTTTGGTAATTATTTTTTAAAGGAGAAATTGGAGAAGGCAATTCCCTTTAGAGTTTATAATTTCTACTTGCTATAGAGTTGGAATCTTAGTTATATTTAGAATTTACCATATCGTTTATGCTTGCTTCTATAAATTTATTTTTTATTTCTGGACCCTTCTTAACGGTGTTTGCTAGAGAATTTTATTTAGTCAATGTTGTATTATGATAAATTTGTAAAGAACTTGTAATTTCTTTGTTTAGAATAGAGGCTATTGGATTAAACATCTATTAATTTGATTTTTCTAGCTTATTTTTATTATCTTGATTTAATGGATGCTATATTTAAATTGAAAAGCTATTATTTTACTTTACTTTTTGCTTATTTTAATTAGGATTTTCTTGCAATTCAGTTAAAGAAATGTATGTCATTGAGCAGTAACTCTTGTATTCTTAAGAACCTGATGTATGAGCCCTATTGAATTCACCTTTTGTATCTAATAATTTATGTGATTTTATCTTATCTGCAGATCTATTGCCTTCTTTAAAAAGCTTTTTTTTTATTTTTTATTTTGAACTTTATAAGCTAGATTCGCTATGGAAACTATAAATTTTCTTTACATTTTTGTTAACACTGCAAGAGAGATTTGGGAAATTTGATTTTAATTTTTTTACATTGTTTTAATCGGCTTCTAATTTTTATTTTTTGGGTAAATGGCCTTCATATAATGACTGAGAAAGTAGTGCAGATGATTCTTGTGTTTCAGCAATCTATTATATTACTTTTATTTTATTGTGCCTAAAGGAAGGATTATGATCAGTGATTGTGAGAGTGAAAGTTGAGCCTATTCCCTTTTCGCTTTCAACCTTCAATCCTTTATCCTACTTATTATTCTACTGAATACTTTAATTACTTTGATTTATATTCATGATGCTATTAGAATTGATATTTTGGTTTATTTGAGAACTCATATTTTCATTTGTTGGAGGTTTAGCTAATTATATGCTTAGCATGTTCGAAATTAAGAGTCCTAATCCAACTCCTTACTGATTATAATTTTATGTTTCTTCGTCATCTATTTTGCCAAATGCCTTAAACAGTTGTTTAAGTTTACTTTTTTCTATTCCAATTCCTGTGTCTTTTATCGAAACTTGAATGGAATTTAAAGAATTATATTCTGATTATATGAAAATTCGTCCATTGTGCGTGAATTTTAATGCGTTGGATATCAAGTTAATAATTACTTATTTGATACGCTCTTGATCGCTGTAAATGATATTTTTAAATTGATTGCTCTAATCAATGTAGAAAGAGTTTTGAATAAATCTATTTCTTAATATGATTTCTGTATTTAGTTTGTATGCTTGAATGTTAAACATCTTAATACAATCGTTTAACAAATTCAAAAGATTGAAAGGTTAAATGTTAAGTTTAAATTAATCAGCTTTAATCCTAGCCATATCAAGGTAATCATTTGATAAATTAAGTATATATTTTGAGTTTTGCAAAGCTGTTGCGATGTTGTTTTAAATTTCAACTATATCTACTTATTTCTGCTACACTTTTTTTAAAGCTTAAATATCATAATCAATTGTGTCTAGAATATTTATAATACAGTTTAGTGGATTTCTCAATTCGTGTGAAAGGTAGGAGACTATTTATTGCTTTTGAAGATTAGCTAATTTCAGATGTTATATATATTTTCTATGAGTCACATCTCTCACCATTAATAATATCATTGCTTTCCCTTCTATGATGGATGGGAAAAGACTTATGTCAAAATCTCTCTGCTCAGAAGAAAGATTAGTTTCTTAATTAGCTGAGTTGTTACCTTTATCAATACATTATTAAGAAATCTAAAAGTTCATAAAACTTGGGTTATAAATATTATAATAACCAACAACAGAATGTTAATTTTAATTACAATTTTATTTGCCAGCCTGATTCTAAAGCTTATGAGGAGAAGCCAATGATTGCTAAGTCAAATTGGTTTATTAATTTTGATTCATATTATTCTAAATAATGTTGTAGCTATTCGTCAGATTGTTGCTTATTTGGTGATTATTTTATGATTAATATTGTTGATTAGAATTTATTTAAAAAGATATGGGGCTTGTAGGATTTAAGTTATTATTATTATTACTAGGCATATTACTAAAAGTACTAGTGTATATACTACTCTAAATAGGTCCAATTTGGATGCTGTTTGTCCTCTCTTTCTAAATATGATAGTGATTGCTTGTCGTTATAACAGGAGAGCTGTTATTAACTGGGTATAAATTGTTAGGATTTTTAAGATTCATATTATTGATATTATTAGTATTATTACTATTGTTATTATTATTTAAACTTTGGTTTTTTATAGAAGCTATAGAGTTATTCTAGTTTAAATTTGCTTGGTGCTAAATTAAACCAAAAGAATTGCTTTGATTCTAGGTAGTAGATCTAGGAGTGCTTGTATTTACTTTCTTGAGCTTGGAACGAACAATTATTGTTTCATTCAAAATCATATTTGTTTCTATATTATCAAAGTGGTTTTAATTTATGAATTACTAAGTTTTTAAAAGGTTTTTTTGAATTTCATAAAGTAAATATTGCTGATTGCTACTTTTGTCTATCTTATTGCTTTAATATGAGCTATTTTCATTGAATTAAACTATCTTTTAGTGGTTTATTTATAGGTTATGCATATTAGAAGTTTTTTTATAATTTTTTTTTGTGGATTCTTCAGTGTTGATAGTCGGTATCTAGTGAGAAAAGTTACTTCGGTCTAAAGCATTTGTACTTTAGTAATTCATTGAGTATTAATTATTAAAATTATTTTATTCGTGCATCTGCAGGGCACTTGCTAACGTTAGATTTTTAAAAGATTCAAAACTTGCTTTATTTTTAGTTGTTTCTTAGTGTGTGTTTTCTGCAGATCCAAAATAAGTCTAATTTATTTCAGATTTGAGATTTGGTAAATTAGATATAGTTTCTTTCAGCTAAGCGTTATCTGTGCAATCTAATAGCAAAAGACTTGATTTGTTGTTATAAACTATGTTCATTTCAGAGTCCATAAAAATTATTCTAGTTTGTAAATTATTGATTAATTATAAGTTAAATTTTCATTTAAAAATAAATATCTAAAAGGAAGGAGGGAAAATATTATTTATCTTTATTTTAATAAAAGTGATAGTTTTTTTTTTAATAATAATGAATAAAGAATTAATAAATAATTAAATAAATTACCCCTCTGGAAAAAAATTAAAAAAGACTTGATAGAGATTTGGAATGTTTTTAAGATTTAGATTTAGGTTTGAAGCATATTCGCTCTCTTTAATTGATTTATAGATGTTGGTTTTTAAATTTTCTTTTGTTTAGCTGTTAATTTCAGTGTAGGATTATTCTTCGTTAACCTATTCGATCTTATAAAGGTCATTAAGCTTATTCTATTTTTAGATCTAATTATCCATCGATTTACATTTTTTATAAAAGATGCTTGGAAATCTACGTTTAAGGATTTCTTAAGAGTTCATCAGATCATTTTATTATGAAGCTAAATTTTATTTTTTTTATGCATTAATTTTATTATTGTTCAAATGATAATTTATTGATATCCTTTTATCATAAAAATTATCTTCATTTTACTCAGCTTAATAACTACTTTGCATTAATTTTCTTTAATTATTCAAAGGGCTATTGTAATCATAAATAGAATCAACATGCTTTAAAAATCTATTTTATTATTTTTATAGCCACTTTGAATCAATGCTATCCTAAATATTCAAATTATAGATGTTTTTTATCTATTCTTCTTTTGGCTACTTTATATAGTTTTTATTATTATTAAATTACTTTTCATAAATCCCTGTTTAATTTTCATTACTTCCCAATTAATTTTTGCTATCTTCTTCTTACCTTTTCTTTTGTTAAAAAAGTGATGCCATTTTGTTTTTTTAAAAAGAGTTGTTATTGGTTTGATTGTCTGAAAATGAAATTATATCTGCTTAATTAATTTGTTTTTATTTATCGCTCAGATGCTTCTCAGTTAATTCTTATATAGAATCAGATATTTAATCTTTACCCATAATTTGCTTGTTTGATGATGTTGGCCTACTCGTTAAATATATTAAAGTCTCTTTTCCTAAAAATCCTTATGAAATGTATGATGCATCTTGATTCCTTAAATGATTAAAGTAGCCTGTATCTTAATCGTGGTTAGAAAAACTTAAGTTCACTGCTTTGCTTCTTCTTTACTCGCCTACAAATTCTAATTAAGGGCAAGAGAAGAATTATTTGATATTCCTTTTACTTTACTAACCCTTTGCTAATTATATTCTAAGATGATCTATTTAGGATTTAATTTATTCAATTTTTTGCAATTTTTTTTGTATTACGAAAAAACAAACACTTGATAAATTAACTCCGAAAAAGATTATCTGGTTGCTATAGTTTAAGTTATAAATTTCCATACGGATGTATAAAAAGTAGATTTAATTGATTAGAAGCAAAATAATCTGAAATGAAATTATTTCTAGCTATGTTATCAGAGCATAAAGTGAAAGTAAGCTTAATTAATACTAGAAACTAAAAAACAACGACTGTTTAAAATAGCAAGTATGTTCTTCTTGTATGTATTAGCATGTATAGTCAATTGGCACTAGATATTGTGGATTTAAATTTATAACAATTATCATAAGTAGAAGTGAGAAAGCCAGTAAACTCTACTTGATCCAAAAAAACAGCTTTTCATTGTGTTGTTTGCGTTTCAAAATGAAAATTGAATTAATAATTAATAAAGCGGCTATGTATCCTCCAAAGCAGATTCCACCGCATGTTTAAGACTAAGAATCAGTTGAATTTTTAACACATGTCTATGATTACACATTATTATTTGATCCAGTTTTAGATGATTGTGAAGATGATGATGATGATGATGATGATGATGATGATGATTATTAAGTGGAAATAGTATATGGAAATTAAACCAATAAATTCATAATGATTATGAAATTGAAATAGAAAATAATAACAATATATTTTTTAGATTTTATTTATTCTTTAGTTATTTTCATTTTATAGAATTCAATGTCTGTGTCTGTGTGTATGAATGTATGTATAATCAATATTCTTCACTCTTATCTTTTTCTTAATTTCTACTCAATAAGATTAAGAATTGCCTTCGAATTAATTAATTAGCTTATTATTTATTACCTTTTTTATTAAAACTATTTGAGAATTTTTATTTATCAAGAGATACTATGTATTTGAATAGCAATTAGTTATTTTGACTAAATAAGTTAGTAAAAGCCCAAAAGCAAAAGAAAAAAAATTAAACAACTCTACAGCTTCTATTTATCTATGTAACTAACTATCGCATCTTTCTTTCTATTCATAATAATTCTTAAATTAAAATAATCATTTTCATTCATTTTACTAAAAGCCATAATAATCTAATACAAAATAAAAACTTATTCTATCTATTTATTTATTTACCAATTTCTAACTTTATTTATTAATTTATTTTTTAGTAAAAAATAACCTAACTTTATTTTCTTTATATTTTGGAATTTTTAGATTTCAATACTTTAAATATATTTATTTATAAAACAATCATGTTTCCTTTCAAAAGTATGAAGGTTTTGTTTACATAATTTTTTATTTTAAGAAAGATAAAATTATTAAGCAACAAACAATATATATTTTTATATTACAAATTCCTAAATCTTTAAAAAATAATGGTTTTTTTTGTTAATTTTTTTATAATAATTAATGGATATATCTTTTCTTAAATCGTTATAGTATCCTAAGCTTTTTGTCATTATGCTTATAATTGGTTATACATTTATTCTAAATAATATGAGTTTATTTATTAATATCTATTTAAGATACTATTTTCTTTCCTTATTTTAATCAATAAGAAAGATTTACCATTAAAATTTAGAATATTTAAAGTTCTATAAATATTTTATAAAGAATTAGCATGAAATAATTAAATCAAAAGAGTGAATGAATGCCTGTCTATTTTTTTTTATGTGTTAATTATGTTGATAAAATTAATATTTTTTTAGAGATAAAGACTTTTAAAATTCATAACTTTGATAATAAAATGTAGCTTTTTAATGAGAATAATATACAGAAAAAGTGATAAATACTTGCATTGATAATAAAAATGATGATAAATAATTATAACTTTGATTATTTTTTAAATTCAAAGTCTAATTTTGTTCCCTTTTTATGAAAAATTTCCCATTGTTGAACCAGAGCTTGTTGATCTTTTATCAGAAGCTTACCTCTTTTAGCTTCCTTTGTTTTTATTAGATTGGTTAGGAAGAGTTTTAAGTTGTTTGTTATTGCTCGGTTATTTTTAATCTTTTTATTAAAGGTTTTGTACTTCAATCATTACATGAGAACTCTTGATCACAAGGGAGTTATCTGGATTAATTTTAAGTTCAGCTTCTTAGATTGCAGGTAAATTAATACTTTGTTATTACATTTGGGTTTGTTGCTACAAATCCGTTTATATTTAAGGTAATGAGGATTATTTCAGCTATTGTTCTTATTACAACTTTTATTAGGCTTATTAATTTTCATTTTGCTTATTCTATGGTTGAGAATTCTTTTTATATTCAGGATTAATTTTAATTCTTCCTTCTGCAAAAGCGTTAAATATCTATTCTATCGAAGCTTGCTTAATAGAATATTGGCTTATACAAAATTCTTTCTTATTCTTTTCAAAAATACCAAAAATTTTTCCAATCGATGAGTGAGCTTGTATTCTGAGACGATAAAATGATTAAAAGTGTTCAATCACATCTACTTTTTCAAAATCATTTTGCTAAAAGTATTGTATAACTTTGTCTCCTAAATCTTCCACTAACTTAAATTCGACTAGAGATTCTATGTACAGTCCTTTACTGGACATTAATTATTAATAAAGGCTACTGCCACTTCCTTTGCTAGATATTCTCTTCACAAGATACTAAGATTCTAATTTTTCTAAATAATGATCTAAGTTCTTTTCATTGACCTTCTTTCCAGGTTTTATCTTGAATTTGTTCATTATAGACTTTACTTGCTTGAATCCAATTTATTAAAATTTTATTTCAACTTCGTAACCAATACCAAATTTATATTTTATATGAGGAACTGTTCCTATGCATTTTAATTCTCCATCAACCTAAATAAATAAATAAATGAATGAATATAAAAAATTAATTTTTTAATTTTTGTTATTTGTTTTACCTAAATAGCCATACGAGAACTTAAGGCTTCTGCTTCTTCCATAGAATGAGTTGTCAAAATGACAGAAGTTTTCTTTCTTTTTGTGCTTGCATTAGAAATAACACTCCACATAAATCTTCTTGCTGCTGGATCCATACCTGTTGAGGGTTCATCTAATAGAATGATTGGAGGATTTCCAATCATTGCTATTGCTGTACTCAATTTTCTCTTATTTCCACCTATTTATTAAAAACATAATGTTTATTTTTTTTTTTTCTAAATTAATTTAAACAAAAAGATAAATGTTGTATTAGTTTGTTTTTTACCTGAATACGTTCCTGCCTAAATTTCAGAAAAATAGCCTAAGTCTAATTCAGAGATTTTTTATGATATTAGTCTATCTTATAGATCTTTGGTTTTAAAAATGATATTATACTTTAAATTAACCTATAAATTAATTTACCATTAGGGATTCCTTTTATTGATGAATATATTTCTAAATGCTCTCTTGCAGTTAATAAAGGTAGAAGAGCATCAAACTGAGGGCAATATCCAATAAACTATCTTGTTTTATTTAGACTTTCATTTTAATTAACTCCCATTATGTATATTTCACCATCTATTAAAAAGTTAAATTTTTTTAAATGAACAAATGCTTTTATTTAAAAATTACCTGATGGCTTGATTTCGCCTCCCAACATTTTGAAAGTTGTGGTTTTTCCTGCACCGTTTACACCTTTTTAATTAATTTTAATTATTAATTTTACCATAGTAAAACATAAAATATTAAGTGTAAAAAAACATTTACCTAGAAGTGTAAAGCATTCACCATTCTCTACTCCAAAAGAAATTCTGTCTACTGCAACTTTTACTCTGTCTTCTGAAGGCACAAAAACTTTCCTGATGTTTCTAACGCAAACATTATATGATCTAGGGTTAGTTCTTTCAACTTTTTTCATCTCATAAGTTACATCTTCATCGTATCTTGTTAACTCATAAGGATATTAATTCTCCTTTGAGAAACAGTTACCAAATAACCCATTTTAGAAACGCTCTTTCACAAAAATAAGACAAAAAAAGACAATTCCTTGAATAAATAAAATTATAATGTTCAAGCCAGCTACTTCGACGCTAAAGGCAGTCAAATCATTGGGTGACATATCGTTAATTAGCGCAACAGCAGAACTATTTAAAATAAATTATTTATTGTTGTAATTATATTTAATAATAATAAAATAAATGTATGTACGTGCTTCCTATTTTAGTAACAGCTTCACCAAAGCAAAAGGTAGGGAATATTACTCTCAATATCAAAGATATCAACTTACCAGCGTTTCTTGTAGATGATATAATTTAGAGGATCAAAGCTATCATCGGAAGCAGACTACCAGAAGAAAAGCTAAAAAAGAAGGTTTAAACTTGAGAACTGTCTGTGTTCTCAAATTAGAAGCTAAGGTAATAAGTAAAAGGAATAACTGCCCATCCGTAAAGTATGATCAGAATTGACATCGCAGCACCTCCTTGATTCTAAGTTAGAGATTACACTTGAAATGCAAGGATTAGCATGATTGAAAATATAGAAGGAATGATATGTTTGATAAAATCTACTAAAATATTGGAAAACCAATAGATAGTAATGGTTAATCCACTGATCAGCTGCTGATGTTTTATTTTTAACTCTTTTTCTCTCACAATATATTGAACTATACTTGAAGGGATAAAAGAAAGTCCTAGACTAAAAATAAAACTGGCTATAAAACCTCCTACTTGCAGCGCTTTTTAGTACTCTGATTACGTAAATGGAAATGGCCTCATCGTTACTTCAATTCTTTAAATATAATTAATTAAATTTGTAAATCAAAAAAGTGATTAAAAAGATTTTTATTAATTACTAAACATTTTTTTTTGCAACTTGACTAATGATTGCTTGATTAATTGTATTCAAGAAGAGAGGTGGACCAAATTTATTATTTGTATTTATTAAGCAGGTGTAATTGTAAACATTTGAAACACTATTAAACATATTATAAAATACAGATCCTATGTATTGGTTGTAATAGTTTTTAAAAATTAAATTGTAAAGATCAGTTGTTGTGTTCTGATTTGATGAAGTTACTGTAAAAGCAGTAGGTATAAATGGCAATATTTTTTGCACAGAGTTTTATACATCTGCCGAAGATGAGCCTGTATAAATAACTTCAGGATTTTAAAGAGTAGAAGATGAAGGATCAGAAACAATTATTGGGCTTGATTCAGTGATAAATTTAATTTGACAAAGAAGCAATCCTATTAAAATGATAAAAATTGGAAGACATATTTCACAGATGCAGCTTTTCTTATCTCTTTTAAAATAAAGAAGTCTCTTCTTCAGCATGACTTTTAGCTGCATAAAAGAAAGGGTGAATTCATCTCTAACTTTCTGCTGACTTTATAACAAAAAAAAGTATTTCAAATCAAAATTTATTTTAATGTGAAAATTTATTTATTTATTTATTTTATTCTTAAATTACCTGATTGAAAATTAATCTTTTTTATCTTCCTAATCTTCCTTTGCATTTTTGGAGAAATCAAATTTGTGAGTAACCTTTAAGAAAACTTCTTCGAGAGTTGTTATGCTGATTGCATAAGTCTATATTCCTAGCTCTGCTTTTCTTTGATCTATTTCATCAAAAAGCTACTCAAATTGTGGCAAATAGCTAAGTGGTAATTGCATCTAAATTTCAGCTGAAACGTTAGAAATTAATTTATACTCTGGTACATACTTGAAAACCATTTCCAAAATATTATTGTTAGATCCGAAAGTTTGCTATTTCGAAATCACAAGATTGTAGCCTACACCAAATTTATTTTTCAAGAAAATGCTACTTCCACAGCACTAAATCTGTAAAAAATAAATAAAATTTATAAAAATTATACTAAAAAATATATTTTAATTTACTTTTCCATCGTTCATAATGGCAATTCTATCTCCTAAGAAATCTGCCTCGTCCATGAAATGAGTTGTTAAAATTACGATTTTGTTTGTTTTATATTTTTTTAGCATTTCCCAGATGTGTCTTCTAGCACTTGTATCCATTCCGCTTGTAGGTTCATCTAAAAATATAAGCCTAGATTCACCTATAAAAGCCATTGCTACTGAGAGTCTTCTTTTTTGACCTCCACTTAAATTCATACTGTATTCATCACACTTCTCCATTAAATCAACATCTAAAATTATTTTTTAAACAAAAAAATGTTCTAAAATAATTTAATAAACTTTAACAAATAAATTTCTATAAAAAGAAGTAAACTAAAAAGAAAGAAAGCTTTTATGATATTTAAACAATGAAAACTTTATAAATAAATAAATAGCTAAGAATAAAATCTATTAAATATGAATTAGATTTTACCATAAATTGCTTGGTCTACAGCTTTGCTAATTTCGTGTTTATCTTTCATACCTTTGAAAATTGCAAATAAATTTAAATGTTCTTTAACTGTCAATTAATCAAAGAGGATATCATATTGTGGACAGAATCCCATAAATTTTCTTATTTCTTTCATCTAGTCTTCAACGTCTCTACCAAAAACTGAAGCAGATCCACTCGTAATTTCTTGCATACCAGTTAGCATAGCAATTGTTGAAGTTTTACCAGCACCGTTGTGACCCAATAAAACAAAAATTTATCCGCTATACATGGTTAAAGTAACGCCTAGTGAATTTAAAAAATAAATATTATAAAATGAAATATTATTTATTTTAATACCTTTTACAGCATATTTTCCGTTTGGATAGACTTTTTCCAGAGCTCTGAGTCTGAGACAAGAAGATTTTTTTTCTTAGTCTCTTAGATATTCGTCTACAGGCTCGAAGTTAGGATGATTTTCAGCAGTTAAATTACTTTTATTAAAGTATTTGGTTTTTTTTTGATTTCTATTCCAACAACAGTCTAAAAAAAATAAAGGATGCTTCTTCTATCCAAATTCATTAGGAAAAACCTAATCAAAGTAAAATGCAAGAGTACCGAAGACTAAAATATTGATGATGCACATGAGCCATACAACACCTACTGAAATTCCTTTATAAGAATCTTAAATATTACTAAACTAAATACCAACTCCATCTACTTCTTTTTTAATAAATACATTTGATGCAAAGCTCATTCCAGTTTAGGAAAAAAAGCTTGCAAAGGTTTTTGCTGCAGAACTAACTCCATCTTAATTAAAAAAATTAATCATCATGTACATTATCAAATAAAAAATAATTCCAAATATATTTCCCATCTAAGCCTATTTATTTATTTATTATTTAAAATATAACATTAATAACTTTAAGGATAAAAACTCAATAATATTTTATGCTAAATAAAGTATTCAAAATAAGAAGCTTACAGATGAAAAGAATGTTGTAATAAATATAGATTAAAAGATCAGAGAAATGCAAAATAAGTAGAGCCAGATAAGAATAAGAAGAAAATTTGAATTTTTAAGAACAGAAGTGCAAAGAAAAATTGTTTGGAAAAAGCAAGTTATAAAGTAGATGAGCCCGTAAGTAATAATCCAACTTTTGTAAAAAGATGAATCTTTCATTCCCATAACTTTCATGCCTTCTCTAATTCTTTTTTCCTTCTCAGTCAGCAGTTTCTGAGTCATTTTTAAAAACACGTAAATATATGGTAAGACGAAGAATGTATTTGAGGCATTTTGCATAACTTCTTAAAATGAATCAGACTTATAAGGTAATGATTCCTAACCAGCCATTTATATTTAAAACGTAGGGTTCGAACTTGATCCTGCAACGCTTTTGAGAATTTCTCTGTCTATTTTAATTATTTTATTTATGATATTTCAAAAAAAATAAATATTTTTAATTAGTTTCAAAGCAAAATTTAAAATATTTTTTTAAAAAATCTCTTTAACTATTAAGTAAGTAAGTAATTTAATTGAATTGCTAGTTATTATTCAAATAATTTAATTAGTTAGTTAGTTAGTTTGTTAGCAAATTCTGTATTTTTAGATTTATTTATTTTATTTAAATAAGTAAGTAATTTAAAAAAATATTCAGTTAAAAAATCCTCTAGGGAATGTTTCTTTCATTTAATTAATTGCTTATTAATTTAATTTGTTTAAATTTTTAATTCCATATTTTATTCAGCTTTCACATCTTAATTTTTCTTGAATTCTTAAATTCCAGAGTGGTCAATAAATTGTTTTTTGCTATTTGTGTTTTAATAATTATTTTTTTATTTAATTATTGGAAAAACCTTTGAGCTTAATGAATGATATAACTATCAGTTAATCCCCTTAAATTCTAAAATTTACTATAACAATAGTGCTAGCATTTTATCTTAATTAAAAATAATTAGCCTTAATAATTTCAGGCAAAAAAGGTTTGGAAGTCTTTTATTTACAATTAAATTAAGAAGAAGTCTTTTTAAATTATGAATCAATTTATTTATTTATTAATTAATATATCTATCAATCTATTTGTCAATGGAAAATTATATTTTCTACGCAGCATAAATAAATAAATATGTTGATTATTCTCGCTTGGTTTTAATATAAAGTTAAATGATATTTTTACCTATCCAATTTTGTATTTACAGAAACCCTGATTGGAACCATGGCTTAAAATACTATGAATACATTTCTTCAGTTGTAGTTGATTAATTTTACCCATCTTCTTGAGGCACATCAGGGTTATCGTTGTATATAGAATTATTAAAGTAAAGAGAATATTTGAAACTTAGAGAAGAAGCATCAAATACATTTATATATATGCCAAAGCAAAGATCATTGTTATAGCTACTACTTTTGATATAGGATAATATTTGAGATTCGTCTTAATACTACTTGACTTAGTATTAAATTGCTTGAAAATAACTACTTATTTATGTATATACGTTTTAAGGAGCTGCAAGCGCAACGTGAGAAGAAGTGCTGCAACTTTTCATAATTTTTATTTTAGGATTTGTTTAATATGCTTGTATGAAAGAGCTCGCATCAGGCCATAAGGTTCGCTAATCAGGAAGGAAATTTTGCTATTCAACAGTATCTATTGCTACACTCTTTCTAAATATAACTAAAAATAATGTTGTAACAATTGGAATGAATATTTCCATGCATGACATGCATTTGTTTCTTTTCCAAAGTATCCAATTCTTTATTAAAAGAGCTTTCAAATGTATTTCCATTTTTGCAAAATATTTTTAACTTAGATAAATGCGAATTTAAAATGCTAAAAAAAAAAACGATATGTCCTTCCTTTTTAGTGTTAAATATAGTTTTTTTTTTTATTAATTATTATTTTGCAAGCGATTAAATTTGATATAGTTAATTAATTTTGGGGAAATGTAATCTTAGCTAATAAATAAATGATCTAAATGTTTCTTTTTTTACGTTTAAAAACCATTACTTTGAAAAAAATTTTTGCACTAACAAAATTATGTAAATTCTATTTTTTTCTGGTTATTTATGACAGAAATCGAATTAGTCTATTTCAATTATTATTGATAGCAGTCATTTAAATTCAAACTGGTTTATTTCAAAAAATTCAGTAATGGATAGATAATTTATTATAGAAAACTATTTATTGAGCAAGATTATTTTTTATAGGTTTATACAGAATTTACATTAAGTATTGCAGACTAATACATACAAATTTTAATTAATTTACTTATAAAACAATAAATATTTTTATTTAAATTCTTTTTTTAAATTTAGTATTTGAATTATTTTTTAGAATTCAACAGATCTTCTTATAAATTACATTTAAACAAGTGCTAATAAGATCTTATTTTACAATTTCAAAAATAAGAAAATCGAATATAGCCTTTATTTCTAAAATTTTAAATTTTAGCTCACTTTTTGTTTTGCTACTTAAAATTAAAGCATGCCATTAAATTATTGCTCATTTTACTCTATTTTTTTAAATACAATTATATTATTTTAATAAAACATATTAGCGTAATGAATTAATTTGAAAAATAATTTCTATAAATAATTGTCTATCTCCTTAAAAACTATTTGAAACAAAAATAAAATATTTTTATTCTGAAAACTTTCTTTCAAGAAACAAACAAAAAGAGTTTTATTTGATACCAAATTAGTTTCTGGGTATATAAAAAAATGACTAACTTTCATATAATTAATTATAATTAATTGTAATTTTTGAGAGTTAATCTTTAGTTTTAATATCAATTAATTTTTCTAGAAAAAAGAATAAAAGTATGATTCATTCATTCATTTATTGAATTAATGGAAATTAATTCACATTTCAAATATATTTTTTTAGAATATTTAATGAACTGATTTCATAAAAATTTTATATTATATTTAAAATAATAAATTAAAATTACATATTAAATTAACTTTGTCTCTAGTCTTTACATTTATTTACATGATTTTAGTAACTCATTCCTAGTGTGATCTTTATCTTTCTTTATTTTTTTATTTATTAAGTTATTAGTAATTTATAAAATGAAAAAACTCTCAATTTTATTATTAATCATGAGTTAATTGCATAATAAATAATTAAGAATAATTTTAGTGTTCAAAAATTTAGACTGAAAAAAATTTATTTTATGAAAAATAAACAGAAAAATAAATAAAAATTAAGAAATATTAATTGATTTATTTATTGATTAATTAATTAAATAAATTACTGATAAGGTTTAATATGATTTTTTATACTGTTTGATTCTCTCGGTTAAATCTTTTATAACATCTGACTCCAATAATATTTTATCAGAAATTTCTTTAGCCTTGAATTTGATATCATCAATTTACTCTTCTAGATTAATGATATCTGAAGCTATATTTTTATCCTCATGCTGAATAGTGAGCTTTTCTGAATTAAGCTTCTCTAAATTCTTTCTAAATTTATTATTTTCATCTTTAAAATTCTACTTAGATTTCTATAGCTTAAATATATCTTCTTTTACTAGAGATATTTCTTTTTTAATTTCATGAACATCTTTTTAAAGTAATATTTTCTCCCTAGTTTTTTCATCTATTAATTTTTAATACATGTCCAATTCATTCTGGTGCTTTGTAAAATTATCAATCATAACCTGATACTATTTCTATTGCATTTGCTTCTTTTACTATGGAGTCCTATTTGTAATAACATAAATCATAACTAAATGGCAATGAAATTATAATTAAAGCAATAAATATATGCTAACATTATTTTTTTAACAGTAAAAGTAAATTATATTAATAAATTTATTTATTTATTTACATATTTAGCCTTTAATGTGATTTCACAGGAGTATTTATGTTCATAAAAGTTTCTTAATCAATTTTACTAATAAAACACTAGCTGCGAGAAAGTATATCAGACTTTTTTATTTATTTTTTATTTTTGTTTGTCGTAAGTCACTTAAAAATAAATTAAATTTAAGATAAAATGGTACTTTTTTGACAGGAGAAATATCAATTTTTAATTATCCATTTTATGTTATTGATCTCTAAGTCCTACTTGATGCAAGAGGCTAAAAATTATGTTCACTATATCTATTTAATTATTAAATTGCATAAATTTTTTTATCAGTGATAAAAAATAATCAATTGTACTTTTTAAAAGGAGAAAGAATCTTATGGACAGCATTCTTTTAATCAAAGGTCATTTATCTTCTTGGTGTTTTGTTATTTTCTCTTAATACTTCATTGTTATTAGGATACTTTACTTGTTATGTAATTTGAATACTTTTGCTATTCGGAGTTTAAAGTCTCTAATTCTAAGGTATGCTAAAGCTCATCACATCCTAAAGTTCACTGTTATTATTAACTGAGGATGTAGTTTACTTTTCTAGTTACTAAGTATTTTAAAACTAACTTTATGCTGCTAGCCCATTAAGTCTCAATGACTTGTTTAACATAGGGTGATTTTAGTCTTTAAAAGAACTTTATGATCAAGTAAAAAATAGACAAGAAACTAAAATAAAAGATTTTTCTAATCAAAATTTAATTAAATATACAAACAAATTTTTTTGATAAATTAACCTTTCTGTTGATAAATAAATAATATTAACGATTATATTTTATTTGGCTCACAAACCTTCTACAAATAACAACCAATAATTGAATTTTTAAATTAGTCCACATTTATTTACAAATAAGTAATCATTTATTTCATAATATTTATAAATTCCTATAATAAAATTATAATTTGGGTATTTCTTTCAATTATTTATTCAAAATATTAAATTTTGCTATTGAATTACAAAAATATTTAAAAAACAAATAAAAAAAACCAAAAAGCATACTCTATGAATACATAAATAAATAAATTAACATTTTACTTTATTTTTATAGATTTATTAGTATTATTTATTTTTAATTTGAGTATTTCTTTGAAAAACAATTAGAACTAAAATGATTCTTCTCAAATATTATTAAAATATTTTTTAAATAATTAAAAAAGCTTATTTAAATTCTTTTTAATAATATAATTTTGCTCAAGTTTATTGGTTATTAGAAGCAAGTATTTTAGCAAGATTTTTTAATAAAAGATCATTATCATTTAAATTAATAATGTACGGAATTATAAGCATGTATATACTTTTTAGTGAATAAATAAATCTTATATTCTTAGATGTGAAAATAAATATATTTATTTCTAATTGCTTATAAAAAAATGCTAATTAAAAGTTGAATTTATAGTAAATAATCAATATGTTATAAATAAATAGATAGATAGATCAATAAATATATAGCTAAAATTTGCCTTGATTTTGTTTAGAATAAATACTATAAATAATTTAATTATTTTTGTGAAAATAGAGCCTTAGATAAATAGAAATGTTTTTTGAAATAGCTATGATGATATTTAAAATTATTGAGTTATGCTCTTATGAAAACTTAAATAATATAAAATACTAAGTTTTTAAACAAGATTTAATGGAGATTTAATAAAAAAAGATGTGAAAATTCTAATAAATAAAAAAACAAATATTTTCTAATTAATAAAAGGAGTTTGATATTGTTTTTACTACTTGTTTGATAGACAAAGTTAAATAGATAGTTAATTAATTAATTAGTTAATTTGTAAAAAGAGATTTCTAATATTTATATTTTATTAATTTATTTACAACCAAGAAAGAATTAAAATTGACATTATAAAAAAACTAAAAATAAGGACAATCACATAGACTAATTAGTATAAAATTTACTTATTAGCAATAAATAAATAAATTAGTTTATTAATTAAATAATATCTTAAATAGAAGTAGAGTAAAACAAATTCATAAAAGGAAATAAATAAATATTCATATAAAGGTTATTAATGATTTAAACTAAAAGAAATTTCTTTAAGATCAAAGTAGCAATATTCTTTGGCTATAATGGCAAAGGGTACCATGGTTCATAGAGCTAAAAGGACTAAAACATTAAGACTATAGAAAAGTCATTGTTTGAAGGTTTGATAGACTCTAAATTGATTAGTGAAACACATATGGGAGAGTTAAAAAAAGCAGGTTGGGGAAGAGGAGCTAGAACTGATAAGGGAGTTCATGCATTATGTAATGGCGTTAACGTTAAGTTGGCTATTAGTGAAGAGTACCTTATGAGAGGTAGTCCTCTTAGAATGGATGATAAAAATCCTGAAGAAATTTAAAAGGAAATATAAGAAAAAAACGAAATATTATTAGAATCTGAACAATATAAAAAACCAGAAGAAAACTCTGGTGAATAATAAAATGCAAATGGTAATTAAGCATCTGAAAAAGAAATAAAATCCTAGGCTATAGAAGAAGAAGCTGCTGATAATGATTAAGAAATAGCAGAAGAATAGGAAGAATAAAAGGAAGGAGAAAAAAATTTAGAAGAAAGTAAGAAGGTTGAAGATATGACTGAAGAAGAGAGATAAGAAAGAAGTAGAAGATTACAATAAGAGGCTGAAGAAAACAGAAAAAAGAAGGAAGTTAGTAAGGCTCATCACAAATAACTGTAAGAATTTGCTAACGAAAGAAGAAAGCATATCGATATAGATAAGATTATAAATGCATTAAACAGCAATTTACCAGCAGATATTCGCTGTGTTTCAATTAAACAGGTATCTCGTAAATTTGATATTCGTACTCACTGCAAATACAGAGTATACGAATACTTAATGCCTCTTTTTATGTATCAGAAGTATGATGACATTATAGCAGGTACTCCTATGACAGAAGAATTTGAGTAAAAAACCATGTAAAGAGTTTCTACATTAGCTGATAAGTTCAAAGGAACTCATAATTACCACAATTACACAAGATAAATGAAAGCAAAAGACCCTCGTTGTATGCGTTATATTTTAGACATGAAAACTGAATTAATCACCAACCCTTAAAACGGAATGAAATTCATTAGATTTACTTTAGTAGGATAGAGTTTTGTTTATCATTAAATTCGTAAGATGATGGGTATGATTTGCATGATGATTTAGGAAGACTACCCTGACAACTTTATGGATTCTAGCTTTTTCCATAATGTCATGCGTATTTGGCTTGCTCCTGCCCATGGTTTATTCCTAAATCGTATGAGATTTGATAGTTACAACAAGAAACCTGAAATCCCAGAACCTATTGAATTCGATAAGATTGAAGAAGATCGTTTAAGAGAAATGAGAGATATTATTGAAAAAGCAGTCATGAACGAAGAGGATGTTAATGCAATTTACAAATAATGGATTAAAGATGTCAAAGCAGGAAACGAGCTTGCTGAAGAAAATGAATCTGTTTCAGGAGATATGGATCAATGAATGAATGAATTTAATTTATTTCTGATTAATTTAAAAAATAAATGTTAACTTAGTATGTATGTATGATTGGTTTTATGTTTATCTTTATATGAAAGCTTAATTACTTACTCTAATTACATTAATAGTTAATTTAGATGATAAATCTTTTCTAAAATCAGTTAATACTTTTAGATCATAAAATATATTTTTATGATCATTTATTATAAATATTTTAATTTAATTTGATGAGAGAAATTCTAAATTAATTTTATAAATATTTATTATTGATTTCAATCAAGTCAAAAAATAAATAATTTGTTTCATATATGAAATTTTTTTCCCAATTAATAAAAGGATTTGTTTATTTATTAATATTAGCAACAAGTTATTAATTTATTTATTCATTAAGAAATATATATTTTTAATTTATGTTTATGTAGAGTTTAATTAAATATTTAAATATATCAATCAAATCATCCTCTTAATAAATATATTCATAAATATTATTAATTTTAAATAGTATAATTAATTAATTAAGGTATTGTTAGAATACTTAATACTTGTTAATTAATTAATAAAGTTAATCAATTAATATTTATTTAAAATTGGTGAAAACAAAGTTAAGAATATATTTCTTAATTATTGAAAGTTATTTTTATTGATATTAAAAATAAATAAAGAAAATGGTTTAGTTAACAATTTATTAAAATGATAAAAAAAAATAATAATAATAATAAAAGAGAAAAATAAATAAGTAAGTAAGTTTTAAAAGGATTAATTTTTGTAACAAAAAATAAAATAAAATAAAATGTACATTTTTATTTGATTAACATAGTTATATTTTTGGTTTTAATTCAAATATAATCTTATTAGAGGGTGTAGTAATTATATCTTTCTGTATTTTAGAAAGTTTCATTTAATTCTTTAAACAACTCTTCGGGATTAGCACACCCTTCTTATAACTTTTGAAGAATAATTAATGGCCCGTATGTAAGTAGGAATAATAGAATTTGTTGATATTCTTAGTCGTTACTATATTTAATCTCAGTTAATAACTTAGAAACCAAAAAATTTGAGTTTAGGTTTTAATCTTCTTAAATCATTTCTAATATTTTTTGTTGATTCAAAGATATTTATTTTACATATGTTTGGTATAATCTATTAAGACTACCGTTTATCTTATTAAAATATCTGTAAGTATAAAAAAAGCTATTGTAAGAGACCAGTACTAGAATTTCTTAATCTTGAGAATTTTAAAATGATGTAAATATCTAATTTATTTAAGCTTAATTTAAGTGTGTATCGATAAACTATATTTAAACATTCCTTAATAAATTAGAATTCATGACAAACTAAAAGAGAAATTCCTTTTTATGTAATTATAATTAGTTAAATAAAAGCTATGCTATTTCATGTGTTTTGTTATCTGAAAATGTTTCAAATTCTTCCTGAATTTTTCCATATTTTTTAACAATTTCTTGACCAATTTTTTAATCTAAAAACTGTTTATTAATCGATTTATTACATTTTGGGTTTTGTTTCCATGAAAAGAAACTTTATGTTTTCTAGATATAAATAAAAGCATTAAAAGAATTATCAATTATAATGATAATATCCTAAGTTATAGAATCTAAATTTTCAAATTCTTTATTTTCATAGTCAAAAAATAAAACTCTAATCTTGTATTTTTCAATCAAAAATTTTATCAATTTACTCCTGGATTCAGGGTTGTAGTAAATTTGGCAAAACAAATTCAAATTGAATTCAAATTTTTCATTAACACAGTTAGAGGTGTTTCTTTTGATTTAATTTCTAGTATAAGGTGCTGCAATTGTTTGACTTATTATACTTGATCTGTCATATTTTTAAGAATAGAAATGTTAAGAATCGTTACCATTTTAAGAAATTTAATCAATCTAATTTGTTTATAACGTAAGTGAGTTTTATAGTATTTATCTGTTTTATTACTGAGATAAAAAGTTATTTTCAAATAAAAATTCTTTGTTCATTAAAGGTTAAATATCTAACTTTTATTCATTAAATTTTTCATTAGACGAAGAAAAATGGTTGGGATTCTGAATAAAATTGTTGCTGCTATTATCATTAAAAGGATTATTTTCTTTTTATTAGGATTTTTATACAATATCTTCCATTTTTACCAGGCTGCTTGAAATAGGTGATGAGTTTATATCATATTCAGTTTTTACTTCTTGTTCAATTTCCATTTTTAAAGAATTATTTAATAATTCTGTATTTTCACTTAATTTATTATTTAAAGTCGTTGGCAGCTAAACCATTTTAGATTCATTTTATAATTGCTATAATTACTTACTTGTTAAACTGAGCTCATATTCGAAATTATTCAAATTAGAAACAATAGATTTTTTTTGGCTATTAACTTACAAACCTTCAATTATGCTATTTTAGTTTATTATAATGTTATTCACTTTTGTTTAGCCATTTTATTATTACTGCTATTATTCGTTCACCATTTTTGATAAGCTCTCGAGTTCTTGCTATTTCAAAATAATTTTCTGATTAATAGACTCAAGTTCTTCTTATTTTGAATAAATTTAAGATTAGAAATGTTGTTGTTGAGCATATTATTGAGATTAATTTATTAATTACTAGTTTTACTCCTATAAATCATTTATTTTTTATAATAACTAATCCTTTTCTTCGATTATTTTTTGATAATCATCATGCATTTTATTTAAATTTGTTTGAAGCTCTTCATTTTTTTTGATTTATTCTTCTATTTAATTTTATGCTTACTCATTTTTACTTAAATCGAGATTCATTTACAAAGCTTTTTATTGAATTTCATTAAATTAAATCTTTTGATTTTCAATTTCATCTAATTAATTCATTTTGGCTTCAATTTTTTCTTGTAATTCTTTCAAAAGGCATTCCTTCTTAGCAATTTATTCTGAAAACTCATAAATTTAATTTTGTTAATGAGCTTATTATTTACTATGAGTATCTGTAATTGCTAAGTTTAATTAAATAACCTGCTTGTTAATTTAGTTAATTTGCTTGTTAAGAGATTTTATGTCATTTAAAATAAACTTAATTGATTCTGAGTAGTAATCTTTGCAATTAAAAAGCTCATCTTATTCAAATTACTCACCGTCAATTTAATTCAATATTACTTAACTTGGGGATATTAAAGGATTCTAGAGAAGAGTGCTAGAGTTAATTTGTAGTTACTTGAAAGAATCGTAAATAGGAGCCATAAGCTACTTTACGTCTTCCACTTAAATGGAGTTTTGGAGTTTATTTTCGATTTCCATGTATTGATTTTTTAATGTTTAACTGTTTTCTTGCAATATTTTTGATTATTCTTCAGCTTAAAGCAATTTCTATTTTAATTCCATGAGCTAAATTTCTTACTATTTAATAAATCTCTCTTTTTCTTGCACTTAATTAAGAATTTCCTATTTTTCATTGCAAATTCTTAATAAATCTTCTTTGTTATGTATTATCTTTTATTAACTCCTATTTAGCTCTTAATTAATTGATTCTAAATTTTCTTATATTTGTAAAAGTTCTTGTTAGAGTCCTTCTATTTCTTTCTGCTTTTGACTCAATTTTTAATCAGAAGCATTTTACAAAGCTTAAATGTATTCCTCGTTTTATTCATATTATAAATTCTATATTTTCTGATCAGCTTGCTGATTAATATTTTTATTATTTTCAAGGTCTTATATTAGCTTCAAATAATTATTTTAAGCCTCTTCAAGCTAAAGTAATTTATTCTACTCATTTTAAATCTATACTTAATGTTCTTACTTAATCTAAGCAATTTCTTACTCTTTAATTTGATTTTAAGACTTGAGATTCTCCAATTCGTTTTCTAATTCAGAAATCTTTTGCTTAAAATTTTCTAATTCAGCCTTTTCGTTATCTATGTCTTGCTAAATGTTTAATTAATTCATTCTTTTTTCTTAAATGACTTATTCTTCTTCATTTGCATCTGCTTATTTTCTAGAGATTTAAAAATTTTCAATAATTTATTTGTATAAATGCTGCCCTACATTATTCTACTAATTTGGTTAGATTTCATTTTATTATTCATTTTAAAAGTTTATTAGCTAATTTGAAGGAGATTGATACAATTGCTATTGAATCTGTTGCTATTATACTTCATAGGGATTTTAGATAATTTAATTAGATATTCCCTCTACATTTATACCTATATTTAATTGGAAATTTAGTTTAAAAAAATAAAAAATAAAATGATTAAATTAATCTGATTAAATTTCATTGAATAAGCTTAAATAAATCATTTTGAAAAAATTAGAGAAAATAAAAATTTTATTTTGAACAATAAATTGTTTTTAAAACTCAATTAAACATTTTTTACAATTTTTAATTAAGATTTAAATTTTAACAAAATTAAATGTTTTTTTTATATAAATTTGTGAATGGATAAAATAGAAAAAGCTAAAACTTAATATGTTACTTTGGTTTAGAGGAATTTTCAATTAATTCTCTATTTCTTGAATAAAACTTTAGAAGTTTACTAAAAGTGTAGGATTGAACTCTACGAGAGTTGTTTCTTAGCTGACTCTTTCTTTTAGGAAGCAGCAGAAATGATAGAAAAGGATTTCTAGTTTGTCTCTGATATACCTTTCGTTAAAGATTTGGGTAAATAAGAACTAAGAATAGTAGGTAGTAAAAGATAAAATAGGCTTTGTGTCTTCTTAAAATTCTATCTAGAAATTTTAAACTCCAATTGTGAAGTTGCCAAAAATTTTTCCAACTATGAATGCTGTTAATTACTAATCTTTGTTCAAATAGTGCTGGAAGTAGCGAATGTTGACATTCTTAGACTATCTATTCATAATTACATTTTAATTAAGCTCATCAATGTGCTGATTATAGTATTTATCATAGTCAACATTTAACCTGTTAATAAGTTAGCAGATTTCAAAAGCAAGTGAGAAATTATTCACAGTCTCTGAGAAATTATAAAATTTTCCAAAAACTTATGCTTCAGCAATAGTGTTATAAACATAATTTTTAAAGTCCTCACAAGAAAATGTAGCAAGAGAAATTTCTTTATTTTAACATTATTCATAGAGATAGAAGAAGAATAAAGTTAAGATATGGTTAAATTTTCCAATTTACTTGATCAAATTTAACAGAAAATCAATAAATTCTTCCCTCTTGTCCTATTAAATTTTCATATTTTGCTTAATGATTAATTGCAAGAAGCATATTTTATATTTGACTTGATCACCTTTAAAATTTATAGAAATTGTATTTTCTTCACCCTGCATCATATTTTAATCTGAAAAACTGTTATAATTTCTAAAATAAATGCAGAATGCTTTAAAATTCAAGTGTTTTAGGTCTTCATCAAGTTTTAACCATAAATCCTAAATAATTTTCTATGCATTTTTCACCATAGTATATTTTTCTTGCTGAAGACTCATAACTTCTTTCAATTTACCAAAAGTTATTTCATGAAGCATCAAACAATATTTGCTTTTGGCATCATTTTTAACCTATTCGAAAGAAATATTTAATATAAAAAAATAAAAATCAAATTTTTTACATCAAATTTAGACATGCTCACAACAAAATAGCTAGACCACTCTTTAGACTTAAAAGCCAAACTTTAGATCAAGTCTTTAAATGCGTTAAAGTAGTTAGTATCCATGATCTTCTTAGATTCTATTTATTTTTAAATTTTAATAATTTTTTAGAGAACAATCTTTTTTCATTATTTTTCGTTCGTTTTATAATGGAGAATAACGTTTTTATTTTTATTTTAAATTTAAACAAATATTTTCATTCTAAAATCAATGATCATTTTTATTAATTATTGAATTATTTTATGAAAATTAAAAAAATAAATTAAATATTTTGTGAAAATTAAAAAAGTAAATAAATTAATTAATTTTGATATAAGATATTTATTTTAATTTTAGAAGAAAAAGTGTAGATTTAAAGAAATAAAATAATTTTTATTTTGAGATTTATTAATTAATTTTGCTTTAGTGACTGATTGATTTACCTTCATTTTATTGGTGGTGATTCTTCTATTGGAATGAGATAATTTGTTCATTTTTTTATTATATTATTGAAGCTTTAACATGGTCCAAGCTTTATTCTTCTTCTAAAAGCGTTTTTAGAGACTATGGAATTGTTTTTTCTGCAAAAATGGACACAATTTGGTTGATAGTATGGTCAAAAAAATTTAAAAAGAAAATTGGTTGTAAATTTTATTGATTTTCACTAACTAAACTGAGACCTCTGTTGATCTCTTAACTGATTATATGATTCACTTGATTATTCAATTATTCAAAATAGTCAATAGTATCAATAATATTTTGTTGGGCTTTCCTGTAATAGATAGCTCTTGCAAGCCTTTTTAAACATTTTTCACTTCCATTTAAATACTTAGGATTTTCTTGCTTGAAGGCTGATTTCCTTTTAAATAATAAATAAATAAATTGAAAAAAAGCTATAAATTTGATATTTATTTATTTACTCCACTTTTTCTATGTTTTATTGCGCCTAATTTAATTTATTTTTTATTTAGGTTAATGACTATGCATAGACTTCTAAAATGTTGCTGAGTATATTTTCGTTGAAATTATCTGAGGTTTTAATATAGTAATTTATTACTTAGTTGATTCCCAAATCCATAAAATCTTTCTCTATAATGTTAGCATCATTTTTTTACTGCTAATCTTACATTTGTTGCAAGTGTAATACATCTACCTAATTAGCATTTGTATTCAGATCTTTTCTGTTTATGTTTGTTTTTTTGCACTCATCTATATATTGTTCGACTGTTTGAAATATTATTTCATTAAGCTCATGCTCACAGATGCACCTAAAAATATTGCAATCAACGCCATTTAAGATACCTGTCATAATGTACTTTTAAAATTGTCTTATGATTTCTAGACGGTTAGCCAAATATATATCTTTTTCTTTGCATTTTATAAGAATGTCCATAAATATTTTAGTCAAATCTCTATTTGTCTCATTAGAAAACTTATTTGCAAGGTACTCACTTATCTTATTAGTAACAATTCTACTACTTTGCTACTCATTCATTCTGATTGCATCTATGAAGGACTTTTAAAATTAGATAAGCTATTCTTTCGTCTGCTTGTACATATCATCATTATTAAATAAAGACTAAACTGATTATTTTAATTCATCATACTTTTCTTTTAACTACTTAACATTTTCCTCTGTTAAAATCTGATTGCAACTCTGATCAATCACTTCTATTTCTTGCTAAGTCATACCAATTTCATTTTCTAAATTTAAATTCCTTACATCAAAAATATTTTTATTAGAATTCTCTCTGGCAGCGGCAGGAGACTTTTTTTTGTTTCTTTAATTATCTTTTTTTTATAGATATTTAAAAAAAAATAATTTATAAAATATTTTTACTAATTTTTCCATATTAAATTGTTTATTAATATTTAATTAATATTAAATATGCTTTATTTTTTCAACTAGTGTTTTGGATTGTTTTTAAGTAAAAAATTAAATTTTGAATATTTAACTTTGCAAAAATAAACATGATCAGATAATAAAGCAAGATGCTTTTTAAACGAATTAAATTTCACCTTAACAAACAATCTCAATGATAAGATTCTTTTTAAAATGATTTATTTGCATTTAAATTTATCACTTTCTCACAAAAAAATAAAAAAGTATTATCAATCATTTCAACCAAAGAAATTAAAATTTTATTTTGTTGCTAGGATTGCTTTCAAAAGAAATGGAAAAAAAAATTCATAAATTATTGTTTAAAAGTTTTTGTTAGTTACCTTATTTCTTTTTTGCTGCATTGCTGCTTGGTTCAGATGCTTTTTATTAATAATCTCCTATGTTCTGAATGTCATTCTAAATATTTTGGTTAAAATCTTATTCCATTTACATCTCCTTTAACAAAGCCTCTTATAATTTTTCTTACTGTATTCTCTCGAACTCCTATTTTTACAGCTCAATCTCCTCAGCGCTAAAATTTTCACCTAAAAAATCAAAATCCATTTTTCTATTTTTAATTTTTCTGTTTAGACTTTTTTCTTTTGAAATTAGAAATTTTGATATCTTCTAAAACTATATTAATTATTTTTTGATAGCTATTCGACTTTTATATGTAAAAAATTATCAAACTAGATTAAAAAATCTTTTCTTCATCTAATATCAAAAAAAAAGAAAAGAAACCAATTAAAAAATAAATCTAAAATATTATTTTATAATCGAAAATAATATGAAAAATATAAAATAAGTAAATAAATATTTTAAATTATTCTCTATCAAATATTTAATATTTTATCCATTCATTCTTTAGTTTGTTATCAATTTTGAAATGATTAAAAAATTCTAACTTAATAAATGTTAATCAATCAATATATAACTTTAATCCAAAGTTATTAGAATATTTCTAATTAATTTCCTGTACTTTTAGTTTTACCTTTAAATCCTCTCTCGATTCTTTAAAGAAAATCTATCAAATTAAATAAAAAAAAACAAATTAATCAAGAGATCACATCACCTTTTTAATTATTTTCCGTCTATTAAAATAATTAAAAGATTTAAATCTCAAAAAATCAAAGTACAAAAAAACTAAAAAATACTTTTATTTATCTTAAAACACAACATTTCTTGGTTATTTTTATATCGAAATAGTATTTCTATCTAAATAAAAAAATAAAAGAAGAAAGTGAAGAAGAATATTTGTTAATAATCAAAAATAAATTTTATGAATTTAATAAAATATTTGTAATAGACAAAAGAAGAATATAAATATTATTTATTTATTCATTTAAATAAATAAAAATTAAATTAAAAAATATTAATTTATCAATTATTAAAATTAAAATTATTTTTTTGGCTGATTATGTCTCTCAATAGAAGACTAAACACTTAATCTTTCAAATAGTACTTTTGCATAAATTAAATTGCTTTATTAATTGAGCTTTCGATGAAAATACTATTAAAAGATTTTAGATCCTTATCTTATGCAGAGACATTTAAAATGTATGCATTTTAAGAATAATCAATTTTTAGGTGATTAATTATGGTTTGATTTGAAAACCCTTCAAATAAAATTAAAAGTGAAGAAAAAATATATTATCCCAAATCTACACAATTAAAAATGGCAATGTTTTTATTCTAAAAATCATAAATTAAAATATATTTTATTTAATTATTTTTTGATTCTCTTTATTCGTTTATTATGTATGCTATAACATTTTCAAATATTTATTAATTGCTTAGTTAATTTCTGCTCTTAAATTATTTTAAATCAACTGGCATAACCTGAGAGCTCAATTTAATTTTACTTATTGAATTAATAGGCATAGTTATGCTCATTTATTGAGAGTATCTTAGTTATTATGGAAACTATAATTATATACTTAATATATTCTCCCTTAGTTTGTTAGTTAAAAATATATTATTTTTATTTTCATCTTTTTCTAAATTGAATCCAAACATTGAAATTAATATTTATATAATCTTTATATCAGAGTTCATTATTAAATTGATCATTTCTTCATTTTCTATTTCAACTTTTGAAAGAAGATGTACTTCTATACAGTCATTTAGATCAATTTAGTATTAACCATTTTATGGTTTATGTTACTAAAATTATGAGTGGTTATCTAGAATAAGTAAGCATTTTTGTTTACTTTAAATATACAACAATTTATTAGTACTATTGTAATACAACCCATCCTAATTTTCAATAGGTCTGTTCGAGTTGTACTTCATAACTTTGTTTCCAAACACTTAAAGATTATATAAATTTTAGCATTTATAAACAAACTATAATTCTTAATTGAAATTTTAAAATTATTACTACAATAATTCAAATTATTCTTTTAAGCTTAATTATTAATTTTAATTTTTTTCTATATAATAAATTATAAAGCGAATCAATCCAGAAAAGCAAATTGCCTTTTAATTAAATATTTGCTTTTAGATCAAATACTTAAAAATTTCGAACTCACTCTGTGATATTGGCCTCATGTTTAATTTTTCATAATATAGAGACAAATCAGTCACAATTTAATTGAAATAACCTGGCTATTTATTAATTTAAGTATTTACTATGATTTTAGCTTATTTTGTGGATGGTCTGATTATGAGAAAATAATTAGTTTCTAAAAATATAATAACATAATGATTATTGCTACTAAATTTACTCTTCTCATTTAAATTTTAAAGAATTTCATAGGAGTGATTCTCTAATTAACATTCTTAGTTAAATTTTTATAAAAATTTATTAAAATCTTAAATTTCTTTCTTCTCATAATTAAATTCTTCATCTCTACTATTTTCTTAAAAGACAGTTTTTTCTTCTAATCTAAGTAAATTCTTATTTTTGAATATATTCTATGAAAAGCTGCTATTATCTTAATTCATCATATTTTATTAATTCCCTCTGTCTTCTTGCCTCTTGGAGGAATTTTCTAGACTATTCTAATTAGATTTTTTTTCTTCATAATAATAATTGAAGTCTGATTAGATACTTGTCATGCTCATTTACGAAGGTTACTTTTTAAATTCATTTGGGTATACTTTTTATCCAATTTATTTGCATAACAACAAAGTTAGCTCTTTCTTTTGTATTAAATTTTATTAAGCCTAAGTAAATTTATTTTCTTTAAGGTATTAAATGAGAGTTTTAACAGTACTTTTTGTTAAAATTTCTTTAAAGCTTACAATAAATTAATTTGAAACAAAATTTAAAATTTCTTATATATAGGTTTAAGACGTTTCCATTTTAATTTCTGATTACTTTGATTTAATTTGCTTATACTCTCCTATTATTTTCTTAATTTTATTTAAATAGGCATTAATTTAATAATCTAAGTAATAAGTATTAACAAATTCGATTATCGGCTCTTACAATTCGCTGAGTTCAATATTTTATTTATAATCATTGATCTAATCAATATAACTCTTAATATTTTTAATCATTAAACTATTGATTTGATCCTTAAAATCTTCAATTGGACCATTTATTACTCTTTTATATAAAATTTCTATTTTCTTGTATAAGATTAAAAGCTCTATCTTATTCTGATCATTTTCATTATATTTTATAAAAAACTAATTTAACAATTCTATCAAATTTTGTTTATCTTAAGAATTTATTTAAAAATCAGTTAACTCTATTGATTTTCTAATAGAATGAACAAAACCCAGCTATGTTTTCTCAAATAATCTGTTTTATGGTTAATTTAAATCATACAAGGAATATACCTCTTAACCTTCCTCAATTAATGTCTCAAAAGGTGAATTATAAAAATTTTAGAAAGCCTATTTAACCAAACTTTGTAAACGCTCCAAATAACTTTATAAACACTGTTATGGGAGATAAATCCAATTTTAAGGATTTAACTGCTGACTCTTTTCATCAGAGACATCTTTCTTATAAAAATACAAGTTGATGTCAAATTTCATTCTCTTTTCATCGTACTTCACGTTTTAGTACACAAAATGCAAATATTTTTTGATTAGAAGTTGGTAGTCTAAATCAAATCTTAAAAGCAATTAAAAATTCTTTAGCAGTCTATCTATTACAAATGTATTCAAGTACTTATAAATTTTCTACTCTGTATTTTAGTAAAAACTTTCTAACTCTGAATAAAACTTTAAAAATAAATCCTTTACACTAAATCTATTCAGCTCATTCAATATATTTTATAAAAGGATAAATGTTGACTCGCTGATCACCTATTAGTACATATCATTAACTATTTAATCCTAGATATTTATATCATTTCTTTCTTGCTTTAATTAATTTTCAATTTTATTGTCAGATATCATGTTTAATTTATCGTATTCTTCATCTAAGATATCATCTTCCTCAAAATCTTATTTCTTAAGAGCTTAAACTAGTTAAAATCTCTTTTAAATCGTGGCTGCAGCTACTTCTGGTGGTTAATATGCTTAATTTAAATTGTCCTACTTTATTTCTATATTATTATTATCATTAAACTAAATGCGATTCAACTGATTATTATTCATTATTAAAGAATCAAAAAATATAAATATTTCTTTTTGCTTTTCTTATTTTTTTATTAAATTTAACTAAAAAAAATGAAATATAATCAGAGTATTTGAATAATTTATTTGTTAGAATATTAACTAGCTAGCTATTATTTCTTTTTATTATTTTAATCAAAAATAAATAAATAAATAAATGAATATCTTAATTGATTACCAAATGTTTATCCTATACTAAAAAAATAAAATGTTAATTTTACAAAATTAAAAATAAATACTATCTAAAATATAACATAAACTTTATAAAAAACAAATATAATTAATTCAGACTTATTTTCAAATTAGATGAATTTAAATTTTTCAAAGTGAAGGTTTTTGAACTCTTCTATATTCATTCCATAAATCAACAACTTCCTTATCAAAATAGGGGAAACGTTCAACATAGCTTTGAATGACACCTTCGATTGTTTCAGGGTATGTTTTGTAGCTAATACTTCCTTGGAAGTCCTTAAAGACGTTTCCTTATAACTCAATTCTTCTTGGCTTTTTGTTGTCAATAACAATTTTACGAATTTCAAGGAACTTTTCATTGACTTTAGAGTAGTTGCCGAACATTTCAGTGGCAGCTTCGATATCAGCAGTAGATTTATAGACTTACATCTTAAGTAAAAACTTTCTCATAGCTTCCTTACCGGTTGTAAGTACTTGGCTTCTATCAACCTTAACCTTAATCCAGTCTTTGTTAGCATCTTCAGGATGTTTGGCCTTTTCAATTTCAACGAATCCATTACCAGCTTCAAGCAAAACCTATAATAATGAAAAAAGATAAATAATGTTAGCAAATTTAAGTTAAGTAAACAAATTTATACCTATAAAATAACCCATCTGCCATTAATGTGAGCTTGTCCCCATTTCTTGTCATCTGCATTGTAGAATTATAAACCAATCAAAGCTTGGTAAACGAATTCTAGGAAACAAGCAATGGAGATTTCTTCCCAATGTTGAACTTATTCAGGTTAAAGGACTTCATAAGCCTCCTTGAAAGTTGAGAAGTAAAGGGCAACTGAGTCAGCTCTGCATTCTTCGTAAGGGTTTGAAAGATTTTTGAAAACAGAACCCCAAGTATCATTTGGCTTATAACACTTCTTGATACCCTTTTCATCTTAATTAAAATGAAAAATTAATAAAAATAAGTAAGTAAATAAATAAATAAAAGATGTTTGAAATTTGTTTAATAAATCTCTTTTTTTATTTAATTAATTTAATGCAAATTTTTTATATTATTAAAAATCGAAGATTAATCTATATAAACATATCTGTCTGATCAGGAATGCACACAAGATTATTTAATAATTCATTCAATCAATTATAAATAATTAAAATTATTAAAAAATAGCCAAACTGTTTTTTAAATCAAAATAAATAAATCTTACTTGTCAAAGGATTAACGATATTTTCAGCATCGTAATTGCCTTCATAGAAAAGCTTACCACAACCATGACCAAGAAGTTCGTGGAAAATAACCTTGTGGTAAATAACTGCTGGGAAATGTTTAATTTTAAGCTCAATATCTTCCTTATCCAAGAAAAGGAGTTCTTTAGGGCTTGTGATACAGTTTCCTAAATAAACATTCTTAAAGCCTTCTTCTTGTCTAATATCATCATAGTTAGGGATGTTAATACCTTTATTAATTTTTAATGCTTATTAGTTTCTATAAATAGCAATTTATTTGTTTGTTTACCCAAAGGAGTGCCTGAGCTACCAAAACTGAGGACACTCAAACAAGTAAAATCTGGCTTAAGGAAAGAATCCTTTTCAAAATCAGAGGGCCAAGGCATCTTCTTTAAGAATTCAGGAGCCTTAGAAACGAAATAGTTAGTCTTAACTGATCTTTCTTTATCAACGACTGCAACAAAACCTTCAAATTCAGCTCTTACCTTTTTGTTTACAAAATAAATTCAATTTTTAAAATAAATCTATCTTTTATGCTATTCAAATAAATCTAAATTTTATTTAAAAAAGAAACATTTTGATACGCTTTATTTTTTTTAAATTTTACTATTAAAACAATACTTTTTTTCTACTTTTAAATAGACATTTAAAAAAAAATTAAAATATTATATATATTATTACTTGGCGAGGATCAAGATATGTTTCAATGAAGCCGATATTAGTTTCAATGATAGGGCCTTGATCTTTAACCCAAACTCTTTGAGAGTCTTTGTGTACTTCAATGTCACCATTGTTGAAATGGTTTACATAGTGGATAAGCATTTTTTCTTAATTTTTGTTTGCAGAGAATGGGATAGCCTATTCTAGATGATAAGAAACTCTTCTTAATAAAGGAGAGTAATCACCATAAATAAGATCTATTTTTTCACCAAGATAGTAGTGAGTGGTTTTACTTCTATTTACAGAGGCAACTAGGACGCCGTAATGTTTATCTCCAAACTTAACTAAACGAGTGTTCAAAGTATCAACATTTAAAACTTTCAAGAAGTCGTCTAATTTTTCAATTTCTTCCTTAGTCAAATTGCCTGAGTAGTAACCAGTGCTACCTTCGACAGGAGGATAACCAATCTTGCTGAGACGACCTTCGTGACCTTTAATTTAATATAAAATATTATTAGTCTTTTTTTTTAAAATTCCCTTTTTAATTTATCTTTCTGATGTTAAAAATCATCTCCGATTCAATATTTTTATCAATCCTTTATAAGAAAGTATGAAAAAGTAATAAATAACAAATGGCTACCAAAAATGAAAGGTTGAATATCTGCATAAAGAGAGTCTATTAATTCCTTGTATTGCTTGTAATTGTGAGATGAGGATAAGATTTTTTAGAAGGATGCAGGAGAAAGTTCAGGAATGAACTTGTCATCACCAAAGCTATTAAAGTTACCGCAATTATTGAATACACCTGCTGAATAGTATAAAAATTTGGTGAATTCTTCTTCAGTGACTCCAGCCTGCATAGTAAAGCAATAAAATGGTTAATTGGTTAAATATTCATTTTAATTAAATCAAATAAAAATTATTTATTTACATCTACAGCTGATTTTCTGAGTTCTTCAGTAGATTAGCCTGAATGAGTCAACTAGAGAATTGTGAAAAGAGCAGGAGCTTCGTATGATTTTTAGAAATAGCAAATTTTTGCTCCTTCCCATGAAGCCTTGCTGAAATTATAGGAATATTCCTTTTCTTTGTCAGAAAGCTAATTGAATTCTTAACTGCAGAAAACGCTCATGATGGGAGACTTATCGCTAATGAATGGCTTCTTTACGCTCATGATTCTTTATAATTACTCTTTATTTATTTATTGATTTATTTATTTATGTTTGTTTGTAATAATAATATATTTTTTGGTGATTAATGTTTTTATTTTTAAAAAATCTAATTTGTACAATTTATTTGCTTACAACAGAAATTATATTATGGCCTGATATTCTAAAGGATTTATTCCTTAAACTTCTTTTAGAAAAATTATTACGTTTTTGGTATCTTTCTAAAAATATTTATCATCGATTGATTAATCTTTCTTTGTAAATTTATTTATTTATTTCTTCTAATATTTATTTACTTTTTTCAGATTTCTAGTTAATTTCTTTCTGATATTTAGTAAATATGAAAGATTCATCAATAGCTAAATCAATTAATTCCCTCAAAATCTTCTTTTTTATTCCCACCTCTTCTTTACTAGAAATAGACCTTGATACATATAAAAAGTAGAAAAAAGTATAATCAACCCATCATAAAATAGTTTTCATCTTTTTAAATTATCATTCATTATGTTTTTGAATCATTTCTTAAATTTATAAATTAGAAATTAATTCCTTTTATTATTATTTGTGCTATTTATTAGCTGTAAAAACATGAACACTTAGATATCATAGCTTTTAATTTATAAATTTAAACAATTTTTTATAATAAATTAAATATTAATTAATTTAATAAAATACATATAAAAATTAAAAAAAAATATATGTTAATGTTGTCATAAAATTTTATTGCAATTGATTTTTTATTTTTCAATGTAAATTTTACTTGAATAAAATAGAAATTAAAGGGATTTATTTAGTAGCCTGTATAAATAAAAATCACTTTTATTTGTTAACTAACTTTCAAATATATATTAACTGATATACCTAAAGTATATTTTATTGAAACTACCATTTAATATAAATAAATTCTGTGATTATAAACAGTCAATAAAACAAACACCATCTGTCAAGTTTTATTCAAAATGCTCAAAATATAAATTAAGGTAAGCAATAAAAAAATTAATATAATTCATTTTATAAAATAGCTTTTGATAATAAAATTATAAAAATAAATTATATTTTTTTGTATAAAAATTTCCAAAATTCTATTTAAATCTTAAAATTGGGAAAAAAATTTAATTAAACATATTTAAATTTGAGACTAAAAATTTATAAAAAGTTTAAAAATAAAATAGATGGATTCAAATTTAATTTAAGAAATTCTTTAAAATTTATTAAAAAAATTAAAAGTGAATTTTGTAAATTTAAAAAATAAATAAATAAAAAGGTATTTTTCACTTAAGAATAGCTATAATTTATTTAATTTTTAATCAAAGATTAAATTAAAAGCATGACATAAACTTAATTTAATTTAAAAAGATTAATTGTAATAGACATAAATAAATATTATAAGTGCCTTGATTAAAATATGAGAATAGTTTGTTTCTTCTTTAAAACAATCAATAATAATTTAAATTGAATATCTAAGACATACATAGATTGGTTTATTTATTTTTTATTATACATATGTCCTTGCTTTGAATTACAAACAAATGAAATAGATTAAATAAATAAAATAAATGAAGACTTTATTACTAATTAATAATTCTTATTGATAAATTTAATAAATATGTAGATTTACATTGATTAACTGTAATTTTTTATAGTAAGATAAATATATAGATTGCAAAGATAATACTGTAAGTATTTTATTTAAATAGAATGATAGAATTTATTTTTTATGGAAAAATAACCAATCATTTTGAGATAAGAAAATAATTAATTACAGATGAGGATTTTGATGTATGATTTCCTTATTTAGATTTGTAAATTTAATATCAAATTAAATAAAATAAAAACACAACAATTATTTTGTAATCCAAATAAATTAATATTTAGTCTGCTTATTTTGTTAGTGGGGTTGTTTATTTGTTTTAGTTTCTTCTACTTCCTGAAAAGGATATCTAATTACATTATCAAAATATCTATCTTTTTAACAACTTTAAAAGAAAGAATTTATCTAATACTTCCTTTTTCTAAGAAAACTTTCTGAAATAATTATTGCTTAGATAAATAAATATAAATAGAATAATAATATAATTGACTGCTTTAATTTTTAAGAATACCAAAATATTCTTTTTTCCCAGATTATCTAACACTTTTTATGCTAAGCCTTGGAAAGTTAAAAAACTTTTAACCACAGGATAAATAAATTTAGTACGAGAAAGTGGTAATTGTTATATGAATGAATATATAATCTTTTTAAGTAAATTGGAACTTTTGAATTAGTTTACACTCAAAATTTTTTTTCTAAATTAAAAATAATCTATAAGGTAAAGATTGTAATGAATGATCGATTGATTGATTGATTGATTCTTCAAATTTTTATTTACTACAAAAAAAACTAAAGTTTTTTTCTTTTCTTATGTAAAATTTTTATGAAAAAGGATGTTTGCTTTTCTTTTTCTAAAAATTTAATTCCCAGTTTCAATAGAATAATCACATCTTTTTAGCATAAAATCTAGTGTAGAATATAAATAAAACTATTATTTATTTATATATTATATCGGAATAATATCAGTTTATAATTCGTCTTATTTAGGTTTACTCATTCAAGTGTAATTAATGATAATAGTTTCAGAGTAACTCATTTATTTTGAAAAACTTCTAATGCAACCAATCGTGCAATGCGCTCTCTTAGTTTTTTATTTTTAAGTTTATCGTAAGTTTTGTTGTTGCCATTTAATTTGATCACTTAAAACTTAATCATATATGATCAATTTTAAATTTTTTATTCTTATTTTTTTTGAGTATTTGTTTGGATTCTAGTTTATATAAAAAATGGCAATGTTTTTTTTTCTTTCAAGAATTTCCAAAAATAAAAATTTTGGAAGAAGTAAGCAATCTATTTTTTGTTTGTTATTTTTTAGGATAGCAAAACGAAAGGTATTGGGAATAGTTAGAGAGAGCAGAATTCAAATTTAGCTTCGCTTTGCTTCTCTTACTTTTTAGTTCTAGCACTTTTTAATGTTAAATAACTTTAGTTATAATCCATAAAATTTAATATGATTACAAGTATTACAATATTTATTTGCAATAAATGTTAATTTGATCATCAAATAGCCAAAGAAGGTAACCTACCTTTACCTAAAGCATCCATTAACAAATTATTTAAATCTACATAATTTTCTTAAATGATTGGAATGAACTCTTAAAATTACTTATCAAATTGATCGATAATTTTACCAAATTACAAATAAATTCAAAAGTAAAAGAAAATTATTTAAAATGAGTGAATTGTATGAATTACTCCTCTGCAGCTGACAGAAAAATCTAAATTTATTTAAGAAAATAAATTAAAAGATTTACTTGTATCAAGACAAACGGTTAAAAATACTAAAATTTTTGAGAGAGATATAAAATAAGGTGCTAGAATACAATTTCTGTAATTTTATTTATTTATTTTTTGTCCTTTGTGAGAGTTTTTTATAAGGTTAAGCTTATTTTATTTTCAAAATAAAATTTTCAATTTTAAAGCTTACAACTATTTTTTTCAAAATAAATTTTATATTATGAAATTTAAGTCATCATAAAGTTGTAAATTTTGCCTGATTTTTTATGGTTTTAAAGGGTAAATAAAGGAATTAACACAAGAAGAAAAAATTATGAGATCAAACTTTATATGTATGTGATAATAAGAGTTAAATAGTTTATCAGAACAACAGTAAGTTACAATGGATGCCAAATTTCTAATTTTATAAAAATAAATAAATAAATAATTAATAGCCGAAAGACAACTAACAAACTTTATGACTAAAAAAATCTTAAATTAACAAACAAACACGGATGATTATCACATTTTTTAATTATTCGATAGATAGATATATAGATAGATGGAAAGATAGTTAGCTTTATATATAGTATCTTTTGCAAATTTATAAAATATCCATCAAATTTTTAATTTAAAAAAGTGGATTTTTATAATTGGCTGGTTAGGAATACTCTTTTCTATTTAATTATGAGTTATTTTCGTTTAAAAGAAGGTGCTTTCTACCACACTTTGCAAAAGTCTAATTTAAAAGAAAATTGTCTATCTTGCTACTTTTATTTACAAGAAAGATTGAGTGATCTATCTTTTTATATTAACATTATCAATGGGCTACTATCTTATTTGTACATTTTTAATAAATGAGGGTGAAATATCTCACTTTAACTTATAAGTCATCAAGTTATATAATATAGAACATAATTAATCACAATCACATTTAGTCACACATATTTTAATTTCATATGTGCTTTATTTACTTTTTATCTGCTACTATTTGAGAACCGAAAGAAAGTACTTTTACAAAATATTTATCAATCAATTAATAAATATTTATTTATTATTTGTTATACCATTCATTTGTAAAATAAATTCTTGAACAAGTAATTTTGTGTCCTATGCAGATCACTTTTATATATAACCAAAAACCCTGATTAAATAGTTACACCTATAAAGCAAAACGAGAGTTTTGAATTAAAGTTATATTGAAATTATGAATTATTTTTATTTGAATGCTTTAATTTGATTTTGTTTGATATTTGTAATGGAATACTTTACATACATTAAAGCTTATTTTAACAGAATTGTTATTGATAGAGAAAATTTACCTTTTCAAGATATGGGAAAATATAAAATGCAAGTCTTTAATTCGAATAAATCCACAAGTATGCTGAATTTTAAGCTTATTTTATAATGTTATCGATTTAAGAGATAGAAATTAAAGGCTAATTAATGTAAATCCAATAAAAATAAAATGTAAAATCAGTATCTATTTAATGTATACAGAAATAGAGTAATAATTATAGATCCGCTAAACAAATAAATAAACAGGCAAACAACGAAAGTAAAATAATAGCGAACAATAGCGAAGGTAAATTTAAAATTCATAATCAGCTATTAATTACAATATTAAAATATTTATTAAGCTATTTTGTAAATCAGTAAATACATTTTTAGAAGCTTATTGCATAATGAAATATTTCTGTAGGAAGGTAAGGGAAATTAAATATAGATTTTACGAAATATTTAATATCTGAAAGCCAAAATCTTATAAATTATTGGGATAGTAAGTTAGAGATTTAGAAGAAATTTGTAATTCAAATGAACTAACAAACAAGCAAATCATAATTGACTTAAGCAATTAATTAATAGAAAAAAAAAATAACCAATCTGTTTATCTGTTTTTCGTTGGATAACTATCAAAATTTGTGTAAATTAGAAGTGATTGATTATCTGTAAAATAAAATTGATAAATCTGAGCTTAATAAAGTCTCTCCTAAATTTATAAATTGTAAAAATTGTAAACTGCTAATTCCTTTGAGATTACCATATAAACACAAACATCCTTTTTATGAATTCTAAATAATAAAATAGTTTCACAAAAAAGCAAGCTTATCCTTATAAAAAAAAACCTTTTATAAGGAACAAGGTTAGCAAATCAACAATTTTAAATTCTGAAAATTGATTTCGCAGATATTTTTTTTGATTGGGGAGATAAGAAAACAAAAATTTATTGTAAAAATATTATAATTTATTGATAACTTTATTATCTTTGAGTATAAATATATTTGCATTTGATTCTGGTTTTTTAAAAGAATTACCTTAAAACCATGTCATTAAACTCATTCTAAATAATCAAACGAATAAAAATTACAAAATATATATGTTTACCCATTGAAATGATTCATTTTTTTTCTAAATTTTTATTAAGTAAAGCAAACTGCATTTAACTTTTAAATTAATCCAAAACTTAATGGTCGTGTTTGTTTGTTTTTTTGCTTTATTTTTTCTTTGTTTTTTTTTTGCTCAAAAAATATTAATATATTATTTAGAAAAAGGGGGTAAGTATATTTTAATATGCTAAAATTCTATTCAATTGGTTTGTTTTTTCATTAACTTTTTTCGTTTAATTTTTAAGGTATTACGGCTCTTATCTTGAATGACCTAAACTGCTAAGTAATTATAGTTTAAGCATATTCTCTGTATGAGCGTATGAGAAAAAGTAAAAAAAATTGAGAATAGCATAAGCAAGATATTATTAGATGTTAATATAAGTTAAGTAAGAAAAAAAGTGAATCAGCATTTATATAAGTTATGCGATCAATGAAGTAAGTAAATTTTTTAAGGAATTAATCAATATAACAATCTGTCTGTCAATATATCAGTCAATCAGTAAATCAATGAATCAGTCAATCGATCAATGAATTAATCATTCTTTCATTCATTTATTAAAAGAAAGAAAAAAAGAAATAAAGAAAGAAAAACTAACTATAAGTGATTGAGCGAGTAAATGACTTTATGGAAGGATGAATGGATGAGTCTATGAACTATTTATTTAATTAATCAGGAAAGAAAAAGAAGGAATTAATTAAAGAAAAGAAATTAATAATAAAATAAAGAAGAAAAATAGGATAGGATAGTTTTTATTGATTAATTATCTTTTTGAAATATTAGGAAAGGGAAGGTGTAGTCAGAAAAAGGGAAATTAACTTAACGAAAAAAAAGAAAATAAATAATTAAATAAACAAACGCTTTAGATAAAAAAGATAAAGTAAAAGATAAAATCAATACATAAATAATTCAAACTCTAATCAACTCTAATTTGGTATACTATTTAATTTTAATTTGTGCAAACAATACATGCTTTTATTCTAACAAACTTTCCACATAAATGTAACTTACTTATCCTCGCCAAACTCAAAAACAACAAATTTTTTTTTAACCCGCATGAAATCTCAGCATTTTCAAAACAGAAATCACCCCGCAATGCTGGAAATTTAGAGCTCATTAATTAATCAGCAAAAATTTCTCACTTCCCCATTATCGATATTAAATTTAACTTAAGCTGCACAAAATTTAAAGCTAACTTTTAGCTTCCATGAATGTCAATATTAAAGAAGTTTGTCTTAATAAAATATTAATAGGAAAAAGATTTTTGAAGTAAAGCACACAATTCTACTTACTTTCAGAGTTTACTTTCATAAGCAAAAGGCAAATAAATATTAAAATCATAAACAAGAGTGCTATTTGCAAAAATAAATTCATTTTACTAAAATTTTACCAGTCAGTCTGACATTTACTGAAAACTCTTTGATCTACTTGCAAAAATAGTAAGTTATTTGCCCCTTTTTAGAATCGTTTAGTTGCAAAACAATCACAGTCTATATATTGACCCAGGAAAAATGAATTTATAGCTTCAGTATTAAAATTTTAGCAATCCCCCTCACAGCAACAGCTCAATAAACCCATAACAAGTAATTGGAAAAAATATAATTTCTATATTATAAATTAATCTAGCTATTTATTATTAATAATCTTTTAATTTAAAATTAATTACTTAAATTTTTTACTGAAATTTAGTTTAGTTATGGTAGCTCCTCTAATGTCAGCTAAAACACAGGCTTTGTAGGATAAAACGGCATGATCGAGTCTCCCTCTTCTCTTCTCAATCTTAAAATGCAGGTAAAAATCCTTTCAATTTATTATTTTTTTAGCTAAGCCTTCAAAACATACAAAAAAAATGTAAAAAATTTCCTAATTCTCGTTCATTTATTCATTCATTCATTCTGACGTAATCTCTCTCTCTCACTCTCTGATTTGCGAACTAAAAACCTAACACTATTATAAATAAGCTCTTGCCTTTCTTTCTTCACTTTTAACCTTGTTGAATTTTTCATTTAAAAAAAATCAAACTACCTACCGTATATCAATTTTTGAGAATGATCTTGCGAAAAATTACATTTAGATCAAGCAAACATTCTTTGTTTTAAACATATTACAAAAATACTTAAGAAAAACATGCTTATTTTCACAAACGTAGAAATTAGATAAAGTAAAAAAAATAAAAATTCAAATTTAGCCACTTTGGTTACTAAATTTATTTTTATATAGTAACAAATCAAAATTGACGCACTGCAAAATGCTAAATTTAACCCCTCAGAGCTATTTTACAAGATTATATCCTTAAAATAATAAATTGAAATAAACAAGGAAAATTAGCATATTTTGTGTAACATAGATATGCCTTAATTTCATTTCTTTTTTAGAACACAGAGATAAATTTGATAAATTGAATGAAACAAATTTTGTTTTGCTAAATAAATTAATGATGTGAAAGGGAAAAAAAAAATTAAATAAATAAATAAATAACTCAATTCTTAAAGATTTATAAAATTCTTTCAGAATACTTTTAAAAAATAGAAAATTTTCAAAAAGGTGGGAAAATAAATTAACAATTTTGTCATCATTAAAATTCTAAGCATTTATTTTTGAAGATTAAGTAAATAAATAAATAATTGACTTGGTTTGGTTTATTAAGTTATTAAGTGCATTTTTATCTATTTCAATTATTTGAATACATTTAATTAATAACTTGACTATATTATTAAAGTCTAACAAAATTAATTGCTTCATTAAATAACAACGCTTCTGCCTCCTTTTATTTTGAAAGGCGTATATTCCAAGCTAAATCTAAATTAGTTTTTTTACTGCCATCTTTTTCTCGGTTGGATGATGCTTTTGAAATAATTCTACTAACTCTAAGTTAGAGATCGATCAAACAGATTTATAAAAGCAAAGTAGCAGCATAACTTTATTTTTTAACAAAAATCAATGTAAGCAAAATACAAATAAAAATCGATTATTTTAATTGTTATTGATTATTTTTGATCAAAACAACTTTAAATACACTAGCAAGTGTTATATTTTTAAAAAAGATGATCTATCAATTAAATTATAATTTTTTATTATCCCACTCTCTCTCTCTCTACCAAACTAAATCCAATTTTAGAAGTTTCAGCAAATTAGATTATTTAATAAATTATAATCATATCAAATTTCTATTGATTTTTTCGATGCTAGAATTATAAAAATTTGTTAATTGAACTCATCAGATTATCAAAAACCTTCAAATATTTATTCTTCCTTATCACAATATTTTGAAATCAATGTTCTTGACTAAAAAATTTATCCACTTTCTAATCTTATTCATTCCTTAGACCAACCGCGAAACAGCTTTTATAAGCATAAAAATAGCCTCGTTATTTTTTTTGAGCCAGTAGGTTAATAATTGATCTAAATTTTTGCCCAAAAGATAAAATAAATTAGTTTCTAGTTTCTTTAAAATGATGAATTAATGAATGATATTTTTTCGCAGCCAATATTAAATTACAACTTTTAAAAATTTTGCATTTTATTTTTGCTTGTAAAGCACCTTAGAATAAGTAATCTAATTTATTTGGAAAACGATTTCAATTTATAACTAAATATCTTTCCTTGCTTACAATCTTTCCCTGTAATTTTAATATAAAAGAACAAAAAATTTCGTTTGATTATAGAATAGATTACAAGTACTTATGATTGTCAAAGAACGAATATCATATATAATATTTCTCATAAAAAGCTCTCTAATTACAGTTGGTTATTCAGTTTCCCCCTTTAATTTACTAACTTTACATTAACAAAATGCAAAGAAACAATTCATTATAGCAAAAAGACAGCATAATAAACACTATAACATAATTTTTAATTACTGAATTTTGGATGAAAAATACTTATAATTATTATTGTTACTTATCCCAATTATGTCAAATTTTATTTGAAAGTACATTTAAGATTCTTCCAAATTAAAAGAATGAAGCAATTGGCATATTAATCTCAAATATTTGAAAATTAAATCATAAATTTTTTTCGATAGCTCACTTTTTTAAAATTAGAAGTGAGTGAATGAATGCATTTTAGAATTGAGATAACATTCAAATGTAATAAAAAAACTTTATATCTTCCCAGAAAAAATTATCAAAAATTTTAGGATGGTTAAGAATACCCAAAGACTACAATTAAATATTTTGTTTATAGAAAATTCACAAGCGTTTTGGTTAAAATTAATTCCTTATCTCTTCAAAAAACAGAGAGAAAAAATTTATTAACCTATAATTTTTGCTTTATAAGCTAAATTAAATAATACCTACATACCTATCTACCTACCAACCAGCTAAATCAATTTCAGTAAATAAAATGACAAAAAGTTAAACGTTCATACAGGTTGAATAACTGAATTAGCATCTTAAAAAAGCCCAAAAATATCTTTAAATAACTAATAAAGAACAATTTTATTTTAAAACAATCAATAAAATAATTAATTTGTTCAGTCATGTAGACAGACAAACAGTCTGCAAGATATGTTAGAGTGCTAAATTGTTTGTTTTTTAATTAATTAGTTTGTTTATAGCTTGACAATTAGCAATTTATTAATTCATTTAGCTAATTAGTTTGATGTAAAAATTGGTAGGCAGGTATCTATGAATGTGTGTATCAAGGGAAGTAAGTAGTTTGATTGAATGAGCAAGCAAATGCATAAATTAAAAAGTGAGGCAATTAATTAAAGCGAGTTGATCAAGATTAAATGGATGAATAGAATAAATAATAAATGGAAAGAAGTTTGCTTTAATTTTTGATATGTAATTTCAATGCTCGACAAAGGAACGAATAAATGAATGAATGAAAGAGTGAGTGATTTATTGATTGATCGATAAATCAACTAGATTGAAATGGAAATAAATATACTATTAATTAAACAAAGCAAAGCAAAGTAAAGCAAAGCAAATCAGCAGAAAACAAAAGGCAAAGCTAAAAAAATATTTGCAATATTTAATTATAACGAAATTATTTTTTAATTAAACGCATTATAAAGAACATGATAAAGACAGAAGGAATGTAAAGTTAATTATAAAGCTAATTAGCCATCTAGCAAGCGATGCACAACATGAATTATTTTGCCAATCCAGCTCTCTACGCTAATTAGGCCCGACTCAATAGTGAAGGTAATCTGAATGCATTAGGCGGCGTAGGCGGCATTCAGCCTTCTAGCAATCATAATTTAAATAGCACTAGCTTTTTGGAAGGTAGTGGTGCATCTTACAAGTAGTATTTAAAGAATAACAAAGGATCTAACCACTAGCTAAATGATTCTAATAATTCTCCTGGTTCAGTACCTCATAGTCATCATAACATAAATATTTCTCATTTCAAGAATAAGAGAATTATTGTCAAGCATGCCAACATAGTTAAGAAAAAGCGTCAAATTAAAATTTGGACAAGTGAAGAAGATGAATTATTAAAGAGATTGTGTGAACAAATGCCAGGAAAATGGAATGAAATAGCTGCTAAAATTCCTGGTAGAAATGCATCTCAGTGCTCTTAGCGCTGGCGTCGTATCTTGCCCACTAAAGTCCGTAAGCCATGGACACCAGAAGAGGACTAAAAAGTGCTAGAACTTAGCGAAAAGTATGGTAAGAACTGGGGTATGATTGCACAACACATTGAAGGCAAAACAGGCAAACAAGTCCGTGAGCGTTATATTAACAAGCTAGACCCTTCGATTAAAAGAAGTCCTTGGACAGAAGAAGAAGATCAGAAAATTTTGGACATGTTCTTAGAGCAAGGTCCTAAATGGTCTGCTATTTCAAATGAGCTTGTTGGTCGTCCTGAAAATACAGTGAAAAATCGTTTCTATTCACACATTAGTCGTATTTATCTCTCAGATGATAATTCCTACATAGCAAATAAAAATAGTGATAATAACTAAAAAGTAAAAGATGCTTGCTCAAACAACACCAAGAACAACGCATCTAAGAAAAAGCAGATATAAGTTCAAAAGGTAGCTGCCAAAAATCTAAACGTGATGGAAGAAGACGACGTTGATGGTGAGAACGACGAAGACGACGATGATGACGATGACGATGAAGATGATGATGATGAAGAAGAAGATGATGAGCGCTCTCATAACAATAATCATCTATAAAATTCTCAAAATATGCACAATGGTAATGGAAAGCTTGGATTGAATGCTCCAGCTTCCATGTACTCCCATATAAACTAAGCTGTAGCTAACGCGAGCCAGCAATTCGCCATGCAAAATGAAACAAACAAAAAGTAATAGACAACTTCATATATTAATATATATAAATCTTGTTTAATATTGAAATCAATATAATAATTGCATAAAAACTTAATATACTCCCTCTGACTCTCATTTATCCCATTCATCCTTTCAAATTTTAGAAATAAGGGAAGGGAAAAAAAAGATATGACAATTGCGATCAATTTTAGAGAAATATCTTAGTCAATTTTGGTTACTGAGAGATTTAATTCGCAATTAAGATAGATTTAATTCGGATTCAGGAGAGATTTAATGATAATTTGAACAAACTCCTCCTCCAGATATCTGTTATTTTTAATTAGTGCTGTAAAGCAGTTATTCGCTTTTATTTGTATGATTTCAAGATGATAGGAAGTTTTTTCTCTTTCTCTGTGGCTGTTCTATCAAAATTTAATTAATTTAATATCAATCAAGAAAGCGCTTTAATAGTAAAAGTACAAACAAAACAAAGTAAAGCAAAACAAAATAATCAAACAAACAAGCAAGCAAGCAGCTCCGAAAGCAGCACTGATAAATAATTAAATTTTTGCAAATTAGAAAAATCATTGGAAATTATAAAGTAAACAAACAAAAGAAAATTTGAAATAATAGTAATAGCTCCTAAAAATTTGAAAAAAATAAATCAAATCAAATCAAATCAATCAATAAATGAATGATTTTAAATGAAAAATAAATAGAACACAATCAATTTTAATTTAAATATCTCTTAAAATTTGATTAAAAAGGATCTTGCTTAATTTATAAGGATAGCGGCAAATAAACAAATTAACATGCATAAAAACATATATTTTTTTGAAGATTATTTATGGTTCATTGAATTAATTGCAATAATAATTTTTTAAAATTTCCCACACAAAAAATAAGATAAGTAAAAGCAATCAATTACATTTATTATAATTAACTACAAATAACACCACTAACATACTAAAATTTGAATCTGTCTGTCACTCCTAATTAATAATGAAAAAATTTATTTTTATCATAAATTTTAAGTCTTTACATTCCCTTACTCTCAATTAAACGAAAAATAATTAATCAATCAATAAATCTATCATTATCAATCTATCTACTTATTTTTTTTGCTCTCTTGTCAGATAAATCTTTCTTCCCTCCATTCCTCGTTTATTTGCTTATTTTACTTTTGCGAAATACAACTATAAATAATTCTCCCAAGTTAATAAACGAAAAGCAAAATAAATATTTTCAAATACTAATTTTCATGCAATTATAATAAATAACAAATAGAATTTTATATTAAGTTTTTAGGTTGAATGAAAGTATAAATCAATTAATTAGTCGATTATTAAATCAATCAATCTATTAATGTTTTTTCAAGCCTTTAAATAGAATTTTATACATAAATGATCATACATACAGTTTTATATGAATTTAAATTTAATTCTTAACTTTGATAAAATAGGAGGAATTAGCAAAAAAATACTTTTGCAAATAACTTGGTACATTCTAATAGCACAAATAACAATGACAGAAAGAACCTAAAGATTGAAGAGCAAGATGATTAAGATGAAGAATTAATGGAAGGAAATCCTTAAATTGAAGAAGAAGAGGAAGACAATAATAAGAAAACAAATATCAGTTTGGCATAAAAGAATAGTGAAGATGGAAAGGAAGCTATGTAAAGTAGAGGAAATGCTTTAAATCTCAATCGCTTAACCTTCTCTGGTAATATAAATGCTAACAATTTAGATTCTTAATAAGGAGATAAGTAAAACCAACCTGCAAACTCTAACTCAATTTTAGCAAGAAGAGGAATATAAGGTTAAAATATTAAGATTCCAAAAGCTGATTCTATCAACCCAATATAAAATGGAGGCGCAAATGCAAATCCTGCTAATGTTCCCACTAACAATGAAAATGAAAACAATACTTTAGCAGGAATTCAAATGATGAGCACAGGAAACTTAGAATTTATGTCTTCTACACCCTCTGCCGCTTACAATCAAAACGGTTTAAATTTCATGAATAACTAATATATGCCTTTTTATACAGGATTCCATAATAACCAAATTCAAGTAAATAGCCAAGCTCAGCTTAACTAACCTTCCAGCGCCAGCTAGCATGAAGCTGCATCTCCAATGTTTGTCTTACCTGGTATAAACTCCCCTGCACCTAGAAATCAACTACCTTTGTTCAAACCTCCTATTTCTGGAATAGGAAATAACACTCCATCTGCAATCACTCCTCTTGTTGGTAGTTCATACTTAGTCTACACACCAGGATAGTTAGGTATATCAACACCTGGTATCTTTAACTAATATCCCATGATGACTCCCTATTATATGCCTAATAAGTTTGCACCTCTCTAAAAAATAGGAGGTGGTACCTTAAATGAATTAGATAAGCTTGAAGGAGATAACAGTACTTACATGAATATAGTATCAAACAACTATCAACCTTTTGAAAACAATGGTATTTCATCTATGAATAATTTCCACTTCGCTCCTCCTACTCCTACACCTACACCTGGGATGACTTCTACTTAATTCTTCAATAGCAACAACAATAATTAAGGTGCTAATTAGAATAAATCTAATCAAAACAATAATTTTAATAATAACAATAATAATTAATAGCATTAACAGAATCAATAAATTAACCCCAACGATTTAATAGGTTACCAAACCAACGAAAATAACTCAAACAATGCAAGCAATAAGAATGGCAGCAGCATTTCTATTTCACCATAAGTTGCTGAGCAAAAGAGAGACGACAAAAATGCAGAATCCTCTAACTCAAATAATAAAGCCAATATTCCAACAACTTTGGAAAGCCTTATGAAAGAAATCAATTCCTTAGACCCTGAAAATCAAAAACTACTTGGATAGATGTTATAGTCAAAAATAGCTCATTCTCATCCTTAAGACTAAACAGAAAGCAATGAAAAATTGGTCAAAGAAGAACACACAAGAAAGAGCTTTTCAACTTACCAATGAATGCATTAAATTAGCTGAAACAAAATGAATAATCATAATCATTTTTATTTGTCCATAAAATAATTCAAACAAAGTAAAAAAAATCAAAAAAGTCTTCATAAAAATGCCATTAACAAACAAACAAATATATAAAAAAATAAAACAAATAAACAAACAAAATAAGATTGGTAAAATAGATAGCTAAGAATAATTAAAAACAATCAAAAGCTTATTTATCCATAATTAAATCATTCACAAATATTTTGGAAGCAAACAAAAAACAAAAATAAATAAAATACATGCTTTAAAAAAAAGACATATTCATTAAAACACATACTTGAATCCATTCATCGATCCATCCGTCAATCATTCTATGCAAATACATAGAAAAATAGATAGATATTTATATAGCTAATATGGACTGATACTATTGATATTAAATGAATAATTACTTGAGGCTTTCTACAGTGAAAAAAGATAATTATATATACTAAATAGGTAGGAAGGCTACTTTGAATAAAAACTACTTATATATTTAAAAATAATTATTTTATAAACAAAAAATAAATAATAAATAAATGAATGAGATAATAAAGAATTTAGTAGATGATTGACTATTGATTGAAGTGCTATCCTTATATATAAATGAAGCTTTCAACCATCAAAATTTTACAAATTTTAATAAAATTATAAAAACAAAAATTTCAATATTTTACGACTGTTATTAACTTTATAAATTATGTTATTAAATTATATCAACTAAATCTATTAATTTGATTAGAATTTATTCCCGTACTCACACAAAAACACACTACACTACAGAATTTAGCTGTGGTTTTCTATCTAATACTATTTGTCTACATTCACAGTCAGCATCGTTTAATGAATAAACAATAGAACTATCACAACTCAATTAATAATATTTAATAGTAAAAATAAATAATTGTCTTCATTAATACCTTTCTTCTTCCTCTTTTAAAACAAACTCCTCAAACTCACTGAATAAACACAAAAATACACCTTAAAATCTATTAATCACTCATTCATATATATATTCACTTACAAACATCTAATCTTTTCTAGAGCTCCTCCAAAAACAATGAATTAATTAAGTTGATAATTTATTAAAAAATTTGTACCAATAATCTATTATAATTTATAAGTATTTGTTTTTGGTATTAATATAATAATATTCTTTTTATAATCATTTTCTTTTATTTGATATTTACCCATTTTTTCTAGAAATAATTCTAGTCTAATTTTTAGAAAATTTTCATTAGAAATTTAAATATCTCAGCTGTAAAATACTCTTTTTAGAAAATAAATTTTGGTATTTGATTAATGTGCTTATTTATTATAAATAATCATAATAAAGTGTCATATTTTTTAATTTTAGAAAGTTTAATTTCTTAGTGAATTCTTTAGTAATTAATTTTAGCAATTAAAAATAATAATAAAGTAAAATACAAATAAATAAATAAATAAATAAATAAATAAAAAATAATTGTTTTATTTATTTAATTATCAAAAAAGTATTTATTTAATTTCATTTTTAATTATTCCAAGCTTTTTAAAAGCAATTTAAATTTGAAGGAATTTGATTTATTTTTCTTAATTAAAAAAAATGTAGCCAAACCTAAAATAAAACAGTGATTTAGTAAAAAAGTGTCATTTAATATTTATAAATTCATAGAGATGAGCTTTTGCTAAATAAAGTTTAATGATTAAAGTTTACAAAATATTTTTTTTAAAATAAAATATGTTTTTATTGTTTAACATAAAAAACATATTAGCATGAACGAAAAAGAAATAAAATAACTAAATTTTCCATAAAATACATTTCAAAATCTAGTTATTTAATTTTATAAATAGATACTTACATACATACGAAAATTTGTAAATTTGGTGTAGATTTTGTCATCTACTGGTAGAGAAAATTATAAATAAATATAGAAATTATTATTTTATTTTTATTTGATTTTTTCAAATTATTGAAATAATTTAATTTAAGAATGCCTGTTGGATGGCTAAAGAATTGGCTAACTGAATTGATTTATTTTTTAATAAAAACAGATTCTAGTCAGCTAATTTTATAATAAAATTAGAAATAACTTAAATAAATTAATTTTATTGGTTTATTTTTGATTGTTTTTCATTTGATTCTTTCTCCCTCACAAATATATTTCTTAGGACAAAAGGTCTTGAGAGTGCTTATCTAAGAAATTGGTCATAATTTATCTGAATTCTTCAAAGTCTATTTCACCATCTTAATTGTTATCTGATTGTTCAATTATTTTTTTGAAACAATCTATCAATTCTGTTTACTCTTAGATTCCAAGAGTTTGTATTATTTCATTTAATGAAATCTTACCGTTTCTGTCTTTGTCAAATACTTGGAAAGCTTCAAGCAGCTGATCTTAAGAGTAGGTTGCACTGCATGCTAGCATAGAGCTTATAAATTCCTCATACTTAATACCTTAAGCGTTTTCAAACATTGAACTTAGCGACTTTTAGAATATATCTTCAATATTCTTTTCACAAACTTCCAATTCTTGTTTGTCAAATATTTTAGAGAATCCTGCTTTTAATTCTTCAATGCTCAATTCACCGTTTTTATCTGTATCAAGAGCTTAAAACATTTCAATATATTTGACTCTTTCTCTCTTTGATACTACGTGAGATGCAAAGAAACCTAAAATGGTCTTTTTAAATGCGTTCTGCTCAGTATACTTAACTAGACTTTAATAGGAAATTGTAAGATCCTGAGTGTTGATATTAGCCTAGCCGAGGAATTTATGAAACCATGGATGCTTGAGAGCTTCTGCTGCGCTGATTCTTTTATTAAAATCTCTCTCTAAAAGCTTTAAAATAAGATCTTTAGCTTCGTCTGAAATATCAATCCAGCAACGATATTTAAAATCGCATCTGAATTCTTAAACTTATTCTAAAATATCCATTTAGGACTTGCCACAAATAGGCGGCGATCCTTAAATGAGAGTATAAAGGACCATGCCTAAACTCCATAAATCAACTTTTTCATTATATCTTTTATTTAATACTTCTGGGGCGAGATAATGAAGAGTGCCACATCTTTTTGACAAATAATCTCCTTTTATCTCCTCTGCTAAACCCCAATCAATCAACTTTACTACAAACTTTTATCTTGTTTCATCGAAATCGAGCATGATATTTTCTGGCTTAACGTCTCTATGGACTATATTCTGTTTGTGAGCTTCTGCTAAAGCTCTTAAAACACCATCAGCAATCTTGCAAGTTTCTTATTCAACAAACTTTCCTCTTAGTATAATATAATCGAACAAGTTATAACCATAACATCTCTCAGTGATTACATAAATATTCTAATCATCTTCGAAATATTCGTAAATTTTAAGCACATTAGGATGTGAAAATTTCTTCAATATCATTACTTCTCTAATTGATTCTTAGACAGATTTCATAATTACTTTCATCGCCCTCTCCTCTTTATTTCCTTATTTTTACTTCACAAGAAAGACTTAGCCAAACCCTCCTCTCCCTAGCATAATAAGTCTTTTACCATTGTTTTGTGAGTTTGAATCTTACTCAACATTATCATAATCATCTAAATATCTTCCACTTTTCTTCACTACTAACTAATCAGAGAGAGAAATATTTAACTTTTATCTTTCTCCGTTGCTGCCAACTAGTGAGTTTATTGGCGAACTTTACATATTCTGCATAGCTAAAGGGTTTTAAAGTAAGTTTTAATTTTACCTAAGGAGTTAATTACCATGGTTATTAAAATTATTATTGTTATTATTATTGCCATTGCTTCCATAATTATTGTTATAATGAGCTTATTTCAAACCTATTTCAGGATTCTCTTTTTCTTTGCTTGCATTTTTTGAGTTTTTTCTGTCTAAAATAATTTGATATTATTGATTCTGCTGCTGATGATCTAAAATGTCTTCTTTTTTAGCTTGTTGGAGCCATGCAATTTATTAATTCTACTATTTATTATTTTGCTAATTCAAATTTTGATTATTTTGATATAGCCCGCCTAAGTATTTAAAAATATTAGATTAGTGAATGAATATTAAATTTAAAATATCTAATTAATTATTAAATATATCAAACAAATAAGCAAAAGTAATTTGTAAATAATATATTTGTGTTTGTATTACTAGGAGTTATTTATGATGGATTACAATCATTTTGAAAGTCTCCTTAACAGTTGTCATTGTTCATTTGAAAGCTAAAATCAACTCCATTTATATGGTTGTTTTGGCAATTATCTTATAAGTCTATTATCCTTTTTTCTGATTTCTTATACACATTTTCTGCTTTGTTTACTTGGGGTGCTCCCTAGAATTAGTTTACTTCATTTGACTAGGATTATTTAATTATAACTCTTTGCTTTTTCGGCTATCCAGATGAGTTAGAAAGAGAGCTAGAGGAGTTATTATGTACTGCAAAATTGGGTTCTTCCATGCAAGAAGGAAAATAATTTATATTTAAATGGATGCTATTGTTATAATTATTCATTTCGCCTAAGTTTTCTGTATTCTACTAATTCATTTAAAAATTTTATGCGCTGCCTAAGCTTTTTTTATCTTGGTTTTCATTACATTATTTATCTATCTTATTTAATTTAATATTGTCTTCTGAAGTATTCATTTAATTAGTAATTTTAGAGTCGCTCTTAGTTAATTAGCTCTTTTATACTATACCATCCTATGTAATCTTATCCCCTATCTTTAGCGACTGCTTTTATGATTAAATTGGCTTTGGAGTTTTCTTGCTTCTTGGAGTGGATACTTTGCTTTTTTATTATGTCTATTAGTTGTTTTAGTCTGATTTTTTTAAGTTAGTTCCCATTTGAAAGAGTATAACTACCTAAAAATTCAAAATAAATTCCTTATTAAACTGATTATCTTCTTCTGGTGTTGCCTTTATCCGTGCCTAAAGAATAAACTAAAAATGCTAATTTTTGGAACACTAAATCTCAAACCCTTTTATTAAGTTTATTCTAATTTAATTTGCTATATTTGGCAATTAATCTTTGTTTTTTCTTTTGGAAAATATTATATTTAATCGTTTAGTATAAATTAGGCAATATAATCCTTTGAACAGCATGTAAAATTTAATAAAAAGCAACCTTCTAATTCAAGTAAAACAAAATATTTGTAGAAATACACATAAACATATAAAATTTATACATTAAACCAAATAACCTTAATTGATTGATTGATTAATTAATTTATTATTACCGTATCAATCAGTATCTTCATAATAATAATGCTTTGATATAAATAGAAGAATACAGAAGGTTTTGATAGATATAATCAATAATTATACAAAAAAAAATACATTAAATTCAAAGTAAACTTTCTATTAAGAAAACAGAGTCATTTTAAACATATAAAAAAGTCAGCAAAAATGGATAAAGTCAACATTATTATGGTAATTCTTTCAGCTCAACAATACTCATTTATATAGATTAAGCAATCTTAATCATCCATTCATATTTTTAAGAAAGAAATACTCAATTTAACATAAATATTTTTATAAAAATAGAATAATCGCTTCTTCAATGTTGGAGTTAGAGCAAGTCTATTACTAGGAACTGTTGTCCTCTTCGGCTACGTCGGTCTTTCTGATAAAGTTTTTAATCCTTATTTCGAAAATAAAGTTGAAAGAGTCTACTTTACAAGACCAGACTATGCTAACAAATCAGTGATATTCTACTAGAGGGATTAACCTCATACTATCAGAGAAGTCTGATTGAACTTACTAGCAAATTTAAAAGTAAATATCAAAAAAAGCAGTAATTAAATAAATAAATAAAAATAAAAAAGACACTCTCATTCTATCATACAGTATTCGTTAGTTGTACATAGTGCATATCTTTCTTAAATTATAATAATTCTATCATTCCCTTTAATATAAAACAATTCTTCAAATTATTTTCGATACGTGATTTAAATATTGCCAACGATAAAATATTAATCTCATCTAAAAAAATGTTTATGAATTGCAAACATACCATAGCTTGCAAATTAAAAATCTTTAATTTTATTAAAATATCACACAATTATTTTGATAAAAAAACAATTGATGAATTACCAATTAAATATTTTACTAAATAATTTCAATATTTTGCATGACAAATTGTTTGTATTATATAACTTATATATATAAAATTTATCATTTTCATAAAAAGTTTAAAATTAAATTCTTCCATTTTAAATCATTTTTTTTGCTTTAAAATAAAAAAATTCATGTTTGTGCTTGCTACTTATTTAAGAATTTTAATTCAAGAAATTTCTACTTTGTTTTTGAATTATAAAGATTTGGAAATAAATTAATTTCAATGCGAGAATATCAAATATTTACTGATAAATAAAAAAAGTATTGCATGGTTTACCAGTTTAATTAAAATGGTTTGTATGTTTTTTTGTTTTTATCTATAAGATTCTATTATGAAAAAATATGTCTTAGATATAAAATTTGATTAATAATTTTTGTGAAAATAATATTTTTATTAAAAATGTAATTGGAGAAGTATAAATAAAAGAACAAAACAAATGAATTTAATTATGAGATATGCGAAGAAATAGAAATATTTGAGATGAAGTGAGTGACATTAAGATATTTACAAAATTTTACTAATTTTTTAAAAGTACATAAATAGGCACATTATTCAATATTATTTTTACTTTATATTGTCTTTTATAGAGAAGTGTAATACAAAAGAAAACAAGAATTTTATTTAAAAATAACATGAACGATAGATTTAATTTTTAAAGTTAGATTGAGCATTTACATCTAAAGTACGTAGGTACTGGTACATAAGAAACTACAAAGTGGGAATGGGGAACTAACATATAAAGAGACTCCCTCGCTTCTCACATAGGTCATCATTCTCGTTTGCAATATTTTCTTGTAGCAGAAAATGAAACAAGTTTAAGAATGAAAAATAGATTTATAGATAAAATGATTTAGCCTTGCGGACCTCCTCCTCCTGAGCGTAAGAAAGGGGATTTAAATTGAGAAGGAATACAAATAGCAATAAATTAAAAATATATTAAATAAATCAATAATAAAACTGTAATATACATTTGATTATTCCATAAAATTTATGCTTTTTTAATTAGATTAACTAAAATCGCCATTAAGAAATCTAAGCAATCCAAAGATAATTAATAAAAATTACTTAAATTTATATAAAATATTTATGATGCCAAAAATGACTAAAGTTTTTTGTATTAAAATTTTATACTTTTTATATGTTAAATCACTTAAATTCGTTTTTGTATCCAATTTAATTTCCATATTTCAAAAATAATTAGAATTGATTTATATGTTAACACATTAATTAACCTTATAAATTAATTTATTAATTAATTGATTAATCAATTAAAAACAAAATTTCCTAGACACTAGATTTGTAAATAAAAGTAAATAATTTATTTGTTTTCAATATTTATCGTTTGTTCGTTCATTCGTTAAAAATAATTTCTTTCAGATTATAATTATTTTATATTTATTTTATTTGTTTTTCATTATATTTTTCAGTTTATTGCTTGGTTTTCATGCTTTGAGAAATTCTTAATACTCTTTCTAAAGAAAATAGTCTAACCAACAACCTTGCGTTTCTCAAAATCTTGTATTTCCTTACTAATTTTTTCCATGCGTTCCTTTGTAATATGAATACTATTAGCCATGAGAGAGGCTAAGAATGAGAATATGCAAAAGTGAATTACAAACTGGAGAATCAGCATTGCCTAATAAAATTATTTGAATTCATATTTTATTTAAATTTTGATAAAAGAAAAATTTACTATCAAAGTAAATGGACTAAAAACTGCATCTTTGACTAAAGGAGGCATTTCTGGTTGAGTCTGTAGTCTAATTCTAAGTTCTTGTATGAAACTAGAAACTAATTTGATTTTGATTTAAAAGCACTAAGTGTATGTTTTTAAAATAATAGAAAGAATTTACAGAAAGTAGCCTTAACCTGAAGGAACATTGAATATATAAAACTATCATGATATTAAATAGAGGAAGATATAAATGTCATCCAACTGAAAGATATAATTAACAACATAATTATAACCACAAATAATATAGCCCAAGATCTTTTCACAAACTATTGGTTGAACAAATAATTAAATCAGTTAAATAATAATCATTTATTGAAAATATTAATCAAATAAAGTTAATTTTTAAACAATAAAATTAGCTCAAAAACCATTTTATTTATTGAATTATAAATTTTTGTTTTAAAAATAAAATAAAAAATAAAAAATAAATAAATAAATAAAATTTACAGAAGTCATAATTTATGAGTATATCTTGAGTGTAAAACTCCAAGAAGCAAGATATTTAGTAAACGAAAGCATGAGAAGTAAAGTGTTAACTGCAGTGAGCATAATAATGATATATTCATCTTAAATATAAGTGTCAAAATCAACATAGTCTTCATTATCTGGTTTGATTATTCCTTCTCTTTTACTTCTAAAACTACTGTAAATACCTGATTGCACCAAAAGTAATATCAAAGATATAATATCTAATTTTTATAAATATTAATTAGGTAAGTAAGTTAATATGATTTTAATAGATGAAAACTCTTTACTGATGACATCGAAAAATTCTGGTCTTTTTATGAGTATATAAATCCAACTAAAATCTATTATTTAATATTGATGATCTTAAAGCTTGCTTGAAGAGTTATCTGATTTCTTTTTATTTTGTTAAGCTGCTTAAGCTCCAAAATTCTTTTCAAACTCTTTTTGGTCGATTTCTTCTTATAGTTTTTTTCTTTCATACTCTTCCTTGCGCTGTTTGTAAAGCTGGACAGTAATATTAGCTGTCTTTTATCCATAAATACCAATGTATTCAATTAAAGCAAAAAGTAACAAGAATGAAGCTATTCCTGTAATAAAATTAGAGGTAATCTTCTCGCTTTAACTTTCAGGTTAAACTGTAAAAGAGTTAATTGAGTATTCCAAATTAGCAATTTTCCTATCTGTGACAATATTTGTTGATGTCATCTTCAATTAGACAGCCATTCCAGTAGGAGAATTAAAATAATTTTAGATAACTGTTACTTTATATGTTTGAAAGTCAAACCACTAAGTAGTTCTTTATTTTAAAAAAAATGCTATTAAAATTTTATTTTTTAATTCAAAGTATTACAAAAATGTAAGATAACTATCTATTTCCCAATTTTTTTTTATCTAATTTGAATATATTATAAAACCAGATATATCTGTACCAGGTATAGACGAATATTGAAAATAAGGTTAAATTTTATCTCCATAAGAAGATTAATCATATGAATTAATATCTACACAATATTAGCTTGTTCCAAATGAAAATAATTAATAATGATTCTTTGGAATGTCACAATCACTTTTCGCTTTAAATCTCGTTTAATAAATAACACTTGTCAAAAACGGAGTAAAACCTGTTCTTTAATTGAGTTAACCAAACTAAACTAAAGCCATCTAATTTCAATTATAGATTTATTTAAAAATTTAATTACAATAAATGTTTTTAGTAAATAATCAAGTAAGTAAGTAAGTAAATAAATAAATAAATAATTTTTTCAATTCAAAAATTTATTTGTGATCACTAATTTGTATTCTATTTAAAAAACAAACCAAAGAGATTAATAAATTTATTACAAAAACAGGAGTATCAAATTAAGAGAAAGGATTGTCGTTATTTGTAAAGATTGCTTTTAAGGCTTTATTAACTTAATTATTGATGCTTTTAATAAAATTTATAATATATTTATATATAATGAGAGTAAATAAATATTTTTTATCTTATTTTTTTGAAAATTAATTTTCTTTCTTAATTGTTTAAAAGTTTATGTAAAAATTCACTTCTAAAAAAAAATCTTAAAAAAATTATTTAAATAATAAATAAATAAATAAATTAAATATCTTAGAAAAATGATAAAAATAAAAATTTTTTATTTATTTATTTATTTTTAATAAAAAATTTACTTAAACTTATTGATAACATCGTTTGAAATATATCTGTTGAGAATAAACAAAACAATTAATGCTAAAATAGCTAAGTTTTCTAGTAAGTGCTGCAATTGTTTTAAAATCTTTGGAAGTCTCTGTAAAAAGGTGCTCCAATTACTTATTTTCTTTCTAGATTTTCTCATATTACCATTTTTAATTGTGTCCTAATATAATAAGAAAATTAATAAGGTAATAAGGATCATCCAAAATTTACGTCATAATTCTATTCATCATTGTTAGTCATTAGAGTTTCTAAAGGGTTATTTTAATTGTCTTTCTTAGAGCTCTTATGGCGTCTTTTAAAAAAAATAAAAGTTTAGAGAGAAAAAACAATTAATCAATCAATACCTAACTTCAATAGTGAGTTAAGGAGTGTAGTTTTTAATGGTTTTAAAAACATTAGGAAATAATGAATGCTATAATTCCATTTCATCTAGTAGCATGTTGCCACTTTCGTCATATAAAAAAAGAAACTCTTTTTGGATGCTGTATGTCCTTTTATTTTTATAATTATAATTAATTTTAATTATTAAATATAAGTTATTTTAAATAGGAAAATTTTTAAATAATTACTTTGAAAGATAGTCTCTAAGATTAGAAACTTTTTGAATTTGGTCAAGGTCAATAGGAACATCATTTACTTACTATCCGTTTCTAACTTTAATTACAAAGTGAAATGATTGATTACCCTAAGGTATAGCTCTTGATACCTTGGAATCTTGTTTATTCTATTGCTTATTATTATCATTATTATTATTTTAACCTAAAAATTTTCTATCTGATGATAAGTTTTGTAAATCAATGTTTGAGTTATCTTATCCATCTTCCAATTAATTTTAATTTTTATTAGGTTTGGCTTTTTGTGACTCTTTACTAATAAAATTGTTTTTATCCTATTAGCGAATAGCATGCTTTTTGCAGTTTTAGAAAAACTGTTAAAGCATTTCTCTAACCTTTTTCTCTAAAAGTTATATTTATTTTGCATCTGAGCTTCCATGTTCTAATCTAATATCTCTGATCTTTTATGACATCTCTTCAACTTCTTTTTCTTTTTCTAAAACTGACTATTTATTTAAATAAATTTCATATTTTAAAAGTTAGAACAAAATTATTTTTAATTTTTTCAAATTGAGTATTTAATTAAAATAATTAAATTACAATTAGATCGTTAAATTGATTGATTTATCAATCAAAAGATTAATTAAAATAAATAAATAAAATCAGTAAGTAATCAATTAAAATAAAAAATTATTAAAAAATAAATTGATTTAAGTTAAAAATTTGATAAAAATAAACATAATACATTAATTTTATTAGAGTGATCAATCATGTTTAATAGTAATATAAAAAGTAGTATTAGCATAGATTCTTTAAATATAATTTGAAGAAAAAATGTTTATCTAATCATTATAGACAGGAATATATCATAAAATTTATTTCAAAAGAAATTTTTTATTATTACTTTAAGAAATTATTTTCATATAATTATTTCAAGAGAATTAGATTAAATTATCAATTAAAAATATCTAAATTCTTTCTAATATATTCTAATATTAACTGAAAATCGTCTACAAAATATTCAACTATAAAGGATTAAATTTATTATAAAATTAAATCACTGATAAAATTAAACATTTTTCAAAATAAAATTAAAATTTTTTTTTTTAGATAATTTTTTAATTAATATCTCTAAATTTATTTTATTTAAAAATTTCAGAAGAATAAATTTACAGAATTTAAATTAAAATTCATTAAAATATCATTAAATCAAAATAGTTTTTTCAATATTTCTCTCAATAAAGCAATTCTAAAATGTTATATTACTTTTTTTAAGTAGGGAAACATAAATTCTAAATATGTCCCAATTGTCTTTTATCTGATTTATAAATTAGATTCAATTAGTTATTTAATTAAAATGTTTAAGTAATGTTTAATTGAATAAACGAACTCCATTTCAGGTTATTTTAATCTATATAGAAATATGAATATTGTCGTGTAAGATTGTATTTATGTTTGTATTTTTTATCTATTTATTTATTCGTTTTTAAAAACTAACAAAAAGTATTTGCTTTTTGCTTGCTTGCTTGTTTGTATAAAATTTGATTTAAATTTTTAGGTGTTATTAAAAGCAGAAAATAGTTAGTGTATTTTGATCAAAAGTAGATGTATATTGATTTTTTTGGGAAAATTAATAAAATAATTGTATTTGATAATACTTGCCATCCTAATTATATTATTTTGCAATAGGTGATTTATTAAATTACATTCTATATTGATAAATTGATGATTGATTGATTACCTTATTGATAGAAGCTAGTTCAGTTGTGTACTATTAGTTTTTTGATTCCAATTCACTAACTTTTATTTCTATGTCTTTCAACTAATTCTCATATTAAAGCAGCTATCTATTTGCATTTTCAATTTCCCTTTCTTGCCTGTTTTTTAACATTAATAAGATGCCAATTTTATGAATCTATTATTGCTTATTATTAAATTCTGCTTGTAATAGGCGCTTGCTTTTATTTTTTAAATTTTATACTTATGAATTCTTCTTTCTTTTTCAAGAATATATATATATCTTATTTAATTATCTAAATTCTTAAACTGAATTTTTTTGCAAATAATTGAATTAGTCTAAATACCAAATATTGCATGTTTGATACTGATTAAAATTGATTGATTGATTAATTAATTAATATTTCAATTAAATGATTAGATTTAGAAAAGCATAAAAATTAATATTTTGAAGTGTTATTGTCATATAATTATTAGTATATAAGATTTTACAATTTTTGCTAAAAAAGATTGATAAAAAATTAATTAATTAGTGTTTGTTTTAAGATCTAATATTAAAAGAATCCTACTTAAGCTTTATATAGCTAGCAATCATCATAAAAAATACATATTCTAATACATTACGTAGTACAAAAAAGTTTGAAAGAGAATGAGTAATTATTTTAACTCTTCTTCTAATGGCTAGAAGAGTTATTAATAGTAGTAGCAGTAGCGTAGCTTATCATTTTTGTCTTAATAGATAGACTAAAATGATTAGTAAAAAAGAGGAATTGAATATTATTTTTCAAAGTAAAAAAATTAAAACAATGGCGTTGATAGAATGTTAGATGGTATTAAAGAATTTTAGTATGAGAACAAAGAAGAAGATAAAAGTTAAATCACTAATCATTCTTTTAAGAGGTAAGGAGGTGCTTAAATGACTTTGGATTTCTTTTCTGGGGCTTTACCAAAAAATACTTCCCATCTACAAAATATCATAACATCAAAGTAGAATACATAAAATAGTTAGAATCATAGTAAAAGTAATTAGAACTATAGCATAATTATTGATGAGTTTGAAAGAAACAACAATAGCGATGATAATGATGATATTTCAGAAGTTTAAGATATTGGACCATTTACAAAGAGACCATAGGCAAAGCAATAAATAAATATAGAAGACGATGATGATGATATTGATGATTCAATAGAAATATTACCAGAAGGAGATTTAACTGCAAACAATTAATTGAAATAAAATGGAAATAGTTTACTATCTTCACTTCTTAGTAGGCAATAAAAGAACAATAGTAATAATAGTAATAATGGAAGTATTGTTTAGAGGAGCTTGATGCCTAATTAGATTTTTATGCCTAAACATTCTAATTCCTAGGAAAATTAATTTGGCTCTTCTAAAGAAATTTTCAATTTTTAGAGTAATAGTCAATAAAAGAGTTCTCAAGAGGTAATTTAAGAATTGGAGTTCTAAAGCATCAGGGATAAATAAACATAAGATAGAAATATAAAACAAAAATTAGGATTATAGCCAAATTTAGATAACATTAGAGTTTCCAGTAGATTTTAGCTCGATCCTGCTTCATTGAATGTCAGAAGATAAGATGCTTTCAAATAGCTTGATATGTTTAGATTCACTAATAATCCAAATTAATTGGAAAACAAATCACAGCAGGCTATTTCTTAAACTTAATAAATTATTAATATATAAAAAAACTAAAATCTAATAGTCCCCCCTTAGAATAGGGATCAGAATCAAAGCAACAGAAACAAGGAAATATTAGAAAACTTTTTTAAAAACGAGAAAAAACCAGCTATTTCTGATCATTTTAACAAAGGGAGGGTAAGAGGATAAAATAATAAAGCAAATGATGATAATGAATCTGAAAGAAGTGAAGATACTTCTTCTGATGAAGATGATAGCAATTCAGAAGGTTCAGGTAGCAAGAAAAAAAAGAACCAAAAACTTGAAAATGGCTAATATAAAAGAACACAATTTTAAATGGAAAGTCTTCATGCTTAAAGAATTTTGGAAAAAAGCAGAAAACTTGAAAAAATGCATGAAAAAGAAAAAGAAAGAGAAAAAAAGCTTAGAGAAAAGTTGATAAATGAGCCATTGAGAAAAAAGAAGGAAGAAGAAGAAAGGAAAAGACAAGAAAATTCAAAAATACAAAGAGAAAAACAACTTTTGTCTAAAAAAAGATAGTAGATGCAAGAATTAATTAGATAAAAGTAGCTAGCTGAATTAAAAAAGAAGACTTATTAAGAGTTATGCATAAATTAGAAGCCTAAATAATTTATACTACAATCATTAGCAAACGACCTTAGCATACCTTCAATTCTTAGCGAAGGATAAACATAAAATAATGATAAAAATGATAAAAACGAGCAAAATGATAAAAAAGATGAAAGTAATTAACAATAGGGAAAAACTAATGTAGTTGATATGGCAGCATATGATAAAGAATTTGAATTTTTATTTGATGAAACTGAAAACCAAGAAGAGAGAAAAAATTTTTACAGTCTTATCAAATTTATCTTCTCTCAGGACTACAATAAAGAGGAAATTATCAGAGTTGAAAACAAAAAAATACCCAACAAGTAATTAGCTAAATTAATATATAAATAAAATATTTTTTATGATAAAACAATTTAATAATAATAAAATTTTCTCAATTTAATTAACGGAAAGTAAAAAATAAATGGTCATTCAAACCGTTAGATTATTTAGTTAGATAGAAATATTTTATTAATGGGAAATGCCAAAAATTAGTTTTAGGAAACAAACATACAAACAAGCAAACAAATAATTTAATAATAATTAAAACTAATTTATAAATTTACAATTTCTAAAACTAAAAGAATTTTTTAAGATGTCTTTTAATACAATTTTTACTTTCTTTAAGCAAATAATCATCAGTAATTAATACAACAAACAGACAAACAAGCTTAGAAATAAAAAGTTTGAGATCAGATAAAAAGCTATAAAAATAAAGAATCATTAGTTGATTTTAAAAATAAATTTAGAATTTTTAAGATAAATCTAATTTCGTTTCAGACATTCTTTCCTTTGAATTATTCTAATTATTTATTTGAATTCTAAGCAGTTTACCATATTTCTCATAAGCTTTCATAAATTTTCCCTCCAATTTGATATTTTTTAAATTTTAATAAATCAACCAATTTGCTTTTTATATTAATTGCATCTACCTTTAAACAAAAAAGAAAAACACTTTTATCATTTAATTAAAATTATTTTTATATTAAAATTGACTAATTATTTGATAAAATATGCCTACATAGCTTAAAAAGATATTTTTTTTAATTGATAGAATCTATTTAAAATATTTCCTTTTATTAATAAAATAGATTCAACAGCTGGAAAGAGTATTATACCATATTTGAATATCTCTTTTTGATGGAATGTATTTCTAACGTTCAATAAGTTTTTTAATCATTTAAATCAAACGAAAATTACAGACAGCCGTTTAGCTGTTTTGCTAAGTTGAACAATTTATCTGATAACAACCATGGATTTATTGAATTTACTGTATAGAGGTCTTCAGTATTCAAAGACCAAAAGGAAGATTTAGAAAACGGTGAACTTAATACATCAGAAGATGATTTTTATAGATTATGCACTCTTAAGAATCATGCTGTTTTGATGTCAAATTCAAGTGAATTAGATTTTACCTAGTTGACTTAAACTGAATTTAAGAAAAAGAAGTAATTCTTATTCTTTGGTTGGGTTGTACCACCAGAGTCTAATGGTTAAGATACACTTAAGATTTATGCAGACATTGATGCCCAGGCATTTGTGAAATAATTTGTTGGATATGATGGTTCTATTCCAATAAAAATATTTAACTTCTAAAAAATGACCACATTCATTAGAGAATATTTGTCTATAAAAAATATGAGATACAATGATATAAATAGATTCATATATAATCCTCTGAATATCACACAAAACAATACACCAGTTGCTAATCCATGTATAATAAATTTATAAATAAATAAACTAATTAATTTTTTTAAATTAAATTTATCAATCTTAATGTAAAAAAAGTTTCTTTAGTTGATTTCTTTGAAGAGTTGAAAAATCGATACAATGATTCTTAATTACAGTCAATTAAAGAAATTTGCTTAACTAGTTAAGGTATTTGCATGCTTTAAGGCCCAGTAATTTAATAAAAAATAGCATTTATTTCAATTTCATTTTTTAAATTTTCACATAAAAAATAAAAATTTTTTCAATTATTTTTATTAATAAATTTGTAATTTAATAGAATTTTTTCTAACTAGATATGTTTTTTAAATTTATTTTATTGAATAAAGCCTGGTACTGGTAAAACACATACGCTTTTGGGTCTTCTTGCTGGGCTGTATCACTATATTAAGAAGAATCAAGATCATACAAAGCCTAAAATAATGGTAATTAAATTGACATTTATAAGTTTGTAAATTTATTTATTTATTAATGATTAGATCTGTGCTCCTTCAAACACTGCAGTAGACGAAATAGTTTCGAGAATTATTGAACATGACCTTATTGCACCAGGAGGATAAAAGGTCAAGGTAAACGTTATACGTATAGGTGCAATAGACTATGTGTAAGTTTTTAAAGATTGAGATTAATAAAATTAATTTTCATTTATTAATTTAGACCTTCTGAAAATGTTAAGAAAGCGTGCTTAGAATATTAAATAGAAAGAAAAATGAAAGAAATGAAGATGAATGGTTAAATTAAAAAAGGAGAAGAAGATACTTTAATAGATATGTAAATCGAAGTTGCAAAAATTAATTAGTAAATTGAAAAATCTAAAAAAGAATTAACGGGTTCAGATTTATCTGCAGAACTTGATTTTCTATTTGATAAAAAGAGAAAGCTTCAATCAAAAATTTCAATTCTAAAACTAGAAAAAGTTGCAAGACGTGATCAAATTAAGAATATATCAGACTAGTTATTAGGATTAGCTGATGTAAAATTAATTAATTAATTGATTTTATTTTTTAATTCATTTAAAATTACTATATAGGTTGTATGCTGTACTTTGGCTAGTTCTATGAGCGAAAAATTAGAGAGATTTAAAAATTAAGTAGAAGTTCTAATAGTGGACGAAGCAGCTTAAGTAAATTTCTAAATTATCATTTTTTTTTTGTAAATGAATTGTATAATAAACAGTGCACAGAGCCTAACAACATCATTCCCCTTTATTATTAACCAAACAAAATGATCTTAATCGGTAATTCTTACTTAATCTCTTCATATACATCTCATTATCGATTTTTTTTGTATGTAAGATATTAAATTTATTAAATTTAGGTGATCCTAAACAGTTGCCAGCTACAACTTTCTAACCTGAGAGTAACATTACGAAGTATAATAGAAGTCTCTTTGAAAGAATCATTGACAATAAGATTAAGCCATATTTCTTAGATTAGTAATATAGAATGCATCCTAATATCAGAGAGTTTCCTTCTATTTAATTTTACGATAATAAGTAAATTAAATTATTGTGTCATTCATTCATTCATACATTCATTTAATTTTTTAGCATTTATTTATTTTCAACTTTTCGATTTCATTTTTCTTTGAATACTTTTTTTTATGATTTTTGATGAAAATGTATTTTTATTTTTTAATTTGTTGATATTAAGATTAAAAGATGGTCCTTCAGTAGCTAATCGTCCTTTTCCTAATTATCTATAAAGATTAGAGAGGTTTAATACTTAATTTATTGATATTGTTTTCAGTAGAGAAAAAATGAATTAAAAGTCTTATGAAAATGAAGCTGAAGGTCTGGCTTCTATTTCAATATGTAATTAAATTATAGATGAAATCGAAAGATAGTAAAAAGTCTAACCAGAAAGTAAAGAAACTCTTTCAATAGGTATTATCACTCCTTATAAGCAGTAAACAAGGCTTATTAATGAATTGATTCGCAAATAAATTCCTAAGTCATACCATAAATTTATTCAAGTTAACACAGTTGATTCTTTCCAAGGGTAGGAAAAGGATATTATCATTTTTACAACAGTCCGTGTAAACAGTAAACAAGAATGGAGAGAGAATATGATTGGGTAAATAAATAACTAAATACATTTTTTTTATTGTAATGTTGGTATTTATTAAATACAAATAAAGTTTCTTACAAGATGAAAGAAGAATGAATGTTGCTTTAACAAGAGCTAAATACTGCTTAATTGTTTTAGGTCACGCAGACACTCTTAATTCCAACCCTGTTTGGGGAGCCTTTGTAGATTTTATGGTAATTTAGTGATTTATCAGTATTTTTTACACAAAAAAAGTTTATTTATAAATTTAAAATGAAATATTTTTCATTTTTTTATCAAAAAGGCAAAAAATAACAGGTATGGCAAATTTAGAAACAAAGATTAGATTAGTGATATCGGTAAAATGGTACTAAAAGGCTCTTTGTTAGAGAGCTCTTCTTCGGTTTATGTGAAAAAAGATTGGGGAGAGCAATATCAAGAGATGATACAAAGACAAAACTAAGTTAATGAACTGAAATTGACTGATTTTGAGCCTATACAAGTTGATGAAAATAACGACGAAGAAAAAATGTAAATAGAAAACGAAATTTAGACGGAATAGTAACCAGAAAATAAGCAAGATAATAACAATAAAGAAGGACCTAATGAATAGATTAAATAAGACGCACCTATTGTTAAGTAATCATAAGATTTAATAATTATTTCAGAAACTCTAATAGTGGATAAAAAAAATAGCAATTTATTAGAAATCATATAAGAACCTGAAGACTTTGATTAATAAAAGCAATAAAAGGCTAAGAGGACAGGTATTTCCTTTTAAGAAGCTCTCTCTGTCTAGCAGGAATAAATGCAAATGAATAGCATGAAAGGAAATGGCTTAGCTAAATTAAGTGCTTTGATTTCTCAACCTTAAAAGGAGAAGAAGTAGGAAGAAGAGAAGTCACCAATAATATTTGTTAATAAGCTTGAAGATCTTAAAAAAGAAGAAGATCCTTAAAATGATTTGCTAAAAAAGATATTTGTGCCACAAGATAAAAGATAAGAACAAGAACAGAAAAAGAACTTGACCGGTTAATTAGACATTTATGAATAATTAGGATAGCAAAGAAGAGAAAACATTCAAAAGTTAAAGAAAGAATTTTCTCAATAAGATAAAGATAGTTTTAAGCTTTAAAATAAATCAGTTTCATCAAATCTAACTCAATAAAAACCTTCTGCTCCAGCTTCTATGGTCTAACTTGTGTAAAGTGCTTAAAATTAAGTTAAATAAAAATTATAAAATTCTAGTTAAACTAACTTGGGTAAGTCTAGTACTTTTACTCCTTCATCTAGCTTGTAAACTCTTTAATCATTAACTGATAACCAGTCAAATGATTAAAATTCTAAAAAAGGTTTGGGATCTCTTCTAGGTGGCAACGATGATAAAGAATAATAAAAATCATTTTATAAACCTCAAAAAAGTAATTAGTAGGAAGATGATATCTATGAGCAGTTAAGGTAGTAGAGAAGAGATAACTCAAAAAATACTATTAAAGAGCAAAATCATGATAGTAAAAGTAGCTCAAATAATTTTACAAATTATATTCGCAAGCCCTACAATCCAGATTCTGATAAAAATTCATACTCTCCATCAAGTTCCTTATAAAACATATCTAAGCAATCACTGAGCTATTAAAATAACAATTTAAAGTACGACTAAAAGTAAAATAATTAAAAATAAGATTAAGGGGCAGCACCAAGCCAAAATAAGCTTAATTATACTAGTGGCAGTGCTTTATTGTTAAATAGTATAACTAATTCTAAGCAATAAGTACCTTCTACTTCTTAAAGTAATTCCAAAACTAAGGGTGGATTAGGAAGCTTAATTTCAAAATGAATGTATGAGTAAATGAATGAATATTTGAATAGAATGAAAATATAATATAAAGAAATAATTTTTGTTGTACATAATAAAAACAAACTACTAGAATATAATAATATATATAACATAAGTAAAGCTTAATATATATCTATCTATCTACTCATAATATTATTAATAGAGTTATAAATATCATTTAATCAATTAAATAAATAACTAAACCATTTTTTTATGAAATAATTTCTACATTCTTTTTTTGATGATTCTTTGTTAGTTAGTTTATTAAGTAGTAAATTAATTACTTATTTTTCAGTAGTAATTATTTGTTTTTTTCATTTTTTTATTATTTAAGTTTTTCTAAAAAGATAAATTTGAATATGAATTTCTAATATTTTAAAAAAGATGAAAATATTGTAGAATAATTATGAAAGAAAAACTTAATTAGTGAATTGATATTTAAATTTAATAAAATAGTTTTATGCTCTTTAATTGAATTAATAAAATTAAAAAATAAATTAAAAATAGTTAATAAATAAATAAACAGCGTTAACTTTGAATAATTTAAAACAAAAATTTTATTTTAACTTTAAAAAATATTTTAAATTTTTTAAAGAAATTAAATGACTAAAAGTATATCAAAACTTTTTCATTAATCAAAATTTGAAGTAATTTAAAAAGCTAAAATAGGTTTGCAGCTCTCATTGATTCCATACAAAATTTAAATGAAAATAAACTTTAAAAGTAAATTTAAATCTTTTTACTACTAAAAATTAGTATTTTCTTTTATTTAGATATTATACATTTTTTTAAATAAAATTTTTCCTATTTACTACATTAATTACACCATAAAGTTTGATGAAAATTTGGATATTTTTCAAATTTAAAAAAAAAAACTTTTTGAAAATAAAGAGATAATATTTTTTTTAATTTAAATAATTTTAAACAAAGAGGAATATTTATTTAGTCTTTTTTAAATAATAAATAAATAAGTGTTAAAAATTTAAAATTTAGTGAAAAAAATAAATTAAATTAATCAAAAATAATAATTTAGCTTTTAGTAAAATTAATTAGAATAGAAAATATAATTTTATTAGAAACACTTAGACATGCATTTATTCATTCATTCTTTTTTTATTCAAATATGCGATTTTATTAATTAAATATGTAAATTTAAGAATTTTTTAATTTTATTTTCACTTGTTTTCAAATAGATATCTCCTTTGCTTCAACTAATTCATTCAAATGAGGGTCTTTATCAATTACATGTTCTTGAAAATGGGTTTAGTTTAAATTTGAAAAGGCCTAGTTTTATTGCTATTATTGTTTATCTTCAATTGAAGGACATTTTTCTTCAGCTTGATTATTTATGTTTTGAAGAAATTCTTGATAAAGGGGAAGAGTTGATATATCTATTTTTTGAATTTCTTACTTGAGCTCATAAACTGTGTCAATTAAATCTTTTGCATAAAGAGAGTAGTCTGATTTGTATCTTTGAGCTAAGTAATAGTTGTGAGATCTTACGAAAGCATCATACCTTGTATTAGATGCATCACTTTGTTTTGCATCTATTATCCACTTATCACATTAATTAAGTATTTCAATTTTATTCAAATAGAAATGCATTTTTATTATATCTCTAAATTCTGGGTCAGGGTTTTTAAGTTAATCGATCATCGCGTGTCTTATATTTGATATTTTTATAATATTTTAGTAAGCTCTGTTTCTCATTTCATTTTCTTGATTTTATTTTCCAACACTGGGTTCGTTGTAATAGACCTTAAATTATTAATTATAAAGACATTCATTATTTGTAAAATAATTTATTGGAAAATTTAATTTTTTTTTGTTCGCTTTTCAATAAATAGCTCAGAACATAATTAATAAATAAATTCTTTCTTTAGTTATCTATCAAATTATTTATTATCTCCCGCAAAGAAAAATTATTGATAATTAATATTTAGCCATAATTTTTCATTATGCAGAATATTATAAATAACTATTAGAAATTTTATCATTAATTTATTTTTATTTATAATGAATTATTAATTCATTCATTTCGATGATTTTAAATTTTATGATAAATAAATATTCAATTCAAACAAAAAAATTTAAATTTCATTTTTCTTTCTTTCTTTGTTTTAAAAATTATTTTCAATATTTTTTAAGTAAAAATTTGTTTTTTTTTTGTACATGAAAAAGAAATGATTTTTCTTCTAATAAATAATTTTAAATGTTTTCAGGTGATTTAAATAAAGAAAAGGAAGTATTTTTTAAATTTTCTCTAACTATTCATAAAAAATTGGGAGCTAAAGATCTTAAAAATACTTAAAATTCCAAAGTTAAAATGATTACTTAATCGTTCATGACAAGGGATTGGATGCTTATTAAAATTTGTAATATATTAGAAGTTGATTCATTCCATTTTTCGGTCTTTTGTCCATTCCAAGTTCCAAGTAGACTTAGACAAATAAAGCCATCTTTATAAAGGTTAGGGTTAAACCTGACTGACCCTCCACCTGTAGTTATCAGTCTCATTTTAGGAGGCTAGTTAGGAAAGCTGTAATCACAATGTAAATCATAGGCAAAAGCTCCATAAGCGTAAGGAGTGTCTTTTGACCCCATAATTATGCATTAAAAGTGATTAGTATCAAGCTCATTACATCTTACAAATATGCTATTGGTAGAATAAATAGGCAAGTTCTTCACTAAAATCCTAATTTCGTTCTGAATACGCTTAGCTTGATTGACATTACGATTGAATTGGCCTACATTTATATGTTTTTTTAGTTTAGAAGAGAGCTTAAAAACCTCTTTTTGAAGTATTTCAGTATAAAAAACATGACTGTGTTTTGAAATTGCTTATGTTAGCATTAAGTCTTGCTTACTAAGAATTGTTTCCTAAGTCGTTTTTGGAGATGTCTTATTCGAAACTATTTTTATTGAATGGTGATCACTCATATTGCTGATTTTATCATTGTTTTCTTAGTCTACTTATTGCTACTTTTAAATGGTTTGCTATTTTTCAATTTCTTCAATTAATAATTGAGGATTTCTTATTTTTATATCATTTAAATTTTACTCTATAATCCCCTTTATATCTTAAACTTATATTTCATTTTGTTTTTTTTTGTTTGCTACGCTTTCATTTATTTTCGAGATGCTTCCACAACCCATATTTATTTACTTTATTTACGGAGTGTAATACTAAGGATTTTGTTAAATTTATGTTTAGGTGTTGCTATTTATTGTGTTTTTAAAAGAAATCTTTTTGTTAAGTAGGACTTTTTTTCTATATATATATATATTATTTTTTAAAAAGATTCTTAATTGAATTTAATTGCAATTACTATTTTTTCAAATGAAATAGGTCAAAACCAATAGAAAATTTTTCAACATTTAATAACTTGATATCAATTAATTCATTTAAATTACAATTAAAAGAATGTGATAGTAGTTTTCTTACTTTTTGATTAGAGTATTAAATTTATAATCAAATATAATTTTTCAGTTATTTAATGCTATTCATAAAATTTTTTGATGAATACATAAGTAAATTGCTGTTGAATCAAGTAAATTTAAAGTTTTTGAGTAATTTAAAAAAATATATTTATTTATATCAATAATTACTTTTTCAAAAGAAATAAAATATTTAAATGCTAAAAAAAGTAAAAATATTAAACAAATTTCAATATTCTAAAACTATTTAATGAAAAAATTATTTATTTGCTTGAATAGAAACTGAAATTAAGATGATATAAAGATAAATGAATGCTAAAATTTATTTTTTAACATTAAAAATATTATTTGAAAAAAATACAAAATATTTTTTAAGCTAAAATGTTACAAAGAAGTTAAAGAAATATTTATTTTTAAGAGTCTTTCAATTAGAAACTTGTTAAAATTAATTTTAAACTTAAAGGAGAAATAAATAAATAAATAAATAAATAAATAAGTAAATAAAAATGATGAAAGCTTAATTTTTTGTAAAACAAATATGAAAATTATAAAACTTTTAACATTAATTAATATTGATAAATTTACGAATGTCCATATAATTAATTTGAAGTTTATTCAATCAATTAAACAATCTTATGTTTCACATCAAGAAATATTTGTAGAATGAATATTTATATTAAAGATGACATGCATATGTATTTATGTATCTATTATGCTTACATCTATTCATGTAGGTGAGTATTATGCATATGTTAATATTGCATAATAAATTAAATTAGTAGAAAGAAAAAATTAAATGGATTTATTGCTAACTCTTTAATCAATCAGATTTCTCTTTTTTGTTGCTAAAGATCTATTAATCGTATTCATCATCGATTTATTCAATATTATTAAGATGACCATTCTTAATTTTTTAATCATCCTAGAAATTAAGTAATATATTGTCTACTTTTATGTCATTACTATTAGCACCGATGATATTTGAGTTGTTATTTCTCATATTAGTAGAAATATCTCTGAAATCTTAAGGCTGGTTAGTAAATAGTTGTTCTTGCCCAACTCTATTTACTACCTCTTTTTCATTTTCTACCTTTCCATTTCCTGTAACATTAGTATTATTTGCGTTTCCATTAGCAGTGTTGGGATTAGCTGTGTCATTTTGCTCACCGTTTGCTCCCTAATTTTTCTTTTCTTCGTGATTCTTTAATTATTCTAGCAAATGTCTCCATTTCATCTTAGTACCATAATAGAAGTTTATTGGGAAATTAATCTTTTCATTACCTGCTGCCATTTCTGTTCTAGCTCCTTTCTTCAAACCAGAAAGTCCCTTGACTAGATTCTTAAATGCTTCTATCAATTCACCTATTTTATCACTAGCCTTTATATTATCCAAATCAATCTTTATGTCTTAAGTCAATGACTTTTTAGTAGCGTTTGAGTTAATGCTTTTTGCATACTCAGTGAGCTTTGTAAGAGGCTAAACAATTCTGTTTGAATAGCAGCATCCGCACATTATAGCAATTGAGCATGTAAACAATATAGTACCTATATATCATTATTTAACATGAATTGGATTAAGAATAATTTATTTTCTAATTAAATTCAAATTATTTTTTTAAAAATTCTTACAAATGGTAATAATTTGAATTGTCTAAAAAGTCTAAAACATTTTATCGGAAAGGTCGTAAAGGAAGTGATATGCTTCTCTTTCTGGGACCTACACGATCAAAATGTAGTTTTCTCCACTTATTTAATTTTCAATAAAGTTTCTCATCAGTAAAATTTCCACACCATCTGAGTTATAAAAGTCAATGATTTCGTCTTCAGAGTAGTCTACATTGTTACTGATAATATTGGTCCACTAGTCCTTGGTAAACTTAGTCAAACTAGTATCATAAATATAGTATATATCAGAGCTGTTATAAGGGTCGTTCAGAATCTATCCATTTGCTTAATTGACAAGCATCAAAAAACCAGTATCATAAAATCTAACTCTATCTATAATTACTTATAAATCGTTTACCAGCATATCAATCGATGCAACTCCTCTGAATTAGTTATATTGATTAACAATAGCCTTACTGATTGTTAAGGTTTTCATTTTAGTTGCTGCATCCAGATAAGGTCCTGTAAGAACCATCTGTGAAGTTTGATTTTGTAGTTGCTATTGTGTTTGATTCTATTAATAAAGTTAAATTTTTATTGATATATTTGTAAATTTGATAAAAACTACTTTAAAATTAGCTAGAGTCTGCTTATACCAAGTAGACTAGGTTGGATCATAAGCTCTTGGGTCGTTTGGAGTTGAGTAATATGACTATGGATATAATTAAGTATTAATACCACCTATTTGTTTTATAAATGAATCATATGATAAAATACTCATATTTATTCAAACAAAAAGTATATTAATTAATTAGTTAAATACCTGGATACCAAATAGAAACAAGTTCTTGTTAATCTGATGGGAGCTAGTTCTACCCAGTATTGTCATAATTAGCAAAAACCATGTAAATGTAATGAATATAGGTCACATTTTTATCGAAAAAGAAGTCTTCTAAAAAATAGTTCAATACATCACAAGCTCCTAAAATTTTCTGAGAATCTTTTGAGAGTTTGTTCACTGTGTTTAATTTTTTATTTTAATTGTATGATCCCCACTGCCAATATTTAAAAGTAATATTATAATTTTGATAATCTTGCTGCGCTGCTTATGAACTATCAATATCACCTAACTAAGAATCTTAAAACCCATCAAGCCCTATATAATTCCCCTGCCCTAATTTAAATATTTATTTTTTTTAGTTTGAAGAATAGCAAAAAGAGGTTTACCTATAATCGGAAATTCTTTTACATAGTCAAAGTCAAATATTTAATTATCTTCTTTCATCGCCGACAGTACAATCTATTGGTATTTATTTTTTTTAAATGTGTTATTTTTTGGTTAGCAGATTTGATACAAATAATATTTATTACTCTCGTCAGAATTTCTAGTTTCGAAGACGAACCATGGAATATTTCTAAAATTGCATTCGAGTATTCTTTAGCGCTATTACGTAAATTTTCTTAAATTTGTTGATGAATAGCATCTTCAGAGGACTTTCTAATCAGATATCTATTTTTAGAATAAAAAAATTTATAAATTACTCTTCAGAAAGTCAACCAATAATTTTTATGTTAAAAATTTGTTTGTTGTTTTTTTTTGTTGAAATTATTGAGTTATTCTTTGGTAAAAAAGAATAATTAATTTAAATAATAAGAATTTTTCTGATTATTTTGTTTTTACTCTTATCAATCACAATAAAATTTATCTTCTTTGCTTTAAAGAAATTAATTCAATTATAAATTAGTTAACTGTCATTTTATTTATTATGATAAATAAGAAATTTGGTTTTTTTATTCGTTTTATTACCTAAATAAAATAAATAACTTTCGTTAAAATTAAAATGAGAGATGAAATTGAGAATTTTATAAGTGAAATCTATTATAATTAAATTTAAGTATAATTCTCACATTTAATAAACAATAATTAAAATTTGCTTTTCAACTCTTTTAATTTCATTTATATTAGCTTCTGTGTTAATTGTCATTTTCTTACACAAAATAAAATAATTTTTATTTGAAATAATAAATTTTTAAAAATCAGTGAATGAATATTCTGACTTAAAATTAAAATGGGAATAAATTATTTATATGTTTTTTTATTTAGAAAAAGCTTTTATCAAATTATAATTAATTTTTTTTTTTTGCTATTATCCTTTTCTTATCTCTATAAAATAATATTCATTTATAATTATTAAAAGTCAAGTCAATATTTTAATTGTATAAGTTTTTTGATAACTTGATTGATCCTTTTGCCAATTATTAATTAACACTTTCTTCTTTACTTATTTATATAAAATATTATTTCATTTTGCTAAATATTTACTGATCTATCAATGTATTCAGTAAATTATAGAGCATTTTTTATTATATTTGAATCATATTTTATCAGAGAAGCTCGCATTAACATGAGCCGTCATTAAATATTTAACGTATTTATTTGGACGTTATTAATTGTAAATATTGTTAGTTTGTTTGTTCTATCTTTGCAAATTGATTTAAAAGTAAATAAATAAATTATATTACCTAGTGAGGAAGAGATTACCAATAACGATGAGGATAACAAGTAGGAAGACTGAACAAGAGAGAACCATCAAAGAAACAATCATTTATCTTCTGATAGTCCAATTCTTTTTTATTCTGATGCAACAGACACGATTAATACTCTTTTATCCATTATTGTCTTTCAGTAAGAACATGTCAAGCAATTTGTATTTCTTATTGTAATATTGAGAGCCATTTTGACCAGATCCAGATGAAAAATTGTACTCGCTCTATGGATTATCTTCATTATTACTCATCATCATTGTCTACTCAGGCTGATCATTTTATGGAATATTTTACAATTCCAACTCATTTTATTAATTCATGTTGATGGGCTTGCAAAAATATTTTCAATATTTAAAATTATTTTTGAGCAAACTGCCAATAATTTATTTCTCTTTGTTTTTCAAAAGCCTTTCGCTGCTTATTGTTGCCTCTTTACAAACTTTGTGCTTTTTGGTTATATTTTCTTTGGATTTATGAGCAAAGATTGTTAGGTTTTCTCTACTTTTAATTACCTTTGTATTTTTAACAAATTTTCTTTATAAATTAAGTGTTTTTATAATCTCTATATTTATATATATATTTAATGTTAGCCAATTATAATATTGTTATTTCTCTTCTCTTTTAAATTCTCTTCAAGCCCTTTATTTTTTTTTATTTTTTCAATCAGCAAAAAATTAGATTGATTGCCTCTTTTTTACTAGAATCAATTGTTGCTATAAGGATGGTAGGTTTTGTATATATGTTAAATTAGTTTTCAGAAAGTAATTAATTATATATTCGTTTATGAATTAATCAATTAATTAATTTACTGCACCTTCTTCATCCTTATCATCTATATAAATTTTATGTACACATTTGATTGAATTCTTCAAGAATTTCATATAATTTTACTACCTTTAAATTTTTGCTTGAAAATATATTAAAAACTCTAGAAGTTATTTTGTAGTAGCTATTTAATTAAATTTAAATTCAATAAATTACTATTAAATTAATATATTGCTTTACTAAACAAATTATTTATCTTCTACTTTTTTACAGTAATTAATTTATTCTTTATTTTTCTATTTTTTATTTATTTATTTAATTTTCTAAAAGAAAAATAGTTCTTCTAACACTTGTTTAATTATATTTAATATCAAATTCCTATTTAAGTACAAATAAAATAACTTTTAAATAATATTTTATCATCTCTTTAATTAATTTTACATTTATTTATTGTATTTTTTCTTATTTTTTCACTTATAAATCAAAAAAATAATTTTACAAAAAAGAACAGTTTATATTATAAAATTTTAGTTTTTTTTCATATTTGAAATAATGAGTTTTATTAAAAAAATTGAGTTATATTTTTGAAATAACTAATAACAAATAAAAAAAACAATTATTAATTATCCAAAGTTTCCCTTTAGAAAATAATTAATTTAGTAATCACGTTCTTCAAGAGTTTTTTTAAAAGTTAGTGAGTAAGTTAGTTTGTTTTAATGTAGTTTAATGATTTAATGTTTTCTTTTACTTAGTTGAAATTTTGGTTGAAAAAAATATTTCTATCACTTTTTACTAATTTTATTGAGTTTATATTTGATTTCCAACTCTTTAGAAAATGTTTTTAAAGTCTTGCAGAGCAACTTTTGATTCCTTTAAAAAGATTGGATTAAATATTGTCTAAAATAAATAATTAAATAAATTACTTTATATCTTCAATATTTTCTTGCTTCATATCCTTGATTTCCTCAATAATATTATTCAAAGCTCTCTTGTATTTCAAATTGTATTAGCCAGAGTTCATTAGCATTTATCTAAAAAATAAATATTTTTATTTTATCTTTTAGGAGCATTTAATTAAATTTACTGATTATAATTGTATTGAGTATTATCGTCTTCTAGTGAAAAGCTGTTCTCTCCGTTTTTTATGTCCTAATTAATTTACTTTTTAGTCTACTCTTGTCTTAGTATTTCGTCTTTTAATTCTTTTTCTTTCTAAAGTGATAGTAATTAACTTTATTTCATTTCCTCTTTTTTTTTTTAGTTATCAAACTTTGCTTTATAATGTAAAAATTGCTAAACTACAAACTTTTCGTTGCCCATGTTTGTCCTTTCTATACAACTTTTAAGAGACTTTGCACTCCATAAATCTATTATTTGCATAGAACCTTACTTTTTAATATCATCCAGTAGCTCATTTAATGCACATAAGATATATTTATTTTCGCTTTTATCTATTGAATTAAAAGCAAAAGAAAAAAATGTTTAAAGTCTTTCTATTGAATTTGATTTAAAGTTCTTGAAAGCAAATTGCTTAAATCCGTTTTATTCATTAAATTTAATTCCTTAACTATTATCTTCTCCTTATTTTTTCTCAGAAACTTTATCAACTTTACTTGTTATTAATTTATCTTCTTATAAACTCTTAATTACTTCTTTTTTGTATTTCTCAGAATCCTTTGAAAGCTTATCAAAAACTAATTTGCTTTGGTTAAATTTTAAAATAAATATTGAATAAGACAATTCAAAAAAAAATGAATAATTAATAGCATAAAATGTATTTATTACTTATAAGGAATACTTTACAAAAAACTGAATCTGTTATTTAAAGAGTAATTAACTTTGTCTTCATCTTCATTAAAATTTGTAATATTGCTGCTCCTCCGAGTCGAACCTAAACGAGACCTAATAACTAATTAATTAAAAAACCATTTTAGTTTTGTTATTTAATTATCTATTTTACAGTCATTTATTTATTTAGAATTATGAGACTGATTTTTTATTGAAGCTGCTGTATCTTATTCTTCAACACTCTATTAAAGCTGCTCTTTGTTGTTATTGTCTTTTGCTTCAGATAACTCCATGTTTTACTAATTAAAAATAGATTAAAATATTGAACCTCTTTCTTTTAGTCCATTCTTCTAAAAACTTGTTCTATTCAATATTTCTTGACTTTCATTCCTTAATAAGTTAATACATGACTTATTTAATGAAGATCTTTTAAAGACAGAATCTCTTTTAAAATTGTTTTGATCTACTTTAAATTGCAAAGTATCATTCTTATTAATGTCATTTTATTGATTTTATGTATTATTATTTAAATTTTCATCACACTTATTATAAGGTGAAGAGGTTATATGGAGCTATTATTTTTAGGGGGTTTTAAACTTATTTAAGTTTTCATTGAATCCTCCACTAAAAATAGAGTTTTTAATAGGAGTCATTGAGCTTCTTTAATTATTTTAACCTGCATTTCTCCTGCTTTAGGGAGAAGCTTGGTAGCTTTATCTTTGCCTTAATCTTATGCTTCCGTACCTTTATGGTTTTTAAGCTACTTGCAACTTTTGCTGACTCAAATACTTTAATGTTTCATTGTACTTTTACTTTAAAAAAAACAAAAAACTCTTAAAACAATCAATTGAAAACTCTAAATAAAATGCTTCATATTGGTTTTTCTCTTTTTATATAATTTACATGTAAATAAAATTACCTTATCAGCTTCAATATAATCATAAGACGCTGTTTTGCCTTACCTTATCAAACTAGGATTTTTCATTTTAGTCAATTAGTTTATAGAAACTTAAGGTAAAGGGATAATAAAGTTTTTATTTATTTCAATTTTATCTTTATCAAACTAAAACTTCTTTGAAGAGGGAGAGTCAACACTCATTTTTTTACCCTTAGAAGAAGTTGCTGCAAGAGAGCTGATTCGTGAGTTACGGTTTAATTCATTTAAGTTTATAGAAATTGAATTATTCTACTTACGTGATCTCTCCTTAAATTATGAAAACAATGCTTACTCATTTAATTATTGCATAATTGATTTGGAGTGCAAAGAGTCCATGAATAAAGTGGAGTTCATCAGACGTTGTTAATGCTTTTTGAATTTGAAATCTACTAAAGCAAATAACTAACTAACTAAAATCAATAGTGAATTGTATTAATTCTAAATAATATAAGCATATATAATATTCAATCAATCAATGACTATAAATAAAGCAAATTTAGTCACAGATATTATTCAATTAGTTAATTAAATTATAACATAAATTGCTTTCGCACTAGAAATTGATTAAATTATTTGCTTACTTACTAAAGTAGCATTTATTTAATCCAAGAGTAAATCAAAATAGTACTTAAAATACTATGGCATTAATTAAACACTAAAACAGAGCAAAAAAAGATCAAGTTATAATTTTCTAAATTTGAATAGTTTAAGCTGAAATTCATATGCTAAGTATATTTTTAGTAAGTATTTTTACCATTATTAATTAACTATTTTATTATTTTTTGATTCATTAACAGCTTTAATTATTTTTGAAATTAAATGTAAATTAAAATTAATTTGTAGTATTTATTTATTTATTTATTTATTAGTTTATGAAAAAATAAATCTTAAGTAAAACAAAACCCGATTTTATTTATTATTATTATAATAACTTAAATTCTTTTAAAAAATATTTCTGCAAATCAAGATAATCGAATAAAATAAATTCCCTAAAACAATTATTAGACTTCATTTTTAAATTCTTAAAGTTGAAATATTTTAAATTATGAGCTAGGGACAGATAATTATCAATAAATTGAATAAGAAAATAAATTTATCAAAACAATTATTAGAACTTATTCTTAAATTATTAAAGTTGAAATATTTTATTTAAATTAAGAGCAAGAGATTAAATAAAAATTGTCAAAATATTACATGTAAGTTTAATAAATAATTTTAAAAATTATTATTAATTACAAAATATAAATAAATATAAATTGAGTAAATATATTTTTTTCTTTAAACATATTAATATTTTTAAGTAAGTAAGTAAATGTTAATTGGTAGTTAATTTTTAAAAATGTGCTTTCAAAACATTTTATTATCAACATAATTTAATCAAATTAAATTCAAATTAACTAAAAATCCCCATTCATTTATAAAGAAACAAAGAAATTAAAAAAAAATTTGAACAATAAGCTTTTTTAGTGTATGAAAATGTGAAGGCCTTAATATATGAAGATTTAAAATAAATTAATTTTCTAAGATCAGATAAACTTTGGTTGCTTATATTTATAAAAAAAGAATAAATAAATAAAGAATCAATAATATAAACTAAATAACTTATTTTGAATTTATTAGAATATCAATTTAAATTATACTGAATTTTTTTATTTAGCAAATTAGCAAAATTCACTTTCAAAATTTTTTATTATGAACTAAAATTTGTAATCAAGTTTCAAATAGAAATAAATACTAATTTAATATGATAAAATTTTATTGAATAACAACGATAACTTATAAACTAAATAATTTAATTTGATATATTTATTTATTTACTTATTTAATAGGATATCTATCTATTGATTATTCTTTTTTATGTAGAATTCCAAATACATTTTTTGATAGAACAAATATCGAATAGTTTCTTGAGTAAATTAGCTTGATAAATAAAGTACAACCAAATTTTTACGCGTAATCTACAATTAACTTAATAAATAAAAATATTGTTTTCTATATTATTTTATTATAAGTTATAAGGAAGAGTATCTTTTTAATTTAAATTATACGAAATTTCTTTAAAAAGTAATAAATTAATTATTTGCAATCAATTGTCAAGAAAAGAATAATGGAAACAATTTTTGTTGGTTTAGCAATATTATTTATCATAGGTATCATTTTGATTTTCTGTGGTAAAAAGAAAGACGATGATTAAAAGGAAACACAAAAATATGAAGAAGTCTTGGTTTAACCTCAATGTAATATTTTCGAAACAAGAATTTTAAATAATCATTTAAAATTAAACTTGATAAATAAACAAAAAATAATATATTAATTTAAACAAAAGTGGACACTTTACCAACAATGACTCTCAATGAATTATCTAAATTTGATGGTAAATAAAATAAAAAAGTATACTTAGCTTGTAAAGGATTGGTTTTTGATGTTAGCGATTCAGGTATGTTTATTTATTAATTTATATTGCCTTTTTATGTCTTATAATGTATTATGTATAATTTTAAATGTAGAATTTTATGTCGGTGAAGGAGGTTATAGTGCTTTTGCTGGAAAAGACTGCAGTGTTAACTTAGCTAGAATGTCATTTGAAGTTAATGACTACAATAAATATGGTTAGGTTGAACTTACTCTCTCTGAAAGAGATGTTCTTGACTAATGGTATGAAAAGTACTATTCTAAGTATAGAATTGTAGCTAAAATTTCTGAAACAAAGAAAGATAATTGATTATTTTTATAATAATAAGCAAATGATTAATTAATAATATTAATAATTTAGTAGATTTTAGTTATCTGTTGATAAACAAATTGCATTATTAATATATAATATGTAAATTCTATAAAAATATTAATTATTTTCTAAAGTTGAAAATAATATTTTATATATTTATTAGCTAAAATAGAAGTATTTGGTAGAAAATAAATTTATAATAAATATTTTTTAAAATATTCAATTAGAAAACTCTCAAATAATTAGGTTAATTATTTTAAATTTATTTAAATTTTAAAAACAATTATAAATAGATGTTAAGGTTTTATAATTATGATTATTTTGTACCATAAAACCTCATCTAAATATAGCAACTTAATTTCTTGAAAAAATATGTTATTATTTATAATAAAACATATAAAAATTTTTTTTTTAACTCATAGAAATAGATCGAGATAATAAAAAATATAAGTAATTAAAATATATATTTTATTATGATAATGAAAAAGTATTCACTTTTGATAGAATTAATTATTTTTAGATTATTCACATTATTCATTGATGAATCAAATGATAACAATTTCTATATGAAGCTAAAGAATAAAATTAGCCAATAGCTATGTGTGATTTATTCCTCCTTAAAATTTAATAAATTTATTACACTAAATTAGTTTTTTCGCTAATTTATCAAAAATTAATAAAAATATCTTGCTATTTAGAAATCCTTTTTATTGAAATATTTTTTTGGATAGTAAATAGCAAATTCTGTTGTAAAACTTTTGAAAAATAATATGATTTAATTTTTTTATGTGTATACATTTTTTTAAAAAATTTAACTTAAAAAATTAAACTGAGAGATAAATATTTCAATAACAAAAAAATGTGTTGATAAATATCAAATGTTTAATTTTTCCAAATGTTTTAAATTAGCTTTTGATAATTCCTTTATATTTAGTATAATGTAGTAGCAGTATTTATTTATTTAGTTACTCTATTGAAAAAAGTGATATGATTTATTATTGTCCACTAATTAATTAAACTCAATAAATGATCTAATCCATTAAAAAAATAAAAAATTAGTACTAAGAATTTATAAAGAATATTTGTATCTTTAAATTAAAAAATCTAGAATCATAGTTAGATAGATTCATTATTTTTGTTAATAACTTTTACAAACAGACACAATAAAATCAAGCTAAACAAATAATAGGAAAATGGAACAAAATTAAGTAGATAATAGCATGAAGTGCTAAAAACATCTTAAAAACGATATAATTTACCTTTAAATAAATGAAATTAATGAAAAAAATAGTGTTTTTTACTGTGAAATTTGTGTTAATAGAGACTTTAATTTTAAGCCTCAAAATTTTGTTAGAATCAAAGAGATTTTAGATTATTGCAAAGACTCAGTCATATTTAATTGGCCTCCTCTGGATAGCCATGCCATTCAATAGCATCTTATTGAAATTTTTGAAAATGGAGAGAAAAAATGTGAGGGCTTAAAAAAGAAAATAGAAGATTATTTTGAGAGTCTAAAGAATGACATAATATCGAAAATAGATGATTGTAAAAGCTAGTTTCTTAAATTTGTTACAGAAAATCCTTTTAGTGAAAGCTAGATCAAAAAGAAATATGAGGAGTTATCTAAGGGCGATCTTCTCAATTAAATAATAAAAGAGCAATCTCATAATCCAAGTGAAGGAGAAAAGAATTACAGAAACTTCATTATTGAATTTATCGAAAAAAAGAAAGAAAACTCAGATTATTTGCTAAACATGATAGAAAAAAATAACTAGATATACAAAACAGTAGATTTTGAGAAACTTAATTAAATAAAATAGATGATGATTGCAGATTTTGATTAAATCAATCACATACTTTAAAACAATGGCGTTCAAACCCTTAAAAATGATATACTTGAAAGTCTTGAATTTATAAAATCTAAGCATGATACAAAATATTAAGATCTTCATATTGAAAGAGATAGCTTAAATCATAGTTTAACTCTTAAAATACAAGAATAACAGCTAGGATATGGCACATATTACTATTCTAATAAGATACTTGAAAAGAACAAAAAATACAGATTTAAAATCAAGGTTTCAAATGTTGACATTTCTAATTCTGCAAGATTTGGATTTGGACTGTGTAGAGACTAAATTAAAGACTCTGCCATCCTTTTGCAAGATAACATTTTCTTCCATGCAAGATTATCTCAGTTTTCACTCAATCCAACTAATCTCACAAATAGTGTTATTAAATTAGTTAAAGGAGACTTCAAGCACTGCAACAAAGAAATAGAAATAGAGATTAATATTTTCTTAGAACAAAAGATATTTAATGTAATTGAAGCAAATCATAATTTTGAAATCACTGTTGCAGATTAATACAAAGAAAATCTGTCAAATTATGAATCACTTAGGTTCTATTTATTACTTGACACATTTATTTAATTTTAGTTTATAGAAGCAGTTGAAATTTGATAAAATAATTTTTAATATGTAAATTTGCATGTAAATATCCCTTTCTATTTTATTTTAGATAATTATGTTAATTAAGTTCAAAAATTATTCATCTTATTTCATAAAATTAATTAGGAAATCTTTTCGTTTCTTATATCTTGTAATAAATTATTTTATTGTAACACAAAACTTACTTTTAATGTTGGATTTTAATTAAAGAGAAAATTATGAAATATTATTTTATTATTAATTGATAATTATTTTTATTATCAATAAAGTAAAAATATATTTCCAAAGATTAAAGAAGATAATCAATTTAGCTATTGGAATAAAATGATCTATCTACTTTTATTTATCAAAAAAGAACATTCTAATATAAAAAAATAATTTCTAGATGATTATCTATCTATCTTTAAAATAAGGCAATTTATCTTTATTTATGTTAAAATAAATGATTACTTCAAAGTTTTACTATATAATTAAATAATCTAATAATGAATAAAATCGATATATATTTAGGCTTAATTAAAGCTATTAAAATTAAAAGTAATAATTATAGAAATAATCAGGTATTTTACTATTCAAAAATTAAATTTTTTTTTATTTATTAGCTAAAAAACTTAATGTTTCATTAATTCTTATTTTCTTAATTTGTTTTATGTTTCTAAATAAATGATATGATATGATTTAAGTACATTAGAATAGTAGGAAGGAAGGAATAATAAATAAATGATCTTCTACTTTGTTTCTGATATTTACTTTTAATATTCTAATTTCTTTTTATATGAAAGTATTTTTTATATTTTTTAATTGTCAATATTATAATTTTATGAATAAGTCTAGAAGAAATTTTTTACTTTTAAACTTAAATTTAATTTATTATTATTATATTATAAATTATTTATTTATTTATTAATAATAATCTAATCTAAGATTATTTGAATTCAAAAAATACTTACTTTATTAATATATGTGGCTGTTAATATTTTAATTATAAAAAAGATATATATCTAATAAATAAATACACATTTGTTGCTAAAAAATATTCAAATAATGAATTTAATTTGTTCATCTCATAAAAGAAAGTGTGAGTATATATGCTTGAATCCTCAATGCTATATACAAAATAAGGATTTTGAGCTTGTTTGCCCTTAGTGTGTATTAAATGGGAAGCATAAAAGCCATGATGTAGTTGATTATTTTCTGTTTGTTGACTCTCTACACAACACCATAAACACTGATATTAATATTAATTAGTATTAACAAACAATTTAAGAGTAAATATAAAAATAAATACAAGTAATTACTGAGTATCTGTTGCAATAGTAAAATACCATTTAAAGATAGTTTATCAGATTTTGCTAAGATCTAAACAGAGAAAAAAAGTAAGCTTTATAAACACTTGATGCTTTTGAAAAAGTCATAAATTAGCAAGAAAATTAAGATTAAAATATGATAGAAAGTTTTAAGATTTCTTAGTTTGATATGTAGAGACTAATACACTTGTATAATGGAAAGCTTGGTATAGATTCTATTATTTAAAATACTTAGAAGGAGCTCTAAACAGTGATTAAAGCTGTTGATAAAATCATTTCAGAAGAACATTACTTCAATGATCTTACTTAGACTTTTTAAAACACAAATTATTTAATTAATTCTCCTAAAAAGATAAACACTATTGATATTATTTAAAAGTAGAGCAATCTTGGCTTATAAAGACAAAATAGTCTCTCTTTTTTAATAGGAAAGAAATGCTTTTGCTAGATAGACTTCAAGTGCATTTTAGTTGCTAATTAAGGATTTATTAAATTTATTGATGTTTAAACTCAAACAATAAAAAATATATTTTAATTCATCAAATTAAGATCAGGATTTGATGTAGAAATAAACAAAATTTAGTAAACTAAGGGATTGTTTTTTTATTATAATAAAGGTTAAAGTATTGTAGAAATCAGATCTATTTATGATAATTAAATTTAGAAAATATTTAATTTTGATTTTTGTATTTCTTCTTGTTTCATACAAAAGAATCTTATGTATTTAGGTTCAACATTAGGAGGAATATTTGTATTTAACTACAAAACAAAAAAATTCATATTTCAATTTAAATCAGAATTGTCAGAAATAGTTATTTCATTGTAACTTCTATAGCCAAATATTTTATTAGGTAGTTTGTTTTATTTAAAAATTAATTCATATTAATTTATAATAATTATTAAAAAGTGGGATAAATCGAAGATTTTGAAAGTGGCAGAGTTAGTGTTATTGACTTATCTACAAGGAAAGTAATAAAATAATTTACTTAATATCCAGATATAGAACTAGAAAATTATGTTTTAGAACTTATTAAAGTCAATTCACTATCTTTTATATGTGGTTTTGGAGACTTAAGATTGTATAAGCTAAATCCTTTTAAAAATACACTTTTAAATAAGTATTCTTTCGAATGGGAGCTATTTCACGATTCCTAAATTTACAGAAATAGATTTTTATTCCTCAAGGAGATAGATTTTATATTAATTTATGATCTAACTCAAGACAAAGTTGTTCACTAAATTAGCATCTCTTCATTCTTAACTTAGAGAGTTATTGGTCTTTATTTTATTTAAAATTCTTTAGTAATTATAACAGATAGAGGGAAAATAGATATTCTAGCTTTAAGTATTTGATTAGTAAGATTAGTTAGTTTTATATTTTACATTTAAATGCTATATATTTATATAAGAGTATATTATATAATCCAAAATTAATTAAATTATAAAATTTAACTGGATTTAATTTCAAATGTATTTACTTAAATAAATTAAAAATTTATCTATCTATCTAACTAACTTTATTCAAAATACTACTCAAAATAAAAATTTTTACAAAAAAATTAGAGAAAATACTAAAACCCATCTTAGTCTTTATACAAGTAGAAAAATAAATATGTTAAAAATGAAAGTTTACTGTATATAACTAAATAGAATTATTTGATAAATTTAAAATATTTTAAATAAGTTTCACTTTTTTGAAGAAATAAATGACTCCAAAAATTGCTAAATTTAGATATTTGAACCTGTAAATGTATTATATTCTTAATCTGAAACAATATGACTTTTAATGAAAGATTAAAACTAGGCGATATCTAAGAGTTTATTTTGATTATTTGGAATATTAATATATTTTCCATTATACTTAATTCTAATTTTAAAACTTTCATTTATTTTATTATCTAATATTGATGTGGTTTTTATATCATTCTGTTTTTAATATAATTCGAATGTAAAATTAGCACAATATGGAGGATATTATTCTATAGTTTTTATTTAAGAATATAGTTCGCTCTTTTATTTATTTAAATTTATCAATTCAAACAATTATAACAGTGGAACAATCCTACTATCGTGAGTAATTCCAATTATCATATTCATATTAATTTAATTTTGTATTTTTAGATCAATTATCTTAAGTAAGTAATTAAGCAAGGGACTTATAGTTACTCTACTGTAATATTATGTATATTATCCATGCAACTTTTAGAAAGCTTTAAGATAGTTTAATAAATCATATTCGAATTCACTTAAATTATAGCTTATTCCAAAATATTTTTAACTGAGAGATATGTCAAACAAAGAAGATACATCGAAATGATTAAAATCTTCATGAAGTTTAATCTTGTTTTTTATTTATTTTAACTCCTTTTCAAATTATTAAATTTCTTCTTATACAACTTTCATATTTTACTTTTTCTATTCATCAATAACGTTTTTTTTGTTTGGTAAAGTTGGATTTAAAATATGATCATCAACTCCGAAATTTCTAATTGGAAAAGGATAAACTTTCAAATCACACCCTTAAAATTCAAGTGTTTATTGAATTTACTAGTTATTATTTTAAGAATTATCACAAAAATATGGTGGATTTATTTGATAATTCTAAATACTGCGACTATTGATTTAAACAGATTCTTCTGGATATAGGCCTTACATGAAAGAATTAGCGCTCTGAAGGCATCTACTTGAATTAGATGAATAAATTGAAATCTCATTTATATCATAATTTTGTCCTAAGAGTTTCTTTTAACTAATATATTCTTCTCTAATCAGCTATCCTAATTTTTTTTACTAAACCATTCCAATGTGAGTCAAATGGCCTTTATAGTTAAGTTATTGCTCATAATGTTGATGACCTTTTAAATGCTATCCTTTCATAGAATATCTATGCCCATGTCTTATCAATTAATAGGCAAAAATCAAGCGATATTAACTTATCAGTTGATTTGAACAAAAGCAATACTTCATTTTATAAGCACTCATATTATAAAGTAGTTAAGAAAGTAATTAATTAATAACTTGTAAAATCTAAATTTAATTCTAAGAAAGATCTTACTTACTTAAATCAAAAAATAAATAAATTATTTCTATAATAATAAATTTTTATTATTGAAATATTTTATAAAATGAAGGTAAAAATGATAATAAATGGCTATTTGAATATAAAATATTAATACATTTTTTGATTAGAAATGAAATTTATTTTTTTAAATTTGTAAACTTTTTAATATTATTTTAAATCAATTAAAATATAAAGAGTAAAAAAGAGATTCATTCATTCATACATAATATATATCTTAGTATTTTAAAAAATTAATTCACTTTTAAAAACAAACAAGCAATTAAAATAAATCATTTAGTAAATAAAAATCTTAAATAAATTAGAAAAATGAATGAATTTTTAAAAAAATAAAATTTGAGAAATTAATTCGCTAAAGCATATATAATTTTGAATTATATTTGCTTTTACTCAAATGTTTACTATAAATAAATCTGATAAAATCTAAAAAATAGTATTTACTTTATGCAAAATATTTGTTAACCTCTCTTTTTCTAAAAAAATAGAACTATTATTGTGTAGTTAGGCAAAATAAATATTAAGCTGATTGATTGAAACCTCAAAATTAATTAAATAGATAACAAAATATAAATATCTTTTAATTATTTGGTAGAATACTTTATTTATATAATAGATTTTATTAAAAAAATTCACTTTAAGATTTTTAATAAAAGCTAAGTTTACTTAAAATAAATAATTAGTTTTATTTAAATAAAATTAACTATTAATTGAAATTCATATAATTTAAATTTTTAAAATATGCATAAAATTTCCAAATCTCACATTTTTTGGATCTAATGGGTATTAAGTTTTGATGTTTTTACTAAATATTTTTTTAAAAGGTAGAGTTAGAGAATCTGTAAGTATCAAAAAATCATCAGATTATATTATATTTTCTTTTATCTTAAAGCTCATATCGCTGTGATTTATAAAATCTGTAGATTGATTTAACTATATTACTGATTATAATCCTGGTCTTTATATGTAAAGAATGTTTTCTATTTTATCAAAATTTTTAAGGGATTTTGACAAATAAATATCATTTTCAAGCCTAAGAGCAGCATTTACAGACACTAATTACTATTAAATATTATAGAGCAAACTTCTTTACATTTTTTACTTGCATAAACCCATAAAATTATTTAATTCACAATTTTGAAAGCTACTTTGAAGCATATTTAGACAATTTTCAAAAGCTTCTAAATACTGTTTATTTTAAAATAATATCGAGGTGGTTATCGATTCATAAAGATTCTGCTTTAGGTATTCGTTAAAATCCTCATGATTAGAGTAAAAAATACAAGCAATAAAGTTGGATTTATGTTTCTTGGTTTCATTATTTTAATCTTTAGTAATTTAATCATTATGATTACTTTAGCTATGTGGTAATTCAATCACAAAATAAGAAGAAACTTTTTAAACATTCTTAGTTCTAGTTTAGCATGCAAATTCATATTTTATATTATTGTTTTCTTTAGATATATAATCCAAATAGTAAATATCGTGCCCTATATTATACATCTATTTATTTATTTATATTTTGTTTTAACTTTATCTTTCTACTTTCTACTAATTAATTATATGATTCATTCTAATCTGATTAGCAATTATCAGAAAATAAATTTTCTATATAATTTTTCTAACTGAATTAGAACAATATACAAAATAAAAATAACTTTATATATTATATATATTAATATGTTAATAATGGCTTTAAATAATAATTATTATTATCCAAAATAATTTTTAGTAATTTATTTGTTTATTTATTTAAATTGTAGAGTATTTGTAAATTAGAAAATATAACTAATTATCTTAAAAATAAAATTAATATTTTAAAGCAAATTACACTTAAAAAATTGCAGGCTTAACATTTTGATAATTTTTAAAATAGTATAAATATTTTTTGTGATGGAAATAGATTGTTTTGAAAGTTAATATACTTAAATTTTAGCCTAAAAAAATAATTAAAATAGGTATGATAGGGGTGTTTTTAGTGAGATAAAAATTTTTAAAAAGGATTAAAAAGCTTATTTTTATGTTAATTAATTAAATTCTTATCTACTTATTTTAGTCAATAAATCAAGAATATGTATTGAAATTTCCATTTAAAGCTTATAAAGTTGTTTTATTATCAAAAATTAAACGTATTTATTTATTTATTTATTTATTTATTTATTTATTTATTTTGTAGATTGATTACAACAAAAATGAATTTTTCTAAGTAATTAATTATTTTAAGCATTTAAGTTTAAATTTATATACAATAAAATAAAAAAACTTACCGTAAAAATGTATTTTGATATTCTAACATCTATTTTAGGAATAATAAATAAATTAAAATCCATTTATTGTAATTAAAAAATTATAAAGATTTATTTTGTTAAATAAATTTTTTTTTCATTTAAGTTAAAATAAAATGTTTCATAATAATTAATCATAAGAAGACTACATAAAATTTAGGATTTATTTTGTAGAATCAAAATATTTTTTATAAGAGCTAAATGAATATTTTTAATTATCTTCAAAACTTTAATTTTAGAAAATACATGGTCCTACCATTAAACTTTATAGTATGTTTTGGGTATTTAGTACGCACATTTTCAGTAATTTAATCATTAGAGCATTAATTACTACTTAAAATAATCTCTTTTATCTTTTTTGAACTTTCTTTTAGCTGATAAACGTAATTGTCATAACGTCTTACATCCTTAAAATCATCTACTTCATTATAAATTTCATTATGATTAATGTCCATGCTATTTTAAAGCTTAATGCACCATTTATTTTAATATATATCCTATTTAGACCCAGATTTGCTCATAAATACTTAGTCTTCTATGAACATAACAAGATTAATTACACCTAAATAAATTTATTTGTCTCCATTATATTTTTAGTATTATGAAAAAGAAGATTTCAATGATTCAATAGAATCTAAAAAGGAATAAATGCCTTATATTATATTTGAAAATCCTTCTAAATATTGCTTATTTTTCAAATAAATATTGTCAGTTAAACAGTTTTAAATATAATTTTTTAACTTCTCAGCTATATCTTTTTATTCATCATAAATAACACCTGCTATGAAATTAGTTTTTGAATCGTTTTATTCGTCATCCTCAATCAAACTATTCAAGTCAAAAATAAAATAAACTACATTTCTTTAAGATGTTTGTTCTGTATGCTCGCTTGCGAATTCATACTCTATTTATGAAACTTTACCTTCAAAAAACTATAAAAAGTGTTCTTTTAAGACTAAACAACCCATTTATTTGTAAGCAAATCAATAAATCTGAATGTTTGTTGTTATCAAAGCATTTAATATAAATATAAAAAACTAGACAAGATATTTAATTAAAAACGAAATTTAATTTATATAAAAGCAAATTAATATGCACCATACCTTAAAAAAATTTTATAATAAACAAAAAAATCGATTATTTTGTTTTTTCTAAATAAATCGGCTTAAGCCTCATAAAATTTTTTAGATTTTAAACACTGTTGATAATATATATTCAATTATAATTCAAAAAACTGATCAAAATTTAATTTTAAGGAAGTACATATGAAATTATAGATCATCTTCCTATTAGCAAGGATATAATTTTCTGACATCTGAAAGAATGGTTTTATCATAACACTAATTACTACTCAAAATTATTTCTTGTAAATTTTTAGTCAGATTTTATTTAATTTCATAATAATTATTTTGTTAGTCTACCAAATCTGTTTATTTGTCTAATTATCTATATTTATTATCAATTTTTATGTACCATTAATTACTTACTTAATCTAAATTGCTAATTGACTTAGAAACAAATATTTTATCTCCTACTTTCAACATTAAGTTCGTCAAAAAATAATCTATCAAGCTAGAGTAAAAATATGACCCTTTATTGTTAAAATTTTTTTGAGATTCTGAAGAATAAATAAAGTTTTTAATGGCTGAAATTAAATTATCAAATCCTTCTAAGTAGTTGCCTAGCTTAAAATAAATGTTATCTTTCAAACAAGAGGATATAAATTTTCTTATATTTAATGAAATATTCTATTAAAAATCATACAAGATACCAACAATCATATTTTATTTTTAATTTTCTTAGATAATTTCAGAATTAGGATTAAGCTAATCTAAATCTATTGCAAAATAAGAAACTTGATCCTATACTAATTGATTATAATATTCACAAGCGAACTCATAGTTCGAATCAGATACTTTTCCCTCAATAAATTGCAGATAGCAGTTTTACAATACAAAGCACCCCATACTTTTATTCAAGAATTTTATCCTTTTAAATAAATTATTTATGCAATTTGATTATTAAAAATATTAGGCATATCTTTTTTGAATAAATTAAGTATTAAATAAGATGAATAATCTAAAATAATAAATTCTTAAAAATTTAATTTTACAATTGCATTTGTTTGAGTAAAGAACTGATTTTTTTTCAATTTTTCTTGAGAACTTTTTTTTCCACTAAATTATTTAAAATTTAAAAGTTATCTATTAAAAGTATAAATGAGTAAAAAAGTTATCAAAATATTTTTGATATTTATTTGCTAATTTTAGAAATTAACTATAAAATAATATCATGTTGTATTTATTGATAATAATAAATTATTTATTTATTGAGTTTGCTTTGAAGCAAAAATGTATAGCATATAATAACACAAATATAAATATAAAAAAATAAAATATTTTATAATTATGTTTGAATTTAATATCATATTGGCTTATTTAATAATTTAATAGATATCTTCTGTAATTTTTATATTAATATTTCCTATTTTTTTTCAATTAATTAAATTATTATAAAACAGAAAATATATTTTTAAAAATTAAAATTAATTGCTATATTTTTAAATAAATCTTTAAATTAATTTAAAGTAATCAGTAAATTAGATTTTTGATAAAATTCATGATTTTTAATTAATATGTAAATTAAATTGTTAAACTGAAATTAGTTTTATATTTAAAATATTTGTTTCTTACTAATTACCTAGCTTAATTTATAAGATTTACTCTTAAATTGATTCAATAAATTGAGAACATGTTGAAATTGTAACTTAAAATTTATAAAGCTGTTTTTCTATCAATAATTTTACAAAAATATTTATTTTACAAGCTACAAAAAAATGAATTATTTTATGTATTTACATTTAAATTTATAATAAAATAAAAATTTAATTTATTTGATATTCTTACAACTATTTTAGGCATAAAGAAATTAAAATCCATTTATTGTAATTTAAAATATAAAAAAGATTTACTATTGTCAATATGAACTTTTTATATCGTTTTAGTTAAAATAAATTAAATATCTTTCAACATAAATAATCATCAGAAAACAAAAAATTTTGGATTTAGTTTTTAATTAGTAGTATCAAAATATTTTTTATAAGAACTGAATATATTTATTTATTCATCATCAATACTTTAATTTTAGATAATACATGGACTTATAAATAGTATTTACTTTTCTTTTTGGGTATTATTTACGTACATTTTCAGTAATTTCATCATTAGAACATTAATTACTACTTAAAATGATCTCTTTTACCTTTTTCGAACCTTCTTTTAGCTGATAGATATATTTATCATAATTTATAACATCTTTAAGAAGATTTACTTCTTTGTAACTTTCAATAAATTAGATACCCCAGCTATTTTTAAGCTTAATGAGCCACTTATTTTAAAATTTATAGTTTTTAGACCCTGATTTACTCAGATAAACTTAGTCATTTATGGACATAATAAAATTAACTACACCTAAATACATTTCTTTGTCTCCATTATAGTTAAAGTACTATGAAGAAGCTTTTAGTGATTCAATAGAATCTAAAAAGGAATAAACGCCTTATATTATATTAGAAAATCCTTCTAAATATTGCTTGTTTTTCAAATAAATATTGTCAGTAAAGCAGTTTTAAACATAACTTTTTAACTTTTCAGCTATATCTTCTTATTAATCATAAATAATACCTGCTATGAAATTAGTTTTTGAATCTTTTTATTAGCCACCTTCAATCAAATTATTCAAATCAAAAACAAAATAAGCTAACTTTCTTTAAGATGTTTGCTATTTATGTGAACTTGCGAATTCATACTCTATGAATGAAATTTTACCTTCCAGAAACTACAAAAAGTATTTATTAAGGACTAAACAACCCATTTGTAAGCTAATCAATATATCTGATTTTTGTTACTTTATCAAATTATTTAATAAAATTATCAGAAACTAAATCAAGAAATTTAATTAAAAACAAAGAAAATTTAATTTAATTAAAAACCTATATAATAATTAATACACACCACACCATCCATACATATTTTATATTCAATTTTATTAAAAACAAAAAAATTTATTATTTTAATTTTTATGTTAATTAATTAAATGCTTTCTATTTATTTTAGCCAATAAATTGAGAATATATAATATATTGAAATTGGTATTTAAAATTTATAAAGTTGTTTTATTATCAAGAAAGAAATAGAGATATTTATTTATTTTGCAAATTGCAACTAAAATGAATTTTTCAAAGTAATTAATTAATTATTTTATGAATTTACATTTAAATTTTTTTACAATAAAATAAAAAAACAAACAAACTTACAGTAAAAATATATTTTGATATTCTTAAATCTATTTAACGCAATTATGAAATTAAAATCCATTTATTTTAATTAAAACTTTCTTAAGATCTCTATAGTCAAAATAAACTTTCTTTTTTTCATTTAGTTTTAATAAATTAAAATCTTTCAATAATTAATCATCAGAAGAAAAAAAAATTTTAGATTTAGTTTTTAATTTGGAGAATCAAAATATTTTTTATAAGTACTGAAAATATTTATTTATTTATCTTCAAAACTTTAATTTTAGATAGTACATGCTCTTATCATTAAGCTTTACAGAATCTTTTGGGTATTAAGTACGCACATTTTGAGTAATTTCATCATTAGAACATTAATTACTACTTAAAATAATCTCTTTTATATTTTTTGAACTTTGTTTTAGCTGATAAACGTAATAGTCATAACTGTTTACATCTCTAAAAAGATTGACTTCATTGTAATTTTTATTAAGTTTGATGTCAATGCCATTTTAAAGCTTAATGCACCACTTATTTTTAAATATCTCCTTTTTAGACCCAGATTTGCTCATAAATACTTAGCCATCAGTGAACATAACAAGATTAATTACGCCAAAATAAATTTATTTGTCTCCATTATATTTTGAGTTTTATGAAAAAGAAGATTTCAATGATTCAATAGAATCTAAAAAAGAATAAGCGCCTTATATTATACTTGAAAATCCTTCTAAATATTGCTTATTTTTCAAATAAATATTCTGAGTTAAACAGTTTTAAATATAACTTTTTAACTTCTCAGCTATATCTTCTTATGAATCATAAATAATACCTGCTATGAAATTAGTTTTTGAATCTTTTTATTAACCACCTTCAATCAAATTATTCAAATCAAAAACAAAATAAGCTACGTTTCTTTAAGATGTTTGCTAATTATGTTCACTCGCGAATTCATACTCTACAAAAGAAATTTTACCTTCCAAAAACTATAAAAAATGTTTTTTGTGGACTAAACAACCCATTTGTAAGCTTATCAATCAATCTGATTTTTTTGTTTTTCAAAATATTTAATTAAATTATAAGAAACTAGACAAAAATTTAATTAATAACAAAATTATAATTTATATAAAAACAAACCAATCTAATAATCATACTTATCCCAAGCCTTTTTTACAATCCCAGCCAATTAATACTTAAAGAATTATAAATGAGAAAATAAAAGCATTTAATTGATTAAAAAGTAAATATTCTGGAATTGTTCTATTCATCAAAAATAAAAATTAATTAAGAGGTTAATTTGAAAAGGGTGTTTCCCTTTCAAATTTTGCTTTCAATTTAGTATCTTATTTGCCTATTTGGTAATCAAATAATTTTTATATAAATTTTCTTATTTTTAAGTTAATTAAATTCTAATTAAGAGAGAAAGAATAATTTATAAGATACTTAATGCTTATTTTACTAATTAAATAATTAAATTTATAAGATTTGCTCCTTATTTTAGTCAATAAATTGATAATATGTATTGAAATTGTCATTTAAAATGTATAAAATTACTACATTATCAAAAATAAAATTAATTTTTAAATGTAATTAATTATTTTATACTCATAATTTTAAATTTACTTTTAATAAAAAAGCTTCAAGCTAAAATTTATTTTGATATTCTTTCTATTAGGTGTGAAGAAATTAAAATCCATATATTTTAATTAAAAAATTATAAAGGTTTCTATTTCCAAAATGAGCTTCCTTCTTTTATCATTTTAGTTAAATTAAATTAAATACCTTAAATAAAAAATAACCATCATAAAACAAACCATTTTTGATTGAGTTTTATAATTTGTATAATGAAAATATTTTTTTATAAGAACTAGATATATTAAATTATCTTCAAAACTGTAATTTTAGATAATACATGCTCCAAACAGTAGTTTCTAACATTATTTTGGGTATTAAGTAAGTACACAAACACACTTTGAGCAATTTCATTATGAGAAAATTATAATTATTACTAAATTTTTTATCTTATTTGAAACTTCTTTTAGCTGGTAAACGTAATTATCATAAATATTTACATCTTTAAAAAGATTTACTTCATTGTATTTTTTTATAAGTTTGTTACTCATGTAATTTTAAAGATTAATGCACCGCTTATTTTAAATATATCGTTTTTAGACCCAGATTTACTCATAAATAAATACTTAGCCTTTATGAACATAACAAGATTAATTAAACATTTGTTTAGTCCATAATATTTATAGTATTATGAAGAAGATATATTTCAATAATTCAATAGAATCTAAAAAGGAATAAGCTCCTTATACTATATTTGAAGATACTTCTAAATATTGCTTATTTTTAAAATAAATATTGTGAGTTAAACAGTTTTAAATACAATTTTTTAAGTTCTCAGTTAAACCTTTAAAATTTTTAATTATAATTTATAAAAATAATAAAATTTATTATTAAACAATAAAAGTAAATTAAAAATCTAAAACCAAAATTAAAAAAATTCTTATTTAAAAATTTTAACACAAACAAACAATTTCTTATTTATGTTTTTAAAATATTTTTTATTTATAAAAGGAAGAGGTTTGTTTGTTTGTTAGTTTGTTTATTTGTTTGTTGGTCTTAAACCATATTATTTCTATAACTAATTTTGAGAGACAATAAACTAATATTATTTTGTTTTAGTGTTATTATTTTTATTTTAATAAAAAAACAAAAAAATTTAAGAAAAATATTTAGAGTTAAGTAATAAAATAGAATAATAAATCTTATTTTCTAATAGAATTGGATTGTTAATAGAACAGGAAATCTTCCTTTCTGAATATATAAAACAAAGAAATAACTTTATAAGGGTAGAAACAAACAATCTATGATTTTTAGAAATATATTGCATAAAAAATAAATAATATTTAGATCGATTTTCAAATATAATTAAATTAGTCTTTAAATTTGTAGATTAAATAGTAAATTTAGATTAATTTTTGGAGTTTTATTAATTTAAAGCTTATAAGTTTAGCTCTATAATCTGAATATTAAAGTTATTAGTTGATATTATTGCTTAAAAACATTTTTTTAAGTTTTTATTATGTCTTTCTTTCTTTAATTATCTCATTTTTATTTAGAAACGACTAAAAAATCTGAAAAAAATAAGAATACTGCTTACTCATGAAAATAGAAATCATGAGTCAATTTTGTTTGATTGGCTGAATAAATATGATAAAACTGATTAAATAGTAGATTTATTTGCAAAATAAAATATTATATAATTTATTTTCATAATTATCTCTCCTCCCTCCATCCCTCCATCTTTTACAAATTATTTTTTCTGATTAATTGGATAATTAATATAACTATCTAAATAAATCATCTTTAAAAATATTAACGTAAACTTAAAATTTATTGTCATATTCTATCACTCACTCACTCACTACTTATTAATATTTACATTTGAGAGTGATAATTTAAGCAACAATAAAAGTAGATGATTGTTTGTCTCTACAAAAATAAATGTTAAAAAAATATCTAAAAATGTTAATAAATATATTTCTATAAATAAAAATACAAACTCAAATTAAAAATAAGATTTATTTAAAATATAAATTTTTTTCAGGATAATTAATATCAAACTAAAGCTGAAAATATTTGCTTGCTTAATTAGAAATAGGTGGATTATGTTACAGATTTCAAGCATATAAAATAGCGATATAATGATTTGAATGCTTTTATCTATCCATACAATGACTATAACTATTAAAAGTGCATATTATCTCAAAGATTAATAATATTGGACTGAATATTAAATTTTTTAAATTGTTTACATTAATTAATTGTTTTGATTCTCGATAATTACAAATTAAAAAACAATTTATAGAGGGTATTCTTTTATTAAAATTAAACAATATCTAAAAGAATAATAATAAATTTATCAACTAGCAAGCTTAAAAAAAAGAAGGATAAGAGCCAAATTTTTATTGAACAAGATTAGATTTAGGCTAGCAAAAAATATATCTATGATTACTGTAATAAATGACTGTAATAACTCAACTTTGCAATGTGGTATGACCATAACAGCTAGCTTATATGCCTTTTCTGTCATGGTATTTTCATTGGTTTGCATAATTAAAATGTGGAGATCTACTTTAAATCTAAAATTTGAGTCACTATCATTACTCACAACATTTGTTCAAAGCATGCTTCAGTTCATATAAAATTTTTTAATAGAAGATATTCGTGTGCTTCTCAGCAGCTAATTTGTGCAAGCTATAACCTTTTCTTTTGTGGCAATGAGCTTTACTCTACTTTATTTCAGGACAAATATATTGAAGCCTTAAAAAGACTAATAAGCCAAGCGCATAATATTAAGGATATTTATAATTTACAAAGTTTTGATTATTGCGATTGCAATTTATGTGCTAGCTACCTTAAAAAAAGGAGATTGTTAAAACTGGTTTTCTTGGAGCTACTTCGTTCCTCTAACCCTAAGTGGGTCCTCAATGCTAATTAGTTTTGTTTTTGGTATAGGGCTTTATAATAAAATATAAAAGGAGAACATCATCGATTTAGAATAAAAAAATGTATAAGAAGATTTGTAAATTTAAAAAAAAGGGTATTTACACCATCTTTTAAAGAGCTAGGTCCGCTCAATAATTATTACATATTTATTCACCACTGTAGCTCAAATAGCGCTGAATGTAATCAGAGAATACTCAGTAGAACCAAGCATTGTTTGCACTGATGATTATATTTTCTCTTCATTTAAAAATGAATCTGAAGTATTTTTATTTTTCTTTTCGTTGGTAGAGATAACTCCATGCTTGATTGTGCCCTATGTCTTTTATTACATTCCATTTTCTAAGGCTAAAATTAATAAAAACCGTGAAGATTTAATCTTTAAGTTTGAAATTGGAGACTCTTCAGATGAAGATTCTACTAGCAACAGTAGACAAGGTAGTCTTTAGAGTAGTTTATGTGAAGAAACAAATTAAAATTCAATTAATCAATACAATGACGAAGAGTACGAATAATCAAATGTAGTTTGTGCAAAGTTTGTTAGCAATTATAGTCAATCTAGTGAAATAAAATCATCAAATTTACCATAACCATAAACTATTCAACCTCTCTCTAAGTAAAATTCAGCTTAAAAGAAACAAACAGAAAATAATGAACATGATGACAACACCATTCCTGAAAGATATAAAAGAAATACTATTGATGGAATTGCAATCTTGAACTATGGATTTAAATTTTCTGATTATAATAATAATAATAATATGTAAACGCCTCATAATAATTGACTCAAATAATTTAAATGAAATTTAATTAAATAATAAAAGAAATTTAAAAGTTTAGCATGAAATATATAGATAGATACTTATTATCAAATAAAATCTATTAAAAGTTAGCTTACAAAGCCAACTTTTTCTAAATAAATATAAATCTTATCCTAACAAATTTTAACAAAATGTATTTTTATTTTCTTATGATATTTATAAATATATATGTATATAAATTTGATAAATTAAAAGTATCAAATATAATATATCAAAATTACTATATAAATGATTCTTTATTAATTTATTTAACAATTAATTAATTTTTAAGTTTAAAAAATATTTCATTAGATAAAAAAATTAATGAAAAGTAAATCTAATTAATAATCCAGATAGATAGATTCTATTTTTATCTATGATTTTATTTGATTTTTTAGATGGATAAAATTAAAAATTAATTTAGAATAATTACATTGCTTTATTTACAATTAAATTATTTCTTTTTGATTTACATTTGAATGAAGAAATTATTTCAAATTCAGATAGACTTGCATCGTTCAAATATTTTGTCTAATAGCATATTGAAAAAGTTGATGCTCTAAAATTTTGTATATAAGTATAGATAATAAATCAATTATGTTGATTAGAAGGTCAAAATTAAAATAAAGAGTTTATTATATCAGAAATATTTGTAAGGGATTGTGGATATACTTTATCAGAAAAAGTTCATTAAACTTACTTTTTAATTTTAAATTAAAACCCAATTAAAGTCTTATGTAATGAAGAGCATTGGAATAAAAATATTTTAAATTTAAAATCTTATTTGAAGTTATTGGAGATTGTCAGATTTATAAAAAGTTTAATTTTATATTTAAAAATTTTTTAGTTTTTTAATTGAAGTTAGTATTTTTTTTAATAGATTATAAGGTAAGCAATAGAAATAGTTTTTATAATTAATTAATTAATTAATTTATATAATAAACAATTATCAATTATTGTGAAACAAAACATTTATTTTATTTAAGGAATTGGAAATTTATCAAATTAAATATTTAATTTTGAAAATATATCAGAAAAGATATGGTATCTTTAATAAGATACATCGATATCAACAGAAAAGGAGAACTAATTAATTTACTAATGATTAATTTTTAAATCAAAAATAATTTAGAATAATCAAAAATTAATAATTTAATGTAAAATATGAAGATAATGAGAAATCATAAACTCTATACAATACTGTGCTCAATTAATGGATTAATCCAATGTTGTGAAGTAAATTTTTAAAATAAATGCCTTTGTTGAACCTTACAAAAATATTTTGTCTCAATTTCTTACTTAATAAGTAGTTAAAAATTATTTCATACTTAAAATTGTAGAGCTATTATTTCACAAAGTAGACTTTGACATAATAAGAAGATAATCTAATTATATTGCTCAATCAAAATGAAGATGCAGTCTTTTTTTTTTTAAGAATTGTATGCTTGATATTAAGTTGTGCAAGTGTCTTTTTTTATTATAGAGAGAATAAGAAAAATTTGAATATTGTTACCATTCTTATTTTACTTATTTGCACACCTCCAAGAGTGAATGCTATTGTTCATATTGAAGTAGATTATCAAATAGACTCTATAATTAGCATATTTTCAACTCTCAAGTTTATTGAAATTATCAAATATATTTTAATCAATAATGAATATTACAATAAGAAGCATTCTTTTTGGTTTTCTTTTAAGAGTCTTAACTAGTTTAGACCTTTAATGCTAATTTCATCAATTACCCTTCTTTTTATTTTTGTTTTCAGTTATATAATATTTGTGCTTGAACTTAACAAACAGCCTGAATAATTTAATTCAATATTGTAAAGTAAATTGCCTAAAATTATAAGTAAATATTAGAAAATCTATTTTATATATATTAGGTGGATATTTTGTTATTGTCGCAGTAACAACAGTCGGTTATGGAGATCTGATACCTAAAACTTACCTTGGAAAAATATTTACTAATTTTCTATGTCTTTCAGGTTAAGTTTTATTGAGTCTTCTAGTCATAATACTTATAAGCTTATTCAACCTTACTGATTAAGATTAAGAAAAAATAAAAGCTTTTGAAAGACCTTATTCAGAAGATAATCAATTTAGAATGCTTTTAGGAAGGGTTGACATACACTCAAATATATCTAAAGTTTAATAAGGAATTTTAGATGAATTAGAATTCTTGATAGAATCATTCGAATACTAAAAACAACAATAGGTAAATAAATAAATAAATAAATAAATATTCTTTTTTATTATATTTAATCGATGTTTATATAAAACATTTTAATAAATCCTAAAATTTATAAATAGAAGCTAGCTAAAATGGTTAAGTGTTGTATATCTTCATAAGATTTTATATTTAAATCAGAATAATTTAAATTAATAAATTATTTTTTGGATAATTGATATTAAATATACTTAAAAGTAAGTTTTTTCTTTTAAAACTCAAATATTTTAAGAAAAATAAATAAATCTTTTAAATAATTTAAATAAATTATAGCATAACCAACTAAAATTTTTTAAATTGAGAATTAAGTTAAAGCTTGGAATAAATCCTCTTTTGTTAATTTAAATAAAATAAAATAAAAATTGTCAATCCAATAGATAGATTGAGAAATAATATCAAAACCCAGATTAATAATAAATATTAGTTAACAATATTTTTTAGATATTTATTAAATAAAACTAAAACATTTAAAAAATTTTTTAGGTTAATAATTTTTTGTAAAAAGTAAACTCTTAAAGAATTTGATTAAGCTTTTGATGAAGCTCTTCAGGATTTAAGTGAACATGCTGCTGAGTTAAACATGTGAGAAAGGAAAATAATAAAATAAAATATACTTGTTTTTTATTTATATAAAAATTTGATTTATTAATTTATATTTCATCGCTTATATTTATTTATAAGATGAAAATAAATATATCTAATAATTAAATTTGATTACAATATATTTATTTATTTATGTATCTATTTATCTATATGCTATTATATGTTACAATTATAATTCCTTAATTATTTATTTATTTAATGCTTTTTTGTTTTATTGAAAGTCGATCTATGACTAAACTTCATTCATTTTAGCCTCATTTGTTCATAATTAAATGTTTTAGTCTAGTGGTTGCTAAAACTGAGAATTGGGCACGCTTTTTAAATTTTTAGAAATTAAATAAATTTATGAAAATATATTTGTTTGTTTAAAATTTACTCTTAATCTACGTCTGGCATTGAATTATCTAAGAGCTTCAAGAGAATCAGGTAAATGCTTACGAGAAGCACCACCGTCTTTAATCCAAGCATGATTCAAAATCTATTCAGCATTATATCTTTATTTGGGATCAACTTTTAATAAATTTTTGATTAAATCTTTAGCTTGGTTTGAGATGGGATCCCACTGAGGAGAAGGGAATTCAAACTAACCCTTCTTAATCATAGCAAAAAGCTTCTCGTTAGTATCTTCGTAGAAAGGAGGGAAACCACATAATCTTTTCATTTATTTTAAAAAAAAGTTAATTAATTGCTTTTCCTATTTTATAATATTTTTGATATTCTTTGCTTTCTTTTTTTAATGCATTTATCTAAATATTGATTTTTGCTTGGTTAAATTTAGATGAATAACTTACAAGACATAAAGAATAACTCCGATACTCCAATAATCAACTGCAAAAGTATAGCCTTTGCCTTCCAAGATTTCAGGAGCAATATAAGAAGGAGTACCACAAGCTGTTGTCATCAACTCATCTGAAATAACTTTGGCCAAACCAAAATCAGAAATCTTAATAGTTGCATCTGGATCTGGAGAAGTGTATAATAAATTTTCAGGCTAGTTAGTGTACAAATTTTAATATTAAATATGATAAAAAGAATTGAATTAACACAAAATATATGTATGTAATTATTTGTTTTAAATAAAATTCTACAAAAATATTTAATACAAAATGTAAAATTTGGATTTAATAATTCATTGATTACTTTTAAATCTCTATGTGCAATACCCATTTTGTGACAATAATTAATGGCATCTACTATTGGCTTAATAACATCACAAGCTTCTTTTTCAGAATAGAATTCTTTTTCTACTATTCTATCGAAGAGTTCTCCACCAGTCATGAGTTCCATAACCATGTAAAACTTACTCTTTTCGTCATAAACACAAGTGCATTTGACAATGTTAGGGTGATCTATCTATTTTTTTAATTATATAGTTGCAATTTTAAAGTTATAAGGTCCAATTAATTATTAATTAATTACATTAGCCATAATTTCGCATTCTGTTTCAAGGGCAAGCTAATCATCGTGCTCTAAATTAGCTCTAATTTACAAAATACATTTTATTGATTCTCCAAAGAAAAAAAAAGCTCTTACTTGTCAATGACTTTTACAGCAACTTCTTCATTATTCTCTTTTCTAATGCATTTATGGACTACTGCAAAAGAACCCCTTTTATTTTTAAAAATTGGAAATTAACAAATCGTTTCCTTGGCTATTTTCATTAATTCATTCAAGCTTTTTAAGGCAAGCAGTATGAAGAAATAATTTTCTTTCTCATAACAGTTTAATAGCAATATTGTGAGTGAAAAGTAAAATAAAAATGAATGAAATTACTCTCCTAAAACTTTATCAAATTTAAAATCCTCTTTGATATTTTTAGTCTTGTAGAAATCGTTTTGCATTTCTTCTATTTAACTAACTTACTTACTACTTTTTTTTTAAGAAAAAGAATTTATGTATTTCTTAATTTATTTTTATAATTTTTAAAGATTGCTGGATTTAATGCAAGCAACTTTGATTGATTTATTTGATTTGTTTTTATTAACTCTGCGAGGTTGAATAATAAATTATAAAAAATATGAATGAGTATCAAAATGATTCATTCTTTTATTAATATTTATCAAGTTTTATTTACATATTTTAAAATTTTAATAACTCAAATGATTCTTGCTTGCTTTCTTCATGCGAAATTGGTAATTAACAATGATCAATCAATCAATCAATCTATCTACATATTTATTTATTTATCAATTAATAATTTATTTGAATTTTTTTTTAGTATCAAAAACTTTATTTTAATGCTATAAAAATTTATTGCATCAAATAAATAATTATTTCTTATAATATTTATCATAGCAAAGAATTAATTCAGTAGATGTTTAACTTTTTAGAATCTCCAAACTTATTTGTTATCCATAGGTTGATTATTAAAAGTAGAAAATTCTTTACAAAATGTAATGTGTTACCCATTCACATTTTAAGATTTCCTTAACTTAGTTTACCTGCTTTTTCCCTGTTAGATCTTGCTTCAATTACTTATTTACTATTTTATTTAATATGTATTGGACTCGTGAGTGTAAGTAACCTGATTAATTTAACGATTTCATAAGTGAAAAAAAGAATATAGAACGAACCTTTCTTTTTTTTGTGATTTTTGAATATTTCCATGTATGTATGTAGTTTTTAATTAATAATTAATTCTATTTATTACTAAAATTAGTTAACTCCACCACTAAATAAATAAATAGACAGACTTCTACATAAATTATCTTAAATAGAATCATAAATCAAATTAATGAGTTTTGGTAAAATACTTTGCTCTAAAAATACTTTCATTCTATTACATTTAAGTTTAAATTTGTAAAACAAATAAAATTTTGAAACATCACGTGAGACCATTTTTAGGATTTTATAAATTTTCTGAGAAATTCTTACTTTTTATCAAAATAAAATTTATACTATTTTAATCTAAGTAATTGAAATTAAATTCCATAAGAAGAAACAAATATTTTAAATTTCACAAACTAGCAAGCAAACAAGCTTTATCAAGTTAGAATTTAGTGTCATTAAAATTTATAATTAAGATAATATCAATAAAAGAATAGGAAAATGAGTAGTGCTGCACCTAAAAATGTATTTGAGTTATTTTAAACCATAAGTTTCTAGCGATGTTTTTATTTTTTTACAACAGTAAGTTAGTTATCCATTTATGAGCAAGATTTTAGGAATATCATTCCTTAAAATGAGCGGAGATAGAATATATTCTAAATATTATACCACTGCTTTTCAACAATCTAAATTGAATGTGAACAATAATAACATTTAAACATTCGAAGGTTAAAGAAAATTTGAATAAGACATCTGCAATAAAGCAATCAAGCTAAAAATCAAAGATATGAAACCAAGTTAGAGTAAAAATAATTATTGCAAAAACTAAAAAACATCTATCTAAAATTATAGGAAAGATTAAGCTTTTTATAATTTTAAAATTGAATTTGCACCTCTAATTGATGTTAAAAATATTATTTTATTTTTAATAGCTGAAATATTTTCATTCTACTAGTTGAATATTGTTTTCAAAAAATTCAAAGACGTGTTATTGTTTATATTTTCAGATTAAGAAGAAAACGAAATTCTCCTAAGTTAAATCCTTGATGTTATATTAGAATCATTAAATCACATAACACAGTATTAAATATTAATTGAAAAGATGACAAAATTTTATTTAAAATAAATAAAAAAATAAACAAATAAATAGAGACAATATAGATGTAGAATAAATTATTTCCAAATTTGAATCAGTTATTACAATCATAGATGAAATCATCCATGAAGGGTAAACAATATCAATTAATTACTAAGCTTAATTTAAATATCAAAATATATATAAATTTATCAAATAGAATTGTAGTAAACTTAGAATCAAATACTTTGTTAGCAAGATCCATGATGGCAGACACTCATAACATGAATTTAAACCCTAGTGATAAAAAAGCCTTTTCTTCTGTAATGAAAACAATGTAATTTAAACCTCTAAATTTTATTTATTATTTATAAAGGTGTTTGATATTGCTAAGAGTAAAATAAAGTAGCAACTTCATATGTGAAAGCAATAAATGCTTAATCAGTTAATATTTAAAAAATACCTTATAGATTATAATCCTAAATGTCTGTATCTATTAATAAGAAATAAAAATTTGTAAAAAGTGTTATCAAAAGTGCATTTATATCAATTTATAAAAAGTAAATTTTAAGTTGATTTGATTATATTTTAGCTAAAATGTAAAATAATTATATTTATTATAATATCTTTTAAAATCAAAACAATTTATTTATTCATTCAATTTAATTAAATCTAGTCTTTTAATCAAATATAACAAAATTCTATCTAATTTTTTCATTTGTAAAAGTTTAATCATACTTTTATGATTAGCTTAATTGAATTCTTTTGAATGGAAAAATTGAATAATTTGTTAATAAATACAAACTATTCATAAAAAGTATTTCCCTTTTGTTTAAACGTGTTTAAACAAAGGAGTACTAATTAGATTCTATATTAATAATAAGCATTTTAGCAAAAAATGTTTATTTAATTTAAGTCTAAATAAATTATTTAATTATTAATTAAAAATCAAACTAAAATATAAAATATTATTAATTCATTCATTCATTTAAAAAATAAGTTTTTATTATTAATGAACGAATGAATTATTTAAATTTAATTTAATTTATATTAACTAATACAAACAAACATTTATCATATTATCTAAACATAATTCATTAAATTTTTAAAATGAAGTTTTATCTATCTATATACCTACCCATCTATTCATCATACACACAAAAATACATTAATATTATATTAAATAGTTTTTACTTAATAATTATTTAATAACAATTTTTCGATATCATGAAATATTAAAAATAATTTTTTTATTTATTTATTTATTCATTCATTCATTAATGATTAGATAATAACTAATTCTTATATTTAATTAATAGAATATTTAAACAAAACAACAATTTACAATTTTGTGTTTTTTTTAATACTTCCAAACTATTTATCAAAGTTTTTGTTAATTTTTTATGAGATCATTATCAGATGGAAGGTCTTTATTAGTCAATTATATAACGCTACCTGGAATGGATAAGTGATCAAAATTAATTGAAAGTGATGGAAGTTTGTATTTGTTGTAGAGTACCATTGCTAACCAGAAATGAAAAATAGTTATTATAAATGCTGCAAGCGCATATAAATAACTAATTGCATTCATCCAGGTCATCAGAGGATATACTCTACCATATGAAAAGGTTACAATTATGTTTATTATTAAATAGGATAAACACCCGATTGCGGTTAGGATAAATTATTTTCTTCTAAAAATAATATTATTTATAGCAAATTCTATGTAATAAATTATAAATATTATGCCATGATAACAAACATTTACGAACATCATCCAAGAGTCATCTGTAAATTTATTTTTGAGGGTAGGATAAATACAACCCCAAAAAAGAATAAGAATAGTGAGAGAAGTAGCAAAGCCAAACTAAAAAAGGAAGTGCTCTAATTTCCAAAATACAGAAAATTTAACTCTTTTAACTTTGTAGTAAATCATATCAGCTACAGCAAATATTAGGTAGAAATGCAACAAATTAAGTCCCCAAATAGTTAAAAATTTTAAATTTGTGAGCAAAAACAGAAAATTTAAGTTGCCATTATATATCTAAAACCACCATATTGCGTGCACAATTATTAGTAAAACTACTCTAATACCTAAAATTGCATTAAGATTTTATTTAATCAGCCAACTCTCGTTTATCTAAGAGCGATCTTCATTGAAAAATTCTAACATTTCAAAGAGTTCTATGATTAAGAGTAACTATCTTTTCTTTGTATTTATTAAAATGAACAATAAATAATTTATTAGAAATACATCAAAATATATTTCTCTCTATCTGTCTGTCTGTTTGTCTATAATTAATTAAATATCAGATTATATAGAAAATTAATTCAGAATTATATTATTGCAATTAATTAAATATTCAGTTTTTTTAAATTTTTTTTATTATAGAAAATGCTCATAATATTTTAAAATAATTACTTTGCTTCAACATTTTAAATTAATTACCATAATTTTACAAACATTTTTATAAATCATTCATTTAAACATATTTAATTTAAAATCTAAAATTTAATGATGCTTGACTTTTTCATTCTAAAAATAGTGTATTATTATATCATTATATACAGTATTTAGAATATTTGTTTATTTTTGTCACTTTTCTTATAAAAAATAAACACAAAATCATGAATGGTCGTTCAATAAAATAAATGATAGATTTAATTGATTTATTATTTTCAAGAAAAAATTCTAAAAATATCATCAAATTTTAGATTAAAACATATATATTTATTTATATAAGTGTTAATTATAGTATAAAAAATCAAATTAAATCCACCTTTTTTAATTAATTGTTTTTAAATATTTATGTGTTTAAAGGTTTATAAATTGATAATAAAGTTATTTGAGCAAATTAAATTAAACCTAAACAAAAAAAGCATTTTTAATTTCAAATATTAGTAGAAATAACAATAAAAGTATTTATGATCACTAAAAGTTAACAGAATATACTGTTTGTGTAAATATCACCCAATTAATTTAATTATATTCATTATAAAAACGTAAGGCTATTAAAAATTTACTTATTCCTATTAAAAAATAATATTCGCAAAACAATAATTTACTTATTAGAGGTAAAATCGAATCTATTGTTTGAATATGCAAAAAGAAAGATGAGAATATATTAATTTAAATTACAAGATAAAAATGTTTGTATATAGATATTGAATTTAGATATAAATATATTATTTTTTTCAAACTTTTTCTTCTACTTTGATCATATTTGTCTCTGAAGATAAAGCTGGAAGTTAAATATTAGTAGTTGTAGGAGTGTTGGATAATTATACTTAGTATATCTTATTATATTTAAACTTATGGTAAAGCTTCATACCAAACCAATAGTGGAATAGAGTTATTAAAAAGGCTACTATTACGTAAATATAACTTGTTAAGGAAACCCAACTTATTATCGAGTAGACTTTTTCATAAGAAAAGGTTACTATGATATTCACTATCATGTATGCAACACATCCTGCAAGAGTTAAAAAAAATTATTTCCATCTGAAAATAATGTTATTAATAATGTATTCTGCATAATAAAGTACAAATATAATACCATGATCTGCAACATTAATAAACATCAGCCAAGAATCATTCTTAGCACTTTCACTGAGAGTTGGATATATGCCAACCCAAAAAAGAAGAAAAATTGTTAAAGAAGTAGCAAATCCAAACTAAAAGATGAAATGCTCCAACTTCCAAAGACCTTATAAATTTTTTTATTTGACTCTAAAATATATCATATCAATCAAAGCAAATATCAAATAGAAATGGAGTAAGTTGACTCCCCATAGAGTTAAGTATTAAAAATTAGTAACTAAATAAAGGAAATTCACTTCTGTTGAATTGTAGATTTAAAACCACCATATAGCATCAACTAGTATAAAAAGAGTCACTCTTATAGCTAATAGCGCATTTTAATTGTTCTTTAGGATCCAACTCTCATTTATCTAAGAGTGATCATCGTCGTAAAATCCCATTTTATGTAGTAATAATAATAAACTTCTTATTTGTATGCTTTTTTTTGGTTTTTATTAATTTTTGTTATTAGTAAAAAATGTAATTTATAATAAAGATTTGATTTAAATAGAATTCAACGATATATATATATTTCTAACGCATTTTTGAAAGTTGATTTAGGTAAAAAATTAAATTGTTTTTGGAATAGATGAACCTATTCTAATGTTTGGCTATCATAGCTATTATTTATTCATTAGAAATCTGCAATATATGTAAGAAATTTGTTATTTAAAAAAACAATAAATAAATAAATATATCCAATAAATTCTTACATATTTTTAACAAAAATGTCTGAAAATAAAGTAAAATATATTTTATTCAAGATAAATAATTATTTTTTTTGTTAGATGAAAATTACAAAATAAATTTGTTAATTTTTGTAACTTTTTATGAATAAATTAGATATCCAATTTAAATACATCTACTTAAAATAAATTATAAATTGAACTTCTAGTGTATCCGCTTTTTATCTATTTCTAATTAAAAAAAGTATTATAAAAAACTGATTACATTAACTTTTATTGTTAAAAGTAATAGAAGAAATAATTGATTTCATAGCCAATTTAAACAAGTATCAATTGATTTCGATTACTTTATAAATTACAAAATCTAAATGAGTTAAACGCATTTTTACGTTTGATTATAAAAATGCTATTAAATATTTAATAAATACTCTACTATGGATTTACTAAATTAAAACCATTTTAATATTTATTTTTTAAAGAAATATCAACAAATTTTGTTTATTTATTTATTTCGTTTAAAGTAAAGAAAATTAAAAATAATTAATAAAAATATTCAACAAAGCACAAATAAATAACAAAAAAATACATTTTCAAGAAATATTTATTAATTTATTTAACATACGATAATTTATTATTAATTTATTTATTTTACTATTTTAGAAATAACAATTTATGTCTGATAAAGAATATCTTAGCTATAATTATTAAATTTATATGTTTCTTGATGATAAAAAGCGATTTTAATATAAGCGCCAAAAATATCAAAATGAATGAATAAATAAATAAATATATGTCAGAAATATTTAATCACTTTTGTGGTCAGTCTAAAGGTATTTTTGATAATTATTTTTGTAAAGCTAGTAATTCTTCTTCTTTTACTATTTTGTGGTTTGAAGAGGTGATTACTGAATGCTCTTAAAAATCGTATTCACCAAAAAAGAAGACATTGGTTTTTAACATATCAGGATACCAAATTCTGTCATCAGGCCACATTACATCATAATTAATTTTATCTATATCGAACCATTTAGGAAGCATTTCTTCGCTTTCAGTTATGTTTCCGGTATATTCAGTAGATTTAAAGACATGAACTATAATGGTCTTTTAGTCTAAGTTCATATTGAATTTAAGTAAACCCAAAAACTTAGGATCGATAGGAGTAATACCACATTCTTCTTAGGTTTCGCGAATTGCAGCTTGTCTAACAGTTTCATTTAGATCAACTTTTCCACCAAATCCGTTCCATAAATTAACACCAAATCCTCTTTTTTTCATACCCAAAAGAAGTTTGTCTGCTTGTTATACAAAGAGTAAAGTACAGTGAGAGTACTTTGGGAAATTTACCATAGTAGACATATCTATCTATCTTTGAGAAAAGCTTAACTTTTTATAATAATTTATAAACAAATATATTATCAAATCTAAACGGGTAGAAAATGTTGCCAATTATTTAAAGAGTTATTTTTAGTATTTAAAATAATAAATAAGTAAATGATGTAATTGCTTACAAACATTTTTTTGATGGATAAATTAAATAAATAAATATTTAACTAAAATAAAATAGAAAAGAAAAAATACATTCTTTTTTTTGATGACCAAGAAATGCACAATTTACAATAGTTATAAATAATATTTATGTTAAAAGCAAACAAGTTTAGTTAGGATTACTTAAAAGAAGGCATTAATCAAATTTAATTGATCATTCTTATGAGTTTGTTTTTTTGTATTTACATACATTTTTTAAATTTGGTTGAAGTTATAATGAATTAATTAATCTTATTTAAGATAGATTTAGACTTATAATGAAAAAAATATAATAGTTACTCATAAAAGAAGTAAGTTTGTTTTTATACTATAACTATTAAAAGATAAAGACATATACATATATATTCATTCAATTTTTATTTGAAAGTATATATAAAAATTAAAAATATAAAAATAAATTCATGTGTGTTTTGGAGGTTTGAGCAATTAATTTAAAATTTTTTCAAGAAAACATAGACACTTTACAATTGTCAAAAAGAAAGAACATTCTATTATAATTTTGAGAGTTCTATTCGAAATTTGAATAGCTCTCACTTAAACTTTATATTAACTTTTGAAAAAATCGTCGATTTTGTTTTATAAATTATTTGAGTTGATCATTAAACATCAAAATATGCATAGAAATTCAAAAAATATTTTAAAATATTTGAATACTTTTGCAAATAAACAATAATACATTCTGAGGGAGTTAGTAACATATTTCTTTTATTATGACTATTAAATTTTAAACTGTCAAAAATTTACTTTAACAGTCTAGTTAAATGATGATAAAATCAACTGGATTATAATAAATTCTTTTTGGATGATTAAGCAATGTAATTAATTTTTAAATAAAAAAATTTAAATTTACTATCCCAAAAATAATAAATATTTTCTTAAAATTCAAAAAATATACTTAAAAACCTTTGATAATTTGAGCTTGATAAAATAAATTACTTTAATGATTGAGCAATTTATTGATTTTAAAATTATGAATTAAAGTTAAACACATATCGTCAAAAAGAATAAAATTATAGTAATCTTAATTTAAAAAAATCATTAAAAATATCATTCTTACATCAAAAAAATATAAATTGATTATCTGATTTTCTATTATATTTTTGCTTAAAATATTTATATTAATTGATATTCTTATTCTAAAGTTTTCTGTTTCTCAATTAATCTTTATGATCTAATTTTAGTTTCAAATACCTAATTTATTAATAGTTACCATAAGTTCCCAAACATTAAAATATTAATTATATTTTTTATAAATACTAAGAAATTAATAAAATTTGTATTTTAATAAAAAATAAAAATTATTATTTATCTTTAAATAATACAATTAGAAGTATTTAAAAATTAATTAAGTTCTCTCAATTAACGTTTATTTATGACCTTTGACATCCTATCAAATAAATATTTAAGTAACCTCATGCTAAGGTAAATTAAAATTTAATAGATCTAGACTTCCTTAAAAGCAGGATATATATACGATACCAGCTAACTAGTCAATTAATAATATCATAAATTTTTTATTATAAAATTTAATGAAAATTAAAAATATTTATATATATAGAAAGATCATTTATTCATTCTGTTTTTTAATTATTCTTTTTGTTTATAATTCAATCTATTTTAATAAGCCTTTTTAACAATAAATAAATAACAACAAAAAGAGTAAAAATCTTTCTTTAAAAATGTTGAAATAAAAAATTTTAGTTAACTAATTACATTCAATGATAAATACTTATGTAGTTAAAAAACATAAAACTACTTAATTTACAAAAATTGAATGCAAATCTTATTATTTAAACTTTAAGAAGTACATACTAAATTACTAAATCAAAAAAATTTAATTCCTACTATATCCATAAATATAAAACACATTCATACAAAAACAAACTAACTTGTTCATTCAATTTATTTTATTTTTATCACTACCTCACTTATTCATTCAATATGAAGATTAATAACCTTGTATTTAGATAATCTTTCTTCGCCCTTAAGATCCTTAATTTGGTAAAGGAACATAACAGCTTATACTACTCCTCCTACCTTTTCAACTAATCTGCAAGCTGCATCAGCAGTTCCACCAGTAGCTAGAATATCATCAACAATAACAACTTTTTCACCTTTAGCTAAAGCATCACTTTGAATTTCAAAAACATCCTTACCGTATTCTAAGTCGAATGAGAATTATTCAACCTTACCAGGTAGTTTGCCTTTCTTTCTGATTAAAATTAATCCCTTTCCCATTTGTAAACCAATAGCGGTTCCAAAAATAAAACCTCTAGATTCTAAGATAACAATTTTATCAAAATCAATGTCCTTCAAAGCAATTACAAAAGCATCAGTAATACGCTTAAAAATGGCAGGATTAGAGAGGAGAGGAGCAATATCTTTAAAGATAATACCAGGTTAAGGGAAATCAGGAATATTTCTGAAGTTTTCGCTAATAACTTTACCTATTTCTTAATTTTAGTAATCCATTTTCACTTCTATCTATAATTTATTTTTTTAAGAGAATATCTTTGTAAATCAATAATTATTTATTTTATTAAAATTAAGCAGACTTAGTTATCCTAATTTTATTACCCCACAAATCAATCAAAAAGAAAGTAAAGCAAATCCTGAAAATAGAGTGATATTTATCTATTTTTCTAATTAATTGTCTTAATATTTTTATTTTTATTACAAAATAGAATATCTTGAAAAGCAAATTCCAAATGAAAATAATTTCAGAATTTTTCAAATTTCACTCAAAATATTGAGCTTAACTCTAATTAATTTAAGCAATTAATATCAATAAAAGGATATTTTGAACAAAATCAGTAAGCGAGGATGATAAAATACTCAAAACGAATAATAAAGAAAATTTATTTGAATAAAAAATCTTCAATAAAATTTGATTTTAAGATAAATAAAATTATTTATTGTATTTAAAACCATTGCTTACTTGTTTGCTTAACTAAAAAATCAAATGATTTTTGTTATAAAACCTAATAAATAGCTAAGGTATTTTGGTGTCTTTAAGATGGAGTTTAAAGAATATTTATATATAGTAGACATATAATTTTAAACTAAATATTATAAAAAGTATTATTTTATTATTTATTGCATTAATTCATTCATAAATACATTCATTCATTCATTCATTCAGCTCTATTAAATTATTTGATAAATCTTATATTTCTTTTTGCATCATGGAAACTTGGATCTATATCAAGACATTTTTTAAGATACTACAGAGCAAGTTCATAATTCTTCAATTGGAAGTGACACATTCCAATGTTATACATTAAATCTATATTGCTGCTATCTAATTCACTTGCTTTGTTTAAGAAATCGAGAGCTTTTTGACAGTCATCTAATTTTCTTATATGTAAATAGCCAATATTTACGTAGGCTTCATAGTCGTATGGATTTAACTAAATGCATTTTTCATAATATTCTACAGCCTTATCATTAAGATGCAATTGCTCACAATAAATAGCAACCTAAAACAATATTTGTCTGTTGTTAGGATCTTTTTCAAGGACTTCTTCAAATACTTTTAATGCTTTTTCGGGAGATTAAGATTTTCCATAGATGAGGCCAACAGCGATTTGTATGTTCTAGTCATTTGGATACTTTTCTTATAGCTCCATATAGCATTGTATTGCTTAGTCAATTTAATTCATTTGGAAATATGCCAGTGCCATATTCTTAATTATTTTATCAGCCTAAGATTTGGTATGGTCATCGTATTTTAAAGCCTCTTTATAGAAATCAACTGCATTGCTGTACTGATGAAGCTTGAAGTATTTATCTGCCTATTCAACGTTGTCTTTAAATTTCTATTATTTTGACTTAAAGAAAGAAAAGAACTCCCTTCTCTCGAGGGGGACAAAGAGCTTTTATTGTTGGACAGATTAGACTAAGAGCTTTCTAAACATTTTTTAGTAGATTTTTAATGACTGAATAAACAAAAATACAATAGTTGCTTTTTTTAATAATTAAAAATAATATAAAAATGCTTGGACAGTATTCTATTTTTAAATTAATTCGTAATTTCTTTGTTAAATTAGTTTAAATAGTGGGTTTGTTTGTTTGTTTGTTTTATAGATTTAAAGATATAAAAATATATTTTTAATTTGAAAAAACAAAAGTAAATACTCCATATTGCATTACAAATAAACTAAATCAACTAAAAATGATACATTTTTGAGGTATTTTTGATATCTATTTCAATACTTTTAACGTTAAAAGAGATGTAGTTCAAGTTTCTGTAGATATGATTTTCATTTAATTCAATAATTTTTTATTTAATTTTTGTTTACTTAAATCAGATACAAATTTTTGATAGAAAAATAATACTTTAAATGAAGATTTTTAACAAATAAATTAAAATCTAAAGTCAGTATTAAATTTTTTAATGCATCATTTATAGTAATAACAACTTAATTAATGTTATAATAATATTAATATTTCTAAACAATTTATACTGAATTCCTAAACCATTTTACAAAAATTCATTCTTTCAAAAATTCCACTTATTTAAGAGGATAATTCAAATCAAAACCCGAAACTATAGTATTAACTTTTTTGATGTTTAAGAATTTGCCCATCATATTTTATAGAATCTATAATAAAATCTTTCTAGAAATTTCATCTCAAAATTTAAATAAAATTTGATTAAAATAGAAAAATTATAGGTTTTACATATTTATCCTTACTCTCCGCAAAGAATTAACTTATCTTGCCTAGCAATAAATATTTTTAATAAATCAATAAAAACATAAAAATTAGTATTTTAATCTTTGATCCATTAGAAATATTTATTCTTATTTCTTTCTTTCTCTCTTATGAAAGATTATTGATTAAAACTTCCTCTGTTTGTTTACTAGACTTATTTTTATAAAAATTTTCTTAAATTCAAAGTTTTAAAGTTTTGAAAGAATAATTAATTAATTCATTCATTTATAATAACACAATTTTATTTACATTATGAAATACAAGATAGAGTATCTAATATTGGAGTAGTGTGTATTAATTATAAATATAGATTATATAGAATACAAAAAAATAATTTAATCTTATTAAAACCACAATTTATTTTAAAATTTCACCTGATTTATTTTTTTTGATGTAATACAATATTTATATATTTATTTATTATTAACACTTTCTTAAATAAAAATTAAAGATTTTTTATTATTGAAAAGAGGCATTTGTGAAAAATAAATATTTCATTTTAAGTAATAATTTTAAATGATTTCTATATTTAATATATTTTTTTGGATTTAAATTTATACTTCTATTGTATATTAATTAATGATTTATTAATTTTTTCACGAGTACTCATTAAATAGATTTTTCTAAATATATTTTTTAATATCACTAATTAATTTATAAAGATTCCATTTATTAATTTTATACTTGCATTAAATCTTAAATTCATCTTTAATTGATTAATAGATAGATAGTGCAATTATGCTTTAAAAATTAATCCTTAATTAAATAGTTAAAAAGGAGGATACATTTTCTTTTCATATTTTAGTTTTGCCAATTTTTTCTAATTTAAATAAATTAATTTTCATCTTTATTTTTCTGAAATACTTTACTTATTATCTATCTTCGATTGAAAGATTTTAAATTTATTTTAACTAATAAAAATGTATAAAATACATTTTATTTGACATATCCTTTTTGTATGACAATCTTATTTGAAAAAATTATATGGTTAATTTTATACTGAAATTAATTTTAAATTTCTTCTTGCTTACCCTTAATTTTTTAATGGTATTTTGATAGGTTTAAAAAAGTTAATTAAAAAAATAAAAATGGATTAATTCATTTGCTTTTCACTTTATTTTGTTAAATCAATTTAAATAAAATAAAATATTATATTGCTAGCTGTTGAAATGCTTTATAATATTAGCACTATTAACTATGTCTAAATAATATAATCAGTTTTATTAGCCATATCATTTTTATATCACCAGATAATTTTATAAAAATAAACTAATTAATTTCAACCTCAAATTAATCTAAAATTTCATTCATTTATTCTAAAAACTAATATGACCAACCTAGCTATATAACCTTTTTCTTAATAAATAAATGTCACTCTTTTAATTTTTTTATTTATTGACATGTATTCTATGACATATGATATAGAATAAATTACAATTTATTTGAATAATAGAATGAATGTCAAAAAAGTTCAAATTTAATATTTAAATTAATAAAAATATTTTTAGATTTTATTTAAAAAAAGCAACACAATATCCAACATAATAATTTTAGAGGTTAATAAGACATGTAAATCATTCAAATAATTATTTATCCATATTTTAAATGACTAATTTACATTAATAATATTGCATTTATTAATTATTTATTAGTTAGTTATGAATAGCTGTTTATAAAAGATCTTTAAATTAATTGAAAAAAAGAATGATTCTTCTTAATTCGTTAGGTAAAATTTCTTAGTTTGTATTAAGCAGCTAGGTAGGTAGGTATATAGGTAGATCTTAGCTGATGATGGAAAATAAATAAATAAATTAATTAATTAAATAAGATTTTGCTAGTGGAAATAAATCTATGAATTTGATTTAAAAAATATTACTAGAAATTTATTGGATAAAATCAAGTTCTAGTCAATAGAATGCAAAGTCTATTTTAATGAAGTCTCTAATAGTAATAGTAGTAACAACTATTACATATTTATAATTAACATGAAATCCAATAAAAGCCTAAATTCTTCTAAGTATATTCAAAGTCTAATGCAATTTTTTCAAGGAGAGTTTTTTTATAAAGTATTTTAATGCTAATTATTGCAAATGCAATTTTATGTGCAAAAGTTCTACTTATTTAGGGTTATATTTGTAAAGTTTGACATAAAAAAGATAAAAACAAGATATTATTTACTTTCATAGGTGGGCATATTAGATAATATTCATCATTTAATTAAATTATAAGTGATACTATTGTAATTATTGTAAAATATTCATAAATGATAGTGCGATTTTTGTCTAAATATAGATTTCATTTATAATTTATAATTTAAAAGTTAGAGTACAACCAACCAACATGCATATTAAATTTAAATAATAAGAATAGCATTAACAAATAGCTTGCCCACCTATGAATCTTTTTATGTTTAATATTTATACTTTTACATACAAATCTCAAGTTTTCTTTATAATTTATAAAGTTTGAAAACTAAAAAATAATAACTAAAACCAAAACCGATAAAAAAATTCTAATAATCCATTAAAAAAAATGCCTTAGAGTTAATAAAACCAGCATCAAGAATTAGATGAAAAATGCACAGTTATTGTATTTGATTGCCCTAAAACTAAACAAACTGAATAACCCAGTAATACTTCTAATACTGCTTTAACTGTTGCTACTACCGTCAGCTGTGTTAAACTTTTTCACGTGTTCGGCTATATCATTCTCGGTGGCTTAGACACAATCATTTACAAATATTAAAACACTACCTAAGTTAACGGGAAAAAGTTTCAACATCCATTTATCCAAGTATTTATACAAATATTAATTATTTATTTATTTATTTAGCATAAATAATTTTCAACTTGATTATTTAAAATTATTTTTAATTAATAATTTTTTTTAATTAAAATTAGACTTTTGTCATGGAGGCTGCTATGTCTCTTCCTTTGATCTGGGTAATATACTAAAAGTTCAAAAAGCAGCTTTATGTTGATGTAGACCCTAGCAAAAAAATGATGTCGACTTGGAGAGATTATTTATGGATCTTGATACCTTCTTTGTGTGATCTTATTGGATCAACTTTGTAGTTTTTCTCTCTGTTATTTATTGATAGCAGTATTTACTAAATGATGAGAGGTGGATCTATTATCTTTACTGCTCTCTTTTCCAAAATTTTGTTTAAGAAAATTTTCTTAAAATATAAATATCTTGGATTACTTCTATCTATAATCGGTCTTATTTTGGTTGGCTTATCTCCTTTTCTTTTTATAGGTTCTTCGAATTCTGCTAACTTAAATATGTAATATGTCTCAATTGGATTGCTGATTATTTGCATGGCTTTAAATGGTGGTCATTACACTTCCGAAGAATATATTTATAGCAAATACAATATTCACCCATGTGAATTGCTTGGAACTTAAGCGTAATTTTTTTATTTTGATAAATTTAGTTAAATTTATTTTTCTTTCTTCTACTTGATTTGATTTAAATTATAAATTTAACTTTCTATTTTCTAAGTAGAAATATTAATTAATTAATTAATTAAATCAGTAAAAAGATTTATTTTGTTTTTTATTAAAAGATAAATTTTTAATTAATTTGATTTAAATATATTTAGATTTTATGGAGCTGTCATCTACATGGTCATTTTATTGCCTATTTTCTGTAATGTTGAATGCAAATTCCCAAATGGTGTTGGCTGCGTTAAAGTAGGAGATACTTTCTATTTTGATAATTTCTCTTAATATGTTTCTGAAGTCAACTCAAATGGATGGTTGCTCGCTTTTGTATTTTTCGGGATTATATCTAAGTGTGTTTATAACTTAAATGGAATTTTCACTACAAAATATTTCAGCAGCTTAACAAGGTCTATTGCTGGTGCTTTAAGAACTCTAGTTACATGGATGGTTGGTCTTATTGTGACAGCCGTTGGTGCTAGAAAATGGGAAAGCTTGGAGTATAGAACTTGCCTTTTAATGACTGGAGGCTATATTTTCTTATTTGCTGGAAATTTAATATATAACGGAGTTATAAAGGTTCCTTATTTCAAAAGAGAAGCAGATATAGCAGCTGAAAAGAAGTAAGAACCTCTCAAGATTATTTAAATAGAATCTGATCATTTGAAAAATATAGAATAAAAGCAATCATGTGATTATCCTCTGTCAGTTAAAACAGCTTGTAATTGAACTAAAACAAAGAAAAACAGATGAAAACACATTATATTTTATAATAAATACTACCTACCTACCCTCCATCATTTTCAACCCACAAAAAAAACCATAATTTACTAAAATTTTTTAGTTATTCTAAATTAAAATTTCATTCAATTTACCATCAAATTAATTTATTAATAAGTCACAAGAATCAAAGACTGCTTATACAAATTTATTTATTTATTAATTTATTCTCAGATGAAATTTCTATTGAATTTTCATTTTGATTTTACATATTAAAATTGTGCCAAATAACGATTTCAACCGATCGTTGAGTTTATATATTGTATTTACATCTTATCTCCTTATCGTCCTTTGTTTCCTCCTTAGGCATGTTCGATAGTGTTATGCTATCAAAATAACTTAATTAGTGTACACTTAATCTTAATTGGAAGATTTTAAATAATTTCATTTTCTGTTGATAAGAATTTGTCCAATTAACACACAGACATAAACATACACACACTTTGTTAACAGATTATGGATCCATCCTAAATAATATTCTAAAAATTGAATATTAGAGATAAAAATTAATATCGCTTTCAACCAAAAAAAGTAAACCAAATAAGGTGAATCGATATTCAATTAAAAGTATTATTTAAATACTTCGAGGCCCCTTTAATTTGAAAAGTTTGATTCTAATTTTTCATTAAATCCAATACTTTTCTATGAGAAAAAACTGTAATAGTTTTTAAAGATTAACATTTGATTTGGAGGAGAATGCATGGTATTTACAATAATTAAAAGCCAAACATTAAAATCTATCTTGTGTAATAAAGTTTATTTGATTTTATTACATTTAATTTAGTTACTAAAAAGAAATAGAAAGCCAAAATCGCCCAAAGAAAATTATTTCATTATAATAAATATATTATTTAGTGAAAAAGATTTTTTTCAATTAGAAATAATAATTAACACATAAATAGTGCATAGATAGCTTAGAGGTAAATTTTAATCACATTAAGCAGCTCAATTTTTATAAGTTATTAAAAAATATTAATTTTTTATTTAAATTAAAATAGGTTGACTAAGTTTAAATTTCAAACAAATACTTTAATAAAATGATTTACATTCCAAAAACAAATTCAAAAAAAAATTTTGTAAGAAAGTAAAAAAAGCTTTATTTTTTTTTCGGTAAATATAAAAAATGACATCATCAAAAAATCTTCCACTCACAAAAATAAATGGAAGAAATCACACTTTTTTGATATATTAAATTAGTATTTTATGGGTTTTTACTTACATTTGAATAAAGAAATGAATGAATCTAATGAGTTGATTTGTGGGATTATTTTCAGTTCAAAGCCAATTTGAATCAAAATCTTGTATTTAATTATAACAGTTCAGATTTTATGGTTATGAATTTCTTTAGATTAGAGCAATTTTTTATACAAAACTTATTTATGTTTTGAAAGTAATCAAGGAGAATATTTAATCAAATTGTAAATATTTTTTCATTTTACTTATTTTTTTAATGTTTTGATTTTATTGTTGTTAGTTTAAAAAACTCACATCAAATCTTTGATTCATCATAACAAATGGAAGCATATTTTTTAATATTTATAATTAATTAATTTTTATGGGTATTTAGATTTGAATTAAAGAAGGAAACATATATATATGCAGATTTTTGGGATTATTTTCTTTCAATTCAAAACCAATTTCAATGAGAATCTTGAACTTAATTATAAGAGTTCTGATTTTATGGTTGGGAATTTGTTAAGAAATTTTTTTATATTTACATATATTTTTATGCAAAACTTCTTTTTATCTTTAAAGTAATAAAGGAGAATATTTCAAAATATCTTTGTTGTCAATTTGATTTTACTGGTATTATTTTAATGGTTATTGAATTTATTTTTGGTATTTTTAAGAATATTTTATTTATTTATTCAGATATAAGGTATTACATTCTAGTTTTATATCAGAAATCTTTAAGAAACTCTTTATTTAATATTGTAGAAGTGCTTTAAGAATAAATTATTTGGTAAAATTTTACTAGTTTTTGTATAGAAAAAATATTTTTAATCAATGAATGAAATAAAATCTATTTACATTACTGTGCTATTAAATATGAAATATGAATATCATATGAAGATTACTTAATGAATAGTTTGTTTTATGTTTCTTTTATTTACTTTAAAGTTTTTAGAAAACGTCATCTTTTAATGACAATCTAAGTGATATTAATAAATTAATTATGTCATTTATTTTACATTATCATATAAAACGACTAATTTATTTTTTGAAAGTGAATAATTTTATTTGAAAAATTGTAATGAATTTAAAAATAAATAGGATTGAAATATATATTGCCAATCAAGTAAATTATTTTTCTATTCTTAAATGAACAAATATTATACTTTTTTTACATTAAGTTTAATTTCAAATAAATTAAATGATATTATCTTAGGCTCACTTAAGTAATTATCAGATTTAAAAAGAAATACTTGCATAAGCTAAATTTAAAATTATAAATTATTAAATTTGTAAAGAATATTTGAGGCTTTAACTACAATTTTAGAACTAGAATCTGCATAAAATTCTTTAATTAGTTTTAGCTAATTTTCCTTTCCATTTTTCAAGTCGTGCCAAAAATCAATCTTTTTAGAGCATCTGATTAATTTACTACGTAATTACTAGAACTTGACTAAGATAAACTATTATTTCTAATTAATCATTTGAATCAATCCATCCCATTCTGTCAATTTATTTATTTTTATTTTTTTATAAAAGAAAGAAAGAATGATGACTGATTATCAAGTAAAATCTAAAATTTATTTCTCCATCATTTAAAAGCAAAAGGCTTGTTTAATTTGAATGAAACTTGGAACCATCATTTTTTTATAACATTTTGACTCAGATAATCAATCACAAAAAAGGCCACAATTTAATTGTTTTTGTTAATCAAAACTAAAACAACAATTTTATATCAAATAATAAAGCAATTTGTTTACTATTCATTTAATCATTTTTATAATATAACATTGAAATAATAATAAAAAATTATAATTTACTTTTTTTGCCTCACAACAAACAAGAGTAATTAACAACTAGTCTTAAAATAGCAATTGTTTGTCAAAGAAAAATTTATAATTTAATAAACAAAATTTCTTACAAAATCAAAGTCTCATCTTTGCATAAAAAGAGGAGCTCACTAAAAAAAATAAATAAAAATTACGAAAATAAAAATCTGCTTAACTCAAATAATAGTTCATTTTAATCCTAAAACTTCATACGTCTGTCTACACAATTAAAACCTTTTTGTAACATAAAATTAGATCTGAAATTGATAAATCATTTCAGTTTATCTCATATCCTTCTCAAAAAGCCTTCAATAAATTACAATGTCTTAATCTAATCAGCCTGCTACTGAAACAAACTCCTAAGTTGTTATGGTAGGAGTTGAATAAAACAGACCAATGGTAGCCAAAAAAGATGAACAAATATTGTCAACACCAATAAGCTCTACAATGCGCTACCATGTAATTGGCTATATTCTCTTCGGTGCCTCTAATACACTTGTTTATAAGTATTAAAATACTACAATAATTGATGGTGTAGCTTTTAATCATCCTTTCATTCAAGTAAAATATCTTTTTATTAAAAAATAATTAAGAAAACTTAATTAAATATTTCATATGAATTAATTTCAACAAATACAATTGATCCTAAAAAATACTATTTAGTATTTCATAGTTTCCTATTTAAAAAATGAAAAAAAGTACATGCTATTGATAATTATAAATTGAATGGGCTATGAAAAAAAAAAAAAAAATTTAAATATGAAGCAATCGAAAAATTAATTTTAATTTAATTTAATAATAAATAAATAGTGTATAATAATGTTTTTAGGTATGCATATGCCTCTATACTGGTATATATACAAGTCTAAGACAAATACTTTAAACATGGAAATAGATCCTACTAAGAAATCAATGAAGTAATTCAAAGACTACCTCCAAGTATGGATTCCTGCAATCTGTGATTTCATATCGTCAACTCTTAATTTTACTGCTCTGAATTTTATAGATAGTAGTGTTTATTAAATGTTAAGAGGAGGAACAATTATCTTCACTAGTATATTCTCCAAGTGGATGTTCAGAAAGAAATTCCTTGCTTACAGGTATGTTGGAATAGGCTAAGTGGTTGTAGGATTGGTTATTGTAGGTATGTCTAATTTCTTCTTCTTTGACTCTGAAGACACTCACAACGACTCTTCTCACAAACTTATGGCAATAATTCTACTCTTAATTTCTATGGTTTTCAACGGTCTGCAATACTCCTACGAAGAGTTGATATATTCACGTTATAACATTCACCCTACTAAATTAGTCGGATTGGAAGGGTAACTAATTAATTAATTCATATTAAATAATTGACAAAAATTTTAGAAAAATAAAGCAATAATTAATTAATTAATTATTTTCCTATTTTTAACACTTTATTGAAATCAGTTTATAATTTAAACTTACTTTGAATTAATTATTAAATTTATTAATTTATTCATCACAAATTAATTAATTTTTCACGTGATTACCAATAAGCATAATAGAAAGTAAATATCTAGTATCCAGTCACATAATAACCCTCTATCTATTAAGATTATACTTATAATTCTAATTATTCAAAATATAAATTTTTATAGTTTGAAAAAGTCTTCTTAACAAAAGACAAACTTAATTAATTATTAAAGATAAAAAGAAAGAATTCAAATTTAAATAAATCAAAAAATGAGTTTTTCATTTAAAAAAAATAATTTTTCAACAAAATATTCCAAAAAATTCCTAAAATTAAATTTTTACACATTTTTATTTTATATATTTTATCACTAAAAATATTGTTTTTTTTTTTAGCTATTTTTTTATTAATTTAATTTAAAATAATTAGATTGTATGGTCTCATTATTTATGCTATACTCCTACCTATTTTTAACTCTACTGACTGCCCTTTCCCTAATAATAGAGGTTGCACAGAAATTAGAACCATAGGTAGCGATGGATTAGTTTCTACAACTTACAAAATGGAAAGCGTTTCTTTATTTTTTAGTTAAATTGGCTAGGACAGTGCTTTGCTAGCCTTTGTTATTATTGGTTTCTTTACAATTGCTTTTTATAATGTTAATGGTTTGTCAACCACTAAATTTTTCAGTGGTTTAACTCGCTCAATAATAGATTAAATTAGAACCATTTTTATTTGGATTGTCGGACTAGCTGTCACTTTTACAGGAGCTCGTGAATGGGAAACTCTAGATTATCGTGCCAACATTTTAAAAATATTTGGATTCTTCTTTATTGTTGCCGGTAACTTGGTCTACAATGGATTAATTAAATTGCCATATTTACCAAGAGAAAATGATTAAGAAAGAAAATTCAAGTAATATTCAAAATTAAAAAAAAATATGAAATATAACTAATTTATTTATTTAATTTAGATTAAGTGCAGACAATATTGAGAGCGATAGCTTCCATAATTAATTTTAAGCTCCCGATTTGGCCCGCTTAAGCACATTACAATTGAGATAAAGAAATTCTTAGTTACTTAGCTAATAACCACAATAAATTTAACAAATCCATTAGTAATTCCTACAATTTCAAATGAAAAAAATGTACTAAACTGGAATTCAAAAAACTAGTTCAGAGCTTAAAGATTTAAATCAAAATTAAGAAAGTGACTAAAATAATAAATTAGTTAAATAATTAAGCAATGAATACGCATAATAGTAATAAACTGAACAACAATTGCCTTAACTTACAGAATAGTAACTTGAATTACAATAATAAACACAATCAAATTAATAAACCATATAAATCCAAATCTAAAGCTCAGCAAATTGATTATTGAGAGTCAACTCTCTATTTATTAATTAATTAATTTGTTTTGATGCTAAAAAAAATCTTACTCAAATTTTGAATTTCACCCAAAAATAATGAACTAATTTTCCTCGATAATTAATTAAAAAGTCTATATATATTTCTGAACGAACACCTCCTCATATAAAATTATAATATAAACAAAATGTATAAATCTTCAAATTCTATGAAATCTTTATTTATCACGCAAGCAATCATATATTTCTTGTTGTATTTGCCATTTTATAATAAATATCTCACCTTCAAAAACTTTAAATAAATCTGAATCTTGATTTGATTTGTAATATTTACAAATCTAGTTAAAATTAAACCTTTTTTATACTTTTTTACTTTTAATAAATGGCTAAAAAATCCTTTTTTTAATTGTTTTATTTAAGAATTACAAATAAAAAATCAAATTATTATTTTAGTTAAAATATTTTTGTATTTATAAACTTTAGAAATTATAAATTCTATACACAACTCGAAATCCATTTATTAGAAAAAGCATTTAGATAATTGTGAGAATAATTTAACTCCTTAGCTTCTTTTCAAACCAGAAAAATTTTAATTATTACTAATAAATAGATAGATAATTAATCACTCATTCATTAAATAATTACACAGTTTATCAAAAAAGATTAAAAATATAGTTTAAAAGAAGGTTTTTTAAATGAATATTTGCGATTTTATCGTAGAATAATCAAGTGTTGAGAAAAATTTATGTCTCATTTAGCCAGATCCTGGTAAATAACAGACAATGTAGAGGATTAAGAAAGTAATTTGTTCGATTTATTTAATAAAAACTCTAAAATATTCAATTTAAATTAGGGAAAGAGCATTCAGCAGTAGAATTCATATACATACAAAAAAATATAATCAGTGCTTAGCGATGATAAGACGATTGATAAAAAAAAGAAGAAAAAATCCTCTGATTAGTAGGGAAAAATCTTCATTTAAGATCTAATGCAGATGACCTTATAAAAATCTGATTTTAGGTACTTCATTATTTCTTTTTTTTCTAAAAATTAACATGATTTCTCAAAATCAAATTGAAATAAAGAAAAAAGCAGTCAATAGGAGTAGATGATTTACTCTAATTTGGAGACTAAGTCATATGGACAGAAAATTCTTTGAGCTCAGATGAAGAAAACGGTTAAAATGATGAGGCTAAATTGCAGTAGGTTGATGAAGAAGAAGATGAAGGAAAGCACTAATTAAATAATTCAGTTTTTAATTATTACAGATAAGAGAAATATTAGCTTTAAGTTATTGAAGATGGTAACTTCAACAATGGAGGAGTATCTCTGCAGATTGACTTCGATAAAAAAATAATCAAAGCAGTTAAGTAAGTCAAGAACTTGGAATTTTTCTAAAGGGAAATCAAGGCCTTGTAGGAATTTTAAAGAAAAGGTTGTTTTGTTGATGCTGCTGCTGTTTCTTTGAAATTACTTGATTATGACACTAACAATCTAGTTTTCAGCTAAAAAGCTGGCTTCATAAGCTATAAACAAATAAACAAAATTGTACATATTAAAAAATTGCAAGATAATTACAAACTGCCTTTTGAGTATTTTATCCTCAAACAAATGTATTTTCTCAATAAGAAACTAGAACTTATGAATAATTTCTTCAAGATTGCACATAGTGATATAAAACCAAATAACATCGTCATAGGTTTCGATTTTATACCTTATTTTATTGATTTGGGTGGTGCTGTATTTATAGATGACGAACCAAATGAATATTTAACCCTATGTACACCAACATTTGTGCCTGCAAAATACATAGATTGTGAGTAATTTGATGAAAAATCTATTAAAGAATGTGAAAAATAATCTTTAATGTTAGTATTTTTATTCATGCTATGCAGGTAATTAATTAACTCAAAGACTAACTAACTAACTTAATTAGAAAATACTTTAATAATTCTTTAAATTCAGAATAAGCAAATCATTTTATCTATAAGAGAAACAAACTCATTCATTTACTAATATACTTATCACATAAAACTAGTTTTCTATTTTAATTAAAATATTTGATAAGTTTAAACAATTTCTTTTGCAGAAGCAAGAAAATTTAAATTTATTTTTGGTTGATTAATAAAAAAATGAGTTGATAGATAAGAAAAAAACTAAATTACAATTTAAGCTTAGAATCTATTCGAAAAAGATTTAAATAAATTTAAATAAAATGAATATTTCTTAATTCTAACATAGAAAAATTAAACTATTTATTTATCAGGTTTTATCAGATAATTTTGATTTTAATAACAACAACAATTAATTAATTAATAAATGAAAGAGATAATTTAATTTTTATAGCTTAAGAAGGAAATTCAACACTTTTTTTTTTCTATTTTAAAAGAAATTAGGATGAGAACAAGCTTTTTTATCAGCGTAAATATGGCTAACTTTTAGAAGTACTTAAGAAGTTCTATTCTTAGGATTTGATGAACATTTTTGAAAAATCTATTATATATGAAGATTATGAAGGTGTAGAAACTATGGTTAAAGAAATATTAGACAACAATTTAATATAATATGTAGAGAATTTAGATTAGATTATGCTATTTTTAAGCGAGTTGAAGCAATTCGATTACTCCACTAATCAAAATCTGTATGTCATAAAAGAGTGGGATCAGTTCAATATCAACATTTTAAAAATATTTCCTTGCCTTTTATATGAAATTGATCTATTAGAAATCAGCGAAAACTAAAAGATTTATGATTACTTCTGTAATAATAATTAGCTTGACATATTTGTTGACATCAATAAGCCTTTTTTTATCAACTTTCTCAATATCTTTTTAGAGCTCTCTACAGATTGTCATACATTGAAGATATTAAATTTATCTCCCTAGCAGAATTCAGAAAAATTTAATGTGAGTGACTTAATTCATAAAGATGGCAAAACTTTGTAAATTAGAATGAATTTTAATATTTTCAATTATTAAAATGAAGATATTGATGAAAATTAATTTAACTATGGAGACTCTTCAAAAGCCAAAGTTCCTTCACTTAATTTTAAAAATATTTTGGATTTAATTGATACTCTTTACATTATTTCTTATGAAGAAACTATTGATTTCAAATACTTTTCTGGAATTAACTCTTTTTATAGTAAATGTCGTCTTCAAGAAATAAAGATTAAATGTAAGGATATTTCTATCAATTTGTTTTAAGATTTTTTAAATGAGCAAACAAATCTGCGAGTATTTCATATGTTTGTTGTCGATTATTAGTATAAATTAAAATTCCCCGATTTGCAACAGAAAAATCAGCTCAGTAAATTAAAATCTAATTTCTAGATAACAAATTTGGATTCTGTTATCGAAGAAAATGCAGAAAGTCTTTAGGATTTAGAAATTACTATAAATGCTGGTGAAGACAGATCTCCACTTTATACATAGCTTTCAAAGCTAAATTTTTTAGTTAAAATATCACTAAGAGTGCAATATATTAAAATTCCAAATGTTTCTGCCTTAGCAACCAAAATGCCTAATTCTTCTTCTATTAACTGCTACGGACTAAACAGGATGGGATCTCTCCCAAGAAAAAATAGTAATTAATTTCCATATCTTAGTTAAGATTTTTACGATTTACTCAGCTAAGTTTTTAGTAAAATGAAAATTCCTGTTGTAAAATTAAACTTTTCTGAAAGTCTGCTCAATAACCAAGACATACAGCAAATAAATCGCTGCATCAAATCTTCACTTAATGCAAATGCTTCTTAATAATTAAACTTACCACACACACTAAAGCTAAATTTAAATATGCAGTCGAAGCAAGTTGATGAATAAAATACAAGAATGATACTTATTTCCCTCTTTTAAACTAAAATCCAGCGCATAAAATTATTAATAAACAATTCTGTGCAATAAAGTATTTCAAAATAAGACAATTCTACTAAAAAGTAAATAAAAACAGCTTAAACTTTGCTTAATTTCTTTCCTGTTGGTTATAAAAATGAATCTCTGTAAAGATTTTCTCTTCATTTATCTAATTTCAATGTTAACATTCAAGCTATTGTCAATAACTTAAATGCATGCTAAAAATATAAAATTATCTTAAATAGTTACAATCACAGTGTGTTTACTAGCGTTGAAAATATTACTTTTTTAAATGAAAAGCAATAATTTATAATTAAACCTTCTGATCCTGCTCTTAATTAGCAATTTAAGTATTTTAGTTCTGCTAACAAACAAATATAAATCTCAGCAAAAATAAATAAATACAGTCAATTTAACTATAACAAAATTCATACAAATCCAAATTTAAGAACATTTACTCGGTCTCTCCAAAAAAGAAATAGAAATAATTCTGAGTCCACTAATGATGGTAACGGCTTATAGATAACTAGCAATCCTAGTATCAGTGAAGAATAATCTCCTTCAAATCTATCTTATCAAAATAACCAGAGACTTGAAGACTACATTGATTTTAAATCAAATAGATTGTTTTGCATGAACCTAAACAGCTTTAAGAATGAGTTAAATATCGAAACTGCTAACGTTTAAGACAGTCTCAGTGGCTTGGTGGAATGCTTTAAAGTTAATTAAAAGCTTAAATCCGTCAGCTTAGACTTTACTATCCCTTCCTTATCAAAAATCATCCAATCAAATTTTCTTCAAAATCTATTTGATAGCTTCAAATATAACCAAGTTGTAGAAGAATTATCAATAAATTTTTCTGGAAATCAAATAGATTCTCTCAAGTGTCTTCATGGATGTCTGTCATTTAACGAGACATTAAAGTCATTTTCACTTAACTTACAAAATTGTAATTTATATCCCGAGAGCTTGATGGAAATAGCAGAAGCAGTTCTTTCAAATGAGAATATTGACTATTACAAGTTTTCATTACTTGATAATATACAATTAAGCTATCCTCATACTATAATCCACGAATTGAAGTCTTCTAAACCTAACACAGAAATAATTCTTCTGTTTAATAATGTAAAAGATTATGATTTGATGTTCAATTCTGGCATAGTTCACTACAGCCCACAAATTCTTTAAGAGCTTGAAATAAAATAAAAGTAGAGAAAACAATTAAAATACAATTATTATGAATATGAAAATACCATAAATGATTTAACTAACACAAATTTTGCTATGTGTTCAAGATAATAAACAGTAATTATTAATTAAGCCACTTTGTTTAAAAATTAAAGTTCCCTAAACCCAAATAGTCCAATTTTCAATCATCGAAAGTATAGTCTAAATAAATAGTAACAAAATTAAATATCCTCACTGTTTAGCAATACAAACACTTCTACGTTTTCAAATCTAGTTTCTTCGCCACAATTTTTAAATAATTAAAGCTCTCCAAATATGAATTTTATTTAAAAGCCTGCTAACTCAGCTATTTTTAACCAAAGCAACCTCAAACAAGCTAATGGCATATTATCTACATTAAATAATAATATATCATCTGTTTTTAATAATAACCCTCAAAATCTGAGAAACAGAAAAAAAAAATTGAGCAGATTCTAAGAAGAGAAAAATAGCATGGAATAAAGTGAATAATCCTTTAACAATCCTTTGAACAGTAGTATTAACAATAATTAGAATATGAATGGGAATGCAAATAGCAATATTTTGAATGCAAATAATTTTGGAAACAGCCAACTAATTAATGAAGATTATGAAGACAATATGAATATAAACACTCCAAAAACTAGGGCAATATGGATGAGTAGAAAACTTAACCAAGCTAGAACAAGCTAATATAGTTCCCTTTCTAGACATAAATTACATTCTGAAGTTGTAGAAAGGAGACCAAGTAACGCAAACACTCTTCTTGAATTAAATTCACCTCAAAGTTAGTAGCACAGAGCTATCAGCAGCATCTAAAATCATAACAATTAAAATTCTCTAGGATAAATTTTAGTATATCATAAACGTAAGTAAAGATTAACAATAATTATCGAGGAAAACTATAATATTATAGCATTAGAAGAGCTAGCAAAAAAGAACCCTGGCATAAAAGAAATTAAATTTGCTTTAAATGCTTCTACTTTAAATTTAAAATATTTCCTCTCTGGTCTATAGTTTAATAATAATCTATAAGGAATATCGATAGCACTGAATTTCTTGCCATCAAAAGCTGATTTTAAGACGATCACAGATATTTTCTAAGTGCTGAAAGAAAAATTAAAAAAAATATCACTTGATTTTAGCAGATAAAAAATAGGCTAAGAAAATATAAAGCAAATCATAGACTATCTTTACTAAAACCCTATGATTGAAGAAGTAGATTTAGATTTGTCTCATAACATGATTCAGCCTAACACAGCTAAATACTTCTGTTTGCTTAAGTAAAGCAACATAAAAAAATTAACTCTTAGACTAGGAAATAACTTTTTAGGCATAGATGGCACTAAATACATTTGTGACATTATTGAATATAATTCAATTCACTTGAAAGAATTGTTTTTAGGACTTGATTTTAATTTCATAGGAAATAGTGCCTTATAAATCATATAAAACTCACTAACTAAAAATAGTAACTTGCTGAATTTAAATATTTTTATGAAGGGTAATTAAATTAAAACTGAGTTTGTTAGTTTTATTGAGTTATATTTACAGTAGCACCCTTCTATTAAAAACTTTAGCATATAAACTGAAAACTCAACGATTGATTAATAAAATATTTGATCTTATAACAAAAAAAAAAATATTTAGTAAACTTACTAAATTAAATATAAAATTTATTCAAATTCAACACAACCCAACCATACAACCATCTTAAATTAATTCTTATTCTCTTAAAATTATATTAAAATATATTTAGTTTTTTAGTAAACATTTTATATATCAATTTTATGCAATATTCAATTCATAATTTATAAATAAATCCTAAAATAAAAACTATTTTTGAATTTCTTTAAAAATAATATTTGAGCATCAAAAAAATAAAATTTTAAATTGAGCTATCTAAAAAATTAAACATTTTTAAGTTCTTTAAAAAGTTTTTAAAAATGATTTAATAAATAAAATTAGCTTTTTATAAGATAGATGTAAGTAATTAAATAGTTAAAAATTCTAGTTAAATAACAATAAATTGAATAAAATATCAATCAAGTTTATCTAAATTACAATAGCTGATATTTCAGAATATAAGGTGTGAACATTACAAACAGGAGCGTTAATTACACTATAAAATTAATTTTAAAAATTTTTGATAATATTTATACAAGTCTGTAAAAATATTTTTGCCGTAAATAGTATTAGTTTTCAATTTTCAAAATCAACTAATTAATTAATTATGTATGATATAAATTGTAAAGCACATTCAATTCAAAAATCAATAAAAATTTACTATTTATTTTATATATTTAAATTAAAATAATTTGTTTTATCTCCTAAATAAAATAAGATTTTTAAACAACAAAAATTGATAAAAAGTAAAATTTATTTATATTAAGCTATAAAATAAATCTAATAAGGACTTTGGTTAAGAAAAAACAAATATATGACAACAAAATCATTCTTGATTTAGACATAATTATTAGAATTTTAGCTGTTTTCTTTATTAAATATTCAGAAAAATATAAATAAGTAATTGCTTGCACATTTGAATATAAATGAATCTGTCTGTCTATAATCTTTAAGTAATTACTATAAAAAAACAAACAAAAAACAGTCTGTTACTATATTCATTCAGTCTTTTACTACTTATAAAAATAAATGTGAGGTATGTAGATATAAAGACTATAGTATAAGTATTGGTGAATTTTAGATATTTTAAAATAAGTTAATCTTAAAATTAACTACAATAGTAAACGCAACATTTTCAACAACAGGGAAATTACTTATGCTATAAAAGATCTTTATCTGTAAAAAAAAAACAAATTTATTATAAGATAAATAAATTATTATGAATAAAAAATATAATTTTTACCATTCATAATTTTTATTTTTAATTATGCAAATTTTGAAATATTGATATTAAAAAGAGTAGAATTTGTTTGTTGAATTAGAATAATTAAATATTTAAAACTTTTAAATATTTTTACAATTTCTAAAATACTTATATAAATATACCAACTTAAAAATTATATTATTTTAAGATCTTTAAATGTATGTATGTATATATGTATTCTCTTTAAAGTTTAATAAATAATTTCTTTTTTTTAGATAAGATTTATTTATTTATAACTTTAAAAAACATCAAAAAAAAGAATTTTTCTAGAATTCAGATTACACAAATTAATATTTTAAACGTTAAAGTTTCTTTTTTAATTTAGACTTATTATTATTAATTATAGAAAATGTTTAAGAATTTGAGAGGGTATATGGGTTTTTCGCTCTAATAATAATTTAACAAATTAAAATGTAGTCAAATTTTTAGGGTCTTTGGAAACAAAAATTTTTTTCATTTCAAACACTGGTTAAAAACAAATCTAAACTATTTTATCGATTTATTTTTCATTCGAAGCTGAATTAATCATACATTTTATTATTTTAAATGAATAAAAGTAAAGGATTTTGTTAATTTTATTTTTTTTATTTGGAGATTAAAGGTGACAAATAATAGAGCAATAACATTTTCAATTAAATATAATAAAAGAATTCTGCTTTTTAGTTCTTTTTATAAGTGATTTTAAATTTCTTTTATATGTTTTTAATTAGAAAAAGAAGTTTTAAAGATAAAATTATTGATTATTTACAGTTTACATTTAATTATAAATTTGTTTTTTTAACTCTTAAAATAAATAGTTATTCTAAAATATATAAAAAATGTTAAATATTAAATTATTTTAAAATAATTGAATTGTTCAATAATTATTCCAAATAATTAAAAATTAAAATTATATTATTTGTGATTTTTTTTTTTGTTAATGTAAACCAAATAACTAATTAGATTCATCATAAATTTATTATAATCGAAAGGAATATTTCTAGAAATATTTTTAAACATAAACTTACAATAATAAAATCGAAAAGATCAGAACTAATCATCTTATGATTTAACATTAAATTTCATCTTTTAAAATTACATTTGAGTTAAAAAGTTAAAAATAGACAAAATTTCATTATTAATTTATTAACACGATGAAATAATTCAGGCATTTATTTTGTTTGAATCAAACTATTTTATTTTATTGTTTATTAAGAATTAATTAAAGATTTTAAATTATTTGTAGAATAAAAAAACATACTGCCAAATTTATTTTTCAGGACGGACTGAACTATAAGGTTTGAATAGAAATTATCAGAAACAAAAATAAATAAATAAATTTGACATTAAATTCTGTACTTAAAAAACAATTAAAACAAAATAATAAATAAATAAATAAATAATAATAAAAAAATATAAATCTAAAAGATGAGATCTTAAATTCTTATTACTTTAGGAGTTCTAGCACTTATTTCTACTACTGCCTATCTTTTAACTGCTGCTAATTATGAAGAGAAAAATTTAAGAGCTAAAGATTGTGTTGAATATAAATTGAGCCCAGATAATATAGACACTATTTTAATTAACAATTGCTCAACTCCTTAAATAATCAATGTAGTTTACTATATCAGCCCTGGTAAAAATATGTCTGAAGGAACAAGGTGTTTAAAGTAAGGTGAAGAAGCTATACTAATAGGTGGAGAATATTAAATTGTTGAATTGGTTCATGAAAAATGCAATCCAATAAATTGATTGAGATTTAAAGTTAGTTTTTAAATCTAACAAATACTTTTTTAAATAAAATAAAGTAGAAATTATATTTTTTCATTATAAATATTGTTTAAACTATTATTTTTTTATTTATCGTTAAAAATAAATATTATTTAAAACTAATTTATTTCAATATTTCTTTATTATTTTAAATGATTTTCAAAAATAAATAAATAAATAAATCCTCTTATATTTGCACCCACCTCTATACAAGTTAAACTACCTTGGTTTATTTTTTTTCTTATAATTTTTAAATATGGAGGGAGATTAATACATTTATATTTTTATCAAAATTGGAATAACTATAGCTTCATCTTTATTTTTTATCTAAGAAGTTCTGAATTTTTAAATTATAAATAAAAGAGTGAGTAATCAATCAATTAGTTCTATTTACATGAGTGTAAAATATTTAAAATTATTTTAAAAAATATATTAAAAATATAGTATAAGAAATACATAAATACGCTAAATAGAAAATATATATAAATATTTCAGATAAAATATTTATTAATATCCTCAGAATTATATTTTACTAATTATTTATTTATTTATATATATCATTATCTAAATATTTAATAAAACTCAAAATTAGATTAATAATCAATCAATCAATCTGGTTATTTTAAATGAGTAAAATAGAAAAATCACTTCAGCTTATTTCAAAAAAACTGTCTTAGGATTTTCTCTCATACGTCAATAAAGGTGTTTCTCCTTTCCATGTTGTTTAAACTTCAAAAGAAAGGTTAGTCAAGCATGGTTTTACTCAAATCAGCGAGAATGATAATTGGAATATAAATAGAGGAGGCAAATATTTTTTTATTAGATCAAATAGTTCTTTAGTTGCTTTTACTGTAGGAACAAATTTTGATGCTAACGATACTGGATTTAAGATTATTGGAGCACATACTGATTCTCCTTGTTTAAGACTAGCTCCTTTAAGGTACTTATCTACAAAATCTACTCACTACTAAAAATATAGCATTCCAATTAAAACGCTAAAAGTTTTTTTTAATAAACTAATAAATAAGCAAGCTTACAAGCCAAGAATTTAGATAAGCTGGAGTTTGTACTTATGGAGGTGGTTTATGGCATACATGGTTTGATAGAGATTTGACTTTAGCAGGAAGAATAGTTTATGAAGATGAAAATAATTAATTTAAGTCTGATTTATTTTTCCATGAAGGAGGTCTCTTTAAAATTCCTAATCTCGCTATTCACTTAACAACTGCAGATGAAAGAGGAAAATTCACTCCAAACTTAGAGAATCACTTGAAACCAATCTTTTCTTCTGAGGTTTATGAACAGTTGGTGAATATGCAATCAAAGAATGAAAACATAGAAGGTATTCATTTAGCTATTTTAATAGAAATTTGAATATCTTTATTTAGATTTGTTAGTTACTCTTAAGTAGAAATTTCTTTATTTTATATTAGGATACTTAAAAAATAATCACTACTCTGGTCTTCTTAATCTAGTAGCTGATTAAATTAAAGTCCCATCCAAAAAAATCATTGATTTAGATCTTTATTTTACTGATGTTCAGCCTGGCACTCTCATTGGATTGAATTAAGAATTTATCAGCTCTCCCAGATTAGATAATCTTTTCTCTTCTTGGGCTGCTCTAAGAGCAATTACACCTACTGAAGTTGATACTCCTGAAGTAGAAGGTGAAAACTAAAATAATTCAAAATATATCCACATGATTTGTCTTTATGATCATGAAGAGTGTGGTTCTTAAAGCTTTTAAGTAAATAAAATAAATATATTTTATAAATTAAAAATTGGTTGATATTTTTTAGCACAATTAAACTTTATTTTATCAAAATAAAACTCATTTTATTTATATTAATAAGGTGAAATTGAAAAATTGTTGTATAATTTTATTTTTTTTATGTAAAAAGGGAGCTGGTAGTAACTTGCTATAATAAACTACGGAAAGAGTTTGGAAGATTTTAGCAAAAGACAGCAATAATGTGAAATCAGACTCATTAAATAAAGCATATTTAAATTCATTCTTAATATCTGCTGATATGGCTCATTCAGTACATCCAAATTATTGTGATCGCCATAAAACTAATCATTAAGTTAAGTTAAACTCTGGAATTGTTATTAAAGTAATTTTTTTTACAATCAATGAATTTCTTTTTTTTAATAAATTAACAATAAAAAGATAAATCACAATTAAAGATACACAACTGATTCTGTAAGTTCTGCATTAATAAAAGCTGTAGCAAATGATATCCAAGTTCCATATCAAGAGTTTGCAGTTAAAAACGATAGTCCTTGTGGTAGTACAATTGGCCCTATTGTTTCATCTTAAACAGGTATCAAAGCTGTTGATATTGGTGTTGCTTCATGGGGAATGCACTCAATTAGAGAAACGTGTGGTGTACTTGATTCTTATTACTATGTCTAACTTATGTCTCACTTTTTCAAGTCTTATGATAAGATAGCTCCTTCTCTTTTGAAATGCTGACTGAGCCTATTAATTTTTAATTGTAGATTACAATTACATTCAATATTGGTCATATTAATTAGATAGTTAATGACACATCTAAGAATATTTATATTTTAAAAACAAACACTTTATTTATACATGTATGAATGTATTTATGTATTCATCTATCTAAATTAGTTTTATTGAAATCAAATATTTAGTTATATAAATAAACAAAAAAATTACATTGATTAATTTAATTATTTATTTATAGTAATGATTTCAATCTAAAAAGCGCTCGGTGAAGGGATCGAACCTTCGACCTTGCGGTTAACAGCCGCATGCTCTAACCAGCTGAGCTAACCGAGCTTCACATTACTTTTTAAAAATATTTTTTAGGTTTTTTAAGTTAAAATATAAGTTAATATCAAAATAATAAATATTCTTTATTCAATTGAATTAAACTATTTCTCATTAGAATATTAATAAAAAGCGCTCGGTGAAGGGATCGAACCTTCGACCTTGCGGTTAACAGCCGCATGCTCTAACCAGCTGAGCTAACCGAGCTTTATATTTTTGTTCAACAAATTTTTTTTAGTCTTTAATTCAATTTACTTTAATTAAAGAAAAATATTATTTAAGTTACGTTTCTACTAATATATGGCAAATTAAAACCATATCTAAGTTAAAAAAGCGCTCGGTGAAGGGATCGAACCTTCGACCTTGCGGTTAACAGCCGCATGCTCTAACCAGCTGAGCTAACCGAGCTTTATATTTCAATATTAAATATTTTTTTTAGATTTTAATTCAATTTATTTTAATTAAAGAGAATTATTATTGAAGTCGCTAAACTTAGGTAAATTAAAACCATATCTAATTTAAAAAAGCGCTCGGTGAAGGGATCGAACCTTCGACCTTGCGGTTAACAGCCGCATGCTCTAACCAGCTGAGCTAACCGAGCTTTATACTTTATTTTTATTAAATTTTTCTAGTGACTTTTTCTATTTAACAAAGTTAATTAAATTATCTGTTAATTAAAAAAGCGCTCGGTGAAGGGATCGAACCTTCGACCTTGCGGTTAACAGCCGCATGCTCTAACCAGCTGAGCTAACCGAGCTTAATAACATAAATTAAAAAAAAAACTTAGTGTTTAATTCATTTAATTTAAAATAATTAAAAAAAATTAAAACAATTTTTTCAAAATGATTTTTTTTTCTGAATAAAAAAGCGCTCGGTGAAGGGATCGAACCTTCGACCTTGCGGTTAACAGCCGCATGCTCTAACCAGCTGAGCTAACCGAGCTTCTTATAACAAAAAAATGAAAAATATTAAATATAAAATAAATTCTAAAATGCCTAAAAAAAGCTTTTTTTCATTATTTCGATAATATTTATTATAAGTTGTATTTTTATAGAATATGAAACGAAAGATAATAATAATAATAATAATTAATATGTTAATACATTTAATACAAATATTATATTTACATTTAATAATAACGAGTTAATTAATTAATAATATTTATTATAAGTTGTATTTTTATAGAATATGAAACGAAAGATAATAGTAATAATAATTAATGTGTTAATACATTTAATACAAATATTAAATTTACATTTTATAATAACTAGTTTATAATGTTTATTATAAGTTGTATTTTTATAGAATATGAAACGAAAGATAATAATAATAATAATTAATGATTTAATACAAATATTATATTTATATTTTATAATTAGTTAATTGATAATATTTATTATAAGTTGTATTTTTATAGAATATGAAACGAAAGATAATAGTAATAATAATTAATGTGTTAATACATTTAATACAAATATTAAATTTACATTTTATAATAACTAGTTTATAATGTTTGTTATAAGTTGTATTTTTATAGAATATGAAACGAAAGATAATAATAATAATAATTAATGATTTAATACAAATATTATATTTATATTTTTTAATAACTAGTTAATTGATAATATTTATTATAAGTTGTATTTTTATAGAATATGAAACGAAAGATAATAATAATAATAATTAATATGTTAATACATTTAATATAAAAAATATATTTATATTTTATAATAACTAGTTAATTTATTAATTAATTTTTTTAATAATTTTATTTATTTATTAATTTGTTTGTTTGTTTCTTGCTACACTTTTCTTTGGTTTAAAATATATTGTAATAAAACTTAATTATAAATATTATTTTTTATGGAGTTGTTAAATTAATTGAATAGGAATTTGTTTAAATAAACATCCTATTAAATAAAAGTTTATTTTCCTTCCTCTTTATTTATTTATTTTATTTTTTATTTTCAGTTTTTAGTAGCTTTCATTTAAAACTGCTTTGCATATGATTGCTTTGTTTTGAGATAGAGGTCTTTTGGTGTGCTAGGTTATTTTGTTGGTGTGATAGATCTAGAAGCACTATTTGATTTTTGTCCATTTATTCTTAATTAAGGTTTGAATGTGCATTATGCTGCTTCTTCATTTCTTATTTACTACATAATCTAATTTTATTTGATTAGCTTTTGCTCCTACCATTATTTGTTTCTTTCTTGCACGTTTAACTGATTATTTTTAGGTTTTGCTTAAATTTTACCATTTGATCTAATATTAGAGCTACTACTACTGTTTGACATACCATGATAATTATGAAGGCTATTTTTTGAATTTTCTCTTGATTTTTATTAAATTTATTACTAAATGTAATTTTATCTCATTTCAAAACTTTTCTTCAAACTCTCGTTTGTATAGTAACGATGTGTGCCATTTTATTCATTTTAACCTCCATTAATATTTTTTGGGGAGTTAAAGTAATTTATGTTGAGATTTTCTTAATTCACACCATTAGCCTTAGCAAACGTTTCTTTTATCAAACTTTCAAAATCTTTATTTTGTTAACCATTTTTTTGCTATTATTAAAGGAGATGCTTTATTTTTAATTTATTATCAGTTGAATTTTTTTATTAGCTTATGCTTACTAGATCTGCAGCTGAGTATTTTTAATTCTGGAGTACTTTGGCTTTTTCAGTGCTGTGTTCACTCAAAATATCCTAATCCTCTTCTTAGTGACCCTTTTATATCTTACTCTAATATTATCTACCTGTTTGAGTGCTTTAAACATGGCTTTAATTTTAAGACTGCTAAGTACTCAAAGTTTATTAACTGCTGAAACTTTATTTATAAAATTTTAAATTAATTATTTTATGAGCATTAATAAAATTTGTTATATTAATTTTTAATTTTTTCGGCTTATTTATAATAAAATATAATTTGAATAATGCATTGTTAGTTATTTTCATTAAATTAAAGTCAAAGTATAAATTATTAATAAAAAATATTATGAAGGATTATTCGAAATTGATAAAAAAAAATAAATATTTTGTAGTCCTTCTTATTTATATATTTATTTATTATGAAAAAATAATAATTAAATTAATTAATTTACTTGTTTAAGTAGGATTTTGCAAGATTTTAGGACTAAACTGAGTATGCATTCAAAATAAGAGGTTCTTTTTAATTTTGTATTTAGTTTGAGTTTGCATTAGAAGTTGTATAATAAGATTTGGTTGAAGAGTGGTCTTTAGAGTATTTGCTGTTTGTTGAGTCACTTCTTTCGTTTGTATTCGTTGCAGGAATGTAGTGTGAGTGACGCTTATGCACATCGTTTTAAGGTGATTAGGTGTTTAAATTGCTGTTTTAGAGTTAAACATTCTACTTTTAATTATTTGTGTTAGTTTTTTTCTTAGAGTTGAGTAAAAGTTTAAAAGTATTTTTGTTAATCATTGGGATATTTTTAGTAGGATTTTGATTATAGATGCGATCAAGTTCTTCTTTGTGGTGCTAATATTTCAGACCAGAGTTAATTAACTTGTCTTCTATTTTTTATTTATTTGTTACTCTGCTTGTATTTTATAATATTTTTTCTGACCCTTTGCAAATCAACTTTTCATTTTATAAGCTCTCTATTTCTTTTATTTCGTCTACAATCTAATGATAAAATATTATTAATCTTTTATTTATTATATTAAAAATTAATTTTACTTATTTGTTTCTCATTTCAACTGTTTTCTAGTTTACATTTTCCTTCCATGAAATCAAATCTGTCACATTTCTGACTAGATTTTGAGATTGAGGTCTTATCTTTTTATAATTTGAAATTATCTGATTGTTTTTAATATAAATTTAAGCAAGCAATTAATTACATTTGGAGAGTAAGGATATAGAATGTCTTATTAAATGATTTCTTCTTTTAACTGTAATTATTTTTTTTCTTTTTCTCTTAGAAATCTTTGATTTCTATCGTAGACTGATAGGTTTTGCTCATTTTTTTGGGCTAAAATATTTGATTTAGAAGATATTTTATGTTTTTTCATTGCTTCATTTACTTGAATAAAATATTGTTTCTGCATTTCCTATTTTTAAATCTAAATAATTTTTAATAAAAATGTAAATTTATTTGCAATTTAATTAATTACTTCTCTCTCTTTAGATTTCTGTAGCAATCTATCTTCGATTGGTTGGTATGGTTTTTCAACAAAATTTGACTAAAGTGATATTTAAGACTTATTTTCCACATTTTTTTATGCTGATATTTCTTAATTTTAATTTTTTTAGTACATTTATGATTAATGAAATGAAGTTTGCTTTGATTGATTAATCTGCATCAATTTTTTTTCAACATTTTAATACTATTTCTGAATAAATTAAGGTTAAAATTGGTTTTGTTCTTGAATGTAGGATTGATGATTTTAAATTGAAGTTAATCCATCATTTTATTGATTCTAAATATTGAGATTAAAATGAAGTGGCTATTTATTATTAAGTTAATCTTGGTTATTTTCAATTAAATTTTGAATGGATTTGTTATTATTTGGGGCTTATTGAATATTTTAATTACCATTTCTTAAGTTTTCAGTAAAAGAATGTTCAAGAAAAGGAGAATTTTAAGAGAATTCGTTAAAGAATTAAGAAGTTGAATGAAGCTAATAAGTAATATTGTGATTATTTGTATTATTAGTGTTATTAGTGTTGTTGTTTTATGTTGTGTTGTTTATTTAGCTGCTATTTATGTTATTATTAGAATTGCAAAAGCGTCTAGCTGAAATTATTTAAGAAGCCCTGTCATTGATACTGTCTTCTTCTTATTAATTATTTCTCTATGATTTATCACAGTAAAATGTATTACTTCTTTCACTTATTTCGTTGAAGTAAGTTCTAAATGTTTTTTTTCCTTTAGCACTATTAGGATTATTGTTAGACTAGTTTATAGAAGATATTCTTGAAAAACTCTCATTAATATTCTGGTTACTATAGTTTATTTTTGAAAGATCATTTACCATGTTGTTAATATTGCTGCTGTTGTTTACTTCGTTATTATTCAATGCACTTTTGTTTAAAAAAAGATTAGAGGAATCAGCTTCGATATATTGTCTCAAAGAAGATACATTATTTGGATTCTTTCTTTCTTATTTGTTATTATATGGATTAATTTAGTAGTCTGATAAATCAACTTATTAGTTAGCACTTGGGTTATTTCTTTAGCTTTACTAGCTGCTTTAATGGAAAGAGCTCTAAATATATTTTTAAACTAGCTATTGAGCCTAGTTTAGAGGTTTTGAGCCTGTCTAATGTAAACTATAAGCAGGTTATTTAGAAGTTACTGGTTTGATAGTTGTGTCTTAATCATCAATTTATTTATTGTAATTATCAGCTGATGTATTCTATTCATTTGGTATATACTAAAATTAGATCAATTTATTATTGTTATTATATCTCTCTGTCTAAATACTCCTCTCATAATAATATCGATCACTAGTATTTCCTATTTGGCAGTTTCTCTCAGTTTGGATGTTTCTTTCTTGAGAGTTACTGAATCCTTATTAATTAATACCATAAATATTTTTGTTTCTCTCAATTGCAATAGTCTTATCAGTAGCTGTGTTCAATTTATCTGTGTTGAAAAGGTTTCTTTGTGTAGGCTGTTGATCTTAGCTGTAAATAGAAGCAGAATTATCTGTTGAGACAATATTGCTTGATGCATTCCCTAAAAAGAAATGAGTGAATTTTGTTGGCTTATATCCAGAGTTATTAGATTGAGAAGCTTAACTTTATCCTTTTTCATTAGAGAGATGTTATTTAACTAGTTAATTATTCTATTACATTTCCTATATTTCATCTTAATCATTATTAAGGTATCTTGAACTCTCTTTCTTTTATGATAAATCTATAACACCTAAGATATTAATATTTGTTGGAATATATTTCTCTTTTTCAATACTTCTTTAATTTTTATCATTAAATTTTCCAGTGTCATAAATCTACTTCGATTAAAGAGGCAAGTCATAATTTTTGTTCTCCAAAGTAACATTTTTAAAATTGATTTAATCTGTTTATAAACCCTGTTATTATTAAAGCTATTAAAAGGAATTTTAAAATAGAGTAGTCTAAAAAGTATTATTTTGTTCTTCATTTTAAGATTGGTTTGAATTATAATTTTGTAAATTGCTCATTTGTAGATTTCCAAGATTATTAATTTTATGAGAATCTTCATTTTATTTTATCATTTAATTTTAATCTTAGCTCTTCTAGTTAAAATTAGAATTGCTGAAGTTCTAAGTGTCTCTTGAGTAAGAGGAATCCTTTTATCCTACTCCGTTCGCATTGAAAGTAGAGAAGTTTTAAGGGTAAAATATGATTTAATCTATTTCATTTTAATCCTAGAAGACCTGACCATTTTATTAAATAATTTATTTTTCTACATTTATAGTTTCTCTTTTGTTTTCTTCAACTTATTTTTCTTCTTTTGGTTGATCATTTCTCCTGAAAAAACTAGAAGCTTTTTTACCTTTACAATAAAAAATATGATAAAAACATATTTATTGAGTTAAGAAATTATAAAAAACAATTAAAATGATAACAAAAGCCAATCAAATTAAATTAATAAATTGTTGTTATTAAATAATAAATAGTTTAAATACTTTTCTTGTTAATTTTTTATGCTAAATCAAATTAACATCTTTTTATTTAAAATGCTAGTAAAATATTTAATTCAAAATAATTGTTTATTTTTAATGGTTTACAATTTGTATTTTTCTTTAAAATTTCTTCATGGAAACTAGGTTTAAACAATTGATAATTTTCCAAAATATTGGTTGACATCCTGCCTTTCGTTTCTCTTTCTTCAATTTCTTGCATCATTTTTTCATACTCTTGTTCATTTATATAGTCATATTATTCGTTACTATATTCTGAGTTGTCTTGCTACTCCATCATATATGAATAAAGAGAAGGATTTTTTTCGAAACGATTTTGTAAATTAGGGTTACACAAGTTATTTTTTTTGAAGATTTAATTTTGAATTTCTCCTTCATCCTTGCTTTATAATATTTCAGGCCTTATACTAATGCGCTTTTCTATTTCCGTTTGAGCATTATCTTAAGAATCTAGCATAGCTTTAACACACTACGATTAGCTGAATTCATAATAGTATTAGTTCGAATTACCATTGTTTTAATTTTCTTTATCTTCTTGCTCATCATTCATATTGCTTAACTACTCATTATTGTATGTATTCTCCAATAAAACAAAGTTTGATTGCTGATTATTTGCATTGTAGCTTTTAAGCTATGAATTGCTTTCTTGGAAAAGTTACTGCTGAATTTACATTTCCTTTTTTTAATCTTAAAGACATTAAATTCTGCTTAAGATAAATTGATTGCGACTAAGATCAGAAGGATTCATTTAGCTTTATTATTTACATTTGCGACCCCTTTAATCATGTTACTCTATATCTATTGTGCTATCTTCTAATTCAACTATATTCAAAAAATGAATAAAGTAATTAAAATAAAAGTTTCAGACATAAAATGTTCAAAGTTAAAATTTCAAAGCTATTGCAAATAAGTTAAGAAAAAAATCTGCTAAAAGATTACTTATACTGCATCTTTGCTCGCAGGTATCGCTGCCAGACTAGTAAATCATGGGTTTATTTGAATAAATTAAATTGCAATCAATAATTAAAGAATTGAATTAATAAGATTTGATTGATAGTATTTTAAATTGTTCAAAACTGAAAGAAATATTAAAAGAATCCAATTATTTACAAATAACATTTAAATAAATTTTTGTTTTATTAAAAACACTACCTTATTCATCTAATTGATAAGTAAATTAAACATCAATTTTTCTCTAATCAATCATTGATAATTTTATTATTTTTTCTAATAATTTTTTGAAATTAACGTTTAATTTGCATGGAAATACTTTACTTTCTTATCGCGTAATATCTTAAATCAATCCGTTGAAAGTAATACATAAAGCTTCTGCTACGCTAAAAATTCCTAAACTTTTTTAAACTAAATAAATACTTTTAATATTTGTTAATTTTACTAATTAAATTGGTTGCTTTCTAAATATTTAAGCTTCTTGTGAAAGATAAATTGTATTATTTATAGGTCCATTCTTATTATAGTGCCAACCTAGTAATTAATTAAATTCATGTTATTGACTCAGTAAAAATTCCTTAATACCTAAAGCTCCAATTTAAAAATAAATAAAGAAATTCAAACTAACATGCAAATATTTGCAAAATTTTTAAAATAATTTTTTAAGCAAAATGAAAATAAATTAAATATTTTTATGATTTGAAATTATTTAAAAATAGCTTTTATTAAAAAAGATTGGTAATAATCATTCATATTAATTGCGCTTTAATTTTGTAATACTTTTTTCTAGAAAACTTGTATTAAAGATTTGATTGATTTAATATATTTTAAATATCAAATACTGAAGTAAAATATAACTAAAATAAGATAAACTTAATTAATAGCAAGTAAATGAACTACGTTCCAGCAAATACTCTTAGATCATTTTCAAATAAGAACTTGATTCTTCAATATTTAGCAAGTTTTTCTGGTTTTTATTTTGGAATTAAGGCAGTCGATTTCTTCATATTCGATAATGATAAATATATTGTCTAAAGAGAATAACTTGAAGATGAATTTTGGGCTGCTAATGGCGAGCCAAAAGAAATAAAGCCTTATTTGGTCCCTTCCCATATACCAGGCAAAGAAGGATAAATGAGAAAATCATGGATTTATATTATGTATGAAAAAGATATGCTTGTTAAAAAGAAAGATGAATTCGATTGATAGATCATTAATAAACTCTTTATGTATTATAAATTAAAATAACTAGGATTTGTAAAGTTCTTCTCTGTGTATTTATAAGAATTTAAATGATATCATATTAAAATAGATGTAAAAAATGAAAGAAATACTTTTTAATTTTAAATGAGATTAATTTACATTCATTATGTTTATTATATTTTACTTTAGTTTTTCATTTATAAAAAAAATAAATATACTTTCGTTCAATAAATTTACCTTGTGCATAAAAATCAATCAAAAATTTGATAGAATAAACAAAACATATTTGTTAAAATAAATTACTGAAATTATTAAAAATTATTTTAAAAAAAATTGTTTAATTTTAATTGAACAATTGAGTGAAATAGATCAAAGTTATTTTTAGTTTGTTTAAATAAATTAATTCATTATAGATAGTAAAAAATTTATTGTTTTGAAGAATTAATTTTACTTCAAAAGTAAAAATGATTTCTTTGTAGTTTTTATACATAAAAGATTTTATATTGAACTTAATTAATTAAATTAAATTAAATTTAAAATGAAAATCTTTTAAAAATTAAAAAATACTCATGAAATAAATAACACAAATAATTTATTTTTAGTAATTTATTTATTACTTTGATTGTATTTTAGTAGTATATATTTATTTATATTTGATTATTCATTTAGTAAATTTATTAAAGTTGAAAGTCAAGTTAATTAGTTTTTAGTTATTAGGTCATTCAGCCAGTTATTTATCAAGTGTTTGCATAATTTAAATATCATATCACTTCATATTCGTCATCGCCATCATCTTCAACTTTATCTTTTTTGTTCTTATGATCGTATTTGCTATTTTTTATGTTGTTTCCATTTTCATCTATATCGTCAACTTCTTCGAAGTTTTAGTTGGCTTATTACATTTATTCTTTTTATCTCTTCTTATTTTGGTTATCTGCCAATATATTCAAATTCTTATCACTAATTAGGTTGCTCGATTCTTTTCCATCTCCCAAACAGAATGAAGGCTCTGTATCTTCCATCATCATAAAGAAATGTTCGTTATAATCTCTTTTTAATCCCATCATGAATTAGTAAAATTCTTCTAGTTGTTCAAGATCTTTTAAGTAATACATCAAAGAAAAAGAACTGTCGATATTCTTTGATGGATAAGTTTAAAACTTTTTGCAGAAATATGTCTCAAGTTAAGAAGAGCTTTAGAAATTCTTTTCATTCGAAAACTCCTAAACATAATGAGGATCTAAATATATAAATTCATCTTCTATTCTTCCGACAAAATAAAGTGCTTTTTTTGGTTTTCCACCTATTTTTTATTTTAATTTTATAAAAATTTATAATAAAATAAAAAAAATAGCTAACAAACTAAAAAATAATATAAAAGTTTACCAATCAAACCTAGTGAATATTTAAAGTCCATCATTTTTTTAGCTAATTCAAGATATTCAGGCTATGGAGTATCTAGTCCAATCAAACAAACAATATAAACTATCATTGAGTACTACAGTTCATGATGGATAGGGCATACTAATCTCAATCTATATATAATATAAACATATATTTATTTTTTTATTATTATTTTTAATAAAATACAATCTTGAAAATAAGTAGAAATCATAAATTAATTAATTAATTAACTATTATCAAAGTATTTATTGCTCATAAATTTTTAAATAATAAAAATGTTAAACTGTTTTATAAACATTAAAGATCATTTTTTATTTTATAATAAAGTAAATTTAAAAATTATTTATTAAATTCATTCATTCATTTTGTTGCTATTTTTTTAAATTTTGGAATATAATTGAAAGATTCTATTTACTATTTTGAAAGTATTTTTTGACTATGTTATCAATTTGATAATTAATTATTTTTTTCAACTTTTGCATAAGATAAAATTTGATTTTATTTATGAAATGTTTGTAAATAATTCGGTTCATTTTTTACTTTTAAAAAATACATTATTGTTTTCTTCTAGATGAATGAATTAAAAGTAAATAATAATCATGCTTTAAAATATTATAAACTATTCATGACGTTTAAAAGATACTCCTCTATTTAAATTATATTAAGAAACGCTTATTACTCATAATCCAAAATTTAAAAATTTTAAACTGTAAACTATCATTCTGTTCTTCATTAAATGATTGATTATCCATAAATTATTTAATGGTTGTAAGTTAGTTATTTATTTTTAATATTCAATTAACTGTTTTACGATTAAAATTGATTTTTTAAGCTAAATTTAGATTAAAATGTTATTTAATTTATTTATTTATTTTTATGTTAGTTATCCATGGATATCCTACTGATCTAAAAATATTAAACTATTATTAATTAATTATTTAATTACTTTGGAGTTTCTTCTGAAACAACTAAAATTTCTGAATTTGAGTTTTGTTTTTCAAGTTTTATGTCTTTATGATGGTCATGGTCTACTTTTGACTTTTAATCCTACTTGATTATTCTACACTAGTTTGGACAAATTTATGCATGCTTTCCTCTCTAAGGATCAACTTTACACATTCTTTCAAGGAAATCTTAAAACACAATAGGCCTAGAGCTAGAAAAAACAGCTACTTTAAGGTCTTCAGTGCCTTTAATGGCCTTTCTTTCATTGTGCAGCAAACCTAATATATAACATATTCTTATTGGAGTATACCATTCACCAGGTAACAGGTTGAAATCGCTTAGGGCAATTTTAGATATTTTTTAAATAGAATATGGTGCAAAATCTATGCATTTTTAATCATCATCTAAAAATCCTTCTATAATAACTCTCAAATCTTCTTTCTTTTTTACTACAAGTTTTTTATTTTCTACTAAGTGGCGTCTTAAACCCTCTGCAAAAGCCATTTATCCAACACGAACCATGCAGCCCCAACCAGTATCGCTAATGTATTCGCTCATTTTTTAATTTTTGAGATTTGCTTTATCAATCATGTTCAACAAGGCTGGAAAATTCTTCCTGTAGGTTATCCAAATAATATTATAAAAATTTTCGAGTACTTCTTTATAATTTTTTTCATATGTTTCTTTATTTTCATTCATATTTCTGCCTTGCATGTAAACAGTGTCTTCCTTTTTAAATGGAGCGGAAGACTTAAATGACCAACTTGACACATTGAACAAAAAGTTAGTGCTAATATTTAAGAAAAAAATAGCTACTTATATATAGTTTTTATTCTAAAATAAATCAAGATGGTTAAAGTATCTCTAAAATAATCTTTTTAATTCTTTTTAAAAAAAAATCTAATAATTCATTAACAAATTGAATTGATGATAAATGTTTATTTCTATTATTTTTAATGCTCATTTATTTGTTCAATAGTATTTAAATACAAATGCAAATTTCTCATACCCTAAATCATGCATCTTTTCCATGAATGTTTACTCCCTTTTTTACTCCTCCAACCTACTATTTTTATTTATAAGCAAAATGTAGAAATTAGCTATTGTACTTTGATATAAAATAATACCTGTCTTCTTCCATTTTTAAAAACTGCTATTATATAATTAATTATTTAATATAATTCCTATAATTTTCTTAAATCAACTGTATTTATTTTTAATATTTTAATTTTACGAATCAATCTCCTTATTCTTTTTTATGTTTAAAGAATTGGTAATCAGTCTTGATAATAATTAATAAAAACTTTTCTTCTTCTTTTTCAATCTAGTTTTTGACGAAATTTAATAATCAATTTATTTATTTCTGCTAACTATTTTTTGATCATAATAAGTAAGAGTTCGGATCACTAACTAACTCATTCGCATTTGGAAGTAATTTAGGAAATGTACCAGAAAAAAAAAATTTATATAATAAATATTATTTGCATAAAATTAATAAAATAATATTCAAAATTCTTTTTGCATAAAATTTAGTTGATATATTTCATCCAAACAAATAATACAAAAATAAAATTTATTAATTTCTTCTATAATAATCAGAATGACTGATTAAAGTTATTACAAATTTAAATTTTAGATTAATTAAAAAAGAAAATTGATATTTCCTCCAAAAGCTATTTATTACCTGTGAAATATTCTAAAATCTATTAAACACGTTTAAAAATTTGAGGTTTTTGAGATGGTTAATTTAAAAATATTATATAAAATGAATGAACTGTTTTACAATAAATATTAACATAATCAAAATAAAAATTTATTTTTCAATCTATTTCAATAAAATCCTCATCTTCAACTAATTCTTATTCTTAATAATTTGTATTTTAATCTTTTTCTATCATCAAAAAGAATTGATCATCATGTTTAGTTTACAACTCAACTAAATATCCCCAAAATTCATTTAGATCGTTCAAATCTTTAAGGTAAAATCCAAGTCCAACAGAAGGACCGAGAGCATGTTTGTTTATTTATTTAACTTCCTCTTAAAAATATGTTTTTAAGTTAATTTCATTTGTATTAATATCAGCATGTTAAACAATATGTGGGTCTAAATAGGTTAATTTATCATTATTCAAACCTGTAAAATAATATCCACTGCTATGTTTGCCACCTTATTTATTTATTAATTTATATTATCAATATTTATATATATAAATATATTTAAAATAATACATACCTATCATTCCAATGCTCAATCTATGTGTGAATAGCTTTATAAGAATATCTAAATACTTTTCTTCAGGATAATCTAATCCTATCTGGCAAATAATTAATAGAATTAGGCTCTACTTTTTCTCATAGTTTTTATTCGCATCTACTAAAATGTTACTAGAATTTTATAATTTTATTTATTTATTTAATATTTATTTGAATTTTACTTCATTATTTTAATTTATTTTTCAATATTATTTATTAAGATTTGAAGTAATTACTTTGGAAGAGTTGAATCAATTTTTTAGCCTGTCATAGCTGTAACACACTAACTGAAATATAAGGGTCTATCTGAATACATAACCTCAGAAACAATATTCATTTCTGAAAAGGTTTGAAAATTATTTAGTAGCTTTTTTAGGGAATATGCTATGCGATTTGGAGAATACCAAAATCCCATTTCAAGTTTAAATTCTTCAAGAGCTACAGCAGCAATTTATTAAATTGAGAAAGGTTAATCTTTATTTTCTATGAAAAATTTTATAATAAAAAGGAGAATATCGTTGATATTTTAAATCTTCAACTAGTTTTATATTTATGGATTTTCTTTTAAATGGCGTAATAAGCCATTTGCAAATATCATCTATCCACTTCTTAACATGCATCCCCATCCAGAATCGGAGAAGATATGGTTTTAAAATTAATGGCTGAACCCAGATCTATATGAAAAATAAATTAAATTATGTTAAGCCTCTTTTATTTGAGATAGAGAACTTAAAGTTTATCCTAATAAGATAAATTTGCTATCTTCCATTTTATATTTAATTGATTATTTTAATGATTAATAAAAGTTTATTAGATTTTAAAAGTAATTTTGATCAAAACTGAGTTAAAGAATTTATATTCTAAGTTAAAATAAAAAATGTAATATCTAAAAGAAAATTTAAATTTAATTTATAAAATTAAATATTTTATCAACATAAAAATGAAAAATAAATAGACAAACAAATAAATGTTTATTTATTTATATTAAAAACTCATAATGAGATGTATATGACCATTCATTTAAACACAAAACATTTCATAACTCATTTTCAATCAGCCTTTTTAAATATAAGCTAAATTGTTTTCTAGGTAAATTGTATTGTTTAGAATAAATATTGACACCTATTAAAGAATTTCATAATCTTTCATTCCAAAATCATATTTACACAAATCCTAATGTTACTCCTTTTCATTATTTTGAGGATTTTAAGGTCCTTTAAAGTGGAGCCATTTATATCGTTGATAAGGCTCTATTAAAAAAAATGATCAGCATAGATTATAATATTATATATTTATAATTATATAAAATATTTTTTAAATAAACTGGTAGCTTTGAAAAGATTATAACAATTAATATTAGGATCGCTAGTCAACTATTAAAATTATTGTATTTTGATTTATAGCTTTTCAATTTATATCTTTTATTAAATATAATTATAGAAGCTTAAGATTTGAATAGAATACTGATGTTTTTAAGAAAGAATATTCAAATTATTTTTAAATATTTTGAGTTAAAATAAAGGTATTTATTTTCTTGTGTAAAAATTTAATTGATTATAAAGAATTATTATAAAAACATTTCTCAAAAAAGCAGTTTTCATTACTTTTTATTTTCGAAAATTAATCAAATAAATTATAAAAAATGTTAATTTGATTTTTTATCAATATGTAAATTAGAGTTATTAGAAATAAAAACTTAAACAAATTTTTATTTTACCTTTTTAGAAACATTAAAGATTTAAAAAAAATTCAATATTATTTTAATTAATATTTTACAAAATTTTCAAAATATTAAACAACAAAAATCAAATTAAATTATTTTTGATAACAGGAATAGGTATTTTACTCTTAGTACATTTTTGAATCAAATAGGATAAAATACTTTGAAGAAATTTAAATTTAGATCAATATAATTTATTAAAATAATATTTTTTATTTAAATTTTAGTTTAATTAAATATAATATTCAGCATAAAAGTAAGTTAGAATTTATATTATAAAATAGAAATATAAATATCTTATTGTTTGCTTTTATTTATAAATGCTATTTTAGAATTGTGTAAGTTGTAACGATAGATGATTATTAATTAATTACCTTTACTATATTGTTGATTCTATTTTTTATATAAGAATAAATAATAAATCAATATCCTTTGATTTATGTTTCTGATGATTTTTATTTTTTTTAAATTTTGTCGCAAATCAAAGACAAAAAATATCAATTTAAATCAAAGTAGCTGCTGTAAAAAAAACATTTTCAATATTTAAAAAAAATAAACTTTCATCTTTTACTTACTCTGAATAAGCAATTTTAGTATAGTAATTAAGTTTTTTTTAGCAAATTATGAAAGAAAAATATTCATTTTTAATAGTGAATACACAATTTGCTTGTTTTTATTTAGTGGGATCATCTTTAAAGTAATATCAAAATTTTTCAAAAAATAATTATCTCCTAAATTAATGAAGAGTGAGGAACAAACATTATTAATTACCACTTGATTAAGTGAAACACAGATATTTTTTAAATTTATTAACACTCATTTATTTCTCTTTTTTAAATCAAATGATTAATTAGTTGGCTTGGCTTACCTTAGACTTTTTAAGCTTACATTAATTACAAATTATATTTTCAGATGATATTTTTGATTTGTTAAAACGAATTTTTATATTCAAATGATAATCCATATTCTTGTTAGGTTTTTATAATTTTATTAAATTAAATAAATAATAATTTGTTAATATTTAAATGGAAAACCAAGAATACTAAGCTCTTTAATTTTCTAAAAAACTAGAATATTTGTAAAGAGTTTTGGAAGATTAAAAAGGACTCAGAACTATAAATAAATTAGGAGGATAGGGAGGATTCGGTGTTGTACTATTTGTGGAAGATAAAAATAATCCTTCCTTAAAATATGCAGTGAAAGCATAAAATATTTTAGACCATAATACTGGAAAAGTTGATTAAAATATCTAAAAAATGTGTGAAGAAGAAGCTGAAATGATGAGACAATGTAAACATAAAAATGTTGTTGAGATTCATTCTGATTATATAATAGATTTTTATCACTTTATTCAAATGAATCTATGCAAGTGCTCATTGAGTGATTGGATAGACAATAACTAGTCCCCAATCAACGACATTCTATTTTTACACTATACCAATCAGATTATTGACGGGTTAGAATATTTACATAGTAAGCAATATGTTCTAAGAGATCTCTCTATCAGAAATATTTTATTAACTACAGACGAAGTCATTAAGCTATGCGATTTCGGTCTCGCAAAGAAATATGACGAAATCCTATAAAGCGAAATTCTTTTAACATAAAATCCGAAGGGAGTTTTTTTTTATTTCCCACCAGAAACATATGAAGATATAAAGAACAACAAAAAATAAATAAAGTAAACTATGAAAGGAGATATATGGGCGCTTGGGATTTGCTTATCCTTGTTAGGTGGTACTAAAATTTTAGAGTTTTTAAATGTGTAAAATAATAATTTTTAAATACCTACTAGTCAAAAAGTAAGTCAAAAAGCTAATTAATTAATACAGTACATACTAAATAGAGACCCATAGCAAAGACCTACGATTAAATAAATTAGAGAGAAAATGTGCAAGGTATTTTTAAGTAATCCTGATCATGATTAAAGAGAAACCAATACATAGAATGAAGATGTTTTAAAATCTATGGCCATGAATAATAAGAGTAAAGTTGGCATTTCAAATATATCAACTTAATAGAATACTATAGATTCTACTTCATCACTTAAAATATAGAGACTAATCGATTTTGATTTTGATTAATGTGAAAAACTTTATTAAAAATATTCTAAATTTGAAAATTAATTTTAGATAAACATTGATTTTTTACTTACACTTGGATTTTTAGAGGCAAAATATAAATCCAACTACTAAAAAGCATAGTAAATATTTGAAAGGGTACTAGAATTAGATGAGAATGAAACAGATGCCTTAATCGGACTATGTCATTGTTTTATGCAATAAAGGCTCTATAAGGAATATCACAAGTTGCTTTAATATTCCAATATTTGTTTAAATAAAGATCCCAATAACTGGAGAGCATAATATTATAAAGCATATTATTTTTATGATTATATGATTGATCATAAAGCTTTAGAAATTTTGGAGAAAATTTAGCTAGAAAAAACTGAGTGTTGTGAAGCTTTATCTCTAAAGTTACTTATACTTCTTAACATAAAAATAAAAGAAGACGAGAAAGATATTATTAATAAGATTATAGCTCTAAATAAGAATAATAATCCTATTGTATTTTTTAGAATAGGTTTTTATTATTAAAATAGATATGAATAATAAAAATCACTACATTATCTTAACAAATGTTTAAATTATACTCAAAATGAATTAACTGTTTTGGTTTACTCGGCTTATGTTCAAAAGTACAATGAATAGGAAGTTGAGAAATTAATTTCAAAGGCTGAGTAATTATATCCTTAAAGTGCTTACCTTTTTAGATTTAAATCTATTTTAAGTTATAATGAATAAACATAATTAAATTTTATAAATAAATCTATTGAGCTAGATCCTTGTGATATACTTTCAATAATAAATAAAGCAGACATTTTAAAAAGCTAAGAAGAGTATTAAAAATCTATTGAATGTTATGAAAATATAATTTTAATAAATCCTGATTGCTTTTGGGTTTTATATGATATAGCTAAGATATATAAATATGAATTAAATCAAAAAGAAAAAGCAATTGATCTAATAAAAAAATGTATCAATGAAGATCCTCATTGTATGGATTATTATTATGAATTAAGTGAATTGTACAAAAATTCAAGCTACTACCAAGATTTTGAGAAAATAATCTAAGATAATATCGAAAAATCTAATTAAAAACTTATTTTAATCGGGCTGCTTGCAGAGGTGTAATTGAGTAACAAAGATTATGATAAATTTATATAATATATTAACTAAGCTATTTAAATTGATCCAAATGATACCTAGTCTTTGAAAATGTATGGTGACTATTTCAAAGATATAAAAAATGATTTTAAGAAGGCAAAATATTACTATGAAAAAGTATTAGAATTAAATCCTAAAGATTAAAATATTTATTTTAATTTAGGATGGGTTGAAGAAGATTAAGAAAAAAAATTAAAATATTATAAAAAAGATTTAGAATTTTACCCAGAAAGTGATTAAACACTTAATAACTTAGGAGCAATTTATGAATATTAATATAAATATGATGAGGCTCTTAAACTATATTAATAGGCCTTTTAAAAAGATAATTCAAGTATTCTTTATTCTTCAAATATATAAAATATGCTTTATTAATTACAACTTGATAACTAAGCTCTAGAATAATGTGACATTACTCTTAAATTAGACTTGAAGCATTTTGGATCATACGCAATAAAAGGAAAAATATACAGTATAAGAAAAGAACATGAGGAAGCAATTAAAAATTTTGAAAAGGCATTAGAATGTGATTAAAGCTAAACATATTTATATGAAGAACTGGCAAATTAGTATCTTTAATTAAAAATAAAAGATAAAGCCTTAGAATGCTATTAAAATTTTATTTAAGCTTACCCTTATAATCCTTAAGCTCTATATATGATAGGATTCTTACTGGTTTCTCTTAGTGAAGATAATATAAATAAAGCAGTAAGCTACTTTGAAAAATCTATTAGAGTTTAGCCTACAAATAATTCAAAAGCTTACAAAGAATTAGGACTCCTTTAAATAAAATAAAAATAATATCATTTTGCAAAATAAAATCTAATTAAAGCTATATAGTAAGATTAATCAAATATTTATTTGTACATAGAATTATCAAGGAATGAAGAAAATAATTTAAAAAATCTAAATTAAGCTATCTAATATTTAGAGGAATATCTTAAGCATTAATATAATGAAAATGAAACACTTAATTTAATTTAGTTGTACACCAAAAATAAGGAATATTTAAAGTCTAGATAGCTCATAAAAAAATTTATATTGGATAGTCCAGAAAATGATGAAGTTTACTTTTTATATGGAAATCTAGAATTTTAGGAAAGTAATTATTTCGAATCAATTGTTTAATATAAAAAATCCTTTTCACTAAATGATGGTTCTTATATTTCTGTTTTTAAAATAGGATTAGCCTATTAAAATATGGAAAAATATTAAAAAGCTGTTGAATATTACCTTAAATATAATAAACTAGAAAAAAGATGTGGACATGGATACTTTTTAATAGGAAAAATCCAGTTATATAACTTTAATAAACCAAAATAAGCTATATAGTATTTTAAAAAGTCTTACGAACTCTAAGTACTTCCAAATAACTCTTTTAACTAAAATGATTGTTTTTATCATATCGGAAAATGTTTTGTTACTTTAGGTTATGTTTCAGAAGCAGTGGGTTAATTTACAAAATATCTTCAAGATAAGCCAACTGAAGATGTTAAGTACTGCCAAAATTATATTAGCTAGTATTAAAATCACCCCAAAAAATTCTATAAGCATTAGCCTTTAAATGACTCCAAATCCAATTGTAGTTGTAATATATTTTGATCAGTTAATCATAAAAAACTTAAGAAAGAAGTTAGTTAGCTATCCTATTATATTTAAAAGATATTACACACTAAAAATTAAATGTAAGTTCATCTTTTAAATATAGTGTCAAATTTTAAATGTCATAAATATGTTCTTAATTTTTTTAAATCAATAAATACTGACGATTTTAAATAAAACTATTCACTTTATAGCACATATAGGATTTTAATTTCTTAATTTTTAGTTTAAAAATGACTAAATTTCAATAATTGATTTAATGTGCTTAAAGAAAAGTTTTAAGCAGTCTTGCTTTTTAAAAAATCTAATGATGCTTACTTAAGAGTTTATGTGGTATTTGTAAATACCAAACTCATTAAAGATCAAAAACTAAAAAAAAATAATATTTTGTTTTCAAAAATTTATATTCTTTTTTTAACACATTCCAAAACATTCTTAGCAATGATTCATTTTTTATATGTAAAATTATTTCTATTTTATTCTTTAATATCAAAAATCAAATTTTGATAGCTAAAATATATATAAATTTTGTTAAATATCTGATAAATTTTGAAATTTTCAAATTAAAAAAAATCTTTCTTATAATTCTAAAATTTTTAAAATAATTAAAATTCTATTTTGGTAGTTTCAGTAATATGACAAGTTCTATTTCTTTGATCAATATTTATTTCATCTTTTTTCATTTTAAGACCTATATTTTGCTTTTGAAAAATTTATAGAAATTATTTAGAGGATTTAATGATCGATTTTTTTACCAATCGTTTTTTTTTATTTTCTTTCATTTTGAATGAGGTTCCAGATGGTAATTTATGATTATTTTAAGGTCCCAGATAAGACCTAACTCTCCCCCCAACAATTGTACTAGATTAAATTCATTAAAAAATGTTTTAGAATGTTACATATAATTAAAAATATCATTATGTTTAAAATAATTTTATAAAGTAATATTCTAATTAAACAACACAAAAATCTTTGAATTATTTTATCTTTAACAATAAAAAATATAATTTTTAGATTATTTTATATAATGATATCTTTCATCTCATCTGAAACTCTTTTTATTTTTTAACTAAAACTTTTTCTTCTTGTCGTCATTTACTAAAAACTTATTGTCTTAAATTAATTCTTTCTGAATCATTTCTTCATCAATCTATTCTCTTTTTAGTTAGATATTTATTTTCTCTATCTCCTATTATTATTTTTAATCTTTAATAGCTTAAATTTCTCTAAACATATTATATGCTTAACCTAGTACAATAACATCTGGACTTTAGCTTGTAAAGATACTATATTTTTTATTCAAATCTGAGTTCATGATCTATTTTTCATGATAGATTTTGTGTTCCATTCCCCAAAAGTCCACAAATTCTTCACATCCTTCAAGTAATTAGAAAAGTTCTAGTCCTGAGCTCATCTGAATACTTTATTGGCATAAAATTCTCACAATCATTCTTCCTATAGCCTGTTAGAATATATCTAATTCTATATGAGGTTATTGATCACAAAATAATTTCAAAGCATCTTTTTAGCTTTTTTACAATTCTAGCATAAATTAAGGATTGACATCCTAGAAAAGCCTTTCAAAGCTTATTCTTTCTGCCAACTCATAAATACTAAGCAAGTGACATAGCTTTATTTTCTCTTTTTTGAAATTTATATCTGAAGCTTAGATTTCAAAGTAATCTAGGATTTACAACAGGTCAATTTGATCTTAAAACCTTTAACTGCCATTAATTTTTGTTATAATTTGCATAACCGTTTTTAATATATCAATTAATCTCATACAAGTTTCATTATTTTATAAGTCAATAAAAAGTAATGGCATTTTAGGATTATTTTGTATTTAGGGATAAACTTCTTAGTTGACTCTAGCAGATATTTCTCGAACAAGATTTATTGTATTTTAATCTCCCTTAAATCTAAAATTAGTTAATTAAACTCTCTCAATATCTTATTTGCTCGTTTACTCCATCTTAGTAACGTTTTGATAATAATCTTCTATGAATTCACAAGTAAGTTCATTTAAATCGTATATTTCTTATCTTTCGTATTCCAAATAAGGATTATAACTACTTTGCATTTCAGTATAATCATTAAAAAATTAATTTGCAAACTGATTTTCTTCTCCTATTGAAAATATATAAGGAGGTAAAAAGTTCATTTTGTTCATTATAATGAATTTTTTGCTTTGAAATTTACTGAATAATTAGCCAAAATCTTTTTCAAGCATTTCTAAAAAATTATTATATTAAACTTAAAAGTAATTAATTAGCAAATATAGTGGGTAACCTCTAGAAGCTTTGTCTTCGGAATAGCAAAGTATATCTATTTTTTATAATTCAGACTCTACTTCATCAAGTTCTATTGTAGCACAATCAACTCCAATTTAAATTTTATTATTGTGTATTTATTATTATACATAATTCCAAGATTGTTTAAACTATTCAAATTCTTTTTCTAAATGGTTACTTTTTACAAACTGATGTAATTAAATTTCAGCACTTTCTTTTCTAGTTATCTTACCAAACATTTTCTAATTAAAAATCTTTATGAAATTCTAAATTGGTTATATTTAACTATAAATATGAATTTACTCTTTATAGTAAATGAGTCTTTAGAAAAATTTAGATTAAATCCCTTCTGACTCAAAAGTTATAAATCTCTAAAAGTTATCTTATTGTATTATTGGGTTTAATCTTAAAAGGTGTTTATATTATTTTAAATATTAAAATTAATCTGGTAATTAATCAATACTACAATTCAAAATTATATTTTTTAATCTTTTTTATTACAGCTATTGAGTAAATTTTTTAATGTTTACTATTTCTTTTGATTCCAATATTTTATCAACAAATTCACTTTCAAATTAAATTCTACTTTCGTCTAAGCTAAAGTTAAGTTTATCTGTAAAATCCCAAGAAGATTATTTATTAATAAAATTTTTGACAATTTTAACAATAAAATAAATCAATAAATTCTATGGATTAGTTTGTGTTGCTTAAACAAGAAGATCCCAAGATGAAATTTATTGTATTTAGCCTACTTATGCATTGGAATAAATTAATTTAAATACATCGTTTGGGGAGCTTAGTCCTAATTGTTTATTTACTTCATCCTAGCCTTTTTACTTTTTTATTAGATGGCAGTAAAAGCAAATAATTGAAAGCATAAAAATTCGTCCTAATAAAATTTATTCTTTTTCCACTAAATTTCTAATTTGTTTTATTTATATCAGAGAAAAAGATTGCTAAAATCCAGGATCAACTCTTCCTCTACTTTATAAAAAATTATCTATTGTTTAAACATCACAAGTATAAGGAAAATTAGGCCTATTATAGTAGTAACTATAATCTGGATAATCACCAATTTTTTTGACGAATATAGGTTCTTATTTACCAAAAGCAGTTGGAGGTGGTTCAATATCCAGGCTATAATGATCCTCCAATTTAGGTTGTATTTTGCAAGACGGACACTATATTAAATTTGATGGCAAGCAGCATGGTGTAATAGTATAAATGAATGGCTTTATTTACTGCTTTATACAATTTTTGCATTAATATCTTCTTATAGCAGAGTAATTTTTAAGTTCATCTTATATATTTAAGATTTCATCGCTATCTACCATAAATGGTATAAATGTAGTCTCGATATTGATCTTTCCTTTGTACATCTTTGATATAAATGAATCTTCATTTAAAAATGTTGTCATAACAAGGTTGATAACAAACAACTATTATAATTCTATTGAAAAGTATTGATTTTCTTGTAATAAATCTAAATATAATCTGTAGATTTCTGTTATCAAATTTGTATCTATAAATTTTAAATTTAACTCATTAAGAATTTCAATCATTAAATCAATTTCTTATTTATTTTTATCTATTATAATTTGTGAAATAAGTTTTGTCAAATTATATTAAAGGATTGGCAAATTATGCAATTGGTTTTCTATTTCTTTTTTTAAATTTGTTAGCTTTTTATTGATTTTTATATCATTATTGAATTCAGCTGCCAGCGATTCTAAGTTATTATCCCAAATATTTTCATTTTAGTTTGATTCTAAAAACATTTCATTTTTAAAGGCTTCTAAATAAGGAGAAAGCACACTAACACTTTTAAAATTATAAATGTTTTTAAATATTTTCACTAAAATAATAGGAAGAATAGGATTAATTTATTCATTTTAATTAATTGTAACTAGAAGAGTTTTATTTAACATTTCAATCATCCTATTTTTTTTGACTCTATCTTAATTATAATCCTATTCTATTGTCATTTTAACCTTTTAATATATTTGCTCTTCTTTTTTATTAAATAAATAAGCTTCATTTATGAATTTGCATACAGTTTAGCATAACTATTAAGATATTTTAAATTCAATGATATTTATCAACACTTTATTCTAAGAATTTTAGTTTAATCTTTGTAAAAATTTTCCCATTCTTTCAACTTTAGTTTCTTCGATGTCATCTTCATCCTTACCAATATAATTCAAAAATTTTTCAGGAGTGTAATAATTGTATTCTTAAATAATATCTGCAATTAAAGAGCAAATGGGATCAATCTTCTGAATCCCTGACTCTTCAAATATTTTTTACATTTTTTAAAAACTTAGATTACGCTTTGGTTCAAGCAAGTTTTCAATTTATTCTTCTTCATTTTCATCAAAGTTTTAATACATTTTTTAGATAATTATCTATAAAATTCTTTTAGATAAAATGTAGTAATGAGATTCTTCTTAATTTTTAGAAATATTTTCATAATTTATTGTTATAAGTAAATTTGATAATGATAATATTATATCTTTAAGTATTTCATCATCAAAATTTTCAAATTCCTCTTCAAAATGATCGCACTTCAGTAACTACCAAATAAGTCTCAAAACTAACTCATTTACTTTTTATTTATCACAAATCTAGATAAAATTATCTTTGATTTTTTAGTAGTTTTAAATATTTAAAAACTTAAACCCATTATTTTAGCTTTATATTTGCTGTTATATCAAAGATAGAAAATCTTAGCCTTATGTGAAGCATTCAGATAATTTAAGGATAAAGTTAAATTTACTCATTTATTGCATCATTTATTCTGGAAGTAGTTCATAGGAGCTTGAACAATTGTATACAGTATATATGCACTTCTTTAAAATTCCCAATTTATAAATTTGTTATTAATAATTTTATATTTTATCCTCATCATTTGGAATAACAAAGAGTTCTAATATATTTGAAGAAAAAGTAAAAATTTCACTCCATATTTATTCTAATATGTTCAAACCTTCCTGTTCTTCATCATTATCATCATAATTATTTTTTTCTTCATCGTTATTTTAATTTTTATTATTATATTTTTCTATTTCCTCAATATGGTCTAATAGAATCTATTCTAATCTTTACTCGAATTACTAGTATATTTCTTCAAATAACGATTTTGAGCATTCTTCTTCACACAATATCCAAACAGGACACAACTCAATAAAAATTTATTCGTTAATCCATAAAATAGAGTGAAATGACTCTATTACTTTTTCTTCGCCCAATACCTAGATTATTTTTCTAGTTATTCTTTTAACTATGTTGCTTTCAGTCCATTAATATTCAATTTCATTATGCAAATTTTCGAAATATAGAAGTGGATTAATTGATGATATATATCTAAGGATAGGATCATTAAATTAGGTTAAGTTAATTAATATTTTACTAATTTCCTTAATATTTTATCTTCTTTTTTTCTGTTAATATTATATTTATTTTTCATTGGATTCTATATTATTTTAATCATCAGTATTTTGCTCTTCTTCTTAACTACCTCCACTTATCCTGATTTATTTTCTATCTTCAATTTAGAAAATATCATTTGTGATTTCTAAATATATTTATTTAAATTAATCAATTGAAGATTTTATATTGTTAAAAAATGGGTATTGAATTATTTATATTTAATCGCAGAATTTATCCTCTTCTGAGAGCTCATCATATTTTTAAATCAAAATTTAAAATATCTAGTTTATATCTTATTATTAGAAATTAAACTGATCACACATGAATGAAGAAATAATATTATTTTTCTCTGCTAAGTACAACATTTTAGTCAAAATAGCTAGTGATTCTTAGAAAATAAATTATTTCAAACTAGTAATAAATTTATTGTTGTTTCTATTTTCCTTATCCTTAAGCGAAACTAGATGGTACCATTCACATTTGCCATATATATTAGAAATAACACAGCACTTTTTTTCAATTTTTTCGATAATTTTATTTATGACAAATAAATTTAAATTGCAATCGGATTCTAATTAAAATATTTTAATGTATTTTTGCAATCTTTATTTTATGCTTTCTTGTGTTAAATCTTATTTTTCAAAATTAAAATTTCCTAAAATTTTGGGAAAGCAATCTTATTATATTTAATGATAAATTCCATTTTCAAAATTCTTCAAAACAACTGATATAGGCTATAAGTAGCTCTGGAGATTATCATAGTTATTTTATGGAATAGAAGTATCCTCTAGATAGATTTACTACCAAAACTTATCAAAGCTAATGCCAACAAATTTAGTATGTTAATTAATTAATTGTATGACTAAAATCAAATTTTTAGGGCTTTACTCTATATATTCTGACATCTGATTCTACTCATAAATTTTTCTTTCCTCTTATAAAATCCTTTTAATATACAAGAGTTTAGTAATTGAGTCTGATACACTAGAAATTATGATTAAATTAACAAAAACTTCGCTACCAAAGAATTATTTGACTTATTATTTAAGATTTTCTATGTTTTCTAACCATTTAACTTCTAACTCCATAAAAGTTTTTTACTTAAAACTCTAATTAGAATCATTTTGATATTTATACTCTGTAGTGTAAATGATTAAATTTTCGCTTAATCTATTTACTTATTCTATTTCACCATTTTCCAAATAGTTACTACTCATATCATTTTTATCTTCTTCAAAATAGTTAGGCTCACCATCAATGTTATTGTTAAGGATTAGCTAATGTTTCTTCTGATTTGTTAATTTATCAAGGATATCTCTAAAATTAAAGTGATTTAAAGAATTAAAGTAGTAATTGTATAACTTAGTATCCAATCTTTTTAAGTAATGAGCTCTAACAACTCCACTAAAGTTAGCCAAATCCACTAATTCATATTATGATTTTATAACTCTTTTTACATCATCATTTTCATCATTATTTTTTAGCGTTAATGAAAAAAGGAATTCATCTAGATTATCACTTTATATAATAGGGAACATATCTTAAACACCAAAATTCCATTAGATCTTATGTGCTAACAATCTTCTATCAGATTTTATTTCTGTATTACTTTGAACAAATTAATTTAATTCTTTATTGATAGAAACTTCATTTTTTTTTAATAAAAATTTCAGTTCAAGATATTGCTTTTCAAATCTATTTAGTAAAGGTGGATCATAATTTTATCTTTAGTCATAAACATCATCAGATTGTGCTATTATTATGACTTTGAAATTCTGATGAACTTAACTTCTAATTGAATCAGAACCAATTGCTATTCTACAAAAGTTTTTGGCTCCTAATTCAACGTAATTTTAATTGAACAAATCATAAAAGGATTGGTATAAACTTTCTAGACTGTACATAATTACTAAATAACCTTCTTCCATACAAGTAATAATTTCGTTTAGCATTTTTAGACTGTTGTACTCTGTGAAATCATCTTAAAGATCAGATCCTTAGAATACTTTGTAAAGTCTATCCTTGCATAGTCTTTCTGTGTATTATAAAGCATGATCTGGCTTTTTAGCAATAATCATTAAATTTCTATAATTTTTATCATCAATATTCATCTTAATCAATTCTGTTGGATTAAATAAATTTAAGTTAAAATCATACAATTATTGACCACTCTATCCTAAACTTAACTTAAAATGATCTAAAGTCTCATTTATGTCGATTTAACCTCCAAAATTTCTTAAAATACCTGCTAACAAAATTTTTTGAGTCTTATCTTATTCGTGCTCATTATGGTTCTTTAGGTTATTGCAAATGAATGTTACACAGTTATAAAAGTCTCTTGTTCCATGGAAGTATGTTTTATTATTATCTTGTGAAAAGTAACGAAATGAATCTTTTGCCAAATTGATTACAACATTTAAGCAATATTCAGAATTTGGATTTATCCTTTTTTGGAGAGCAATTGCAGCTTCTATTAATTCCACTTCAGATAACTTTGGTCTATTAGAAAAAACTACTCTGTTCATTTTTGATGCATCAAGGGACCAGTTTGACAGTCCAATCATAGGCACATTTTGCTAGTATTCAAGCAATCTGTGAAGGACTTTTAATGGATTCGATTTAGAAGCCTCTGCAAGCCCTATTTCGTCTAATATTAAGGCTACTATATTTCTTGCTCCATCTTATGTTTCATTACTTGATTTCCTATTTAAGTAAGATAAAAGAGTTTTAATTTATAAATGATATTTTTATATAAATGTATTAATTACTTAATGGTATTATCTAACTTTTTAGCTTATTTGAAAGCCTTTTAAATACTTTCTGAAGTAGAAAGAGTTGAACATTAATATGTTTTATAAATTAAATTTGGGAGTTTTTTAAAAAATTTGATTTCAGATTTACTACCTTTCATAGAATTATATAAGAGCCTTGTACACAAAGTTTTACTACTACCAGGAGGACCAACCATAATTATTGGAATATTGTTAAGGACTGATATTAAAAGCATGAAGAGGTTTTCTTTTAATGTAGATGTAAAAGCAATTGATTTATAAAAATCTCCATATTACAAGATACCCTATAATAAATCCATTTATTCATTAACAATTTTTTTGACATTATGTACAAATGGTTTTCTATGTTCAGAATAAGTTACTTTTTTTTCATTTTCTAGATAAGTGCAAAGTTCATCTCTAAGATTTGTGTTGTTAAATCTGCAATAGTAACTAAAAAATACTGATAACAAAAGCGAATCTGAAAGGTCTTTATTCCAAGCTGGGTCTGCATTAAAGTATTTAAAAATTTTTAAGAATCTAGAAACATCTCTTAAACTAACAGATCTAATTGATTATTTTTTTCTAGAAAACTCTTGGCACCCTGTAATTGTCTGTATAAGTGTTTACTAAAAGTTGGTAATAAAATTATTCTCTACAGCGGTATTCAATACCATCTAGCTTACAATTTTTGCTTCATCTTCAGGTAAAAGCTCTCCAAACTACCATATAAAGGTGTTCATTGACTCAGCTAAAGGATATACATGATATACTAATTTCGAAGTTTATTAATTTTCGCAACTACTAATTTTGAGAGAATCAGTATTTTCCTATTAATCTCTTGCTGTTTTAAATTTATATGGATTAGCAGCTGCAATAGGTACAAAGTTATCTGGTAGAGGTTCTCCCTAGATTTTTTTTTCTACTAATAATTCTTTTAGAATTCCGTCTATGTTTTAATTTGTATTAATTTCATCAAAAAATAAAATAACCTTTTAATCATTTAAATCATCTTTTCTTTCTTTTTATTGGTTGACTTTAAATTCATAAAATTAAGTTACCTATTTTTTTTCATTATTTAAATCCTCATTCTCAGGATCAAGCAACAAATTTTAATCTAGCTCTTCTATTCTCTTTTAACATTAGTCTATATCTAAGTAGCTAAGCTAAATTAATACTTAAACCCACTTAATTATTTCATTTTGAGTTAACCCCGCATGTACGTCTAAAGTAAACACAACGCTGCTGATAAGACTCGATAAATATTTAACTATAATAGTCTTACCTACACCAGTTTCTCCCATAATCAATGTCGGAATATCACTATTTATTTTAATATATAAGAAACATATCTTTCTAGCAATAGTTTTTGTTATAGCTATGTCACTATACTTTGATGCTATTTCCTCTTCAACTCTTTTAATATTTCTTGCAGAAGTACATAAATTGATAAGAACACTATCTCTAATATTTTATAAATCATTCCAGTCTTAAATTTTACTATTTATTTGGTTGCAGTAATCCAAAAGATATTTTGGGACGGATTAAATTTTTTAGAATATAGGAAGAATACTTCCACTTTAGCTGATTGTTAAAAAGAAATCATTAGAATGATCCAGGTTATCATCCCAACCTTTGATATTTTTGTTTCTCTATTCTAGAGTTTCAAAGTAAGGTAAGTTTTCTTTCTTTGCTTCTTGTTCCTTGGTCAAAAAGTTGTTTGACATAATTTAGCATGAATAAGGAACTGAAGTTTTAATAATTCCTTAAAACACTTTTTCTCTTAAAGATGTATTGATTTGTTAGTAATTAAGATTGTCAAGATTAAGATAAATAGTTTTGTGAAAGAGTACTACCTACTTGCAGAAAAACTTTAGTATGCAAATTATATGATAAAATGAGAAATTGTCCTCAACTTGATAAAGAAAATGATCCTTAATCAATTAAATAGCTTCTTTTTTATCAACTTGATTTTTTTGTAAATATTATCTAAGTTGGGCTTCATTTTCAAAATTTTCGATTTGAAATGAGGCTATTTTTGAAGCATTCCTGAGATATTATAAAGAAAGCTAAATATCTTCATATTTAATATTTGGATTATCAATTACTTCAAGCATATCTAAATCAGCTCCATAAATAGATTTCGCTACGGGCTATTATATATGTATTGTTCTTAATTCTTACTTAAAAATATTATTAGAGTGGATATAGTCTTTTAAGTATTAAACTTTATTTTCTAGCACATCTAAAAATGTATTTTAAATTTCTATTTCAATTTCCATTTAAGGTGGTATTTGTGCAAAGTATGATGAAGAATAGTTTAGTTTTCTGAGTATTAAAAGCTAAAAGAGAATGCTATGAATTTCATCAGATTTTAAATCGTAAAGATTGAGATGAAGCCTATATAAGGAAGCTTAATTACTTTCTATAACTTCCAATTTCTTCTAAATTAGGCTGACTAATTCTAATTTTGTTGTTTCACCATAAATAGGAATTTCTATTAGCTTTTAGTTATTTTGTTGGCATCTTTTCTTTATTTAGAATGTTTTACCAAATCCAGAGTACTTAGAAAGATGTAAAGATATCTTACTTAAACTCTCTATATTAGTATATTAAACTAAATCATAATTCATTAATTATGAATCTACCTAAAAGGCATATTTAAATTGCTACAAAATATGCATAGAGTTTTCATCTTCGAAATTTCCTACATAAATTATTAAAAGGTTGATTTTCTCTTTTTCTTCATACATTTCTGTTAACTTATCAATGAATTACCTTTATATGGTGATTGATAAATTTTCAAACTAGCAAATCAAGAATAGAGGATTTTTGTTTTTGTAGGTTTCATTTTTTTATGAATTTTTAGCAAGATATGCAAATTATTCTAAATCAAGTATGTGAGTTTTAGGAGAGCAAAAGAAGATTTACCATGATGTAGGCTTTTAGTTATGAGCCAAAAATATAGTAATTATGCTCTTTAATAATAAGCTATGTGACTTAATTCTTCTACATTCTATCTAGAACCCCTGTGTAATTTTATCTAATTATTAAGGCTTTTTTTCAACATATTCTACCTTAGGGAGGTTTAGTAATATATCTAATGCATGTCCATACAAATCCATTCCCTAAATATCATTTTTTACTTATTATTCTTAAAGAAATTTCTTAAATTCCTCTAAATTTGGTTGTTTACTATCATCGATAAATAAAGTCAATTTGCTTAATTAGTTGAGATAAAATTTGGATTAATTTTGATCATTCAAGCAGTCCTTGAGTTTAAGCACAAGTTCAAATGAATAAGGTGGATAAAAGTTAAGACTTAGATATTTTTATCTTGCTAAAGTAAGATTTATAATGTGGTTTTAGTTTTTTTATTTAAATTACTCTAGGTCCTCACTCAATTAAGGGATAATCAAATTTAAACTATTCTTTTCTAAATATCTTGCATCTGCTATATCTGTGCAACCTAAATTCTTTAAATTATCTAAAGTTAATCTAATTTACTCAGATAATTGCAACACTAAGATTAAATTGTTATAAATGTTTTCTTTAGAATTTTATGATATCTATTACTCTTTTGGTTGTTATTATTATGTGTATTTTTTATTACTTATAATTAGCTTAAATCTATTACAAAGTAAGTTAAAATCATCAAAATTAAAAGCATGGTCTGTCAAATTTTAATTGATTTCTCTTTAAGTAGTCAACAAGAGCTATGATTCACTTAAATTCTCTAACCTTTCTATAGATATTGTAATACTTTTTTCAAGATTTTTAATTGTTTAGAGTATTTATGTGGATTTATCTGATTAACTTTATATTTTTAAGCTAATATCATCCAAGTTATCTATACATCTATTTATGGTACTTTCTAACTTATAATTTTTCTTTAAATTCAATTTATATTTTTGATTTCTGCTTACAAAACATTTAATAAGATTTTCTTTATCATCTTCTCCTTATCTAACAAATTAAAGTGCATTTCTTACGTTCATCATTTCTTGTACTAATGCATCTGTTTCCATACTTGTGTCATCAATTACATCAACTAAATCTTCTAGTTATATCTTATCTCTGTCTAGTTGGTTCAAATACTCAATTAGCTTCTTCGTCTAATTTACTACAGATAAAAAGTTAAAAATATCAGATTTACAGTCATTAGGCAAAAATTATAAAATTCTATTTAAATAATAGCATACTTAAGCTGCAAATATTTTAAATAATTATTCTTCTTATTTAGCTGATTCATCAAATTCTTAGATTTAGTAAATTAATTTCTGTAATTCTTAATAGTTTTCTTTATATTTTTAAATTTATTGAAATTCTATTATCCCAAATAAATTGTAAATTTACTCAATTATGCATTTGTTTTATTAGAATTAAGATGTATCTATAATTTCTGAGATAAAATCATTTTCTGGTTTTATTTAAAGATTTAATTAGTCATTTTAATTGAAATAAATTTACAAATCATAAATGTATTTAAAAATATCATTTTTATTTTATGAATAATTATCTTTAAAAGTGTAACCCCAAAATCTAAAGGCCTCTTTTATAGTTAAAGAATCATTTTCTTCTTTATAACAATTAATTTTAATTAAATGATTTCTTATTTCTTGTATTAGTTCAATTATTTTTTGATCTAACTCTAAATCACTTTTAGGTCTTATTTATTCATTTAGGCTAACTAAATTGGTTTTTATGAAATTGTATACTAAAGGAATATGATTAAATTTGTAAAGAAAATCCAAACATTTGTATTATTTCTCGCTTTTTTTGTTAGCTGTGAATTCTTCTAGGTACATATTTTAACTTTTTTCAAAGTAGTCTTTTACTTATTATCCCATTTGTTTATAATTGGGTATCTCTAAATTTTCCATAAAGTATGCAAACTGCTTTAAACCTATCATATAGTTATCATACTAAATTATTTATTTTAGAGATTATTCCAGTGAGTTGTCATCTTATTAAAGGTTAAGAACATCCAAAAAAGTCAATAGTTTTTTGTAGTTTACTTGTGATAGTCTTCTTAAGTCCTATAATTTTATCTATTTTTATCTAAAATTTGTTAAGATTGTATTGATATTTTCCAAAATTTGATTTGGTATCATACATTTTGTAATTAAATCAAATTTTTTTAAAATACAAAGGTTATCTAAGAAATTTTAATCATCAATAAGTTTAAACTTTTCCTCATTTTAAGTTAAAAGAGAAGTGATCATATCAAACAGCTTCACTAATAAATCATTTTGGCTCCTTTAATTTAGAATTTAAAAAAAACTTGAGTTCACAATTTGTTAAAAGTGCATCGAATTTTCATTTGTATTTAAGTTGGCATCTTTTAAAATTGCAATCATAGATTAAATTAAAGCTACTTCAAGCATTTCGTTTTTCAAATTAAACTTAATTGATGAAATAAATTCATAGCATTCTTGGTAACCAACAAATTAAATTACACTTTTAAGCTTATTTCCAATTTATTGATTAGAAAGCATTTCGTTATTGAGCATGCTTAATAATTTAGTAAGTTAGTTTTTAAAAACACTTTTAGGTTATCTTTTGAAATTTTCTAAAACATCAATCACAATTTTGATTTTATCTTCTAATTAAATTGCTGCTGCTTCTTCTTCATCTGCATTCTTTTCAAGTATTTTAATACTTAATGAGATAAAATTTTCATTTTACAAGACAATTAGTCTAATTTCTTCACAAAGAATCAGTTACTTTTGGATTAAAAATGTTTATGCTTAGAAATACTCAATAAACTCTTAATACAAATTCTATTTTTTTTATAATTATTTTTAAGTTGACAGATAAGCTTTCATTAAATTAATAAGCTAAGAATCTGATGGCTAAATAAGTTTTAGAAAATATTGAATTTTCTTAAATGATATTCTATATATTTAAGTTATTTATAAGAACATTTTATCTTTTAATACTTAACTTACTGATTCAAAATTAATTTATTCGATTATATTGTCATTAGGTAAAGCGTAAATTTAAAAATTCCATGTTGATTCTTCGATGTAACTTCTCATTTCTTTTGGTAGGCTTAGAGCTTCAAGTAATTAGTCTTTTTTTACCAAATGTGAAAAACCTAAGCCAAACATTTTTTTCATTTCTTCAGGCAAATTTTTAAATTCTTGATATTATGCTTAAGCTTCTTAAATGCTTATTTGATAATCTAGATTAATTTTAAATTTTTTAAGAATTTTAAATTACTGTAATGCACCAGTATAAATTATTTTTTTAAGCTAAGATATCCTATTAAAATCTTCATTATTTGCTTGCAAAATTATAAGACTTTATTAATCAAATTTATTAGCCACTACACACTTAATAAATTTAAGTAGTTACTAGAAAAATTAGGCAGAAACAATGTCACAATTTTATGCATACAAAAAGGTATATGATTAAAGCATATATCTAGATTAATCAAACTAATTACCAAATCTATAAGGCGTATCAAATATAATCCTCTCAATTTAGTTTAATAGATGGGAGCTTCTTTCTATAAAGTCACTTTCAACAAACTTCAGCTTTTCAGAACTATAAGTTTCAAGTTAATAACGATACTTAATACTCTATTAATCTTATAGATTAATGTGTGTGTAGTATATATTTGTGCTTGGTATTAACTCCATTTACTTTTCTAATAAAATTTCCTATGTTCTCACATTAAAAAAGTATTTATCTTTAAATAAAACTAATTTCAAAAGGTCATTTTTTTTAAATTAGGAAAATAAGCAATAAAATGTAAAAGTCTTTTCATTTTATGCGCAATTTTAATTATACATGGCAATTTATTCCTCATTTAGTAGGAGAAAATGAGAAAAAGTTATATTTTCTTAATCTTTTATATATGACTTATACTTTTTAGTAGCATTTTGTTCTTCTTTGTGTACTCTCTTTTAAGTATCTTGCTTCTTTTAGTTGCTTTTTGCATCATGGTATTATTAATTCTTAGCTTTGTGCTCTTTGTTAGTTTAAGTTTCATTTTAATTTTATTTGATTAATAGATCTGATTTATTCTCATGATTTACCTAATCTTAATTAGTTGCTTTCAAATTGTTTTAGTTGAATTCTTGACTTTCAGTAGTATTATCATCTTTTTTTTCAATATTATTGACTTAGTTAATTGATTGTTGTTTGCTTTCCTTATCTAAATTGCTCTATTATTACAATGTTTTATCGCTTTCTAAAATTAAAGATATTTGTTGTTGCTAATCTATGTTAATCACTTCTCTTAAAGTAAGAGCATTAATATCATCAATATCTTACTCATTCATTTGCTAAGATATGATGTTATTAATTTATTCTGTGCTTAACTTTAAATCTGATAGACAGCTATTAATCCAAATTAAGAGTTATTCTGTATTCCATTCTTTTTAAGGTTTTTAAGGGAGTTTTTTGATAAAAGATTGGCTTAAAATTGCTTTAAATGCTTCTAATTTTAACTTTCTATGGATAGGCCTTGATATCTTAATATCTTTTTCCAACACTTTATCATTTAAATCTTTTAGATTACTTTCCTGAGGTGCTTGCTCTAAAGCTTTGCATACATATTATTTTATCCATTCTACCACTTACTTTTGATTCAATAGCGTTAAGATGTCGAAATCTTCTTTTATTTTAGAATCTTTTACAGAGTCTCTGTTTGTATCTAAATCTAATTATTAGTCCATATTTTAATTTTTTTTTTTTTTTGGTTTTTAATAACATTAATATAATTATAATATTTGTTTTATATATAATTAATTAGAAAGTACTTAGACACATGAGAGGAGTGTTAAATATTCTAATAAAGTAAATTACGTCACATATTTTTTTACTTCTATTTAATTAATTGTCTTCTACTACTAAAGAGATAAAGTAACTTTTTTTAATATCATAGCTTTATAAGAGTTTTTAAAAATAGTGGCGCGCGCGATTATAAATATATCAATTCCAATACAACTCAAACTCTAAACTATAAATGGTGTATAAAATAATTGTTAAATTCATTTACTATGTTGAATTTTTCAGAATTGTCATTGAAAAAATAATAATTTTATATATTAAATAATTATAAAGTTGCATATTATACAATATCTATCTTATAATTGAAGTATATAACTTATATTTTAATAATATATTTATATTATTCTATTTATCTTATGTGATATTATCTAATATACGTAATCATCTCAATGCATATTGTTAATTTTAAATTTTGAGATAAAATATCTTCCACTAATTTCTCATTATTTGTATTTTTTGAAGATGAACAACTTTTTATAAAACATATAGTTGTTATATTAAGTATTGTTTTACATTAAAAAAATTTTATTTTATTGATCTTTTTGTGTTCCTTATATTCACTCTGTGGTGATAATCTGAATGAGAAATTAGAAATAAAACTTTTTAGAATACCATAATTTCTCTTATTAATTATTAATCCTTTTTGCTTTATTTCTTAAATTATTCTTAAATATTATGATAATAGAAGATCAGATAAAGCAAATAAGATGTTTAAATATTAGTATAATATATAATCAATAAAAGATATTTTTAAATTTAATTTTTATAGCATTAAGTTTTAATAACAACGTACAATCTTAGATAATATAGTCATATAGTAATCACTTTTTACTTATTTCTATTTTATCTTATCAGAGCAGATAAGAAATTTACAAGAAATCAAAAATAAACAGAAATTGATTAATTTTTTAAATACAAAAAACTCATATTTTCCCTCAAAATAAATAGATTGATTTTTGACAAAAATATCTAGTAATTAATTAATAATAGAGAAAGCAATTCATATATATTCTTTTATTAAGATTTAATTTTTATGAAAAATATTTTAAAAGACACTTCTTTCAAGCTTTATCTTTCCATTTTAGTATTAAAATGTTAAAATAATTATAAAAAACAATACTTAATAAAAAATACATCGTCGTATAATGGATATTGACAATACGGTTTCAGTATTAATTTCTCATTTTAAAATAAATGGAAAAGTTCAATCATTTCTTTTATTTAAAAAGAGATCTTTCTAAATATTTTCTTAGCTTTAAGCATACAAAATATAATATATACTTTTATAATTATGAAGATTGAAATTTAAAAAGTTATGTTGTAATAATAAAAATTTATTATCAACATAAATATCCAATAAAAAATAAATTTAAATTTATAATTTAAATAAATCAATTAAAATTAGAAATAAAAATATCTAATTAAATTATATTTTACATACTTTTTCAATAATAACAAATACAGACAAAATATATAAATTATAAATTTACTTTAAATCAATTAAAAATAAAAGTTTGTAACTGATTCCTATTAAGTATATATATTTCTTATAAAATTCTAGATAGATTAATTAAGCTTAAATATTAAAAAAAATAATTTATTTTTGATATTGGTTTACAATATAATTGTAAGAAATTTAATAATATTTTAATTAATTTTTTTGTATATACTCTAACTTATTTAATATTTTATCTACAAAAATAGTTATTAATAAGAAAAGATTGTAATAAAAAAAATGAATAAGTTTTATAATAAATAGTTAAGTTAATAAAAAAACATGAAAAGTAGTTTTAATTAATATAGTGAGAAAATTATTTTATTTATTTTTTAAATTTAATAGTTTATCATTTCATTAATTTGATTGTTTTCATAAATGATAATATAAAAACTAACCAAAAATGTTTACTTTTATATCAAAGATTATTTAATATTTGCAAATGTTAAGTTTTGATTGAATTTAATAAATTCTGACTAATCATTTGTAACTAAAAGAGGTTCATTTAATGACTTATATTATCTCACAATTACTAATTATTGAATTTACTTTAACTAATACTTTTTTTATGATGAATATATATTATTGAATATTAATTAAATAGATTTTAGCAAATTCCAGTATAGTTTATTTTAATTTTTGCTCTCGTTTATGAAAATTATTACAATAAATATTTTGTGTGTGTAATTAGTAAGCTACCTAATAGTACTAATAGAAGATATCATAAATCTGAAGAATTACGATCATAATGAAGATAAACTAATTATTAATTTAATTAAGATTAAAAGCCAGAAAATTTGGGAGTGATTGAGTAGTGCTTAATTAAATAATTTTCTAAATGACAGATGAATATCTTTAGTAAAATTTTTGTGAATAAAGAATAGCGTCAGTATGTGTTTTGCTTAATTTTAAATGTTATTAATTATTTTTATATAAGTGATTGAAACAAGTCGATAATTTAAATAGTCATATTTATGTTTAGATTTCTAAGCTTTTTACAGTTAATCTTTCAGTCATTTCTATCTATGTTAGCTTCACATTAAAAAGATTAAGATATTTCTCTGTTAATATCAGGATCTTTTTGAATAGTTATTTTTAAGCATTAAATTGAGTAATAGTGTGAGTCATAATATTGTTAGCTAGTATTATCCAAATTTAGACGGTTTAAGCAAGAAGCCATTTAATGCTTAACCTGATCTATATGCTAATAAATTGTTCTGAGCTTATTTCCACATTGCTTATAGTAAATTTATGCGTTGCACTCTGTATTAAAACAGCTGACAAGCTCTTAAAACAGTGATTTATAGCTCTAATCACTAATAATTTTTAGGCTTGTACTTTTATTAAATATCAATTTATTATATTTATCCCAGTGAAATAAACAGAGTCTGTTTTCAAAGCATAACTTTCTCAAATCTTTGCATTTCTTAACCTGACACTCTTACACTTCTAAATAATTGAAACAATTTGTTAAAGAGAGTAGTGTTACGAAACAAAACAGCTTAAAAAGCATTTTAATATTTTGGAAAAATAGTAGTATCAGTATGATTAGTATATATGTGTTAGAAGATTTTTGTTTGTCTTTTAATTTTTGAGAAGATCGATCGTAAAAGACTTGTTTATTTATTTATTTTACTAAATTTTATTATTATTTTTATAATTATTATTTTTTTATTTAGTTAGATTAAAAGAAAGCAATTCTTTTGATTATTTATGGGAATTAATTTTTAGCTTTCTATCTGTTTAATGATTTACGACGAAATCAAATGAATATATGATCAATTTTATTTGTCATCTATATAATAATTGGATTGTAAAAAGAATTTCATTTAGAATTCATTGTGATTATTTTCAACTTATTGTAATCTTTTTCTAAATTCTCTTAAGAGAGCTGTTAAAATAAACAATCAAAATTTGTTACTATCTCAAATGTATTTAATTCATATAAAACTTAATTTCCGAAATAATCTTTTCTAATCCAAATTCAATCATAATTTTTTCTAAACATCTATTTTACTAAGTAAATATTTCTTTTTACACTTAATCTAAAAGATAAGCAAAGCTAATTTTCTCAATTTTTACTCTAAAAAAAATTAACATTAAATTTCAATCACTACTCTCAATAAGAATTGATAAGAAATGATCAAATTTAATACCTTAACTCATATTTTCCAAAATAGATTTGAATATTTTACACCACATGAAATCTATGTTGGAATTTAAAATTTGACATCAAATATTTTCGAAAAAATTACTTTGTTTTTATAAATTTGACCTAATCATAAATATATTTTACAACAGAATTTTTTTACTCCCGATCAAAAATTTTGTGTAATCACAATCATAAATAATTTAACAACATTATATTTTCCACGCAATTTAATCAATGTATTCTTTTATTTGAAAATATTATTTGTTTTAAAGTATTTTTTGTCCCTAAATAGAACTAACTTTAATAAAAATAAAATGTATTATTGAGTAGACATTTTTATGTTCCTTTAAAAAGAAATGATACTTAAATTAAAAATGTAAGAAATATTTTTTAATTATTCTATCATAATTCAATGGATTGTTTAATTCTAAAAAATAAATTAAAGATTTTAAGAAAAAGGATTTTCTGGATAAGAAGAAAATTAACAAAATCCTAAAAGAAATTGATGCTCTGAGCTTTATTATAAATTCTTTTATTTAGAAGAAAACTTACTTATCCTAATTCTTAAATTCCTCTTTTAAGTGTAGAATTTAACAAACATAAATGAATTATTTCATGAAAATTACTATTTTATCATTAATTTTAACCATAAAAATAACAATAAAACTTTAAATTCTGTATAAATATTTATTATTATTATATTATTTAGTATGAAATAATTAATTCCTTTATTTAATTCATATTAAATTTACTAAAATATTTATTTTTAAAATATTTTGGTTTGTAGTCTTTAAAGTTAAAAATCTTTTAAACAAAAAAAAAATATTTTTTTAAAATGTAAATCTAAATAATCTAATTGTGTATTTCATAGATCATTTTAGCTATTATTGATTTTATTTTATATTAAATCTATAAATAATTAAAAAATATATTTTAATTTATTAGCAAAGAAAGATTGATACAAAATTTAAATTGATGATAGAATTATTTTAAATCTTACAATTTATTTAAACTTTAAAATGACAAATTTGAACTTAAAATTAGTTATTTTATAAATAAAAGATTAATATAAAATAATTTTTATGCTAATTAAAGTATTTAATTCCAGCCAAAATTATATTATATGAAATTTACATGAAGATATATTAAACTTTTGTTTAAATAAGATCTTTAAATATATTAGAATATTTCCCTTAAGTAATTATCATTCAAAATATTATGAATGAATGGATGAATGAAGATGTATTGAGAATTTTTAAAAAGAAGAGAGTTATTTTTTGAAAGAGATACTTTAGAAAAAATAAGAAAAAATTAGAAAAATCAGTCCTTTCTTTTTGTTAGAAGATTCCTTTAGATTCTTTAATAACTTTATGGAAATTAAAAGGGCTAACTAAAAAAGAAAAAGAATTATTAGAAATTTACTAAAATTTAAAGATTCAATTAAAATCAAGTTGTAAAAGAATAGAAAAATTAAATTAAAAGGTTAAGAAAAATGGCAACATAAAACGAAGAAACATAAATTCATTTATTAGAATAATCTACTGAGCATATAGTAAAAGAAAGTATTCATTAATCTAATGAAAATCACTTAAAAGAAGATTCTGATTGTGATAAGGAGTTATTTTAAAGCTCTATAAACAACCCAATTATTATTTAAAATAAACTTAATCATGCTAATCACTAAGAAACACATTAAAATGAAGAAGCTAATTTGAATGGACATTAATAAAAAGAATCTCCAAGACACTAAGAAAATTAATAATCTTCATAATCTAATGAAACTGAATAAAATCCAAAGATTTAAAGATATTCTGATGCTATAATCTAAGATGTAACTAACTTATCATCAGATTAAGTGTAAGAAGAAAAATAAGAAGAAAGTATTCAAAATAAGGAAGATATAAACCAACAAAATACACAAAGCACTTAAAATTAGAATGCCCAATCTGAATAGTAGTAAGAAAGCGAAGTTGTTATTGAAGAAGTTAAATAAAAAACTGAAGAGTAAGAAAGTTAATAAGCAAAATAAAATGAATAGCAAACAAACTAAAATAACCAATAACAAAGTTAGTCTTAAGCAAAGAGTTAAGAAGAAATTTAAAGATTTACTTAAATTTTTGCAGTAGCTAATGCAATTAAGGACTAAGCTAAGGTATGTGTCTAAAAGAAATAATACAAAGATGCCATTAAGCTCTATGAAGACTGTCTTTAAGTTATTCATATTAGCAACTTCTAACTAGGTGAAGATAAATCAAAGTACAGAGATGTCCTTAAGGAGTAAGTAGAATTGACATTAATGCTCTTATGTAATATTTCATTGTGTTACTTTAATGAAGGTGATTTCGAAAAATCTCTTGAATATGCTGAAAAAGTTAGTATCATAAATCCTAACCATTTAAAAGCTTCTTATCGTCGTGCCTTGGCTCTTAAAAAACTATAAAGATATGAAAAAGCTTTCGAAGAAATAAAAAATGCTCGTCTTATTGCTATTGGACATCAGCAAGTAGATGAAAATATTAATAAAGAGTATAAGATAATCAAATAACTCTACACTGACGGAAAGAGTAAAACAGAAAGTTAAAATAACTCAACTCACTTATTAAGCTCCAGCGGTTCTAACAATAAAACTAAAAAGAGCTCAAACTTGCTAAACAATTCATCCTTGACTAATGTTTCTCAATTTTTGGATAACAATTTCCCTGGATCTATGAAAACCACTCCTTTCTATATGTTATGTAGTTCCTTCACTACTTATGTAGTCTTGAAAAAGTTTATGAATATCCGTCTTTTATCTAAGCCTGCCCTGATAGGAGGTCCTCTTCTTAGTTTGGGATTATTTGGCTTCCTATAAGGCAAGAATATTTTCATTAAATTACTTTGTAGTGGATTAGTAGGTCTAATAAGTACCTTCCTTTACAGATATTCAGATTTAGTTTCATCCAAATCACTTACTTTGGTATGAATGAATATGTAGAAAACACTGAGAAAACAAAATTTTAAATAAAAACATTTAGAAAAAATTATTTGTAATTAATATAAATAAGTAAAATTTATGCACATAAAAATACATATATAAATATTAATAAATAAATATATAGATAAATTCAATTAATAAAAATCAAAATAATATAATCAATATAATTAATTTGTTTCTTACTTAGTTATTTTTCAAAAGTAGTTCAATAATAATGTAAATATATCTTAATTTTTTATTACTATAACAGATATTATATATCTACATCATAAGACATATAGAAAGAAATATTAAATAAATAATTTTATCTTTAGATTAAAATTTATTACATAATTATTTATTTTTCAAAAAGAATTTAATAAATAATATTAATATTTTTCTTCTTTAATATCTAAACAAATTAAATTTACTTTATATCAATATTTACATAATACCAAAATAATGTATAGAAATTATATTATCCTAGATTAAATATATTATATCCTATTATATTGATTAAATTCATCCAAAATTATTTCTGTATCTTTATCACCGTTTGCTGCATTATCAAAAATATTAAAAGCTGTTTTTTTTTCAAATATTTTAATTAAAAAATACTCAAAAAATAATTAAAATTAAACAAGTTTTTTTTAATTTTGATAAATGAATCTTAGACTTAAAAGATATATTCCTTAATTTATATTAATTTTAGTAAAATAAATTGAATCAACATTTATTAATAAATTTTAAATACTTTTTAATTTTAAATAGTTTTCTTAGTTATAAAATTTTTAAATCAGTTTTAACTGAGTGGAATACTAATAGATAATTGAACATTAGATGAGAAAAACTAAATATTATTAATAGACAAAGAGTATTTTTATATATAAATAATTTTTTTACTTAATAAAGAGGAGAAATGGATGAATAATTTTAAATATTTTTTATAAATTATTAATAAAAGTATTTGTATTCATTATAAACATATTTTCAAAAATTTATGGAGAGATTTCTTAAAGAGGTTGATTGGTAGGGCTTATATAAATTTGATTTATTTTCACTTGTGAAGTTATTAAAGGAAGTACCAATCCTACTATTGCTATATGAGCTTGTTAAATTTCTACTTTTTAATCCCATAAAAGTATCAAAAGCATCAATTTATAAATTACTTCCTATACTTAACTAATTTTAATTAGTATTACTTCCTCTTTTTATAGTGTTAATATATTTATCAGTCAAATTCGATATTGATGTAGAGCTCAGTAAATTTTGTCTGCTAGAAGTTAGTTTCGATGAGGCTACAGACAAGTTATCATTTTATTCAGTTTTCAGATCATGACTGCTTTAGGCTCTGTCAAGAGATTTAGCATTTTCAGTTTTAGCTTTAATTTTAAAATGACGACTGCTTGTCATAAACGAAAAGTTTTTGCTTTCTTACATTTTCTTGATAAAGCACTAAATTTTTTAATTAATTATTTTATTTAAAAATTAATTTAGAGTTATTTAAAATTTAAAATTGTATTTATTTATTTTATAAGTTTATTTTATAAATTAATTTGATACATTTAAATTCTCATCAAATAAAATTTAATATTTTAAGTATTTTTAAATTTTAAATTAATTTAAATAGTATTTGACTATAATTTTATTTTATTTATGATTGTAAATAAATTGGGTTTTCAGGAATTAAATTAATTAGGTTTTGGGAAGCAAAATAACTTGACAGATAACAAAAAAGTTTTGTCTCAATATATGAAAATTAACTAAAAATTTTAATATGTTTGAATAATCTAAATAGAAAATAAATTATTTTATTTAAACTCATTATAATTAATAAATTTAAATATTATCAAATAAAGAAATAGTTTTTGAATAAATTTTTACTTAAGTTAGATGAGTATAATTATGAAATTCGTTAGATCCATCTATTGTACCAAAAAGACATATTAACTTTTTAAGTAAATTAGGATCTTCTCTTTTTTCATTTTGATGTATGTGTCTGACTAATTCAAGATCCTTTATCTTTTAATAAAATCTTTGCTTTTCTTAGATTACTTCTAATATTTTTTATCTTTCATGAACAGCACTCTGTAGATCTTCATCCTATACATCATATTTATTTAAACTGTTCATAGTACCAGGATTAACAGTATCGCTAACCCATTGAATTTCATGCCTTTTAGTATCAGCATTTACTTAAAAAATAGGCTTCTTTACTTATAAGTTCTCTTCAGTGATAACTTTAAGCTTTTTCTATATCTTTAATTTTTATTAAAAATATTTAAATATTCTTTAATCGATCTTTAAAAATAAATAATATTCTATTTATTACCTCTGACTTAGTACTGTTTTTATTTAAATTTTCAATTACTTTTTCATATCTATTTTTCTTATTTTAGCTTAAATCGAATTTAGTAAAATCGTAATTTCTGATAGAGGATTTTAAGTCTTCTACTTCCTACTCTATTTATGCTGCCTTTTTTATAAATTCGTTTAGTTTAAAATATCACAAAGTTTAAATTTACTTCTTATAAAAATTCAATTGCTTATGAATCAATATATTATGGAAAATCTCCTCTTTCAATAGCTTCTCCCAAGCTGTTCATAGATTTTATTACCCAAACAAGTGATATATTTTCTTTTTGAGCAGTAGGCAGAGCACTTAGATCTTTTTTAAGCATCTTTACATAGTTTTGTCTCAGATAGGTCTTTAGGTTAATTCTGCTCATTTTCAGTTTTTCTACTTCTTTATCACAATTATCTATGTGATTCATTATCGCTTCTATATCTTAATTAAGAGTATTGATGATCATCTCTAACTCCTTCTATTTATCTTAAAGCTTTTGTTATTAATTCGAAAGTTCTTGCTGCTGACCATTCAATTTATCAAGCTCCAACTATAAACCCTCATTATATTCTACTAGCTATTTATTCTTTTATTGCGCTTTATTTTTGAATGCATTTGATTTCTGTAAAGCTTGCACCCTTTTTTAAATGGATTTATTTTAATAAATTTATAAATTAGTCTATTTTATCTAAATTAAAAACTATTATTTTTGTTTTTTTGATTTGTTTGGTTTACACTTTTTTAAATTAACCAGCGCATAGATTATGTTAAAATAAAAATAATAGTTTTAGAAGAACTTATAAAAAAAAATACCTTTTGATTGATTTATCTTAAATATGATATTACTACATTAACTCATCTTATCTATTTTAAGTTGTGATTAAATCATTTTGGTTATCCTTCAAAATCTAAACCCACTTAGCCACTTCTATTCTAAAAACTCTCTGCTAAGATTTTTTTTCTTCTATTGCTTTATTTATGCTTAAATAGCGACTCAGTAACTCTGGTTCTACATCTTTAAATGACGATGCTGGGTTAATTTCATCTTCTGTAAAGTTAAAGAATTTGCTAGGCAATTGCTTGTTAGTTAAAATTTTTGCGAGTAGTTAATCGTAATCTATTTTTTATCCAAAATTAAAGTATTTTCTTAGGCTCTTAAAATTTTTCAAAGTTTCATTTTAAACACTATCACCTAAGTCATTTGTTGTTTTTATACCTTAGAATTTCTAAGAGTATTCTTTAGGTTTATTCATGAATTTCTACATCTTATCTTAAATAATATTATGAACTATCTTTTAGATATTTTTCTTTTTTACTAACTCTGGATTGATATACTCCTTATTAGGGTTGTATTACTGCAAAAGTGTTAAGCTAGTACAAATATTTCCTTGTGTATTAGCAGCGTTAGCATTAAATACAGAAACCTTTTTGGATCCTTTGAAATTAGGCTAGCTAGAAAAAACTGAATTTCTAGATTTGCTATCAGAATCATCATTAATTTATGCATTCTGCACATAACTAAAGCTATTTCTAACCATTTATTTATTTTTAAAAGGAGAATCTTCATTATATCTCTCAATCTAATTCTACCCTTTCTATATTTTTTAATCTGTTTTCAAAATCGAATTTAGAATATTTGAGTCAACATTTGGAGATTTATACTTCTCTTTCATACCTTCTATGAGCATTTTCTATTAATTTTAATTTCTCACATCATTTACTTGAAATGAATTAGAATTTTCTTAGTTTTCCTTCACTATTTTTTTTAAAAATAAATGGACTTATTTTACACAAGAACAAACAAACAAAAAAAAATATATTACATTTTGATTTTGTCCGCTGGTACCAGTCATCTAAATTTTCTTTTAAATCCTTTTAAGTATACTCATAATCTTCTTCCATTTTCATTGCATCAACTAAAATATTAATTTTCTTGTTAAATTTTTTTAACTCAACTAAAATTGATATTGTTACTCACAACATGGTTGACTTTTGGCATTTTGGATTTCATTAAACCTTATTTGAAATTTCTCATATTCTTAAATTCATTTTACTCAAAACTAGTGTTAAATTCATCTCCCTAATCTCTTTCTTTAGGAGTATTTGCAAAGCTATTTCTTTTTGTTTCTATGTTTTCTTTTGATTGGATCCTTAAAGTTTTGTGAACTTTCTACTTTTATTCACTCATCTTTATATTTGCTTTCACTGCTTTTTTAATTCGCTATTAGTAATTGAATGTTGTTATTTTTTTGATATTGTATATAGTTAATAAATATTATAATCAAAATCAATTTTTCAAGAAGATTTATAATCATAATAGGATTTATGTGTAATTGTGGTTTAAATCATGTTTATCCAATCTCATTTATTACTAAATCTTTTTGTTAAAAATGAGTCATTAACTAGCTACATATAATTTTTTGCAATTTTTTTCTACTTATTATTGAGTTTATTTTGCGTTTATTGAATAAATCTATCATTTCTTTAAATAGAAGATCATAAATTTAAAATATATCTAACCAAATAAATATTTATGTTATCACCAATTTGATTCTTATTTCTTGTTTTGTTTTGTTTGATCTTTTTTAATTATTTTAGCCATTAATTTTTGTAGAATAAAAATTAATAACCAGTAAATTTCATTATTACCTCATAATAAATATTTAAAATTCTTTATTGAATTTACCATACTAAATTCACTTCACTTTTAAAGTAAAACATTAATTTCTGAATTCAGTATTGTTGAACAAAATATATTATTGTTTTATCTTATTCAATTAATATTTGATATTTAACTTTATTAAAATTTTATAAAAATAAAAATACTAGTGATAAATAAAAAAGTAATATTATTTTTGCAAAAATAAAAATAAAATGCATATTAATAAAAATGAAAGATTAATAAGTTATTATTTAGTTCTTTTTATTAACTAAATTATAACATAGAACTGTTGCCATATTTAAAAAATAGAAATTTTAAAATTAAATGAAATAAAAGCAAATTTAACAAAAAATTAATAATTTAATTTAATAATCTAGAGCCTCTTTGTTTTGTATATTTATTTTAAAAGGATTAAACTGATTCATTTTATTGAATTTTTTTTTGCTTTTCTCTTAATTACCTTAAAACTTTATTAAGGTTTTATTTTGTAAATTTAAAATACCATTTTTTAAAAATATATAAAATAATATTTTGTTCAAATTATTAGAAAATAATAAAATGAAGATTTATGATATTTATTTGTTTTTAATTATGAAAAAATACTAAAATTTAAGTATAATAAATATGATAATATCCTATAAAACCTATTTCAGGTAAACAAGACAATAGTTAAAATATATTTAAAAATATAATAATAAAAAAGTTTATTATCTAGTGTTATATATTCATTTTAATAAAATTACTAAATATATCTAAAAAAAATTAGTAATCAATTCATTCTATAATTTCATCCATTTAATTTTCAAATTTTTATTATAAATTAGCCACGTTTAAGCTATAATCTTGAAAATTTTTTTCATTTTTATTTGATAAATCTATGTTGTTTTCAATAGCGGTTGTAAAATTTACAAAAATTGAATTTTCTTCTGAAGTATTGATATTGTTTACTAATGTATTATTAGTATTGGTTTGTTCAAGCAAAAATGAATTTTTACTATTTGAATGGATTCTAAAATTGTATTTATTTTTAGCTATTGGTGAACTAATTTATTTGCTTTTTATTGATAAACTACCTAACTTACTTAATTATGGGGTTTAATTTGTTAACATTAATTCTCTTTCTTATAATAAACTAGACATATTTAATGGTGAATTTGAAGAAAATTTAAATAAATTTATATTAGTTTAACTCATGATTTCATTTTAAACAATACTTTTATATTCTTCTTATTCATCAGCTACTGAGTAAATATCATCTTTATTTTGTTTCCTATTATCTTCATCATTTTTTAAATTGTATTTAATTTTAAGCAAAAATTGCTGAACCACATAATTATTTCTATCATATATTCTAATTAATATATCTTCAATATCATAATCTTAAGGTATTCCGTGTAAAAATATTTTGCCGTGCTTTTAATCTAAGTAAATCCACTAAGGTAATTTAATATTCTTAGAAATTCCATACCTAGTATATTCCATATTTAGTATTTTATATAATGGTTTAATCCATTTATTGATATGTCTTTTTTTAAAGGCTACTACTTAACTTATTTCATAAGCATTTAAGTGAATTGATAAGCCTGTAGATGGATAAAATTTTGAGACTAACATATTTGAAAAACCTAAAGTTTATGCAAATATCACTTCTCTTAATATAAATGGATTAATATTAACTTAATGAGTTTGAATAAGATTTACAAAATCTTTGAATTTACTTATATTTTCTTTCAATTAGAATGGTAGAAGTTTAATATCTTATAGTATTTTAATTAATTGACTGTATGCTAATTAAAGCTATGGGAAATTCATTATGCTTTGTAAATAATCTTCTTAATTATTAACATAATTAATCTAAACTATTGCTTTCGACCAGTCATATTGTGTTTTGTTATAATTTTCTATACAGTAATTTTTTATATAATCATAAACTTATAATGTTCTTTTATCTAGATTCAAGAAATGTCTAGATATTAAAGCTCTAATACACCTATGGATTCTTGAATTCATATTTGTTATTTCTCTTTAGTAAATCTCTTCTGATTCGAACATATGTTTATTTGGGTGTATTTTAAATTTAATTATATCATCTATTACTCTAGAAAATACTAAATTTCCAGTTTTATGTAAGTATTTTTTTTCAAAGATTGTTTTTTGTGAATGAGTATTAATTTTACTTAAAATTGAAATAGCTCTTAATCTTCTTACTTCATTTTTTCCTTACAAGAGTTTATTTTCATTTTCAAAATTACTCATTTATTCTTTTTCAGAAAACTAAGATTCTGTGAGATTTTTATCACCTGATTTCACATATTTATCTTAACTTTAAACTTAGTCAATAACTTAGTCGATTGATTGCCTATTGATAATCGTTTTAAACAAACAATTAACTATTTCTTAAGCTATTTATTGAGTTTATCCTAGAGCTATAATTTCTTTATGATAAACTTGACCACAAAAAATTTCTTCCTCAGAAAATGTAACATAATCTTTAAAAATTATATTATATAAGCTAAACCTTTTCTTGTAAATTCCAAAAGCAGCTGCTGCAGGCCCTAGGATTGTTAACATTAAATTAAAAATATATAGGAAGGGAATACCTTAAACGGCAATATAAAAATAATCTTCTGCTGTAGTGTAACCATCAGATGCCTATATTTTAAATCTATATATATTGCCATACAATTTTGAAGTTGTCTATCCCTTGAAATTGAGTTTATTGTTCTATTATTATAGCCAAAAACCGCTTGAAATATGTTCATATTAGCCATTTTAATTGAATAAAAACACTTCGTAGTTCAAACTTTGACTATCTTCTACAAAAAATGTATTAGAGGAAAAAGATATATCAACATTTGAATTAATATCTACAATTGCTCCTTAATATTATTACTCTATCTAATATTAGAGTTTGTTTTGTTCATTAACTTTCAATTATTTCTTAAGTACTATAAAATTGCTTTAATAAATTGAATATGTTTTAATTAAAGGATAGTTGATATTGTCAACAATAGTTATTGTTATATTTGGAGAGTTCTTTTATGTAATCTCAGTGTTATTTGCAAATATTATTTTATTGCTTAATACTGAATTTACATCTTCCAATGCTCCTTAAATTTTCAATTAATCTTGGTTAGTTTGCATGTAAGTGATTACATTATTTTGATTTATGGGCACTAGCTTTCCATCTTGGCTACTTATTTACAGAGTTACTGAAATATTTTATTCTTCAATAGAACTAATAAATTTGGTTGTATTATTGTTGTCAAATTATAAAGAAGACTTCACATAGTATTTTATCGGATTCACATAGCATGATTTTTTAAGAGATAGATTTATCTTCAAAGCTAAAGCATCCATTAAGATTTAATATAAGGCTATAGTCATACTAGATGGATCTAAAATTTAGGATTATAATTGGCTATCTAATTTAACATTTTTTGTAAAATCATATTAAGAATTAATTATTCCAGCTGAATCTAATATATTTTAATCAATTAAATATTGAAATATAATTGCTGATTAATTTGAGTTAGTCACTGCAATATCAAGAGAATCTTCAGCAGAATATATAAAAGAATTTTAGTCTAGAGGGATTACTGTCCATAGTAAAATAATATTTAGATTGAATTCATTTTAGTTATTTCCTCCCAACTCCTAATTCACTGTTACTTGAAGAGACTATGAAGGTAAGTCAAAAATAAAATATGAAGGTAAATTTACCATCTATCCTTCTTGATATATAAGCACGTTTTTAATATGAGTATTTTATGCTGTCAAGTATAAAATAGTAAAATCAAATTTTACAATTTGACCTATGTAAAATATATATTCATTTTATATAGATGGGCTATTCGTACCATTAGCAGATTACTTTTTAATCAATTATTTTATTTGATTTTCTCTATTACCATAACCCTAGGCAATTAAGTATGCATCAGTATGAATTAGAACATCACTTTACAAAGGCATAGTTATTATTCCAGTAGTTGCACCCAGGAAGATATAACTATTATTCTTATTTGAACATATTGCCTGAGCAGTCTGAGACTCATAGGTTATAGATGCAATAATTTAAGGAAATAATTTATCGCTGATATCTATCAAAGAAATTAAACCCTTTTCAACTTAAGTTAGTAACACATAATTTTCTTATTCAAGAAGTAAAAGCATTACAGTATAGCCCTGTAAATTGACTCTAGATATGATATTTATATTAGGAAAAGAAGTGGTATCTATAATGGCAAATCCTTTAATTCCATCTACTAAATATGCATAATCATAGAATTAAGATATAAATATAGCTTCGCCACCTAAATTTATTTGATAATTTGCAAGAATGGGATTTGTTTTATTTTATACATTTAACAAATATATAGCAACAAATCTAATTGTACTTATAACCCATTTATTATCTTTTGTTATGCATGCTCCTTGATTTTCTCCTGACAAAAAATCTGGGTATTACCAAAAGGTATAAACATACATGTTTAAAATATCTGTTGAATTATAAAGTATTAATCCTACTGCATAGGTTTGAACTGCAAACGTTTTATCATAGCTAAAGGTCATCATTTCACTCACATAAGTAAAGTTAGCATAATATTTTTTTACCTCTTTCATATTCATAGGAGAGATAATTTACTGCTCAGGACTATTGTCTAGAGGCTTATATTAATATACTCCAATTAATGTTGTGTCGCCATATTAAGGAATTATAAGATATTTATCTGAACTATCTATTTCTAAAGAATCCTAACTGAATATATAATTTTAAAAATTAGAGATATTTAATCTGTAAGGATTTTAATAGTATGGAAAAACAAATATTCCTTTTGAATCAAAGTTCCCAATTAAATACGTATCGGATGGGTCAGTATAGCATCTCCATTTGTATTTTCCTTAAAATTGATCAAATTTAATTTAATGATAGTTATAAATATTTGGAAAATCATTATTTAAATTAACTTCAATTGAGTTAAGAGTGATTAAACTTTAACCATTTGATAAATATAGATAATTCTCACTATTTGAAAATTGCATAGAATAGATAGGGAAATCAAAGTCTATTATCTATAAAAGCTTGATTGTATTTTTTTAACTTATGTCAAAAATATATAAGCCTTATGATCTCACTCCTAATAGTAAAATAGTTTCTTCTTTATTAATAAGCATAGATTAAATAACTGGTTAGATTGATTAATAAGGCCAATAATTATTAAAGTTGATTAAAACAGGAAATTAATTTTGGTTTGCTTATATTATTAATTAAGAAGTAGAAAAAAAGAAACCTTCATACTTCCCAAATCCATAGATATAATTAGTAGAAGTTGCTTAAATTTGCATTAATTCACTATCAAATTTAGCATATGCGGCTAAAGTGAAATTTATCTCACGCCCATTTTGGCTGCTATTTAACTAGCTTGTATTATTATTCCAAGTATCTTTTAATTAATATACTTACATTCCAATGCTATCTGCAGCAACATAGAGCCATAAACCATCTTGGCTTATAAAAAGACTATTAATTATTTCAGAATTTAAACTGATGAAACCTATTTATTTACAATTAGACTTATTTGAGGTATCATAAGCAACAATTAATCCTTATTTTGCTGCAGTTATTAATATTTCGCTTGATTCTCTATAAATTAAGCTTAAAATTGGTGTTTGTTGTGATATTTATTATAATAGTTGACAGCTTTAAATATTAGATTGATTATAAAAATTTACTTTATAAATCACTAAATACTCCTGAAATCCTATGAAAATATATTCACCATTTTTAGTTATTTAAAATAGCTAAATGTAATCATTACCTATATTTTGATTAAAAAGAGTTTAACTGCCTAGCTAATCTATTATTGAAATTCCCCTATAACCAGTAGAAACATATACTAAGCTATTCTAAGTTGCAACATTAATCATCAAAGGACTCCAGTTAGAAATGTTTTAATGCAACTAATTTAAGTATTACTGTGCATAAATGTAATGAAGGCCTTAATTACCAGCGATCTAAGAAACAATTAAATGAATTTTAAAACACAATACTAAAATTAGTTTAAAATTTATTTTCTAAGTAAGACACATATGAGCTTTTATCCTTTTAACTATTCTTATTTTTTTATTTTTTGTGAAATTAACTTGTCATTTAAAAAATTGATTGTGAATCTGATAGCAATATTTTATTACTATTTATATCAATTCGCATGATAAAATTAGTATGATTTCAAACCTATTTATTTAGACGTAATAGTAATACTTAGTTTATAAAAGTCGATGAAATAAATTTTCAAAAAATTAACTGATATAATTTATATAAGATTCAAGAGAAAACTCATTTAAACAATAAATAAATTTAATAATGACCTTTTTTAATCCTTGAATTATTAATATGATAAAAAATATAATGATAAAAAGCATATATTATATTATTTAGCAATAATTTTGTTAATTAGGTTTATTTCGCAATCTTAATACACTCAAATTATTATAATTAAGAATTTTTTTGATTGTAAAAGCCCTATTTATTAATTTAAAAGTATGAAAAGAGAAAGATTTTATATTTTGTTTTAAAACTAAATATCATTTTATTTATTACGATAAAGATTTAAAATCTATTATGAACGATAAATAATTATTCCTCTTATAATATTAAATATTTTTATAATTAAAGAAATTTAATTTTTTTATTGTAAATCAGGTTACTTTTTTAAATATAATTTTTTTAGCAGACAAGTAATCCATATATTTAATAAAGTGTAATTTTGTTTTATTTCTATTATTAATTAATATAATAAGCATATATTTTAAATTTTTATAATATAATCGAAAGAGGTAAATTTATTTTATATTAGATATACTATAATTTAAATTGTTTGAGACACCTTCGCATAATAAAAACTGATTTTTAGAAAATAAAATATTTTTCAGAGTTTCCCCCTCAGACCTTAAAATACATAGATTTGATGAGTGATATGCTTTTTTGTAATAAAAAAATATTTATGATTCAAAGTTCAATATTTCAAATAAGACATTAGATGAAGTTTCTAAATGGGGATAAAATTTCTAAAGAGTTTATCTGCAAAATCAATAAACATCTGCCCTATAAAAAATGAGTTAAATTACTAGAATAGAGTGTGAAAGGAAAATCAAAAAAGGAAATTTGATAATCGTTATTATTTCTCTACAAAATTACATCAGATATAAATTAGAAATTTATTATGTTTAATTGATTACTTTTTTAAAGAGAAGTATAGACCAAAACTCATTAAGTCAGGGTAAAATATATTTAAGGATACAATTTTTTTCATTTAAAAATAGGCATTTATTAAAAAAATATGGGATTGATACATTATTTTAATGAGGATTGATCCTGCACTAAATGTAAATAAAGGTATTATAATGAAAAATAAATTTCTGAAAATTTAAATTTACAATCAAATTAAAAAATTGTATTATCTTCATTAATTTTAAATAAGAAATTAGTATTAATAATTATCAAAAATAAACTCTTAGGTTCTATGAATTATTCACTTATTATAAGCTTTTTACTAAGTATAATTTTATCAGCTTATACTTTAGATACCAACTCTAATTCAGAAAATTATGTTTACTCTCCACTACATCTTAACTTGCTTACCTCGTCTGATGAAAAATGGACTCCTTTTCAGGTAAATATTGCTTATTAGAGCGGTTTGTTATTTGTGGCTTCAGGTTTTAATGGAATTACTATTTCAGATTAGATTGGAAGCAAAATTCTACATACATAAAATTTAGGATCTAAGTTTGTAAAACAAATTTAGATCACTTTAGATGGGTAGTTCATCTTTCTATGTTTTGAAAATTCTTTGATGGTAGTTTAGATGATCTACAACTATGAATAGACCAATTTTAGTGTTTCCAATTTTACTCAATTACAGATAGTAGAATATAAAACTTCAGTATCAAGTCTTCTTTATACAGAAGATGAAGAGTTTTTGATTGTTGCATGCTTCGGTGGACTGATAGCAGCGTACGATACTACAAACAAATCAAATTTATATTTAATAGGGTCTATTAATCTTTAGGTTTAACAATTTGATGGGCTTTTTCTTTCTAAAAATAAAAAATGGCTATACTCTGCTGCAAATACAAAAGGAGTGGTAATTATAAACCTTTAAGACTCCTCATCTAACTAACAAAACAATAATTTAAGAACCATGAATCTTATTTTTGCAGGATATGGATCTTACGGATATATTGATAATTTTTGCGTAGCAACATCAGATGGATATATTTATGGGATTGATGGTTGGTAGGGATTCTTTTTATCAAATGCTTCAATTATTGCTTAAAGCAAATAGTCAGATTATCCAATAAAAATTTAATTTTAATAATACTGGCCTTTTTAAATTATTCCTACTATCTAATCTATTACAATTAATAAAGATGAAACGTATATATTTTTAGGAGTAAGATCATAAGGAATTTACATATTTGATATTAGGGACAGAGAAAATCTAAAAATATTTTAACAAATCAAAGCAGACTCATTAGCTTATTCAATAGCTTTCTCAAAAAATGAAGAGTACTTATATTTATCAAATGCATCTAGTTTACTTACTTTTTAGAGGACAGAAATTAATTTAAATGACGATTTCCCAAATTTATTTAACACTCACCAAATCAAATTCAATCAATTATCAAACTTACCATTTAAATAGAAATGTTACACAGATTAATCAGACTCATACTTAATTGGCGCATTTTAAAAAAGTATATTTGTATTCCCAATTCATCAAAATCCATACAGATTAAATGTTTCTGATTACCAAAAATATGATATTTAAGCTAATTCCATTTATCTTGAAGATAGTGGATAATATTTAATTGTTCCTTCTTATTTTTCTACTTAATTATTAAGTGTTTATTAATACAATACTTTAAATTACTCAAATTAATAAAGCATGTCATTAATGAATATGAATTTGATTAAGTAATATTAAAATAGCATAGCTAAAGTAAGTGAAATGATAACTTTTAGCCAAGATAGAACTTTTGCTGTTCAAACATACTAAACAGGGCTTATATTATATAATTCTACTGATATTTTTAATATGCAAATCTATTGTTACTATCAGTACCTAGATAGTATACATGGTCAAAACTAAGGCGCATGCATTACAAGAGATAACTAATGGGTTTTAAGCACTGTCAGAAATTTTGGTGTTTATTTGCTAAATGTAGAAAACAAAACGAATCCTATACTTACTGATCACTTAGTTACCTTAGGAGGTGAAAACATAATAATCTCAGAATCATAGAATTACGCCTATTTGATAGATGGATTTTAGGGTTTTGCAATAATTGATATCAATGATTTCCCAAAGATAAGTATTATATCTAGAATTGATTTAAAGGCATATCTTGTTATGGGATTACCCATATTGAAAGAGTAATATATCTTAATAACATAAGAAAATAATGTTTTGATAACTCTTATTGATATAAGGAATAAGAAATTTCCTTATGTAGTTAACACTATCAACTATTAATCACAAAGTGGAGAAGCAGTTTGCATACCATAAACATAAGATCATCTTTTCATAACAACATAGAATGGCATAATTACAATTCCTATTTTTAGCGATGTTAAAATTCATACTGATGTTAATCTAATTATAAATAGTTTTAATACAGGTCTTACATAAGCATAGAAAGTGCAAAAGACAAACTATATTAACAATCAAAGCATTATATAGGTGAATAATGAGTTTTTATTCTAGGTAGGTGAAGTAATTCAGCTAAATTTTAATATAATTTATCCAACAGCTGAAACTATGTAAATAAGTAAAATATTTTTCTACTAAGACGGATTGATGGCAGATTTACCTTCATTTTTCTTGTTTAGCTTATTTGGATAATTTATTTAAATGAACATTGATAAATCTTTACTTGGAGGTAGTTAATCTCAAATATAAATGAATTTCATATTACTTTGGACAGTAATTCCAGTGGACCAAACTTCATTTATATTTATTTCTTAAGATTCTGATGATTAAGCAGTAACTAACTCAAGCTAATCAGCACTCATTTATGAATATCTTTAAGAAATTGATATACTAGACTCAAATAATTTTTTAACTCCAAAATATGATTTCTAATAAGGAGTAATTTTAAATGAAATATTTTAAAAATAACTGATTGATCCTTCTCTTTATAATCAATAAATTTATAATAGAATAATGTAACAAATAGTTAAAAAAATAAACTTTGTTCTTTCAAGAACGTGCTACATAAATCCTTTTAAATTTTATGTGAAATCTTCTCTTTCTTTTGACAACGAAAATGTATAATAATTCATTTCCACAATTGAAACTGAAGATATAACTGTAATACTACAAGTGAATTCTGATGATGGTAAAATAGTATCAGTTAACCCATCTAGTGTTACAGCTTATATGTCAGTTAACCAAGATGAGTTGAAAATAGAGGGTAGCCTTGAAAATGTAAATGCTTTCTTACAATCAAAGGTAATATTTTCAAATAACACTCAAATAAATAGTTAAAATTCTCCATAAATTACAATAACTATTTAAGATAACGTAAATTATCCTTTGATTCTGAGATATAATATCAGTGTAAGTAATTTTATAGCCATCAAAAAATAACTAAAACTAAATCCAGAGAGTAGTTTACAGTAGTAAGTAGAAAATCAGTTTAAAGATAGTGTGGTGGATATCGAATCTAGCATTTAAATTTCCTTTTCTTAAAAATCATTTGAAGTAGAAGACGTTTAAGTATTAAATTATTAATATTATTGCTAGGATTAAAATGGTGATTATATTTTATTTCCAACATATTTATGGTTATAATAACAAAGTGAATAATTAAGCTTTAAAGGATAAACTACTCGAAGCATGTTTGGAATGACATATAGGTTTAAGATTGTTGCATCAGATGGCTACACAAGTGCAGAAGATTATTTTTATCTTCACGTTAATGGTATTCCATATTAATATATTATTAATTTGCTATTGAAAATTTTAGGACCAATTTTTGCTTTACTTGGGCTCTACGAGTATAGATCTAAGTTTTTAAACATTTTAATATCTCAATAAGTTACATTTTCTGATGAAATAATTGAAGTTGGTTAGATTTATCACAAAGAAATTATTCTTCTTGATAATATTTAATAAATTTCAAAAGATATAATTGATTAGCTCTTTCGAAAAATTTAAAACTAGGAAGGTGTTTAATTATTTGAATAAGGTAAACAAAGTGAAAATAATTTAAATAAATAAAATGTAAATTACTAATAAAAAAACATATTAGAAAATAAGAACCATAATTTTAATTTAAATATGTTAAAACAATAAAAGTAATAAGACCTTTTAAAAATAGCAATAAAACTTGGAAAATTAAATGGTAATTATCAGTAATCTAAAGTAGAAAAGAGATATTTAGATAATTAGGGAAAACTTCTTTTTTAAGTAGTTTTAGAAGATATAAAAAACTTGAAGATATAACCTAATAAGAATTATTAATAATCATATGAGCATTTTATGTAAGATATAATGGACACTGATAAGAGAATGTATAGAGCTCTTAGAGCACATGTTTCCTGGTAGCTTTTAAAATATGATAAGAGAACAAAATAAATGTATAATTATGTGAAAACATATTGTTTGAAAAACTCTTAATTTAATAAAAATGACTGGTTTAAAATGTTAGTTTAAATTAAATATTAAAAATACCAAAAAAACTAATAAAATCTATCCAAGGATTTCCCAATATTAGAATTAAAATTTTGTGTTTTATTCAAAATATTTGAATCAATTGGACTTTTTTCTAATTAAATGCAACTCTAGGAATGCCCAAATACATTCTGCTAATTCATTAAATTAGTTTTAGATTATTAGGCAAAAATTAACTTATACTTACTCAGAGAAGTTATTTTTGCAGAAACGCTTGGATTTACTGAAAAAAATTCTAATAGTCTAATACCTTCTTCAGGATTGTCAATCCACATTAATTCCAATAAGATAAATTAAATAAGCGCATTTAAAAGAAAAAAAACAAATGTATGGCAAAAATATATTTTTACATTATTAAATATTGAATTTACAAAATACCCTATGTCAAAAAATAGAAGATTACCCTCATGGATATCAGTTGATTTAAAGTATGGTAAAATCATATTAACTGGAGAACCTTAGTATTTTGACTCAGAAAGTATAATGATTAAAATTCTTGATTTAGATGGATATTGTATTTATCAATATTAACTAACTGTTAAGTTGAATTAAGTAAAATCAAATAAAAAAATTATAAATAAATATATTGATTAAATTTATTCTCAAATTGAATATCAAGATTAGAAAGAGGAAAGCCATTTACTTAAACACCAATCTAATAACTCATCTTAAAAGAAAGTTATTTTAAGTGATTAATATATTAGCTAAGAAGATATTGTCTTAAAAAAAAATAATTCAGAAAATAAGTTTTAAATATTGAACATAAACAATTAATTATCATGTTTCTCAAAAATTAATTCAGATAGCAAATGTATTTCAATTAAATGAGCAAATAAAAATGATTTAATTTTAATGCATGGTAGAATACCCAATAAGAAGTAAATTTTACTACATGACAATTTATCTTTTTTTATACTATAAATTATAAACTTGCGAAATTTAGATAAAAATTATATGTTTTAAATATTTATGGTAATATTTAAATATATTATGGATTTTTAATAGAAATGGTATTTTAGAGTAATCTTTTATAAAGATTTATATTAGTTTATTTATTTAAATTCAATTAAGCTTTTAATTATGTTAGACTAATTATTAATTAATTTTTATAGTTGTATTTAAATCAGCTATTTTCAAAAATATTGATAAATCTTATTGAGCACGTATTAATTTCTAAAAATTAGTTGTAAAACCAGATATTTTTGATGATTTTATTTATAAAGATTATAACTTTTATAATTATATATTTTATCTTTATTGTATGTTATCATACGTTATAAAATATTATGGATTTATTGTATAAAAAGTATTATCAGAGTAGTCTTTTGTTTAATTTTATAATAACTTATCTAAATTATTAAAGATGGATGAAGAGAAATACATTAAAAATTAACAAATTTATAGAATTAATTAGGTATAGCCAAAATTCATTCAAAAATTTAGTGAATTGAGATCACTATTATTTTGAATGTTAAATAGTCTTATAATAGAATTTAATTAATAATATTTATAATTAATTTTAATTTATATCATTCAATCTTTATGATTTTTCTATTTTTTAATTTTAGCCTTTTTTAAAAATTTTTCTTCGATGAAGCAAAATTTTATTATTCAAAAATAATATATAATTTCAACAATAATTAAGTATTATATAAAAATAAAAATTTAAAATTAAACTAACTTTGTCTAAGAATTAAAATAATATTATTTTATATTATAACTAGTTGTTAGAATAAGCTCTAAATTTTAATTAATAAAAAATATTTTAAAATTAATTTAAAAACTGATCTAATATTCAACTTAATTTATTAAATTTAGTATTTATTATTAATTATTATTGGATAATATTTATGTAATTATCACTATTTAATCTTATAAATTTTAGTTAGATTTAAAGTAATAAAATATTTAATTATATAAATCAATACTTAAATTAATTATTTTATATTTTACTTATTTTAAAATTGTAATGATATAATGAACATTTTAATATACTTGATTTTATGCACAGAATTCAGAAGATGATTTATTCTTTTATTATATTTTATTAGGTTATCAACAATTTTTGTATTTATAAACAAAATATTTAGATAAAACTTTATTATCATTTATCTATTATTTTAGTTAACTATTTTATTCGATCTAAATATCTGACTAAAATATTTTAATTAGTTATATTTATATGTTTATATTTTAATTGTTATTATTTTAAGCATTTTATAACTAATTTTGGTTTTATTAATAAATATGTCTTTGTTTTAGATTATTTGTTCTACATTTGAATACTCATTTGTAATATTAATTGATTGGCTTAAAAACTAATTAAAGCAAATCATATTTTAATAAAATAAATATATAAATAATACATACCTTAATTTATTAATAAAATATTAATAAAAAATTCTTACAATTAAATAAATTCTTTTAAAAAATCAATAAAAAACATGAAAGGTATTTTTAATTAGGAGATCATTTAAGATTTTATCTATTTCGTATAATTTATCAAAAAATTAAAATTTGTCTATTTCTTAATTTTTAGTTGTTTAATTAGACTCCTTTTTTTATACTTTTGATAATTATTTAAATAACAATTAAATATATATCAGATAATAAAATCTCAATTTTTAGAAAAACCTAACAATTATGAAGGCTTTAATCACTTAACCTAGGAACAAATTCGAAGAATAGCTAAAGTAAATAGAATTTGAGTAGATAAAAAGACCTTTTCTGTATTAAAAATAAGATGCTAAACCTGAAACACTATCAATTTAAAGTTTCAAATTATTTGACTAATTAAAATATCCTAAATAATTTGGATGCTTTTTTATGCCAACTCATCTGTATGAATAAGAATCATTTGATATTACAATTAATGAATCAAAGGTAAATTTACTTAATTGCATGTATGCATACTCTCTTTAAGACAAGAAAAATGTAGTGATTACACTTTAAGATTTCAACAATAACTTTTTGATTTTAGGATCTTACTAAGCAAGCATTTAATTAAAAGAAGATGACTATATTTATGATGTAAGTGTCAATGCTGCAATTTTAGGATCTAAATTTATTTTATTGGTTGTCAAATCAAGATTCTAAATTTAAATTTTTATACTTACTCTAGATTTAGTTTTAGTAATGTAATACTAAAAAAATGATGTATTTTTTATCAAAAAAGAATGCTATATTGATTATGACTTTAATAAAAAATCAATTCATATTTTTGAAAATGAAATAGATTATTCAGAAGATGGAATAATTTATTATTAGCATTAGTAAATTCTATTAAGAATAGATACAAATAGCAAGCAAGTCATATCAAGGATTTTTAAAGAAAATTTTAACATTCTATTAAGACTACTTCCAGTCACATAAAGTGAATTTAACTATTACTTTAAAAGCTGCTAAAAAGAGACACTATCTGGCTATGATAATTCGAAGAAAGAGAACTTTGTTTTATTTACAATTATTAATGATAAAATTTATTAAATAAATTAATTTAATCTAATGATAATCAGAATTACAAAATGTGATAGCTTGAAATATATTAAAGATCTTGATTATGATAATTATCATGAATAAATTTAAGCTTTTGTTATACCTATTTAAATTTAGAATAGATAAAAGAAAGAATTTTCAAATTGGACCTTTTTAATAAAGAACCAAAACTAACCTATTAATTTAATAGATTGGAAAGAAAAAAACTTGTTTCAAAAATAGAAAATAAAATAAGGCGATTAATTTAATGAATTCAAATAGTTAAACTAAGATTATTTCATCAGCAATTTATGTTTTTTGAAAGGAAATACCTTAGTTGAATTTAAGAATGCAAATAGATATTTTTCAAATACTTTTACTTACTAATTAAATATTTTGAAGAAAAAAGGCAATAAAAACTATGAATATAATTTCAAAGCAATATATAAAATCTAGAATGAGATAACTAAGTTATTAAAAATTTTAAAATATTATTCACCAATACTTAAAAATAACCTTATTACATTTCCTTGTTTAATTATAGATGGTAATTACGAACAACTGAAAAGCCTTCACTTGGGATTAATTACATCTAATGAATAAAAATCTTTTTATCTTAAAAAATTAGAGATATCATAAGAAGAAATGAGTTAACAATAAAACTCATAATTTATCGTTTATGAGTGGGCTACTCATTTTGCTGTTTATAAACTTGCAAAGAATTAAACAATAAATAAAATTTAAAACTTTAGTTTTGAAGTTAAATACAATAATAGATGGGAAATATATCCAAACAATATTGAATAATTTCATTTTAATAATAGTAAATCTGAGCTTATATTTATTCGCCGTTTAAATTATTGCTATAGTATAAACATAATTTTACCTGTAAAGCAATAAAATTCAGACATAAATGATATTTAACAACTTTAAATACAATTTTAAGCGTTTTCTAAATTTGAAACAGACTCTCATGGTAATATATATACTTGCCAATTATTTATTTAGAAAATGAAAAAAAATATTTTGGGATTTTTGATATTAACAAAAATTAAATAATAAAGGAGTCAGTTCGCTTTTCAAAGTATACCGTTGGTTTATACTCTAATTATAATAGTGAAACCAAAGAATTTATTCTGCTATTTAAAAATATAGTTTAAGATACATTTTTAGCCTTTTATTCATTTGATTTGATCAAATTCAAATTCAAATTCATAAATATGCACAAAAGTTATTTTTATTTGTATAATACTTCATCTTTCAATAAAGGAGATATCTTTACTGTTAGAGGCGAAAGTCAGATCATATAATTTGATAGAAAAAAAAAGTTCGAAATAAAAAAAATTATCGAAATAAAAGATGAATTATTAAAATTCAATAGTGTTTTATAAAATGATATTTATCGTTATAAAATATTTATCATAAACAACTAGAATAAAATATCAAAAAATATTTTATTTGATGGTACTATCATAGAAAGTAATTACTATAATATTGAACATAGAGTTTTTTACAATTTAAATAAAAAACTCAATTCTTTAGAGTTATTCAATATTCAAGAATATATAGAATAAGATGAAGAAATATGTTTAAATTAGAATTTAAAAAATATTTGCCAGCTAAATACAGGAGAACTTATGATTTACATTTTTGGTAAAATTTACATTTTAAAAAAATAAGATTGAAATATAGTAAAAAATATATATTTGCAGTATCGAATAAAATTATCAACCACTAAAATACCATGGTATCATAAAAAGTTGGCAATATTAAAATTGCATGAGCGTATATACAATATATTCAAAATCAATCTATTAGTACTGTATACAGCAAAAAATATAGAAAATAAAGCAAGTGTTTATTGATAACTTGGTGGATCATATTCAATAAAATATGAGAAAAATAAGGAAATTTTAAATAGTTTTAAATCAAGTAAGCCTAATATTTTAAATTCATCTTTTTTTAAGAATTAAATCCATTAAATAAAAAATTTATATAAGCTAATAATAGAAATAAATTACTCAATTCTTTTCATTTAATAATTATAATAAATTTATTTAAAACTTTAATTAGGGTATAATTAGAATTAAAAGATTTATTATACTATAAATAAGCTGTTAATTAATTACCATTAGCAAACATTTGGATTGTTTTCTCCTTTAATCAACAATATAAATAATTTACAAAATGAGTTATTTGATTTTAGTAAATATAATAATTAATTGATTACAACAATCTTTATAATTATAATAAAACCTTGATAAAAAAAGTTAACAAAATCATATGATTCCAAAAAATTAGTTTTTTGAAAAGATTCGTTTACTAATTCTCTGGGCTCATTTTAAATTATTTGTAGAATTTTATGTAACTCAAAAAACTCAAAAATCTCAATTTTATCAAAAACCCAACTTTTCTACTCAGCAATATTATTAAAAATTTATACTTTGACATAATTCGCAAATAAATTGACTCATTTAGAAAAAAAAATCACTTAAAAAAATTTTTTTTGAAATAACTATATATAAATATAGAAATTTAAAATTAAACTAACTTTATCTAAGAATTTATATAACAATATATAATAGTATAACTAGTTATAAGGATAAGAAAAATATATTAATTTATAAAATATTTTAAAATTAATTTAAAAACTGATCTATTATTCATCTTAGTTTATTAAATTTAGTATTTATTATTAATTATTATTGATTAATATTTATATAATTATCATTATTTAATCTTGTAAATTTTAGCTAGCTAGATTTAAAGTAATCAAATATTTTATTCTATAAATTAATACTTAAATTAATTTATTATTATTTTATATTTTACTTATTTTAAAAATGTAATGATATATTGAAAATTCTTAATAAACTAGATTTTATGCATAGAATTGTCAAAGATGATGTATGCTCTCTTATTATATTTTATTAGGTTATCAACAATTTTTATATTTATAAATAAAATATTTAGACAATGCTTTACTATCATTTATCTATTATTTTAATTAATTAATTATTTTATTGGATCGAACTATCTTACTATAAATAATTTTTTTTAGTTATATTTATATGTTAATGTTTGATTGTTATTATTTTAAGAATTTTATAACTAATTTAGATTTTATTAAAAATATGTTTTTGGTTTTAGATTATTTGTTCTACATTTTAATACTCATTTGTAATATTAATTGATTGGCTTAAAAATTAATTAAAACAAAAGATATTTTTTATAAAATATAAATATAAATAATATGTACCTTTGTTTTTTAATAAAATACTAATAAAAAATTCTTACAATTAAATAAATTCTTTTAAAAAACTTGAGAAAAAGAAAAAAAGAAAAATAACTTTTGTATTAAATTCTTTTAAGGTAATTTTTTATTTTGATGGTTAGATTAAAATAATTATTTTTTATAAAATATCATATATGGTTTAACTCTTTAACAAGGTCAGGTGGTGATAATAATCAGGATATAAATTTAAATTTTTAAAAAATCAATAAGAAACATTAAAGGTATTTTTAATTAGGAGATCTTTTAAGATTCTACCAATTTCTTATAATTAATCAAAAAATAAAAATTTGTCTATTTCTTAATTTTTTGATTAAAAACAATTAAATATAGATCAGATAATAAAATCTCAATTTTTAGGAAAACCTAGCAATTATGAAGACATTAATCACTTAACCTAGGAACAAATTTGAAGAATAGCTAAAGTAAATAGAATTTGAGTAGATAAAAAGACCTTTTCTGTATTAAAAATATAACGCTAAACATGAAACACTATCAATTTAAAGTTTCAAATTATTTGAATAATTAGAGTATCCTAAATAATTTGGATGCTTTTTTATGCCAACTCATCTGTATGAAAAAGAATCATTTGATATTACAATTAATGAATTAAAGATAAATTTACTTAATTGCATGTATGCATACTCTCTTTAAGACAAGAAAAATGTAGTGATT